CTACTACCTCTCGCTTCTTATCTATTTTTAGGTCTATTAACCGGAGGATAGCTATTCCTCTACCCTTAATAATAGAGTCGCTGTTACCGGTTTTAATAGTAAATTCTTCCTCGGTAAGGCTTTTAAAGCTCCCTCGGTAGTTATATATATAGACGTTCGCTCCTAAGTCTAGTATCTAAGAGTCCTTAAAGGGATATCTCTTAGCTATTCGGTTAACCTAACGGGATACGTTAGCTATATATATAGCTACTCTCCTAATCGATCCCTATATCTCTTCGGTTACTGCTAGCTAGGCAGTAGCCTAGGTAGTACCTCTATCCTCTTTAATCTTTACGATCTTCTCTTAGTCGAATTTACTAAGCTTCTTAATAGCCTTCGCGACTAGTTCTTCCGTCTCGGCTCGTAGCTTCTAGTAGTCTAGCCTAATACTTTCGACGATATAATAGTAGAATCTCTAGGAATAGTTTCTTCTATATATATAGGGGGTCCTTTTTTTATCTTTCTAATAATTTTTAGTATCTTACTAACCTTTAGTGTTTCTTTACTTAGGTATTACCTCTAGTTAGCTATCTAGCGTTAATATAGCTAGCTTTCTAGCCCTTTCTTTTCCTAAACACTCTAGTAGACTTCGTTATATATAGTATATAGATATAATCTTACTAAAGATAGGATTCTCTATCTCTAACCTATCACTCTAGGTTAAATAGAAGAGATTATCCTAGACCTAGATAGCTCCGAGGAAGTCTCTAATAGCGAATTTAGTAGGCGTTAGACCGTATAAGATATCTAGTATACCTATAGTTTTAGCTTCTTTATATAGAGATATCTAGACGGTTAATTACTTATCGATAGATATATTATTAGATAGGTACGTTAGTATTTAACGCTACTATCTTCGGAGGTCTTTTATACGATCGGCTTTCTTCTATACGAACTCCTATTTTAGCTTTACTAACTTCTTACGAGTAGAGATAACGCCTATAAGTATATAATAGTACTCTACGGCTAACGAACGGGATATAGTATTACTAAACCTATTAAGGGCTCGGGCGGTCCTCGCTCGTTCGGCCTTTTTACGGTCGTATCTATTAAGAATTTATATATATTTCTTGTACTTATTATTAGTAAGGTCGACTTTGTCTATTATATTCTTATTAATCTTGCTAACCGGCGGCAAGGGAGCCTTCTTTAGAAGCTCTTTAATCTCTATATCTGTTTTTATAGGGTTAAGATACTCCTAAAGGTCGTTTTCGATAGCTTTAGTTTTAAAATAACTAATCTAGACCCTCTACTAGGCCTTCGTCCTTAACCGCTGGTCCTATAGGATAGGTTGAATTACTTGAGATTTAGTCTTATTAGATATCTTTATATATATCTTTTACCGTAATCCTAACGGTGTCTCCTCTGGTCTGAGTCCTTATTAATCTCTTCTAGGATTTTGTATAGTCGTTTAGGGGTATTCGGCGGTAGGAAGGCTCTTACTGTTAAGATACAGAGTAACGGTCTTCGTTGATTATATCTTAATACTTTAGTATACACTCGGGCTTATAACTGACAGAATAGGCTAATTCTGTATAGGCTAGTATGAAAGATGTCTAATAGGACGAGAGATAATTAATTAGATTGATGATGATAGAAGATCAGGGGGATTGCCTGTTAAATAGCTATCCCCTGGCTGTACGGACGTATTTCTATCCGTGCGGCCGATACTCGGCTATTATAAAGCCTGAGTTTCTCTGTAAGCCAGTATTATATACAAAAACATAAGAAACCTAGGCGCTTGATGAATAAGCCCGTTCTTAGTGGTAAGTTACCACTCCACATATTTCGACATCCACTACGTATGTCACGTGCAGGTCTAATGGACCTCACCTTCCAGACCTTATTGGCAATTTGTTTATTTCGCCAATTAAGGAATCCAAGGTGCATCTGCTAGGAAGAATCATTGATGCACCTAATGTCCATAATGGTTGAGGGACTGTCATTTAATTATGGATGGTAAACCAGCGAGTTCCTGGAGAGAGTTAGCCAATCTGACGGCAGGATAGAGCCACAGTGTGTCTTATACGATCAGTTCTTTGTTTGCTACCTGCAGTAGGGCGTGGTACTCTATCAAGCAAACAAAGAAAGCCTCGAGCATAAGAAGGAAGCAGAAAATCTTCTGCCTCACTGTTATTCTGAGTTCTTGTGACGCTCACTGATCCCTCCAACATTTTTTTCTGACCTAGCCCAGTCGCAACCTTCACTTAGTGTTCATTTCAGACACGGTGATCGATTCAACATGGGGAAGATCAAGGCCTTGCGTACCCTCCTTTCTGCTAAAAAAAAAGCACACGACGCAGTCATTGGAAGCAGGCCCGGCTAAAGAATTAAGGCACAACATTTCTCTTGCTTGCACAGAGTGTCAGAGAAAGAAGACCAAGGTCGGATCCCCGAAAAAAAAGCAAACTTTGCTGAATTTGACGGTAAATCTGACATCGCATCCTGGAGGTAGTGCTCTGGAACGACGCCATGCACAAGGTGTGCAACTAGTCTACAGCCGTGTCTCTATGACCGAAACGGTGACCGTAGACGCAAAGAGTATACGGCCGGGCTGTTGAAATTTCATACTACACTTTGTCGACTTGCGGGTGCCCTGCGCTCCGCAGCTCCGGAAGAGGTATCAGGACATGGGCTAAATCCGCGGTAGCCCAGACTTCGTGTGAGCTTCCTGGCATGATCTTGTCGTTGCAAACATTCCATAAGTACTTTTCTGCTTCTTCCCATCTCCCTCGATCTTTCAAGATTTTCCCGCTTATCCTATCTTTGTTAGAAAGCATTATCCACTCCACCGTGGATGGCCGATCCGTTGACACTGGACGGCACAGCTGCAATATCCGGAGGCTTTCATCACAGAAGTCCTCTCCAATGCCGGTTTCTGTTACCCGATACTCTGCATACGCTATCATGACATATCCAACTAACGCATTCAAACGGGGTTCCGAACGTATACTTCTGCGTCTTGATGTCCTGCCATCCGTCAGATATTTCCTGTAGCGATCGAAGAGGTAATTCTTCGCCATATCAGCTGATTGTCTGTACATCCCTTTCCTGTACAGTATAGAGAGATTGTTCAATAGCTGTAGAACAACAAGGTACTCGTCATATTAGTCTTTAATCAACTTATTCACCAAACACGTAAATCGGCTCGTCCAACTGCCTTCAGAAAGTTCAAAATAGCTGATCTCTGCATCATAAGCATCCAAGAACAGATATACAGAATACTGCAGAAGCGAGCCCCGGGAGCTATGTTTCATAGCCAACTTGCTCTGTATACTTTTTGGGTTCATTCCGAGAAAAGCCTGAAGATATAGACAACAAGTACGCTCTTGTCTATTTTGCATATTCTTAGCGTCATTCTCCAAGAGAGTCTCAAGATAGTGGCAACAAGCGCGAACATGTAGTAGAATACGAAATCGGAATCTATCAAATTTAATCCGATCAGGAGCTCTGAGCTAGTCTGCTAATATAAAACGATAGTAGCATTCAGTAGACTTACGAAAGCCTCCGAACACCAAGCTTTTTCAAAGTAATACCACCAGAGAATGCGTACGAATCTAATGCGAGAGAACCAAATATTACCTGTTCCTTTTGATCATCCTTAAGTTTATGCTGGGCGTATAGCTAGACAAGAGGATACAAGGAGTAACCAAATACAGACTCAAAGGCGGTAGGTTCAGCTCGGAGTGCGCAACAGACGGGGTAACAAGCTAGGTGAGAAGGGGTAAGAATCACACTGCGTCGCGCGACAGCACGGACCCACTCTCATCTAAGCTCAGATGCAGCGTTATTGGTGTACCTTGACCAGGCTGAAATAGTACTCTATTAGCACTTACAGACCCCATTGACTCCCAACTCAGCATGTAATACTAGCATCTACGCCGCTTTCCCTAGGCGGCTATTGCTGTCCTCTGGTTAGTAAGTACCGATATAAGGCTATAGACGCAAAAAGCTCCCTCAGCTCTTTCACAACTTCAACTCTGCTCACCTTCTACGTTCAGGTGTTGTCAACGAGAACTCAGAGGTCATGAGATAGTAGTACAGATGCTGATAGATAGAGGAGCTGGCCTAGACGTCAGAGACTATACGTATAGGCACACTCCGCTGTCGCTGGCAGCAGAGAAATGTCACGATCTTATCGTCAATCTCTTGCTTAGTACAGGGAACGTTGGGATCAATACGAAAGATAACTACGGTCGGACGCCGCTGTTTATTGCGGCCCAGTACGGACGTAACTCTGCTACAAGAGCAATCCTTACCTTTGATTCTGTTGATCTGGACCAGAAGGATCATTATGGCTCAACTTCGCTCTCGATAGCCGTACGACACGGCCATATAAAGTGGTAAAACTGTTACTGGCCACAGGAATGGTCAGTTGTGGCTTTCATGCCCGTTTTAGACGGTCTGTATTTTGGTAGGCTAAAAGAAGTGGGAACACAGATATTAAGAAAATATTAGCTCACTATTCTAAGAAGCGAGGAATATCAATATATGGCGATGCATATGTTGATGTACGGTCAATCCCCTATGGCCACGTATCGAGAATTTGTGATGCTTGCACCCTGAATATTCCTCAGGGTAACATATACTATCGATGTAGTATTTGCCACGGAGGAGATTTTAATATTTACATGGAGTGTTATAAGCTTAGGGCGCGTTGTTTGCAAGACGATCATGGCTTAATTCGGATGGAGGACAATAGGGGATTGGATTAAACGTATCACCGTTTCAGGAAGTATTCTTATCACAATGCTAGAAGCTGCACATAGTTAGTAGAAGTATAGTACTTCAGCTACTGCGCTGGTATCTAGTAGAGCCGACAACCTATTGTTTCTAAGACAAAGAGAAATCACATTCATAAAACATTCAATATACGATAATTCCTTCATCATTCTCCAGCGGTATCTACATCCAGCCTCGTTCCATCGACGACAGAAACAACGAGTTTGAACCGATCTACTCTAAAGAAAGATATTGTGGCAGTCTGCTTGGTGCAGCATGTACTCTGGACGCATAAACAGCACTTCTGAACAGCTAGGAATATCGCACTGGTGACCATTTGGAAACCTTTGTGGAAGCCGATGGGCCCTGAAATGCCTTTGTAGCGCGTCTTTTCGAGAATATTCAAATTGCTTCGCAGCGGGGTGGGCATCCGTGGCCCCTAAGCAGACCGGACATTCAAGGCTAGTGGCGCTTTTCCACGGGAAAGATTGCGGTTCAGACTTGACAAGGGCCATGGACTCGAATGTTACTCGCTTTCGTAAGGCCTTCGGTACATGGAGTCGATGAAGCCGTAGTCGTAGCTCTAATGATCGGATCCGGTCTTCAATCAACTCTGCATCATCAATGGTGTCAACATCCCGGTTCTTGAATTCAATATCCGCAAGCTCCTTTCTTTCCGGCTGTATATGTGACGTGTCCGGTTCGAATTTCACGGGGCTAGCCCGATAATTTTGATCGATGATGTGGTTGCCAATATTCTCGAAAAAATTCTCGCGGACTCTCGCTTTTGCCTCCTCGTGAATTTTCTTCCGTCGTGCCTTAATTTTTCTTTGGAGGCTTTGGAATTTGTTATATCGTTCAGAATCAGCACGTCTTGCTTTTTGCAGTTAATGAAATTCTGTAATTAGGTCGTTTCGAAGTTCTTGGCACTCTCGCTTTAATCGATTGAGCTCCTGGTCGCTTTCAAGGGACCTCTTTTGAGGTTCTGTTAAATCCTGAGGTGCGGATGCATCCCGTGTAAGGCTTGAATTGTAAGTAAGCTTGAGTAAAGCATCTCTGGCAGGGGTCTCTATGAAGGCAGATTGAGTATTATCTCTCACAGAGACATAGTAGGCGAATGTACCGCTCCGTGTATGGCCTATAATAGCGTTCCTTAAATGTTCGTCTAGATGCCCTAGAGTAGCGGGGATGTTAGTGTATAACCTTTAGGTTAAGGTTGTGCTTAATCCCTCCGTACTTAAATTGCTAGCAGCCCCTTTCCGATATTTGTATAGGGTTCCTTTCGTTTTGGACCTAGCTGAAGCGCTTGTAGACTTTTCATATTCTAGTGCCGTACTATAGGCCAGTGCGCGTTGTAGATCGGTGATCTAAAGTCCCTCTTCATTCTTTATAGCCCTTCTAAAGATTGGAATTTCTTTGATAGTCTCTTTGAAGTGAATAGGGGTACTAAGTCGGTGCTCCGGGACCTTTGTGAGGTTCTAAATGTCTCGGGGATATTTAATATACTCACTTGCAAACGCGTCATCGAGAAACGCATACTCGAGAATATCCTAAATAACATAAAGGCCTAGGTTATCGTTCCGTTCTGTGTAGGTGAAAACAGGTCTGCTTTTGTTAGGACGTGCGTATCTTATGTGGATTGTGCTTCTTACGGTACGCCTTTATTCCTCTTGCCTTTGTTCAGCCTATGTGTGACTCTTATAAGGAGGACCTGGCATATCGGATTGTCGGGATTTTTCACTATATATAACTTAATATCCTTCCATTTCAATGCATCATTACTCTTCATATAGCCGGAAGACTTAATAAGTGTTCTAGGTCGAGCCGATGTGGAAGTCATTATTTTCCGTAACGTGCTTAATTGGCTTCGGCAGCGAAAGGTAGGGAATGCAATATCACATACAGCAAGCAGGTGATAGGTCGAGTACAGAAGATCGTCGATGTTAACTAATAGCTGTGTTTTACCACCAAGATCAAGCTCGTACTCGTCGGTAAGCGTGGTGCATACGAGCTTTAGTAGTAAGCATTTGTTGCTGATGCTGATCTAAGATGGCACATACCATGGTCATTTTGCGACGAAGATCGTAAGAAAATTCGCGGCACATTTCTTCACACCAATACATTCTGAAATACCTTGCAAAAACAAGGAAAGTGGACTGATATTCCACGTTGTGGTTGTCGAGATACCATCGAAGAAATCCTTTAACTACCCTTAATGTGATGTTCTTGAGCCACTGTTGAGCATTAGGAGGGTCTAGTTTTTGGGTAAACCTGGCATTATTTGTAAGTGACCTAGAAATAACAAGTGAGATGACAGATCGACCAACTTGCGAAAATTGCGCTCTATGTGCTTCAAATTTTGCTTTGTAGCTTCGGCATGGTCATTGTTGACTAGCGCATCTGGTTGGTGAACGAATAAGTTCCAGTCGATTTCAGTACGCTTGGCTCCAGTTTTCTTTGGCATCGCGGACGATCAAAACTCTGTCATGTATGACAATAGTGTATCTCTTGGAGAAAATCAGATTGAAGATGACCTTTAACTGATCATTCAAGGCCGATTTATACCCTTTGCCCATGATTTTACGCGCTGGGAGTACTTGTGTATGTACACATATTAATGGAGCACGCTAAGCCTAATTTGGCTACCGCCGTGGTGTCCAAAGCGCTAGGTGAAAAGACCACGATTCTCCCTCCAAAAGCCACACACGATCGTGGCCTTTTCACCGTCACCCCTAATTACTCTGTAGTCTCTGGTGACGGCGAATTACGCGATGTGGGTTAGCGTTCCTATTTGGGATTAGCGCCTCCCTGCGCGTTACTATCGCCGTGCATTTCTATAAAGTCCCCTTCATCGCCGCTTCAACTTCTGGCTGCTTTTCGCCCTTCTGCTCATCCTTTCCCTCCGTTCCTCGTGTGCGCCTTGCGAGTTCGACATTTTTTCCATTGATCCGGATCAGCGAGCTCCGCTACTCCCTATATCGCCAGCGCGAACCCGGCCGGCCCTTTGCAGCCCTTCGAGCCAGCCAGCGCAGTCTGTGCTGCATTTCCTGGCCCTAGTATTTTCCGCTCAGCTCTCACTATGACCTTTGTTTTCAACCGCTACGCGCTGGGTCTCAAATTGGGGTGCAACTCATCAGTATGATGGTTGAATAGGCAAGGCCCCTGCACCTCCGGCCCAGAAAATCAAGACCCCCTAGTACGACATTCAGTCACCGTTAAGTATCCGCAGGGTGTCTTGCCACACTAAGTTGCGGTAGTTGTATCTCGACAATCACCCAGTTCACCGGCCAATGAACTCCCACAAGCAGCCACCCACAACAAGAGTAAGTACGTCCCTGTGCCCTGGGTCAATCTAACAAACCTTTATTCAAATAGGCTAGATGATACATACTACTGCCGAGTCGAGCTGAACTCTCTTTGTAAGGTCCAGAGTACCACTAAACCCAGATTGGAAGTACATTATATAATCAACTTGTCTTGAAAGGACTGTCCGCTTTAACCTCGGCTTTCACCTTGAGTCTATAGCAAGCCATGGCTCACGACTGCTAAACAGACTGCTACAGTTTGAGGATGTGTTGTAAGAGGGAGCATACATCACTTCTAAGGATACACTGCAATCTGGGCTTTGACCCATACAAAACAGCGCTTTTAAAGCCAGTATTGTTCATTTACATGCGAGGGCCGGCGGAAATGATCTGCCGCTGGGCCGGAGAGATTCGATGCGATATATTGTTGGTTGCTGGGACTTGGTCTTGTCAGCTCCGCGCCTATCAGCTCCGTCTCAGCAGACTTATTTTACGCGTGGTTGACTGGTCACTACATTTCTTGGGAGAGTACACTGGCTTTTTAGTTTTAAGGCAATGACATGTACTATACAGTACAGGGAGGTGAGGTTCCAGTCGAACCTACTCACCAACTGCTTTTAACATAGCTAGACTCTATTACCAACTCTGAGGCAGGTAGTTAGCTAGTTAAATACATCAGATGATTCAGCCTAAACTACCATGAAGGTAATAAAAAATGCCCAAAGCTTTCAGTACTACTATTCGCGTTGCAGAATGAAAATGGAGTAGGATTCATGAGTAAGATGATCCCCATACAGACAGCTTTAGTGCAGAGAATGACATTATAAAGTAAGAAATTTGGTGAGTTTCCGTTCGTTGCCGTTGAGAGGATCCTTATAAGTAGCATCATACTCGATCAAACAGGTGCAGTGGTATTAGGAGGCACCACTTCCTTGGGTTTATGTGCTACCACTTGAGTGGCGGTCCGGATAGCTGACGGTGGGCTGTTCTGTGATGGCATTTCCGAGAGATCGGTTTGAATTGCCAATAACGACCTCGCCGGTTTTGTCATTGTTTGTTGCTTCAAAGACACCTCTATTTCCATAAAGGTCATACACCACGAACCAGGTATTGAAGTGCCACTCTGGTTCAAAAACCCACTGGTAATGGGGAATTTTAGCAGCAAACTGAATATGAGTCAGGCAGAGGGCGTTTGCCGTTTGATTTATCGTAATGTTCGTATACGCAGGGATTTTCCAAAAGTATTGATTGACATTCTCCCCAACTGTCTTTGTGGTCTCCTTGCTGGTTTCCCATATGTAGTATAGATGCAAGGTGTTGCCATTGTTCGTGCAGGATTTCTTGTAGGAACCGATCAAGCGCGTGTCGGCATCTTGATCACGATTACCATTGTCATGGCCGGTGCGTTCATACCAATGGAGCTCAGCCTTGTGTAAATAATGATTGTTGGTTGTGAAGTAATAGTTGGTCTGAGACCAATCCACTCCGAAACTGCCGTAGCCATTGCAACTGCCATTGAGATGCCCTGTATTGGGTGGCTCTGGATCAGATATCAGACTCGTGTTGGCCCTGGTGTAGATGATGGGCTCTATCCCAGTTAAGGTGACATATGAATCTTTATGGCCATCATTGGTAGTAACTACCTTGTGACTCATGGGCATCTTGAAAGCGGCCGCAATCGCCTGGGCTTCGATACGGGTAGTGGAAACCCAGAATTTCTTGTACTGTGGGCTGTCATCGCCTGCCTGAGACTCTCGTGGGTTGGATCCGGCAGTAGTATTAGTAGCAATCGTGTCCGATAGTGTGCCGGCGTATTCACCCGGGGTCGTCGAAGAGACCCAACCCCCATGAAGCCGGGAACTGGTGTCATGATAGTAAACGAGGTAGATTTGAGAGAGCTCCTTGTCCGTTAAACGGTAAGTGGCGCCACCATTTTTCAGGGAAGCAGCAATCTTGGCATAGACAGGCACTTGCATTCGACCATTTGCATAAAGCCGGTCGCTCCTTGATGCTTGGTCAGTGAGTTCCACCGAAAAAGTGTCCACCTCCCAGTTATCCATGGTGAGAAATGTTGCAGGGGAACTTGAATATTATGAGATGTTCAAAGAGAATGCGAGAGGGATGATTTTTTCTTTCTTTTTCATTCTCCCTATACACGGTCACTGGCGAGATATTTATAGTATGTCTCCATCCTGTTAATAAAGCAGGTCCATTAGAAGTACTTCATCCGTTCTTTGCGTTGTTGCGCTGTGGCTGGCTGAAAGAACTTATCAAGACAAAATAGGGCCAAATCCTAGGCAAAATAACCACTAGACCAAAAATGCACTATAGGCAATATTCTTAGTCTATACCGTCATTTATTGCTCCGACAGAACTGTACGGTCCTGTATAGAATGTGTACAGTATATAGTACGTACGTACAGTGGCCTTTCATTAGTATTTGCACTATGGTACTTCCCTCATACACCGCCATTCTTTTATTATCCATACCTTACCTACTTTATCGATGAGATGAACTCATGCTCCTCCTCCTTTATTCTCTATCCTCTATCCAGTACCACCTTACAGTAGAGCGCAGGGTATTGGACACGAAAGCTAGCACCCTGTTATATAGAACTTCCTACGGGAGTTGATATGGAAGAACTCGAACGGCAGAAAAAATAGTGGCCCCTTGATATGCCAAGGTACTACAGTGCAAATACTTGTGAACTCTGACTGTACTATATTAATGACACTGGTGATGGAATTTGGGCCCCACTTCGGCCACTCCGAATAAAGTAGCCAACGAACCACTCTAGTTCTTACTGCTTGAGGAACAAGTAAGTTCTCTCTGGTGCTACTAACAATACGCTAATGTGGGCGGGATCCGTTCGGATGAGCCTATGGTCTGTTAACATGGCTGGCTGAATCACGGCAACCACGCAGCTGAGCCATGGAATGAGGGGTACAAAAAAGAGTATGAAACATTCCAGCTGCTAGATGAGGGAGTAGTGCTCACCTCAGCCTGGGCACAAGGCTAATCTCATGGATTTAGCCCACGTTCCAGCTTGCAGCCGGAAACTGCTTCGAGGGTTGGTCACAATAAAGAGTAGAGAGAATAGCTTCGTTTTCTCGACTCCGCATTCAAAAAGGAGACCGATGACCGCATCAAAGCCCGCTTTTGCTCTAATCATATACAGAAACTGAAATCAAAATCTGGATTATTTTTCAACAACCATGTCGACCGTCTACTCGCAGGCTTTCAACTTCAGTAGCTTTCTACAACAAGGCGTTGATCCCCGTACGGGTCAATTTACTGCCGCCATTGCCCTCTATGAGACCCCGACTAAGACGCGGAACTGTGTTCCTCTACAGCTCTCCATCGCCTACAATCCGATGGTGACTCAAGATATCGGCTTGGGAAAAGGTTGGACGTTCAATCTTTCCACCTACCAGCAAGGTACAAATCACAACACATTGCTTGTTTCAACGGGAGAGAATTACCAAATCAACGAGAAGTCCAGTTCGGTCTTGGTGAAGGACCAAAAATTGAAAAGCTTTCGTTTCGAAAAGAAGACCGAAAACAACATCGATCAATACCGGATCTTTCACAAGTCGGGCGCTGTTGAAGTCTTGCGGAAGCTGAGGCACAAGGATCATGTCGCCGTCCCATTCGAGCTGTACGCCCCCAATGGCCGGATGCTCAACCTGGATTGGGCCCCATCCGGCGAACAGGTACAGCTCTCGAAGATCCAAGATGGGTCGCAAGTGTTGCTGGAGATAAGCTATAACCCGGGCCAGGTCACCGTCACCCGCTCTCCAGGTACCGAGGAAAGCAGCACCATCACTCTTCTCCGTAGAAACGGCCAACTGACGGAGGTCCAGCTGCCTCTGCAAGACAATCCAAGCTGGAAACTCACATATGCCACCTTTGAAAAAGTGCTCTGCTTGACCAAGATCATTAATCCGGCGGGAATGGTGGAAGAGGTGACATACCCAGACCAGGGGGGGCATCAGCTACCCCGTGGTGCGCCCTATACAGCCATACCGTACGTCCTGTCACACACCATGCGTCCAGGGAACGAACAGCCATCCATCACGGAAACGTATAAATACTCGCCTAAGAACTTCCTGGGCTACAGTGGCGGTTTTGACTGGCAGGACGGGGTGGATAATTTATACAACACTACAGGAAACTACGAATTTTGGACAAGTGTCAAGGTAGACACGGGGGCATATACGAAATACACCTATAATCGGTTCCATCTGCTGGTCAGCAGTCAACGAAAGCAGGGCACTAAGCAGCTCACACAGACAGTGACATATCACATGAACGTCACTGGTGACTTCAGCAAGCAACCTGCTAATTACCTGCTACCAAAGGTCGTTGAAACGAGATATGAAGATACTGACACCAAAGCCTTTCGTACGGAGACAAGCCAGCATAAGTTTGATGACTGGGGGAATCCTCTTCAAGATATTCAACCAAATGGGGTGACGACGGATCGCGTTTACTACCCACCGGAAGGTGAAGGTGGGCTTTGCCCGGCTGATCCATATGGTTTCCAACGTTATACGAAGACGGTGACCATGACTCCCGCAGACAGTCCATATCGAACGCCAACTCGAAGTCGACACTACACCTATGACCAGTGGCCCACTGCTACATCCACATATGCCCAGTATTTTGTGGCAGTGAGGAAGGAGCAAACCTTGGAAGATGGCAAGGAGGTTTCCAGCACCGAGTATAGCTATCTCAACCAGACGGGCTCGAGGGATCATGGCCGCCGTCAGCAACAAACCGTTTATCTGTCCGGCCAATATCCCATGACATACAGCTGGACCTATCAATATCCCAAGAATACGGACCAGTTTGCAGAGACCGTCCAGACAAAGACTTATGACGGGTATAGGATTGAAGCTCAAACGGTGTTCTCGCTGTCGTCCGGGTTGACACTTTCCCAAACAGATCCTTCTACTGGGGTGCAAGCCAACTTCCAGTATGATCCCATCGGCCGGCTGTTGAAGAAGACAATCTCAGGGGGGACACCGTACGAATCAGTGCAGAGCTACGAGTATATCTTCATGCCCCAAAACCGAACTGGATACTGTGTCACATCAAAAAATCCAAAGGGAGTGGCAACCCGCCAGTTCACCGATGGTCTCGAGAGGCTCTACCGCGTTGAAAAACAGGATGATGACGGCGAATATCCTGCCACTGGGACATATGATGGAACTTTTCGGACAGTGGAAGCCCGCCAGTACAACGCTGTCGGCCAGTGCATAGAGGTAACTACAACGGATTGGTTAAGAGCGATTGGAGAACAGCCCCAGCAACAACAGGTCACCAAGTCTATGGAATATGATGACTGGGGTCAGATTTTCCGGGTGACTGGAAGCGATGGGGTTGTCACGCTCACGCAAGGCGACCCGATCGCCATGACCCATACGCAGGGCATCGAGGGTGAGGCCCAAACGAGTACGCAATTCAATATTCGCGGCAGCCCTGCGCAAACCTCCATCTTGGCAAAGGACAAAAGCATCTACAGCGAGGCTGACTATCTCTACGATGGGCTGGGCCGCCTTGCTGAGCATAAGGATCCCATGGGGCATACCATGCAATATCAACTCGACTACTTTGACCGCGTTACTCGAACGAGCTGGCAGCAGGACGAACTTGTCATGTCCACTGAGTATGCGCCCCACAGTGCATCTCCCTTGCCTATCTCAACAAAGATCGACGGTTCGACTGTGGTAGGCACGCAGGTGTACGATGGGCTGGGGAGGGTAACCAAGCAATCACTGGGCTCCCGAGTAACCACGATCTCCTACCGGGGAAACAAACCGAAACCCGAGTACATCATCACTCCCAAGGGCGACAGGGATGACCTGGTCTATGATCCTAATCTTGGATACGCCATCACCGCCGATCAAAGCGCCAGTCTATCGAATTCCTTCGCGTATGACAAACGCACAAAAGAGATCCTGCAGCTGGACGGTCCACATAGCAAGGAGCAGCGCCAATACTTGCCATCTGGGAGATTGTGGCAGCAGCAATTTACCATCGAGAATAACACGTTCTCGGCATTTTCTTCCTATTCGATGGCAGGCAAGTTACAACGCTACATGGACGTTAACGGACAATCGCATGACCTCGCTTATGATGAGTACGGGCGACCAAAAGGGTTGACTCAGGGAAGGGTGAGAGTGACTTTCAAATACGATGAGGCTAGTCGCCTACGTGAATCGCAAGCTCTGGATACGGAAACGAACGAGTCCCTGACCACCCGCCTTGTGTATGATGAGTTTGGTCGAGAAACCGAACGAAGTGCGAGCAATGGGTCGGAACTTGTCCACCAAATCAGTCAGACGTACGGCAAGACAAACCTGGTCCTCTCCCGCCAGGTGAAAGATGCCAGTGAGAGGGTTCTGCGAAATGAAACTTATCAGTATGACAGCTATGATCGTCTGATCGACTACCAGTGCCGAGGCATACAGCCACCGGCAGACGAGCAGGGGAATACCCTCCAAAGACAGCAATTTACCTTTGACAAGCACGATAACCTGGTCGAGATCGTGACGACATTCCAGGATGGATCGGAGAACACAACCTGTCATTCGCACCGCTCCGATGAGCCTACCCAACTGATCCAGATCACAAACACTCATCCGAGTTATCCGGCCCAGATTGACCTTGAATACGATGCCAACGGATGCTTGACCCGGGATGAACAAGGCCGTCAGCTCAAGTACAATTCCAAGAACCGTTTAACTGCCGTATGTGATGCAATGGGACAGACATTGAGTGAATACTTCTACGATGCTAGCGGCAAGCTCATCCGCCAAAATGTCCAAGGAAAAGACACATATCTGTTCTACCGAGGCGCCTATCTGATCGCCGTCCGGACGGCTGACAGTGGAGTCAGTTATATCTCCACGGGAGGCGTGCGCTGGGGCCAGATTGTACACAGCAGTCAAGGATCGCGGACTCAACTGTGCGCATCCGATACGCAGCAGTCGGTTCTAGCCTGGCTGGATCCCAGGAAGCCCGGCGAAATTCACCACCAAGAATACACCCCGTATGGCTTCGGCGCACTCACAACCAGCGCAATTGGCTACACCGGCCAATGGCGAGATCCTGTGACCGGATGGTACCACCTGGGGAATGGGTACCGGGCCTATAATCCTATTTTGATGCGCTTTCACTCCCCAGACCACTGGAGCCCCTTCAAGACCGGGGAAGTCAACCCGTATGCCTACTGCTTGGGCGATCCCATCAACCGGACCGATCCATCCGGGCATTTCAGCATCTTCGGTATCCATCTGAGCTGGCGAGATGTTGCGCTAGTAGCGGTTGGGATAGGGGTAGGCATCCTTGTCGGCGTTGCGACGGGAGGGATGGGCTTCGCCATTGAAGCCGGTATAGGTATTGCAGCAGGGGTGGCTTCTGATGTTGTGACCGGGGCAGCTTATGACGCAGCCAGTGGCAAATCTCCGACCTGGCAGAGTGTGGGTAGCGATGCCCTCTTCGGAGCGGTTGGTGGCGCTCTGGGGGAAGTTGGTGGGAAGATTCTGGGATCGGGCCTGAAAGCTGCAACCAAGGGTCTTGGAAAGGTGTTCAGCCGCTCAGAATCCACTGCTCTCGGCGAAGTAGAAAGTCGAGCCACGCGTACTATGGGACCCCTAGCTGGCCCACCTAGAAATGGACGGGCTCACTTTCCCCGGGACCCGGGACTTACAAACCATACCGGGGAATATATATTCTTAGATTCGGTTGACGGCGTGCAAGGTCAAGAAGGATTTATAACCCATGGCGATCAACAGGGGTTTCTATACGGCCGTGGTCACGGTGCATATGCAAATCATATTGTTCAACACGAAGCAGGCATTGTCGCACGGAATACTATCCAGCATGAAATGGGGCTGGCGAGGCAGAGACTTGGCCTCACAGTGCAGCAAATGAGGTCACTGCGGCGCGGGCATCCCTTCTTCCTCTTCGCTTGCTATGGAGCAGACTCCGGTGCTGGGCAGGCAGTCGCAAACAGGCTTGAGCGGCGTGTGGTTGCCTTTTCTGGTCCGTTGGATTCTGGGGCACCCAATATCACAACTCTTGCTTCATGGTTGGAGCAGCGAGGTGGTGTGCTTGGAACTTTTCCAAATAATCCCTGGGGGATATTCGATCCTGTGATCTCTATGGATACGTCTGTCCAAGTTGATCCAGCAATGGAAATCGATTAAGGGGCACACCTTGGAATGGTCTATTCTGTTATATGTATATAGTGAGTAACTTTAGCTTATAAATAGGCTTCATTATATGGGAAATTTAGAAATATTTTTATAATAAGTAAATTAGGATTATAAGTTTGATCTAGATAAGAAGTTAATTGAATCAGAGAACCTCTACAAAGATTATAGGGTTATATAGCTTAGGCAGAAGTAGTATTATAACTAGACCTCGGCAAGGACTAGGTCCGGTCCCAAATCTTAGGACTAGGACTAGGCCCTCCGGTGCTTGGTCTTTTTTCGAAGTAACCAAGACAAAAACCATTGACCCATAGTCTGGGTCCCGAGTCATGTTTTTAGGTTTCCCGTTTGATATTGAGACTCTGGAAGACTTTGTCTTTATTTTTACGAATCGCCGGCAGAGCATATTCATGGCTTTCTCTCCGCACCCAGGCTTGAGGGCCTGATACGAAGAAACAGTCGCAGCTTTGACAGGCTCCGAGCCTCTGGTCGTGTCGTAAGTCGCCGGGCCAGATAGACGTTCGTCAACAAGTCTCTTAAGAACATCTGTTGATACATTTCAAGGTGCGGCTAACCTTGGGTAAGCCAAGTTCATTTAAAGCCTTTGGCTATCCTGGCCACATTTAGACCGGAGCTGGCCAACTAGATCAAAGGATTGGAGTGCTTTGTGAGCGGTCTCAAAAGACTGAAGCCAATTGACACCCCACTACACAAATAAGCACTGCCATACTGGATGTGTAAAATAACATTAAAAATTTAACCTCGCAACGCATATGCACATAAATCTTGAACCCTTTATAATGATCTGCCTAGATCAACTATCCGTCGACGCTGACCCCTCGGCCGCTGCCTTCTCCGTCTTGCGCTTTTTATTCGCCATCTTGATGCCTGAAGCACCATACACTGAGATAAACGCCATACCCAGGAACGCTGACACGCACGAGAAAACCATGGCCACTATGCCCTTGGCCGTAAACCCAGCTGGCAGCCAAGCAACCTGCTTGTTCTGGCCCGACAGGTCAAGGTAGTCGACCGTATTGCCGGCTGCATTGCCCTTGGACTGCACGCCTGACGCCTCACATACGTCGTAGTGATTCTGAGGGATGGTCAGGCGCTCTTGTATCTGCAGAGGCGCCTCAATGAGCGTCATGCCAAGTCCTTGTTGCAGGTGCCAGTCGATGTGGCAGTGGAAAAACCAGACGCCTGGGTTGTCGGCGACGAAGCGGATGACGAAGTAGCCCTGGGGTGGGAGCACGAAAGTGTCGCGGCGGGCGGGGTACTTGGGGAACGCGGTGTGATTGCTCGGGTCGTAGGCCACCGGGTCGCCATCGGCGTAGTCGTAGAAGTGCTCGCCGTACGCTGGGGCGCGATTGATGAGTTGGAAGTTGTGTCCATGCAGGTGGAATGGGTGCGAGCCGCCGTCGCCGTTGTTGAGGATGATTTCCACGACTTGGTTGTGGCCCAGGACCATTGGGTGAGTGTAATCTCCGTAGACTTCGGAGTTGGTGGCAAGTTCGCCGGCTGACATGACCGTGAAGAGGGTAGGCACCTTAGGCCGAGTGTAGGATATGTTGTTCAGAAGGGCGTAGTCGGCGCCGTTGTCGAGGTTTTCCATGTACACAGTGAGATCGATGACCAGATCGGCCTCGGGAAGCAGTTCCATACGGTCGTGAGGCACGAGACTCATATCGTCGAATGGAATGAGATCAGAGGCATCGGCCACGGTAATGGTAGCCTGTGGATGGGCGGCGGTTTTATTGTATTCCAGCCAATTGGTGTGGTTCAGCCGCAGATCAGATGGAATGGTGTCCAACAGCTGCGAGTCCGCCACTGTCACAATGGGGTAGTTCTTTTCCGTGGAGTTCTTCATCGTAACAAGGACAGAATACCGTTGGGCAACAGAAATATAGAGAATGCTTGCCTCGGTAGCATCTGTATATACACCGTCGATTTCAACAATTTTGAATGTGTGATCCTCGATGTAGAAGTACTGCGCAACAAATGCACCAACGTTGATCAACCGCAATAAATACGTCTTTCCCGGTTCCACGGAGAGACTACTGTTCAGGGTGTCGTTGAACAGGAAGGCATTTGGGATGGGCTCTGCGCCTGTCGGGTTGGACTTGTCGATGAAAGTGATGTCCTCAATCATTTCATGGTACCAATCACTCATAGTAATGGCATACTCCTCATCATACATATCATTGAAGTAGGCATCCTTATCGTGCACGATCAACGCCTGGCGGTAGCCATCCGGATAGCAGTAGTCGGTATGGCAATGGTACCAGTAGGTTCCATTTTGGTTCACCGTGAAGTTATAGGTGATTGAGGAACCCGGCGAGACCGGACACTGAGTGACCATGGACGGGCCGTCCATCTCATTTGTGCCATTCTGGAACATACCGTGGAAATGGATGGATGCCCTCTTGTCACCGAGGCCATTGTGCATGTTCACGACGAGCTGATCGCCCTTGTCGACCTCGATCACCGGCAGGGGCCATTGGCCGTTGATGCCAACGACCTTTCGATCATACAGGCCGTCCGGGTTGGCGGTGACCCAGGTGACATTGAAATCATAGGTGACGGTCTTGGCCTGGACGTACTGGAAGAAGCACAGTGCCGCCACGAGGCGCACCAGCAGGCCGGCAGCTGAAGTCACCATGGCAGTGGATCCCAGAGTTTGTATCTGCTGCACCTGGGGGAAAGGGAGACGAGGGAGAGGAAGGGGAATGAAAAGAGGAGCAGGAGCGCGCCGTGAGGTCGGAGCTCAAGCCAACCTGCCCACGTTGGCCCATGACTAACGCCAAATCCGTTTTCGCTGGGTTCCTACCCGACCGGCAGGACAGAATGGCCGTGATAAGATTATCGATCTTACCGTGCCATGCGCAGCGGTGGGCTGTGGGGCGTAAAGCAAAAACCAAAACTCGCGAACTGCAAATTCCGCGGCAACGAGTAGTGGCGTGCCCGGGCCCCTTGGATGCCTTGGCGGTGAACCAGGGAGCTTGTGGGTGGGCCATTTTCCACCCATTTTCCACCGCTCCAATTGCCGCTTCTTGCAGGCATCCACTTGCCCCTCCGGGTTTCATGCCCAGGTCGAGGAGCGCAGATCGCGTGGGAAATGCCGAGAAGACCCTGTGCTACTGTAGAAGCTTGGCTGGGGAGTCTACATATAGGCACATCCCCAGTCCTTCCTACCTGGGTGGGCAATCGAGATCAACATCGTATTCGGGTTCGAGCTGGAACGGTAACTGATTGATTTGATTGATTTGATTGATTAGCCGAGACGGCCGGAACCGGCCCCGGTGGCTTGCATTCCAGATGATAATCTGATGCCCGTTGGGGAGTCGATTGGCGGGCGAAAGAAGGAAAAAAGGGCGACAACCCTGGGACGAGAGAGAATGGAACCCGGATGGGCTAACCAATTAGATGGCGGTAATGACAATGCCGCTAAGCTTCGCTAAGCCTGCCGCTACTCGCACATTGATTTGACTTATACGACCTGCCCCTTTAGCCGAATTTTACCAGTTTGCAAATACCGTTTGGAAATGGCCACATGATTGTAGAATTTCTTTTGATCTGGCCGACATTGTTTGTCTCAATCTCGGTTAGTTTGTCAGACTTTTCGCCGCCATGCTTCGCCTTTGGGTATCGAGGTGCTCCCTGCAAAAATCTAAATCACCAAGGTTACACTATATTTCCTTACCATAGCCCCAAAGAGCCTTAATACTATGTACCAACTGCCAAAACTACACTGAAGACTGCCAAATAGCCGTAGATGGCCCGGCCACAGCGCCTTTCTCCGTCTGCAGGACACCGTACTCCATGACTGCACCGCTCGCATGAGCAGGTCCAGCCGTAGTAGGCTGATCCCAAGGCGTGCGGAACACAAAAGCCTTCGCCCGGCCCTTGGCGTTGACCACCTTGTGCACCACCGGGTCCAGGTAGGGCAGGGGACCCTTACGCTCGCGCCACAGCATCAGCCCGTAGCCGATCATGACGCAGATCCAGTAGAAATTGTACGCGAGGACCGACCCTATGGTCGCCGAGTTGGTCCAGCCGAGTAGGGCATTGAAGATTCCCCAGCCACCACCGCCACCCACCTCGGGATTGCAGCAATTGACGTGCCATATGCTTTGACTGATGTCGTATGATCCCGGGCCTGAGCCCGTCTCTGAGGCGTCGCCGCCAATGACATGGTTCCAGGCGTTGTTCTGGAAGTACCAGACAGCGCGTGAGAAGAGGCCGCCGGCGACCAGATAGAGGAAGCAGGTCGAGATGATCAGGAAGATCTGCATTGAGGTCTCACGTCCACCCCTGCATGACAATGTTAGCCGCCAATCACATTTTCCCAGATCCTATGCCAGATTTTGTTACCTGTAGATAATATAGCCCACGGCCACTCCGGCAAGCAGACCGCAGAACACCGCCAGCGGAAACGAGGAGGCCGGGAGTCCCAGGCCAACGCCGCCGATATAGACGACGGCTTCCAGACCCTCACGCAAGACGGTGATGAAAGGTAGCATGAACATGACGTATTTCTCCATCCAACGCTTGAAGCGGCCTTTGCGAGTTTCATTCGGGTTGTGCTCATGTTCGAGCGCCTTCGCGAGCTTGACGCGCCACTTGTCCTGGAGTTTCGACACGCGCAACAGGGCCGCACCCATGATGGTGATAATCAGAGAGGCAATGATACCCAGAACGCCCTCCCAGATATCCTCCGTGCTGGAGAAAGTGTCGGTTCCCAGGCTATAGAAGGCACCGATCATGCCGCCGCCCACGGCGAGACAAGCGAAGAGGCCCAACCCGCATCCTAGCCAGACCTATTGCGAAGTGAGCAGGGGTGATCTTTCGCTCGAATCGAGAAATTCATGGACTCACTTGTTTTACTAGTCGTTTATACATCTTCTGGTCCTCGCCACCTCCTAGTGTCTGCTTTAAGAAGGCCAAAAGGACCGAGACGACCACGGTTGTCTCCAAGCATTCTCGGAAGCAGATAAAGAACACTACACGGTCGCAATCAGTCAGTCCACCTCGCACAGAACACGGGGATCAACGAGTCTCTCATACCGGTGACGGCAAACACTGGATTATTACCCATTTTGACTGACAGAATCCGTCGCCTCGGCGTGCAAGCTGAAGAATTCAAGTCCGAGACCGCGCCGGGAAGAAAGGAAGGGAAAAAGAAGGGGACTAACTGATTGATAAGGCCCGTACTAGCTCATGGGCCCCATTGGCTCTGCATACCTGAAAATTACTAGCGCGGCATGCTAGAGACCAGCCCCGCCCGCCCCGGTATCTGATCAATGTCCGATGATCCCTCCTGTTCAAGGCACCTCGTGTCCAGCATCCACCAGGCAAACTCAATCTTCCGACTTGTGCCGCACGCGGCGGCTTGCATGCTGCCTCGTGTCTGCGAGGTTCGGAGACCCAGGGTTGGAAGGTGGAGGTGGAGTGTGAAAATTATGGTCAAATAGGGGACGGGCTGTCGGCTCGTGAAAGATCACGATCGTCGAAGGGGGGGCAGCCGGCCGTAGTCCAGCTCCGCACTCCATCCATAGCTCACAAAAGTCAAACTAGCACAAACACACCAACAAAATAAAACGCTCATCACGCATACTGCGTTTCGCAACCCAGGGAAGGATGTGGTGCCACCCTTTTAGCCATCCCACTCTTCCGATTGGGACCACACCAATCGCTTCACCTGCAGCCTGCACATGGTGGGGACTTCAACCTAGTCGGCCTTTACTTGCCATGTTCACGCTTGTTCTTGTATTCTTATCGTTCTGCTTGTTGACTCCACTCGCCGGGAAGCGCGGCTTGCGACCAGGTGTAAGAGAGAAGCGGGCCAGATTATCTGATTGATATGATGGATTTGGACATGATCGATATGATCGATAACGCTGGTCCGAAGGTTTGTCCAAAGGCTACTCCTCGCTTGGGCCGACCGCCACGGTTCGCTAAAACCCTTAATTATGGGGAGAATGTGAGAAAACATAGGCGAGGAGTCTGCGCCTGAGGGATTGAAAGGATGACTCATCACGCGAGATGCTTCTCGGTCGATTCGGAAATTCCAGTCGGCCATAGCATCTGGACCCATGGCTGCGGCACACTACGGAGTGACAGAAATAAGATAGCGGCAAGTAGGAAATAGAATACAGGGACAGCTACCTTTCCCGCCGTTGCATCCTCATCGTAACTAACAGTATTGGGGGTGAAGCACGGACTCATTGCCCTTCAGCATGCCGTTCAGCTCATGTGTTCGACGACCCCTCCTCGGAGGCATTCTCGGCAACCAACTCGAACCGCCGCTCCTCCGAATAACATTTCAGCGGGAACACCTACCACACTGAGAAAAATGCCCAATCCACCAAGCCGAGGGATAAAAGTACAATGCGCGCCCACACCACTTCAACACATCCCTAGACGTCTTGCCCCCATTATGCACATGCTGTGAAGATATTCCCTGGCGTAAAGGCCGTCAGCGACATCACTATGATCCAGCCATGTCGCTGCTGCGTGATAAGCAGCCCCATCATAAAGCAGGCCACAACGCCCATCGGCACAAAGAGCACAAACTCTGCCCATCCCAGTAAAGGGCTGGTTTGCCGGTACTCTATCTGAAACCGTCAGAAGTACCAGATCCGCGTCCCGAACGCGCGCCATCCGCACGCAAGAAAGCCCAGCACGAACGAGTCGTCGAGGCAGAAGGCGTGGAATGGAATCAGAGGGTGCTATGCGAAGCGAGAATTCCACCAGATAGAACCCGGTGATCAGCAGCAGCCCAAGGATCTGCCGCATATAGACGGATGGAGTGCCCCAGCCCGCCCACGGGAGCCTGGTTCCACGCGATATACACGACCAGCCCGCTGATACCGCAAAACGCGCCCAGTGCAACGCCTTCAGCAGATCGACCCAGGTCCTCGTATCCGGCGAGGTATCATGGTGCATCGATGGGACGACCATCAAGCCCTGCACAACGCACACGACCATAGCCCCGAATAGTGCGAAAAGCATTGCCTTCTTCTTTCCGGCGGGTACGTTGCCGGATGGAAAAGGAAAGAGTACATCAAGGTGCCCGGTTTTCATCGATCTATACGGAGTATCTTGAGCGATGATCATTATGAAACTAAAAGATTCTGTAAATGATCAGTATGTCTGAGAATAAGTAGGTCGCAATTTCATTGTCTGTTATATTCCTCTATTGATAGCAAACCATTCAAGCTGATTGACTAAGAACACTCTGCATGACCTCCCGGATCTTCGCAGCACACCGAGGACCATCACCAAGTACCTCGTTGCACCTCCATGACACAAACCGATCAGGCCGAACGAGTACACATCCTGTTTCGTCAACATGGCGGACCCGCGCCCAGTCGAAGTAGACATCTTCGTAGTCCTGACGGAAACCGATGGAGTAGGCATTAATTTTCACACCAAGCTCATTACTGACTTGCTTTGCTGCTTCCTTCCAGCCCTCACCACCAATACCCGTGAGGATCGTGAACGCACCACGTCCAGCTAAGTCGATGGTGGAAATGCGCTCCACCGGGATGGCATTGTTCAGCCAGACATGAGGCAGCCGGCAGCCGGGGTATGTGCCTCGAGTGAGAACTAGATCAGGATCCTGTGCGATTACCTCGGGAGAGTAGAAAGATGTCTTCTCATCCATCGTGTAGATGGCCGAGCTCTGATAGAACTGACCCATTTCGGTGCCGAGTGCGTGGTACTCGTGCTCTGTCTCTTCGATGGCGGCCTGAAGGGCTGCTCGCCTCGCACGGCCCTTTGCAGAGGGAAGTGTCAACTCATGAAGGGCTTGTGTTCGCTGTTCGGGGGTCGGCAGGGTGACCCCAAGAGCTGCCCATACTGGTCCGTGGTGGCGGAATGACTGGTTTGCGCGGGTCACGACGTTGCGAGCAACTGGCTGGCGCTCAGTAGTGTATGTCTCAAGGAGAGAAGGAGATGCATGGCCTATATATCTCCAGTTAGATAGGCTCGCAGAGAAAGTTTATGAAAAGCGAATCGTACTAACCTTTCAGCACATATCCAACCTTCCATGCCAAGTTGTAAGCATCTTGGATGCAAGTGTTTGAGCCAAGACCATTTGAAGGAGGATGTCGATGTAAAGCATCACCAAGGCAGAATCTGCTCGGTTATTAGTACCAGGCACTCAAATATAAGGGAAATTTGGAATCCATACACCCTGTCCTTGGAAAAGCTCCCTGCCACCACATCATTAATGCGCCACTTGGACACGCCCAGAATCTCGGTGTGAATGGAATCATCCCCTATAAACTCCTTAATGCGACCGAGCCATTCTTCATTCGTAGGATCACACTCCAACTCTTTCCCACGCTCTGGTAGAACAATGAACAGCCACTCATCCCACGGCTTAACCATCCTCGCAATGCATGCCCACCCGAAGAGCGGGTGCTCCTGATCGTGTTGCAGTAACCAGTGAAGATTCCCTGTGCGGTACTGCATATAGTTCGATAGGTCGGCCTTGAGGTGGACATTGAACGCTAGACCCTGGTCAGGTCGAACGTCCAGGGGAAGTTCTGCCTGCCGGAAGACTTCACTTCGAGCCCCATCTGCACCAAATAGGTATTTTGAGCGAATCTTGTATTCCACCCCGGTAAGGGTGTCGCAGAGAGTGCTTGTTACACCTTCTTCGTCTTGGGTAAATTCAATGAATGTGGTATCGAAGCGACAACGGAAGCCTTTCAAGGTCGCGTATCGGACGAGGATAGGTTCGAGGATGGATTGGGGGAGATCGACGGGATCGCAAGGGCTGGCGGTCTCATAGTCGCCCTATACGATTTGTCAGGAGTTGTGATACCCTTATTTATATTTGTGCAGAGGCTCAGAACAGACCTTGCGCTTTGGATCGTGGCCCCAGGAGTGAATCCTAGCGTATTCTTCTCCAGCCATGCTATATGCCCATCGCGTATGCATCATATTCATGCCATTGGTAGCAAGACGGAGACACTCTTTATCCAAGCCGATGTCTCGGAGGCATTCTGGGAGAACGTTAGAATGCCTCTTGAATCGCTGATATTGACGCACCCATAGCGGCCATGTTGGTTATATGTGCCCTTGGAGTACCGGCATTTGTGGGACACGAGCTGATCATAATGCCTCGGATTCCTGGACTATGTAAATACGAATGTCATAATTCCCGACTGGGGGAGCCATAGCTTACCGTAAGATGCCAGAAAGCACGCCAATGCTGCCCCAGCTGGGCCAGCTCCGATGATGAGAACATCAGCTGATGTGTTGGGCGCTGGTTTATTATGGCTGTCACCCTTGGTCAAATCTACTATAGTCATCTTAATGAGCCGTGACGATGCAAATGCAACCGGAAAGGAGGAAATAAGGTCAATGATCTATTGAGAATCAAAAGTAACAAGGCGCACGGGAGCAATTTATTTGGAAGACACGAGACTTGTAGGTCATACATAAAGTATTAAGGGAATTCAATATAAATCACTGATGGAGTCCCTGAAATACAAAGTGGTCATAGGTATCGGTTCCATACCGCAGTCACTTCCTAACGATTGATGGAACACCGGGATTTGAACTGATCAAGCGTTGAGCTACAAAGCTAGCGTCTCCCAAAGGGGTGATGATTAACCCGAGCTGCGTGATTAAGATCTTCGCTGACGGTAGCCTTCTAATCGCCCATCTTATCTGATGTGATGGGCACGGCACGTAGGCGAGTCGGCAAATTCATTGAACCGGTGTCCAGAGTCGGCAATTAGCTTTAGAGATCTCTGCCATCTGGTTTGCCTATGTCCAAAGTTGTTCGATTTTATTGTACCGCCCCACCTAATGATGTCATCAGCAGTTAAGGGGTACCCAAAGGGGTGGCTACCATGCAGCAAGTCTCTTGTTGGTACTATTGCGAACATGGGATGAGCAGCAATGAGAAGTTAAAGGCCCTGCTCTCATCCTTCGTCTGAAGTTCACCTCGAAATGTTCACGGAGTTGCTGATAATCTGAACGAATTACGGGATGTTCGATACAAAGATTGGCCTCTTAATTGCGCGTCGTTCTCCTTCTGACCAAGCCTCATTTAATTGGGTACGTGTTTCATATCCTAAGAATTGGTTAGGCCAATCTGACATGAATAAATTTCTAGGCTTTACCCACAAACACTGTGCAACAGTCTATCATAATCCCTCTTCCGCATTTCAATAATCCCCTTCTTCACCACTTAAGAGAGACCGCCATCTTTGATACCGGCCTATTCACCTCCACGAAACACCACACTGCGCCAAGATTCACCTCAGAACAGCTTCCTGGGAGCTGAAAAGCAGGTTGTGCAGAAATAAATTTACTTAATCCTTCATAGTGTACATTTAACGTTGGCAGTTTCCGGTGCAGGGCTATAGAGACTGCAAGCCATACAATGTACACAAAGTAGGAAGCTGGGCTCAGAGCAATGAGCAAGCAAAGTTTGTATAAATGCTTATAGTCGATATTGGAGGCTTCTATTTGAACATTCTCTTGGCAATAGTTTGTGAAGACTAGTTCCTTTCAAAGAGCTTTGATTTCGTATGTAAGATTATGTTGCGAAAACACGGGCAAAATAACTGCTAGACCAAACTTGCAAGGGTTCAGCATCGACGGAAGCGTAGAACCCACCTTCCTTTGCCTCGCGTGATAAATGCAACAATTTATCCGAGATCGTCGTTTCAGCCTCCCATAGAACAGGACAGCTTCTTGATTTGGTAAGGTCTGATACAAGTTTGGTTAAGACAGGGGAAGTCTCCACTGCGAAGCCGTACGAGCAACACCCTAAGACTCCGTAGAATTCCACCAGCACCTACGTACTCGTGCTCCACTTGCACATGAGACCACTCCGGAAGACCCGTTTAAAAGAAGAACGTCGTGGCTGTTAAACTTCAACCCACTCTCCTTTTATTCCCGCACACGGTATCCATTTTTTTATCAGATCTTGGGGAAACCCTCCCTTTCTCCAATGTTTAACTGGAATTAAAATGTTCAGATGGTATATTTTCAATAAAATTGTTATTTATCATAATTCCTAGCAGACTTGTCTCGGGTTTTTAGGGCATTTTTGGCACGTATTATGTTTCAAGGACATCGACCCTATTCTAGAATTCGGTGAAATTCATTCAAGCCGTTTCTCCACACAGTTGCAGACATGCCGGCCGGCAAAGAATGGCACCTATCCACTACGGTTTCCGGACCAAGGAATGATTGGGATCCCTGTGCCTGCATTATTGAAGCAGTTTAATCCGTACATAGCCTTCATATCCGACTATGGTTCAGGGGGTGTCTGGATCTCCTTGATGATATCAGAAATCCTTTTGGTTTGTTGAATGGTGATATCTTACTCAAGTGCAATAGATAGCTCAAATATGGTTGATTTGAACGTTCCGGCTGACCCGTCTTCTGGGGGCCGCCGGGTTGGTTATCAGATCTTCCAGGACAAATTGCCCGCCCCACTAAAGCGCAGCGACTGACTGCCTTTCTTCCGCCATGTTCCTTGATGCATGTGTCGATCCCTCACCGATGAGCCCATTACTTAGACTTTTTCCGATGTCGGGGACACTAAATGTTTTCTGTTGATCCATGTCATTTCGGCGATGCTTTTTATTAGCTGTGGATCTAAGGCTTAACTAAGAAATCGCTGCTATTACTAAATGGCCCAAAGGGTAGACTTGAGCTGATTTGTGATGGATGATTAAGAAAAAACTTACCAATAAAATGTAGAAGTGGGCCGGAGTTAACACTATGTGTGGCAATGGGTGTGTATATATAACTCATCTTTTTCTGTTTTGAGCAAACTATCAGTTTCATTATGCGCAGCCTCGCAGGCCTGGCACTGCTTCCTTTGGCATTGGCCATCCCGCACATTTCTCGCTCATCCGAATTCACTTACGACTATATTGTTGTCGGAGGCGGCACCGGTGGTCTGGTAGTCGCCAATCGTCTCTCTGAGCAGGAAACAACAAGTGTTCTTGTAATTGAAGCTGGCGGCTCGGTGTACAACAACATTAACGTCACCGACACCGGGGGGTATGGAAATGCATTTGGCACTACCATTGACTGGGCGTACCAGACCACGGACCAGGAATATGCTGCAGGAAAGCCACAAATAGTCCGCGCAGGGAAGGCCCTCGGTGGGACATCTACTATCAACGGCATGGTGTATCTCCGAGCCCAAACTGCTCAGATAGATGCATGGGAAGCCATTGGCAACAAGGGATGGAATTGGAATTCCCTCTTTCCCTACTACCGCAAGGGGGAGGATTTCCAAGGTATTCACTATTCCTGGTTGGAGGGTTCTGGAGTCGCTTATGACCCGGCTGATCACGGATACACTGGCCCTCTGAAGGTTGGTTGGAGTTCAACGCAATTGAACGACGGCCTCGCGCAGCAACTGAACGCAACCTATCAAAACATGGTACCCCCGGTTCCATACAACAAGGACCCCAATGGTGGTCAAATGGTCGGATATGCCCTCTACCCGAAAACTGTGGACTCCATTAAGAACATACGCGAGGATGCCGCTCGCGCCTATTACTATCCGTATCAGAACCGCACAAATCTTCACGTGTGGCTTAACACGAATGCCAACAGGCTCACATGGAAAGACGGCGACGCGGCCACTGCAGATGGCGTCGAAGTCACACTGGCCAATGGAACTACCATCGTGGTTAAGGCTTCCCGAGAGGTCATCGTGGCTGCTGGTGCCTTGAAGTCTCCGGTCTTGCTCGAGCTGTCTGGTATCGGAAACCCTGAGTAAGTAAACACACTCTCAAGAAAGCCGAGGGGGCGGCTAGCCAGCTAACGACAGCTAACGAAATTTTACTGCATTCAGTATCCTTTCCAAGTACGGTATCCAGACCAAGGTCAATCTGTCCACAGTCGGCGAAAACCTCCAGGATCAAATGAATAATGGTCTTGTCTACGACTCAATGATCAGCTACTCTAAGTCTGCCGACTATGTCGCATACCCATCTGTGAATCAGCTATTCACCAATGCGTCGGCCATTGGTGCTCAGCTTTACGCTAAGCTGCCAGCTTACGCAGCCCAAGTCGCGTCGGCCAATGGCAACATAACCAAGGCAAGTAATATTGAGCGCTTCTTTAAGATTCAGTGGCATCTTATTTTTAAGTCTCATATCCCGGTCGCGGAGATTCTGCTTGAGCCATCTGGAAACACCTATGATACGGAGTACTGGGGCTCTGTACCCTTCTCCCGTGGTAATGTCCATATTCAGTCTGCCGACCCAACTGCTGCTGCCAGCATTGACCCAAAATACTTCATGCTCGATTTCGATCTCCATGCCCAGATCGAGGCTGCACGTTTTATTCGAAAACTCTTCAAGACTGAGCCTTTTGCCGGAATGGCTGGCGATGAAACTAGTCCCGGTCTTTCTGCCGTTGCGGCCAACGCTGGTGATGAAGGTTGGGCCTCTTTCATCAAAAACAATTGTGAGTGCATTATTACTTCAGCCCCTAGTTTGTGGATATAATGTTCTAATGGGCAAACAAGACCGATCAAACTTCCACCCAATCAGCACAGTTGCTATGATGCCGAAGGAAGTTGGTGGTGTTGTTGACACCTCTTTGAAGGTCTACGGAACCTCGAATGTTCGTGTCGTCGACGCCTCTGTTATGCCCTTCCAAGTCTGCGGCCACCTGCAAAGCACGGTGTATGCAGTTGCTGAGCGTGCTGCAGACATCATCAAAGGTAATATTTAGACGACCGTGGTTCAACTGGCTACTACCCTACAACCAGTCGAGTGATCTTGGTCATTCAGCGACTGAGTTCGATAAACGATCGAGTTGGGTTTATTTTTTCAAATTAAGTGCTATATCAATTAAATTCCATTCGTATATTGAGATCATTGGTAGGACGCCATCATCAAATGTCTCTTAAACCAGACCAATCTCTCGCCCTCTCGATTATATCCTATTCTGATCCGCTTTGGCTCTTCAACCTGAGGAGATAAAAAGATTGAACATATAATGGAATACCAGAGGGTGGTAATTCACAAAGGAGGAATACCTATTGCGCGCTGGTTAGGTTCAAATCCCGAATCAGACTGAAGACCCCCACATAGCTCAGGCTTTGCTTGTCAAGATACCCCAGGAAGAAGAAAAAACACATCTATATTACGGCCGCATTAGCTCCTCGGATTACAAGTATGGAGAAGAACTTTTGATCTTATAAATGGAGGAACGACCATGTCAATCTTACTCAGACTGCCTTCTTCTTCTCCTGCTCCAGCATATATCCGTCACATATCCCGACAATATCTCCACTCATTTGGCGCGCTCTTCATCTTTCACTGACCTGGATTCTTGGAGATGTCCATGGTAAAAGATGGCTGGGCTAGATGTATGTTCTTCAAACCAACTACTTGATTAGAGATCCGGGACATGGAGACTTTCTACTGAACGCAGATCAGAGCAGAGCATCGGAGATGGTGGAGGCTGCATGTAAATAGAAGGGAGGAAAAGAAGGTTATATGGCCGGCAGGCACCGACCCACCCCGGATTACCCCCATAAACAAGCCGATTCCCTATTTCCTGCCGATGAGGAATTGATTAAGCGGCGGTGCGTCGGGCCGATGAGGATTGCGTCGGGATGTGGCCTGTGGCGGTCAACCTGCCGACGGTTACTCCGCTTCCACTGACCTGACCTCATCAGTCATCGCTGGCACAGCTCAATAATTTAAACTAAATATCCCTGGAATTTTACAGCCTTTACCACTTCCTTGGTATCATCTCATTCGCTTCCTGCAATCATGACCGACAATAACCAGGTACCGGGCTCCGACATCAAGCCCTGGGCCCGCCCAGAAGCCCAAGCCTACTGCTTCATCAAGGCCAACGTTGTTGATGTGGAAGCGGGAAGAATCTTGGAAAACGCCACGGTTATCACGCGTCAAGGGAAAATCAATCTAGTTGCGTCCTGTTCTCCAGAGCATCTCCCAACTGACCTTACGATCATTGATTGTGAGGGACGCTATCTTTGCCCTGGTCTGTTTGATGCCCATGTCCATCTATGTGCTGTCCCTGGATTTGCAGACCTTTCAAAAGCTTTTGGAAACCCAAATGATGTCCACTTGCTTCGCCAGCCCTACACGGCGGCCCAAATGCTGCACCGTGGATTCACCAGTATTCGCGACTGCGGTGGCGCGCAACTCGCGTTAAAAGAAGCTATTGAAGATGGTGTCTTTCCCGGACCTCGCATTTTTATCTCTGGTCATGCACTGTCTCAATTTGGTGGCCACGGTGATCTCCGTGGGTCGCATGAGCCCACCGAGTGCTGCGGTGGCACTCACAGCAACAACCATTTAGGTCGACTTTGCAACGGCGTACCGGAATGTATGGCTGCTGTGCGCGAGGAAATCCGCTGCGGTGCTGATTTCATCAAAATCATGGGCTCTGGTGGCGTGGCATCTCCCACTGATAAGCTAGAGCACCTCCAGTTCACATCTGCCGAAATTCAGGCAATGGTGGAGTGTGCTTACAACGCCGGAACTTTCGTCACTGCTCATGCATATACGATCAAAGCGATGAGGCACTGTATCGATAACGGCGTGAAAGGGATAGAGCACGGAAATTTTATCGACCCTCCAACTGCGCAGTTAATGGCGGAGAAAGGTATTTATCTCACGCCCACGCTCATCGCCTATGCCCAAATGGCATCGGACCGCTGGAAGGGGTATTTGCCCCAAGAGTCCCAGGCGAAGAACTCCCAAGTTCTGAAGTCCGGCCTTGAAGCTCTCAGAATTGCTTCGGATGCGGGTGTTACGATGTGTTATGGCTCTGACTTGCTTGGTCCGCTGGGTTCTGCTCAAACACAGGAGTTCACCCTCCGGTCGCAGGTCTTGACGCCGCTTGAGGTCTTGCGCAGTGCAACAGTTAACCCAGCAAAAATGATGGGTTGGGAGAATTCAATCGGGCAGGTAAAGGAAGGATTCCAAGCGGATATAGTCGTTTTGAGTCAAAACCCTCTCGACGATGTGACTATTTTTGATCGCCCTGAAAACCACGTGCTTGGTGTGATGAAAGATGGGCGCGTATACAAAAGTCGCTGGAGTGCACTACCCGAAGACTCGGAAATCCCAGTGAGGGTAAAGTATAACTGAATGTCGTAGCCCGCAACGGGCTGGGGGGGGGGGGGGGGGGGGGGGGGGGGTCAAATATATTACAATCCTTGACTCGAATAATATCATTATAGGAAACTACATTCAACTTTCTAGGCAGAATATGGTTAGCATTATCTTAAATTGGTCGGTCAGTCCGGAAAAGCTTCAGGGAATCGAGACCAGCCAGACCCATCAATAACGTCTGTTCATCGCTGTGAAGTGCCGAGGATAGATCATGTATTGTGGCATCAAGTACTTAGTGACCATTTGCCTCCCTAGCGGGGTGTGAGGGTAATAGGTACCCTAGGCGATAGAAATTTAGTAACCTTAGAAAGCATCGGGAGCTACTGGAACTGGCATTTTCGTCTGTCTTTTGCGTCTACACGTTAGCCCCACTGAGCCGGCTTTGCTTCAGTGTCGGGAATGGACTGAGTTCAATCAGATCATGTAGGTCAGTAGGCCAATTGATTCCGTGGGACTGTCAGCTTAGCGCGATATGTAGTGGACCAAAAGTAGCGGAAATTGTGAGGAACACTACGCCCGTGGTATCACTGCTGAACAGGGAATTCATTGCTGCTTCAAGTATTTAGGCCGCCAACTTTCTTTACTCATTATTTTTGATGCTTGTGCTCTGCACACAGGGTGAAGGCAACTTTTGTACTCCGTACCTTCCGGACCTCATCTTAGCGGAGAAGAACTTAGAAAGGCGAGGGTGTCAGTGTGGTTTCGAGCTCGAGGACTACCATAACTACAACTATAATAGGCTGTCACGAAGGCAAGAAAAGGCTTTTGGGTATGGAAATCGGTTCCATAATGCTAGTTCTCGAAGCTGTAACAAACCGCATAAGCACCTGTGGCAAGAAATGAAAATCCCCAGAATGATACACACAACCCCGCATGTGGAAAGCCAGGTATAAGATGAGAATCCCTAAGACCGAGACAGAAAAGAAAGCCAAGCCCAGAGAAGCGAAGAAAACAAAATAAACAAGCTTGATATGTTCGAAGTATACCCGCGAGACGCGAAATCTCACATTTGCATCCGCTCATCCCCATCGGCGTCACTAGCACCGAGGGCACCACCGGGTATCCGTCCCTCATTCAATTCCTTCTCTAGTCGCGTGATCTCCTGCAGACTCTTCGCCTCGCGAATCATCCTCTCCACGCGCTTTCTCTCGGCATCGGTAAGTTTTACGCGGATGGCCTTCTCAGTTGGGCGGTCTGCGGCGGCGGCACTGGAATCGAACGTCCGGGACTTGATGCCCATGATCTTAGAGGCGAGGACAGAGGGCTGCTCCACGGTGCCGAAGAGCTCCTTCGCCTTTTCACGCTCCACGTCCTTAACCTTCTGGTAGTCGAGGAATCGCACAGACGGTGCCAGCCAGATAACCCAGTACCGATAGTTCTAGAGGCATTTGTTAGATAATCAGACATTTCCAGCGCACGACTTGCTCAAGACCAAGGGAAACACCTACTTCCTTCCGTGTGATAGGGTTCTCCATCAGAATCAAATGTGTGAGTTTGGGAAGAGAGCGCAGCGGATCAAGATCAGCAAGTTCAGACAGATTATTCGAGGTCAAAACCAGTGTCGACAGAGACGGAAGGGACGACCCCAGATTCGGTTGGATGTGATTAATTCGATTGCGAGCCAGGAGAAGGGTATGAAGGCGAGGGAAGAATGGAAAGTTCCCGAGGGAAGAGAGGTCGTTGTCCGTCAAGTCAATTGCATCTTGGTCCTGCGAGGTACTCACTTAGCAAACAGCTTATGACAGCCCCCTAAGCCGGCTATTACGCTCGAACGCGTGAAGCAGAAAGAGCCGCAAGCAGGTCCAGGGAAACGCAGCACTTACCTTGGCAATACCCAAGTTCTCAATTGTGGGGATCTTGTGCCCTACACGCGACGCGAAAAGACGATATCAATCCAGCTCTTATTTCAAGATGCAGTACCTGTTCTTTTCAGGCAGGTGTGTATAAGTCAAACGCACCTCGGAGATCCAGCTCACGATCTTTGAGCGGATTTATGTATGAGAGGGAACTCTGGATGAGCTCGACGGTCAAGCGCATGGCGGCGGTGGCTGCGGTCGACGTTCAAGAGGTAGGAGCGGGTCCGGGTAAACGAGACTATCGAGAGGGCATAGGCAGAAGTTGAGAAAAATCAATGCAATAAAGCAACAAGTCAAGACAAAGCTGCAATGGACGAGGGTAGACCTATCGCAGTTTCTCCAGTGAGCACCTCCAACCGCAGCCCTTTCTGCCGGGCGGTGTGAATTTCGGATGCTCCCATATCACGTGATATTCGTATCGCTGCCCATTCAGGCAAGTAGATATTTATACTTATTTGAAATTGTCCAAAAAGCAGTGCTTACTTGTTTGAAGATTTTATTCAGATATTCAGAGTATGAGCAAGTTATTAGTCTATATTCATTAGAAACATTCACAGCAGAGTGCTAGTGATACACTGCCATTACATCGAATTCGCCCGGGTCAGGGCGAAAGCACCGAAACAAACAGTACTCCAGAGCAACCAAGAACCGGACGCACGAGCCGCTCACAACACAGCAACGCCCTGGACAGGGAATATACGGGGAAGGGAAGAAAAAAAGAGGCCAAAACAGTGCCAAGTTGAGCGGCACACGCATTCCCAAAAGTCAACTCCAGTTTGAAAATGCGATGCAGGAGGGAAGGGGGGAAAGAACATATCGAAACTCGAAAAGCAGCTAGGTAAGGTTCAGAATGCATCAGTCACATTAGTCATCGGTGAGGGGAGTCATGCTTGGTGATTTTTGATGGTGAGAGCGTGTGGGACTGCCAGCTCTGGACCGACGGCCATTAGTAGTGGGCCCTAACGCGATGGGAGCCAGATGGTCCCTGCTTTCGGTCCTGACCACCAAGCCTGCACGATCCATGGCAATTCCCGAACCGCCGCTGATCCCCAAACCAATGGTGCCCGATGAACTGTTATCGAAGGTATATTTCAAGCCGGGAGGGTTGCTATTGCTACCCCAACTGGAGGCTCGCTGCGGTGGCCGCATACCAATCGAGTCGGCCTCCGAAGGACGGCCACCATCCACGTCACTGCCGTCGGAGTCGGTCAAACCGAGTTCAAAATCCTGCGCGCCCTCTTCCATGACGCGCTCGTAAGAAGGAGCATTGCGGTTCAGGAAAGGCAGCATAGCTGAAATTCCTTTGCGCTTCTTCGGGTGATTGGGATGAGATGGTCCACCACGGCGAAGCAGGTTGTTGATCTGCAGGTAGACCCGTGACCGACGGTTACGGCCACACAGGAAGAAGCACGCCAGCACAACGATGAACAGAAACAAGAGGATGCCCGGAATGCGGCGGGGGAGTCTCCGTCGAACAGCGCATCATGCCAGTGTTCGCTGTGGAAACCTTCCGTATCCGGGAGCAGTTCCACACTGGGATACTGGAAGTCAGGAGGTACACCAGGGACATTGCTGCCAAAACCAACAGGCAAAGCCTCCACTTCCGCAGGGACCTGCGAAGAAGCGTAAAGAACAATCTTGCCCAACGTCCAGCTCACTTCAGTCGAGTCGATCTTGTTTACAGGTTGGAACGCATCCAGATAGCCCTTCTCCTTGCCGTGGGCCAGGACTTCCTTGGTTCCATTGTGAAGCGAACCAGATGTGTCTTCCAGACCAACCCGAGGCACTCCGATACCATCGTGCAACATATTGATGATCCACGATGCCTTGAAGCACACCTCGTTGGCCTTTTGTTGGTCGACTTTTTTGCCCCATTTGTACTCATGAATGCCATCTTCAATCGAGGCCCAATCCTGCGAACAAAAGATCTTGACCCATTCCTGATATGTGTTGAAGTCGTAGGCCTTATCCTTGTATCCAATTTCAAAGATTTCGTGAGTCGTGTGCCAGTACTCGCTGATGCCGATGAAGTGGTTCACATCAAAGTCGATGGCCGGAACATGGATGCCATGGAGAAGACAAGGATAATCCGAGCAGGGAGCATCCTTGTCCAGCAAGGGGAAAGTCTGACGCAGACACTCGTCAAACTGACCCGTACCCAACAAAGTAGGCCTCGCAGTGCTAACAGGAGCAATATCCTTTCCGTCCAAGGTAGTACGCAAACCCGCTGGTAGACAGGGGTCTGGCAGCTCTTGGACCTCGGGGCCCGCCGCAGCCTGCAATGCCTCCACATACCGACGTCGAGCTTCGTTTACACCAAATTCCAGCCATGAAGTGACAAAGACTCGGTGTTCCTGAACAGAGCCATCGATATTCCGTAGACGAAGAAGGGTTAAGTCATTGGCGTGCTTCTCCGTTTCCGTGGCGTTTGGCGCGAACGCAATCTGAGCCGATGCACCTCCCATATCCAAGAAGCCGTAGGTGTGGTGTCCTTTGCCATGGTCGTGTTTCTCTGGCGCGTCGAAGGTTTCCATGAGATAGTTGGTCGCAATCCATCCATACAGTCCTTCCGTCACGCCCGGAATCACCTGGATATGAACGCCGCAATCGGGGAGTAGAAAATCGGAATTCGCTCGAGCATAGCTGCATATCTGATCGAGAAGAAATTGTCGCTCAAGATTTCCCAGGAGTCTCATGCCCGCCGTCGCGAGGAGGAATATCGGGGTGTCCCTGGCATCCTCCAGAGGAACAATGCTCTTCGCATGGTCCAAGAGCTCGGCCAGATGCTCGGATCCGACGGACTCGGGTCGATCGGCGAAGGAAGAAACACCTGGAGACAGGCGCAGAGTCAGTACATGTCGCAATGGTTGTCGCTTTTCACGGCGGTGCTCACCGGGATGAATCTTCTTCACCCATTCCTCCTTAGTTTTGATCTCAGGAAGCGATTTCAAGTCATTCACATCGCCCTTCTTGCGAGCAGCCGCATTGCGCAACCAACGATAAACGTGGACACGGGTCCCCTATGCGATTGCAGATCAGTGGCCGAAACGGAGAGGCGAGAGTCAGGGGGGTTAAATTGGATTCGACGTACAGAAGATCCAGCGTCCAGGACGACGCCATAACGCCCTATAGCGACCAAAGTTAGTAAATCGAAAGAACTCCTGAAATCGAAGTGAGACATGGGGCACGTACACTTGCCCATTTGGACTCAAGACTATCCGCAGAGCATGACCAGCCGGCGAGAAGACAGGAGCGAATGGAGAAGAGAGACGAGAATGGCCTCCTCAAGAGCGCAAACCGAGTGGGGTCGAAGGTAGGTGAACGAGTGACAGGAAGGCAGGCTTCGAGAGAGGAAAGAACGGAGGTGGCAAGGCTAAATGGCTGGAGGGTCTGGAGAGATAAGGAGTCTTGGAGACTCTCAAAACGGCGACGCGACAGCGGAAGGCAAATACAATACGTGACGGGGGGGCGAGACCGCCCTGGCTAATTGCTCGCCGCTGAGGCGAGCGCCTGGCTGGTTAAGCCGTGTGCCGCATGGGGCAAGCTACAATACGGAGACGCTGCATGACTGTAATTTTACCTCTGATCCTGGGGCCATCCCCCCATGTCATTTTCTGGGACTAGCCCTGCAACTGCCTTGTTACTCCGTACGTCCCTTTCCACGTTCAAGGCCCCCACTCTGTTTAGTGCTTGGCTGTGGTCCAGTACTCCACGGTGCAGACTCCACGGCACTTGGAACATTTGCGACACTTCCTCGTTGCCTTTCCTCTGTTAGTCTTGACTCCGTCCTCTTCCCTTCGAATTGGCGAATTTCGCCGATATCTATTCCATGGAGTCGTCACCCCGGAATGCAGTCCCCGTGGCGTTGCATTCCGTTGCATCTATGGGAAATCGCACAACCACCCCTGCTCGGGTTGATCCTGCCCTCCCACAGGGACGCCGCAACCCGCGCTAAGCCAGTTAGCAAGGGTTTGGGGTCACCACGGTGCGTCAGTATACGTCAGCTCATACCTTCCCCGGGCCGATGGGGCCGACCACCCTACGACGCCCTGCCTCCTGATACGTCACGACTGCAAGACAGACGGCTTGGCTCTCTCTGCATCGTCTGTATACCGCGGGGCCGCTTAGCTGAAAACTCGTCCAACCTGGACAGATCAGAAGATCAGGACACAGAAAAGATGATGCGCGGTAACTTCTGGGTCGACCGGTACTCGAGTTTGGGCAAATTCCCGACCACTGGGCCAGACCGTCCAGCACTGCTTGTGTTCATCTTCATTATGAATATTGTTATGATTGCCACGGGAATCATTTTCAGGGTCTCGGGGCCTGGTGATCTTCGGTTGGCCACGCAAACCCCACCTTTCAGCCTCTAAATACATTCGATGCGAGCGCATCCTTGGAAAGATGATTGTCGGGATCACTTTGCATTTCTACCGTTCTGGGAAATGACACGGTACACGGTCCTCAATTTGCTCCCACCACCAGAACCCCAGGACTTTTTTTTGCTTTTTTGGTTTTTACATCTTCAGGTCCTTAACCCCCGCTGAGACACCACTAGACTCATTGACCACACTCGCCTGGGCTGGGGTGGACGACGACGACACAAAGAGATCGTCGAGAATGGTCCGCTCGCCGATCTGCTCGTCGACGAATTGCGCCCGGTCCAGGCCCACCATCTCTGCCTCCTCATGAACCCGCAAGTGCATGCCGGGAATCCATTTCAAAAGATATAGCAAAACGCAGGACACGGTGAATGAGTATACAGAGATCGCACACACCTCCGCCAATTGCTTTCCGACCTGCATTCCGTTGCCGTCGATGCCACCGGCGGCTTCGCTCACACCATCGAGCGCTGCGACCGACTGCGACGCAAAGATTCCCGTCAGAAAAGCCCCAACCATACCTCCGATCCCGTGCAGCTTGAACACGTCCATCCCTTCATCGATATGTAGCCAATTGTTGACATTCTGGAGAAGCGCGCACACGATACTGGTGAGGAATCCAATGCACGCTGCGAGCCACACGGAGACAAAGCCGGCGGCTGGGGTAATTCCCACCAATCCGGCAATCGCTCCCTGGCAGGCGCCTACTACCGAGAATTTTCCACGATTCTTGATCGCGTCCACTAATACCCAGCCAAGGACACCTGTGCAAGCCGCCGTATTGGTGTTGAATGCTGCTAGCATAGCTCTTACACTCGCATTAAGGGCCGAACCTCCCTATCGAAACTCAAAAGTTAGACAAGCGTAGTCGGTTGAAATCATAGCGGATACGTACGTTGAACCCAAACCATCCGAACCAAATCAATGTTGTCCCAAGAAAGACAAGCGTTGTATTGTGAGGCTTTCCATGTGAGGGCTCATCCATGTGCTTTCGCTTCCCCAGAACCAGAGCGTAGGCCAGTGCAGACCAGCCAGATGCGATGTGGACAGGCCCTCCGCCAGCGAAATCAAGGGCGGGCAGATTGTACAACCATCCATTGCTGTTCCAAGTCCAGCAGGCCACGGGACAATAAACCACAGTCGCCCAGAAGAAGCTGAAGACCAGCGATGGAAGCATGTTTCCTCGTTCGAATGCTCCGCCAACAACGATCATTACCTGAAAGCATCATTAAGTCCTTGATTTCCAGCATGGCATGCGATATCCACAGGCTCACTTACCGTGCACGCGCAGAACAGAAGCTGGTAAAAGCAGAACACAATCTCCGGCAGAACCGCCGAGCCTGGCGATGGAGCAGCCAGCACATTCTTCAAGCCAAAGTTCGTCAAGGTTCCAATGAAAGGACCGGCATCGCGGGCATATGCCAGCGAATAGCCCCAGAATATCCATTGAAAGGTTGTCCTAGCCTTGGATGTTAGCGAAACGGCCAGCTATCGCATTTCCCCCAAGGTAATCATACACAGCTACAATCATGAGCGATTGGAAAAGTAAAGCGAGTGCGGACTTCCTTCGAGCCAGGCCGCTGTAGAACAGACCAATGCCGGGGATAATCAACCAGACAATGAAGCCGCAGAAAACGATATAAGTATAGTTCCATTCAAACCCTACGTATTGGGCGTTCACGTCCACTTTCAAGGGATCTCCACCATTGGGGATGGAGGCATTGTATACAGGCTATGCACGCCAGGTTAATGCCTTGACTTGAACACTTGTGGACGGGTGATATACATACAGCATCGGCCATGGCCGGTCCCAGTTTATGAGGTTAACGACGGGTTTGAATGAGTATGATTTTGGAACGTAACACTAGGCGAGCAGTATCCCGATAGGCTTAAATGCAATCTTCGTGCAGGAAATATTGAATGACAGCAAACGACCCATAACCTACCTAGAACCAAGGGGAAGATATACCTGACCCCGAGGAACTCCCCGGTCTCGATTCATGACAATCCACCATCTATTACTCAATCTCCTTATCTACCGTCTGACAGCTAAGACTCCACACTCGCTTTCTTCAAACTGAAATAAGGGCTCCAGGTGCCGATTTGAGGGAACTCAATCAAAACTGCGTCAGGTTTTCATATTGCAACCTTCGTGTTGCCGATAAAGGGGGGTTAGTGTTGATAAGGATGCGATTAATCAAGCGTTGTCAGATAAGGCCGTCCAACCACAGTTCCCCATTTTGACAACCCCGGATCTGACAACCACCTGGGGTTTAGGCTCTCGTTATCAACACCTATCTTATCATAATAAAATTCTTGGCGGCGGGCTTGGTAGGTTTCCTAACAAGCTCGTATCAGTGAGCTCTTGGCATTTGAAGTTGCGAATTTGAGGAGACTAAGATTACGATAGGAGACTCTGTTTGACGGAAATGCACATAGGGGGAGTACATACTCCGTAGTCTGTGGTTCTAAGAAAATGGGGAACATGGCCACGCCTAGAGCTACCATATGAGGTTTATTTACCGAGTAAAAAAATGCTCCAATAAGGGAAATGACATATCCAGGCCCTTTCCTGCCCTTCAGGTGTCCTCTGAAAAGTTCAAAAGCCTTTCTTGGAAGCTATATATACCCGACTTTAGATCAATATTAACGATAGCGGCAAATTCCCCCAATCGTCGATACCTACCAAGGGGAGGCCATGAAGGGTTTGGCGGTTCGTGCTTTGAAAGGTCGCTGCCAGATCGACGCTATCTGAGGAACAGGACCCCTTCATGGAATAGTTTTGACCCACCACAACCTTATAAAGATCGGAATCTAGGAATTCCCTGCATAAGGACCACCCTGTCAATCACAAGCTAATATAATTTAGCTGTTTTGTTGCTTAGTCCCATTGGTCCCTGGTCATACCCCTAAACTTCGCCACTACCCCGACCACGAATTGCCGATGGCATTGCCGACTACCACAGATGATTGAACTAACCAATCCCCAACGATCATGACTGCCCATGGCCCTATAGGAGAGGCTTACTGGATACTCTTTGCTAGTGTCGACTTTCTGGGTATCTAGGGTGCCCAAGCTTCAGCCTCGGTCATGGAGACTTTGGGATATGTAACGCCATCAAAAGCACTACGCCCCATAGAGACAACCGAGCGCGAATGATGAGGTTCGCCGAAGCGATGTCTATACTCCGCTTGAGGGATCTGGTGTGAACAAGACCGATCCATATAGATATCGTCCCCTCAACGCTCTCTACAGGTTTGTAGATGACTACCCGCTGTCCTCGCGGTACATGTACAGCGGTTTCTCCATTGACCCCAACTGTACTCTCAACTGGCATCTTCATATATGTTCTTAAACCCCATTAGATACTGGGGCTATGGGTTGTACTAATACAGGCTACCAGTTTCAAACTGACGGTGACTTCCATCTGGCTATTGACACCAGCTTCTGCTACCAGCACGATATTCGCTTCAAGTCACAGACCGCCCAGCGCGTAACATTGGCTATACAGGTTTGACTACGGGCCTTGCCGTAAATGTTGAGCTGCAGAGATCCAAGGAAGTGACTCGTAAGATCCGGTGTACGCCGAGTATCAGGGCAGCTACAAGGCTTTCGGAAGTGGACTCTTCAGGGTCTCTGTGCTACGCCCAAGATTGATTAGTATGATGAATATGGCAGAACCGTGATGCCTGCTCGCTTCGGCTATGACAGCACCATGCAATCATATCGCGTCTACCGCTACCCCTGGGTTCGTGGGCCATCTACCAAGCCTGAGGCCGTGGGCGGCGTTAATTATGGCACAAGATCCGAGCTCGGTACTGTTGAACAGGGCTGTTGAGTACTAGTTTAGTGGTGTGATCCCCGCATCGACCTAATCCAGATACGTATACAATGCGGGCAACGTCTGAAATCGATTAGAAGATAAGCACGACTCATCAAAATTTGAATTTATGTATGTACAAGAAGTCGAACCGAGAGCGGCTGACTGAGCAATGGAGGGGTATTGTAATATTAACTGAAAAGAGACCGTCGTGTTCGTATAAGCCGGGTCAAAAGATAGCAGAACCAAAGCAGGTGGGCATATGTGAATACGTTCATAGAATTGCCGGCCTTAAAGCTTCGACTCGGTGCCGATGGCCTTGCGACGCATCTGCCGAGAAGATACATCAGCAGGCGCTGGGGTTGCAGCATTGAGGAAAAGTTGCCGCCCAACGATGTCCGACATAGTTAAGACACGCGAGGAGACTGTGGCACCATCACGGCGGTTTTTGCTAGATGCAATATTAGCTCAAATCCACAAATCGAGTACTTTATTAAATATTACTTACCCTTCACGGCGTGACTGAGCAATCAACTCTGTGAAATCCCATAAACGCCCACGAGGAAGCACTTTGCCAGTTTTGGGATCCCTCTCTGGAGTCCACTCTGGGGCGAGTCTCAGAGATGGTCCAGCCCGAGAGTCCTTGTCCTTAGCAACGAGAATAATTCCCTCCTCCTCGAAGCGCTGATAAGAGTTCTTGAGGGTTTCCTTATTGACAGCTTCGAAATAGGAAAGATCTCCCTGGTAATATAGAGTTTTGCCAAGCTGCCCCAAGAAATTAGCATTCCACGGCATGAGAGGATATGTGCGATTGGAGACCGGAGACTTACCAGTTGGGCACTGTCTTGAGCCTTTTTGTTGTCTATCCAGATATTCTGCGGACCATCTAGGGGAGGTGTGAGTCCGACAAGAGACACAGCACCAAGCCATGAGGCTTCAATGAAAGGCCAGATCAAGAAGCAATAGAAATCATAGTTCTCTCGGCCACATGTACGTTCAGCGTCACTCAGTTCCACATACTGCGGAACACCAGAGCTGTCACGGGTGATGCTGATCACATCATCTGTCTCTAGACTGTGCAGGGTATTTTCCATGTTGGTGACTAAGCCCTCGGGAGGGAAGATGAATTCACCACGGAAAAGCTGAAGATTATTAGCTAAGAACTGTAGAGGTATCGCAGCTGGACGGGCATACCTGAGAAAGGAACGCGACCTGGTTCTTCAAAGCTTCGAAGGTGATCCGCTGGTTAGTGGGCCCGCCACCTTGCTTGATTTTCGTATACATCGCAACAGAAACCAATGCTTCGGTAATGAAGAGATGAATGAGCATGTTGCGATAGAATGACAGCTGGAACCGATCCACGGCGTAGTAGGTAGGCTCCACTAATCCGGATATCACACCAACTAGCTTTGGTCCCAGCACGTCAAGTGCACGCTCAACAACCACTTCTGTCGGGGAGCGGTAGAAGTGAGCAACCCGACCACCCTTGGCTCGTACGCGATCACAGAGCCAATCTAATCGCCGCACCAATTCACCCTTTCCAACACCACGGCCACGGAGTGTCAAAAGCACAGTTCCGACAAGCGCGGGTGGCATCATCACAGATACATCGTTGATTTCGGATAGAACGCGATATCCCAAAGATCTGAGTATCCGGCCCCGTTCGGCCTGCGCAAGCTTCTGGCCGCTGCCTATGCTAGGGAGATTGAGACGAGAAAGCTGCTGAGTGAGGAATTCTCGCAAACTCCATGGTTCATGGAACCGAACATCAACTCGCCCCAATTTCAGGGATAGTACTGAAGAGGATGACAGGAGATCTGCCAAGTTCTCCTTCTGTTTAGGTTGACCTAGAAGTTCGCTAATATAGGATCTGTTCCAAAGTCAGCATCTAAGTTGAGAAAAAAAGGGTTGTGCGCTAATATTCATACTCAGTCTCGATAACCTTGTCGTATTGTGTGCTGACGGGACAAATAATGGTGTCTTCAACCCGACCGGACAATACACTTTCAACTATGAAATTCAGAATTCCGAACTTGGGAGAAAGTAGTTTTCCAGTCCGGGACCGACCGCCCTCAATGAAGCATTCAAAATTGAACCCTTGCTGAAGGAGGGTGTCGATATAGGCCTGCACGACTGTATGATACAGGGGATCGTTCCCGAAGCTGCGTCGAATCCACATAGCACCTATGTATATCAGTATAACATGTTGGAAACGGCGTGGTGCAGGCTCTCTACTAACCTGCATGCTGTAAAAATGGGCCAAGCAGCGGAATGTTCAAATTGTCACCCGCAACAACAACTGGGAGACCAATTCCCAGACGGTAGCAAATGAGTTGCAAAGACACATAGTCCACATGCGATTTGTGGCAGGGTAAGAACACAATTGACTGCTTGTTCTTCGCAGCAGTCTCTGCTACAGACCGTAGACGCAGAACCTCCTCACTGGACACGTGAATACCTTGGTGGTAGGCACGGGTTAAAAGTTGCGTGCACAAGTAGTATGCGCCTCGAATGAATGTCTTGCTCTCCATCTTGCAGATCATATTATCCATCATAGTGTCCACCACCTCTTTAAGACTGCTTTCGATCTCATGTCGGCGCCGAGCTCGCTTCTCGTCCAAGTTTGCGCCTTCTTTAATCGCAACCAGACCTTCCTTCTCTTCCACTCCAAGGCGGGTACTGGCCAGTTCCCTGACTTTGTCCTGTAGCATGGGACTGGATAGGATAGAGGACTTCATCCTCTCTCCAAATCCCGGATAGAAGACAGGCTGCCCGATAACATCTTCGTATGCGCGCCAGCCTGTTCCAGACATGTACAAGCTCACTTCGCGGAGGAACTCGAGGGGGTTTGCGCGGAATCGCGCCATATGGCGGACGAGGTTTCGTTCGGTGATAGGATCATCTTGCGCATCGGGGCCGCCCGTGAAGCCAGACGGATGGATTGTTACCTGGTTGCCGACAATCTCCAGGTCCGGAGCCGATTGCTCATCGCTGATGGCCGATTTTGGGGGAGGCATGCTGGCTGTAGTAGCGTAGGAGTGGGGCAACGGCCTTCGGGATTTAGCTATCAGGTCATAGGTCGGAGAGCTGGGCCATTGACAGATATGAAACGGTGAAAAGGTCTGGTAGATCCCTGGAGAGAAGAGAGTAAAAGCGGGACAGGGCCATAGCTCCTAATCCCAACAAAACGGGTGATCGTCCCCGGACGTCTTGACGGAATCACGGGGTTTCCCCCGGACTCTCCCAGCCGAGGTGTAAGTCACGTGGTATCAACCAGGCAATTCTTGCGTCCCCGCTTGGCGCGAACGTTGAAGCTAGTGACTCCAAATAGTACAATAATTGGCCCCATCTCGACCACCATGTCCCGCTTGGTCAACAGAGTGAAGTCCTTCTCTAGTAAGTTCCAATTGCACCATTCGGGCTTGCTCCAAGCTTACCACTTCTCCTTCGCTTTTTAGCCGCGGCTTCATCGCTGCTTGCCGACGCCTCGGCCGCCGCCTCACGGTCGGCCCGGCCGCGGGCCTCCTTCCAAGTCTTCCGTGACGTCCCCGAACTTCGCCAACTGCGTCGGCAATTATTTAAAAATGATCGCACCATGGGTCTCGTGCCCACGATGGGTGCTCTTCATGAAGGCCATCTATCATTGATTCGAGAGGCCGCCCGGGAGAACACCGACGTCTTCGTGAGCATCTACGTCAACCCGACTCAATTCGGCGTCAATGAAGACCTCTCGAGCTATCCTCGCACCTGGGACAGTGATGTGGAGAAACTGGAGAAGCTCAATGAAGAGCTAGGTAGCTTGGGTGCAGGGACGGGACGAATTACCGCGATTTTCGCCCCGACCTCAAAGATCATGTACCCTACCCTGCCACCTTCGTCTGAAATCGACGGATACGGCTCCTTTGTCACAATTACCCCCCTTGCCACCAAGCTTGAAGGCGGTTCTCGCCCGGTCTTCTTCCGAGGCGTGGCGACTGTTTGCATGAAGCTTTTCAATGCGACATCCCCCGATCGCGTCTACTTTGGTCAAAAAGATGTGCAACAGACTGTGATTATCAAGCGGATGGTCAAGGATTTCCTCGTCGGCACTGAGGTTCGAATTGTGGCAACGGCTCGCGAAGCAGATGGGCTGGCCCTGAGCTCCCGCAATGTCTATCTTGGTGCTCGGAGACGTACTGTGGGACTCACCCTCTACGAAGCCCTAAGTGCCGCAGAAGAAGCATACAAAGCGGGCAAATCTTCTCGCGATGATATCCTGGGGGCTGCTCGCAGTGTGGCTGAGCGTGTGTTGTCCGAGCAACAAACACTCTCTCCATCGGAGAGGGCGCTCTACGAGATTGACTATATCTCCCTGGCCGACCCCGAGACTTTAGACGAGCTAGATCTCGTCGATCCTAACAGGGGGGCAGTCTTGAGTACGGCTTTCAAGATGGCACCTCTGGAGGAGACCAAGTCTGGGGAGGATTGCGGCTTGGGAGATGGCAAGGTTCCCGTACGATTGATTGACAACATAATCCTTCAGCCTCAGGCTTAGGTTAGGGCGATGTCAGCCATCATATCCCTGTAAACATACATTCCCTCCGCATTTAGGGTCAAAAGCACCCAAGATATAGACTAATTACGACTTGATTTGATGTTTATTTGGTGTTGCTCTAAAACGGCAAGTAGGGCATGTCTGTAGGGCTCGGGCCGAAAAAATTCCTGACTGCGGGTCTTGGCGCCGGAGGAAAAAAAAGTCTCGACCGCAAAGCTCTGTCCCCTAGAGCAAGTTCTCACGATTTTTTGGTTACTTCGAATTTCACCCGCTCTCCGGGAAATTTGTTATTCGCCATGGCTGAAGATGGAATGCTTTTGAATTTCGCCATCAGCGATTCCGTGATCAAGCCGGAGGCCAAGTTCAAAGGAGGGACATGGCGGGACCGGCTCTCAGCGAAAAAGCGCGCTCAGCACCGACCCCAGCCTGGGGATGGCAGCAAACAGAACAACGAATCGAAGAACCCGAATAAAATCGCGATCCCCGGGACAAGGCCGACAAAGCGACAAAAAACTACTGAATCTCGCGAGTTCCCAGACAGTGGCGATCACGACCGACGGTCGCGGTCGCAGCAACATCCCCGCCACTTTGTGTCGTCTCTCTTTACCAGCAATCCCGAATCGCAACACACTGAGGAACCCAAGAATGATGAGCCGATGGAGGATGCGAAACCGACCAATGCTCCCCTGATTGACGGGATTGATACGTTTACGAACCTGGGCTTGTCACCGAACTTGGCTGCGCACCTGCTCACCAAATTGGAACTGAAGGCACCGACAGCGATCCAGAAAGCCTCGATCACACAACTGTTGAAAGAGCAAAGCGATGCCTTTATTCAGGCCGAGACTGGATCAGGCAAGACATTGGCCTACCTTCTCCCGCTAGTAGACCGGATCATGGCTCTCTCAAAAGCAACGAAAGAGGCGGGTGTGCACCGTGACAGCGGATTATTTGCAATTGTTCTGGCTCCAACCCGTGAGTTGTGCAAGCAGATCTCCGTTGTGCTGGAGAATCTTCTCCGGTGCGCGAACTGGCTCGTCGGTGGTACAGTCATTGGTGGAGAGAAGAAAAAGTCAGAAAAAGCACGTCTGAGGAAAGGATTGAATATCCTTGTGGCCACCCCGGGTCGCTTGGTGGATCATTTAGACAACACACAGGTGCTAGATGTCAGCAACGTTCGATGGCTAGTTTTGGATGAAGGTGATCGCTTGATGGATATGGGTTTTGAGGAGGAACTGCAAGGCATTGTGAAGAAGCTTGACGCGAGACAACGACCGAGCCGGGTTCCCGGTGTGCCAACACGGAGGACGACAATCCTGTGTTCCGCTACATTGAAGATGAATGTGCAACGTCTGGGAGAGATCAGTCTGCAGGACGCAGTGCATATCAAAGCAGACCCCGAAGATGAGGACGAGCAGACTCGAAATGCGAACAAGGACGAAGAGGAATCGTTCCGTGTCCCTGCTCAGCTGAAACAGTCCTACGCGGTTGTGGCAGCTAAATTGCGTCTGGTCTCGTTGACTGCCTACCTCAAACGGACATTCCTTCGCAAGGGCTCTGTGATGAAAGCCATCGTCTTCGTCTCCTGCGCAGACGAGGTTGATTTCCTCTTCGAAGTCTTGTCAAGGAAGCATGGCGAAAGAGGACAAAAGAAAAACGACGACGACGAAGACGATGAAGAGAACGATGATGAGAAGAAAGAGAAAGAGCAGGAACGCGAACAACTATCACCACACGGCACTATCGCTCCTGGAAATGCCTTTGCGAACCCTGCGAACCCTGTTGCTCTCCACAGACTCCATGGTTCCCTGCCCCAGCACGTCCGAACTGCCACCCTCAACTCGTTCTCTAAAAGCAAGGATGCCTCGGTCATGGTCTGTACTGACGTGGCTTCCCGCGGTCTGGATCTGCCCAACGTCGACTTAGTCATTGAGTATGACCCTGCTTTCAGCGCCGATGACCATACCCACCGAATTGGCCGTACCGCACGTCTGGGGCGTGACGGACGTGCTGTGATCTTCCTTCAGCCTGGTTCCGAAGAGAAATACGTTGAGATCCTCAAGCGTGGCTATCGCGATGGTGGAAAGGCTCTCACCCGCACAGATGCCACTGAGATCCTGAAGCGTGGCTTTGGTGGAAACACCGAAGCTAGCTCTAAGAACTGGGAAGAGAAGACTACGGACTGGCAGATGGACGTTGAACGATGGGCTTTGGATAACCCAGAGTATCTGGAGATGGCACGCCGTGCATTCCAATCGCACATTCGGGCATACGCAACTCACATCGCTGCAGAGCGAAGCATGTTTAACATCAAAGAGCTTCATCTGGGCCATCTTGCAAAGAGCTTCGCCCTACGCGATCGACCCGGAAAGATCAATGTTCCCGGTCTGCGTCCTGGTAAGGAGGAGACAAAGAAAGATTTCAAGGCCGATCGCGGTGGTGCTTTGGGCAGGAAGAGGAAGGCTGATGGTGCTGCGGGCGATACTATGTCGAGTACCGACGATGCTACCCGCGAAGCCGCCCGCGAAGCCTCCCGCAAAATGAGGGCCAAGGTGAAGGAGCACATGAGTGCCGTCAACGAGTTTAACCTGGCTTAGGTCTATTTAAATTTCCTCTTTTCTTTTTTGTCTCTGGGCGATGCATGATTGTACAAGAGCATTAGCATTTGTTTCAATAGATATCCCATAATGAAATCTTTCCATCCTTGGATCCAGCCGCTAGCCAGTGAGTTTGTTGTACTTTTTGGTATCGTTGATGGTGCACAGTCGCGAGCGACCTCTCCGGCGCTTCTCCTCTGCTCGTTTCTTGAGTTGATTCCTGACTACTCGAATCTTTGACCTCATCTGTATCAGGAGTTGGCTGGAAAATTGGATTCGTTACCCCAAACGCAACAGCGTAGCACCCTTCCTTATGCCATCTAAGCACAGCTAGCTCCTTCATTGTTTTGCCAGAATACACCCTGACCCTGCTGTCCCAACCAGCAGTCGCGAACACCTTTCCGTCGCTTCGAATGCGAAGCCCCTGCTGCCCAGAATGTTTCGTGTTAATTGTTTTCAATGCCTTGTCTTCTGTATAGTTCGCAGCAGAGGTATACCCCTCAAAGCCGGGGCGAGGAATCGGGTGTTTGATGAGCAAGGCATCAGCGGAAGATGAGATGAAATAATTGTGTGAGGGAGAGACATCGAGGGATAGAACTGGTTGGGTATGAGGACGACTGGCGTAGAGCTTATTCCACTTCCAGGGATTTGAACTGATGTTGGTGAGCTCGAAGGTGGCTGGACTGAGAGGGCCCTTATGCATGAAAACCATGACATGCCCGTCTTCGAAGGCAGAAGCAACGAAGACATCTCCGGATGGTGATACAAAAAGACTGACGGCCATCAGCATTCCGGTTTTAACTGATGGATCTGATTTTATGGTAGTAAGCCGGCGCTCAGATGGGAGGTGGAAGATGTCAATTCCTCCTGAGTCGATAGCATTGGGTACAGCGAAAAGAACATCCTGGCGTGTTGTATCTGGCTCCTTCCGAACGCCTCCTAAAGATGTGCCCCCAGCCACATCTATGAAGGCCATTGAAAAGGCGCAGAAATTGAGCGCGTTGACAGGTAGAGAGTGAAGCAGCCACGGCTGAGTCCTTTTTTCCGGAATGGCAGAGCTAGCCATGTCAACTGGGAGTGTCTTGTCGAGGAACGTTTCATCTTCTACTCGAAGCTTCCAGACACAGAGTTTGTGGTCGCGACCATGTCTTCCTGCAGGTTAGCACATGGCGTCACAAATCCAAGCGCTTCCAAGACCTTACGTATAAATCTCTGATATTTGTGGACCAACAGTGAAGCCCTTCACTTCCAGCACAGCGCCCTCATGTGCCTTCCATACCGTGATTGGTCGTTTAGTGACCAGATCCCAGATGACTACCCAGCCATCCGCATCCCCGGAAACAAGTCGCAGGTTCTGCGCAAAGACGTTCAATGCATGTATTGGGGCAGCATGTCCCCGTAAAATATAGACTGGAGTCGCCGACGACTGCTGGGTCTGACCAGATGTATTAGCCATTCCCGGTGACTTTGCCTTTGGATGAATGTTGGATGTTGTGTTGGGCAGGGCGCCCGGCTGATATGAATCAGAGTCGATGGATCGCAAGTACTTGTCAGCGGTCGCGGGAAGAAAGGTCCGCCCGTCCCGCCCTTTAGCACCATAACGAGAGTGCGCGGTTGGATAAACATGATGATTTCTTGTGCCACAGAAGTCTTGGACTGGATTTATGAAATTTAGTTGCTAGGTAGGGAATTAATGACAGAGCTACAGACGAATTTTTTTAATTTGAAACCCCTCACGTGAAACTACGAACTTTCCATTAACAGGGACATTTCATGTCAAATTCACCCTCTTTGACAAAGATTTAAATTATATCAAAATTCTTCAAGGGTGAATGATCTTGTTCATGGGCTCCTGCCGACTGCATGTCAGCATGAATAGCATGCCCTCACTAGAGAAGTCGTGATCATATTACTCTTTGTACTGACCACGGGATACTTTAGCGACGAAGCCATCGAGCGCGGGAAACATGAGAAATATAATCTGAGAAATGTAAGGGCGTCTCGCTTGAAAAACGATCTGAAGTCTTTCTTTACGATCTGGGCTGCATTTTCCTAACATCTTTAGTTGAAATCAAAGTCATCCTAATACTCCATTTACTCAAACGACGGTCGTGCTAGCTCTCTGGCGCCCCGATGCTGGTTGTTCGGTTCTCATGCTCCGAACTGGACTGCCAAGATATATTGTGGGCATCACCAACAGCTACCAAGGCAACATTGAAATATGATTATGGAGTTTAAAAAGGATAGTTAAAAAATGTTCTCATGAGAAATTCACGTTGATTGGGCTTCAATAGATATTTATGGCTCACCCCCACAGGGCTACGGTGAATTCGAGTAGAGAAAAACACGAGAGTCAGCATGATGAACCCCGTGACCACTTACTCCCGGGCGGCCAGAAACCCATGCCCCCAACGAGTCATATTGCCATTCTCCCACTCCACATTTCAGAAAAAATCAAATTTTAAAAATAATAGCTGGACTCACGGGGAATCGAACCCCGGACCACTCCTAGTCTCATTTATACATGCGAAAGGAGTATTATACCACTAAACCATAAGCCCTGCTTGTGATGAATGGAACATGAACAAAAAGAATTGAGTAGAGAGACTTTTCTTCTTTTTTGATTAAATTTCCCTCGATACAGACTCAAGAGGCAATAGAGCGCCAGGAACATTATTCAAGCACCTAACTGGTGAAATAATGATTATGTTCAAACTATACAATCTCGAATCGAAATTCAGAATGGACTGAATCAAGAGGCGAGTTTTGGAAGAGAAACCACCCGGTAGTCATACAAATTGAAAACGACCTATATTTAGTGAAATGAAACGTATTAGTAGTCCTCAAGGACTATGCTTAAGAACTATATGCTCTGCCTTTTGATAAAATAATTCTATAAGCTAAAATGAGAGAACTAGACAGGAACGCACCACTATTACATCTGAAGCACGCCAAAGCTGTCTAGATCAGAACACAAGATAAAAATTTAAGCTTCGTTGCAGACTATTCTCGATTGCCTGCTATGATTATTGCCATTGTGATAACCTAAGTAGAGTTGCAATTCTCCTAGTGTGACTGCACAACTTCGTCGTTTTCCCCCATACGAATAGCGATAGCGGTGGACTCATCCAAGTCCTCGACTGGTAGGTTAAGCAAGCAATTGTGAAGCTCACGGCGGGATTGGTAGTCGCCATCTCGGGTAGGAAAGAACATGCGACTGTAGGCCATCTTCGGAAATGCTCCAAAATTACCCTGCTTCACAGCGTCGTGACCATCCTTCCAGCGCTGCTCTGCAGACTCACGACTGATGGTCCAGTCTGCATTGGAAGTACCCGTAACACGCTTGACACTTTCAAACATATCACGCTGGCTCAGTCGGAAACTTGAGATGTAAATGGAGCTATTCGCAAATTGCGATACCGTGGGCGACTTGTCCATATCATCTTCAGGAAGTTCTTTGAGACTCAGAAGGCTAGCAATGGCTCTGCCACACTGAGGCCAGGTACTTGTGTTGATGGCCACATTTCCGTCATCAAATTGTATGAACGAGCGCTTTTTGAAATCGAAACCATACCGATCGGGTCCCCCCGCTAGGCTGAATTCGTACCAGAAGTTACAGACCAAAAAGATATAAGAAGTAGCGTCAAAGGGTTCAAACTCAGCCAGAATGCTGTCACGACTGGAACTGAGCATGCTATCATCACATAGAGAGTCATTGGCGTCGTCATGGCCGAACCAGTTGGGCAGAACATATGGCACACCGGCCTTGCCTGCCGCACGTACGAGCTTGTTGACAGTACCTCTCGGAGCAGTCACTGACATTGTGATGAGCAAGGCCTGCTGTCCCCGTACGGCTTCAACCAGTGCAGTGTCATCCTCGCCGCTATAATCGACATGGATAACATTGATACCATCTGGGAGTTTGCTAGTGCTGTCTGGGCGCGTGATAGCCGTCACTATATGTTTTCCAGTTTTGAGAAGAGGCTCAGTGAGGTGCTTCCCTACTTTGCCCCCTGCCTGTATTGCTCCATAGGTATAAGTTGTGACATCATGCGCGGTTATGAACAGACTGACATACCCCGACAATGGCCACTTTTTGGATTCGATTCAAAAACCCCTTGGGCTGATCCTTCGCATACTTCGTCATTTTGGTTCTTATTGAGTAAGGACAAAAACTTGAGTAATGATTATTGCTGTTTGGGAAGACCTGTTGGGTGATGTGAGAGCTGTGGTTATGACAACCCCGAGTTCGCCCACGATTAGACGTCGATGAATTTCCCGTAAAATGTAAAAGAGGGCAAAGTGATCGCGTTTTATGCTATGTAATAAGTCACAGCCTTATTGAGCCCTCGTAGTGGACATATCGGTCTTAGTACGCGCTGTCGGGGTTAATCGCTAACTCCGGAGTTGGCCATCGCTCCAAGTACACAAAAGGATTGACTCAAAGCAAAATCGCGTCAACAGCACTTCAGTCCCAAAGCAGTGGCTGGCTCAAAGATTATAGGCTGAACTAAGCAGTCTCTGTGCCCGGTTGACATGCTAGTCAGGATTGAACGCTCGACTCTAAAACGGGGTTTATTCTGCTATAGCTCATTTCGTATCAGGGTATAGAGATACAAAAGATTCGAGTTCATCGAACAAAGACAACACCATTCCACCGGAATGATTCAAAACAATGGGTTCTTAATTATCGACCCGTCAGAGGAGATAAGGCCCGTATAAGTGATGATCCAGGACATGATGATGAGGCACAACATAATGCTCCTGGTACGGATGGTTTTCCATCGAGAAGTCCCCCACATCCAAAAGTGGATTCGACAGTCCAGGTTGGAACTCTGGGCCCTTGGGAATCGGTGAAGCTAGGTCTAGCCCATAATGGTGATTGTGCATTTGGGTAGGGTCCACAGTTTCAAGGTGCGGAACGGACCAGCCCCAGATTCGCTTGAGCTCATCCTTGATCGGCTCAGCGCGCCAGCTTGTATCTTTCACAATAGCGTCAAATAATCCCAGAGTCTCCTTTTGCGCATCCTCGCTGTCCAAACACTCCGCGGCAATGGCGAGACAGCGGATTGAAACATTGATAACACCCCTGTCTTTTGTGTTTGCGACAATACCACAAATGTCACGGGCATGTGATTGTTGCATTTTGCGATGAAATTCACCTAGCAATGGGTGGGCCTTGCCTAGCAATAAGCAAGCTGTGTGGTAAAATAGTTGTGAGACGATCGCGGTCCGCTTGTGGAGCCTGAAAAAATGGAGTATCAGCTCGGCATCGAGATATATTTTTTATAGAGAAAAACGTTGACGCTTACCAAATTGTTGGGAATGCGGACCGGGGCTCAGTCTGCCATTGTGGCACAATACCAAGAGGTTTCAATGATCTTGGAGCATTTTCGAACCACTGTTCACACAGGGAATCGCAGTGGCTCCACTCCAGGAAGGCATCACTCAGTTCATTGGCATGATCCATAGAGCCATCCAACGACTGAAGTGACTGTGTAGCAATGCGGAAATTGGCAACTTTGGCACATATGTAGATGATCCGGTGTAGCCAGAGGTCTTCAGCCTTCCCGAAAGGATGCGCCTGATGCTGATGCTGACGCATATCCATATCAACTCCCCACGTATCGGGATTCCAGGACAACATCCACTTGTAGTGTAGAGAGCTCAATAGTTCCATACCTACACTGATCCAAAAGGATGCCCCCCAAGACCGGGTGTTTTAGCTGTCCAGCCACATTCACGAATCAGAGCTCTTGAACCTGCAATGTGATTCGCTGCTGGTGTTTGCTGCGGAGCCATGATCTCGTAAATGCTGAGAGCCAGCGCGGCCGTAGTGCATAGAACGGAATCACGATTCGGGTCTTGCATGGCATTCATTAGATCCCGAGTGGCTGAATCATAGTAATGTGCAGCTTTTGCCTTCTCAAATGAGGAGTTCACAAGCGAAAGATGTCGTGCGCCACATGCTAAAAAGGCCTGTAGTAACAACGGCTCATCGATGGCATGTAAAGGTAGGATTTGCGAGAACTAAATCCGAGTCAGGTTCTGTCAAGGCGTTCATTTAAATAGGGCTCTCTTTGCTCTTACATATTGCATGGAATCTAGCGAGTCCATCCAAAGCCCAACCTCATCAGCGAAAACTTGCAAAAGATAAACCTGCTCGGGATCGCTTAAAGATGATGGGTTATACTGTTTCATCGCTAGTTTATGCGCAAAACGAGACGTTCCGTGGGGTAGTAATTCGTCGCCCGGCATGAGATGAGGCCCATGATGCCAGCTATCTTGCCCAACAAGAAAGTCTGCAGCCACGGCATGGGAAAAGTCAAAGGCAGATGGATCGAATGAGTGGGTCACCGATTGAAAAAGGCTCGTTAGCTGGTCTGATCCCATGAGATTGAACGCTTCGTGTTGTAATTGTCTTCTCTCCTCGACAGGGCTGTCCGGTTGTGGCGGGGGGTATCTCTCGAACCCCCCAACATACTCTGATGCGATGAAGCGCGAGTCATCTCGAAAAGTCACCTTTGCACCTCGCGGTCGAGCGATGATATGCGGAGGCGCAACGGTTTGTATGTCGATGAAGTTCAGCCGAATGCCTCGTCTGCATACCCTATCCGACTTGCGACAATTTAGGCACCGCCCCAAGGCCTCGTCACATTTCAAGTGCCGTTCGCGACAGGTCAAGCATCCAGTGCGAACCCGTTTGGCCTTGGTATCTGCTATTTCCGAGGACTTTTTCCGGTTTGCGCTGGATTGGCGCGGTGAATTGCGCTTCTGGCCCTTTGCCGTTGTAGGTTTCGGGTTCGCCTTGGGTGTTTGCGAGAGCGACTTGGCCTGAGATCGAGTTTTGAGATTCATCTCGTTTTCTTGAAGCAGACTTTCGCTCGTCAATATAGTCCCACACACTCATTCCCCTGTATCTAGTCTCCGGCGCCGATGGGAGCAATCGGCTTCCGAGCCGAGCCGGGGTTTCCGTATACGCAAAATCTCCTTGCTGAATTTCCTCGAATGGCCATGTTCGTGTGTAGCACTTGAGGGTCCTTTTGGGATCAAAGAGACGTATTCCCAAGCTCATAAAAGGGTTGAAGGGGGCTCGTGGAATTTGCGACCGCGGGGATTGGTTCGTTTTTCGCCGGGCGGGCAGAGCACAGAGGCTGGTGAGGGGCGGGCAGGGAGAGCAGGCGGGATCTGCTGCACAATGAGGTCAGCCAATGGCACGTCAGCCCTAGAAAAGCCAACTTACCAGCCCATTGCCTGGTGGCTGTACTCGAAATGGATCTGACTGGAGTTACTCTGGGGCGGTGGTTGTCGGAGAAAGTCCAGAGATCGCCTGTGGATCAAAACGCGGAGTCCGCGAGGAAGAGATGTGGGTCCGCGGCAACGTGAAGAGTATTCAATAGTAAACCCAAGGCGCTAGTGAGTCAATCTTGCTGGGAATACTGGTTGCAAGGGCAACCGGTACTATAGATTTACATCCCTGTAGTGAATTTCTGCAAGGACAATGGTCCTCGACAAGTGACCCAGTATAGTTGCAGTCAGAAATTCTAGTACCTAATTTATCCACATCTAATGCGTCATCTTGTGAGATGTATGGGATGTAGTCAACCCGTATTGATCTTTTACGCCTTGCTTCCTAACCTAGGCAAACGAAGTCGCGAGTGCAGGATTAACATGATAACGGCCCAAATAGCCGCGGAAAGAAAGGTGACCCGGAGAGCAAAGGCATATGCTCCAACGACTGTCTTATCATCAGCACTTCAACATGGAAAGCGGGCAGGCAACGAAGTCAACCGGTGAACAAACCTTGTTGTTGATGGAATGGGTCCAACTCAGCAATGGCGCGGATGGACCGGCGGACAAGAATGATGATTTGCTCTTTCTCTGAGCCTGTCACCTTGTGTTCAAGCTCGTAGAGCAGGGTATTTTGGAAGATCCAGCTGCTAATGGCCACGCCCAGCACGGAGCCCAGATTGCGAGCCAAACCAAGGGTAGTGGTTGCGATGGCCTGGTCATCTTGCTCACTGGTGGCTAAAATCGACACCATCAAGCTCGGGAACGCAAACCCTTGGCCAAGACTGGAGAAAGAGACACAGATCATGGCGAGAGCATCGGGAGTGGTGATACCCATCGAAGCCGCGGCACACCCTCCTACAATCATGCAGATCCCGCCAAGTATGATTGTCGGCTTCATACGTTTCGACCAGGTGATCAGAAATCCGGTGCCGACGCTTGAAACAGTCACGGCGATTGATGCGGCCACGAGACGTAAGCCAGAGGCAGTGGGACTGGCAAGCTTAACTGCTTGAAAGTACAGGGGCGCATTGAACATCATGGTGTTGACAGAGATCGATCCAAAGAAGTTGCCAAATATGATGCTGGCTCGAGGTTCCTTCGAAAGTAGCTCCACTGGAAGCACAGCGCGTGGCACATTGCGCTCATATCGAACAAGAAGAATACCCAAGACAAAAGCTGCAACCAAGGAACATATGACGAGGGGATGACTCCAGGGGAAAACGTTTCCACCGAGGTTCAAACCCATAATCAACGCGGTGACTGCTAGGACGAGGAAAAACGAGCCGGTCAAGTCGATGCTGCGGATCAATTGCGAGACCGTCTGGCGCTCCGTCCCTACCAACTTGATCCCAAGATCGGCTGGAACGGTAAAGGCCGAAGCGACGAGATAGACAAATATGAACGGCAGCTGGATGAGAAATGCACCCCGCCAGCCAATTCGGTCACAGAGGAACCCGCCAAAGGCAAGCCCGGTACAGCTACCAATTCCTAAGCAAAGATTGATATAGGATTGGTAGACGCCCCGATACTCGAGGCGCACCAGGTCACTAGAGATGATCTGGCCCATAGAGAAGACCCCGCCAGCCCCCATTCCACAGAAAGCCCTGGCGGCGATGAAACTGCCGATGCTTTGAGCCAGACCGCACCATGCTGTGGTCACAAAAAACATAGAAATCGAGAACAGGTAGACGGGTTTACGACCAAAGGCATCGGAGATGCGCCCGAAAAGGGGCAGGAATGCCGTGGACGTGAGGAGAAAGGCGGTTGATAGCCACGATGCCGAATTCGCAGCATGGAAATATGATGTGATCACTGGGTGACTGGACGCCATTAATGTGGAGTCGAAGAACCCGATCACATAACCGAGCATGATGCCCGAGAAAATCACCCAAAATCGGGTTGGGGATACATTGATGAATTGTGCCGCGTAACCCGTCTCCTTATGTGGAATCGAAGGAGTATCAGCAATAGACCCATTGTCTCTTTCCGTCGAGCCAGCGGAGGGCAATTGAATCAGGTTCGGCTCAATGTCCAGGCTTGGTTGAGCGGAACTGACTTGGGTCAGGACCGGGAAAATATTCTCGTTGTCCGCTTCGAGGCTAGATGATTCTGTTCCAATATCGCCCGTGTGACTGAGCACGCTGCGATAATATGTGGTTTGGTGGGTAGAGGCGTCGCGTAGCAGCGGAGTAGCCTCGGAAGGGTGGGAAGCAGACATGCTTCTCCTCGCCTCGGCGGCCATAGTGAGAGTCACAGAGCTGCTGGATTGGCGCGTTGTGCAGAGATAGGGACGCGTTAACCCCCCCCCCTATGGAATTGGTATTTCTATTCCATTCCTCAGCCGCAATTTTCTCTTATCTTCTCCTCGTGCGATTGCTGTTCTCGTCTGGCGGCAAATGAGCGAGCACCAACCTTTGTCTGACTGGCCGCAACGCCCCACCCAGGCAGCAAGCGATGGCAGGTCAGACCGCCCCGCAGTTCAAGGACCGGGCTGTCAGGGTTCATCTAGATGTAGATGCAGGCCGACCACCGCGCTAGGGGGAAGGATCTCGGCAATGCGTAAGTGGCAAAGCCAGACCCGGCAAGGCGATAAGATAGGAGGGATAACCCATCGCCCGAGACACCGGCTGCTTTCGCCTCTTCCATCCAGCATGCTGCAATTGGCGATTTGCAACTTGCGAACGACCTACTGCATGCATCTGCACCTCGGCACTATCCTCCTCCCCATCTGATAGCACCGCAAGGTCTCGAACTAGGCCGCCGGGACCATGCGCCCTCCGCTTCGGATCGCCGTCTTGGAATGTGACACCCCGCTTCCCAACACCAATTGCCGTTACAACGGATATGGAGGCGTCTTCACTGCTCTTCTTACAGCGAGTGCGAAGGCGCTCAATCACCTCGACCGGCTCGGCCCGGAGACAGGCCTTCAAATATCAAAATGGGACATCGTGAGCGGAACGGAATACCCCAAGCTGGAGGATATTGATGCCGTGCTCCTCACTGGCTCAAGTGAGTGTGCCGGTTGGATCTCGCGGCCATAATAAACGCCGAATGCTGACGAAACACAATGTGCAAGAACATAACTCATTTGAAGATGTGCCATGGATCAACCGCCTTGTGGAATTCACCCAGTCAGTCCTGGCGCAGGACCGCGTCCGCCTGCTCGGAATCTGCTTCGGACACCAGATCGTGGGCCGCGCGCTGGGCGTGAAGGTGGGACGAAGTAATCAAGGCTGGGAGATCGCGGTTTGTGGAATGGACTTGACCGAGAAGGGAAAGGAGCTATTTGGGCTGGACAGGATCGTACGTTCATTGCATGGTCGCATTGCGGGAACGTGGACTCCAAGCTAACTGCATGTCAATCACCGCACAGCGCATCCAGCAAATGCATCAAGATATCGTCTTCGACTGCCCTCCGGGTGTCGCCCTTCTTGGTTCCTCGCCCCGCTGTGCCGTTCAGGGCATGTACTCCCCTGGCCGCTTTATCACCGTCCAAGGCCATCCAGAATTTACTCAAGAGATCGAGACCGAAATCATCCAGACTCGAACCAAGGCGGGTGTCTTCAGTGAGGACCAAGCACTGGAGGCACTGAGCAGGACAGGTAATGAGCACGATGGGGTTTCCATCGGGGCGACATTCCTCAAGTTTCTACGGGAGGATTAATTAGGGATAATTTGTTTGATTTTGCATAGGGCCTGGGCATGGAGTGTGCACCGCAGCTCTCAATAATTTCAACTTGTACTAAGACAGCTCGAGAGGGAAGAGGCGATATCAATTCACAACTAGACGCCGATACCATCTGTATATACAGGCGGTGATACAGGCGATAATCTCACCGCTTCAATAGAAATCAATGATTTGCCATGCTATCGGGCAGGAGTAGGAAATGATATGGTTTTAGTTACACGGTCTGCATAGCCCAATTGGTTTTGCTGGGCACAGCGGTGTGACGGGAGGTGCATCGAACTATAAAATTAGGCTGAAATAGCACACTTCCCTTATGGCATGTTTGCCTCGGAGCTTACACAAAAGTCTAGGACACGTAGAAGTCATGCGGGAGCAATACAGCCACCATATGGTGGAAATAAAATTAGCTAGGTATCGTCAGGTGGAAGGTAGCAAGCGTACTTGCGCAGCAAAACCGCTCCGGCACCAAACACCAGCAAAATCATCTAAGCTAAAAAGACACTCCCTGTCCTCGCCATAGATGCATGTCGTGAGCCCATTGAGTGCACCAGGCACCTCCTTCGATGCAAGTAATTCAAAACGCCTCTCCCAGCCAACCTGGCTGTGTGATCCATGTGGACAATGCACACGTACAGCCAAGGAACATATTCCAATATGCCAGATGCTTCACACCAACGCCATCACCATGCAAGAGCTGATCGCTGCAAATAAAGATAGAAAACTAGGGGGCGCATGAAAAAATAAATCGAGTAAACAGGCGACAATTGAACGGAATCCCCCTTTAAGCCGACCGAGGCTTCGAAAGGCGGCCGCTGCGACGAGGGCCCCTTTTGGCGGCCTCCTCCGATTGTTCTGGAATAGCGACCTCCTGGTCCTCCAGGACGGCGTGTGCCTTTTCTGCCTTTTCAGCATCTGCTTTCATCCGTAAATTTAGCGAAACGAGCTCGTTCTGGTCGTCTCGAAAGGAGATACCAACGCCTAAGGTAAGGTTGGAGACCATCCGCTTCCTTGGTCGGCCTCGTCGAACAGCTGGACGTGGATCCTCAGAGTCGTCGCTGTCGTCCGCAGAACGCTTGCTGCCAGTGCTGAAGGGAGACGACTCCCGCGATACCTGGAGACTGGGTTTGAAGTTGGGACCTGGGCCCAACGTTTTCTCTGTGGGTTCGTTGTTTTCGCCGAGGAGAGCAGCGAATGCTCGGTCAATGTCACCGCGACATTTCTGCAGCATGTCCACGATGGTGTCGCGGTCATATCGACCACCAAGGCCATCTTGAATGGATTGGATGTCCCAGGGAGGAAAAACGTCGACAGCCAGGCCGGTATCTTTCAGAGCAGGGTCATAGGTAGTATAGCAGGCGTCGGCGGTGGAATTGATGTTTTTGAGGTTGTCGGTGTCTGTAGTTGATGCGGTGGTGTCCGTCGTGTCGAGAACCTGATCTTTCGAGTCAGGGAGAATGCACACCTTGGGATCTGCATCGGTCCCTTTTGACAGTATGGGAGACCGGTCCAGGGTTTGTGGCCTAGCAAAGAGCCCTTGGTGGTGGTCATCTAATACCCGCACCGAAGAATAATGTTTAAAGTCCTGTGTTGATTAGCTATAGTTCACCATCGCAAGAAATGCATGAGCATACGTGAAAAGCAACGTGGATCACATCTCGGTGTTCATCATGCGAGGCATTGACGTCTCGGAATGCCTGAACACCATCTGTGGTGTAGACATTGATGTCGACGCGGTAGACTTGACAAAATGCCTGCAGGTGCTCGGCATTTCCCCATTCGCCGTTCTTACGAGTTGCAGCCACCATTTCTTCGAACCGACGCTCTTTGTCCTCCTCTGAAGGAGCTGCTACATCGGCAGAACGCGTAGCATACGCGGAGACGGCGGCTCGCTTGGGACGACGGCGCTCGCCGCCCTCAGCAACGATGAATTGCATAAAATACTCCTTATTATTGGCTATGTGGCGTGCGAGAAGTTGGCGAATCTCGTCACCATGCTGGAAGTTGCCATACAGTTGATCGGAGAGAGAATAGTAGAGACAATTGCCTGTAGGGACGCGTCAGAATGAGGAAAGTCGAGGTAGTACAGCTTGCTTATCCGAGTGACAAGCCGAAACAAATCAAATTAGAGGTCCGGCTTACCATCTCCTTCTGTTGGCAGAGCAAAAAGGCCGCGTTCCGTTAGACAAGACATCGCCAAACACTTGTGGTCAAGAGCTCTGTTTTGACGCCTGTCTTCAGAGTCCACTCGCTGATCCAGCAGCGAGGACTGGTCAATTGCCACCGGAGGAGAGTGGCTTTCTAGTACATCCGGGATTGGGGTGGTGGAGTCGAGGTGTTGGTGTTGTTGGTGACCCGTAAGTATGGGCACAATTCTGCCACCGTGTGTGAGGGTGGACATGGTGAGGAAGGGAGCCCTGCTCGGGTCGAGTGCGTCATTTATGTTTTGTGTATGAGATGTGAATATCCAAAAGTGGTTGACTAGGGAATTCTGAAAGGCAGAAGCCTCGAAATCGCGAAGAAACAACCCGCAGAGTGAAGCAGCCCTGCGGGTGCGATGAATTGAAAAAGGAATTCAAGCATCCGCCCAGAGTTGAGTGCCGAGTCGGGGGCGGTGAAGCCGTGCCTCTGTGATGATTGGGTCACACGTGAGGCGTTGCTACTATGACATCGGAGACTAGCCAGACAAAGAAGCTCTTTTCACTTCTCAATGGCACTGATTCCCATTGTGAGAGACTTGCAGAATAAAATAGGCTCTGATCACCATCCATTCACTCGTAATCATCAGACTTCATCCGGTTGTGCGATCGGTTTGAAGATGTGATTCATTCACTGCTAGGGATACAGTGGACCCGCTAATGGAGACCGCGGGACTTTACGGAGAAAAGCCCTTGCTGAGCGAGCCAAGGCAGGGGGGCAAGAAAAGAGTTTCAGAGTGAAAATTGCATCTTCCTGAATTTAAGAAGAATTAATATTTTATAGCCATTAGTGGATAACTGCTACTTTACTCAAGGTCGAAAGTTGTGTGTCCTCTGGCCTGAATGTGCGGAGTTGTATTGGAGCTTTGTTTTGGCCAAGTTTCCCTCCGCGTCCCCACTTGGAAAATTTGGCGCGTTATCCGTTTTCAATAGCTGTAATTGGCTTGCCTCCACACCGCCTCATCAGCCGCCACCGGAATGAGCAACACAGTTACATCGATCATACAGTCCCTAAGGAAGTCCTCGAACAACCCTTCGAGTAATTTCCTAGGTTGAGGGGACTTGACTAAATATTAGCTCTACAAGATGGACAATAGGGTAAGCTAATGAGGAGTCATTTGTAGGTTGTAACAGCATAGGGTATATTAACAGAAACATTCGGTTTTGTGCGGTGAGCTTTATAGGAGTATATCGAAGGCCCTCGATTGCGCATAGGAATTACTGCACCTCTTGTTGGTGTTGGTTTACTGTCAATCTACTTCTATAGGCCTGTGAAAGCGGATCAATGACTGTGTGCGTTGACCTGCACAGTGTGGCTGTATTTTACCCCAACTCTCTCCTCCTCTTATCAATGATTGTGCGTTGATTGTGCGCGCTGACCTGCACAGTGTGGCTGTGTTTTACCCCAACTCTCTCCATTCCTCTTATCATATGTGATAACGGCTGCGGAGGCTATCTGCTCTCTCCTCACCCCGCCCGCTACCTGCTTATTTCTTGCTATTTGAGCCTCTGATTCCTACTGTTTTTGTTTGGCGTGAATTCTCTGTTAACTAAATTACTTTGTTCTGCGGCCAAATTCAGCCAATAATGCCCTATAATATAGTTGTTCTGGGGTAAGAATCATCCACCAAAGCTGCCGAGGCAAAGCAGGGATTGAAGTCTCTTGATGTCGAACTCACGCATTCCAGGGCCGGTGTCTCAGGCCTGACCACTGCCTACCTGCTCTCGCAAGACCCCGATAACAAGATCACTGTGCTCGCTAAGCACATGCCGGGTGACTATGATATCGAATATGCGTCCCCATGGGCAGGAGCCAACTACATGCCGTATGATCGGGTTCCATATACCTTCACCTAATGCCCAGCTAACTGCTCCGTCTTTATCAGAGTTGGCAAGCAAGGTAGCAACCACCAGGCGTGGGAACGAGACACTTGGCCAGCGCTGAAGAAGATTACCGAGAAATACCCCGAAGCGGGAATTCACTTCCTCGGTGTGTTTCCTATATCTCGTATGACACATATAGACACTCTCTAACAAGGTCCAGACGCTCTCATCTACAACCGGAAAAAGGACCAGGAAAAAGCCACTGGTAACTGGTTTTCAGAATTGGTGCGGCCGAACCCCTGGTACAAGGATGTGGTGCCCAACGTATGTTCAACCAAAGACGTTCTCTATGAGGACCCATGCTAACAAAGGGACACTAGTTTATGGGCCTCCCGAAAAGTCAACTGGGTCCTGACATTGATAACGGCCAAAAGTTCACATCTGTCTGCATCAATACTGCTGTCTATTTACCGTGGCTAGTTGGCCAGTGCACCAAGAACGGTGCGGTTTTCAAAAGGGCCGTATTCAAGCATATTGCCGACGCTGCGTATGCACATCACTCAGGACAAAAGGCGGATGTGGTTGTGAACTGCACGGGACTTTCATCGAAGTTCCTTGGCGGAGTCCTTGATGAGAAACTCCTCCCCGCTCGGGGCCAGATTGTCGTCGTCCGCAATGACCCCGGTCCGATGGTATCTATCTCCGGAACCGACGATGGCGAAGACGAGGCACTGTACATGATGACTCGTGCGGCAGGTGAGATCAGGTCAAATCATGGAATTTTTGTGGGAAACGCCCAAGCTCACGTATATTAGGTGGGGGCACGATTCTCGGCGGCTCTTACCAGAAGCATAACTGGGACGCACTGCCGGATCCAAACCTTGCTAATCGAATTATGAAACGTGCGGTCGCGATCGCACCACAGCTTGTTAAAGAGGGCCAGGGCATCGAGGGCCTTGATATTATCCGGCACAGCGTTGGCCTGCGGCCTTTGCGAGAAGGTGGCCCTCGGATTGAGAAGGACCTGATAGACGGAGTCACAGTTGTTCATAACTACGGACATGGTGGCTTTGGATACCAGGCCTCATTTGGATGTTCGGAAATGGCGATTTCTCTGGTTAAGGAGGCGCTGCAGAACAAGACCCGGGCTAAGCTTTAAACAACTATGATGACGACAACTCCCGCGATGTGCTTCACATCACTGGTAGCATAATGCATGTTATTCTGTATAAACAACGTATCTATACTTATTCATTACTAGAATGCTCATGAAATCGTGTAGATAAACGAGATTGTATGATTCACGGGCAATGTAAGTGTAAGATTGACGTCAGCATGACTTCAAAACCCTCCTTACCTATAGACTCGCTGTCGACTGGGCCTTAATTCATCACTAGAGATCATTTCATTCAGCCGTAAATTGATGGTTTCAACCTTTCAATAATAGCTAGGAGACACGATGCCCGAACGCCGCGAGCACGATTTCGATGCCCAGGTTGATACAGTCACCCACGCTTACGGCAGCCTCCCATTATCCGGAACGCCGATTGGTGAAATTGGAGGAATGAAGTCTACTCCAGATACTGTCCTCGCTATGGTGATAGACGCAATGGTCAAATCAAGGCCTATATCCCACCAATTGGCTCAATCCACAATCTGTGGGCTCATCAATAACGATTACCACAAAATCGAGAAGCTATCGGGAACTACATGGGAAGAGCGAACGGATCTACTGAGACAAGTTGGGTATAATCGGTATCGAGAGCAGTGTGCCACCAACCTGGGTAACCTGTCCGAATTTGTTCTGAATAATTATGGTATAAAGCCCCTGTATCAACAAAGCCCATATGGGAACCGGCCGAAGTGCTGACGAGCAATTCCATAGATGGGGATCTTAACAACCTGTTAGAAACTGCCCATGGAGACCGCGAGGAGATTCGGGCTTTGGTGAAGGAGATTAAAGGAGTGGGTGATCTGGGAGTGGAATTGTTTCTCGACAATGTTCAGAGCGTCTGGCCTTCGGTTGCACCATTCGTCGATTCCCGGAGCCTTCGCACGGCCGAGGAACTCGGCATGGGAAGCGATGTGCATGCAATTTATAGCAAACTCCAGAAGGATCCCGTGGCAATGAGCAAGTTTGTCAACGGGCTCTCGGAAATCCGACTGGAGAAAAAACAGCCCGAACTTGAGGAGATGTGAGAGGACAAAGTTCTTGTATAAATTCAGATTAACCTGAAAGAGGAATGCACAAAGGTAAATTTCATGGTCAGAGAATATCAAAAGATCAATGTTCCGCGGATATATACAGTTCTGTTCATCGGCTACCTAAGGTGTAATATCAATCAGTGTCTCTCGAAGATATCTTGGCTTGGCACGCCCCCCTCATCTCAACTTTACAGGGTTAGCGCCAGCCTTCCGCCCCAGCACATGTTATCACGTGACATATCAGCGGCGTCGCTGTGTCGTCCAAATGGCTGCTGAATCAGCTACCAGGCTTGGCAGACCCGCTGCTTGCGACAGCGCAGCAGCTGTCGCTCGCGCTCCGCGCTTTCATTTCCCTCCATCAGCCTAGCCCCCGTTCTGCCTTCGATCCAAGCCTTCTCACGAGCGCATTCTTTCTTGGCTTTTCAGTGTGATATTCAGGCATCTTGCGCGGCGCTCCCTCACACACCCCGTCCTCCATCCAACAACCGCCAGGTACGGACTACAGCCTCCAGGCTCCCGCCCCCCGGATCTCGAACCCACAGCTGCTGCTCTTGACGGTCAGGACCATTGACGGGCAGCTGCAAAAGGTTCTTCCCGAAAATGCCGGAGACACTAACAAGAAAACTAGTGAAATCAAGAACCGCTCGATTCCACTCTCCTACCCCCGCTCTCCTGTTATCCGTTCCCTAGCGACCGGGACATCTCCATCGACCTCGAGACTCTGAATATCGCTTGAACTTAAGTGGAAACCACGCCAACCATCATCAAAATGGACTTCTCCAACATCTTGTATGTCATTACTGTTGCCCGGCACAGTTGATGGGACTGCACTAACACATGTGTCCAGTCGACTCGTCAACATCGCGGTGGGTGTGATCATGGTGCTAGGCGGCATCAGCCAGTTCTTCCCGCCCTCCATGAGTTCCATCATCGTGGGCGCCTACGTAATTGTGTTCGGTCTGGGTAAGAACCGCGGTTTCATTTTGGGCTTCATGTGTCTGTGATCAGTTACTTACGCTACTTTCCAGTTGTTGCCGGTCTTGAGTTCCTCCCCAACGTCCCCGACCACGCCTATCGCTACGCTTCGTTCCTCTTCTCGTTCCTGGGCCGTGGTATTTGTAAGTCACTCGATTTGAGCCTTGAATTTTGGGGTGCATGGCGCATTGTTGCATAGACGCATGCTGATTTCCATCCCAGTCTACATATTCGTCGGCTGCATTCTGCTGCACGACCACGTACTGCGCCAGATCGCCGCCTCGATTGTCGGCATCACCGGTATCTCCTACCTGGTCCTCGAGTTCATCCCGTCCATCGAGCCTCCTTCCAACATGCGCGAGTCCGACCAGGGCTGGGGCGCCGAGCAGGTCTAAATCTGGACCTGGATCTGATTTGGTCTTATTGATCTGATTGGTAGCGCCCCGCTCTGCGTGGCGCAAGAGCATGGCAGAATTGTTGGACTCGGGTGTGATGGAAGAGATGGCAATACGCTTACCGAACAGCTTCGTGATGCACGGTCAGCGCAGGCTTTTCTCTTCTCGCAATGCTATATACACGGAACATAAGGGCTACGGACGTGCAAGAGATTTGGCTCTGAGTTGAATGGAGGAGCGTGCCCTGGTGCCTTGGCAGTGGAGGGGTTCACCTCACCACTGAAGACCCGCACGTCATAGCAAGGAGATGAGGTTTTTTTCTCTCCTCTCCTCTTTTGCTATATATTTTCCCATTTTTTGATTTCATTTTCTTTTTTGATACCTGTGGATGAGAATTCATGGACGGAATCTGTACTATATAGTATGTCTCTTTGGGAGATTAGACCCGACCGGACCCGGCCATTTCGGACCGAAATGTGTTTTTGAACGGAGATTTCTCAGTCTGTGATTGACTGCTATGGAGTAGAGTAATTAAAGTGATAGTCAGAAAAGTCCGACGGTTACGACGATCTCCCTAAGTAGAAACAAGGGTGTTTGGCAGCAAGGATATAGTCAGATAGTTCTAGTTTCTACTGGGGGGAGGGGGCCTTTTTTATCGAGGAAGGAATATTGTCCTCCGTATGTGTTGTGTACAGTAATCTGTAGTGACATTCCCTCGGCCCGTGACGGGCTGGACTGTTGGTAACGTTATTAGTATTAGTAACAGCGTGGCCTCGCAGGCCCGTTCACCGGATGGAGCCCGCCACTGCCGACGGCCAACGAGCGACGACTGATTGCTGCTGACCTTGCCCGGTTTGCCCTCTCCACCAATCAGCCCGCCTGCAAAGCCGCTTGCCTGCGCAAAGGCCCGCCCACGCCTCCTCTGGGAAGGTGGTTTCCCACTGATTCTGTCCCCTAAACTTCATCAGGTGGTGGACCCCCGTTGCGATCTGGGGAGAATAAGTAAAATTCGATCGAAATCAGAGATTTCCGGCACTCCCAATATGACAGACCTATCAGAGAAAGCAATAGCCATGAATAGAGAGCGTGTTGGGCAGCGCAGTGAGCCAAAGATTAGATGAGATAGCGATGCTCGGCAGTGCGATTAGGCCGATAGATTGATAGCCTCGTCGATCCGCCTTCGTAGATCGATAAAGCCAAACGCCCCGTAACCTCTTCGTTGCGTGCTCGATAAGCATCGCTTCGCTCGTCTTTTCCCTTCCTTTCTTCTGCTGCAACTCCTGCTAGACGCCGACATTCTGGTTTAGCGCATCACCTCATACCACGCCATCTGCCCTCCTCATTCCTCGGCTCCTCTTCCCTCTTATCTCCCTCCCGCTCTCCTCCTTTTCCTCTCCCCCAAGGCACTGTGATCATCATCCTGCAGGCCTTAGTGAACTCGGCTTCAATCCCCGTCCCGCTTGGCTTCCTGCGGCCAGTGTCTCTGAACAGGTTTCCTCGCAGCCGCTAAGTCAGACTGGGGTGCTTCACTGTCAGCTGGCGCAACCGCCCATCACCTGACCGTCCCAGGCTACTGGGTCGCCACACTCTTTTGATATCTTCCTGCGTGGCGGTTTCTAAGAACAACCTTCTGTACGCCTTGCCCGATTCCGGTGAACCAGGCCGCTGTTCCTGCTGCTGCCATCCCCTCACCCCCGTGGGACTGGTCCTGTTTCATCTTCCACCCCTTTGACACCACCTGCCTTCTTTTCCCGACCTGCAGTTGTCTCTTCCGGCTTGCCGCTGTCCAACAGGCCCTGACCGACATTTGACCCTTTCGTCGCGTGGTTGATACGGCGAATTCGGCGTTCGACTGCGGTGCGACATCGCCCTCACATCGCACCCAGCATCCTCCCTCTTCTCCTCGCTTCCGCCGTTTCGTTCCTGGAAGCTTTCTCCTCCGCAATCGGGCTATACTTTTGAATCTCCCCACGCCGGCCTCTTCCTTTTCTCCCATCCTTTTTGCTGGTTCGAAGCCTCGCCAACTGGACCCTGGCCCCGAATACGCGGTGGTAATGTTAGCGTCCATTTCACAAATGGAAACGGTACGCTCTTTTTCCCGGGACCCCAGCGCTCCTATGAGGCATCCTTCGGCGGAAGATTTGGACGCCGCGCAGCAGCTGATCTCGTCTGCGCAGGCGGGTCGCGAACATCTAGCACAATATGGGGATGGCCCTGGGATTAAAGCATCGGGGAGTCCGCCTCCAAATCATGGACTGGCCTCCTCCGTGTCTGGTCAGCTCCTCGATGAACGATCGAACGGACCCCGGGATAAGACATCCCCCAAGGCCCAGAAAGATACCTCATTCCTAGGGCACTCGTGCAGGTGAGCTTGTTCTCTTTTCATCTTTTCCAACAACCCCCCCAATCTGGACTCTCAATATTGACAATGCTCAGTAATTGTGGGACACAGCACACTCCGCTCTGGCGCCGCTCGCCAACGGGTGCCATGATCTGCAATGCCTGCGGACTCTACCTGAAAGCTCGCAATGTCGCTCGCCCCACGAAACGAAATCGGATGCAACAAGGTTCGGATGGTGTTGATAAACCGAACGCGCCTGCTCCTTCTATGAACGACTCGCATGGTGCATCGGAAGGAGGCTGCAAGGGCTCCTGCCCAGGAGGTGGAAGTTGCAACGGTACCGGTGGCGCGGAGGGATGCGATGGCTGCCCGGCCTACAACAACCGCATCTACAAGGCTGCGACCCGTGGCCCTGCGCCCGTTGTTCATGGCTCATGGGGCCGGACTTCTGCCCCTGACTTAGACCCAGCACCTCCACCTCAAGAAGCTGAGACGTTGGCTAAAACCACTCCTTCCGATGGGGTCTCTACTCTAGTTGCCTGCCAAAATTGCGGGACAACGGTCACGCCGCTGTGGCGGCGGGATGAGCATGGGCACCCGATTTGCAATGCTTGTGGTGTGTATTTTTCGATCTGCTCTTCGATCTATCCTAGATTTCCGTTTATTGACCGCAAGCAGGATTGTATTTCAAGCTCCACGGTTGCTATCGTCCCACCACCATGAAAAAGTCCATCATCAAGCGGCGCAAACGTGTTGTTCCCGCTCTACGTGACCAGTCTCCCACTGCTGCCACACACTCATCCAACGGATCATCGGCCTCTCCCGAAGCATCTCCCGCACCCTTAGCCCACCCCCACGATGAGCATTATCGATACATGAGCAACGAGCCCATGGATGCACCGCGACAAACTCCCTTCGCACCGCCACCAGTGGACTTTACGGGCTACCATGTCAGCTCCGCTCCCTTGCAGCATCATCACCTTCCCAAGCTCATTGAACCAGAGCGATTGGGCCATTCGCCGGTATCTCAGTACGGACGACGATCTGCATCTCCAAACTCCCTTGGTATTCCCAAGAAACGCACACTCGCAGAAACCGCGGCGGAAGCCCTTCCTATTCCCACTACTCTGGAATCTGGATCTAATCAGCTGCCGCCAATCATGACTTCGGCCAATCCTTCGCCTCCAGGTCGCCTGAGCTCGATTTCTTCCATTCTGAATCACGCCGGTTCGCGCAGTGATTCGCATATGGGCCGACCTCAGTCCCTCCAACCTCCCATGCAGTCTGTTCCACCCCAATCGCAGCACCTTCCCAGCATCTCCTCATTCTCGGACCCTGCACCCGACCGTCGCGCCCAACTGGAACGGGAAACCGAGCAAATGCGCGAAGCGCTGCGAGCCAAGGAGCGGGAGCTGGCCGCGATGGGCCGATAATCCTATTCCCTTCCTTTTCAACAAAACAAAAAACGAGTCCAAGTTATGACGAATGTAATGAGATTCAAACTACAAATATTTCCGGTCTTTTTCGCGGTGGAGAGGTTCCCTCCGCATTGATACACGGCGCAAATACTCGGAGATTTGCGCATGATACCACAGACTACTTTCCTGGGATGTTGCATCCCTGACTATTACTGTTTCCCACTTCCTCATCAAAAAATAGTTCGCGGAGATGAACTGTATTCTACAATGGAATTGCTTCTTCTTAATGGCCTTACTCTTTCCGTCGTATCTCTTCCCCCTAGATACCGATTTGAACCTTGAGTGTTGAATTTCATGCAAAGCTCCTCGGCCCGGGCCGAAGAATTCGATGTCATCATGACCTCGCATTCCTCCATCCTGCCTGTCGTCGATTGAGGCTGCATCCTGGTCTCTAGTCTCAACAATAATACAAACCCCCTCACAATGACAGCGCCCAAGTCCTTCACCCTGAGCTTTCTCGGCGACGTCATGCTCGGCCGTCTCCTCGACCAACTTTTCCCACAGCACGTCACAAACGACCGCGATCAGCCAATCGCCGACACCTTCATCAAGTCGTACCCATCCATCCTCGCAAACGGAAATTACACACCCTCTTCGCCATGGGGCTCAGCCATCTCTCTCCTCCGAGCCTCAGACCTATGCCTCATCAACCTCGAGACATCGGTGACAACGACATCAGTGCCCTGGCCCGACAAGGTGTTCAACTACCGCATGCATCCTGCTAATCTCGCGCCGATCTTGCATGCCGCACATGTGGATTACGCCAGCCTTGCTAATAACCACACGCTGGACTTTGGAACGGACGGGCTTGTTGAAACGGTCTGGAGCCTACGCGAGGCAGGCGTTGCGTTTGCAGGCGCAGGCGAGACTACAGATCAAGCATATAAACCTGCCGTGTTATGGCTACCGAGACAAGTGCAACAGATCCGATCGAAACGTGTGGATGGGGAGAAGAAAATTCCATCACAGGAAGCGAAAAGTGCCGCAGATGAAGAAGGTTATCCAGTGCATGTATACTCGGCGGCAGATCACCCGAGAGATTGGAGTGTGGTCCCGACGTTCCATCTGATTGATTACTCGCCGGTTACACGGGCGCGTCTGAGAACGCTGCTCTTGTCTGGTGGAATGAGTAACCATCCTGGCGAGAGGGAAACGTCCTCTGATCCCGAATATGAGGACGAGAGCGATATATACCATCACCGGGAGCACCATCATCACCACTTTCCTAGCTCACCGAACCCCCCGCCAGCGCTGAAAATCTTCTCTATCCATTGGGGGCCTAACTACAGATGGCACCCGGCGGGGCAACTAAGATCTCTAGCGCATTTCCTGATCGATGAATGTGAGGTAGATATTGTGCATGGGCACTCGTCGCACCATGTACAGGGTGTGGAAGTCTACCATGGGAAGATAATAATATACGGATGTGGTGATTTCGTGGATGACTATGCGCTAAACGAGGAGTATCGGAATGATCTTGGGGCCGTGTGGAGGGTTATTGCGCGGGAAAATGGCGAAAGTGGAACGGATACTCGGAATATAACCGCGGGAAAGAAGCTTGTGCTTGATCGGTTGGAAATATTTCCCACGCGAGTTGACAAATTCAGGGCTATGCTGCTTGATAAGAGTGATGTGGATCACTCTTGGGTTAGCAGGAGGATAAAGAATCTTAGCTTGGATTTGGGGACGTCTGTACGCGAAGTCTCTGGGGAGCAGGGCCAGCTTATTATTGATTGTGATCAGTAGTCTAGTTATTCACGGAACCAGAGCGAGAAAAGTGGAGGCAATTTTATTGGGTGTACAAAAGACACAAACTATCAAATTAATTACACAAAAGGGCGGGCGTCAGACTATCCGGGAAGCTAGGTCAGGCAGCTGCAGCGAAGGCTACTGCGAGTGGACACAAAAGAGAGGGCAGTGGCGGCAAAAATAAGGGCTGTCGGAACGGCCTCGCGCGATAAGCGCTCAAGAACGCAGCAATAAAAATTTCGGAAGACGAGACTTACTATGAGGCCGCCAGAGGCTACAGTCTGCACTCCTCCAATTCTACCGCAGAATCTGCATCTACGGGGCGGAGTAAACGTAAAGTGCCATGGAGGCCGTTCTGGACGCAGGACAACACCGCCTAGTGATTGTTTCTGAAGGGTAAAAAATAGACAGAAAGATTCCTTAGACATTTTTGCACATAACTGTGATGTCTAATAATATTTTGAATGGTTGTGTTGAATACAGGATGTGAATTTAAATTTTGGGTTATTGATCGGAAAATCGGTTGCATCAGGTGGTGTGTTGCATGACCTGGTGACCTGCGTTACCCGGGTGCAAGTACTCCGTATGGTCGAGGTTAGTCTGTTGATCATGGAGCGGTCGCACCGACAGGATAACATTTGTGCCCAATGATCGCAGGGACAGACACAGCCCCCATGGATGCGTAGCCCAATGCCCAATGGCCAATCAACAGCAGCTTTCAATCTGTTAGTGCCCAACTCTGAATAGCAGTTGATTACGTAGCCAATATTACAGTCATAAATATCAACGTCCACTCTGCGTTGTTGTTATATTCATTTCTGGCATATGGCTCAATCACAGACTTTTGTTGGCACCCTAAAATCACTGATTTCTTTTCCCATCAACCGGTCCTTGCAACATCACGAGTCTTAAAGTGGCCATGACATACATGTATATATGCTGTCAATGTCATGATGGACCTAAAGTATACGTTGTCCAGCCAACCTGTGTAGTGTGCCATCACGTCGCTTGCAAAGTACGTACTACAAAAGCAGCCTCCTGGAAATAGTGATATCTTGGTTGAGCTGATAACTGACCTGGGCTCTTAATGATTATAGGGAGTAAGTGAGCCCAGCTAGAAGTGAGTTGGTGTCAAAGCTAAACCATCGTTAACTTGGACACTTTGGGCTGTTATAGATGTAAGTGAGTCCTGCTAGATAACTTGATGTCCTCAGACATTGGTTGAATTAATGGTTGTTACTCTTATTAGCGGACGTCAACATTTTTCTAGGGATGTGATTCGGCCTCAATTCGATAGAGATAGTCTGGAATTGTGTAAATTTGACTGGCTTCACAAGAAGGCCTATCTTGGTGAGGAGCACGAGGATAGCCTTTCTGCTGCGTTCACCATTGCCGAGGTTTTGTCGAAAGGAAAGCGCCATAAACAAGCACTGGGATGGTACCGTTTTGTGTTTCTGACAGAAAGTGTGAAGCTTGGAATGGACCATCTAAAGACTTTGGAAGTGAGGGATCACATTGCGGATGTGTTGAGAGCTCTAGGTCGGGGTGATGACGCTAATCGTTGGGAAGTTCCTGGAGTGAAGGGTTGCGTGGAGGTGAAATGACGGGCTCCACACTTGCTCAGCTCACACAGATATCTCATGTTTTTCTTCTCCTGGTCTCCTAGCTAGATCACATTCGGATCAACATACCATTCAGTTTCATTCTTTAGTCCATGTCACGAGAGATTGTGATATAGCTCTTGGATAAAAATGATCTTAAAGGCATCGTGGAATTAAAACATAGAGTGAGGCACATCATTATGATGATAATGATTAATGCTGGTGGAATTTGCCCTTCAAAGGAAGTCCTGTCCCCAAATTACCCAAGGTTCCAGCGACACCTGATAAGCCCTCTCTACGTTTACTTACCAGATTAACATTATGGTCTGGTCTGAACATATCCAAGGGTATTTTCAATTAACAACGCATGTGTATGTATAGTCTTGCCTCCGATTCACACAGGGGGTTTAGAGATGAATTCTTCAAGGTCCTGCCCTAAGTTATCTTTGTCCCAAGGTCCTCGTGTCGGGGGATTGGAGATGAATGCTTCTAGATCCCAGCCCAGGTAATCTTGGTCACGAGGCGCTCCCATAGGGGGATTGGATATGAATTCCTCTAGATCCTGACCTAAGTAATCTTTGTCGCGAGGCTTTCCTGTAGGGTGGTTGGAGAGGAATTCTTCAAGTTCCCGCCCGGAAGCGTCTCCATCATGGGTTATATCTTTAAGGTCAGGCTCTGGTGGGGCTTCATAACGGCGAGGAACAACGCGCCAATCAATATGCTCACAATCAGGGACGACATGTTCTAAAGGAGGATCATTGTCAGGGTCAATTCCGCCATCTCTGTGTAGTGAGAAGTCCTCTATATTGTCCATATTCTGATAGACTGATCTCTCGCTCGAGATGACCAACGACGACTGATGGTCGGCGCCGTCGGATGCACTTTGATCATCGGCCGAAACATCCATCGCTATATCTATGGATATCAAACGTAGTGTGAGAAGCATTATACCCTGGAGATGTGCAGCCACATGGCTCGCAATCACTTCCAAGCTGGTGGGCCTGCTCGTGGACGGGCCAAAAAGGGCCTTTGGTTCACGATGCTTGGTTTTCGTTTCCAGATTAATCCCATTGTTGTGATCCAAGTATGTGTGGCCAGTCTCTGTCTTGATTTGCTTGCTTTCATCCAGCCGGCTTGCCTCGTAATGCTGCTGTTCGGGAGATGGGTCTCTAATTTCATTACCCGTTTCCTTAGACAGAGTATCCTGTGGGCCTTTCACTGGAAGACAGCAGAGAGGGCATATATCTTGCACACGGGGGGACCGAAACCGACTCTGTTGCACGATTGCCTCAACCTGGGACACCGTAAAAGTCCCTGCATGGAGATTGTCAAGGTGCTTAGTAAGATCTTTCGGCCCGGAAAACGTTGTGTCTTCATCGCTACACAATGGGCAAGCCCATGATAGCGGCACATGGACTTCACGGTGCCAACTTTTACCATGAGTGGTAAGCATGTGCTCCAGCCATTGCGTCGAGGTCGCAAATCTTATCAATGATTCAGAGCAATTTTCCGAGATACAAACGTAAGGCTCATGGTCTTCATTCACATGCCGCCTAGGAGTTGAGTGTCAAAAAAATGCCCGTTTCTCAAGAGAGCGGAATGGGTTTGCAGGTTTCGTACCGCCACTTGGCTCCCTCAAATGAGTCTGCCGGGAGTGGGCTAAAGCACCACTCACAGGTCAAGCTTCCTTTCGCCGGTTGGGGGTAGTCCACTTGATTAACCAATATAGACATTGTCTTGTCATTTACTGCGGGGCTCAACATTTTCTTGAACCTCGTTCTGAATCCCTGACTGTCCACGGAAGTTGGCTCAGATATGGGTAACATATGAGCTGAACGACGAAGCATCTTTGTAGTAAAATCTTCGCCTAGCTGGCGGACTTGTATCTGGGTATCCATGGGGCTTCCCACATCATCATCTCCAACTGGCTCCTCTATAATAGTGGATAGTGGTATTGCTGTTCGGAGATGTGACCGGGGGGCCTGAAGCTGCTCCTGGCGATATTTGCGACGAAGGAACAGAGAGAAGGTTTCTGTCATGGATCGGGTGAGCTGTTCTAGGAGGTCTTCGCTTGCCTCAGGATAAAGTGTCTTCACGGACAGATACGCCACTCCTTCGAAAGACGCCAAGTCAAGTTTCTCCGCAAACTTTCTAGCCTTTGATGTCTGGCTCGTTACTGACGACTGGCGGATGGAGAGTCCGAGATGATTGAGGCGTTCAATGGCCCCGGAAATTGCGTCCAGGCTATAAATACTAACACAAAAGGGTTGCAGTGATGACTGGCACGCATCGGACGACCCAGTGTCCATGCAATCAGGAGGGTCATCTCGTTCGAATACTACCTATACAGTTAGTGCTTATTGGTTTGCTGGGGATACAGGAGGAAACACAGCATGTCAGGTTTCTCTGCATGATGTCAAGCAGACGGAGCACCTGATCTTGGATCTCAACGTGACGTCGAAGCCTGCGATCCAAGCACACATTCGATTCGGCGAAGACACCCAAAAAAGCTGTCCAGGCGGCGAATCGTTGGCTTAGCTCTGAAAGAATCTTGGCACCATTTGGCTGGTCGTCATCGTTCAGTCTGGAAACATGTTGTACGAACAGCCTTTCGCATTCAACAGCGAGTTCATATATCGGTTCCTCATACTCGATAGCTTCCATGGTCACTGGTTCCGTGATAACAAAAGCTCGAAGCCACCTCGCAAGCGCCCCGGCAATACAAGGACTCACCGACACTCACGTAAAATAGCTATGTTATTCGGGATTATTCCAGCGGAGGATAAAAAAAAAGTGCACTAGAAGACAGAGAAGCACACGCTGACAGATTTCACGATGTGAAGATTGGGCCAGCTTGGCACATGATTTCATTCCGGGACACCCCGCTCAGGAAGCCCCGCTTTCCTGATCAGGCTAAACTTCCTGGGCAACGTTTCATGGGCTTCTAAACGCTGACAGCACTGCCTAGGAGCAGCAATATCCGCAAGATAACGATGCTTCCCACAGAATCACTTGGGTGGAACGGGATTCAAGCTGTCAGGTCACGCTTGACTGGCAGACTTGCGGGGTTTACGAGGAACACAACGCCCGACAGCCGCCCGCATAAATTGCAGAACGATGCCGCTTTCTTCGAAGCCGATCTTCGCTACATCCTCACGGCAACACCTGTCGTTGTCGATTTCTCAGAGCATGAATACGCCGATATGGATCAAATGGCACGAGATCTTTTGGCTTCGCTAAACGACATGGCCAATGGAGATCTCATCGGTCCTCTGGGAGCAACACGGATCGGCACTCACGACATGACCCTACTTGGCGACAAGTACCCACGACTGAGTTCCCTGATTGGCTTATTGGATACGTCCGGGGACCAGTTCAACCTGACGACTGGCCCAGGCTCATTTCTATTCATACTGCCTCAAGGGCAAGCAGGACGTATTGCGATGGAACGAATGACCAAATTGAAAGCATTTTTAGAACGTTCTGCGGCCAGCACTCAGAAATCGCAGGGTCTTCAGGTAATTTCCCAGCCACAGACGGAAATCTCGGAGAAAGTGTCAACGCAGGACCAACCCGGTGTGCATGAAAAGCGCGCGAGCGTTGTAGTCAACGCAATATTCAAGGAGTTTCGACAGCTCACTTGTCGAGAGACACACGAAATCAAGCTGAGGGTGTCGGATGAGTGGCAAACCGGTCCTTGCGACACCTTGGATATGTTCGTTTCTTGCTGCCCAGACGGAAGTATTTGGCAACAAGCCAAATGTGGCACATTTCGGTACGTTTGTGCTAACACTATAAGTCCAATGGTTTTTAATTAAACAAACGGATAGTACAACGATGGACGAGACTGAGAAGGACAGTATATGCGGAGCGATCCAACGAGCAAAGGAACGAGGTAGAACACTCTATCTGTTCGTTAACCAGCGAGGGTTATTTGATATCTCAGATAAAATGCCACCAATACTGTCGAGTTTGGATAAATTTGGCGCAGAATCACTCGGTGAACTACTCGATCAAAAGGCTTTCATTCGGATCACCCCTCGAGACTACCTAAAAGGGGCAGCAATCGAGAAAGTTAGTTCTCGAGAGAAGGCGACTCTAGCTCTTTCGCTTGCGAGATGTCTGATGGACTTCTTCGACGAGGACCTCGAACTGGCCTCATACAGTTGGAAACCAGAAACCATATACTTTCTACGCTCTGCCGGTGCCCATGCCAGTAACCGTGTACTCTATATCTCGCTCAGGCCGAATCTTTCGAGTCCTAAATTCCCAGACTTACTCAAGACAGTACGACCCGGCAACCCAGTCCTGCTTTCATTTGCTAGGCTCCTTCTGGAGATTGACAACGGCGAGAAGATCCCGATGACGATTTACCCTGAAAGCAGAGCCAACGTGTCGACATGGGGGGAGATGTGCGACTTCGTTAACGTGGCAGGAAGAGAAGGAAATAGCAACTACCTTAGGGCTGTGGAAGGGTGTCTGTATCTACACATGGCCCTGCCAAAATCTCAAGACCAACCAACTGGCCCAGCTGCAAGTGAAATATTGAGGAAGGCTATTTACGAGCAAATAGTACGCAATCTTGAGCTCACGGTGAACCCGCAGAGCTTGAAGCGGAAACGGGGGGGTTCTTTGTCCGAGCTTCCGCAGGAGAAGAATTTTTCGATCTCATCGCCACCAGACATAGAGTCGCAGGGGATGTTACCTTGCTACGCCGCCAAGAAGACTGCTCGCCCTGCTAGCCGCGATGAATTCGAGATTGCAATAGTATGTGCATTACCGCATGAATACAATGCCATGCATTTTCTCATCGACGAAGTCTGGGATGAGGACTGCGACTACTACAGGGGGGCCGATGGGGATCCGAACATGTATACGGCCGGCCGCATTGGGAATTTCAACATGGTTCTGGTTCTTCTTCCGAATATGGGCAAGGTTAGCGCGGCTGGAACGTCCACCAACCTTTACCTAAGCTATCCAGGACTTAGGCTTGTCCTTGTGACTGGCATCTGCGGTGGCGTGCCTTGTCCAGGGGGAGATGAAGAGCTTCTCCTTGGCGATATAGTCATTAGCAGGCATATTGTCCAGTACGATCTTGGCAGGCAATATCCTGACAAGTTCCACATGCGAGATACTGCGGAGGATGGCCCTCGCAGAGCTCCTAAAAGCATACGCAGCCTGCTTGCTATAATTGAGACGACCGTCGGGCGTGAGCGACTGGAGCAATGGACTGCCAATTACCTCCAAGAAATCCAAAAGAGCGCCGCTCTGAAACGGCGCGGCACCAAATACCAGTATCCAGGATCCTCACAAGACAACCTCTTCCAGTCAAGCTACCAGCACAAGCACCATCTTTCCAAGCAATGTGTCTGCGCACACAAAAATAATTTAGCAACTGTTTGTGAGGAGTCCCGTCAGCTCTCATGTGATGATCTTGGATGCGATAAGAAGTACCTAGTTCAACGGAAACGACTCGAGTCAAAGCGACAACTAGAGCGGGAAGGGCGTGGCAAGGATGCCCAAGCGCCTTCAATATTCGTTGGGCGTGTCGCATCAGGCGATTCTGTGATGAAGTCTGGCGAGGACCGTGACAAGATTGCCAAGCGTCACGGTGTAATTGCATTCGAGATGGAGGGCGCGGGGGTGTGGGACGAAGTACCCTGCATTGTAGTCAAAGCCGCCTGTGACTATGCAGACAGCCACAAGAACAAGATATGGCAAGACTTTGCAGCCGCGGCCGCAGCATCCGCCGCGAAAGCGCTACTGAAACAGTATACTAGGGCTGGGCATGGATAAGGACTTCTTATATTCGTATTCACAAGATTTCTGAAGTCAATATTCGTAGTTGACCGGTTTTGAGAGGTCCTAATCCTATTCGATTGGTACTTTGGAATCCCCAACTAGGTGCATGTGCTTCGAAGCTTATCCAAAACAACGTGTGTCACGCCAATTTTACTGCGCTTCGTTTATCTGTCGCGGTCACATACCACTCCACACGAATTTTCGAAAAGGTTTGCCAACCAATATCGATATTATCACGAGGACCCCTGATCTTGAAATGAGTTCCCGAGATGTCCAGTCACTACAAGAGAATCTCAGCAACTGTGACCGCTGCATCTATTAGATTCGCACATAGAAGGGCTTTGCTAGTACAGTCCATAATTTTTGACCAGAGACAACATGTATCAAAAGAAACAATAACCACCTAAGGGTAATTGCGTTATAGACAGGCGGGTGTGAATCACCCTCTGTCGCGTAGGAGGAATTTAATGCTTTGATCACGTGCTTTACTTGTTGCGTTGGATTATATTTCTAGATAGTTATTAGCATCACACTCTAACCAACTGAGTTATGGAACCCGATCAGATGTTTTTCGCTCGCTTTTTTGACATTATTAGCCAGTGAACCAATTTCCACAAAGTCATGACTGGCGCCCCTACTAATGCTCAGCGGATGGGAAGCCCTGTTCTCCACATGCTATGGTCGTATGTACTTTGGATCGCTTCTGAATTTTATATATACTCCTCATAATGAACTGAGATTAAGTGGAGTCTAGTGTGAAGTAGGTAACCCTGTGGCAATCATGCCTTACCTCAGAACCATATAATAAGTGAGGAGCGGAGACTCTGTCACTGTCTAGTTCAAGCAGAAGGGAGGATACACAAGAGAAAACCCCAAGATCAGGCTCCACGATCATCTGTCACGATTCCTTGCGAAGGTCGACCACATGGACAAAGTGTCTGCGAGCTGGAACGGATGTAGCGCAAATTAAACATCCAATCACAGTCGCAATTTTGGACTGATTATCAATGCTAGAGAAGAGCTGACGGAAATCTGTGATGTACCCCTGAACGTCGTTGTTCATTGCCAACCGGCCATATGAAATAGTGACCGTACGCATCTTCTCAAAGGATAATGAGAGACAGATAGACTAGGCAAGTCGTTAGAAACGAAGTAAAGTGGCTTACCCCAGAGTTATGAAAAAGCGCATGGATTGCAACCCAGTCTCGCATCCAAGACTCGTGTACCAAACATAGCTAAATTGCCCCGCTCTGGCGTGTAGCTCACTAGAAAAATGTAATGTTCTAGCACCTACGTCGGTCTAGTTTTACATACAAAAGAACCTTTGTTCCGGGCTTGCTATCTTATGTGGAAGCCTGCATGTGTAGAAAGATAATCAAACTAATCTAAACATTAGGACACACACCGTGAGACAAAACCTGCAACAGTTCCATATAAGCGTCTGCAATAATCTTTCTCTCGTCTTCCCAAAAACCTGGCCCGGTACTAGCCGCGAAACCGATATCTTGGCCCCTTGCTGCCTTCACCAGCACATCCCGCCACGGAAAAGTCAATTCGACGTTACTCGAGATCGGGCTCATCCGAACACCCTGCAGTACCTCTCTCAACTGCTTGTTGCATTTACCACCTCCGTGGCCTCCATAGCTGACGACAATGGCCGGCTTTCCGTTCCACTCATGATAGAGATAGTCGATGGCATTTTTGATCACAGCAGGATAGCCCCAGTTATACTGAGGAACCACGAAGATGAAAGCATTGTAGCGTTGGACTTCCTTGCTCCACTCGCGGGTGTGAGGGTGATCATATTGCGATGAATCCTTGATTTGCGATGGGATATCAGATTCGTCGAACATTGGGAGGTTCCATTCCGCCAGGTCGATCAATTGGGGGACAGGCACAGTGTTGGCGGCATTGGTTTCCATGGATTGAATTGTGTCAAGAACAAACTGTGCAATCTGTGGACAGGCACGAGGCTTTCTGGTGCTGCAGACGATCAGGCCGACTCCGATCGAGGTTTGGTTTGCAGTGGCCATGGTGTTTTATGGTGGGTCTGGATATAAAATAATATAAGGAACAAGTTTTCAGAAGGGCTTGTCATGCAGAGTTGGCTGTTGATGAAGTGTCCTAGTGGACATCTTATTCATGATGTCTCCTTGGATACTGACCTAGCTTTATACTGTTGATTCAATGGAGGATTTGTGTCGAATACTTCAACTGTAAGATGAGCGGGTATCTTCAGGACCCACTCCGCGGAGCAGTCCGCGGGCCCGCGGACCACTGCATCACCTAGCTTCCCAATCTCCAATCACAGCTCCAAAGCCACCTAAGCTACCCAAGCGCAAATGTTGCCTTCAAATTTTCCTTGGTTAAAATAACACCGGGTCTTACTAAAGCTCTCTTTGGTCAGCGAATATCAGCCTCACCAGTCTAGAAGTCCTGCAATGGAAACGTGGGCAGCCTGTACAAAGGATAACCCCGGAATAGCGACATTCTTGTATCGTCAGCTATATAGTATTTCACTGTCAACCACACATGTCTCATATCTAGTAAATGAACGGGCCCCGTAGTAGCGGGGAATCTTGATGAGAATGTAAACCATTCAAACACGAAGAGGGGACTTAACATTTTCCTCATACCATTAGTCTCAATCTGACCATCCGGGCGTGTATACGTTGCTTCTTGATGGTCGCCAAAGTACTGCCCTTCAAAGGCTGTCTCCACAGCTCTACTAAACTCTTTGACTGCCATGCAATCTCAATGCCGCGCAATGATTACTTCCATCCATGACGTGCCCATGAACCGATATTTCGGTTGGTGCCTCGATGCCCTGAAGATGCACATAATGGCTGTCAGACCTTTCAATAAGAACATGCCTGTGATGTGATAGTTTGCATATGAATTCGCGGAATCTCCCGACCTTGGTAAAACAGTCGATTTGAGTCACTATGATATCTCCTACCTATGACGACCACCCTGATTAATCATTGACTCATTGACTCTACGATGACCTAACATTTCAGTCATACATCACAGAGCTGATAATATAAGTATCGGGTATTGCTGGAGCCGGATATTGAATGAACGCAAATCGTGTTGAAGGGTACTCTCAATTATACACCTGTATTCACTTGATTTTGTTTTCAACATGTCAGCCGGACAAAGACACCCCGAGCCGCTTCGTCGGGTCGTAACTGCTCATGATTCGAGAACCGGACGAGCTGTCTTTGCCGAAGCAGATGATGAGCAGGTGTCGTTTACTGGATTCCCTGTTCCCCCCGGCAAGCCCCCAACGTCGGACTATGCTTTGGCCTATAATACCTCTACATTTCCAGTGCAAGGGCTCTCCCCTGTGACTGATACAACCCCGGATTCCCAAGCCAATACCGACATTAAGCAATATAAGTCCCAACTCTCTGATCCATCTCCTTTGAATCCGCCAAACGGCACATCTTGCACAATTATTGAGGTACCGCCGGGTGCCGCGGTCCCGATGCACCGAACAACGACACTCGACTATGGTGTCATAATTGATGGCACTACAGAATTAATACTTGACTCTGGAGAGAAAAAAACATTAAAAAAGGGCCATGTGTTTGTTCAACGAGGCACAGCTCATGCTTGGCGGAACGTGACGGAAAAGAACGACAATTCTGGCGTTTTACGTGTCTTTTTCGTCTTTCAACCAATCGAAAAGGTGCGACTGGATGGCGGGAAGGTTGTCGATCAGGATTTAAATCTATCTCTGCATTCTTAAAAGTATGCATCGCTCGAACTGCAGAAACTGAATCTGGCCTTTGATAAGTGTTGTCAGTTATTCTTGTCTGATCGATATTACAGTAATCTTCGGATGAGCCTGTTCTTATGATCCTATTTCTTCCTGGTAAGCAAGGCAATTATCTTCTCTTCATACGTTAGTATAGTATAAAAGGGTAATATATCTTGAAAACTTCTCTCCGTGATCTTTGTGTCTGAGATTTGGATTTCAATAACGAGAATTTGCGTGGCAAACCTGAGTACAGATTGAGCAATTTCAGGGATATCTCCATATTTTCACTACAATTTTGAATCCAACATTTCCCCCCGCAATTTTGTAGGTCGGGCGCCGAACTTGTCAAAACTTTTTGGATGGACAACCGTGTGAAACTTCCGGACCAGTTAGGAACACTTCCATCCGAGCCATTTTGTTCCTATAACTCATCATGAGGAGCCTCCTCCTTTTGGCTATCCTGAAGCTCTCAGATAACTGTTAACGCGGGTGTTCCTGGCGCTGGAGGCGCAGAGAACTTCGTCTGAACGAAGACCTTCTGCATGCCCGGGTCACGCTTATTGAATAAATCATAGACCTTTTCCATGTCCTCGAGCATGTAGCGGTGCGTGACCATATCAAGGGGGTGAATCTTGTCCTCCTGAATATACTTCAAGAGCTCTTCCCAGTATTTTTGCACAGGAGCTTGTCCATTTCCACAGAGATGAATCCCGGTCTCCATCAAGGAACCGATGTTGAAGTGATTGCACTGCATTTCCTCGTCAGTGGAGTGGTTTCACCATAAAAAAGGTCCCACATACATAGCCGGCATATACGCCCGTGATACCACAGCGCCCGTACGCACGGACAGAGGTAATCATCTCGTTAACGAGCTCAGACGTATCCGTTTCCATGCCCAGCAACCTCTCAAAGTAATGAGCCCATCCTTTTGTATACTCACCGGCGGCGCACTCAATCGCCACATCGGGTCCGCGGCCGTCGCACATTCTCTTTAGAGTTGAGGTAACGGATTCGCCCTTTGGGAGGCCCGTATAATCAATCGTCTCCAGCTTAGGTAGTATCTTCTTGACAAAGTCTAATCGCCATTTTCCATGGCCGCCGTCAATGAGGATGACCCTGCTAGCTCCATTGAAGAAGCTGAACTCAGCTACCATCTGACCAACTGGGCCAGCTCCCCATATCGCCACAGTATCACCCTTCTCAACCCCAGTGTCGACAACGGCATTCCAAGATGTTCCCAGCACATCGGAAAGGTAGAGGCCTTTTTCATCGGGTACATCGTCAGGCAGCTGAAGGAGGTTCACGTCACCGAAAGGGACGCGGACATACTCCGCCTGCCCACCGGCAAAGCCTCCCGTGAAGTGAGAGTATCCAAACATGCCTGAAACGGGCCTCAGTATATAGCCTCTCCAACAGGATGGCCATTAAAAAAAACTCACCGGCTGTTCGACGCCCGTATAACTTAACGGCCTCCTCGTTCGAATTCGTCCGCTCACACATTGAGGATAGCTTCTTCTGGCAATAATAACACTTCCCACAGGCAATTTGGAAGGATGCCACAGCGCGGTCGCCCACTTTAACCTTCTTGACTGCCGGTCCCACGCTTTCGATAATACCGCAGAACTCGTGGCCGAGGATATCACCTTTCTGGAGATCCGGGATGGCCTCTACATATTGATAACGGATAGCGCATTAGCAGATCTACTATAGTAACACTTCAATACCTGTGATGACATACCGTGAAACAGGTGCAAATCACTGCCGCAAATGGTGCTGCCAGTCACCTTAAGTATGACATCGCCTTCATCGATAATCTTGGGGCAAGCTGTCTCCACTATATCAAACACATGAGCAGGAGATTCAAATTATATTAGAATACTCCGAAAGGAAGTGAAGGTCGTGATGGGAAGAATGACTAACCAACTTTAACTGAATTCTTCCCTTGCCAGGTCAAAGCCTTCATCGTATGGCTGGGGTCGCCGTATCCCTTAGCTTCATAATTGCTGACATCTGTGGTGACCTCGGTAGGCATGTTGTATATTTCACCGAAGGTTTCTGGTCGAGTTAATTTTCCGATTAGAATGAATTACCTTCTCGCTTTGATGAGCGCCTCCGTGCTAAAACCACAAAGAGGGAATGGTATATATCTGTCTCACTAGATAGCGGGACGTCATCGGCTTCCCTGACAGCATGCTTAGGTCTTTGTGTTTACGTCACCATGAGGGTATCCCAGCCAAATCTAGAGAGAAGGGGCGAGTTGGGATTGTGAACCTCACATTGATGTCATGCATGTCGGAATATTTAAATTTAGCTGGGGCACTTCGCCTTGACTTGGTTCTAGACTGATTAGGGTTCATGTACCACTTGAGATGCAAGGAGGACCGTTGAACAATGACATTATTTGGGCTTGAGAAGTTTCAGAACAGCTGAAATTTTTAGACAATTTTTTTAAATCTTGGAATCGGCATAGCAGCAGCATTGTTACCCCAACAGGAAAGTACTCCGTATTTTCCATTTATTGGCAGGTCCGATCGTCAACCGCTACTCTGAATGCGCAAGAGATTGCACCTGAGCGGGAACTGCTTCCCCTGCCTTTGCAGCCGTGTTAGAGCCTAAAAAGCACTAGTGGCTGACCTTCCGTTCGCAGCGTATCTGCCCATCACCATTACAAATATTGACTGTCACAACCTGTTGCTCATGGGCAACATCCGATGAAAGGGTGAGGACAGGTGTAATGATGATGTATTAGAATCTATTGTACCTGAACTAAACTTATAAAAGGAGCTTGGGGTCACCTGATCATTTAGCTGACTAATACAGCTAACATCTGTCGCGGGTTCCAGCTGAGCGGGACTCAGAAAAAGTTGAATGGGACCATGAATTGACTAATCCCGAGTCCCGCTCAACTGGAACCCGCTGCTGGGCCCAACAAGCACAAACCCCGAGGTGGATGAGCTAGAAAAACCGAAAGGAAAGAAAAATCAGCATGACAGGAACGTTGAATTCAAATCCTCGCTTGGGAACAGACATAAACAATCTGGGCTGTTGGTAAAATAGTGATGAATGAAAACGAAAAAAGCGAATCATCTCCTAGCGGAATCGCGGGGGACTAGTCAATTTTGATCTACCTTGAATTGAAAACTAGGCTGCTTCGGGATTGTGCCTTTTGAGGCAATGGTGGGACAAGTAGACGACATCAACCACAGTGTCTAGGAAAGATGACCCAGACGTTTTGGTTGCGTACATTAATGTCTAGGAGGCTTTCGAGAGATTTTGATGTTTAGCTAATAGATTATGTGTCCGGCCAGAGGTGGGAGTGATGGAAGACGCCTTTCTAGTCCGGATGCTCCAGACCTCGCATGTTGATGTCAGATACTGCCTGCAGTGCATCCTTCTTTGTTCTCGTGACTCTTCCTCCTCTTGAAGAGAACTTGGAATTAGCTCAGCAGGCTATGTATGTCTCGCTTATCTTTCTTTGCTTCCTTTGCGCCAGCAGTATACGCCACTGCCGTCATATGTGTATGTTTGAAATGATGATTGATATTCAAAAGCCTTTCATAAGAAGTCTTCACAGAGTTATCCATCTCCGTATATGACACTCGCCATCTTAAATGTGAAGAATAGATGTAATGAAGAAGAATATGAGAATATGGTTTGATCGTGATTAGATATTATCATATGAATTGAAAGATCGAAATATCAGCTAGCCTCCCAAAATCATCCAGACCGAGTTGAAAAGGTGAATACCCAAAAGAACGTGTGATCCATCGCATGCAATTCGTGAGATATAAGGCGTTTGCGTGTGTCGCCTGAAATATGAAATAATAAAGATTGGGAAAAGAGAAATGAAGGTAGTTTCATGATGGATCCATCACGAGCCGCCGCTCACTAACAGTATCACCGTGCTTGCTTTCCTGCATGACGGTCATTTCAGTAGTAACCTCGATTCCACCAAGAGAACTGCGACTTGAGCGATTGCCGTGTTTGACATTGATCGAATACATGTCGAAGTCTTTGTCCATATTCTGGCTGAACAACTCGGTTTGTGGCGACCGGGCGGCAGTGATATTGCGGGTAGTGGTACGCCCTGGATTCGTGGTATACCGGTTGTAGCTGTTGGTGGAAAGAAGCTTGGGGAAGATGCGGCTGATTATAGGCCGGAGGAACGGCAGACAAGCGCAAATGATAGCCACATTGCACTCTGCTGCCGTCCAGTAAGCAGCGCCAACATTGCTGTCTGTAGAGTGTGTTAGACATCGCGGGAGGATCAAGGCTGAGATCAGGACATACATGAGGTGTCTGTGCTTTTGGCGACTGTCCGCAGACTTGAAAGGCGTAGAATGCTTGTGATCACGACACTAAAACGTCACGTCAGTAATCGTCAATATTTCCCGGCTTAGTATCCACATACAGAATACCAATGGCAAACACGCCCATCAGAGCAACCTTTTGCATTTTGGGCAACTGAAGCTTGATAAGGAATGGCATTGGAAGCAGAAGAAGGGTCACATCTGTTGCAATGTTCATAGATGCATTGAAGAACCAGACTGCCTCAAAGCTAAGACAACTGCCTGGCAAGTCATGGTTCCAAAATTTGGCTATCGGCACGCAATTGACATAAGCGCTAACAATGGCCCATGCCGAGTAGGTTGCAACGATCGACATGACAATGTAGCAGGCGTGTCGGAAAGACCGTGCGGGGAAGATGCGGAGGTATTGCAAAAGAATGGAGAATTTGGTGAATGCCAGACTAGCGTTGTACATGGGAATGGCCGCCCAGAGGCACTATAAAGAAGGAAGGAGTTTAGCAAGAATGTGAGCAAGTACGTAACTAGCAAGCCTACCTTCAATTGCGATTGCAGTGTAGCAGTCGAAAGCTGATCCGAGTGTATACCCATTCCATAATGAAATTCTGCACCTGTGGTCAATCGATATATTTATTGGGCGTTTTGATGATCACGTACGAGCACCGACAAGAGCGAGATAGACTATCGAGAAAACCTGTCACCAAAAGACTGATTAATCCGCATATTCTTCCATACTCTGATTCGTATCAACATACCAGAGATATCAAAATAGTCCAGTCTTCACGTCCAGTGATCTTCATCAACCTAAGGCGTGCGAATAGCCGCATGCCAACAATGAGAGCGGCGATACTCGTCAAAGCCGTCGTTACAACCAAGGCTCGTCGGCCGCGCGAGTAACCATTGTCCTCCACTCGCGGAAGGAGCTTGTGCAGAATAGTTTCCATATTCAGGTGTATCAGGGGTTTAAAGGAGTGAATAGGCGATCAAATTCGTCAAAGGAGTGTTCAGTTGTTCATGTTCAAGCGATAGATTTCGGGTAACCCTCTACAGAGTCTGATCCAGTGACTGCATCGAGCCTTCGAAGGCTTGCGGTCTTCGCCTGGGAGGAGGAAAAGCCTGCGGTCGAACAGAGGGATGACGAGTTGAGCGGGGGGCGCTGCCTGTGAAGTCGGCCTAGGGACTGGGGTTAAATGTGTCAGTTTGTGGAGTCAATCTGGCGTTTATGCACATCATCACGCAAAGATCCCTGTTCGCTTAGTGGCTTGGGCCTGAAGATCTCCGGAGAACTTAAATAGTCTTTTCAATAGCGCATGAGCAGGCGGCGATCTCGAGAGCATGTCCATATCCCGCAATTGCTCGCTTGTGTCAGGCCTTCGGCTGGAGTATGCGCCATATGGTCCCCGGATGGAGAACAGATCCATGCAGGCATGCCTCAATGCACGGAATCCTGGTATCCAACACTCTAGCGCGGAGTTAGTCGTAAAACTTCCCCACTGTCATCGTCGACCATAGTGGGTCTCTTGACACACGAGACCCAGCGTTTTGGCTCACAGCCATGCGGACTAGGGCAAGATTGGCGGGTGGCTGCCGAATATCCATGGGACGAAGGGGCTGTCTTCTCAACTTGCCCTGTCGAGCATAGCTGTCGAGGGAGGATGGGCCGCCCAGGCTGTTGTCGACCCACTTGACAGGGTACGATGTTGCACTGTGAATGACCGCACTCGTGTTAAATTCCGATGCTGATTAATGCATCACATGGTAGTTATCTGTGCTCCAGGCTTTACAGAATTGTAATCCGCTTACGCCGCATCAGGATTATGAACTGCAATAACTATGCATCATTCCCCACGGAGATGAACCACACACGGTGCTCTTTCAAAAAAACCTATTCTGCACCGGCCTACGCGATCTATGCATTGAGCCTGAATGTACGGAAGAGCCATCGCGTCTTCAACTTCCAAGTTCCCGGACGTTAAATCCGACTGATGAAAAACCATGCTTTGCGCGTGGATCATTTCCCGTTCAGGGTGAGATCGGCCAGCCCCTGACGAGTCTAGCTTCAATAATGCCTTGGGGTTCTCCACCGCGGATGTCCATGCCGCACATGCCAATAAAAGCGACAACCCACTGGGGTAGCGCATTGAACGTGGCATAGTTGACACGCTGCAAGCATCACGCTTAAGTGCAACCCCTATGCTAATTCGGTACGCTGTGCAGAGTACAATATACTGTGCATATCCCTATGCCCAAGCGGCCGGAGCTGAGCTGCCTACGCCCCCTGATTGCAGCGCCAGGCAGCCATCCTTGAAGATCCTTTAGCGACGTATTGCGGAGCAAATGATCGACAAGTTTCTAGGGGCGTGGCGGGCTAAGAACTATCATCCAATCCTCATACGCATTTCTGCCCCGACTAAGAGGGCGGGAGGCGCTTAGATCGTGTGGCGTTCTCTTTATATCAGATCGTGTAGATGTGGACAAGTTACCCAGGCATCTGTAATGAATCTAGTCCGACCTGTCGAGAATCCCATACTTGAGATTTCCCCCCATTAAGAGTAGCAACAAATCAAACCGGCCCTGATCATCTGAAAGATGTACTCTGACGAAGGTGATATTAGGCTTTTGATCAACAGATCGGGCGAGTTTGTTGGATGACAATGTCGGCAGATGCTAGCCCTAACAAGGAATGATCATTTTCAGCGGGCGAATTATCACAGTACTCATCCTTCCATGAGCTCCAACAGGAAATCGCCACGGGTAAGTACAGAATTTACCACACTAGTATGCGCAGCGTCCGCGAATTGCGGCAGAGCGGTTTCAGGCTATTGGCTGGCGAAAGCCGGGTGCCTTTAATTTACTGCATGGTGTTGTAGCCATAACCAGAACATTGTGCGGGAGCAGATTGCCGCTGTCTGGGATGAAAGCCTCGATGACGATGATCTGTTCCAAAAATGGGGTTACCAAGTACTCCACAACACCAAGATAGCGGCTCTTCAGACTGGGTACTAAACAGTCCGCGGATTTAAAGGACATGAGAGTCTCAGCTGGAGAACTCGTGGTGATATGGTGAGCTTGAAGAAGGCGGGCTAATATATTTATGCAAATTGCCCCAGCGACTGCGCACATGAGGTCGATACTGAAAGATTGTAAGAGCTCCGGTGGAAAGTATCACGTTGTGTCGCCGAGGGCACGTCTGCTGAACTGAGTCTTTCCAAGCTGAGTTCATATTTCCTGTCAAATAGTCTTCTACCTAGGTCAGTAATGATGACAGCTTCATCGACCTCTATCATTATGGTCGAGTTCACCCAGCCAGTCCCACAAGCCTAGTTGTCTGCATGGTAGTGTTCATAAATCATGGTGATCAGGGATCCTCTCACCCCAGAAGTCATAATGGCCCTATCCTTGTAGCGCTCCCCTCCGATCACCGCCACTTCGTCAGAGAGCCCTTTCCTTTCGATCACATTATCCTAGATCCCCACAGCGCCCGGCCGTGAGGACAATTGGCTGCATGTAGAAAGTATCTCAATCATGTAACATGCTCCTTCTCTTCCTCTTTCGGAATCCTGACCCAAACCACCGTGACCAGCGCTGCAGTCAACTGCGCTGCGAGAGCAAACCACCAGATCGCCCGCAGCCCCTCAAGGCCGATCTGTCCATCGGGACCTCTATCAACCCTCGTGCCAATTGCATCCGCGATGCTAGTCATGATTGCTGACGAGAGATTTTGGTTTGTTACCAGAAGACTGCCGGCGCTACCTTGGTATGAACGAGCGACGCTGCTGGTGATAAAGATAGAAGCAGCAGCGAAGGCTAGGTCGGGGCCAAAGGTGACAAGAGCGACCCCGGGGAAGGAGAGCTTCCAGTATGTTGTATCTGCAGTCTGTGGGATAAAGAAGGCAGGACCGAGGGTGAAGGCGAGCATCGACACGGTGTAAATATAGTGGCCTGGGACAATGTGAAGGGTGCGGCTCACGACCCAAGTTGCGAGGACTCCAACAAGGGCGTTGGGGATGTGATAAAGCGCCACATCAAGCGGAGTAGCGCCCTGGATACGCAGCCAGAATTGAATCGCATAGAACTGCCATGCGCCAAAAAAGGACCCGAAGCCAAGGAAGTAGGCGATCATCAACGGAGTGAAACCGGGCGTTCGCCAAAGACGATTTGGAATCAACGGGCGGATGGCCGCTCTTTCAGCAAAGAAAAGCCCAATCAGCAGAAGCAAACCGATGACGATGAGAATGTATGTATATGGCGACCAGGATGTGACAGGCCCCTGCGTCAAGCCGAAAAGCAAGCAAACACATCCTCCAGCCGCACAGCCTCCTCCAATATAATCGAACTGCCGAAGAGTTGGCGCTTCGGTGCCCGTCACATCAGCCACCGGTTGCAAAGCTGGAATGCTAAAGTACGCAGCAACACACAAGATGGCGCAAATGATAGCATTCATTCCGAAGATCCATTCGAGATGGGCATTCAACGCGCCTCCCTGGAGCGCACCTAGCGAGAAGCCAAACGGCGCGGTCGCAGCCATCGCGGAAAAGACCCGGTTCTTACGGATGCCTGGTTTATACACTCGCCCGAGGATACTCATGCTGCCCGAGACGAGGACGCCGATCGCAAGTCCTTGCATTGCCCGCATGACAAAGAACAGAACATACCGCGAGGGGTGCAGCGTGAAAGCCCCGACGATGTTCCAGGCGGATAGCCAGGCAAATGCGGCCACCATCAGGCTCTTTGGAGGGGCCAGATCCGAAAGAGAGCCTGAGATCACCACAGACAGGCCGTTAGCTGTATTAAATGCGCCCACAATCCATGGGAGCTGGGTGTTGTTGATGCCAAGGGCACGCTTCAACTGTTCTTGCGGGGCCAGCATGTCTCCCAGAAGGAATGAGAAGAGCATCAGGCCCGCGGAACAGACCATCACCAGGATGATTTCGGCAGTGAAGCTCGTGAATTCAGGCGGAATACCCTGCTTTTTCCGTGTCGGTGACACCGACTCATCAGCTTCATCTCCGCATCGGGAGATCGAATGTTTTCGGTTGGTCAAGCGATGGCCGAGCGGGTTCAGTTCGTGGCCATCCTCGGTAGTTTTGCTGAGACTGGTGATAGTCTGTGACACTTTCAGCGCCTGCTTGTCGAAAACATTCTTGTTTCCTAGCAGGGGATCTGGAGTTTGCGCGCCAGTCGCTGGAGTCGAGTAGGTTCTGGCATAGTCGAAAGACGACCGGCTCGACACTGGGGCCGAATCTCCAGCGTCGTGAGCAGATTCAGGGTCTGTCGGGCCTGAATTTGAATTTGTTGGAAGTTGTGGAGGGGACTGTAGAGGACCCTCCGGGCGGGCGTGCAGCTGCCCAACTGGCATCTTGAACGTATCGCGAAAGGTACGCACAAGGTGACGATGATCCGCGCAGGAAGAATTGAAGGAACAAAAGAATATATACCGTGAAATTCTCGAGCAAGAAAAGACGCAATAATGAGGGGCAACACCATTGTGGCGAAAGGAACGAAATATTTTGACGGTGGTCTAAGACGAATCGAGCTGAGTGGAGCTGCTTCGTGTACCGCAACGAAATTTAAGCCGCGATAAGGCTGGGACTCGGGGGATCTCCGCAATAGTGCCCATTCAGCCCAAACGGGCCAAACGGGGGATTTGCAGAGCCTCTAGATCCCTTGCGGAGGCTTGCGTGTATCCGTGGACGGTGTAAACAGTCCCTGTCGATCTGGTTGTACCTGGAGGAGAATATGTGAACGACGATGGTTACTGCCCGACCCGCGGACGGCGCCAGGGATGCATACTTATCAGCTTCAGAGCGTCATTCTAGAGCGGCGGGCGCGGTCGATGATGATGATAACCACCTGCACAGGGGCCAGAGGATCCTCGAAGTGGATTGACATGGACAATCATTGCAGCGACCCTGAAACAGTGGGTCTAGATCTTCGATCTTCTTGGGAAACTATCGCAGCACAGCTTACGTGTGAGGATTGGAACTCAGTCCAGGCGAAGAGATCCCTCATCCTGATCGACACGGCCCGATCCAATAGTGTCGATGTTACTGATCTGCAATCTTTGTACCGACACATTATATATTTGCCCATCCCGGCGGTGGCAGGGAATTTCGTTCTCGTGGCGGCTGGTTTTCGAGTATGTCGAATTCCTGAATCATAGAATCACAGGCAGAGGATCACAAAGGATATCAAGGGAGTTCGGCGACGCGTCATCCCAAAGATCGAAGAGCCGGCTGTCCAAAGTGGCCGCTTTGTGAAGAATGTGACTAAAGTTTTAGCGCAGGGGAAATGCTATCTCATTTTCGCTATTCCTTCCTTTTTGGGTCTCCGCCAAATCAGTCAACTACCTTTGACTGACCCGTCTCTTATTCGCCTTTAGACATTGACTTGACCACATAGAACAACATCTTCTCCAAAAGGATACCACTTGACGTTTTTCAACCTGGCGGCCGACATCGGATTCCCTTCCTCGTCAAACCTTCTCGCTGGAGAAACAACAACGCCCCCTTGTCCGAGCCATGTTGGTGCAATCGTCACAACAACTCGATCAATAAGAGACATATAGCTCGGTTCTAACAACGAGTTAATGACGTGGCCACCGCCCTCAATCATAACACTCCGAAGACCTTTCAAACGGAGAGTGACAAGCAGTTCATTCCAGTCGATCTGGTGACGACCGGACTCTGAAGTCGTCATTTTCAGCGAAATAAATTGCCCTCCATATTCCTTGAGCAGAGCATCCTTCTCGGCGGGCGGTTCGGGCATAGTTGTCACAACCCATGGCGCGCGGCCGCGCCCCTCTCTGCATAGCTGAAACAACTTGCTATTGTCAGAAAAGTTCCATCTTGCAGTCGGATCGATGACGATCGGTCGGGGTTGAAAATCTAGATTCTCGCCGCCATACCCTCCAACCCCAGCGATGCGGCAGTTCAGACCTGGATCATCGGCCAGGGCTGTGCCGACGCCCACTAAAATTCCATCGTGGCGGGACCGCAGATAATGGGTCATCGCTTTTGATTGAGGTCCCGATAGCACAGTGCGAGTTCCCGGAGATAGGGCCAGAGAAGAATCGAGTGATGTTGCGAAAGTGAGGGTCGTGAAGGGCATATCGGGACGCGGGGTCGAGCCATCTCGCGGTGGCAGCTGAGGCTCTAGAAAGAGCCGATCTGACTCAGGAAACTCTAACGCGTCTCGAGGGGCTGCAGGCATAATGGCAGGGCGATTTTGATATTCCATCAAGTCTGTTATGTTTTAATGAAGCAAGGAAAAGTGGGATGGCGGGAGCTGTCCGTATTCTGAGCCTGAGGCATCACTTTACTGACGGGATGCATGCCTTCGGCTGTGATAATTGTTCGACTCTCATCTTTGCACGTACAATTTTAATATACCATGTTGTTGGAGAAGCTGAACATCTCAATCAGTTTGCAAAGACTACTAATCTAGTAAAAGGTATAATGGCCTTGGGGAAGGGTGCCACATATAGTGGACTCTACAACCTTGTTTGTCACGAGTGGCTCATTAAAAGTAGATGTCGGTGCGAGTGATGCGGTTATAGTTCAATTTACGTAGTGAAAATAACATGACCGGCGCATGTGAGTCCTCCTTCTTTCTCTCTGTCCATAACAGATAATTACGTGATTTGCCCTACACCTGGTATATTTCTGATTTTCAACGTCAATGAGACTTTGTCGTATCCCAACTTGTTCCTTCCGACGCCAAGTACGCCTGTCCCTTTCCGAGCACTCTGCTGTTCTCTGCCCCTAGCCAGAACGGCTCCAGATTTTTGATTTCATCCTCGATTTCGTAGCTCTCTCCGCCAGCCACATGAATCATCTTCCCTGCGAAGGGCAGACGAGCACCTTGGTGGGTACGTCCATTGAGACCTCTGTTTGCAGTAGCGCAAATCAGGATAGATCGAGCAACATCTTCTGGTTCATTTACAGGCAGGTCCCGCTCATACCAACCCTTCTCAATCCCAAGAACCAGCCGCGTTCCTACCCATGGTTAGTTTCGATGAAACAGTTTATTTGGACTGTTATTTGAACTGGAACCTACTTGTCATCCAGGGGCAGATTACATTGACCCTAATGTTTTCGGGGGTCGCTGTCAAGTGGAGGCCCCGCATAATCCCCACGACGCCGTGCTTGCTGGCTGTGTAGGTGACCAAGCCCCCACATTCCTTCCAACCGGCAATGCTGCTGACGAGAACCAGGTCTCCACCCCCACCTTGTCGCAAGTAATGCATGCCGATGCGGGCGCTGAAGATGGACCCTACGAGATTAATGTCGATTTCTTTCATGGAGGGTTCTTCCGTAATATCGGCAGTCGGGTCAAAAATATCTCTGTGGATGCAAATGCCAGCATTGACAACAACAATATCCACCCGTTGATATTTATTGAAGGCGGTCTTGAACAAATGCAGTTGGTCAGAATAGCTCGATGAGTCGCACTTCACGAATTGAGCGCTAGAGCCAAGCTCGGCTTCAAGTTCTAGTGAGGGGCCTTCCACAACATCCCCAAAGACCACATTGGCCCCATTTTCTGAGTTGGAGATGAGTAAAGAGGACGACGGAATTGACCATCAGTTGTCACTCACTGCATAGTTGCTGAACGGTCGAACGTCCAATGCCAGTCGCGCCTCCGGTCAATACGACTACCTTGTCCGTCAAGGTTTCAAGAAGTGAAGGATTTAGACAAATACGAGCCATTTTTAGGACACCCAGATCGAATGGATACGCTATGAGAAGTAGAGAGGTCTACATGATCCCTGGGCGAAGCTGGTGCCTTTAAACAAAGTTTCTCCCCGGGCAACTGCATTTGACCCCGCATATGCCACCCAAAAGCAATGTTGTGGGAGTTCTCTCTAACTCCATCTCCACACGTGAAGCAGTCTTGGGTGTGAAATTGATGTTACACAATTTAACGATACATATTTTCAGCTCTGGATGGCACCCTCGCAAGTGGTTATAGCTGTATGGTGTATCAGGTGGCTCATTTGTGCGGAAAGAAGCGGAATGGGAACGGCAGACTAGGTTCCATAGTCACCTCACAGACGCCGTATGTGCCGAGGATACCACTCCTCTACCCCTTCATCCAGGTGCCAGGGAAAGACTCAGTGGGAACTGCCCCGCGGCGTTAGTCTGGTTGTATTGGCGCGTAGTAGCTCGACCGAACAGCGTCCGCCAGAGAGTAGTAAACCTTCAGGTCTCACTGCTGACCATACATCTGGTTTTGTTTCATCAACTCTATAGCCCACGGACTATTGAAAATAATTCACGAGAAAATATCAAATTATATGGATATGGTCAATGTCAATGGTATGTCTGGAAAATCTGATGTGTAATCTCCATCTTCTGAGGGTGTGAAAGTAATGGAGCAGCCTTGAAACTATTAGAAACTCCAGAAGAGCAAGGGACACTTGGTAGTGTGGACTTGTTTGTCACCGGAGTACAATGTACTCACAACTCACAGAAAGGGCTGCAAGTTCTACCGGATCTTTCTGCAAGAAGTAGTATTCAATTTAAGTATTCTCAGGATCGGATACTGCCTAACGGGCAGATGGTCCATGATTTATAGTTGCATGAGTTGCGGTCTATTGTTGCTCCTCCTCGTTCTCCAGACCTTGCCGGACAGCAGCATTTAACCCTCTTTTCTCTGGTGAAACGGATCAGAAGATAAGTGTAGTAGCACTGTTTCTCACGAATATGCCCCCGTTGCTGGTAATAGTAGCATTCTTTCTTGTTCGGCGGCTGTCTTCGCTCGATGCTAGTCATGAAATACCCTCTGCTCTTTCAGAGTACCATCGCCCCTGTATTCAAGGTATCCCAACCTAGCCTGCATGAGTAATATTCAAGGCTTGTGATCCTACGGCTCATCGAAGAAGAAAAGTAGCCGAAAAGTTCGGCATGAAGGCCGACAGCGCAACGGTTGGTCGATTACATAACCCGATAAGACGCCAGCGCCATCCCCGCACGTCGAGGGGTATTTTCTTTTGTTTTCTTCGCAATTAGGCTTAAAGTGATTTCTTTAAATCCATGAACCCTCTTCGCGCATGCGGTAGATCAGTTCAACTCCTCCGACAGCTCTCTGCCCCATTCCCCGCCTCTCCCCTCTCAGCAAGGCCCAACAATCCCTTCAATCCAGCTGTTCACCCCGCGAAGATCCGACGCACCATGGCCTCCGCAATGGCTAAGCGCCTCGAAGGCAAGACCATTCTCGTTACCGGTGCCTCCTCTGGTATCGGCAAGAGTACTGCGAAGGAGTTTGCGCGCACCTCGCCCAAGAACCTCAAGATTATCGTCACTGCGCGCCGCCTCGAAGCGCTGAACCAGCTCGCGGCTGAGATTAAGGAGGAGGTTGGCGATGGTGTGAAGGTGCTCCCTGTGAAGCTCGATGTTAGCAACCCAGCGGAAATCAAGAACTTTGTGCCGTCGCTGCCCGCCGAGTTCAAGGAAATTGATGTGCTCGTCAACAATGCGTGAGTCACGGATAACGAGTGGGGCTAAAAGGGGCCGAAGTCGCGGTTGAGATGCTGATAATTGCCATATAGTGGGCTTGTTAAGGGTGTTGCCCAGGCTCCCGATATCGACGCCGAGGATATGAACCTCATGTTCAACACCAACGTTACCGGGCTTATTAACATGACCCAGGCCATCCTACCGATCTTCAAGAAGCGCGATGAGGGCGGCCGCGGCGATATCATCAACATTGGTAGTATTGCTGGCCGTGAGCCCTACGCTGGTGGTGGCATCTACTGTGCCACCAAGGCTGCTGTTCGCTCCTTCACCGAGTCCCTGCGCAAGGAGCTGATCGCGACACGGATCCGTGTCATTGAGATCGATCCCGGTCAGGTCGAGACTGTACGGATGCTCTTTCGCCTCCGCCTATTTGCTGTATTTACAAGCTAATTTGGATGTAGGAGTTCTCTGTTGTGCGATTCTACGGTGACAAGTCCAAGGCCGATGCCGTCTACAAGTAAGTTGCATTGAGTGTGGCCGGTTCGAGTGTACCCGATCAAAGCTGATCCATAATTTCCAGGGGTGTGGAGCCTCTTACCGGAGATGACATTGCTGAGGTTGTTGTCTTTGCCGCCGGTCGTCGGGAGAACGTCGTCATTGCCGATACCCTGGTGTACCCGAGCCACCAGGTATGTGATAGCCTCAATCTTATCATTGGTCTTCAATTCGCTCAAAACTGACAACTTGACAGGCTGGCGCGGGTATTTTGCACCGCAAGTCCTAATAGGCTGACCGTGTTACAATGCGTGGCATAAGAATAGATAGATAGCTCTAGTGTACATCGTTTCACAATATATGATATTATGTAGAGGATACGAGCCTGTACCACTCACCCCACAGACCAACGCCATCGTGTTAATTGACAAAACCTCTAGTCAGCCATGCAAGTCATGTGTTTGATCAGTCAAACCCCGAAGGCCCATCTATCTAGTGTCCTCGGGGGATAATCACAGCCGATCAGATTTCATTCGGTGGATTTCGCATCAAGATGCTGCGACACCATGCGGTAATTTCTTCGTGGTATCAGAATATGCTGGGGGTTGGATGCTCAGGTCTAGATTCAGGGTAGCGCAATGAATGCAAACAAGACGCACTGTTAAGCTGCTAGAGCATGAGAACTCACCTATCGACGAAGCTCTTTCGTTAGCAGCCGCACCTGCAGCACAAGCATTGCCCCAGTCCAAAACCTCCTCTTGCAAAGCATCCAGGTCGCGACACCTGAGACTCGTGCAGCCTTTAACCGGCTGTTATGCAAGCGCAAGCATATCTATGGCCTAGGTCCTCGCAGGTGGTGCCGAGCATGTTGAGATTATCGTCAAGAGATCTGCATACCCGACCTAGGTGCGTATGCCACTGCCCAGGCACATTGGCAATGCGAAAGAGGCCCACGAGAAGAAACTCCGTCATGGCTGCTGCCGTTGGGCAATGATCTTGAATCCCGTCTGGGCCCACGGTTTGGATATGGTACTTTGTGGCCCGTAGTGTTTGAATGCTGGTCGAGGTACGCGGCCCACTGGCTGGTTCCGCACGAAGAGGAGAATGTACAGGCCGTTCTTCAGATCTGAAAATCACCTCTTGATGGTGCATAGATGCCTAAGGCTGGTATGTTTACTCAGGGTATGAGTTAGGGGACTTTGTTTTAAGCTGCAGACCGCTTGTTAGCCACAGCCAGTCTTGTCTAGAGTGCGTCAAGGATAAGAACGCTTGGGTCAGACGATAGGTTCAATACTTTGTTGGTGTGGTTGGTTCTCGCAGAGAAATTCAATTGTGGAGGGCAAGGAACTCCCTTGCTTTTCTACTCTTTATATCGGAAGCTCGCAACCACCCTCCTCCCGCTGGTGGAGTGACTGCCGTCTTCGGCACTATCAACCTTTTCCCCATCTGCCGTCTCAGTCAAGATGCTCGAAAGCAACATGAACAGCTCTCCGTTGATTTCAGAATGAACTTGCCGTTTCATGCCCGTTGAGACATCCTTGAATGAACCGTGCCACCTACCGCATTCCGACACCTGCAGGAGCGTCCGTGAGGTGTCACCGACCGTGCGTCCGGTGTGGCGCGTCGGGTGTTTGATCGATCATATCACGGACCTGACCTGCTGCCGACTATCCGGCAAGTCTGCAAGTCTGCGGATCTGCAAATCTGCAAATCTGCGAGGATGCAAGGCCGCGCAGGACATGCAGCCTCGGTATGCGTCCCCGGCAGCGAGGCGGGCAAGTCGTCGACCGGACAGAGAGTGCGGCGTCGCGTCGACGCCAGGAAACAAAGTGGCCGCGACTAGGGCCCGCCATGGAACTTCCAGAACACGGAACGCAGGCGGAACAAAGAATTGACTTTTGCGTCTCCCATGGACGACTCGGCGCACAGTCCCCTCTTCTCAGATAAGAGCCGGCGAGAGATAGGGGAGATAAGTATATAAAGTATGATGGAGTGCCATGGGGGTGAAACGAAACCCCGGCAGGCGAGCGCCGCGCGGGATGGCTCCGAGGGATTTACGAGTCGCGCGCCTATCCCAATCCAGGAAATGATGACCGGATGAAATGATCCATGAGGACGGAGTCCCGAATGTGACTCGGTGGTTCTGTGACTCCGCATGCAGCGAGGATCCCCCCGCGAGTTGTGGCCGTGCAGGCGGGGTGGATGGTTCTGCAGACTCGAGACGAGCTCAATGGATGGCCAATGGACGGCCAATGGACGCATTCACTCTTGCGCAAGCATGCTTGGTGTTGTTATTGTTTTCTTCAGGGTCCACCAAGCAGGAAATGCGGAGGTGGACACAGAAAGTTGGAATGGGTCAAATCTCCCAATCTGCAGATTGCGCAGATGTCAACGACAGCGTGATCCGCGTTTCAGGACCCGAGGCAGAAGACGGGACCCTGTTGTTCCATTTTCACAAAAGCACGTTCAGTCGGAGGAGGAAGGGAGGATGGTGGCGGGGTTCAGGCCCAGGAAACCCGGGCAATTGACGATCGTTGATACAGGTGACAGAGCACCGCGCTCTTCACCAGGAGAAGGATGATGCAATTGGGCTGCACAGCGGCCATCTCCTGCAAGCCCAGGCGCGTCAGAAAGCCAAGATTCATACCGGAGATGCGGTGTCGGCCCAACAGGACTACAGAGCCGCGTATCGGAGCCAGCTTATGTGGTGTGCTTCCATACTTCCGTCATCAGAGGCACAGTCCGTCTGCGCCAGATCCTCTGAGCCCGCTTATTGTGCCCCCGTCACCGCATCACGGCGCTAGGCGTGCGAGCTAAGCCCGATAGCCTAAAGCGCCTCGCAGCCCCCACCAGGACGGCAGTGATCCACCGGGGTCTGGAGGAGATTGGAAGCTCCATGGGCTGCAGTGGATGCGGAGGCGTACGGAGTATAGTCGTCTAGTGGACGATTCTCCTGCTGTTCCTATTCTCTATCTTCTGTCTCTGAATCGACTACGGTTTAGTCCCATTCGGTTCCCGTTCGGAGCAGGGCCCAAGTCCCCAAGACCCAATCTCGCTGGGCCGTTCCTAACGGAGAAGAGGGGGGGGAGAACCGAACCCATGCCAGGGCCAATCAATCGCCTGGCCGACCGGCGGAGAGTAGCGTACCAAACCTCGCTGTATATTAGCACTCTTAGCACTGTGCACACTGCACTGGAAATAGGGCCTGGGCTGCTTCCACTCAGCGACACGCATGCCCGCACGCCGACAAAGAGAAGAAAAAGCAAATCTCCAGAAGGGACCCGAAAGAACGTCGAACCATCATGGAATGCTTGGATGATAAATAGGAAAGAAGCAAACCCATCCAACTTCATCCAGCCCAGAGGAAACCCTCCCCCTGCCCCTTTCGGCCCAAATGGGCTCCACACTCTTACGATCTCCTGAAATTGCCTGGCCCCCTTCTCGTCCCCTCCTCGTTTTTTTTTTGCCTGGCTTCTGCAGTACAGAAGCAAGTGAATTTACCCACTATTCCGTACTCGTACTGGCTGCAGTTTGTGGTTGCGTTAAATGTAGCTAATTCCTCCGTTGGGAGTCCACGAGAACTGCAGTCGCCAGTCTGGAGCTCGGATGATGACGGTCTAGATGATGATGATGCTATCGTCCGCTCTGGTCCAAGTAATTTTATTCGGCTGGGAAGCCTCTGATTAGCATTGATTCAACGAGCGTCAGCCCGTGCAGGTTCCCTGGGGGCTCCACCCGGCAACAAAAGAAGCTCCAGCAGCCTCCAAACCCTCCACCTCCGAACCTCCCCCCCTACTTTCTACTGGACTGCTTTCCCCTAATTCTCGACCTCCCTCCCCTCCCCCCTCCGCTCCTCTCCTTCTCCCCATCCTGCAGTCCCGCTCTATCTGACTGCCAAATATTCGATCTGGGCGCACTCCTCCCTATTCTGTCGCCTCGTTTCATTTTTTCCTCTCGGCTGGTCCCCAGCACAAATTTCCGAATTGCTCCTGAATCCCTGCGATCGCGAACATCGACCCTTTCGATCTTTCGATCTTCCTTTTCGAATCGACCCTTTCTCTTCGTCGGATTCCTTGTGACTGAGATTCCTCGCCCAAATGGCCTCCAAGGTGAGCCAGTCCGTTCCGTGTGCCGGACCGCTAGGTCTCGTCTCGTCCAGCCCCTCTGGTCATCACATCACATCAAACCTCCAAACCCTCCGCTCCCCTCGGGGATCAGACCCTCCCCCCGTGCGCCCTGCCATGCGCCCGCGGTGACCATAATCCACGAGCATCCCCAATGGCTGACCCGGTCCCTTCCTCGCCATCCTAGTTCCTCCGAGAGTATAAGCTGGTGGTGGTCGGTGGTGGTGGTGTCGGAAAATCATGCTTGACGATCCAGTTGATCCAGAGCCACTTCGTGGACGAGTACGACCCGACAATTGAAGGTGAGTCGCGGACCTCTTCCCCCAACCAGACGAGCACCTCGCATCGGATCCGATGGCTCATCATTGTCTCGTCACTCCAGACTCCTACCGCAAGCAGTGTATGATCGACGATGAGGTCGCTCTGTTGGACGTCCTGGACACAGCAGGTCAGGAGGAGTATTCGGCGATGCGGGAACAGTACATGCGCACCGGCGAGGGCTTCCTGCTCATCTACTCGATCACGTCGCGCCAATCCTTCGAAGAAATCATGACCTTCCAACAGCAGATTCTGCGCGTCAAGGACAAGGACTATTTCCCCATCATCGTCGTCGGCAACAAGTGCGATTTGGAGAAGGAGCGTGTGGTCTCCGAGCAAGGTACATCAATTCCATCCCATGGCCCTTCCCCAGAGAGCTTCCGCCAATTGGAAACTAACGCGCATATCTTTGATCAGAGGGTGAGGCCCTGGCCCGGCAGTTCGGCTGCAAGTTCATCGAGACCTCCGCCAAGTCCCGCATCCACGTCGAGGACGCCTTCTACGACCTCGTGCGCGAGATCCGCCGCTACAACAAGGAAATGTCGTCCTACCCCTCCGGCTCCGGGGCCTTCGGTGCCCGTGCCCCGGATAACAAGATGGACGTCAGCGAGCCCGGCGAGAGCGCCGGCTGCTGCTCCAAGTGTGTCGTTATGTAAAGGGCGATCCCCTCTTCCGCCCACACGCCACAACCCGCCCCTTTGTCCAGTACTTGGAAAAGAAAAAGTTCGCAAATCACACCACACCATATCAAACCAAATATTTATCCACCCCCACAATACGATACGGAGGGCGCACAAGGTCGGCAGGCAGCACACCACCAGAAAATGAGTTCATACGAACGGGTAATGGGAATTGTGAGAGGTATGACTGTCCAGCGCAGGGAGGGAGGGCTGGGGTTATTCTCTCAGCTCGCCGGGTCCTGCTTATGCTTACAGAAGGAAAGCCGGACTGGACGGAAGGAATTGGATTAGGAAGATGACAGCGGAAGCCAAAGAGGAAGAATGAAAAGAGAAAAAAAAAAGAGTGGTTGATTTGTGCTGCGGCTTCTCGTGCTTGGGCTTGGTTTCTTATTCACCCCGAACGAGCCTGGGACGAGGGCTTGCAATCACATCGCACGATGACTGCCAAACCCCCTTGACGCCAACTTCGTCTCATGAACATATTGATTCCCCTTTTGTTTTCCTCCGATTGCGCGTTACAACTGTTTTTTGTTTATCATCTCATTTTTTTTGTCCCGCGAAAGAATTGTTGGTCCACTATGTTTTAACTCTTTTCACTTTTCATTCATCATCTTGTCGGTCTCAGGATGCGAGGCCACACGGCTGTCAATATATGTTCCTCAACGAAGGGGATTCTTGCTTCAATTTCACTATACCGGCGCGTGTCTTTGTAAGGTTGGCTTAAGTATGATAGAGATTATCCATCCAAATCCGCCCACCTGGGCTCGGCCTCGTATCGTCCAGTTGATGTTTCCACGAGGAGCAATTGCGCTTCGTGAATACCTACTTAATCTGCCTCGACAATCATCTGGCTGGACCATTCTCTGTCCAGAATATTAACTGACCGGGCAATATATACAAGTCATATTTATTGCTCTATGATATAGAGTATCACGGCGTCCAAACCTCTGCCAAGCGGGTATGATACACAGTACAAGGCCCTGGGCCCTCGGCCCTTCAACCTCCAAGCTCACCTACTGGCTATAGATATGCTCCGAGTCTGACGGAGGATCCAGTTCATCCTCCTTCGCAACCCGCTTCCCCTGCACACCAACCTCGACCTCCGGCACCAGGGACTCCAGGAATGCCTTATCGGCCCCCACCAGCGTGACCGTGTTGCGCTTCTTGCCCCAGCGCGGGTAACTGCCCACCTTCACGCCCCGCGGCTCAACCTTAGCCGCCAACTCAGTCAAGTACGGCGCAACCGCGCTCTCAGGCAGCGGCGTGCTGAACATGAAGCGGAACGTGCCCTTGCCCTCCGGGTCTGACAGCCGCGGGACCAGGTGCGGCTTCAGGTTCAGCAGCAGCCGCTCGAACAGGCGCGGCACGCCGGGGAGGATGTGCACGTTGCCGTTGACCACGGCGACGGGCACCCACATGTCGTCCGCGACGAAGAGCCCTTGCTGCTCTGCGGGGATGGCCGGGTCGAACGGGAGCTCGACCATGCGCAGCTTTGCGGTCAGGCCGGGCGATGGCGTGTTCCAGTCGAAATTGGGCTGCATAGGGTGTGGGCGGGATAGCCTCTTCATGCGTTCGAAGGCGGGCTCGTAGAGTTGCAGCTTCAGGCCGAAGGCTTTAGCGATGGATTGGTAAGTAATGTCATCATGTCTGTTGGTGCGGAGGCAGCGCTGGTGTTAGTATGATGGTGTAGATGTTGCTTGGGAGCCTGGCTGGGACGGAGGCCGTGGGCGTCGCGCCCGCGCGTCCAGGTCCAGGCAGAGGAGTAGGAGAGAGGGTGTACGGACGTCGGGCCAATGCCTCCGCTGGTCACGACAAAGTCGTAGCGGGCGCTCATGCGGCGTACGGCCTCTATGATATCCTCCTCATCGTCCGGGATGACCTCCACTCGCTTCAGCTGGATGCCGAGGCCGAAGCAGAACTTGGCCAGGAAGGGCGAATTGGTGTCGATGGTCTAGGGATGGCGTGTAGAACTAGGGTTAGCGCCATTGTCCCGGCTCATGGACAGAATGAATATGCTCTCACCTTCCCACCAAGGACCTCATCACCGATAATCAGGCAAGCCGCCGTGTGGATGGGCTTCGCTTGCGCGGCTGATGTCATCGCGGACGGACCTGAGCGCAGGACCAGGGACGGGGTCGAGAGAGCCGGGGCGGCCGTGCGGGCGGAACCGAAGGTACGGGTGAAATGGTGGGTAAGGAGATTCAGTCGGTTGAGCATGGAAAGAGGGAGGGGGTGCAAGATTGAGTGCAGAGAGAGGACGTCGTTGGTCTTACGTTGGGGAAGTAGAGCGATTGCGCATAAAGTGGGGGAGGGCAGATGTCTACTCCGCCCGCACTTTGAGCTCATCACCGTCCTCTCCCGCATTCTTCGTGGCGCCACCTCCTCCTTACCCTGCGCGTGCACGTTGATATCTTTGCGGCTGGAGAATTCCTAGAGCAGAGCTTGCTCATTTCAGCGGGCTCATTTTTGTACTGTCGCTTTGCGCGTTGTACCACCCGCACATCTCCTATCATGGTGAGCAACCCCACGTCCACGTGGACACCCGACAGGGCCTCCCAACTGCTTTCAACTGGGGATTCGGTGTGTCTAATGCCCGCGTTTTGCAGCCAGGACTATACTCCTTCTCCCCGGAGACGAAGGAGAAGCTGCGCAAGTTTCGCTTGAGCTCGTCGCGAGCTAAGGAGCCCCAGGCTCAGATCTGTACGGTTCCCAACTCCCCATTGCCACGAGTGTGCCCTACGAGCCTGGATATCCTCTATATTCCGTCTGCATTGACGTTCTATGTGGTCAAGTGATCGCCCACGCAGAACAGGCTAATACCATCAACAGATGAAATCGACAAGAACACCGGAGAGATCCGCCCCAAGAATGACGAGACCTACTCCAACATGATGGACCTGGCCGACGACCTGCCCGAGACCTCGCCGCAGTTTATTGTTCTAAGCTACCCTTTGACGCTGGTGAGTGGTCGTCGATCAATTGGAACCTCTGTGCAGAGAACTGATCCAGTGGTGTGCTTTCTAGAAGGACGGCCGCCTCTCTGTCCCTTATGTCCTCCTCTACTACAAACCCGAGAACTGCAAGACCGATACTATGTATCAGTACGCCAACGCAATTGAATTGATGCGCACCACCGCTGGAGTCAATCGGCTGATTCCTGTTGAGAGCGAGGACGATGTCATCTCGATCGCCTCTAAACTGGCCGGCGACGAGTAAACCGGCCAAACCGGAGATGAACGACCGCTAGGCTTGCTTGACGTTGTTCACTCATAGGATGGTATTCGTCAGGAATATATCCCGGGCAGAAGGACTTTTTGTATAGAGGCGGCGTTCGGGCAAGATTGGATGAGACTCAATGCACGGTGTGGCTACGATATGACAAATTATGTGCACGCAGACCACAGCTGAAAGCCCTCATAGCCTACATTTGGAATTCTGACTGGAGCAGAACGATTCCACGAAGCTTGAGTGGTTTCCAGTGGGCTGGGGCTCAATCCCTAGCGGCGCGATCTATCACAAACATGATTTGCAACGGCGCCGTCTTGCGCGCCCGGCTAACGTGTTTGCAAGGGATTTGACAGCCCGATTTTTGAGTCTATTGCTTTGAATGAGCGATCTCTGCACTGGACTGCTCCTCGATCAGACTAGTCAACTACCATGATCGACGTCGTGCAAGTGCCGTGACAGATGCTCTCCTCTTGCCCCTTTCGGGATCCTTCCAACGTACTCCGTACACAGCGACTACTTCTCATGCCACAATGTCCCTCGGGACTGGCTCAGCAGCCCTTTCAGCTGAGCCCGACACTGTGGTCGTCAGATCTTGCTGGCCCCTGTGAACCACAAGTCCCATCTGAGAGACGCCCCCCCTTTCCACGACGGGCTATCCACTCCGCCGGAGCCCAGAGGTTCCCCGAGGGGTTCCTCTCGCTAGCCACGGATCTATTCTCTCATGGTGTAGGGAGTAGATGTAGATCGCCTCTGAGTGCCGTGGTCCAATTGCCCCATGACTCGCGGAGAATCTTCGGCAAGGAGAGACACTGATTGGCCGTTGGTCGAGCTCTGATCGCCGACTACTCCAGTTCGCGCCCACCCCACCCATCCACTAAGCTTCCACCATACTCCATCTCGCCCTGATGACAAAAGTATGACAAAAGTAACTATGACAAAAGTAGCTGAACCTTCATCCCCCAACCCATCCATACAGTAGGAGACTCGGAGTTCGCCGGCAGAGGGTTGGATACAAAGGCTCCCTGGCTCCAGACCACCACGGGCGTTTCGGAATGTTGATAGGACCTCACGCTCGGTCTTCACAAAAAGGGGGAGGGTGGGGTATTCGAGCAAGAAACATAGACCTCGAGCGATAGACGACATTGGGGATGGAAACGTGAGATGCCGACTTCCGGAATTGCGAATTGCATTAAGACACGGTTTGGGTCTGGCTAGGTGACGACTTCATCCCTCCCATACTCGCACTTGCTGATGGATGGTGGCTTGATACTGGACATCTATGTTGACGCAACCGTTGATGCACGAGGAAGGGGGATCCTCCTGCAACATGGGTGGAATGTCTCTCAGAAGAGGGGGTGGTATTGGCCTGGTTTGGGGGCTGTGTTGTATGTTTATAGTTTCCAGCATGTTCGTGAGTGTGGAAATGAAATGGATAAGATGCAGAACCGCAGATACAGTAGCATACAGTAGCTACAGTGTAGACCCTTGACCCTGGCTGAATCAGACTTCGCTGGCCGCGTCTCAAATCCATGTCGGTGGCGCACTGGCGAGTTGTTCATTTGTTGCTCGTGTGCACCCAATATTATTATACTATTGATGCCTCCTGCAGCCCATACATACTCCGGTGCCGCCTGCGTCAACAGTGGCGGGAGCGAGGGGCAGAACGCCTCTTGAGTTCAACCAGACACAACAAACCATGCCCGATCGTTCGAGGCGATCGTTCCAATAGTGCCGGTCGCAGATTAACAAAAAAAAAAAAAAAAAAGCAAAAATGGACGACTAACCTCGTCTCGACATGGCAGCAGAGCAGCAGAGGAGAACAGCAGTACAGCAGTACAGTACTATACCTGTCCACCGGCCCTTACCATACTCAGGCTCCATGTCATGCTCGTACTTGTGCAACCCCCCGTCTCGCTGGGCCCTGGCCAGTCTCCCATCACCAGGACCCGCCCCGGACTGGGGACCAGCGCGAGGCCGGGATCCCGGCAATCGGTGTCGAGACCAGGACAGCCCCGCGCCGCACGGGGCGCATCAGGAGAATCGAGGGCAAGGGAAATTGGAGGGTGATGTCCCAGCGGACTGGACCCGGCACTGACCTGCTGGAACGAACCACTGTGCCCGAGGAGCAGGTCGCGCTTTTCCAGGGGGCGGTTCAGCTGCAGTTGGCGGTGAAGTACGCCTCAGCAGGCCATCCGATCCTCTGTTCTTCTGCTACTTCTGCTACCAGCATCGATGGTTGGATACGGCTGGCATGGCAAAATCAAATCCTGGCTAGCGTCACCAGGAATCTCGCCCCAAGCCCTCACACCCGTTTGTTTTTGCCTGGGAAGAGGAGGGGCGCTTTCAGGTGTGACAGTTACGCAACCACGAGCCCCCTCCTTCCGCAGTGGCAAGGGTGTTCGTCAAGCGAGGTGGCTTCGAATTAGGAACCATCCACAGCCCGGCTGTCAGTTCCAGCCTCCCGCCCTCTGCCTCTGCTCCCCCCACACCACCCAAGATACGACCATCGACATGACTCGTAGCCACAGAGGGAACAAAAGTTCAATAAGCCACGCAGTGGGACCGTTGGGCAACGAGGGATAAATTCATGGCATGGAACGATCTTCTCAGTGCGGGAGAAGCAGGCATTCTTAGCTCCGCAGTAGTTGCCCGTAGTACCACCGCCGTCGAACTCTGATCCAACAGATCGATCCGCCCGCCAGCCCTCCATTGTCTCCGTGAAAAATTGCGTTCGCCGCTAGCCCGGACTTAGCTTGGTGTGGGAGGAGATGCGACTATCCCCAAGGGATACTAGGCCGGGTACGGGATCTTGGAAACGAACGCCTTTCTAGCATCTCCGAGTCCCGCCCGTGCCATGCATGATGCATGGCCGCGGTTGCGTTGCTTGCGGAGCTCGCAGACGACTTGGTATACAATGTGCGTAGGGTATGTACTATGTACTCCTCCAGGAGATGTCGAGGCGACTCTCCGTGAGGAGGGTGGTTGACCTATGCCCTGGCCTCTCCCATTCCTCGGAGATGGATGGTTGTCGCTGCAAGACGAGAGTTCCTTAGCCCACATCACCGGCGCATTTACGTCGTTCCAGCAGTAATGGCAAGGTATTTCTCCTGCGAGGAGGGCGGATCGTCATGGAAATTGCAGGGGGGTGGCTCGTCACCTTATACTTTACACCACAGTAGGCACTATACCACTGGGGGCATCTGCCGTCCGAACATGCTGGTCCATAGTAGATAGTGGACAGGCCCCTCGTAAAGGACATGGGCAATTGGATACACCGTTGCGAAGAGAAAGGTAATATAAACTCTCGCCAATTTCCTGTAGCCGGTCGGGCTCGTCGAAGCGCCGGGCGTTAAAACTGGAGGTGGGGGGGGTGGCTTTGTATCGTCGGGCTCCGGGTGAAGCCTGGACTTTGTGCCTGAAGAAAATCCATATTGAACCACCAAGACCAACACGGGGGAGACAAATCCCAAAAAAGAAACTATACCGGCATGGAGATCGTCGACTCTCCATATCTCGGGACATCGCGAATTAACCCACCCAGCTGCTTCCCCCCGAGCCTGATCGTCGCCCCGTATCACACCAGGATAGATACAACGTTGTCCTCAAATCAAACGGCACGTACCTCCGCCATTCTCCCCTCGCCGGGTCCTTTTCCCTGAAGGCTAACTGCTTCTGGAAACGCAGCCGAGCAGTGGGCGGGTACAGCCGTGTGGTTCAAGACCGCTGGCTGAGGGCGACTGCACAACTCCACCTCCTCCCGGCCGATCGGCTGGGGCCCAGTAGACGCTGTTCTCGCTGAAAGGAGTGAATAGTACTCCATCCTCCATCCTCTGTCCTCCGTCCTCCCTGAGTACGTTGGCGAGCAAGGACGCCTCGTCCGCGCCTCTGCATCCTCGAACAGCGTCGGGACGCGCTGAGGAATTGTCGGGAACCAATGGCGAGCCTGACACGCATGGCCCGGTTGATACCTCGGGTTCAAGTGATGGACTGCGCTGGGCGGCCCCGGGAGGCTTTCCGCCCAGCAAGCTCCAAAGACAACGCCTTGTGGGGGACTGCAGGGAAGCTTGCGATGGACGAAGAGGGCAGGAGTCTCGACAAATGGCGCAGGCGCGGTATTCATCCGAAGCATAATGGCGACCATCGTATCGCTACCATTCCGCTGTCACGGCGAACAGATCGTCGGGGTTGGTTCCAGGAGCAGCAGGAGTGGGGTTGGGGGGTGGGCAAAGAAAGACTAAATGGGGCCCGCTATCATTGGCATCCGCTGGAACCCATGCTTCTGCTTCTGCTTCTGCTTGGTTCTGATCGTACCGCAAAGATACCAGGGATGGCCCCCGTACAGGCGATACGCGGTACCCGGTGGCCGGGACCTGCAGTGGCGACGCGATAATACAGGCTAGGTACTGTATACTGTACCATTGTTATCGTGATGCAGCCAACAGGCCGAGCCCAAGGTACCACCACTACGAACGAGACGAGGACAGAGGATCGTTCTCCATGACATAATTAATCCTGCCCGAGCCCGACCAGGATTTACTTTTTGCCTTTTTTGTTCGCGCGGGCAGACGGAGAATTCAAAACGTTGCGTTGTGTCCAGTGGCCTCCTCGCTTTGCACGGCCCGTCCACATACCAGCGAGTCCACTGGACCCAAGCTGCCGGGATGGTACAGAAATTAGTTACTGTACTGTCGCGGACGGTGTCGTGAAGAGAGCGGAGGGTACAGAGGGTACGGGGGATTGGTACAAGTACATACAATCTGACCGGAGAGCCCTCCGTGATTGGGTTCTCTATACTCGACGTACGGAATTCTATACTCCGTCCTGTCCATTCCCTCCTCGCCGTACCACACTATGACCCAACCCTGCACACTGCAGTCCATGTGCTCGGGTCCGAAGCTTTGCCTCCACTTTCTACCCCGTACGCCGGGACAACTAATCAAAGTGGAGGGAATAATGAATTAATGGAATAATGAAATAACAAATTAATGGAGCCGGTCTACTGGTGTCTCCTGTATCTCCTGTACCCTCCATTCATACGAGTACAAGAGTATTGTAAGATTCCCTTCCCCTTCCCTTTTGGCTGCCTCGAGGAGGACTGGTCGTGTCTTAGGCGTTTCTATTCTGGCTGGATTCTTATATTATCCTTAGCTGCTCCTCCGTTCCTGCGAATCTTCGATCTTTCAGTCTTCGTTCTTCCGTCTTCGTTCTTCGCTCTTCGCTCTTCGTTTCGCGTTCTCCCCTTCCACCCGTCCACCCTCCCCGGGGAGTTCCCTGTACGAAGACCTCCACGCTGGGTCGGGAATCCCAACTCCACGGCTCGGGTCGTCACAATCGACCCTGGTTCCCTCCAACCATCCGACGCTATACACCCCTGTTCCCTTTTCTTCACGTCGATCATTCAATCATTCCATCTCCGACTTTTCTGGGCATGAAGTGATCGTCCACCACCGCCCATCGACATCGATCTGCGACCGAGCATTCGCCATTGCATTCCTGCGCCTTTTTCTCGAAGCGCATAAAAGCCGGGCCCAAATTTCCTCGCCATGTCACCGCAAGACACCCCCGGCCGCTCGGCCGAGGAGAAGCCTGAAGGCTTGTCTAAGTATCTGAAGCGCATGAAGACTGTTCTGCGCCCGCGCTCAGGTTCCAAGCGCCAGTCCGTTGCGGCCCTCCCCGAACCCGCCGGTCCATCGTCCAGCGAAGCAGCGTATGTCAACGCCCGTAGCATTTGATACAGTTTCGGGAATTCCATTTGCTAATGACGTTCTATTTTCGAATTGCGCACAGTGCTCCTGCAACAACCGTGCCTGACCGCAAACCCACCGGCGCCGAACCACCAGCCAAGCTCACCGACTACAGCGCCATGCAGCAGGAGAAAGCCCGCGTGCTCTTCGCCAAATACGGCCTCACCCTCGAGCCCGGCGAGTGGAAGTCGCCCACGGACCTGCAACTCACCCGGGTGACCAAGCCGATCCGGATGCGCGTGCGGCGCACCTGCCACCGCTGTGAAACGACCTTCGGGCCCGAGAAGGTCTGCGTCAACTGCCAGCACCCACGATGCAAGAAGTGCCCGCGCTTCCCGCCCCAGTGCGAGAAGGACGACGAGCACTCGCGCGTGCCTCGTGCAAAGATCTCCGAGATCCGTGCCCGCCAGCCCGGCTCGCTGCCCATCACGCCGCACCTCAAGTTGACGGGTAACCCGGCGGCACCGCTGACGATGCCGTCGCGCACGGGCGGGGAGGACCTCGTCCGCAAGCAGGTCATGCAGCGTGTGCGCCGGCGATGCCACTCATGCCAGACCGCCTTCGCGCCAGGCTCGAAGGAGTGCCTGTCTTGTAGCCATGTGCGCTGCAAGAAATGTCCGCGCGAGCCGCATAAGCCGGACAAATATCCGGATGGGTATCCGGGCGACGTGGAACCGCCGAAGCTGAAGCCCGATCGGACGTACAGGAAGCCACGGCGCCGGGTGCATTATATATGCCATGTGTGCAAGACGGATTATAACCATGGCGTGAATACGTGCGCGAAGTGTGCACAGGCGAAGTGCGCGGAGACTATACGGATTCCGTACGTCGGACTTTTGCTATCTCCCTATTCTTCATGTGAAGATGCTAACCAGTCTACCTTGCAGGCCGAAGAAAATTCCACGAGAACCGGACCCCGATGTCGTCCGGCGAGTCGAAGAGAGAATAGCAGCCCTGCGGATCGCGGAGTGATGCGCTTCTTGTAGCGCATTCCAATGCCCTTACTCTACGTCCACCTCCACTTATCTACTCGCTGCTCGGTTGCATGGGAAATGATATTGTTTTCGTCCTTGTTCCTGGTCCCCAACCTGTAGTCCTGGACTTTCGTTTTGCGCATGGCCATAGCTTACAGATACATTATACGTTGCATCGACTCGCTCTGCGAAGACTGGAATAATCTAATGTTCGACCAGCGTCCGGTCTTGACATTCTCAACCTCTACCTCCAGTGCTCCGTACAGACCCCGTACTGTCTCGTCCATGCTATCTCACTTGTTTCAATCTCCACCGCAACGCTCGCGGATACAGATAAGATGTCCTGCTTCAAGCGTTTTACCACGGGTGTCGGTTTCTCAATCTCTCTTGCTCCTCTTCGGCCGGCGGCAGATAGGCCGTTTAGTGCGTACTGGCTCCAGTCTGGACGTGGGCCCGGCGAGTATGCCCAAACGAGGCATTAATCCAGAGATCCACACAGGGAAGGAAATCCGCCGCGGTCCAAGCAAATTCTCCAGGTGGTCATTGCGGGATGATCATGTTCCCACTTCTTAATACTTCCGTACAGTCCAGTCCCCGAAACAGCCATCGTGGCTGCAGACAGGAATCGCTCTCTCATCCAACACAAATTGGAAAAAAGTACAAAAGTACAGTTACTATTGAATCGGGACTTTGTGTACGCCCTGGTACGCGAGTCCCAGCCCAGCTTTCCTCCACTTCCCCTCGGCTTCGGTGCCTGCATCAGGCCAGATGAGCTCCTGCCGCCGCCTTCTAGGAATTCGGTACAGCGCTGGACGGGGCACTGCATCATAATGTGGTTGCGGCGCGCCCTGCCTGGTTGATGGGTGATGTTGTCTTGCAATCAATCCAGTCGCATGGTGTACAGCGGTATAGTTGATCGTTTCACATGTGCATTGGCCAATGTCATATGGGACCACGTTCAGAGTTGAGAATTAGATTATCGCGTTCCACGGAAGACCGCCCAACGGCCATATGCTTAAGTCCGGAGTTATGCCGCGTTCCACAGTACGTGGCCTCACTATAATAAACTATCCACCGTTCGGAGCCCAGAGCCCTCGCGGGAATATACTGTCCAACGGTCCGAGCCGTTTGAAATGTGGGCTGGTTGGTTGGACCGGGTCCAACTCAACGCAACTAAGGAGGGGTGCTAGTGTGTGAAAGATGCCGGTATTTCCGCTTCCGTCGCATCAAGGTCAAGTGCATTATTCAGAATCGTTAGCGCTTCCTGCCGCTCTGAATCAGGCGATGGACAAAGTACAGTACATTCTGACCTGGCATTTGGCCCTCTGTACTTCGTATTCCGTACGGCGTACGCCGTCTCCGTACGGTAAGTATGAACGCACCCGGGCCCAAGGATTCGTACCGAAGGAGTGGGGCAACAATGGGATTGATAGTACTCCCGCATACTCCCCGCCAGATCTATACCCAGATAGGAAACAGTCTCGAGGCGACCAAAGCGCCGGCGCTCCTTGGGCCTGGGAAGGGCGGACCCGCCGCTGTGGGAGCTTCACCCGGGCCAATGGATGCGCCCGGAAGACGGCTGCTTTTTCTGGCTTGACACGGTGATTCTCACGGGTTTCATCTTGGCGGCGGGGCTTCCGCGGGTGGATTTTGGTTCAGATTAGCGCTTGGGCGCTTGAGGGAGTGGGATGGCAGGGCGCTAGAGATCGTTTTCTATGGTCTGCTGTCATCTTGAAAAAGAAGGAGAGGCCTTGCAATGACGATCCTACGGTGACAGGCCGAGGTAGACTATGTACGAAGTACGTATAGGACTCTATGCTGTACAGTACACGGTCCTTGAGAAATAGCCCGACACTGCGCGGCTGTATAATTCGTAGGGTTGCACAGAAGGACACATCTCCCCCTCAAGTCTTATCCTTGTCGCATGTTTAAGACTAGAATGTCGTTCATGTCTATACTACCTCGCTACTGCAACCATAGCATCTCCCTATAAAGACTAAAAGCGTGCCGGGGAAGCCGAACGCAAGGACGTCCCGCTGTCACGGGCACAACCCCTGCCGAGCGAAACGATCCAGGTGAGTCGCTGTCGATCGAATACTTTGGCGGGACTAGGCCCGATACAATTCCAATCCCGGCTGTCATGCCTTTGTTGTCTCATCGCGACGGGCGTATTGTACAATGTATTCTTTCGGTTTCGATGCGTCAGGCGCCATCCCTCTCTGCTCTATTCTGATTAAGCTAGAATAGCCTCGGGCGCCTTGCAAGGGTTACCGCAAGCGCAAGGGGGGTGTAAGTTGGATCCGGAGTCTTGGGAATTGGAGATCCGGTTGGCCGTCCCGAATAGCAATGGTGGCTGGGGTGTTGAGTTCTATCAGGAACTATTTCTTGTTTCTGTCGGAAGGGTCAGCCGAACGGCGACTGGGTCCAAACGGCCGACTAACCTAATCGAAGAGATTGGACATGAGTCTCGTTCCGCTTGATTTCTACACTGCATAGAACTGCGGCCTGAATAAAGACTGCGCGGTGTTCCACTTGGTATTTGACTCCCGTCACTCACTGCGGTACTATGCTGTTTTTTTGTTTGTGTACGTCCTGTCTGGCGATGGATTCGGAACTTGTCCACGCTGCTTGCTTTCAGGCAATCGGACCACGCCTTCGATGTATGCGCTTGCACCCCTGCCATGCACCTTCAGTTTGTGGTTCTGACCATACGCAACCTCCGATTGGAGCGTCAGAGAGACGGATACCAAACAAATATGCCAACAGCACAGGACCCCGCCACCCGCGATGCCAGTCCACACGTCGCCTGCTCCTTTCAGGGCTTGGCACGTCAGTCTACGATCTCGGGTTCCACTAGGCTTGCCCCCTAGAAGGCCGTGCAGTTCGATACTTTGGCTATGTATTACTGTATTCTACTGTAGGTCCCCGGTCCAGATACGTCGGGCCACGGCCTACATGGGCCAAACAGCTGGGTCCGAATTGGATCTATCAAGCCGCACGGACGAGCTTCAACTGTCAGCTCGCATGAGATTCTTCTCACATTCATTCTTGTAAGGGTTGGCCGTCTAGCGTAAGAGAATTACTGTGTGAAGAGCCTCCAGCCAGGGTAGCGAAGATGAGGATTCAAGTTGTGGATCTGACAGGCGCTGCTAGTTTGAAGGATACTGTACCGGCGATCAACATGGTCCGGGTTAAGGCCGTGGGCTGTGTGGAGGAAGTCAACCCTTTTGTCAGGGAATGTATCACTCTGTAATTGCAATGGATGACAGTCACGATTGGAATGGGGAAGAGGTCCGAGATCAGGAATGTCTACGAAAAATAACTCAGTGGCCCTCCCTGCACACGTCATATTCCACTCGCCAGTTAAATGGCGTGGGTTCTGTCTTGACCTTGGCCTCGACTTCAACATACCGTTGATGATAGGTATATCTTAGCCGTATCAAGTGGAGGTTGCGTCCATGTCTCTTTAGGTGCATAGTATGTTTAAAATACCCTTCATATCAGGCCCTCGAGGCAACCTCTATTTGATCCAGAGCATAATGCAAAGGCTCCCAGTCGGATTGCAAATGCATCTGTGAGGGTCTGCTTGTTTGCCAGGCTACACAACAGATTGCGTGCAGCTGCAATGTCTGAGCATGTCGGCATCGATTGGTGAATGAAACTCCATTTCATCTCTACGGTATTCACCTATGCCACCAGCCTTTTTAGAGCAGAGTGGTGTTGGACGGCGTAGAAGGAGCACTCTTTTAAAATTAGGTATCACATGCGGGTAGAAGGATTTGCCTCTTTGATTCCTGTGATCATTTATTTGATGGGGGTAAGAGAATGATAATGTTGCTACCTTGACGAGCACGTAGGTTGAGGGATGGAACACCCGGAAGGAAGGGCAGGAATATCTTTGGTCGTTGTACCAAACTCGACAAATAGTTCATTTCAGAGCCTTTTCGTAAACCAGCAATTTCGCGGCAATCACAATCACCTCTCGTATGGTGATAACAACAAGATAATGAGATCAACCTACGAGTTATGAGCGCAAGAATTTACCTAGTAGGCCAGGTTATAGGGAGCTATATCTGCTCACTGAAATCCGAGGTGACTTTTTTTCCACCCCTTCTAAACCTTTATCCTGCGACTCATCTGCTCTGTTCCGGCAGACTTATCATAGTCAACATTCTTGACAAGATCCACGCGGCGTCCCAAGGCTCGACGAATAATCCAATCTTTGCTGTTGATTGCCTCCTCAACCTGATCTTCCTCAATTGGCGGAATGAGATCTGATCCTTCCAGTCGCCGTAGCATGACATTATCCTCAGGCCGCGCAAAATATACCAGGCTATACCGCGTTGAATCCCCCTGAATTCCCGGCGGTGCCGCGACCCGATGAATATTAGATCGAAACAACCCATTGGTGAATTTGACCATTGCATCACCAAGATTGATGATTGCATGGCCTGGCAGGGGTCGCACGTATACCCATTCTGCTTCAGCGCCAGGAGGTAGAACTTGAAGGCCCCCCAGACGATTGAACAGCACTGTCACACTACCAAAGTCGGTATGCTGTCCCAATGCCGTTCGTCGGTCATCTGCTGGTTGTGGCGGTGCTTTAATGAAGCGCACTTGATCGCCGCTCACAGCCTTCAGCCGGTGAAGATTGGATAGTGTACCTTCGGGGAGCGAGAGTTTGTCATTGAGGATCTTTAATATGAGTTCCACAATTGCATGCGAGCCTTTCATAAATGATTCTGTCTGCTTTCGACTTTGATGCAAAACTTCCGGTGCTGGAAGAGGTTCGCTCACGCCCATGATGTCGTCCTTGGAGATCTGAAGCCACGGGATGAGTTTATCGATAGTTGATCCTATCTGAGCTTACGAGGAGAACGGCCACGTACATTGTAGAACTCATTTCTGTCCAAGTTTCCCTGTTGATCAACTACTGCAGCTCCCTGGCCTTTGTACCCAAAGTATGAGTTCTGCGCACTGAAATCGTACTTCTTCTTCTCCTCAAGGCTTAGTTGGAAGAGTCGTTCCCCAACCTTGAACAGCTCATCTGCATCTCGAAGAAGGGACGTTCCATGTTGAGAACCCTCGAGATCCAAATAGAAGAACCCAATCTCTACTGATGCTTGGAAGAGCCGCTCGAACTCATGTATATCCTCTGCCAACAGCTTTCCCAATGAAAGCCGAAGAAGAGGCGCTGTGGAGACATCGTCCGGAAAAGGTGGAAGTCCCGGGAAATTGTTGACGATATCGGTAATATTCGCTTGAGATTCCATAGCTGAAAGAAGATATGATCCAAGTCTCCAGCTAAGGGATTATAAGAGGGATTTCAAATATGAAAGATAGGGTTGAGATGCTGAGTCGAAGTTCTTGGTTTTATGGATCTGTGACGGTCTCCCCATGCGGGGAAGCAACCATCAGCCGAGGGACAGACCCAAACACAAACTTTTGTGGTCGGACACAATTATCCATCCGAACGAGAGAGGTTTGGTAAACCATGGGACTAATTTAGCGCCTACATGACACATTGATTTCACGCTAGGCTATCATTTAATGCCCCGGCGTTGCGTTCATGTAGCCGTGCCATATTGCTCGAAACAGGCCGGCTACAATGCAGCTACTCTGCAAGATCTTCCTTCTAAGGGTTTAGAGCTACGTGAGTGCTCCCTTGTTCTTCCAATCTCCAATTTCTGCCCTGAGATCACCTGTAGGGCGCAGGGCGCGCAATCCGCCCGGTGGAGACGTACCCCGACCCTCCGTCTGAAGATAAGACCACTCCGAATTCCTTTGCTAGCAGCCCAAACTACTTTTCTGGTTTCTGGTTAGAAATAGCAGTACAAAATGGCAACTGAAAAGATCCTGTGCATAGGGGATCTTGAAGCAGCAGCTTCCAAGATACTTCCAGTGTCGACTCGAGGTAATCAATAGCTCTTCAACAGTTTGCGCAGTTCACGGATCAATGAGGGGTAACACAATCTGCAGACTTCTACAATTCAGGCTCAACAAACCAGGTCACTGTTCGTGAAAACTCGACAGCATACAACAAATATCGTATTCTGCCTCGAGTGCTGAAGGATGTCTCTCAAGTCAACACCAGCACTACTTTATTCGACCGGAATATCAAGTTTCCTCTATGCGTCGCCCCTGCGGGGCTCCAAGCCATGGCTCACCCTGATGGAGAGCTAGCAACCAGCAGGGCATGTGCTAGAGTGGGAGTCCACATGGGGGTATCTTCTTATGCCAACCATTCCGTTGAACAAATTACCTCGGCTGGGACCGAGATTGGGCCAATTCACCATGTCATGCAACTATACTCCATGACCGACCGCGAGAAAGAGGCCCGGATTGTTCGCCGGGCAGAAGCTTCTGGCTGTAAAGCGATATTTCTTACCGCAGATAGCCCTGTGTTAGGAGTCCGGTATAATGAATGGAGAAGTGGGTTCCAAGCACCGCTGGGGCTCGGTTATCCCATGATTGAAAAGACAACAGAACAGATCCAACAAGAATCGCATGATGAAGTTTTCAGCTCCTTTAATTCAGACTCTCATTCTTGGGCGAGGGAAATACCATGGCTTCGAAGCATCACGAATATGGAGATTTGGATCAAAGGGGTGCTCACGCCGGAAGATGTTGAAATGGCGATTGAATATGGATGCGACGGGGTGATTATCAGCAACCATGGTGGGCGACAGCTTGACGAGACACCTGCTACCATCGACGTCCCCCTGCTTGCGCAAAGGTTGCGAGAGGCCGAATCAGAATCCATATCGACGGGGGCATCAGGTCTGGTAGCGACATCTTCAAAGCGCTGGCACTGGGAGCGGAGTGTTGTTGGGTCGGTCGCCCTATGCTTTGGGGATTAGCAGCAAGTAGCCTGACCCTCTTTTTCTTTTGGATGCCACTAACATCTTTTTTTTAGTATAATGGCCAGAAAGGCGTCGAGCTGATGCTCGAAGTCCTATACAATGAGTTCAAACGATGTATGCAACTGACGGGTTGTAAGTCGGTGTCGGAGATCAGATCTTCAAGCCTAGGGATTGTTCGATCTGACGGACCACTTGCGCGACTATGAGACTTGAAATTAGATAGATTAGAGCATAGGAAATTTCATTATCGATGTCAATCTTGCGGAGTGAGTCTGGAGTATACGGACATTCTCATATCTAAATGGGGGGCGTATCTGGGCTCTTATCAGCGCGGGCGACCTCAATTTTCTCAACTCCGCTCCCAACCTCCAACTACGACCACTCTAAGAGCTGTCGCACCCCACAACGCCTTCGTGTACGCGCAGCCTCGGGGCGTCTAATTCTCCAAGATGACCTCCTCGCCAGCTCCAAGCACCCATATTGCTCATACCCTCCTCTCACGCGCCCATTCTCCCGATACCGCATCCCAACAATTCACAGAGCGCATCAAGCAAAAACCACTTTTCCTACGCCCCACGTCGCCCTCCGCAGCAGACAACCGCTCTCGAAGACGTCGCCACCGCCTCTGGAAGAAAGAGCACTTCCTCAAACACCAGCGTCCGCAGCCCCTATCTGCACGCGAGAAGCGCTCCTCGGGCCTTTACGATTTGCCCAAGGAGGAATGCAAACACGCTATCTTCAAAGGATTGCATGCGCTTTGGGTCGGATACATGCAGGAGATCCTAGACCTGAAGGTCGGCGGGCGTAATGGCTTAGTAACCCCTATGTCGCATGGCGCTAAGCTGGTCAGCGCGGATTACCACGGCGCGGAGGTGGAGGTTGTGAGAAGTCGATGTGCCAGCCGCGTGGGAGTTCAGGGGATTGTGGTGCGAGATACAAAGTTTACGTTTGTGATTGTTACAGAGAAGGACGAAGTGAAGAGTAAGTTGCAATGATGTCTGTATGACCGATTTGAGGAGCGGGCATCTGACATTTCTACTTTCGCAGCGATACCGAAAGAACACACAGTCTTCCGCTTCACAGTACCACTCCCGAGCACGACAGAATCTGCGGAGGGCGAGAATAACCAACAAAAACCGACACCCGAGGCACCAAAACCGCTGGTTTTCGAGCTGCATGGGAGCCAATTTGAGAATCGACCTGTTGATCGAGCGAACAAAAAGTTTAAGTGGAGGAATATCGACTATGTATAGGCGGGCCTATGTCGAACTAGTGATAATTGAGAAAATCAAATCTAGCATAATCATCCGGCCCCGACCAGATGGTGCCCGGACAATGAAACTTTGTCGCTTGGATGCCAATGTATGAATTACCCGACAACCACCCTGTCGATGCTATACAGCCCAGGTAAGACATGGTACATAATGAATGATTTGATAAGATATGTAGTTATGCACATGAATATCTGTTGGTATCTCCGAGTTTACGGATTGACAAAATTCATGGCGTGGGCTTTTCAGCTGTGACCAGCCGGCAGCAAGACTGCCTGTCAGCTTATAAAGCAGCCAACCAGGGACATACCCAGGCTCGAATGGGTTGGCATGTCGACGGCGAGCGAGGTAGCATCGTCATGTCGTTTCAGCCGTGAGTAGCTGCCAGTCCATTTGGGCCTCTGGTATTGATAGGGGCGACGGATTCGGAAGAAGTGGGAGACTTCTCCACATCCGACTTCGATGTGCCCAGGGAGAAGTGGATGTCAGCCTGACGAGACGACAGGCAGTCGTAATAGGATATGAATATGTGACTTCCAGCAGATGGTGCCCGATCACTGGCGGATTGTAAACCAGGTCACCTTCAATCATTAAACGGCAAAGCCGAGCTGAGTTGCATGCAGGATTTTCCATGTTTCTCACATGCCGGCCCATTCAATACTGAATGTTCGGACGGTGTCGATTCGATCAGCCTCAGCGTCAACCTCGTCTCGCCTCTTTTGAGGTCCACCTAGAAGGAAGCCCTTCTTGACACCAGTTCCCAGTCGACCACCGTTGACGATATCCATTATGTCGATTTCTTGATCCCACTCAGCGGAAACGACCAGGAAATGCGAGTGAAACCGCAGAGGATCTCCTGGATAGGCCACATATTGACATCCGAAGCGCAGACCAGGTGAAAGGAAATAGCCGTGTGAATGTAGATGGGCAAAGACCGGATAGGACAAGGGCACATCGGGCTTAGAGAGAAGTTCACACGCTAAGGAGGCAGGGTGAGGAAGCGGCGGATAGGAAGTAGCAGGGGTGATGCCCATGACCTGCTGGGGAGTGGGTGTGTTTGTCAAGGTTGCGGGAGAGGGAGACGAGGGCTTGTCATCCCCTCCAAAGATGTCCAGCGTCGAGTTTGGTCCATCTTTCTCCGCCGGAGACGGGACTGATGAAGCGGCGGCTTCAGCACCAGCGGCGCTCTTTGCGACTTCGGCAGCCTGGGCCTTGGCCTTCTTCTCGTCGAGCTTCCTCAAGGTCTGTTCTCGTTGCTGTTCCTTGCGATCTGCTAGGATGCGCATGGCATGCTGGCCTTGGGATTCTAGTTCGCGTAAATACTGTCGGCGATCTTCCTCTAGGAGCGATCGCATGCCATCATGTGCCTTGGCTTCGTCTACAATGCAAGCTACACCCTTGTCCACCAACAGCCGCGCCTCCTCGGGCATCAATTCCAGCGGGAGACCCAGGAACACATTCTGCTGCGGGATTTGTGGGAGGGTCCCGATCAACACGCCGCAGATGTGGTGCTCCCGTCGCAGGTAGGTGACGGCGTCAATGGAGAACAGGAGGTATCTACCGGATATGTATGAGATCGGGATGGGAAGAGTAGGTGTGGAGTCCATTTTCAAGGAAGCATTCCATTCATGTGAGTCTGGTGAGAGGCTGATGTTAGCCATAGCTCAAAGAAAATTTCAAAACAGACGAGAAGAAATTTCGAGGCAGGTCATTTTCAATACGTTTCTCAGTCACAGGTGCTCAATATTTGAGATATTTAACGAGCTTCAGGGGATTGACAGATTGTAGATATATAATCATGCAAGGCAAAGGTAGAGGAGAAGAGAGAGGTTGCATGCACTTACCATTAGAAGAAGCGAGCCTGTGGTTGACCAGCAAATCCAGAGACTCGAGAAGTGGAAGAAGTCGGAAATTGAAGAAAGCAGCGCGAAGCGAATTTTGTGCAGAGCTCAGCCCGCGCTTGTCCCCTTTGGGAAAGTGCGGTCTTGGCGCTTCTCCGCGCTTCCGCGGGTTATGCTACATGCCATGATGCTTCTCCAAGCTCACAACATCAAGATGAACTTCCTGCTCCTGCTCTTCCTGGTTTTCTTTGCGCCGCTGCTGCTTTTCGCTGGTTAGTCTTCACCTCCACATCCCTCCAAATGTGTTTGGAAGGCGCACATGGTCGCTGACATCTACCAGTATGGCTGGCAGCTTCATCCTGCCTAGGGAACCGCCTTCGTACCCGAGGAAATGGATTCGCGGTGCGCTCAGGTCTTGATGCATACGGGCAGAGTTATCTTCGAACCATGGCCAACTCTGGCCCCGCCATGTCTGAGCAGATCGAACTCGATGACATGCTAGCGGAACCAGGAACTCAGCCTCACTTTGACGAAGAAGATTGAACTCGAGATCCGACCGAATTCCTGTATAGCTTTCAGAATTCGAGGTCCGATTTCTTCGGCATTCCGCCAGGCGCGGATGCATCTTGCGCTTCGGTGTCGCCTTCTGCTGGTGGCAAGCTAAAGGGCTTGATCTCGAATCGCCGACGACTCAGGATAAATGCCCAGTCCTGTCCCACATTCTGATCACTTCCGCCGCCGCGCTCATGCAGTACTGGGAGTCTATGCGTCTTCAGCATGCCTTGTGGTGGCTCCTCCACCGATGTTGCAGCCCCGGAGGTCGCCACCGCGTCTGCGGAATGAGGGAAGGGGCAGAGCTCGATCACGCCGTCACTCAGCAGCTCGATCCACCGAGTCAGACCAGACGAACGGGGGAACAAGGATAGAGGAATGGTGATCATGGCAGTCACCCGAGTGGCGTATGCGCTCATCAATGCCCTCAAAGAGTGGAAGAACTGCAACACGTACTCAGGCTGGCAAGCGTCGGGGGGATACATCGTGGGATTGAGCAAGGACGGGATGACAATGCGATGCACAGAATTTGGGGCACTGGAGCTGATGGCGGCCTGTAGCTTTTGAAGAATCGAGCCAAAGGGCGATCCCCTTGAGGGCACCAATGGAATAAAAGACATATTGGTAATGCCGGGATGTGTGAGACGCTTTGTGAGATCAAAGGCGTGACAGAAGGCTGGCTTTGCGGTTGTATCCTGTTCACCAGCTGGAGCAGGGGCAGGGGCTGTAGTTCATTAGCATATGGAAGCTGTATCCATGTATACATGCATCAAGCACGGTACTCACCACCCCGCGAGCCCGCAATGCCCGCGCCGAACTCGCCTAGCCGCTCGTATCGCCAAGCAATCTTCATTTTGTCGTCTTTGCGCCTATCCGACTTCTTTTCCAAGGACTCTGCTGTGCCGATCAAGCCCGGTAGACTGCGACCCCATTGCTCAGGGACCCCAACCACGTGGATCTGTTGCTCTTGAACCACCCCCTCTGCGGCATAGTATCGGAGCAATGCGCCCGCAAAATCTGTGGTCCCATTCTCCTCGATCAGCAGTAGCTTCCCAAGAGGAAGTCCTGCATGACCAGCGAGAAGGCTATCAAGCGATGGTGCTCCCGTGGAAGTGGTTGGGCGTCCATCATCGGGGGAGGGGCGGATGCCAGGACCGGATTCGAGGGAGGCTGGCTGTGCAGAGGCATTGGGAATAGTGGCGCGGTCGACACCTGCAGACAGGCCGATATTTCGCTTGCGAAAGGACATGCTGCTTGAATTCAAACGATAGCCGACAGCGCAAATAAAGTCTGCAGTTGTGAATGCTCCGCCGAGTGGAAATCGTTATCGGCGGGGAACCCAAAAGCGGCAGAAAAAAAGAAAAGCTTCAAACTCCGCGCAACTCCATCCGCCGTCCCTACCCTCTCCAACCACCCGCCTCCCAGCGCCAATTCAACCACTGCAGACCCTCGAGTCGCTAGGACCTCGCTGTTGTTCGTCTTACGAAACATCCAACCGCCATCTTTGCTCTCAGAAAGTCGCTGCGGCGCACTAAAATCTCGAAATGTCCGATCCGATCCTCTTCGAAGACACGTTCACGATCACGGACGTCAACTCCCAGAAGTACGACCGCGTCTCACGCATCACTTGCCAAACCAGCGATAAAAAAATCCACTTCCATCTTGATGTGAACACCGAGCTCTACCCATGCGCCAAGGGCGACTCGCTGTCTCTGGCTCTTGCTTCGACTCTGTCCCTCGACGGCAAGGAGGACAGCCGTACAAGCTGGCGGGAAGTGAGCGATGGCGAGCCAACACTCGCAAATGACTATGACTATGTTTGCCATGGCAAGGTTTACCGGTTTCAGGAGGCTCCTTTCAATAAGGAGGATGTTCATGATGTCGAGCTTCACGATGTCGATCCTGATGCTTTGAAGGATAGAATGTGAGATCTTCCCAGGTATTATGCTCGAGTTGCAACAGAAATGTGTTAACGCGTCTTTATTAGGGCCGTACTTGCCTCGTTCGGCGGCCTGCTGCTTTACCTGGTGGGCCCCTACAAGAAAACAGCTCCCCTGCGGATCGACCATGTTTACCTGCTTCTGAAGAAATAGGCCAGCTGTCATGGGTGTTTTCGTTTATACGGCCTTGGTGCGAAATTTCCGAGCCTCAAGTTATCTTATGGCTGTGATCAAAGAAAAAAAGTTTATGGTGTATTTTGATCTGGGCAGATGTTCATATCTTTTTGTCGGGCTGTGCAGCGCAGGCGTTTTTTGCATTCTAATTTAGGTATACCAATAGATGATCCTCCATTCAAGTCAAATCGTCGAACTCCAATTCAGCACTGCCGTCAATCACATTCGAACACCGTCTTGTCATCTTTATGGTACCGGCTGATCAGGGTGATTTCTCGGGGCTTCAAACATGGGGGGGGGATTACAGACAAGAGGTTCAATGATTTGTCAAGGCTTGTATTCCTTTTTCGCTCTCAGCCTGTTATTCCAATGGATTTCACTCTGCGCGAAAGGCCTGGCCCGAGACCAGGACCCCTCCTTATAACTCGTGGACATCTTGGATTCCTCCGATGATCTCGTAATAAAAGCATCATTATCATATCACGCGAATTAAAATGGGTGCAATGAAACCATACGACCGAAACAAAACAAGTTCAGAGATATTTGAAGTAATCATTGGTCTTTCAACATACATCTTGGATAGTAGCGGGCACCCCGCGGAAGCTGAATCAAAACCCGCAGAGGGAATTCCTCCCTGCAAAGCCGGCAGGCTCGTTTTGAATCGTGTTTGTTGCACCAGAAACAGGCATGTTGCAGAAGACAACATAGTTTGCACCACTTGCCCTCGGATATAGGTGCTTCTAGGAATTGGCAGCCATCCAATCCCCACCATGTCAACTCATCCCAGAAATCCCCTGTCTTAGGTAGTATTTTTCTCCGTGTAGGCGCTAAATATGGATTCCTCTTGATCCCTCGCCCACTTTGGCAAATCTGGTCCATATCCCACAACTCTCGGCGGCCACGGCTTGATATATACTGCAGGCTCCCACTTCTCGTATATTCGTGACTGTACATCTCCCGACGCATAGAGATTATTATTGATGGAATTGTGCTCCACCTGACTCACATGATGCATCATAATCAGAGATTTGTACTGGTACTCTGCCCCAGTCAGACAGTAATCATGTCTAGAGAGGATGGGGCGGTGGTCCTTCAGGTCTGCGAGTAGCTGTTCCTCGTACGTAGACTTCCAACTTTCACCCGGGTCATACCAGCTTATAGATCGATTGAGACGAAGAGAATCGGCTGTTGCTTCAAACGTGTAGTCAAGTCCATGCATGAAGATAGTCGAGACCCTGGGCTTGGTGACGGTTATCTATACTGACAAAACTAGCACACTCACGGGGGTACGCAGACCTTTGCAGCCCTACCCTAACCTTTATTCCAGAGGATTCACCAGCGTGCCTTATCAACCTCTAGAAGGTCGTTAAGCGGAGCATATCCCCCTCCCCTTTCGGCGTTGAAGACAAAGGCAGAGGGAGATACCGACGATCCATATCCCCCTCGCCCGAAGAGCTAAGACCCAAAGAGACGCAGGAGGTCCCAGTCAGCGCAGAGTGAAATGCTGATAACAACGCCCGGGTCACGCCCACGATCACTACCTCTCGCAATCGCAAGAGATCAACCACTCTGACCCCAAATGTGTGTCTATGTCCTCTAAAGAGCCAGTCCAGTCTACTACCACTGATATTCGTCTAGGCAAAGTCGACTCCCTCTCGGGCCAGAACATCACCCAGCTTTGTGGTAGCGCTCACCACTCGATTGCACCTCAAGATCAACTCCCTCTTGGGCCAGAACATCAACCAAATCAAGCAATTTTAGTGGTACATTTTTGAAATCGGTGGCGTGATACCAAGCGTTAACATTGTCATGGCCCAACCATTTAACCTTATACTGCAGTTTTCGGTAGTGCAGGCGTGACCGCAGGATCTCTTCGACTTCCCATTCTTGCTGATCATTGACTAGTATCGGCTACGGAGGGTCTTCGATCTAACCTGGTAATAGATCGGTCCTCGATGCACGGTATAGCTTGTTCGGTGAGAAGACTAGGTGAACCTTCATGGACGGGGGTAGCTCGAGCCTGAACGTATAGCCTTCTTTACGACAATCTTATATCGTCCGCTTGCCTAGTCGGATAGCTTCCGACTTAGGCGGTCTAGTCCCTAATGGCGTGTGGGGACAAAGACCATATCACCCAAGTCGAAATCATCCTCTCGGCGGTGTTTGTTCGCTTACGTGCGCTATAGTCCTTGTGCGTATCCGATCGCTTCGGCGGTCTCTTACCAGGTTCGTTCGACTCGTATCCTCGTTCCACAAAGAAGAGGGACCTTTTTGGTGAGTCTTGGTGTAGAGCAGACGCAGCGAAATGAATCATCAGCAACCATTGGGACTAATTATCTTGGTACTCATTGACCATCACTCTTAGTCATTGGCCATCCATTGGTTACCTATCTCGGTCTGGCCGTCGGTCTGCGGGTGGTGGGCGGCAGACAGCGGCCTGAAGGTGGACTCTCTCCCCGAGGATTCGATTATCAAGGATGAACGTGGACGCCCCCGAATCCTCATCGAGCCCACCCCGGATTAACACCGTTGTGGTTGCCGCCGCTTCGGACCACTCGCTCGTTACTGATACAGACGGTCGTGCTTGGTCTTGGGGCTTCTCGACCAAGACCAGACAGGGCACTCAGGATGACAGAAGTCGCCACGAAGATCGATAATACCACTACCCGTGACCGAAAGCTCAACTGGGCCGGCGCGGGTGGCTAATTCTCTGTTTTCACTGATACGGCGAAGGAGGATTGCTGGGCCCTGCTACACACTATACCACTGGGGGCATCTGCCGTCTAAACATGCTGGTCCATAGTAGATAGTAGACAGGCCCCTCGTGAAGGATATAGGCAATTGGATATATCGTTACGAAGAGAAAGGTAATGTAAACTCTCGCCAATTTCCTACTGGTCGGGCTCGTCGAAGCGCCCGGCGTTAAAACTAGGGGGGGATAGCTTTATATCGTCGGGCTCCGGGTGAAGCCTAGACTTTGTGCCTAAAGAAAATCCATATTGAACCACTAAGACCAACACGGGGAGACGAATCCCAAAAAAGAAACTATACCGGCATAGAGATCGTCGACTCTCCATATCTCGGGATATCGCGAATTAACCCACCCAGCTGCTTCCCCCCCTTTCCAGCAGCATCCATGCACATGGCCCCACACCAAACATTGGCCATTAGTAGTACGGGCAAGCGGTAAGTGTCTTTTCTATGCCATAAGTCTACTACCGCGGAAGAAATGGCTAAATTATTCATGATGTATCTCTTTCGATGGGTAGGCATGTCTGGATTATGTCAGACCGTGGCTGACAGTTCATATCCGCATTCTGGACTGAATTCTGCTGAATTCTGCTGAATTCTTGGTATTAGTAGACCATGAGCGTAGCGCAGCTCTCCGCGCTGCTCTGGAAGGGCTGGAGTGGAGATCTCGTCGGCGGAGGTAGGGGAGTAAGCGTTGAACGCGGCTTGGAGCAGGAACATAACGAGCAGAACCACTCCCAGGGCAAGGCTGGCGCACGCAAGCGAATAAACACTGCCGAGAGGTTGATTTCGACTTAGGTGATATGGTCTTTGTCTCCTCACGCCATTAGGGACTAGACCGCCTAAGTCGGAAGCTATCCGACTTGGCAAGCGGACGATATAAGATTATCGTAAAGAAGGCTATACGTTCAGGCTCGAGCTACCCCCGTCCATGAAGGTTACCTAGTCTTCTCACCGAACAAGCTACACCGTGCATCGAGGACCGATCGGGCTTTGCCTGCTCATCTGCCCCGTTCTCCTCCTCCACCGTATGGCTGGATTTCTTCTCCCCCTCTTCTTCTAGCCCACCGACTTCACACCGGGGCCCACGACACTGATCTCTATCTCGTCCTACAACCAAACAGCCGGTCAGTCAATCAGAATATTCCCCCCACCTACGACAAAGAACAAGAAGCAACGAGGAAAACAAACCTCGAGATCCCCCGGCACAATCAACCCCGGCAACCCCCAACTCTTACTGAGGCGCGGGTTCTTCCGCATATAACCCCGATACCCCGGTGCCCCGGGCCGCACGACATTATCGGCGATGACCAGCGCGCCTTCCTTCTCCAAAAAGCAGAATTTCTCGGCTAGTTTGACGTCTGCCTCGTATAGCGCCTCATCGTGGTCCATGAATAGCAGATCGATCCCCCCGTCGCCAAGGGTTCCTTCTTCGTGGAACCGCCGTAGGGTGTGCGCGGAGGCACCGACGACGACCTCGACAAGATCCTGGAGGCCTGCGAGACTAACGAGGTTCATGGCGATGGAGGCAATGAGGGGGTCGATCTCGATGCTGTAGAGCTTGGCCTTTTCCTTCCTCTTGCCCTTACCAGCCGCCGCGCTATCCTCGTCCGCGTCCTCTAGCTCCGCATCATCTGGGTTCTCCCCCCAAATCTCCTTCAGGATACTTCCGAATAGGATAGCAGAGTACCTATCACCAACACCATACGCGTTAACCTAGCCTAACTGAGCCTAGCCTCCACATCTTTACTAAAGGACAGATAAGACTTACCCAACATATCCTCCTAACTCCACCAAAACCCTCGGCTGATGCTCCCGCACCAAGACAGCTAGCTTCCCCGCTTTCTCGGGCCCGATATTAATCAGAAAATCCTCGCGGGCGGCGAACTCGTCCATCACCCCTAAAATAGCCATTGGAGAACCCCGGAGCTTCGTGTCTAGCTCCGGGTGGGCGTAGATGTACTTGAGGAGGGTAATCTCGCGCCCGTCGTGGGACTCGACGATCTCAGATTCCTCGTGGCCGATCATCTTGCGGAGGGAGGGGTATTTGGCGAAGATGGGGGGTTCTTCGGTGTCTGCCATTTTTTATGTTGGGGTAGACGGGTGTGGAATAGGGGGTGGGAAGGACAGAGGGTAAGGAATTGAAGTTTGGAATTGAAGTTTGGAATTGGGGAGATTGGAACTGTGGGAAGGAATGAGCTGGGAATTGGGGATCGGAGAGTACTTATCGGGTGAGGTGAACTCACCTAGCCTCCTGGTCAGCTTCCAGCATCCCCGGCGTGAGTCCGATGGATAAGGACGAAGGGTTATACTTGCGGGATGGTGATCAGCGCTAGTAGTAGTATGAAGTAGTATTTGGGTAGATAGGAAGACATGGATTGGAGGCGCTAGCGCGGAGGGCCCAGGGGTTCAGAGTGTATTTCCGTTACATACTGTCAGTAGATGAAGGGATAACTTACCGCTAGCAACTGATTGGTTGCTAATAGGTTCATACTCGTTTAGTATTTCGTATATAATTAGGGATTAACTTGTAGTAACTCAGGCTTTGTAACAGTCGAGTATCGGCGATACGCCTATGTTAGAGGGGATAGTCTACAGCAGCGCTTCCCCCTATTTTCCTTATCTATCAATCAATCTTATTCATCTATATTGGTTCCGCTTAATATTATTAGTCGTCTCTATATACTAGGCTATATGGTATCAGCTTGTACTAATAGTTATGAGCCCGATAACCCGTTGATATCTCTAAGAAAGATACATATTAAGAACGCCTAGATCTTTCTATTAACGTAAGCTTCCTAAATTAGTACTAAACTATGACCTAGTAGTAGTTTAACTAATACCGAAGGACTATAGGTCTTACTTAAAGACCTTATTGATCAGCCTAATTTATATATAAATACAACGACCTTTAAGATAACTTAAGCGATAAATACGAACCCCTAACACTAACGGCTCCGGTTAGAGGCTTAGTAGACCACCACTGGGCTAATGTTGTCCTTTGGTTTAAAGATTATGAACAATCAATCATTAGTACTGAATCCAGGATAGCGCCTAACCTAGCCGCTTCGAAGCACGAGATTAGTCGTGATATGTTAATTGGCAGAGAATTTTCTGCATTATAGATAACAGAGGCTACCGGCTATGGCAAGCGTACTATCCTAAGGATCGACTGCCCACGATGACCACCACTTTTGGCACGTCCATGATAGCGCAGTTCTAGGAGATGCATGGCAAATTAATTAAGATCCAGAAATAAATCACACTGATGTAACATCGCCCCGATAACGATTCATTCAAGAATTGTTGTATGTCCACATGTCCACAGCATCTTTCCAGGTCATGAAGTAGGGGTTCTGGAACGAAGCAACGTCTGGCTCCCCCAATTCATGTATCCAGGGATGGCCACCACGGGTCGTGGCGACGTGTTCTGAAGCGACATTGTGGCCGTACCACCACCATTGGGCATGATCTTCAGGATTTGAGCTCAGAGGCGGGAGTCCGTATACCTCGATAACGCCAACTGAGAAGAAGCCCCGACAGTCGTCACACCAAAAGCTTTCCGAAAGGTGAGCGGCGAGTGCTCGTGAGGCAGCAACACTCTTAGGACTCATCGGAGCTTGTTGGTTGTGCATCAGGAAGTGAACGAGCGACCACACTTGGTTAGGTTGCGAGGTAAGCGTGGCCGCGCTAGCGAGAGCTTTGTTTATGTCCGAGCCAGGAACGTCAGCTTGGGCGACGCAATCCGAGGGACTTCCGTAAAGATTGGGATCCGGAATCAGTTGCATAAGTTCTTCGAAACTAGGTATTTTATCGAAGAGTTGGGTCGGCCACAGGGCAGCGGCTATGTTGTAGATCCTATGCTGTGTAGCGAGCACACTCACGCCGACGTTACTAGTGCGATTCCAATAGGCGCATTCTCCAGCAGAGGCAATCTCGCCTGGATACAATAAGATAACCCTACGAAGAGCTTCCACCGCCTGATTCATGGTTAGGCCGCCTTTTGGAGCATCAGATTCTGTTCTCGGACACTGGGTGGAATCCCACCACGGACCAGCAAAGCACGTATTGGGGGGGCGTTGGACAACACAGGTTGATGGGCGGACCTCATAGTCAGCACCCGTGCAGGTAAGTCCGGGACCGCAAACGAGTGGGCGAGGGAACGGCCAACCATTTTGTTCCCGGGCATAGTTCAGACCAAATTCGTCTTCAAAAGGGCCAAACTCGAGCGGGTTGCCAATGCAGCTCTCCTCCACTTTTCGGAATGCAACGCATCTACCTCTTATAGGTTTCCAGGCTTCGATCTTGGGTCCAAGTTTGATGCCGTAGTCGCCAACGGTGCTGGCAACACAATCAGCATTGAAGCTGGAGATCAACGCCTCGTCAGTAGAGTTCGCGACGAAATCGGCAGCACTGTAGCAGTATTCCCATTGGGGAGTAGATCCATCACGGTTCATGGCCCACGGACCCCATCTCTCGTGGATGTCAATCATGCACCATTCATCGACCGAGCAGATACCCGGCTGTTCATAACAGTCGACTTGAGCTGGGATCGGGCAATACACGTCGTCGCAAGTCAATTTGATAAGATCCCCCTTTTCGGCCATGCGGATGACAGTGGTATTACCGCTCATGTCGGCGTAGGTGAGGTCTTGACTGGCAAGGCTGCAACCGCCTTGAGTGAACCACATGGGCTGGCTGTCGTCCGGCGTTCCGCATTGAACGCCGCCGTCACCGTCATTGATGGGGGTGGTGGGTGGGTGCCCATGCAACGCGCGCTCGTCCCGTAACATTGCCCAACGGTCCTGAACCGCGGCAGGCCAGGAAGCGCGGTAGTGTTGTGGGTTCGAATAAACATTGCCACAGAATGTCGAAATGACGAGGGCGAGAAAGACGTTTCGTTTGTGGTGCATAGCCCGACTGCGTGGTAAAACTATCGAGGCTACCATATTGGCCGACATATTTGCCAAGACCCGAACTTGCAGGTCAAAACCGTAATGAATGTGTTCCTGGTGTCGGAGATTCGAACCATCAACTTTTTAGAACGCCTTTCACAGATAGGCCAGCCGATATATATACACAACGGGTCACTAAGCACAGCTGTAACCTTGGTCACTCCCCGGAATCCACCCATGGGTCGATGCCGCACACACAAGGTCCATTCCATAAGAGGACCGCGATGCTCGCTAGAGCTTAAGCCCACAAGCCATGCATTCCATTAAGGATTTCGTGGTGTTGACGGGATGGAATACATTTGTGACATGGTGGCATTCTAAAGTATGTGGGAAGTATTGGCACAATACCTCCCGACTTGTCAAATCGGAACTTGGTGAAAAAAATTAAGCTGGGCTGCGTGACAACCATTTAAGTCCCTCGAAGGAAATACTTAGCAGTCCTATGTAACGGGCAGCAGGGACACGCGACCTCGAGTATATTTTAACACCAGTCTGCTGCAGATCGACTTGCTTTCTTCAAGCTTTTCTTTTTGGTAAACAGTTTGTGACTTTGGTGGACTATATCAAGCCTTGTTTGCACGCCTCCTCGCTTAATAAAGTCTGCTATGAGATCGAAATAAAATTACGAATATATTCTGATGTCAGTGATGGAATCAAACTTTCCATCTCTTCATAATCTGCACTTTATTTCTCTCATGCTCAATGTCGATTTGACAGGGGTTGGAAATGCTAGAAGTCTCAAAATTTGGTGTTTCTCGAGATAATGTTAGGCTAGCGCGAGTATATACAGAGGCGGCCAATTACAGTAGTCCTCGATCCCCGCCACCGGAAAGGTTTGCCGGCGTTTATTTTACGCATATCAAAAGCCCTACATACTTAACTTCCACATTCTCGTTCGTATAGAAAAAGTAAATGAGTTACATTCTAGCATTGTGGGAAATATGTTCAAGTATACCGCTTAGAGTTTCGGGTAGATCCCTGCACATTCACCCCGTGGCTGCGGGCAGTCTGACTGGTTGTGCTGGTTTTCTGCCTTGTGGGGCGGGGCGTTTGGGGCAATTTTCCCTGTGCTCTTAGCGTGATCAGTCAGCGAACATACTGTGGTATGAAGTCGGTACGGGTTTTCTTCCTGTTGGCCATGTTTCGGATACGCAGCGAATAGATAGCATCATACAATTGAATGCGCTTCACTTTGCAATTAAGACCGGTGTTTATTTAAGCTTCTGACCTGATACAGTGATATTCCAAAGGGTTAGCCCATCTTCGGAAGCCACATAATGTCGCACCCTATTCACAGATCAGAACATTGAGCAAGTGCGAAAGCTTCCCGGAAGATGTATGCGACAGGGCTACATTGGAGAAAATATTTGCTATTCAGTACAAAGTATATTGGAGCCTGGCCGTACATGAGGCCTATGGCCTGGCTTTCCCCTCTCCAGGCCCACATCTCCAGGCCAATTACTGAATTCGCATCTTGAAATGTCGATCAGAGATTCTACCATAAAAGCTGCAAACTTCATCACCAACAGCGCCAAAGCGATGGCCCCGGTTGGTCAATGGTGTCTCACCATAGTCGTTAGGGCCCGTTTCAAAGCATCAATCATAGAGTGAGCCCCAACGTTGCGGAGATAGATACTATACGTGGAAATGAGAACATGGGGATTGGTTGCACGCGACGACTGCCACCAAGGCCAACTGGACAGATCCTCATGAGTCACGGGTGGTACTTGACACCAATTGTCCAGGTAGAGCGCGGAGTTGGCGCCGTGAAACCTTCTTTTCGTACTCATCAATTCCAGGCACTATGAAGTCAGTGGCTAGATCTATTAGCCCCTCTCGATGCAGCCAGTTCCTCAAGCTCTACAAGTAAATCGCCACAGTATCCGCCCAACATAGACCGGAATTTATTAATCAGGAGGTCCACAAAGGAAGAGAGAAGACAGTACTGGCAGGGATTGCGAAGGGGACAGGTGAGAGATGTGAAGATTGGGGTTATCAGACACGGTGCAGGTGGAGATACCAATGCCGATCGTAAATTACCCGCTCAGCCCAATCGCATCTATTTAATGGCCCCCCTCTTCTCTGAATGCCCCGTGTGTCTCGAAGAAGTCTTGTCTGAAAGCCACGGGAACGGGGGTGAATTGAAGTAGAGCAGGAGGGACAAAGGAGAATCTCATCGGATCGAATGACGTGCTCATCATTGTTGGATTCGTCCGCCTGGCTTTCCATTAACTCCTACGTTGTTCCTCCCAAAGTCGGAAATCAATTCCAAATCATAGGGAAAAATCTTCGGGAAGCTAATCATGAACTACTACCATCCCAATGTTCAAGACTATCAGCAATCCTTTGAACAAGCGAAGACTGCAGCAAGGCTTGTGGGCGTTAGCTTCGACCCTAAAAATCCACTACTTCAGCTCTCTATGGGGAAAATGAGTAGCTATACCGAGCGGTGTGTGAAGCACTTCGGCTTCGTACATTATACCACCACGAATCCGGTAAGGAGCCTATCCTACGCGTTTGTATAAAGCCACATGGTGCATATTCATGGTCGCTAGCAGCCGAGACAGCCGAGACATGTGTAGTTCAGAACAGAATTTAATGTACGTTAATATGGGCGCTATAATAGTAATTTAGGTATCTAAACTTTCTGCCATTCTTAGAATATGCATAATTGTGCATTTTTCCAGTGGCCGCTATTGTCCTTCATAGTTTATCCATGTACTTACAGACAAGATGGCGTGTGCATGAAGATTATCTCTGGGAACCTGGCCCTAGTGTAATGTGATAGCGGTTCGCTGTACGACTTCTCGCCATGATGCAACAAAAGAATGCGAAAAACGCCTTGGTCTTAGATAGATCCAAGTAGGAGCTTTTTAGCCGTCAGCTTTGTACCATCGCTGTCGACTTATGCATGTAAGCGCCTGGGTGGCTGGTGCCACGCAACGGCCCCAATTAGCCCCGCGGGCATTGCATCGAAGGCGGCTACCTGATTTCAGACCACAAGAAACCCCCTGTTTCGCTTTCGAAATTTCTACTTTTATTATCTCCAGTTGCCAGTATTGGTAGGGCCATGGCTGACCCATTTTCAGCAGCGACCGGCGCCATCGGAATCATTTCGCTTGGGTTGCAAGTCGCCCAACAGCTTGTAACGTACTGCCAAGCATACCAAAGCTACGACGAGGATGCACAACGAATCAAGAGCAGAGCGGAGGGGCTCCAAAGGCCTCTTAGAGCCCTCGGTGAAATTATCGAAGATGCTCGGGTTTCGAATCCAGAGCTTGCTACTGACCTCGCGGAGAAAGCTTTGGGCCTTCAGAGAATGGTGAATAGGCTCAAGGAGACGGTCGATCAACATTTGCCGATCATCCCAGACAAATTCCCGAAGAAAATCAAGGGTCAGCTGAAGAGGGCCATTTACCCGTTCCGGAGGGATAGTTTGCGAGGGATTATTGATGACCTGGATTGTATTCAGAACGCTTTGCAAACCAGTTTGATCCTGTGAGTATGAATGAGAGATCTCCAGCTGAAGTTGTCTTACCCGGGTATCTAGACTTTCATTGCAGGGAAATATCAGGCAAACATTGATGCACAGAGCAACTTACCAAGAAGTGCTGCAAATGGTAAGACCATCTACTGAGAACTGAAGTTAACATGGCTAACTAGATATACAGTGCATCGCCCAACAGGAGAATCTGAAAGTGATGCCACCTCCGAGTTTACTAAAAGCGTGGTGTGAAAGTCAAATCAACTATAAACAATCAGTCGAAGACATGCACCACATGTCGAATGTCACTCTCGCGGCGTCTGGAAATTCAAACTCTGAAACCACCAATTATGCTGATTCCACTCTATCATGCCGTACTTCCAATTCCAGGGGAAAAACAGACACCTCTACGAAATCATTCAAGTACCTCAGTTCCTTTCTTCGTGTCGCCGTAACCGCATCTCTCACATTGTCGAATGGGGCCGGGGGATATTCGATTGCGCCCACCTTGAACCTACAGACTATTCGAGAATACGACGGGAGATTTTTGGAATTGACACTCATGCACTTGCCCAGCTCGAAGATGTTGACAGCTTCTGATTTCGACAGAGCCATCGAGGATTGCATTCGTCAGGTTCAACGAGCATTCGCTGATGGAAAGGCAGCGCCATCAGATATATTCTACCACAAATATTGTCCCTCCGATTATGCTACAACCTCAATCGTGGATGTGCGTATGTGCTCATCTATATGCCTAGTCTGCATCTCTGACAGAATACAGGCACTGGTACCATATAGCTCTGTGACAAAGCGATTTCAACTTCCCGGTCTCAATAAGCTTACCAGGTTCCTGGTGAGTAGCGGCGCCTTGCCAAATAACTCGTCCAAACAAGGAGTCCTCAAAAGCCTGATTGGGTTCACTTATTTTCGAGACGAGGAGTACTTGTTGGCCTCGTACCTCGTTGAGCACGGTGGGCCCTTGGTCCTAGACGACGGATTGTTGAATCACGTTGAACGACATAACGTAAAATACATTTTGTTGCGGAATGACGACCGTATGTACTGATGTTCTTACTAAACCTCAAATTGAAAGCTGACCTGAGACACACCCAGTTATCGTTGTTCCCGAAATCGCAAAAATTATTCTTCAAAAATCTGATCAAAAGTTGCGAGATGGATTGAAATCTGGTTATATCTCTCCCAATACCAAAGTGTGCGGCTGCTCCTTACTCCAGTTAGCATTTGGGTGGCCAACAGGCATGCAAATCTTACTGAGATCAGGAGCAATTGTTGAAGGTTCGTTGATTCAATCCTGGGGGTGTCCTAGCCCTCTCGCTGAAGAGGATGTCGACTGCAAATGTTTCTTTGATTCGACTAGGCTTTTGCTTGAAGCGGGATGTGATATGAAAATACCGCTCCTACAAGCTGCTGGCTCGGGGCAACTACTGTCCCTCTTCGTGAGTGAGCTAGCTCAGCGGCGGTGGAGACTATGGAAGCTGGCTCAGTCGTGTCTACCACAAAGGAGACTCGGGGAGTTCGGGTTGAATCAGGGCACAGTGCCTGACTTGCATGCCTCGGAAATAAGTGCGGCAATTGTGGCTCGTGGCAACACAATTGATCGATCACTTCTTGTGATGACACAGGATGCATCCATCTACCACCATCGGACCCTCTCTCCCAGAGTCATGGAGGAGTTGCTCAAAATGGGATTCAAGGATTTTGACTCACCAAGCTCAACTGGTTTGACCCCCTTGATGGTAACCTATGATTCTTACTTTGGATGGCAGGCCATGGCACGAGTGGCGTGGTTTATTTCTAAAGGCGCAGATGTCAATCGCAGACTGCCACGGTCAAGCGCAAAGGTCTCCCATCTGATTACAGTCCAAATCGTCGGGTTTCTTCTGGCTTTATTGGATTATCAAAGGAGCGACGTGATCAACACTCACTGGTCACGCTGGGAGAACAGGATTTCCCAATACAGAGGTAGAATTTTTGCGTCAATGTCTATTATAGATAGCTGCAGTTGTGCTTGTTCCCCTCATGGATGTACAAATGTTTCCGTGGCCTTGCGACAGGCGCTGCGTTGGGATCGGTGGCTCCAGGTCGCTGATCGATCTTTCTGGTTCCGACACTTGCTCTACTCCTTAACCGATTGGGCCCGTTTCGAGCCGTGGGTTAACCGGGCTCTTATCAGATGCCTGACCTTTGATGCACTGGGTCTCAAGCATACGTGTTGCATTGAAATTGACGGTGTGGTTGGATTACTCGATCGCAGAGACGCAACTGAGATGCAGGGCAGAGACCACGGGGAGATTACAGAGATCCTGGAGGAGGACGCACAAACAATTGAAAAGCATAAGCAGCTTGTCATTGATTTCGAAGCGAAATTCGACGAGCTTGGTCTTTCTATCCTGGAGTTTCTGGAGGGATATTGGCATACCCACATGGTCGAATACCTTCTGGGGGGTGATCCCTACAACGAAGACCATGATGTAGGAGCAAGAAGCATGGGTGTATTTTTGCAAGCGGAGGAAAATGTTTTAGATAGGGTGTCTCTTCTCATTGGCGCTCAGGTTAAAGAGGTTGGGGGGATGAGGACAGTTGGAGTGTGGTAGAGACAGTCTGATTTTATACTTGGCGAACACGGGTTGATTTCTACGTAATATCCACTGGAAATCCTTGATACTTCAGCACCAGATTTGAGTTGTATACCTTGTTCTATCATGGTCTTACTGCGTGCTTATGGTGAGACCGTGTCAGGTACTAAGTCATCTTCGGTGTTTGTTCTTGACTCCCGGCATTTGAAAAGCCGAGGGTGCTGCCAGTCTCCGTCGATGAGTAAGACAATGGCATCATCGTTCTGTGACTCACGGTGCATGGACTATGTGAACACCAGTGCCCTCGAATTGCCATCCCAGCTGAATCAGATCACAACCTTCGCCATTCCGGTGTGGGATATTGATGGATATTGATATCAGTCATCCCGTGGCACCTCGCCGATCCAGAACGGATCCAATTCGTAAGCAAGCACGCCATCTGCATTCTGCCATTGCCGCCCGCCCGACCTCCTTTCGTTTCCGACCTTCAAACTGCCCGTCAATTGGACAGATTCAACGCGATAAAGCTCGTGCAGCGCACCAGACCTGACAAATTCAGAGATGCCTCCCGTAAGTGCACACCCACCGCTCTGATTGCCGCGCCGGATCCCCGCTGGAGCGTGCTAGAGGGCTCCATGGGCAGTTTTGTTCAACCGTGCTGGCTCTTAGCTAAGCTAGCTGGGCCCGGAACGTCATCGCCTTATAAAAATCCGATAGCCCCTCCGCGGGCTGCCCCTCCTTGAATTTTAAAGCTCACCTCAATTCAATCTTCTAGAGACCTTCTACCATTCGCTTGACTCGCCTTTCTGCTCCTTTCTCAAAGGCTTCTACTTCTCTCTTCCGTCTGCCAATTCCTCAGCGTACTTCGCCTCGGAACCCACACTTCCGTGCTTTTTCTTCGACTCCGATCCCGCAGTTTTCCAAATCATCCTTCAAAATGGGTGTTACTCAGATCAAGACGTGAGTCCTCCTGCTATCTACCAAATTTCAACATCTCTCTCGGAATGATCCTTTCCACAAATCCGACGAGTATTCGCTAACCTGTTGATGCCCCCATCACAGCGTTGAGGAATTCAACACCCTTGTCAAGGACACCAAGGAGCCTGTCATTGTCGACTACTTCGCCACCTGGTGCGGCCCCTGCAAGGCCATCTCCCCCCTTATCGAGAAGCTGAGCGAGCAGCACACCGGCATCAAGTTCTACAAGATCGACGTCGACGAGCTCAACGAGCTCGCTGCCGAGAACGGCATCTCTGCCATGCCCACCTTCCAGTTCTACAAGGGCGGTGAGGTCATCAACACTGTTCAGGGCGCTGACCAGCGTCGAATTATGGAGGCCGTCGCTACCATCGCCGCATAAATGTGGACTGAGGTCTTGGAAGAGAAGGTGACGATGTTTTTTAATTTGCGAGATATGAGACAAAAGGAAATGATATCCGGCCTGGGGCCCTCTTTGTATCCTTAGAAGTTAGAAGTTCTCATTTCATCTTTTCGATCTTGGCCTTAGCTCGTCTCTATGGGTGTTGTTGGCGGGAAAGCGTAGTTTGATACTGTCGTCGTGGTGGCAGGAGACATACTTCCGCCGAAGCGAATCATCGTGTCGCGCAGGCGACGGCTTGCATCATGCAGGCAGACAAAACAAGTCACTGCCCGAACTTCACAAATTCCCCGCATGTTCTGTGTCAACTCCGGTCTTAGCGAATAAACTTTATTCAGCGGTGCGTGAGGAGGCGCACCCAAGGTCGTGGATGAGAGCTATCGACTACGCCTTGGGTGCAATGACGAGATAGAGTTTACCTGCCAAGTGACACGAGTCTAAATGTTCCGGCCGTTTTTTTCGATCCGTAGCCTTCTTTACTTGCCTTGATGTTTCCAAAAGAAAGCACCAGAGGATCTCTGATCAGAAGCCAAGGATGTACTGGGTGAGTAGATAGAATACGGTCGCTCCATTCATCAGCAGCCGACTTGGACGCTAATGCCCTAGTACTGGGCGTTTGATATATTGCTGCTATACTAAAGGCAGGGCCGAGAGATGCTCCAAACTAGAACATCCCGGGCCCAAGTTCGCAGCTTGTGCCAAGTCCCCAGTTTTACTCTATCATCGACTGGGGTGCCCGGCAGGGCCTCGTAGAGGAAGAAACGCCACTTCGGACGGCAATATCTTGAAACGTCTACATACGAGATAGACAGGGCGAAGCGATGAGATGTCCACCTCGCCCGGTGATCACGGGCGACATCTCAATTCGACGCCTTGTCCAGTAAGAATCTGACGAACCCCTCGGTGGCGGCGTCAACAAGCTGCCGTCTCAGTTTGGGAGCTTGCTGGAGACAACAGCACAAGCGCCCGCGCGCGTGAGTCTAAGTTACTGGAATTCCACCCTTCCTTCGCCCCCTTCGGATGCCAATTAAGGCCCGGAGAATTTACCATCGTGGCAACGCCATGTCGTTGACACGATCTGTCTCTTGTTTCAACGCACTCGCCTCACCCCCTCTGCTTCGGCGAACAAGCTACGTGTCGACCAGCTTGACTTTTCACCTTGCAAACCTTCTGCAGCAGGCACGCAGACCGGAGTGGAGCAAGCTCGACGCGGATAATCGACACATCGGGCGCACAACATGTCGGAGAAGCCGACAGGCTACGACCGGTTCGACTGGAGTCTGGGTGTTCGGCTTGGGCCGAGACAGCCCCTTGATCCTTGGACTTCCGTCGACACGGTTTCACTCGGGGAAGAAGAGGATGGAGGACTTCGAGCCGTGACCAGGCCCAGCAGCCCAGCACGATGGATTCGATCCGACCGAGCCATCTTGTCATCCTGAAAAGGGCAATTGAGCGAGCATTATCGGACGGCAAGCCATGGGCCAAAGATATCCACCACGGGCCACCAAGGGTGCGCAGTGCACGCTAGCCAGCTGAGATCGATCCCGGTCGGGACATCGAGGCCTGAACCCTGCGCCACCGGAATTGGCCCTATCAGACTCTGTCAATGGAGGCACGGCGTGGGTAGAGTCCGAAGGGCTAATTGATTGACGGGCAAATTTGATGTTGGTTAACTGATTGATTAATCTCCGGATCTCAAATCATGCTATGGCCGCCGTTAGCTCATGAAATGTCCGAGGCACTAGGCTGTTCATACGTGTCCGGTGTATTCGCAGGGGCACTGGACTCGCGAGCAGTGCGGCTCTGAGAGCCGGGAGACCCATCGGGCGTCCGTAATCAGGAGTTTTACTCCCGATCGATACGGACTATGTTCCTTGTTACCGGTTTGGCCACCTAGCGTGACTTTGGCGGCGTTGTGACTGATCGTCACGGGCAGTCTTGACGTGCAGATCCGGATGAACAGTGCAGGAGATAGAGAACAGATGGTCGGTTGCACGACCCTCAACGCGAGCAGTCAAGACCGCCATCCCATTCGGTCCCCCTCTCATATTGCGTGGGGCCCGTGACGCATGATGCATCAACCTCAATCGCGCCTGAGGACCCGGCGCAGCTGAAGCTGGGCTGCAGCTGGGCTGTTAGTGCTGGCCCGGCAAGCGGGCCTAATCAATCATTTCGTCCGAGGGCCGAATGAAGATTTGTGAATGTACGCCATGCTCGTCGCTAAGGAATCCGCTAATCCAAATACCCCCTCCTAGCCTGCGCTATCTGGGGTGATTTGAGTTTGCAGGAGTCGCAAAATGCAACAATCACATAATGGCGCCGGAAAACCTCCCCCAAATCGCATTGTCGACAAAGCACAGACACTGAATTGCTCGCACTGACCCGCTAATACTGTGTATGCTTCTGATACGCCGGCCCGCCACCCCCGCCCCATCGTTCTTGACCCGCTACGATTCGATCTAGATCAGCGCTGTCTCAGGCCAGCGAATGACTGGCTCATCTGTGAGTGAACCCATCCTCGCTTCCAGAGGCCCCTCCCCAGTCAATCTTCCGCCTTGCCAAAGCCAAGAGTATGGGTCCCTGACCCGTGATGATTGAACCCTACCCGAAGCTGCGAGATCACATCGATCAATCTCAAACTCTTTTACATCGCTCTCGCCCAGGAAAGCCTTTTGCGACCGTTGGTACCGGACCGACAGCATGACAGGCATGTGTGGATGTATGCTGCGTCGGTGTTCCCAACTGCCACGCGGAAGGCCCCAGGAGCCGAGATGCAGGCCATCCACGGTGATGTGGGTGATGTGGAGCCTGAACATCCGTCTAGGTTGGATCTGTTTCAAGGCGCTTGCCTACGGAGCGCGCTTTCTGCCTGATTGCAATTACTAGCTTGGCGTGCCGGCGCTGGGTCTAGGCTTGTGATGCGAGAAGATCCCGGTCAGTCTGGCTGAGGCTTGCATCTGGTGGGTGGGATTCAACATTATAATAAGATACCACTGGCCAGGCTGCTGGGTCCCGATTTCATCCCGACCTGATGATGATGCATGAGCGTCACTCCGCTCCGGAATTGACAAAATCTCCTGCTACGATCATTGGTATCTCGCTGTGAACAACTCATCTCCCTTGATGTTCTAATATACACACTCTCTTTCTCTCCCCAACTTGATTGCGACTCTCTTTCCCTTGCCCGGCTGGAAGCAAAAATAGGGACGACACGCCTCAACCAATGCTTGCGCCGTAGCTCACCTCCCCAATCGCATTCTTCAACATGTCGGGTGCAGGCGCTCACAATGGCGCCCCGATGCACACCTCCTACCTGGGGGGCTACATCTTCCTCTCTTATGTGATTAGTTCGATGGGATGCGCGACGACCCTGGAACTACTTCATCGGAGGACGTCAAGGTCGGGATTCTATAACTGGTATGATATGACGGCCCGTCCCGTGTCTTCCATACATAGAAGCTGCCATGACTAAATGCAACCAAAGGTACCTGCTCCTCACCTCATCTGTAACAATGGGCGGTATTGGAATCTGGTGCATGCACTTTATTGGCAACCGGGCAATCGTTCTCGGTACTGGTGAGCAGGATATCCAGATTCTATATAATGTCGCCTTTACCGGAACATCGTTCGTGCTACCCGTGATCGTGCTACTTGCTGCGTTCTACTCCGTGGGCGTTGAAGAGAAAGCGGGCTATCTGCGAATTCTTACCGGAGGCCTGTTGACTGGAAGCTCGGTGTGTGGCATGCACTACGTGGGACAACTCGGGATTTCGAACTATAAGTGCTCGTACCAGGTCGCCAACCTGGTCGGGTCTGCTATCATCGCTATCTCCTCCAGCACTGTTGCCCTGGGGATCTTCTTTCGGTGGAGGGCGACTTGGACAGATAGCTGGTGGCGGCGCTGCCTTTGCGCCTGTTTCCTTTCATCTGCTGTGTCGGGCATGCATTGGACTGCGGCAATCGGCACCTCCTATCGAGAGCGTGATGAGTCGATTCAACATGGGACTCAATTGTCCCGAAGCCAGGTCGTTATCATCTGCGCTGTATTGGTGAGTTCTGACGGATCGATCTCTTGATATGATGGGCCTCTATATGGATAAAGGATAAACGGATGAGTGGGAACTGACGTAGCTTTAGGCCTGTGTCTCGTGCGTGATTTTGTCTGCCTGCGCGATCATCGCTGGTGGCAATCGCCGACGATCGACTACTCGCGCCCACCAGCTCGTCCTCGCCTGCGCATACTTCGATCCGGCTGGACGAGTTATGGTTACACCGCATGCCCTTCTCCCGACACGAAAGATTGTGGATCATTACATTGGCCGAGTACGCTTCAAGTTTCCCTTACCAAACGCAAGTCAGACGGAGCTAACGTCTGCTTTGATAGACCTTCAAAGATGACGACCTCACCCGAACTCACCCTACCTTCCTTTGGGCCTTTAGGGCTAGCCGCAACTGGCCCGTCGTGAAAGACCTCATTCCCTTCATGCGTAACCGCCTGGAGTCCGAAGGGCGAGCCATCCAACAACACGTGCTATCCCGTGGAGTGGTTATGGACAAGGAGACCGAGTTGCACACAGACTTTGACACGCTTTTCAAGCAGCTCTTCTGCGTGACCGCTCAAGAACTTTCGAACGAACTCCGTCAGCCCCTATCCGATTTGGGAACATTATACGATGATGTTCTCTCCACTGCCATTCCAGTTTCCCGCCTTTCGCGCGCAATAGGTCGTTCGTCGCTGAGGACGGGTAAGGGTCAATTGATATTCAGTGTACGGCAATTGCAGAAGCACGAGGCCGTGCGTTTCGCCTCGCTGGGATTCCGGTTTGCAACTATTGAGCATGTTACATCGACATTATCTCGCCGTATTCACGTCCCTGAAGCGGCTCTAGGGGAGCACCTTCGCGAAATGCGTGATTATGCAAGCTCGAGCCGGGGCTTTGGAGAAGGCGTGCACCTGATCTCCTATGTGATGCGGCCCACACTTCACGACCACTTCGAGATTCTCACCACCAAGGGAACTGGAAATCCACTGCCCTCCTCCACACTACCTATCAAGTGCCTGTCTGTTCACCATTTGGATTTGATCTCCCATATGGACGGCTGGTCCATGAACGCATGTTTGAAATACCTCCAGTCGAAAGCTGCCCAACAGACCGATAAGAACCTGGAGGAATTCCGCGAGCAACTCGTGTACGGCATCCTGTCACTTGCGCGATCATTGCCAGAGGAGATGCGCTCAACAGCGACATTTGCTTCCAGACCTCTCCTCGCACCATGTCGCGCTGCCATGCGCCAGTCGGAAGAGAGCCAACATCCCCAACAATGCACCCTCCTCACATTTTGCGTCGCCGGTACGCTCGACACGCAAGTCCCCAACCCTGACCTCACCTTCACTCCGTTCCGCCTCTTCCGCGTCCAGCAGCAGGTAAACGACATCGTCGCTGATCGTGACGGTTTCTCTCGCGAGCTGAACCAGGAACTCTTCTGCACCGACGTCCGTTCGGGATCTTCTGTCACAGAGTCAGATGTGATTTCCCTTCCTCGCTCCGCCATTATGAAGCTCTGGCCATCGCGGAGACACTCCGTACGCCGGACAGTTGGACAGTCTCAGGAATCACTCGTCGAGGCTCCCGCAAAGATGCTCGGCGACATCACAGTGCAGAAGGAGGTTCGCGTCGACGTAACTCGGATCAATGAGAATGCTGCGCAGAACCCGACCCGCACGCACGATGCGATCATTGCTGCCGGTGACGCTGTTGCCACACCTACGACCTATGTCGATGAACTGTATAGTCTTTGCTATGCGCCGGGGATTCGTGCGCCGGGGATCCGCCTGCCGCCGTCGTCACTACACGCAGCGGCGGCAGCGCGCAGATCCGAAATTTCATGACCTCTTCCTTCATTTTTCGATACTTTTGCGGGCGCTGGGTGGAAGAAAAGTTTCCCTGGTTGACCACAGTCCGCAAATTGTGTTTTTTATGTCGTTACAGTCCGCTCTCTGCTCGCGGAATTGGCCTGCGTGTTTTGAAGGCCGTGTATATAGTAATACCCCCTGCTGTGTATATAATGAACAAGACAATTCGAGCGCGATAAAGTTACTGATACACGTAATGTGATGTGATTTTCATCATCTCCAGAGTCATACACGACAGATCTATCGTGAGTAGCTGCTCACAGCAGCATTTATTATCGTGCCACGCCCCAAGGGAAACAAATCAAAAGAATGAAATGAAAGGTAACTAGAAGACATGCCCGTCGCTCAATGCAAATACCAGATACTCCTAAAATACAGCCACATGCAGGAACACTCCATAAGCAGGGGTGTCGATCCCAGAACGACATCACGAGCGGGTCTCTAACGCTCAGTCCGCTTATCGTACTTGATATACCCAGCTCAACCCAGTCTCTGGGGACCTTTATACCGCATTCGGGTCCTCGCGCTCCAGGAACGTGGGATCCATGTCGATGCGTCGCTCGAACTTGGTCCACCAATCGCGGAAGCTCTTCAATGGCACCACCTCATGGCCCTTGTTGGTTGGGTCGCTCTCGGCAAAGCTGGCGAGGAAATTGAACGCACTGCCTATAATCCGCTGCGCTAGCACCTTGGTCGAAATCTGCTTCTGTTGTCGGCGCTCAGGGTTCTGGAGCACCAGCGCGGTGGATGTGGAAGGCTCGGTACGCTCCAACGCTGACAGCTGCGGTGCGATGTTGTGCGCCGGCTCGATTGAAATGCCTAGCGTGGCGACGCCGCTGAGTGGGCCTGCGGCGCTGGTGGAGTTGTTGGGGCCTTCGTCGAGCATCTCATCTTCTTCTTCAGCTTCGCTGCGGTGCTGGCCGTTGTTCAATTGCGATGGGGACTGGATCTTGAAGATTCCGGAGGGCTTCTCGTTGGCTAACGCGCCGATGAACCGGAAGTCGGTTGGGTTCCCGGTGTTCGGGTCCGGGAGTTGCACGTAGATCGCGGCGCCGGTGTTTGGTGGGAGGATTGTACCCGGCAGGAAGAAGACGACGATGTCGGTGAAGGCCGGGCTGAGCGGGATTGTGAAGGCAAACTTGGTTGGTTGGCCGTTTGGTTGGCCGTCGACGGCGACGACGTCCGTCAGGCACGGCCGACCGGGGATGACGACGGAGAACATGTGCGGCAGGTGGGTCAGGAGAATAGCTTGTGTAGCTGTAGAGCAGGTCTGGAGGGAGATTGGATCGACTCTTGGGGCAAAATGGAAGCTTCTTTCTAGATGGTTCGAACAAAGACTGCCGCGGAATTCAGATTCGATGATGCTGGTGACATAAGAGGGGAAGCTGCCCTTATCGCAGGCCGATAAGGGCTTGGCATGCGGCGCGGAGTCCAGCGCCCGCGGGCAATGACTCCCCTCCGCTGCTGACACATTGGCTTGTGGTAGATTGACAAGATGAGCAAGTCCAATTTGGATCTGATCCGCGAATGCGATAAGTACTAAATCCGTTTATATGCATGTCCTGTTGCCGCCCCTTGTCTCATACCCCGCCCAGCTTCCCCTACTATGAGGACGATCGCGCTGCGTACACGGAAAACCTCAGCAACTACCATGCCTTCCACGTGTCCGGATACGATGTGACGCTGGGCTACATCCTGAATGACGTTGTCGAGAAGTTTCCCTGGTCACAGGCATGCTGGAAGGTTGACTCTGCAGCCCAGACCGTTACCTTGGTCACGTCTGCGGACGCCAACCCCGCACAACGCAGCAAGCTGGTTGCGCAGAGCATCACCGAGGCCGTCAAGCTCGGATGTTTCGAGGTGTTGAAAGGATGGCGCAATGAGAAGTACCCGGTCTATGGACCTGGGGGGGAATACCTGCTCGAAATGGAGCGCAGCGCGTCGTGCTTGTTCGGCATTGTCAGCTACGGCGCTCATATGACCGGGTATGTGGAGGATGCAACAGGCCTGAAGTTGTGGATTCCTCGACGCGCGAAGAATAAGCAAACATACCCCGGCATGCTGGATAACACCGTTGCCGGAGGTATGTGTACCGGCGAGAAGCCATTCGAGTGCATCGTGCGCGAGGCCATGGAGGAAGCCTCCCTGCCCGAGTCGGTGGTGCGCGCTTCTATCACTCCGGTGGGATGTGTTACATACACGCATGTACGGGATCTCCGCGCCGGTGGCGAGACTGGCCTTTTACAGCCAGAGGTGGAGTACGTTTACGATCTGAAGCTCGATCCCTCGGTTATTCCTAAGCCCTGCGATGATGAGGTCGAGGAGTTTAACCTGCTGTCTGTATCCGAGGTAAAGGAGGCGCTGGCCCGCGGCGAGTTCAAGCCGAACTGCTCGGTTATCATGATTGACTTCTTCATTCGCCATGGTATTTTGACGGCGGAGAACGAGCCGGACTACCTGGATATCGTGGCGCGCCTGCATCGCCGTATGGACCATCCGACAGCCTCGCATTGCCTAAAATAGGATGTGTTCATGTGTTTATAGGGAGGAAGATTATATCTCTGTGTGGATAGTTAGCCCTCCCGGGAGGGTACATATATCTCCTGCATTAGAGCGACAGACCTCGAACATAAGGAAGACCATTGGGAGAATGAAAGTACATAAAATGATCAAATTGATCTGTGAGGGCTCCAATATAGGTCTAGCACAATCTCCTGATTTCAAGCCAATTTGGTTTTAGCCTTTCCTAGGTCCCTAGCTGCTGTTCGGTATTCTGGTGACCATCTCGACTACTCCTTCCTGCCCATCTTCTTCTCGCTAATTTACGCGACTATTTTCATGATACTCATGGGGAGGTGTTCATATTGAGTTTGTAATCACCTTCTGACAGCTACACTATATTTGAGAATGATGGCAGGGAGATGAGCATCCTGGTCGAGTTGTAGTTTACACGGCCCCAAGCTTAAATTCTCAGTCTTCATGGTTGGCGAGCGTCATTATTGACGACCTCAGGATGCAAGCCCATCGACATGCCCAAGGCTTGGCACGAATGGCCTTGAATACTTATTTAGATATTCTCTACAAATGGCTTCATGAATTGTATTGAGTTTCTCTCGTCTTCTACCTAGTCCGCAAAGGCTCAATGAGAGCGGATCTATGAATCCCTCCCCGAATTACTTTTCTATTCTTTTGTGTCACTATCTATACTGAAAGTCTAGCCGGGGATACAATCGGTGAAAAGAGAGGCATAGCAGTATCGGCAAGCATTCAATGGTGTATCGATCTCCTGGATGTTTAGGAATGACTCCTGCTGGCCAGCAAAACTCACGTCAGGCAAGTCTTCCACTGTCACACTTGAACGCACGGCAACGTTAAGATCCTCAATTCCTACTTTATTCAACCTCTCACGGAAAGCTCTTCTGATGGCAGTGGCGACAGCGGCGGGCCAAGTGCGATGAAACTTTTAGCTGCACGCCCCTCTGCTACTTATCATCACCATCTTCACCATCTGCGCTATCTTCGCTCTCTTCGTCCTCAATCTCGAGCCGCTCACCCAACATATTACCATAGACCATCACTGCAGCAAGTCTATCCGCGCTCCGGTCCCAGTCTCCTTCCACATAAAATCGCAGTTGCACCCCCTCCTTCACATACCAAACATCGTAACGGTCCCTTTGCCCAAAATCCCCAGGATGAAAAGGTTCATCGTCCTCTTTGCCAGGATTAAGTGTTTCAACACGCAACGAAACCCCCGGGGCCAGCCAAGCCGGAACAATCAGAGTATCTGCGTCCCAGACTTTCGTCGCTGCGAGAACATTCCCGCCATCGTCATTCTCATGAGATGTTGGGAATTCAATTGCGAAGACCTCTGTGTTGGGTGGCTTAAATGTTCCAGTGCCGTAGGCCCTAGACATCCAGCTGCCAACATCATAAAAGACATGGTTCCACATATAGTAAATTTGGTCACGCCATGGTGTATGGCAAGACTTTGTGTCGGAGTCCTGTGGAAGTTGTTCTCGCTCCTTACGGGTGAGTAAGTTGACTTCTTTGGTCCAAGTATTGAAGTCGCCGTTGGGTGGGTCGTTGCATTCTGAGGTTGATCGCTGGACAGGCCAGCCGTGGACAAGAAGATGTGCGACGGTAAATTGGGGCGGATCTTCCTCAAATCCGATTTTGCGAACTCCTGGGCTATGAGTGAGGTCTCCGGGTCCGAGGCGGGTCATTGAATGCATGTTTGGAGGGAGGCTGCGGTCGCTTGAGACCGGGGAGACAAGCAGAGGTTTGCCAGGACTGACAACGCCTGGGTGCTTAATTATTAAATATTTTTTGACCTGAGGTTAGTGCATTGAGAGAATCCTATGGAAGTTGACAGACTGCTGATCTCTGGCCTCAGAGGGATGCAAGTTGACTCACATTGTGATGAATAATCTGCAGCGCTTGGCACGCGCGAGCCTTGCGACTCACAGAAGCTGTGCAGAAAGAGAGGGCCATCTCATCTTCTATACCCGCCTATAAAATACTCCTTCTAACTGTTGTATTGGGAGTTAAGAGAATCCAGTACACATTTCTAGCCAATGACCCCATTTTTGTTGAATTGAATGCAACCAGATTATGCGTAGTATCAGGGAATATATACCTATATGCAAGATAAATGAGTTTGAAGTGAACCCTTTCAATACAAAATCTTTACAATAGCCCACCAGGTATTACATACATCCCACAACCTCTGCCCCGTGTCTGTTGTCTATCAATCTACTTAACCACCCAAAAGTATTGTCGCCACACCCTCCATCCACCGATTGTACCACAAAAGAAAATACCTACCCAGCCATCTTGGCCAGCAACCATTCAGGCCAGCGACGGACTACTGCTTTCCTGCAGTAGATAGAGCTCGCCTCATTCACTTTGGCGTTGTAATAGTCAGAATCCATGCCCGCTGGAATCTCGCCAAATTTGAACCAAAGATCCGAGCATACTTGCTCTATATGAAGCTATTTCCCCAACTAATCTTTTTCGTGCCAGCAAAGCCTTTGTAGACAAAAGAACCTGTTGAAGCTGATCCACGCCCTAGTCCTTGACTGTGGCTGTTTTCACATTTTGTCTGCCACAGCCTGCTCTCGCACCTGTATGATAGCTGATCATCAATAACAGTATTCCATTACGTTTGCAGACAAATTTAGTTCTGGCTATAGTAAGGGTTGAACCCTGCGATGACATGCTGGAACTTTATAATCAAGTGTCTTCTTCCACATGAGCACCTTCGCTTCAGCTACTGTCCAGGGAACGAGGTTTTCAATATCCATTGACTCGACCCCGAGTCCCTTCGCACGGAAGAAACAGGCAGTGGAAGGTGGCTTTCCTCCTTTGGCAAATGAGACAATTGCTTCAGCGTGGTCCTTTATCAGCTTTCGAGCTTGTGGTGACTGGTGAAGATACCAGAAGAAATTATGCGGCATACTCTCGTATTCATGAAGTGTGACGGAGACCCCTTGCTTGTGAGCAGTCTGCGCAACAAACCTTGCTGGATCAGCAATCTGCTCCTGGCCCAATCCAAACCATAGTGGACAGGATCCAGCCCAGCTGTCTGATGCCGTAGGGCTTGCCAATGAGTGCGCAAGCATCCCGGCGTCGCAGTACAGATTGGCACGAGGTTGACGGGCAGGCCATATGGAACAAGTGGGAAAGTCCTCCTCGAGATAAGGTAAATCATGTGCAGTTGTTGGAAAGATGTCACAATGCTTATTGCGCTCCCAGGAGGGAAATCCGTTTGTAAGTTCCATCGCAGGGCTCAACAGAGCCATGCCTGCTGGCACGACAGGCTCAACTCTTTGTCCGTGAAATACGATTGACATATTCCTCCTTTTTAGCCGGAGGAGAACCTGTAATAGGCCCAGAGCAAGACAAGCACCAGAGCTATCGCCTACCACGACGATATTCGTGGGCGAGACAGCTCGGTGAGGAGATGCTGGAGGTGGGGCAAGTAGAGCTAAGTACGCCTGGAACACGTCGAGCAAGGCAGCAGGAAACGGATTTTGCGGAGCTAGTCGTTGTCGAACCATTAAGACCTTGGATCCGGTTGCTTGTGCCAAAGATCCCGCTACTCTTCGGTAGCTGGATGGGGTGTTTAACCTAGATTGGATTAGTTGAGGTTTCGACCTGACAAGAACGGGGGCCACAAACGTGAAACTTCCACCGTAGATGTAGAGCAGTGTCAATGGGCCCTTCGTCTCTGCCTCAAGTCTTGCGAACTTTTGCTCTTCCAAAAACAATGGCTCCGCAGCGTCACGGCTAACGTTAGCACGGAACCCGGTCCACTCGAGATGCAGCGGTTCAGAGCCAGGGCGATCATATTGAATTCCTTTCTCATTTGCTTCATCCACTAGACTTAGAAGCAATGCTCGAGACGTATCATCGGTCGGTTTGGGCGCAGTGAATTTGCTAACCCACACGGGCCCCGTCGCGGGGTCATCTCTGTTTGCCGCGGCTTGCTGGACAGAGATCGAGGCTGCTCTCGCTCTGCGGAGGTACTCAATCTTTATTTTCTGCGCTGCTGCAGCAAGGTGGCGAGAATTCTCGAAATCCATGGATGGGGAGATGGGGTTGTTTTCCGAATTTTGCTGGCCGGCTCGAAGCTTCAGATCGCAGTCCGGAGAAGTTGGAAAATTAAACTCGGCTTCTGCCACTCCATTCGGTATTGGCGATAATTGAGAGGTTGAAGTGACTTGTCGAGACAAGGTGTGATTGGAGCAGCAAAGCAGCAAGAAAAGATGCAGGGGACGGGCGGGGTAGAGAAGTATAACTCATTTTGGGCTAGCCCCCAAGGGTACACCTCAAGGAGAACTCTACTATGCCTTCCCGCAGATCAAGCTTATTAGAGTCTAGCTAATCGGGGGGATATTTTACACATTCTTCGTGAGAGATAACGCTACATACTCGCATCCCAGAGCCTATACATGCTGGGTGGAGGCGTCTGTTTACCCATATCGGATTCGAGGCTCGGAAGTATGCCGAGGGTATTGTGGTCCATTACCCCTGCGCTGGAAGACGAGCGATGAGAAAACAGCCGGTTGTGTGATCCAACACGGGGCAGTTCTGCGCCGAGGGACAGTGGCCAAGACGATGTGAGACCGCAGCGATGCGGAAGTCGGGTTGCAACGTGAGTAATAGGTCATTTTATATTGAGGACGGGGAGAGACAACAGCGGTCCAAACATGAAGGGGAGAGGGACAAGTTGGCCAAAAGCAAGGGATCCATATCACTATTGAGGCTCGGACACTGACATTCCCGGACAGAATGGCAAAGCACGGATTGGCACCTCATTTCTGTTGAAGTGCAGAAGCGCCTCGGTGTGGACATGTCCCAGGGAATGCACGGTGATCAAGATCGCCCATCAGCTGGATTCCATCTTGGACTGTGGTCCGCCCTTCTGGGGAGGGGATCACGGTTCCGGGCGTTCTACGAGGCGGTGGGTAGTCAGTAATAGGCCTCGGGATAGCCCTGACTGCCCCATACTCATTTAGCCTCAGTCTCTCTCAATACTATCAACTTTACCGACCCCCGGTTATACTTCAGACACATCTACATATTAGAAATCTTGGATTCGGAAACACTAATACGCATACTGTGTTTTGCGACATCATGTTGAGCTTGCTGGGGAGTAGAATAAATTTGTTTATCACACGGCACGCGCATATTGCGCTTCATTTTGCAGATGCTCATCTATTTCTCGTCCAGTTCATCCTCTGTCGCGGAATCAGAATCAGAAGAAGATGGGGAAATATGGCAAAATTTGTATTTAAGTGAGTCTCTGAGATGCTGTTACTTGGCTGAAGCAAGGAAGAAACAAACTTTTTGGCATCGGGGACAATAAGGTGACATGTCGTTTGTGTGGTTTAAGCGAGTTTGTAGGATTCTTAAATTCAAGGTCGGAGTTTTTACTATCTTTTGCGGGGTGTGGATCGATCACGGGCAGGCGGGGCATAGCTGGACCGGCCCGCGACCCGAGCTGAAGGTCAAATTGGAAACTACAACTATGTAGCCAAGCCTTGGCCCTGACGGGTGAACTATAATCTAAAATGGTTCTGCTGACCGTTTCCATTGCCGGGGATGTACCCCCTCTCTCCTAGTCCGACGTGGCCACACTACCTATAGTCGGTGCCGTAGGTACTCGAGTATGAAATCCTGTACGGTCTTATCGGCTTGCTAACCAGTCCTACTTAATTTTTCGAAACATTTACGGGACCTTCTACCGTATTCACGTGATGGACCATGTCGGCTATTGCTATTTGTCAGAACAAGAGATAACTAACTAACTAGTTAACTAACCGTATAGACTAAGAATATCGCCCATGGAACATTTTGGTCTAGCGGTATTACGCCCCATATTTTGTGCAACACTACTTAAAAGCTTTAAACTCTCGCTTTGTTTCGCAATGTGCCCCTTCCTGCCTGCTCTCCTAGCAGTTGAATAGACACTGTTTGCGTATGCCACTCACTTGACACTGATGTTTTCCATCGACGGGGGTCTCGCCCACCCAGTCCCCATTTTATCGTCAGTCGACCCGCAGAATTTGCCAGGCAAAGAGCCCATAGCTGCAGCGGGAAGGGAGAATGAAAAGTTCGCCGGACAGCTATTGATAAATGCCATCGGAGACAACGATCCAGATATCGTCCTCGTGGACTTTGAGGAGAACGACCCAAAAAACCCATTGAATTGGTCGCCAATGCAAAAATGGCTGATTGTTTTCACTGTTTCGTGGATGGGTTTCGTCAGGTGAGCGTCTTTTTTTTTCTCCCCAGTCTTTGTATATCTGCCGTCGTCGATTGACCGAATCAGTGTCTTTTCGACAATGACGATTGTACCCACGGCGCCGCAGATCTTGGAAGAGTTCCATTCGCACAATAAGCTCGACCAGACCTTGCTCGTCACGATTTGGGAGCTCGGGGAAGGCATTGGCCCGTTTTTCATTGCGCCGCTCTCCGAAAGATTTGGCCGGCTTCCCGTCTTCCACATTGGAAATCTCCTCGCGCTCTCTTGCTTGATCGTCAGCGCGCTGAGCGTGAACATCTCCATGCTGATTGCGTTCCGATTCTTAACGGGCTGCTTCCTGTCGGTTCTCACCCTCGGGCCCGCGATCGTCGGGGATTTGTTCCAAATGGAACAAACTGGCCGGTCCATGGCATTAGTCATGGGGACTCAGATGATAGCAGAGTTCATCTCACCTATCGCAGGAGCATATATCGCACAGCGTCTGGGTTGGCGATGGTCGATCTGGCTGGCGGCCATCGTGCTCGGATTCTTCAGCTTGCTCTTACTGGCTGTGTTCCGGGAGACATACGCAGTCGTCATCCTGAGGCGGAAGGCGGAGCGGTTACAGGAGGAGAGCGCGGACGACAAGAAGTATCGTTCCAAACATCAGGCCCGTGTCGATGCATCCACCGTGCTCGAAAGCGTTACGAAGCCAATGCAGATCCTGGCTCAGTCTCCCATCCTCATGCTGACGACGAGCTACATGGCCATAACATACGCCTTAGTCTCGTTGATCCTTGCCACACTCACAGAAACCATGGAGTCGACGTACCCTGCTGTCTTTTCTCAGGGCTCCATTGGCTTGACGTTTTTAAGTCTCGCCATCGGCAACACCATTGCTTTGATCTTCTACAGTCTCACTTCCGACCGCTACGTGATCCATCAGCGGGAAACGAAGGGCGACGCATTCAAGGCGGAGTCTCGGCTGGTGCATCTGCTTCTTGCCGCAATCGTTCTTCCTCTGGCCTTCCTCATCTACGGATGGACCTTGGCGTTTCATGTGCAATACATCGTGCCCCTCATCGGAGCGTGTGCGGCGGGGTTCAGCCTCACGCTTTCCGCCCTACCGGCCGAAACATACGTGGTGGATGTTTACGAGATCCATGGGGCATCTGCTATAGCTGCTGGTGTAATCTTGCGAGCGATTTCTGGGGCATTTCTGCCATTAATCGGCCCTCCATTATATCAAAGCATTGGGTTGGGCTGGGGTAACACTGTTCTAGCCTTGATCGCAGCCGCTTTCATTCCCCTGTTGGGCTTGCTGATGAAATACGGAGACTGGTTTCGCAGTAAAGAACGATTTGGGAAGTCTGGACGATAGATTGAGTGTCATCCACAGCGAACGTTACTCATGCTATATCGCTAGTGTGTGATCAGGATGCTTGAGAGTCGGGACATTCAGTCAAAAATAAACAAATACTCTAGCTTCAATACTCTCCCGCAACTGCTTGTTGTCACTATTCCGAGTATCTCAAAAAGCCGTATGGGGAACTCCTGCATTCCAGTGTCAAGAGACAAATCTTCTAGAATATAGGGGTAAAGTCCATCATACCTGCTCGGTTCTCTGCTTCGGAATCTGCCTGTATGGTCGCCCCGAGGGTTATCCTTGGCCCGGTAGCGGTCACGGTTCTCGGCGCGATTCGACCGCGTGCCACGAGAGGAGGTGGTAGAGGTAGTACTCACGTTCCGTCGCTTACAGGATTCATACCCCTTACCACGACAAGATTTGTTGCATGTTGGCGAGAAATCGTCCAACAAGCCACTATCAAATTCCACTAGGGGCGGATACACGCCCGATTGACCGGATTATGGTGATCTGAATTACAGGGTCTCTCCAGGATGGCAAAAAGCCTTGAACTAGACGAACAGTCTTACCTATCAGGCTCTGCCTAGGTACAAAACTATCGACCAGTGCACCTCCAATCAAAAAAAAAAAAGTGTATTAAGAACATCACCCATCAGGGCCAGTGGTATAGAAACGAAGAAGCCAAACGGCCTGCAAATCGAACACGGAAGCTATGCTGTGCCATACTATGTGCATCAACAGACAGGGCCGCCAGGAAGAAAGATCAAGGGGGCGCGGCTGTCAAACAAGACCGACGCCCCCAGGGCTATGGAAACATGGAAGATTGAATTTATGCATCTGGCAAAGACTCGAATCAAAAACTGGGGCGAGGTGGGGGTATCAGCAAATCGAATGATAATGGTAACAACCGGGCAAAATTGACAGGCTCGGGGGGTTGATTGAACAGGAAAGCAAAGGGGAGGGGGAGGGGGAGGGGGAGGGGGAGGGGGAGGGGGAGTATCTAGTGTAAAGGGGGGGGGAGGGGTTTCGTTATTGATGGATTCAGCGTCACGTCGTGGTTGATGGCGATGGCTGGCCCAAAGATCATATAACAGGGGGGTAGTAGTTCTTGACAGAGGAAAGCAACAAAGGAAATTTCTAAAAGGAGTGCGGGCTATGTACGAGGCATGGCCGGGTGGGGTGGGCGTAAATGGCCCAGAGAGCTTAAGCTTGGAGAGTTGAGATGTATGAGCAAATAAGAGTGGAGATCTGATAGGTTGGGGAGGGGGCGGATCGAAAATCAAAGAGGTTGATCTTCCTCGGCATTGCCGATCACTCCGTGGACGCTAGCCACACGCCCGAGTTCAGAAGGATGGGACACGTCCTCATCCATGTAGTCTTCCTCTGCAGAGATAGGGGACAGCGAGGGGATGCTCTTGAGCATGCCTTGTGTGGACTTGGGACGAGAAACGGGGTTCACCACAATCGGCCGGCGGCCGACCTCGCAGTGGTGCCAGGTCTCGGCAGCCTTGGTGGCGTCGTCGGCAGAAACGTCGTTCTCCAACTCCGGCTCATCCATAACATTGCTGCTGGCTTCGTGAGAGTCAACCGAATCCCGGGTGTCATCGTGCGTCTCGGACGGACCGTCCAATGTAGCACTAAACGAAGCCATGGTGCGCACAGGACTGCCGGGGGACTTCTGCGACATCCGGCGGAAGATCTGTCCGGACATCCACGATCCTTCGGAATCGATGGAAGCTAGAGACTGGGAGAGTGGAAGATTATCAGATTCAGCGTCGATACTCTCCCCCCAGGACCGGTGACGGCGGCGGTGAAGGTTGACGATCTCCATGCCACCCAACGTAGTGGGACTCGGACCGTGCAAGAAGGTGCTTCCTTCTTCATTCTCGAGCGAGGACTCAGGCACTTGCTCAGGGATATCCGGTGATTGGAAACGCGAGTCTGGGGGAGAAAGAGGTTCGTCGCCGAAGTGCTCTGTAAATTTGGACTGAGAGCGTTTGACAGTCCCGGTGGGAATGAATGCTCTAGGCGGGATAACGGAGGGTGGTGGAGGTGAGGATTGGGTTTGAATCCTGTAGAAAGACTCATGGGAGGCGTTGGAGACATCCGGACTGGAGTCCTGGAAGCGTTCCTTGTATCGTCGCTTAAGGCGGGAGGAACCCCGTCGGAAGAGGGAGGTGATGGTATTTCCTCCTCGGCGACCGCTAGTATCGGACGGCCGGTGCTCAGAGATGTCGGAGGTGGAGCCGACGCCAAAGGTTTGCGAGTGGCTAGGACTGCTGACGCCGTGTCGGAGAGAGGAGTGGGAAGGCGAGAGGGTGGTTCGAGACATGCCCAACTCGTGCGAGGGAGCAAAGCTAGGCCGAGGGGCCAACTTGGGCTCGCGCATGGGGCTATCATCGATATTTCCAATAACATGTGCGCTCTCAAGCGACTCGCGCCCGGCGGCCTCGCTCTCCTTCGACTCATCCTGCAGCCACGTACCAGGCTGCTCTGCAGGTACTACAGGCGCTGACTCTTCAGCGGATATCTCGTCCACAATTTCATTCTTGTGCTTAACTTCGTCAGGAACTTCGGCGGCGGGAATTTCAGGTTGAGTCTCTTGGGGCGCTTCAGTCGTCTGCTGAGTCACTTCCGCTGCTTGCGCATCAGCGCGTTCTTGCAACTTGCGTCGTAGCTTTTCTTGATCGTCGACTCGCTTCTTTTCGCGGCGGCGGCGGTCTCGGTCGAGCAACTCCCGCAGAGTACTGGCATCCAACGAATCCGCCAGCTCGTTTACACGTCGCTTGGAGTAATAGAGATCCTCCTCAGAGATGGTCCAGGCCGGAAGTCTATCCCTGTCAGGTCGGCCAGACCCTGCCAATGCATTGTTGCTTCGTGTGGTAGGCAATCGGGGCGCTTCGACGTAACGAACCACCGGACGGGGAGTCAACGCAGCAAAGGCGTTGACCTTGTAGGTGAAGGGATCGGAGATGTCCGAAATGGAGGAGGCTGCCGAATCCCGGATAGACAGACTGAGATCTGACATGTAGCGATCAGCGCGTCGCCCGTTTGCCTTGCGCCGTCGATGTTCCACCACATAATCGCCGCCCGCGGGTTGAGTGGATCGGCGGGGGATATCGATGGGGGTCGACGACAACATCTTGATTTCGCGCTCGCGCAGGATCTCATAGGTCTGACGCTTGCTTTTGCGGAGCTTGTTCGGGCCACTCAGAGTCTGTTTTGTCAACAGCGACCCTGTCCGCGACAGCGGTCGCAGCGGCGCGCGGTCTGGTCCGGCGCGGTCATGGTCTGCCTCGGATAGCCGGCGGTGATCGATCGACGAGAGCGGGCGGTGGGACGAGGGGGTCTGGCCAGAGCCCTCTTGACTCACGGAACCATCGCCGTGCGACAGGCGTTTGTTATGGCGTTTCGAGGCACGACGGGAAGGTTTGCGGGCCAAGGTGGGTTCAGCGATGGCGGCGGGCGGATCGTGCTGGTCCAAGGCCTGCTGGAGGGTGGTGGCCTCGTCGGCGCTCACCTGGATGGTGTGGCGCTTGTTCTTGCGACCAAACGGCCATATCGCCATGGCGCGGGATGGTGCAGCTCGCGGCCGCAGGCGCACTAATGGTCGCAGTCGCAGAGTCGACGTCGGTGTCGGTCGGAGAGATCGTGCAGGCGGACGACGGGACTCATCGAGGGAGGGCAAGGGAGCGGGTCCCAATCAAGTCGAGTTCGTCGACTGTGAGAGGCGCAGGACGAATGGGGTGGCAGGGCAGCAGGTGCAGGGCCACCGTCGTCATAAGTGGGTTGAAGTTTGGGGGAGAAAAGAGTGAAAAGGGTGAAAAAGGCAGCGATCGTAGACGGTGTGGACTGGGCCAAGGGGCGAAGAAGTACTAGTTGGGAGGTAGGCTGTACCACCTGGGGACTAGCCCGCGTCCGAGATGGGGAAGGTTTGTTGAAGTATGATGATAATAGTCGAGGAATGAGGAATGAGGAATGAAGTATGAAATGTGAGGGAAGTGCGAGGTACGAGTCAACCGTGGAAGAATAACGAGCGGCCGCCAGCCACTACACCAAGTCGGGTCGAAATGGGCAGGCAAAAGAAGGGGAGGGCAGAAAAAGAGAAAGCGAGAGGGTGTTATGATTAATATTATTGGATTGGCGAGAACTGTCCGTAATTAGCGGGCAATCACAAATTCACAGTCCATCGGTGGCCAGACCGACGGCCTCAGTGTTTTGGTTCCCCTAAAAATAAACCCGCTTGGCATTCCATTCCTATCACACCGAACGGTCCAACGCCTACGGCCTGGTTTCTTCAGTTCTGCCCCCGCATAAATATCAACCTCCAAGATGGAGTTCGTCGCACGGTACCTGGTACCTGCCGGCCCTATGTACGATACTTCCGGGCCGTCCATACCATGTTCCATTCCCCCGATTTCCACGAACTATCCTCCTCCGACTCGGGTATGCTGCGCCGTGAACGCGGCTGTGACGGTCACCCGTTGCACGAGAGACAGGGAAACAATAATAATAAATGGAGAGCGGGCCAGGCGATCAACGTCGACATCGTGGGAAATTCTGTGTCTCCAAGACCCATTCCTGGGGGGGATATCCACTCCGTCACACGTCCAACGCCCATTATTATGGTGGATGTCCGACTGTTCCCATGAGCGACTAGCGATTACTGCAGAAAACCGAGAAAGAGCCGAACCACTGGAAAAACACAGTCGGGTCAGACTCCGATCACCCAGCCAATGTGAGCGAAAAAGGAATAAGGAAAGAAAAGAAAAAAAAAAAAAAAAAAAGCAGCAAACTCTGGGGCCTAACACGCATTCGCCCTCGGATGGCGTTCTGTCCTTTCATTTCCCCGTCGCCACCCTCTGGCCGCGGCCCCAAGCCGCGGCAAAGCCTCGTCTCGTGCAAAGTGGTCAGAGAAACTAGATGGATCTCGTGCCCTACGCGCGTGCCCTCGGCCAAGGCACACCGTTGGGCGCCCGGTGGAGCTGGCCGCTTCCCCCCTGCCCGCTCTCTTTGGGGAATGGAGCCGAATTTTACACACCCCCCCAATCACCGCTTCCCATGAGCAAGGTACCGGCCTGCGCCCGGCGGTACAGAGCACTGGTCCCATGGGAGGTGGCCCGTCAGCCATTTCAGTCGCGGCTGGACGAGATCGTCCCGACACGATAGGGACCACGCCGTTACCCTAAAAGCCTAGGGCTGCTCCATCTGCAGGCACGGAACTGACTAGGCAGAGCGTGCTTCGCCCAGCTGGGATCCTGCAGGGATTGCGAAAACGAAGAGGAGGTCAGTCTGACCAAGTGGAGGGGATCAGCAAAGAATGGCCGATTTGGTCCGCAGTACGGGCGGGCTAGTGGCGATGGTGAGTCGACTGTCTGGCTGGTCTGTGCCGTCTCCCCCCGACATCACCGGCCCAGTCCACAAGATTATCGTGCAGTAGGATCCGCACCAAACTTTACTCAAGCTTATTGTTTCCTGCAGCGACGGAGGATCCAGAAGTACTCGGTACAAAGGCCTGTCTTTGAGACGAGGTCAATCGACCTCTGCTGAGAGGCGCACTATGCCGTGTCTGTGGCTGTGTGTCGACGCCATTGCCGACGACCGCCACCCGGAGCGGAATTAAGTAGACATAGATTGCGACCGGGGAGCGAAGTGGTCTGTCATCTCCTCTGCAGTCCCAAATCACCATGCATGGAATATGATCGGTCGCCAGTCGATGCAGAATCGACCGATCCAAGGACGTACGACTACACCGCGTGGACCAGGGGTTCAGCGCCCATATCTGATGGGCAGAGTCATCGTCAGATGCACCGATCAGAGAGGCTCTCAAGGCCTCCACCTTCCCATCCCAGATACTCTGGCTGTAGTTCAATCAAATCTCCAGAATCATTGGCCGCGTTTCGTATTCCGAGGTCTCTGGATTCGGTCAGCAAGAAGCGACAAACTCCGTATCTTCAATCCGCATTTCCAGGAAATCCCCCGGCCATTTTCAGCCGGCCTCTCTGATCTAAGTCTGATCTAAAAAATAGAAATAAATAAAATAAAATCAACCGTTCTCGATCCATCCAATGCTCTCCCCAAATCCCCCCCGGGCTTTGCACTGAGACACGGGTCTGACGGTGCTGGCCTGGATCTCGGCGGCCCACCAGGCTTCACGTGCCCCCCAATCCCACCAACCGAGTGAATCCCCCTCCCAATTGCCTCTGCCAACAGGTCAGTTCTCGCGTCCGTTTGAGACAACGACTCCCTTGGGCATCGAGGCATGCAGCCCTGCCTGTGCCGAGGCATCCGGGGCACTCACACTTAACCCGTTCGAACACTGGCGTCGATAGTGCGGAGAGACGGACCGGATAACCCAATCAAGTGAGAAGGCCGACTGTTGGACGTAGACACACGGCGTTCTGATCGGCGGTCTGATGCATACTCCCGTCGAGGTTGTCCCTTTTTCCAGATCGTGGGGGTACACTGGCAGGGATTGTGGAATCCTAACCATACGAGAACTGCCACGACGGGGGGCAACCTGCCAAGTGTGAATGCCTAACTGGAGAAGGAGGTGGTCTGGATGAGATGTCAATAGGATAATAGCGGATAATAGGACGATTACATCGGACAGAGAGGGGAGACGACATCCACATCCTTCCCCGCAACCCCACGCCCTCCCAGAAGGGTACATTAAAACTCAACCCTAAGCCTCTAGACGGAAACGCCAAATGGAAACGCCAAATAAGATGCAGTCCCGACCCATGTGACCAACCCAAACCTGTGGATCAAATCAAAGCCCCCAGCACCGAATGGGCGGGGAAATCCGCATGCACACAAAGAAAAGAGAAAGAAGAGAGTGAGAGACCTGCGGGCCATCTCCTCCACCGGCCCTTCCCGATCCCAGAGGAAGTATATCCCAATCCCACCCACCACCAACACCAACACCACCACCACCACCTTCTCTAACGCTGTCCCCCAACCAAGCCAACAGCTCATATGCATCCCTCACGCACTGACACGTTTCCGTAGCCGATTCGGCTCCCGCTCGAGCACGCGATACCGGCGGCTCCCGCGCCCGCTCAGCAGCCTCTTGAGCGACCATGACCGGCGGACCTCGCATTCAGGCTCGGGCGAGGCGCGCTCATGGTTTAAGGGTGTATGCAGCTTGTAGGAGTGCGAGGCGGGGTCACGTGGGAGGGCAGGCGTGGTGAGTGGTTGGGCATCCATAGTGCTCTTCCGGTCCGGAGAGGCGCGGATGTCTTAGAATGTGCGGGAGTGCGTGCTGTAGAACTGCTGCGGTGTAGTGTGAGGCAGATCGGTAGGATTGAGACGAGTTGGATGGTAAAACTGGTTCTCGATGTTGGATCAGGGACGGGCGGGGGTGGCGTGGCGGGGATGGAGGGGTCGGGGGTGTTGATCGGAGGATGGCGGCTAGGTTTGGTTTGTCATAGCCATGGTCATGGTCATGGTCATGGTCATGGTCATGGGCACTGGTCAGGCGATTCGGCGCTGGTCAGGCGATTCGGGGTGGATGTGATCCCGAGTCTCTGTCGCCTTTTGAGTTCGTGGAGGCTGGGGCTTGATCGGAGGGAGAAGGAAGAAAGGCTGGAGGGACTGGATAACACGGGCCCTGTGGGCTTGCATGCTAAGATCTTCTAGGTCGTTAAACAAATTTTCCATAACAGGCCTTCAATATCGGTTCCACTTTACCCCCTCTTTATATACTCTTCTCCCTCTCCGTCTGGGAAACTAACCGCCTAGCAGCCTGTCTATGGTACTCAGAAGTTCTATCTATCCATGAAAAGTCCTGAAATTGAAGCGCCCCTATAGGATCATCGGCGGATCTAGATCAGAGGGCCAGCCGGGTAGACTTTAACAATCTATAGCTGAGATAGATGCCTCGTCCAAGTCTGTCGGGAAATATATTATCACGACAACATGTGTAAGGTAGTGGCCATGGTGAGCAACTGAAGCTCGACGCTACGTCTTTTTGCACCCCGGCACACGAAGCAGAAAGACTGGAGGTTATCACACGCAATTATAGTCTAGGGATGCGATAATCACACCAATCCCATAGCTCTGGGTAGAGTCAAGAGAAAGAAATAGTCCTGAATCCTAGGGGCCCCGAGAGATATAGAAAGAGTCCGGTCCCAGTCCTAAGGTCTGGGACTAGACCCGGTTCTTGCCGAGGTCTATAAAAAATAGGAGCCAGGCTTGTAGTCATGACTTTCTTTACCTTAATAGTTAATATTCGGTAGACTATCTCGATTTTAAATAGAACCTAAACCGGCCAAGCCGATCTTGCCAGTGCCCAGTTGGATCAAAACTGACAGCGGATCACAATTCCCAGTTACACCCTCGATTACTATCTCCCGCAAGCGCAAAAGGTTAGCCGCTCTGATCCCAAATGTATTCTCACCGGTAAGGTCCGGCCGCGATGAGGCTGGAGACTTTGGAAGGTTTAGGGGTATCATTGTGCACCGGAGGCTCGAAGAAGCTACGGCGTTTGCAATGCTCATGGGCAAGATTCCACTCAAAGGCAGGACGGTCTACCGAGGCTTCGAAGAAGCCAAGGCGTTTGCAATGCTCATGGGCAAGCGGCAACTCTGCTCATTACCAACATAGTCAGAACATCGTGTGCATCTTGTACTGAGTCTCCTATGGTAAGCAAAGCTCCAGATTCAGACCTGCCTCAAAAGCAGGACGGTCTACCGAATAAATATAGATCGTCAAGGTTGTCCTACAGGATTACCTTGCTATGCTACAAGCTAGCGCGACGAACAGCTAGACGAAAACCCCAAGACGAATTACAATATAGACTCAGAAAAGCACCTGAGGGTGTACGTTGTGATCATGATTTTCCGCCTCGTGCCTCTCGGAACAGTGGTAAATTCTGTCACTAAAGCATATTCATCACTGTCCAAAAGTATTCCGTACACTCAGAGCGTAGTGAACAGGATGTGGGAAGAAGAAGAGAAAGAAGAAGTTCACTCGGTCAGAGTGAATTAAGGTAGCCACAGGTGCCTCCCGTTTAGGTTTAGATCCTACACATAAGAGACTAGTCATCCATCTTAGGTCCCCACAATCATCGTAGCCTCGAATTTCTGGTAGCGGGTGACTGACAGAATTCCTTGTCCCACCCCCGCATCGCTCGGAATGGGCGCTCACTGGCCGGCTGGAACACCCAGTGCACTCGTATTGGAAGGGACATCTCGGAGGTGAGGCCCAGCGACTTAGACCTCGACTGGTCGGTCTGGTTGGCTTTTCAACCCGTGATGGGATCCCTCCCACGAAATGGGCTGGGATCCTTCTCTCTTCCCGGCCATTCCTTTCCAGTTTGACCCTTCGGACAATCATGTATAGTCCTCCATCCAGCAGCAATCTGTAAAACAGGAATCCCTGAATCCGAAGTACCTGAGATCGGTGAATCTTTCTTCGTTTGTTGCTCTTTCCCTTCCGACAGCGCCGACAGTACATACTTCCGCCGCTCCCGCAGTCTCCCACACGTCTACACCGACATTCCGTCCACTGCCTTTGCTGCTTTTGCTTCGGCTTCAGCTGCGGCGAAGACCTGGACCTGCTGGACCGGATAGGTATGGCAGCACTATGGGTATTCGTAGCGCTCGGATACCTACTTCTCTACGCTTTTGCTCTCCAAACGCAGGAATGGCGCGCTCTCGCTGCGAACCGGATATCGACGGGATCGATACTCGAGACGGTGCGTCTCGGATTGGGCGAGCCTGCGCTGCCTTGAACCAAGAGGGAAAGCCAGCCGCGACATGCATCGTCTGAGAAAATCCATTCAAAAAAATGGCATTCTTGGGGACTGACTGTTCGCGCACCCCGATGATCGAATTTGGCCTCGACGGCTTACGACCTGGTTTGGATGTGGATGGATGAGCTATGACTGTTACCGAGTTGCTTCGACGATACCCAAACAAAAGCTCAGCTCTTGTTTACCTTTATAACACCATGTTTCCTAGGAAGGCGGGAATTTGGATTTGGATTCTGAATTGAATATGTCTGTTATGGCGGTACAACTCCATTCATTTGATGATTACGATGATACACGACGATGGACCGAGATGAACCATGTTTCCTACACCAGTTGGTCAATGCTTCTCATTTCTAGTTCGTTTTAAATTGAGTCTATCAAAGTCGGCCAGAGAGAAAAAAAAGCTACCTGTTCATCATAGTTCGAGGTATAGTCGTGTAAGGCAACAGAGGAAACCCTACAATTCCGTCTTGCAGATTGTTCGATTCGTGCCATATTCAACTCCATTCATGAGAGGCCCTTAAGAATGAGCGAATCTCAGTATGTGTTACTGCAGATACCCCAAGTGCTTCCTGGACGGGATGCATGAGTTTTGAGCCTGAGCCTGAGACAAAGGATCCCAAGGGGTTATTTCCATCATTTCATCAACTTCGTGAAGTCTTCGAACCAGCACGGGTTGTCTGCAACAGGGATGAACACCATACCTGCAGGCGGGCAAGGGTGAGTGCGATACCCCTTTGGAAACAGCGGTTCGAACACTGAGGACTTTTTAAAACCAAATCTTGATCAGCTCCTCACTAACAGCACTGGGGGTCAAGACACCGCTGTCGGTAATCAGCGCCGAGATCAAGTGTGGTGGCGTGAAATCCACTGAGTCGGAGAGTGGCAGCTCGATCGGCTTGTCGCCATTGGCGTCGACCGACGACTCCTGCTTGCCCTGCTCGGCAATGTCGTCCTCGGACCTGAACTCGACCACGCGCTGTTCGATCGGCAGGTCATATTGACCAAGTGGGTAGAGTCGGACGAACTTGTGGCTTTCAGCCACCACATAAAACGGTTTGCCGATTGCCTTGGCAAGGAGACCAATCTGGTAGGTACCCATGCGGGACACGATGCCTCCATTCTCCACAACACCCTCTGCACCAACAATCACCATATCGGCCTTCCCAAGAGCATAGGCCACCGCCGACTCTGGGATGGTAGAGACAGGCACACCCTTCGCTCTTAAGGTGCGCACCGTCTCCATACCCTCGGGCTCCCCGGAGGGCTCCTCAATGTTCTTGCTAATCGAGGACAAGACATAGATTACCCGGAAGCGTACGGCGGACGGACCGCCCTCCTCGTCCGCAGCTTTCTGCAACAGCGACGCGACAGCTCTGGATCCGCCATTTGTAAGCACCGTGCAGCCGTCGCGAATGAAGCCTCGACCGAAAGCAGCGATCTTCTCTCGGCTCTCTTTCGCACGCCGGATGAACAATCGCCCGTTCGACAAAAGATGGGTGCGGATAGCCTTGAAGTCTCCCGCAGGACCCAGCTGGCCCGGCCGTTGTAATGTGGTAATTAAATATCGCTGGAAGAGATCGGTTCCGGCCGAAAGACCAATGGGGTTAGGGATCGACTTTTTCAGGTGGGCGGTAGATTTCTCGAGCAGGTCGAGAGTCTCGGAGATCGTCGAGGAGGGCGAGTGTGTGAGGACAAGCACGAGCGCTTCAATGGCGGCGATGGGCATGGTAAGATCGGGGTCGGAGCGTAGGAGCTCATTGTATGTCGCCACGATGCTGGGGCCGATGCGTCAGTACAAGGTTAGGGATACAGCATGATTAGAATACTCACTCAAATGACTTCGAGCTGGCCGCAGCCGTCCGCTCTGTAGTCGTCGCCATGGTGTTGCGCGGAGCTTTGGAGCGAGTCGAGCCGTGAAAGAGTCACGATTTCTTTGATGATGGGGATGTGTTTGTCCTGTTTGCTCATTGCCCCTCAGCGTTGCGCTAGCCCAATACGGTCGGTAGGCGGGCTCCTCTCCAGAGTAAACAATCGCCCGCAAATCATAACAACGCTCGTCCCCGACACATCGCAAACATTTTTTTGGGTCGGATCCTCAAGTGCTTAGGCTTGTGCTGACTGTGCTCTGGCGACGCAATGGCGTACAACCATCGGATGAGCATGGCTGGCTCCCAGCAGCCCCACAATCGGTCTCGCAAGAAGGAAGACGACAATGACGCATTGATGCGACTGGTAAGCCTGGCACCCGGTCTCAAGGGTGATGAGGGGAAAAACTGTTATTGGAGCTGTCACTGACACTAGCACAGCCCGATAAAGAGATCGCAGGATGTATCAACGATATTGGAATTCCTTTCACCGCGGCCGACTTGATCAAGCCCAACGCCCAACAGATCCAGATGGTGTTCGAATGGTTCGCAGAGCTTCTCATGAACATTACACGCGAGACGGTCGAGCCGGCGATGCATGCGGCCGCCGAGGATCTTTGCGGAGACTACCCCGACATCGTCCCAAATGACACACGCAACCTGATGGGATTCTTCATGAGCATTCGGACACTATTAGCAGAGGTACCTATCCGTCCTGTTCCACGAAAAGTGCATATATGTACTAATATTCCTTGTCTCATCAAAGTGCGGCGTCAATGACTTCGCCTTCACCGATCTAACGAAACCAACCCACGATCGACTCGTCAAAATCTTCTCCTACCTGATCAACTTTGTTCGTTTCCGCGAGTCCCAAACCCCCGTTATCGACGAACATTTCAACAAGACCGAGAAAACCAAGGCGCGCATTGATCAGCTCATGGCAGAGAACCAAGAGATGGAGCTACGCCTGGCCGAAATGCGACGAGGTCAACAGGCTAACGAGATTCAAGTCCGAGAGAAAGTGGCCCGAAATGATGAGCTCAAAGCACGGCTTTTAGAACTAGGGCGTGAGCAGTCGCGGGTAGCGGAGACACTCGACCGAGTCAAGAGCGAGAGGGCGCGGCGCCAGCAGCAATTGGAGGAGAAGACAGAAAGAACAGTACGGAGTCGCCAAGAAGCAGAAAAGCTACGACCCTATGTGCTCGAGTCACCGGCTACTCTGCAGTCTTCCCTGTCCGAGCTGGCTGAGAATTTGATGCGTGAAAAAGCCCAAATTGACGCGATGGAACGGCGCGCACGGGCTCTCCAGACATCTTCGGATACCTTCACTGTGGTTTCCAATGACGTGCAAGCATGCGTCAAACTTCTTGAGGATATTTCCACCGAACTACAGAAAGAGGATGAAGAAGAAGCTCGCGCTGCGCGCAACAAAGACGCTATTTCGGATAAGGGAAACACCGTGCGCGAGGTCGAGCAGACGGAGAAGCTCCTGCAGCGGCAATTACTTCGTTGGCAGGAACGAATCGAGGCGCTCCGCAAAACGGCACAGGAAAAGGCAGAGGTCGCACAGATTCGGATGGAGGAGCTCCGCCAGGTCCAGAAACAGCTTCGAGAAGAGCGTGCAGAGAAGCAGCGTGATATGGAACGTAGGCGTATCCGTATTGAGCAGACGGAGAAGAAGGTAAGGCTCAACCCTTGTCGGAGTGAAGATAAACTTTATGCTCATCATTCGGCTAGATGGTCGATCTCAAGGAGAACATCGAGAGCGAGGTTCAAGCGGCCCACGACCAGTATCTCAAGCTGGAGTCACACATCAAGCTCTACATCACCGAGATGGAGAAGTCGCTAGGATGACTTACATTTTCGTGATTTTACGTATGGATCAGGAGTTTAGCGGTCGGCACCAGGATACCCGGGCAGTGCGGATTCATTTCATGGAGTTTGATACTTGCACTTTTTGGCTTGTGCTTTGGCCGTCATGAATCTACATCACTTTTTTCCCTTTATACGTGCTTCCCTTCGCCGAATTGGAACCAGCGTTGGGCAACTTGCTTTACAGACACACCGCGCCCACCCCAGCTTCCTTCTTCACCGCGTAGTCGAACAGAACCGTTAAGTAGGGGAACTTGCGTATCCCATAGTTTCGCTCCCCAATCAGCGCTCGTAGTGTTCACAGCATTGGTGCATTCACAGAGCATCAGGTCCATTTTGGCGCGGGAGGCAGACTCGACAGAAGCAGCAAATGTTCTCGATAGTCCCTGCGCGGAGAACTCGGTAGTTGTCCCATGCAGGGCTACCATATCCAGAATCGCTAGCATCGCGTTGCCCTGGGGACTTTCAGTTCCACGTGAGACCGCATTATCTGGAACTAAGACTGAAAGGTAGGCCCGGAGACTCTCCAGAGACGGACAGAACGTCAGTTTAATTGTGCTCGCATTTGCCAATAGTCCGATGGTCTTCGTGAGCAGGTCGTGACGCAGTACGTAATTTGGATCAGCACGTTGTAACTGAATAGCGGCAGATAATTGTACCAGGAACTCGGTTCTGGTGCCACAGACGATGAGGCGAGTTTCTGCGCTGGCGTCGAGGAGTTGCTGAAGTAGATCGGTCACCAGGCCGCAGAAAGCGACGGCTCGTATCAAGCCCATGACGTGACGTGTCGGTTGTGCCGGATCGGTGGAATCTGCAGGTCACACGCGGTCACCGGTCCCGAAAGTGGACGGGTCGGCCTGAAATCATAGCTTGATGTTGTCCGCAGCCATAGGAGCCATTGGAGTTAAGAGTTATTAACTTCAGTTAGAAAGTGATTGGAGAGAGCCTAAATCCCTCCTGTGCCGCGGAGGTCATGCTCTCCTCCGCCTTTGGGTCCCCCACCTCTCTTCTCCAACCTCACCCAGCTAATCCACGTGCTCTTGGGACTGGGCCCCTTGGAGGCTGGAATCAAAATGGAGACAATTTCCAGAATATCCTCGATGCTGGAAACAGGTGAGTCTTGCTTGTTTCCGTCCTGAGCGCCGCTCGCCGACGAAGCTGACCGTGGGACGTCACTGTGCGCATAGCTCGAGAGCTCACCCTCGAGGCCGCCCAGTCCGCCGCGAGCAATCGCAGCTCGAAGGTCGATTATGGCTCACGCACATATAGTGCATCTCATATCAAGAAGCTTCTGGACAGTCGCCAGGAGCGAGAGGTGCTGGATGGGATGCGAAGGGTGATCTCGGTATGGCGGTCCCGGGATGGGAGGACACCTAGACGGGGTGCACTGGCTAACCCAATTGTCTCCGTGGTATTTTAGTTAATGTACTACTCCGAACCCGCCCTCACGTTCTTCTCGGCAGTGGTCAAGAACGCCGCCAGCGCCAACCTCGAAGTCAAGAAACTGGTTTACATCTACCTGGTCCATCATGCGGAGGCGGAACCGGACCTGGCGTTGCTGTCCATCAACGCCATCCAGAAGTCCTTAACGGACCAGAATCCTCAAGTACGCACGATGGCTTTGCGGACCATGTCGGGTATTCGAGTGCCGGTGATCAGCCAGATCGTTTCGCTGGCCATTAAGCGAGGTTGCAGTGATATGAGTCCACACGTGCGGAAGGCGGCCGCGTTGGCCATTCCCAAGTGCTACCGCCTCGACCCAAATACACTGCCGCAGTTGACTGGATATATCTCGACTCTCCTAGGAGACTCTCAATACTTCGTTGTCGGTCCGGCGGTAACTGCGTTCTTGGAAGTTTGCCCAGAGCAAATCGACCTGATCCACAAGCACTATCGCAGCTTGGTCAAGAAGCTAGTGGATATGGATGAATGGGGTCAGCTCGCGACACTGCGTCTTTTGACCATCTATGCGCGTAAATGCTTTCCCCATCGGACCCAAAAGATCAAGCAGGCAGTCACCGCCAAGTCTTTCTATGAGGACGAGCAGGATCAAAACGACCAAAGCGACGGCCCGGAGTACGAAGTTCCTATTCTAGACCCCGACCTGGAACTGCTTCTTCGGGCGTGCAAGTTGTTGCTACAGAACCGCAACTCGGCCGTCATTGTCAGCGTCGTCCGTTGTTTCTTTTACCTCGCACCGCCGGAGTATCTTACCTTGGCCGTCGGTCCCCTAGTGGCTCTTCTCAGGAGTCCTCAAGACATGCAGCTCATCGCTCTCTACAACATCGTGACGGTTGCTTTGAAGGTTCCTAAGCCATTCACCAAGTATATTGCCCACTTTCTCGTTCACGCAAATGATCCACCGCATATCTGGCGCTTGAAACTGGAGATTTTGACTATTATCTTCCCGCACTGCGGAAAGCATTGGAAAGGTGTTATTATCAGCGAACTAGAGCATTTTTCTAAATGCACGGATCCTGAAATGGTTCGAGAGAGCGTGCGAGCAATTGGACGTTGTGCTCAAGGAGATGTTGCAACTGCGGGCATGTGCCTCCGGATCCTGCTCAACCAGATCTCTAGTCTAGACGGCAACCTGGTGTCCGAGTCGCTGACGGTTATCCGACACTTGATTCAGCAAGATTCATCCTCGCACACTCAGACCGTTATTCAACTTGTCACACACCTTGGAATAACAACCAACCCTGACGCTCGAGCTACCATCATCTGGCTGGTGGGAGAGTTTGCAGGTGCGGACCCGGGCCATAACATTGCGCCAGACGTTCTCCGCATATTGATCAAAGGCTTCACCGATGAGACCGAGATTGTCAAGCAACAGATTGTGCTCCTCGGTGCCAAAGTGTACCTCCACCATCTTCTACAAAACCCCTCACAGGAATCATCAGAGCCTGCCACTTCGGCTCTCCAACCTCCTGCCAACCTCGGCCAGGAGATACAGTATGAGTGGTCGGAGGGACAAAGCGAAGAGAAAGTAGAAACGGATGAGGTCCAGCAACCCGAGGAAGTCAATGAAGAGAGCGAAGACCGCATCACTCTTCTTTGGCGCTACATCCTCCTGCTCGCGCGCTACGACACCTCTTACGACCTCCGCGACCGCGCCCGTCTCTACAAATCCCTGCTTGCCAGCCCATCATCTACTCAGCTGGCCAATCTGTTGCTCCTGGCTCCTAAGCCTGTTCCGCATGCCCCAAGTCCCTCAGAAACACGCAAGGACCTCCTCCTCGGAACTGCCACCCTCGTAGTGGGCCAAGACGCAGGTATCCATGGCCTCCGGGGCTATGTCAACCTTCCCGACTGGGTCGAGTTAGGTCAAGAGCCGAGCGCCAGCCTTCGTACCGAAGACATCAAGCCAGAAGCAACTACCCTCCAAAGCTCGATGACCGCCGGCGAGCGACTGGACAAAGCGCTCCGCGAATACCCGAGCATCCCGCCGCGGAGACACAATGGTGCATCTGCGGCAGGCGGGATGTCTGGGAAGAAGACTCTAGACCAGTGGCTCGACGAGGAAGAGGCGGAGACCGCGTCCGAAACCGAGACAGAGGGTGAGACCGACTCAGAAGAGGAAGAAACGGACTCCGAAGCAGATGATTCCGAGGAGGATGACGACGACGAGGATGATGACGAGGAGGACGACGGTGATGACGATGATGAGGAGGACGAAACTGACTCTGAGAGCGAAGCTGTGCACAAGGAGGCTCAGCAGCTACTTGGTTAGGCTAGTCCAAGGACTTCGGGTTCATTTGAATGTATAGCTGCGGGCTCGGTCGGGTTGAATTAGAAGCATAGACTTGTGATACTATACCTAGATTTGGAAAATATGCACATGCTCATGTATCTTCGTTCGTTTCCAGAAATATTGGCTTGATACCTACCGGTATCTGCCCATGACCGCTTTCTAATTCCAATCTGTGGTTTCAATGACAGCACTGATTTCGAAGACCGATTCTCTTACTTAGGTCCAATGGACACTCCTGTGAGGTAGGTATTACTTCCATACTTGTCGGCCCATAAGTACTGCTAGGTACCACCCTAGGTACTCAGTACCACTGATGTAATAATTTACCCTCTCCGCAATCTGGAAGGATTACGTCTAATTCAAGAACCTTATATATGTATTAGTTTAAGCAGTCTATTATATGAATATGGCGTGGACATTGATCTAGCCTGCCACGTCTCTACTTGGACCAAGCGTTCGCAAAATGATTGAGTCCCAGTAAAAATGGTACTCACCCACTGAAAGGTTAGGGCTTTTGATGTATAAATTCTTGAGTCGCCCAACCGCTGTATACAACAGGAAGCAGATCACGTGCAAGGTACGAGGTCACAAGCGGGAGTACAGGCGGTTAGGCGTGGCAGAACGCGCCAGTCGAGCAGCACGGAGGCTTCCAGCATGCTGGTGATCCGTCTGATCTGAACGGATCCAGCGCAATTGTTGCAGTGGTGAAGTCGCTTCATGGTCATGATGCCTGCTGCCCGCCATCCATCCACATCCACCTCTCATTGATTTCCTTCCGCCCCCACCCGTCTCTGCCCGGCCCTCTCTCTCTTCGGCCCGGCAGAGCATAGTCTGCTTCTTTCTTCCTTACCGCTGTTTTCTGGCAGTTGCCCGTCTGGTCTCGCTCTTCGGATCTTGGGGGAAATCACCATCCTTTTGACTGTTTGTCTGTGCATCCTGCACTTCGCCACAATGCCCGGTCTTCCCAGTAAGTATGCTTGTGCTTTTGCTCGGCAAGCACCATGCGGATCAAGCCCGAGGTTACGGATTCTGACGTTGTTCCAGCTAGTATCGACCTGGATGAGTGCATCGCACGGCTTTATCGCAAAGAGCTGCTTGCTGAGTCGGTTATCGAGGCCGTCTGCGCCAAGACGAAAGAGCTGTTGATGAAGGAGAGCAATGTGGTCCATATCAAGGCGCCAGTCACTGTTGTGGGGGACATCCACGGCCAGTTCTTCGATTTGCTAGAGATCTTCCGGATTGGCGGATTCTGCCCCGACACAAATTATCTTTTTCTCGGTCAGTCATTTTCCGCAACTGCCATGGGAACGACAACCAGAGTGCTAATAGAGATGTTGTGTATAGGAGACTATGTGGACCGTGGGCTATTCAGCGTTGAAACGATCTCCCTTCTCGTCTGCCTCAAGCTCCGATATCCACACCGAGTTCACCTTATACGTGGCAACCACGAATCTCGGGGCGTCACCCAGTCCTACGGCTTCTATACAGAGTGTGCACGCAAGTATGGCAATGCGAATGTGTGGCATTACTTTACAGATATGTTCGATTACCTGACGCTGAGCGTGGTGATTAACGACGAGATCTTCTGCGTGCACGGTGGACTTTCTCCCTCTATCCACTCCATCGACCAGATCAAAATCATTGACCGATTCCGCGAGATCCCTCACGAGGGCCCCATGGCCGACCTGGTTTGGTCCGATCCGGACCCTGACCGTGATGAATTCTCCTTATCTCCTCGCGGAGCCGGTTACACATTTGGGGCACAGGTTGTTCGGAAGTTTTTGGAGGTGAACAACATGTCGCACATCCTGCGTGCCCACCAGCTGTGTAACGAAGGTTACCAGGTTCTTTTTGACGATCGTCTGAGTACGGTCTGGAGCGCGCCTAACTACTGCTACCGCTGTGGCAACCTGGCTAGTGTGCTCGAGGTGGGCGATAACATGGAACGCTTCTTTAACATCTTTGACGCTGCCCCTGAGAACGACATTCACCGCAGCGAGCAGCAGGCACAGCAGAGCAGGGATACCCAGCCAGTGATTGACTATTTCTTGTGATACCCCTGGGTTTTATCTGGTCTTTTCTTTTCTCGTTTTTGCATATGGGATTTATGCACCGCACAGGAGTTCGGGGAAATTAAGAGAATAGGGTTGACTGCACATTTACAAATCTCAGGACTTGCTATTTCGCATTTGAAGTGGAAACAGGTCATATGGCAGACACGAAATACCCTCATGAAGAAAAAGAATAGATGCATAAAGTGAAGATCCGCCCCACGTCCCGCAGGAGGCCGGGGGCATCAATTCAAAAACTGAGCAGTATCAAAGACAGGGGCCCGCAAAGCCGGGCCATCTCTACCAGGCTTTTGGAGTCAAGGAAATTCGTCACGCTGGGAAACCAATGGGCCGCTCAAGAATTCAACGCAGTTAACATTCTAGGAGGTGGGGGTCCTGTTTACCAGTCCTTGGCGATGTCGAACGACCACTCGAACAGCAAGTGAGTGTGCTCATCGTCGTCGACGAACTTAGAGACCGCATTGTAGTGACCGCGGGCAAGCATGCCAGACGGGGCCTCTTCCTCGTTGACTGCAAGTAGGGGAAAAAATTTTAGTGAGGATCAGATACCAGCGGGCCCGTTGGATACATACACTCTTTTGTGTAGGACATCTTGTCGGTGGTGTTGGGAGCATAGCTGCCGAGCATCTCCTCGTCCTTGCTCACACGGATACCCTTTCGCTTCACGGCTTGAATGTACTTGAGGCCACTCAGCACCTCGTGGTTGACCTGGAAAACAACCTTGATGTGGAACTTGGCGCCCTCCTTGATCTTGAACGGCTTGTCCTTGAGACTGTCCACGGCACCGGCAGCAGACAGGTCGATCTCGACGTTAGGGCGGCCGGGGGTGACCAAAGCCAGCGACTTGATCACGCACTTGGGGTCGTTGGGCTGGCCGATCGGGGTACCGGAGTTCAGGCCCAGGGAGGCCTTCCAGCGGTTCAAGGCATCATCATCCTTGTCTGCGGGGAGGAAGAAAGTGTGTTAGAGGGTGAATCATGCAAGGGCCCGATCACTCGCATGAATTGTGGGGGAGAGGGCCGACGACTGACCAAGCTCCTGGTACTCCTGCAGAGACTTCTTCTCGCCGACCTTGAAGCCCTCAGTCTTGGTGGCAGCAAGATCATCCTCGTGGTGGTCAACCATTGTTGCGGTGGAGGGGGCCAGCGGGGTATGGACCCAAACAATCGATGCGGAGAGAGATAGAGGAGAGGATCCGCTGTAAGTCAACAGTGGAACAGTGGAATTGGGCAGCGAGAGAGCGAGGGGAAGAATAGGCGATGAAGAGAGGAAGAGAGGAAGAGACTTGAGGGGAGAGAAAAGGAGACGATTGCCCTCTGGAGGTTGTCTCCTGAGGCGTAGTGGGGTCGTGGAAAGGCGGTGGGCGGAGGAAAGAGGGGGGGAGGCTATTCGGATCGCCGTGACTTGCGCTTCCAACGGGACCGGGGTTGTTCATGTAGGATATGCAGTAGGGAAAACGGCTCTGCGGGGTGACTCTGTATGCGAGTTTATTTTCACGCCGGAATTGAATTAGTAGGGCAAATATGACCGGTCCTGTTGCCCAGAAGACCTTCTATACAAGATGGCTCGTTTATGTACCGCTATCGTCCGGAGGGGCTGGCGACGTACACACCACGATTACTCACGGCCACCACGATCTAGACCGCGAGACAACCAATCTCAGGCATACAGATTTAATCACTCTGATTGGAGTGTAGCCAGTGGCCCCACTGGAGGCAGAGAGGACAAAGCCCGACTCTGGAGGTGCACGAGGGATCGAAGTAGCGACCTGATCACCCAACTAAACAAAGTAAATAAACCTTGAGAGGAGCAAATTCATGCCTGAGTAATGAGGAATGCAAGGTCACGGGGCCAACACCCGCCCAACAGAAGCGTACCGGCGAAACCCCGGACGGTCGACATTGGCCAACCACTCTCCCCCAATACCGTGAATACCCCTCTCATACCATACGCATACCAGACCTTACCAGAAGCAGGCAAGGGCCAATACCGCTGGAGAGGGCGACCACTTCATTTCCGTTTTCCGGCGCGAACAGCGCCTTTCTCCCCTGATTATTCTTTTCTTTATCTGCTATCGAGCTTTTTTTTTTTTGTTGATCAAAATTATTGCTCGGCCTGATCGCGGCGCCTTGATCTACAGCCTCCCGATTCCAAGAGTCCAACCGGTGGACAGCTCCGACCCGTGAACTTCCCCTCCAGCGACGCGCCTGATACGTGGCCGCCGTAGGCGCATAATCTCCTCGTTCACATCCCACCCGTTCCCAGGCCGATCGAACTGTTTCACTTCTGTTCATCATGTCACGCTCTCTGCCAAAGAAGAACAACCCGCTGATCCTCACCGACGCGGCTCCGCCCTGTAAGTTTCACCGGGAGGCGCGTGGTAGCGCGACCGCGCATGCGCCCATCTGCTCGCCCTGTCGTGCGCCTCATCGTCGCCCTCGCTAATCCATCTCTTCTGCCTCTTGCGATCGCAGATGAGGATCTCCTTGCGCGCCGCCGTCTTGGCAAGACCAATCTTTCCGTCAAGCCCGGCCAAATCGGCACCTCCAATGCGACTAAGCCAGAGAACTTGGGCCTGTTCGAGTATGCCCACCTGCGGGCACCTTTGCCCCGGGACCTGAAGGGTTCCGAGATCTTCCCATCGCACACCCCCGCACAGCACCCAGAGACTTACTTTTTGATGGTAAGATGCGCCTGGCTCGCCCCCGCGAAGTTGCCTGATAAGCGATTACTGACCTTGGTCGGCGACTAGCGGAGGAGTAAGGATGGCTTTGTGAGCGCTACCGGGATGTTCAAGATTGCATTTCCCTGGGCCAAGACTGAGGAGGAAAAGATTGAGAGGGAGTATCTGAAGTCACGAGAGCACACGAGCCAGGAGGAAGTCGCTGGTAATGTTTGGATCTCTCCGCAATTTGGTAGGTTTTTGTTTCCCCCGTGAGGTTGGTCTCAATCTCTGACCACTCCCACAGCACTTGAGCTTTCCAGAGAATACAAGATGTATGACTGGGTCCGTGCCTTGTTGGATCCCACCGATATCGTGCAGAGCCCCACGAGTGCGAAGAAGCAGATCACCCCGCCACCGAAGTTCGACCTGCCCATGGACGAGCCAACGGCGTCACGCCGCAGCCGCCGGTCGGTCTCGCCGAGCAAGAAGTCTACTACTTCGCCTCGCAAGTCCCGGACAGCCCGCTCTGCCAAGGACGTTATGAGCACGCCCTCTACCGCTGCTGCCAACAGCAACCTTCAAGAGGCTCTTGAGATCACCGCTTCCATGGGGTCTTTAGAGAAGAGCCCTGTTCCTGAGACCGAATTGAAGGCGAACGGATCGCCGGAGAAGAAGAAGGGACGGAAGTCCAAGAAGACCGCTGCTGAGGCCGAGGAGGAAAAGAAGGAGGACGAGGAGAAGAAGGAAGAGAAGAAGGAGAAGAGGAAGAGCGAGAAGAAAAAGCAGGACACCAAGGAAGAGATTGAGATTGAAGTCACCGCGGCTGCCGAGGCTACAGATAACACCAAGACGACCACCGTCTCTCTCGATATGCCTATCACTCTTCCAGAAGTGCCTTCGGCCGCTGAAACCGAGGAAATGATCGCCAAGGCCAAGGAAATGGTGGAAGATGCCATCAAGAGCCAGGCCGATGGCACCGCAGCAGGATCATCATCTGTCAAAGTGACCAAGAAACGCAAGCCCGTGGAGGAAGATGATGAGGAGACCGCAGCTGAGGCTGCTCAGCGGGCCAAGAAGGCCAAGGTGCTTGAGGAAAAGCTCAAGCGCGAGCGTGTGCGCAACCGTGCTCTCTTCGGCGTTTCAGCAGCTTTTGCTCTTGCGTAAGTCCTATTTGCTTAGACCACCCGCGGGATGGTTGTTTGCTAACCGATTCCTTAGTGCTTCCATCCCTTATTTCTTCTAAACCTATCTAATCTGCCGGTTTTCCTGGGTAGGCTGGTTCCGATAATCCGATCCAAGCTTCTCACCTTGAGATATCAATCCCTTTCGACTGTCCCCTTTGCTGGCTTTCTATGAATAGCGGAATAGCTACTCCAAGTCTTGAGAGGGAGTTAACATTCATTCGTGCTGCCTTGGATTTGCTTACTTGCTTGCCCTATGCTGATCAGCAGCACCAACTTCCTCGACCTTGATCCCCTTCCTGAATTTTCTTTCATTCCCCTTGTCGTTATGATAAATATATTCCTCTCCGGCCATTATTCAGTGTACTTGCCCAAAGCACATTTTTTCTTATTCTAATATTTCCCTCCTCCACCTTCTTCCGCAAGATATGATTCCTCCCTTGAGCCCACCGGAATGGCAAAAGAGATCATAAGTTTATTCTCTGTGCCTTTTGATCCTCGCTGCCCTAGTCCCTTCCCACCTCTCTACCCTATTCTCCCCGGATACCACATACTCGATTTCCACTTTTGATTTCTTGTCTGGCTGCCCTTGAACGCAGCTGTAGTCAAGAAGATTTTACCCTAGCAATAGCTTTTAAAGTGTTTACCAAAGATGATCTCTGTCCTTTCAACAAGTTGTAGCACACTCAAGAGTAGAAATTTGGGCTTCCACCGGGAGGAGCCCTCGGTGCAAACAGTCAAAACACGGAGCCGGCCCCGAGAGCTCCATTGCGCTCTGTGCTTCCTCCGCATTTTGATCTGCTCCAATTACTCAACTCTCCTTGCTCTCCGCCTTGACCTTCTTGTCCCTGACTTGTCAAGGTCAAGGATTTGGCGTGGAAATGTCTCTCCCGGGCTTAGAGCTGACGCAGCCCTCGGAGGAGAGGCAGTTTGCCGTCGCCCCACCGTCACAAATCGCCTTGAAAGCTGGCTGCGAATGGCGCTTTGAGGTCGCGTTCGGCCATATTGTCAGGGTCAAAGTAAGTGGTTTAGTTGAGGGCGTTAGCCGCGGATAACTGGAGAGTAGACATCTGACTTTGACTGCACTGCAGCTTCTCAACGGCACTGCCGAGCTTTTCGGCACCGAGCTCGCCGAATCGCAGACATACACGTTCTCTGGTACCAAAGCGGCAATTTTCACGTGGCACGGATGTGAACTGGAGATCAGCGCCCTCGATACTGGCACTACTACGCTCGATGGAGTTACGCCCGTGGCTGGCCATGGCGCAGGCGGTTGCCAGAGCGAGTACATTGCTGAAGAGACGCCCATGATCGAATATTCCAACATGCACTTTGCGCTGGAGTCGATGCGCCAGGAAGCGCAAGGCTCGGGCAAAGATGGCCCCAGGGTCTTGCTTCTGGGGCCCGACAATGCTGGCAAGACGAGCCTGGCGAAGATCTTAACGGCCTATGCGACTAAAGTTGGCGGGCAGCCGCTGGTGGTGAATCTGGATCCGACCGAGGGCATGCTCAGCGTTCCCGGCACACTCACTGCAACCGCCTTCCGAACAATGCTGGACATTGAGGATGGCTGGGGCAGCAGTCCCATGTCCGGGCCGAGCCCAGTTCCTGTCAAGCTTCCGCTTGTCTATAGCTATCCACTCCCCAACCCTCTCGACGCCGAGGGCTCAGTCTACCGGCCAATTGTATCACGTTTGGCCCTGTCAGTAACAGGCCGCCTGGCCGAGGATGAAGAGGTCCGCGAGACAGGCATCATCGTCGACACCCCCGGTATCCTCAGCTCCGGCAAGCCAGGCAGCCTAGAGCTGATCAACCACATCGTGACCGAATTCGCTATCACAACTATCATCGTGCTCGGCTCAGAGCGGCTGTACAGCACGATGGTCAAGCAATACGACAACAAGCCCAGCGCCAGCGCCTCGGCTACCATCTTCGACGAGCGCATTTCCGTCGTGAAGCTGTCCAAATCAGGCGGCTGTGTCGATCGGGACGCTGCGTTCATGAAAGCCACCTGCGAGTCCCAAATCCGATCTTACTTCTTCGGAAACTCGATTCCCTCTACTGCATCCGCAGCCTTCTCACTCTCTGCATCCTCCACGTCTACCGTGACTCTCTCCCCGCACGCGCAGGTCATGGACTTTGCATCGCTATCAGTGTTCAACTACGTCGTAGTCTCGATCGACGACGAGGACGAAGATGAATATGATCCCTCCACGCTGGGCATGGGCGACTCTCTTCTCCCCACCGGCACAGCCGATTACACCCCCTACCAACAAGAACCGGATCGCGCTGCTCCGCTCCCGGGTATCATCGGCCTCTCGAATGATGCGCCGAACCCTTCGGCCTCCAACACAGCCTTTAGCAACGTCCCGCTCAAGAAGGTCCTCCCACCTGCACCCTCGTCTCTCGCTAATACCCTCCTCGCGATCACCCATGTCTCGACTACGGCCTCGCCCGCTGAAGTCCGTGATGCGAGCATCATGGGTTTCCTGTACGTTGCAGACGTTGATGCGGAGAAGGGCAAGATTAGAGTGCTTGCGCCTGTTGGAGGGAGACTCCCACCCCGAGCGATGATCTGGGCTAAGCGTTGGCCTGCAGAGGTCGTGGGTTTGGTGGGTTGAACACTGAACTCAATTGGGTAGAGACTATTTTGGGTTCTTGCATTGGCTGGTCTTTATTCTTTCTTTTTCCTCCTGGGATTGGCGTTTGGTGGCTTTGTTCTTTATCGTGAGGGGCAGATCTGCATGTGCTGGTGTATATAGGCGGCTGTATTTAGAGCATAAAATTAGCCAGTTCAATTTTCGAATATTTTTGGATTCAATTCTCTCGTATTTGATGGGGTGATTTAGGAAATGGAATATGATCTGGTGTGAAAGAACAGAACAGGAGATGATACATGACGCTATGCTATACTATGTTATGCTATGCTATGCTATGCTATACAGGAAACCAACCAACCACGTAGCCAGTTACACATGAACCCAGAAGCATCTGAAACAACCACCGAGATGAATGCCAATCCACCGCCGAATCATACACAAAACAGAATACAAAGTATCCGAATAAGATAATCCAATGTCTAACCAGTCACTCCCATCGTCTCCACTCCTCAAGCGCCTTTTTCATCTCAACATCACAATCATACCCCTTCTGCTCAGCAATAAGCAACTCATCCCGCCGATCGCGGAACCGTCTTTCAGCCTCAAATCTCCGCAGAGCAAGGTCCCTCAGACCAGGAAAGTCGTCCTGCATAACCATATCCCTAAACCGCGCCCGCATGCGCCCCGAGTACATCTGGCAGCTCGCCTCGCGGCAGCGGTTCGGGCCATCACCCGGCAGGTAGCGCATGGAGGTCGAGAACGAGCGAGCAAGGGGGTGATGAGCCTTAGCAAGCGGCCAGACAACCTCGTCATAGCAGTCCTCGCAGACGCTCAGCTCCGGGAGCTCGGGCATATAGTGCCAGCTCCCGAGAACGGGGCGATCGCGCCGGCAATCTCGCAGCACGACCTTGCGCTTCGCGTAGTCGAGGAACTCGCGCGGGTCGGGCCGGCGCGAGGGGTCTGAGTCTGCGCGGGACGCGGCGTCATCCAGTAGATCGATGTATTTCACAAATCGCGGGCTGTTTGTGACGAAGTCGCAGGCTCGCTCCTGTGGCTCCGAGAAGTGCTGGAAGGTATCACGGTGCGCGGGCATCAGGACGCGCACGTTGCGCGCACAGTTGCCGCAGATGTGGAAGCTGGGAAGGAACGAGCCTGTGTCTGGGTTGACGACGCGGTACCATGTTTGATCACTGGCGGCGCGGCCGGGGCAGGCGCGGGTTCCGGGGGTGGGCGCGTCATTTGATAGAGCATCTCGAGGCTATCGTGCTGCTGTTTGATCATTTGGGTCCAGGCGAGCCGGGTCCAGGGGTTGCTGAAGGCGCAACGGGTTTTCTGGGTCGGTGATTTGGCTAGGCTGGGGATGAAAAAGGCGCGGAAGCGGGAGTGTCCGATCTGCTTCATGCAGCTGGGGCAGATGTCCAGGTGCGTGAGGCCCTTTAGAGTGTACCAGTCGTTGTGTCCTGCCACAGGGAGGGACCGTGGGCATGAGGTGATGCATAGGCCTGCGGGGTTGGAAGGCCGCTGCAGGATATTGGCCGGTTTGGTGGCCGGGGCGCGGGACGGGCTTCGTTTTTGCGCGGGTTGATCCTGGAATTTGACAGAGGTCTGAGGCCGTGAGGACCTGATCGAGCTCACTGGGGCGCCGTCGGATGAGATGGATCTGGAATGACCGAGAGTCTTGGACCTTGATCGAGACACAGATGGGGCAGCTAAGGGCACCGGTGGGCGTGAGGTACTGCGTGGCGGGGCCGAGTCGCGCGACCGGTGGCTTGGGGTGCGATAGGATTCCCGGGAAGGCGAGTGAGGTGCCGATGCCGGCACCGACGGGTGCGATGTCGTCGTGATGGGCCTCGCCTCAGTTCTCGGACGAGTCTCGGTATCAGACAAGGACGCTGACTCGCGACGCTCCTGGCGCTGGCGCAGCTTCTCCTCAATTCTCTCGGCGAGGCTTCGGCCGGCGGCGCTACTAGTCGGTGTATTTCCCGGCGCGCCAGATGCAGGAGCATACGAAGCGGGCCGAGGACGAGCAGTTGCGGTGTCCGATTGATAGCCCTGTGGTGACTCCTGTCGTGGTCGGCTCTGCATCGGCCGTGAGGTGGCATACCTTGCGCTGTTAGACCGGGCAATGGAAGGCTCTGGTGCCTCCGCGTATGTCCTATCATAGCCGGGCCCTCGAGAGCGAGATCGCTCAGAACGCATGCCATGGGAGCTGTGCGGGATGATGTGCACCGGAGCCTTGTGTCTGATAGGGTCCCCACGGTGCGGCGAACCCAAGGGTGGTCCGGGTTGTCGAGGAACAGCTAGTTCACGCGTAGGTTGGGTAGCTTGCTGGTAGATCTGTGGTGGTAATGGCCGACCACGAGGCCTGCTTGAAGTTGGCAAATGATCGTCGCGCACAGGTGACGGCGGACGGGGTTGGCGAGGCGTCCTCATCTCGCGCATGGGTTGCGGAGGGTATACTTCCGAGGATGATCGACCACGACCTCTGCTAGCGCTGGACACATTGTCGTCTGGCATAATTGACTGTGAACGAGGCTGACAGGGTGTGTTGACTTCGCGAGCCGACTGCGAATGCAGTGATGGCCACGGTCGATCTCGAGACCTGCTCGAGGAGGAAGCGGATGGTGGAGGTCGAGTGGGGACTGCTTGGGAGGAGGATCTTGGGCGGACATTAGGCTCCGGATGCCTGGGAGGAGGCGTGGCCGGTCCGCTGCTGTCGTCCGAAGAGAGATTGCCCATGCCGGGCATGTTGCTGACGCTCGGCGGGGCGTCTGAGTGAGGCGTATCCATATTCATGATGACGGGGTACTGGTCTACAGCACCCCTCACGCGAGCACCCTCGACACCAGGCTTTTCACCCAGGTTGGCGAGGCCGTGGAGTTCTCGAGCGAGCGAGGCCGGCTCCTCCTCCACACAAGGTGGTGGGGGATACCAGGACCGCACGCTTCCAGAGGACCCGGTCGACGGCATCGTATCGGTGTGAAGTGTAGTCATACACCGTCAGTCGATGAGAATTGTGGGATTCAGTATGCTAACCGGCTGCAATGGCGTCTCGTGGTGAAATTTGTGCCGGTGAATGGTTCATAGTCTTAAATAAAGAGGCAGTTGGGCAGTAACAAGAAGTGGGAAGACCGTTGTACAACGAGCCCCTGTCAAGCGAAAAGAATTTTTCAATCGAGTCAACAAAGCTATGCAGAGAATCGAGGGGGTGCGCGTATCCGGGAGACAGGGTATATAAGTGTTGGTCAATCGGGCATCACCCTGGGGACCCGACAGCTCTGATAGGGCCGCCATGGCCATTGGGCGAAGAGAGGACGAATCAGCCGGGCAGCTAGGATCGGGCCGAAGAAAAACATTCACGAGAGCCCCGCGTCATTGAAACAAAGGGACGCCAGGGGACTGGGCTGCAGCTGTAGGGGCCATGCCATGCCACGCCACGATCAAAAGCACCATGGCCAGGGGACGTGGCTGTAGGGCCTTTCTTCGACTATTGGGCATACAAAGAGCGGATGGGCAGAGTCTCCATTTGTTTCAGCAGTTTCAGTTTTTCTCGCCAGTATAAATAGAGACGATCAAACGAGAGATCCTCGAGGTCTGAAAACAACCGATTTCATGTTGCCTGCTGCCTGGTGTGGGGGTGAGTGTTTGAAGATACTCGGCCAAAGGGCTTTTAGAGGCTCACTGTGGGCCGGTGCAGTGTGTAAAGTGCTGCACGACGCGGGGCGACTGCAGCGATCCTCCTCAGGTGGTCAGCAGTGCATGCAGAGACGGCGCCACCCTGGCCCCTAGCCCAACGGGCATCGGGTGCAGGATGCCGGACGCTGGTTCGATCCTGCCCAGCCATCGACCGAGGCACGAAGGCGGGGGGAGAGAGGTTCTTGGAGGCGTCATAGGCCCCCTCGTCGGCCCGGCTGGATTGCGGAGTCTCACAAGTTACTGAAGAGGCTCAAGGGCGAATGCAGACGTCAGGTCTGCCCATCTCGGCATCGAAAGGGATGACCAAGCCACTATCTGCTTGCGATGGACCCCCACACTGTTTGGGGTTCTCGGCAGCTGAACTGGCTAGAGGGGCGTCGATGCGATGGGAGCCTCCTGTGCAGCAGCATTTCTTTAATGCGAGCGGCTAAGTCTCACTAGGCGCTGCGGGATCTCGTGGTTTCTGTCATGTCCTCCCAAGTAGCTGTCCAAGTCTCAAAGTATTGGACGCAGTTTGTCGTTCGTGTTCCGACGGCTCTGCAGACCCGACGGAATGGCGTCCGCCCTCCCCACATTCGGACATCCGAGCGAGTTGGCACAGCATCTGCGATGGCGATGATAGAGGCGATGAAACCATTGAAGAAGGGAGATGGAAAATCCGAATTGCATAGGACAAGTGAGAATGAACAAGAGCATCAGTGATTGGCTAACCGTGGAGAGCTCGAGAATCAACCGTAGTCCGTAGTGGAGCACGGCAACCCGCCGTTTCGTGCGTTCCGCACATCATTCGATTGCGGGGATGCGATGACAAATGGGCGAGGACGCGCCGGGGTATTTGACCAGCCGGACCCTCGCTCCTTTCCACCCCCAACCTGCTCGATAAGGTCCATGTCCCTGCCCACTCTTCGTCTCGCAGCTCTGCGCAATCACCTTCCCCCGCCTCTCGCCGCAACCACTTCGCTCTCCTCACTCTCTCCGTTCACCTCCATCAGAAGAATGTCCGTCCCCACCACTATGAAGGCCGTCCTGGTCGAGCGGACCGGCGGCCCCGAGGTGCTGCAGTTCAAAACCGATCAGCCAGTGCCGACGCCTCAGGAGGGCCAGCTGCTGGTGCGCAACAATATCTCCGGCGTCAACTTTATCGACACCTACTTCCGAACTGGCCTATACGCATCGCCCAAGCCCGAGGTGCTAGGCCGCGAAGGAGCCGGCATTATCGCCGCCGTTGGACCCAATGCCTCCGGCTTCCAGGTCGGAGATCGGGTCGCCTGGCTCGCGACTGGCGGCTACGCCGAGTACACGGCCGTGCCAGCAGCGAAGACGGTGAAGATCCCCGATGGCGTTAGCGATGAGGACGTGATGGCCTCGTTCTTGAGCGGCATGACCGTGCTGTCGTTCGTGAAGGAGACCTACGCCGTACAAAAGGGCGATTGGGTGCTCGTGCATGCGGCAGCTGGAGGTGCGGGCTTCCTGATGACCCAGATCCTGAAGTCGATTGGCGCCAAGGTCATCGGCACCGCTGGCGGTGCGGAGAAGTGTGCGCTGGTCAAGAGCCTGGGTGCGGATGTGGTTATTGACTACCGGAGCGAGGAGGGCAAGGACTGGGTGAAGCAGGTGAAGGAGGTGACTGGTGGCCGTGGTGTTGATGTTGTCTACGACTCGGTTGGCAAGGATACGTGGGAGGGCAGCTTGGAGGCTGTCAAGCGCAAGGGTACTATTGTCTGGTTTGGCAATGCCAGTGGACCGGTGCCTCCACTTCCTCTTCCGTACGTCCTCGATGGTTTCTATCCCCGTTGTGTCTGGATGACGAAACTCATTAGTGTTGCACAGGAAAATCTCTCCCAAGTGTGTCAAGGTTGCTCGCCCTACTCTCTTCGGCTACATCGAGACTCGTGAGGAGTTTGAATACTACACCAACGAGCTCTTCAGTCGACTGAAGTCTGGCGAGCTGAAGACCAAGATCCACAAGATCTACCCATTGGAGGACATTGTCCAAGTCCACAAGGTTAGTACCCGCTTGTTTTCAATCAATACTTCTCTCTCAATTGCTAATGTTGGTTTGACAGGACCTGGAGGGTCGTAAGACTATGGGCAAGCCTCTTCTGAAGCCTTGATTCAAGCAAAGAAACAGAAACAAGTACATAGATTGGAGTTGACGACTATTTGATTAAATATCACGATTGCATTTCCTGCTAAAAAAGTCCAACTGCAGAAACAGATGAAAGAACCAGAGGCAGGCAAGAATATTCTACTCTGATTGCGTAAACGTGGAGATCTGAGTCAAACTCAATATACGGCAGCACTATTATAATATTCGGACTTCCACACAGAACCTATAGTTTCATCAAGAAACCTCACATTTGACTCTCGAATTGGTAACGTTAAGCTGGCTGGAGCTTTCTCTCTAACGACCCCAGTATAGATGATTTAATGACAATCATGACAAAGGTCTTTGTGTCGAGGTCGGTGGATTAACGTAGGAACTAACCGCTTTGATCAGGGGTAAATTAGTGACTTGTGGAAAGTAGTTATAGTAGGTGACTTCTGTTAGGCAACTATGAAACCTTTTGCATTGCTATGGAATCCTATATGTGGCCTAGGCAAATGGATAGGCCTACTAGTACTGAAAATATCCTATGACAGCATAAGTAATTGATAGTTGGAAGCCGATGTGAGAGCTTCATATAATCATCTAATTATATACTAATGCACTATTACTGCCCAATGTGCCATATCTACCTATGTGCAAACAAATTACACAATTAGGTAAATACCGAGAACCGCTTCTCAAAGACATTCCTACAGGAGTCGTGACGTCAAGACACTTCTTTCAGAGATAACAGGAGTCTCCTCCCATATTTTTCAGGTATTTATTTCCCTTCCTTATTACAGTAGCAGATTCAGGGAGCCGGACCACATAAATCTCTAATTTCTAAAGGCCACTAATGGATGTCAAAGATACCTCGCTGTGGTTCTCGAACCAAATATCGAGTCAACTACCTCTTATCCAATTTTTTACGCAATACATGTCTATGAAGGAAGCAGCAGAGATTTTCAAGCAATTCCAGTCTGATAAGTGGCTCTACAACGGTCAAGTCCTTTGGAGTGGCGTATCTCGTTCCCAGGCCCAAGAATGGGCTGACAGACACCATATGCAGACGTTGACCACAGCAATGGGCTCGCTGATGGACGAACTACACCCAGATTGCCTTAAATCATCGAAGACGCCACATCAATGGGGTCAGTATGTACATGGAGCTTCGGCAATATTCGCTTGGTACATAGCTAGGGGTGACAAAGTCACGTTGCTTTCACCTCCCCCCCCTGAGCGGTTCCATCCATCAGGGCTTTCAAATTACCAAGCAATCGAGCAGCCTATCGTTCAAGGCCTGATCGGTGAATATGCAGTGCAAAAGATAATGATGGTCCATCCAACGGTAAAAGAATCTGAAGAATTCTCCTACGAGGTATGGCCTGAAGACGAAGCAGCAATATGGACCCAAAAATACGGACCACGGAACTCCAAGAAGAAATGGAGAGAAATAGGGCGCTGTGAAGATAAGCTGCGGCTGTTGCAAGTAGTGGGTCATTCGAAAGAGCATCTTCAATCAGTTAAGCATACCAAACGGCCCCTGAAAATCAAGGTCCGGCGAGAGAATTGGTCATGGTTGTTAGATCAGTGCTCACAACATTGCCTAGGCCGCTACCGTCAAATTCGCCTCAATCGTCGTGCTCGCTCTGTTGATTTTCTTCGTTTTGACTCAATACATCACGTTGCTTTTAATTGGCCTTTTATTCGCGCTGCTTGAGCGAAGCCAGAGTGGAAATGAAGGCGGTCGATATCGTCAGTCGCAATGCAACCATAATGACGGTAAAGATTCTTGGGATGAAATCAACGGAAATGGGGTGGCTGAATTGGGAGTGACCCCAAGCCGCACAACCAAAGCCGAACCACATGCTCAAACCAAGGCGGAAGATAAAGCCAGAAAGAAGGCCAAGGCAGACGAGAAATCTCATGCCCTGGCGGAAGAGAAAGCTAGGAAGAAGGTGCGGGCTTTGAAGCAAGATGAAGCCAGAAAGAAGGCCAAAGCAGAGAAGGAATCTCGTGCTCGGGCAGAAGAGAAAGCTAGGAAGAAAGCTAAGGCAGAGAAGAAGGCTCGTGCTTTGAAGGAAGAGGAAGCGAAGAAGAAGGCTAAAGCAGAGAAGAAGGCTCGTGCTTTGAAGGAAGAGGAAGCCAGGAAGAAGGCTAAAGCAGAGAAGAAGGCTCGTGCTTTGAAGGAAGCGGAAGCTAGGAAGAAGGCCAAGGCAGAGGAGAAGTCTAAAGCCCAGCATCGTTAAGTTCGAAACCGTTGTGATATCTTCCTTACATTATTGGCGGCATATTTTGCTGCCTCCGCTCCTGAAGCGACTCTCTCAGCACCCTGAGTAGGCGACACATCTAATAATTCCCGAAATCGAATTTTAGCCTTCAATATGGAATCGAAAATCTCTCTCCAGAAGCTTCTTGGCGACATTGCTAGTGTGATCGATAATATATTCTTGTAGATATCGGCGAGGGCAACTTTTTTCTGTTCAATTAACCCTTTAACTGTCTTCAATTTTCTCACCTGAGATGAGACCACGAAAGATATGCTGGCAGCCCAAATATATCAGCCTCTATCCGGCCACCTTGTTGACATAGCTCGGAGCCCGGCGAAACCATAACCGACATCACTATCGTCATGAGTGTCGGGATCGGGATTATAGATATTCCAGGCGCTGGGGGGACGACATTATTACAGCCATAAAAGCCCTGCATCAAAGGCCACCTATATAATTCCAAATGGAAATATAACTGCTCAGAATGGAAGAGGAAATTTCTATACAATCCCAGGGTGCCTTGGCAGCTCTTTCACGGTTCGCGAATGAATCCAACTACTGGCTAGGAAGTGCTGAGTGGCTAGGCTAACGGATTATTAGGTGTCAAAAATCTGGCGAATTCACAGATCTGGCCCTTGTCTGCGAGGGAGAAAGGATCAACGTACATAAAGTTGTGGTTTGCTCTCAATCGGATGTACTTCATGCCGCCTGCATTGGCAACTTCAAGGTCAGTAACTTACTATAGCGCTACCCATGAGGAGCTCTGATTCATCTAGGAGGCGTCATCTGCCGTCTACGAGTTTTTGGACGATAAAAAACTCATTGTTGGAAAACTGCTCAGCTTCTTTTACACGGAAAACTATAGCGACACAATCCGGACCTATGAGACAGAGCCGCCATCGTCATGTTCGGCTCTTCAACTCCATGCCCGAGTCTTTGTCTTGGCTGACAAATACATCGTCAAGAGTTTACTCGCGTTATGTGTTGAGAAATACCAGAGGAGGCTTCAGTTCCTATCCGATCCCATCGAATTCATTGAATCCATTTCGGAAGTATACGCTTTGCCTCCTACATCAACCAGAACTTTGAAGGAGGTTGTAGCACACTTTGCGCGGATTAATATTTCGAATTATCTACATGAGGAAACTGTTCAGATGGCCTACAACAGCGTTGCCCAAAGTGTGCCCAAATTTGTGAAAGATCTCCTCGACTTATATATCGAAGCACCATTGCTTGGAAACTGTGGAAATTGCGGACAGCACGTACCGATATTAGCTTTGCAAGGGAGATGTCGCCAATGTCGGCGTGGTACGACTGCGATTGATGGGCGTGTTTAGTCGGGTCGGCCAAGATGATCTCGTCAAAGTAGTACACTCCGCAATGGACCTCCCAGATCTCAGAAGCGATCTTCATGCCTGGGTAGCAGTGCTGGAGAAGTGTCTCCACCAGGAAGAACTCCAAGTCGTACTTCGGCGCCTCGCCTTGCCCTCCTGCCAGGCCTTGCGCTCTTCGGGGCTCAGGTCAATGTCGGGCCTGCTTGCGAATTTCATGATCTGAGGGCGTGATGGGACCCTTGGCATAACACTCTTCGAACCCTAGATACTATGTTTACCTTGTCTGTTTCACCGTCGGAACCATAACTATGGCTGTTGGGCTACAAATCATCGTTCCTCGATGGAGACGTAGACGAGAAAAGCAATTTGAGATCATTTCACAAAAGTAAAGTAAGAACATGCTGTGTGGTTACATATAGTACAATTTTGATCATTGCTACACAACTTCGGACCACCTTGACATTTGCACTGGGCTATTAGTCCGCTTCTCATAACGGAGTCTGAGCTGATTCTCGTACACGAATATACAGGTATGTAAACTGAGACACCCTATTGGCCGGTCCTTTGCGTTCAGCGCATTTCTCATGTTCACACTTCGCACATTTCTCCGCATATTCTATTAATTGATTCACAATGTTTCACGCACTGGAAGCGGGTCAGCGTCGAACAGCATGGGAAGACTTGTAGGAAGAGAATTTCTACAGTCTAGGGGTTCTCAAACTTAAAAACATACCCACCGTGGACACTGGGTTCATACTGTATTTTGTTGTGGCCCAGGGGCCAGGCTAAGGAAGCTTGCTGATTAACCCGACTAAGCAGGCGCTTAGCGCGTATGTGCCTGAAACTGGGAAGGTGAAGTCACCCAACACACCGTGGCACTTTCTCCCTCACTGTGTGTCGAGTCTACATCCGCCCCTCCTTGAGTCTGCATCTGCCATGATGTATGAATCGTTGATGAAACGAGTACTCGAATATCAGAGGGAGATGGAAGCTGAGAAAGCCAAACCCTCGAAGGAATGTTTTTGCTACATCTGTGGCGGCGCGTCGACGTGGCAGAGAATTGTGAAAGCATCAACCTTTCATTCAGAAGGTGATCAGTGGGAAAATGAAGTCAATACGCTTGTTGACGACCGTTGTGATTGCCCGCGTGGGGGATTTCGAGTCTCGGTATGCACTGAGTCGACTACTTGACCCTGCCAGTTAACAGTAGATATTTGTAGGACCTTTCTCAGGGTGACGAACCTCACTATAATTCATGTGCATCGCGACAAGGGTACGATCAAAAATTAATACGCCTCCAGGACATCAAGGTGAGTCGTGAGTCTAATTTTGCGGGCAGCGGGGTTCGTGTTGACCCCAAGATCTAACAAATACATGGTCGCTGCTGAAAGTGGCTTGAAAAAGTTCGCATGATTTCCCATTATGGGGAGGATACCCCTGATGCGAACGCGGAAGGCTTGCGGAGCGACACACTGCTCACTCCGATCGTGAGTCCCTCTACTCCAGCCATAGCTCATGAGCTGAAACGCGCGTCAAGCTGACTTCTTATGCTCTGCATAGGGGCGTGTTCGCTATGATAGGGAAGACGGACCTTGGAAGCTTCATGCCCCTCTCGATTGCAACTTCGTAAAATCACAAGGATACTTAGTTCACGATGCCTGCTTGCAAGTTCTGAGAAGTGTTCATGGGGCAGTGGTGGGGGCGGCCAGGCCATTGGATTTAAGTGAAGTCTTGCTTGTCTTCGAAGTCAGTGGCAAAGAACGTGACTCGAAAGAGTACGATTGGGGATTTGGCAATGCATTCGACGGTCCATCTCGCCCACATCATCGACTAGACAAACATTTCTGGAATGCCGTGGAGAATACAGAGGTATGTTGCAGCAGACTTGTGTGGTATTCTCGTGTGTGAAGTTATTAAATTCGGTTACAGTGGACGGTAGTGAATCCTCAAAGGAAATTTGATATACGGCCATTTGTTACCGCCGCATTGGAGACCTCAAGAAAAGGCCTGTCATTCAATATCAAGTGCGATAAGGGAGTGGGTTCAGGTCTCGACTCAAAGCTCCACTCCGCCTTTTCGACCATCCCGATCGAAGTCCGCTTGCTTGTATTGGAAATGTTGCCCACAAAATCAGTGCTCAGTCTGTTCTTGGCATGTTCGGCTTTCAGAGAACTCTCGATGAACTTGCCTCAAAGCTTTTGGAGATCCCGCATGCTTTTGGATGTCCCTTGGTGTGGAGGTGAAGCCTTAGCAGAAGTCTTGCGACAGGAAACCCAGGTCTATCCCTTCGATAAACTTCTCCGTCTAATACGAGAAACCTCGGCGCCCGGCGGTGGGAAGCTCGATAACAATGACAGCCTCGTCGATTCTGTGAAAGACTCGATGACACTCAGGAACAGACGCCGGATATGGAGCAACAGTGAACAAATCATTCGTGACATTGAGGCCCGACATGCAACAGTTCGACCTGTAACCGGCATTGTCCCTACTGAAATGCGCAAGTTAAGCTCTCGCGGCACCGTCTTCATCTCACGAGACTTGGGCGAGATGCCCCGAGCAGCGTCAACCGTCTACTTCGTTCCAGATATTGTCAAAAGGAGCCACCTTAACAAAATCATCGCCCACTTCGGAGCTGATAGTCAGATTGTCGGCGTCGAATTCCAGCTTCTGGACGAAACTTTCGCACGATTGTTCGGAAATCGAAGTGAATTGACCAACCAGATTACTTTGGATTCGCCACAGGTGATCCTTGGTCTGTGCCTATCTTTTGGTAGCCCAGTACTTAACGAGAAGGAGCGTAGGATCCGTGGTATTGGGTTTGTCACTCAGAATAGCCCGTCGAAGCCCGCTTATGTTCTCGGAAATTTGCACGACGGTGATATAGTGCAGGTTTTACGAGTCAATTCTGGACAGGAGGTCGTTGGTATTGCAGGAGAGTTTAGCGTGAGTACGTTCTTCAAAAAGAGACTCTCGCGTGACAAAGCTCTGATTCTATTTTCAAGGATCAAACCATCACCATGTTTTCCATAATCATAGCAGATCAAAACTTTCGCCCTATTCATGCTCATGGGCCTGGTATCGACTTTACGCAACACACCCAGTGGGTTGGTCGCCATCCACCGCTCGACTGGCCACGGGGGAAATACTGTCTTGAGCAGCGCCGGAACGGCGGTCACAGTAGTTTCCCCGTTCTTCGTAACCCATTCCCTCGTGTTCTAGAGCCTCCGGCGTATTTCGTGAATCTCTCCGGTCGGCAGCTCTCCCAAGTCCAGGCCTATGGCGATTTCGAGAATGTGGAAGCATACAAGCGAACTATGAAGGGCCTTATCTTCAATTTCACAGACGGCTCAACAGAACGCATCAGTGAAAATTCTAATTTTCTGGACATCGCCATGTCCACAACTCATACTACTCAGTTTGAAGTCGGCCAGCGCGAGCAGATTGTTGATATGGTCCTATTTGCTGCCTATAAGGCGCCCCTTGATGGTTATCAAAGCAAGCTGTGTGGAATAGAAGTAAGGTGCTTTCTACGTGTTGCTGGAATAAGCCTCCATGCTAACATTTTCCTCCATTAGTTCATAACAAGCTTGGGTCGGGCCCTTCCGCTAGGCTGCGTGACGACTGGCGAGCTTGTGCGTCGAGAACCGTTGCCACCGACCTACAGCGACATTCCCGAACTTGGAGATGTCTGTGGGGTACAGGTAGCTTTGGGATCCGGAGCAGTTAAGACTGTTGCATTAGCCCTTTTTTATGCCTGAGAATTCTAGCTTGCATGCATGCTGAATATTAGCCATCCTACTGAGGGCTGGCTTAAAATTCAGCGCGAAGTCTCGCCGCCAATGTTCTTGCCCTCCTTGATCACCTCCGAATTCCAAATTTCTACGTGCTAGGCGACTCGGGTGGGTCTACTTACGCGTTAGCCTGCGCGAAGGAAATCCCCAGCGAGAGACTGCTCGGCGTATCGGTCGTGTCAGGGGTATATCCGTTCAGTCTGGGAATGCAGGGAATGTCATTGCCGGCTAAGGCGCTGTTACTTGCAGGGACCTGGCTGCCGACATCCGTGATGGCCAAATTGATGGACTGGGAGTTCGGTGCTGTGATAAAAACAACCGATTCGAAAGAATCGGAGACGGCGTTTATGAAAGCGATGGAGGGCAAGAGTGAGGGAGATATTAGATGCCTGGATGACTTGGACTTTAGATGCATCGTCGTAGAGAGTATGAAAGAGGCTTTCAGGGGCGGCAGTAGAGGTCCTGCGTGGGACTTGGGTATCTTGGGACAATGGGGATTCGAGTTGGAGGAGCTTGATTGTAACCGAATCGGCTTGTGGTATGGTCAAAAAGACATTAATGCGCCTTTTCTAATGGCGGCAAAGGCGGCGAAGGTGATCAAAGATTGCACACTCTATGCTCTTGAGGAAGAGTCGCATCTCAGTCTTCCTTATAACCTTCTTGATGAAATACTGGAAGATTTACTAGGGAATAATGATTAATTCAATAACCTGCCAGTGGCAATGGAGAAACACGTTAAAGGGATCGGAGATATCTGAAATGTCTATATATTTAGCTTGAGCATAACGGGCCGTAGAAAACATCGGCCCGTAAGTACCTATCGGACCGCTAGACGCTCTATTGTATCCTACTATAATAGATTGCTATATGATACTAATACTGTTAAGTTTGCTTATTATAATTTAAATACGACACTTCTTCGGGTCCCTCTAGGGCTTGATCTAGCGTTATTCAACTATTTCACCTTACTATTACGCTCGGATTTCAGCGGCGGAGGTATGAGACGAACCATGACTGCGAGTATCTCCTATAAATAGTGCTTCTCGCTATCTAAAGGCGTCTCCTCTACTTAGATCTATCCTTCCACCTTATATTCCTAAACTCTTTCTCTCTCCCTGAGACCCTAAACCTATACCATGTCGTAAACTGTCGTTCTCATCACAGGGGCTAACTGCGGTATAGGCAAGAGTATTCTAGAACTATACCTCCAGAGACCTAACTATACCGTTATCGCCGTAACTCGGGATCCTACTCATCGTATATCTTAAGCCTTGATCGGTATCCCTAGGGCTAAGGGAACTAATCTACTAGTAATCCAGATCGATACTACCTCTCCTACTAATCCTGCTAAGGCTGTGGATAAGCTCTCCGTAAAGGGCATTTATTATATCGATATTCTTATTACTAACGCTGGAATTTCCTTAAGTTAGCCTCGCGTTTCAGATATGAAAGTTGCGGATCTCCAGGAACATATAGAGGTCAACGTGTACGGATTTATTTATCTGTATTAAGCTCTTTAGGGTCTTCCGAAGCAAGCCAAAGAGCCTAAATAAATCAGTATTAGATCTAGTGCGGCCTGTCTCACGGTAAGAGAGTATCCATCTCTGTTAAGCTGGGAAGGAGTGCTGACTTGAGTGATAATAATAAGTTAGGGAAAATAAGACAGTACCTATGCTGATGAGCGCTATAGGCATGCCTGGAAGCTTTTACTCACTTTTCTCCGCAGAAATTTCATTCTAATACGAAACGCTGCGTACGCTCCTACGAAGGCTTTAGTGCATTAGTACACTAAGGCTATCTCTGGAGAAGATGAATGGCTGAATGCATTTATCATAGACCCGGGGTAAGCTATCACATACTAATCCATAAACAAAATTCTCATATCTAAGATAAATAGCTGGGTCCAAACAGATATGGGAAATCGCGAAGCCAAGGCTTATGGGACTGAGAAATCTACCCTCACAGCCGAAACCAGTGCCAGCGGAATAGTCAATGTTGTCGATACTGCTAAGCGATGGACTCATAGCGGGAAGCTGCTCAAGCATGCCGGAGAGTAAGAGCCTTGGAAAATGTTTTGTTCAGTATCTCCGGCGAGCATAAGGTAATTCAGTTGGTGTTCCGGGGTTGTCATGACCACACAAATATCAATTGATATAAATTGAATTTCCACCTTTTAGAGGATAATTGAATAAGCTACTGGCGTATAAATTCCGAGCCCTTTACTACGTGAGCATGAACATTGATCGAAGCAAGTTACTTGATCAGTATTGTTAATTGTGATGCGCCGTGATTAATGGATCCTTCTTACTCTTGAGCTCGCGGGGATACTCTGGGTTTATCACTGGATTCAATTTTTGAGTCCATTACTTATGGTTGTCAATTCCGAGCCTTCCAGGGTTTATTGCCCCATTCCACATGATTAGGGCTATGAATCTTATCCAGGTATATGTATCGGACTTATTTACATTCCAAAAAAGGACCCAGGGCCCATCACTGTCTCCCCCCTCTATGCCGAAGACTTTAGGGATTACCAGTGCATCAATTCGACCTTGATCGACAGTGTGAGTGATCCCAATCGCGCAACACTTTTGCCTCTATGATCTGCTCAATCACCATTAAGCGTTGACGGCTGCCACTCTCTCCAATATGCCTGTAGAACGAAAAATCGATAGTATCTCATCTGGATATTTCCCATCGAGGAAGTCGAAATTGAAGGGCTCCGCGCGTATCGCATGCAGCTCTGTATAATTGTCTTGTTTGACCGTCCAGATAGATGCCAATCTATGAAAAACGCCATATTCCATGAATCTCTTTCCTACACAGCGGAGAGAAGAGTCGTGGTCCAATTCAGTATGCTGGTCTATCTGGCCAAATAGAGGTTGCATGACAAGCTGGACAAGATTTTTTTGAGAAGTGCGTATTTGTGTGAAGAATTTCTTGACAAAGCTCTCGCTCATAGCACAGTTGATCATACAGTCCCGAATGAACCATCTAGGGCAAACATCACTACCCCACGTGAAATGATCCGATGCCATGCCCTTTTCAAACTCAGTCAATTCTCGTGGCGGGACTGGCATTCCGTTGGTACCAACTTGTGGTAAGCAGTTAAACACAATGCCGAGCTTTTCGAGGGATGGAAACCGGCCCAGAGCACTCGACATATCTGTTTGGGGACCTGCATATCGCTGTACACAGATTCATAGCTTCTGGAGAGATGGACAATAATTTGTCAACTCTTGCACATGCTCAGTTGAAAATATAGGCCCAACCCGCCCCATTCTGCAGAGCTTATATGGATATATGCTTCTTGAACCTGACATAGGTCCTATTTCCCCATACAATCCCAATTCATAGAGAGTCTGCCCATGTTTATAGCCAATCACTTTGTTGGCGAACTCAGGAGTATACATCCCCAGTAAACAAAGATACTTTAAGGGGGGTAGCGAACTGAACATCGACTCTGCATCTTGCCAGAACTTTGGGCCATCGTCATCTTTTCGTGGAAGTAGGACAACTGTGAGTCGCCTTAGCTGTCGAAACGGGTGATCATCCACGATAGACTGCAGTAGTGTCGAGTTTCGAATACAGCCAACATTCAACGATCTCAGAACACTAAAATCGCTGATTGTTTGCCAATCCTTGAACTGGTCAGCTGTCATTTCGGTATGAAGAGGCCATGACATGGTTTCTATTCTAGCAGGTCCAGGTAATTTGTCACTTTTGGCTTGCTCGTCAACTTTGCATCTGTCGAGTTGACCTCTCGTGGTATAACCGCAGTGTCGACCGTCAATCCGTAATGCGATCTTTTTGAGATTAGGCGCATGTAAAACAATATTCTGCAAGACCCTATCCGGATGCACAAAGAGCGGCATCCTATCACTATCCTCTAAAACAGTCAAATGGACAGCATAGAGCATTGGTGAAGAAAGCCACACCGTGTTAATAATAGGAAACATACCACCCTCCCGAAGTGGGTGTCGATGCAACAAAGTGCTGCAGAAAGACACTCGACAAGTAGGGTGATATTGCGAAAGAGCCTCAAAAAGCTCGACCGGGCCACCATAAAAAGCAAATATATTCACGTCGTGCAAATAAGGTAATCGTCGAATCAGATCGATAACAGGATTCCAATCTCCTCCAATATAGAAACCAGCTTTAGGGACCTTTAGATCGTTTAAGAAGGCTCTTTCCAGAGCACGGGGGATGTCGGAGTACTCCTTGTCAAGCCTTGCACTGGTCTCAGGATCTATGCGATCTGGGCGAAATGTCTTAAGGTAGGAACGCGGCGTGAATTCTGCCACGATGCTCAGTTGTCTCGCTTGTGCGAGGATACGTCGGTCACCCGGTATGATGGGGATTTTTCCATCCCTCAAACGGATGATGATATGTTGGTTCAAGAATTTTTTTGCATTTTCATTCCATTCACGGTTGACTAGGCAAAGCGCTTCAAGGCTTCCCTTAGATATATGTCCTGTCTGTAGCTTGAATTAGAGGTGCAAGTCATTGCTTCAGACAGAGAGGCTCACCCAATCGGCGATTATCTGCCTGATCTCCAATGGTAGCTGGTCCATCGTTAAGAATTCCCAGTTTCAGTAGAAATGGTCACATATGATCCGGAGTAGGAAAGGATCAATGTCTAATTACCAGAAAAAAACAAGAGAGAGAGCCCTTGAGCGCTTTAAGGCCCCCGGGGCCATCCATTCCAAATTGGTAAACTCGGGATAAAAAAAATTCTTTAAAAAAGTGTTTATATTTATATTTCTAAGGAATACTAATGTATTTTTCACAGGTAAATGACCGGAAGAGTCATTTCCCGGTATCCTATTTCACCCCGTCACGCCTGGGCCACTTCATGCACATGTGAGCTTCAGGGCTGTCAAGATGGGCAAATATCTACCTACTGCATCGTGTATCTATGGATATGTACATACAATGGTAGCTATCTAGGGCTATGGCCAATGTCTATACAAGTCCCCCCAATTCTCTCATTTTTCTTTCTCCTTGATCTTGATCCAACACGGGAGAAAATTAAGAAAGGTCCATAGCGTCCTCGTCGCTAGTTGACACATCCTCGAAAGTGAAAAGCATATGCTGACAGAGCCCATAGTAGTCTGCGTCTTCGACCCAACACATCTTCCTTTTTTGCGCGCTGTTATCATCATCGATCTCGCTTTGGCCTGAGACGACAGTGCTGCTTGTCCATAGCATAATACTGTAAACTGTCTTTATACCCAGATCCGCTTTGTGATTGATGAGGAGCCACGCTTGAGGATTGCCATTTGGAGATCCAGGCAATGCGTTGAACTCTGTGGATCCTTGTGTAAAGATCTCGGGCTCTGACCAGTCATTATTCCGAGCCTGCATAGCCATGTTCATCGCAAGTCTCGATCCCACGTTCACAACATTCAACTGAACGACATATTGCAGAGAAGTGAGATCCGTACCCGCTTGGCTTGCCCATGCCATATATATCAAATCAGACAGCTTGCTAACAGCCGGGGCTGTCACATCTTCAGGCCACCAATCATTGTCGTCATTTTCACCTATGATGTAACTCGGGCTCCATGCATAGTCCACGAGAATAAGGCCACCTGCGACATTGTACCAACATTTATACTGAGCTTCAGCTGTATCATCGAGTTCCTCAAGCGCGGTAACATGGAGCCGCTGGAGACCGCCTGCGTTATGTTTTGGTATGGAATTTGGATTACTACCTACATTGTATTGTGCTTTGAAACTTTGGGTGGTGCACGGACTAGGAATATCAATAAAAGGCTACGCAGTGCTGACTTCGATATGCAAGCTCTATCTGTGGATCTGGCTTTACCTGTCTCTAGTATGGACTAGATTACATCACGCGCAGATGGCAGTCAACCCCGGCTTGGCCGAGTTGGCCCCTGCGCCCGTGTCAAAGTCCCTGGCTCCGCCGATCATGATGTGATTTGCCTTAACCCCCCACCCTCTCCCCTACTTTCTTTTCTTTTTCTACCCCAGATTGTTTCCCTCCCCTTTTTTCCCACTCTACGAACGAGCTCCCTGCTCCTCCACCGGAGGGCTCCATTGAGGCCCGTTTCGCTTGTTAGGTCTCCGGAATGCCATAAGCGATACCCGCCTCACCGTCGCACCCACTCTCCCATCAACAATGCCCTCCCCCAAGTCAGACAGTCGGAAGACTCCGCAACTGGGTAGCGATGACTTAGTTCCGTTCGACCATGTTGCTGCAGGACAGTAAGTTTCACACCTCTCTCCAAGGCTCCGGAATCCTCGCCGGCTCTGTACACCCACGTTGGCGCATATCTGGAGGTGGTTCCCTGGGGTAGATAGAAGGGAGCAGAAACATATTTTTTACCTTGCCGGTCTCGGAATGTGACTGACAAGCATGCACTGCTCTGTAGCGAGGGTGTCCGATGTACCCTCTCCGGCTCACTGATCGCCAAACCCTGTACACGCCAGGAGATCGAGTTCTACGAATCCAGTGCCCTCCACCCGGAATTTCAGGAGTTTATGCCCCTCTTCTTCGGCTCGTTATCAGCCGCTGAGCAGCAGCAACCGCTAGCGATTGCTGCCGCACAAGAGTCAGGCGCCGTTTTTCTTCCTGGCCCTGGAGATGCGCCCACAGCTCCCCCGGTCCTGAATGAATCTGCATCACAAGCTAGCAATGCGCCACGTGAAGAAATGCCCTCGATCGTGGCAGAACCCACCTGGGTACCGTCTGGGGGCAAGAAATTGGACACCGGATTGTCGATTGTTCTGGAAAATGTCGCGTGTGGGTTCCGACGACCGAACGTGCTGGACGTGAAGCTCGGCGCGCGACTCTGGGCCGACGATGCGCCACCCACGAAGCGTAACAAGCTGGATACCGTGGCCAAAGAAACGACTAGCGCAGTTCTAGGATACCGGATTGCCGGGATGAAAGTTTGGACGGGCGAGAATGACAAGGCGGACGAAGGCGCACTCACCGATCCATATGCTACTAAATACGAAGGTAAAGAAGGTGCCAAAGGCGAGGTCGTTGAGAAGGATGGGTATCGCCGTTACGACAAGTGGTATGGACGATCCTTCAATGAACAAAGCGTCAAGCAGGGCTTTGAAACCTTCCTTGCTGGCGCCAAAGCGGGTAAAGAGGACCGCTCGAGGATGATTGCACAACGACTAGTCGAGGAATTACAACATGTGCAACAAGTACTTGAGTCTGAGGAGAGTCGCATGTACTCCTCGAGTGTTTTGGTGGTCTATGAAGGTGACCCCGAGGCGATGGAACATGCCCTAGAAGAAGAAACGAAGCTTCCCGAGCGAAGAAACCAAGAGGCAGAGGAAGAGGAACTCGACGAAGAAGTGGACATTGAAATCCCTGAGGAAACCTTGGAGCTGGTGGATGTCCACCTAGGGGATGGGATGCCCCAGAAAGCCATCAACATCAGCATCGACCCTTCGACTACCCAGATTCCCGATCTAAGCGATGATGACGATGAGGAAGAAACACCCAAAGTTCATGATCTCCGCCTGATCGACTTTGCCCATGCCCAATGGACACCTGGCGAGGGCCCGGATGAGAACGTCCTGATGGGCATTCGCAGCCTCATTAAGGTCTTTCAGGAACTGGCCGCATGAGCAGAGCACAATTATATGCATCACCGTGGGCCTCCAATCGGTTGCTGGCAACCGCACGAACTTGGTGCCCTACCCTGGCTATTCGGCCAGGCCACATTTATGTCCATACCTTAGCCTGATTTAGCTTATGTGATGCATTTTCAGCCATATTTACATTGTCCTATTGTATACCTGATGTCTTTCACTCTTTGGTAATGGCCTATAGCCCGGTGCTGGTACTAAACCCCCGCTGCACACACCCAGGATGCGAGATTGACAAAGTGCACCACCAACATATCCTTTAAGAGAGCCTGCAAATCATCTTTCAACAAATCTTCTACTAGGTTGAAGTAGACATTCTCGTGATGGCGGCGATCCGTTGCTATTCTGCTGTGGCCGGGGCGCATCCAGATGCTGACTCAGCCATCGCATGTTCGGAGCCATCTTTTTCAACCTCTCCGAACGGAGAAGCTTTGGAAAGTTGCACGCCATCATGTTTCCCACGCGCGTCCTACTGGGCCGCTCGGTCTGGAAAGGTAAACCTCCTGTGATATAACGAGGACCATCATACTGTTAATTGGGGAAGATCCGCCGCTAACTCCCTTTACTAGGCCCGAATATCGTCCCGTACGTGACATCCGCCTCAAGCCCATGAAGACCCTTACGCTTCACGATACCTCTATGCCTCTCCAAAAAGGGAATTGCGGCATTGATTACTGATGAATTTGGTTTTCCAGTCTCCCTCTTCCTCGAACCTTTCCCCCTCCACCCAACACGCCGCCAATCCGCACCCAGAAGCGCGCCGCAACCATTCTGCCCAACTTTGTCGGTCTGCGCTTTGCTGTCCATAACGGCAAGACCTACCAGGAGATTCAGATTACCGAGGAGATGGTCGGTCGGAAGCTTGGTGAATACGTCGCGTATGTCTTCTTTTCTGCGTACACATTTAGTACCTGCACAGGGTGTCGCTGTGCTGGGGTGTCGGATTGACGCTAACATGATGATTTTGTGACAGGACTCGCAAGCGTTTCACCTACAAACAGTCCAAGAACAAATAGTCGGATCGCATGACTGCCTTCTGATTCGGATTGAAGAGCGTGTCGTCTTAGTCCGGTAGATGCCCTTGGCTTGTTCCTCGAGGGCCTCTTCGGCAGTCGCCTATCTCTACCATCTTCACCCCCGATTTGCAGCCAACTTGGAGGTCACTACGAAAACGGGTCTGCAGATACCCCGGAGAGGTTGGAAAATGGATGGCCTTGGAAGCCCCTTCCTCCTCCCCCCCCTTCACCCCCTCCACCTTTGATTTGGCCCAGTTGCCGTGTACAGATACATCAAATGGTTCCCTTGTGACATTAGCTACGTGTGGGATGGAGTTAACTATGAAATTTATTCAATATCATTCAGACCGGTCTACGGTGAAACAGCTTGGTTCCACATGACAGCCTATGCGTTAGACTCGGCCGGTCTGCATAGTCTTCCCAACGGGCGAGAACAGGAAAAAAAGAACGTAGAACTCCATTTTCTAAAACCCCCTCCCAACCAGTTGAATATGTGCCCGGGGATATCGGGGCCCCTTGTGATTGATCTCCTACGCCCGGCGCCGGAAACCCATAATCGGAAGAAAGTAGAAATAAAAAGGACGAAACCCCGAGAGCAACGGGTTTGCAAGCTCACTGCTCCCATTCCCCCCATGCATTACCGGTAGAATTCTCCCCTTTTCACGGTGACGCCGTACTCCGAAACAGCCATGCCGAGATCCTCCATCGTCAGCACTGTTCGTCCTTGACCAGAACCGCCAGAGCCACCACCGCCGAAGCCAGGGCGCTGAATACCCAGGTGCGTGTTGCCCTTATTGCCCTTGCCATCGCCGCCCGCAATACCGCCAGGCGCGGCGCCCGTACCGGCCGGACCACCCACGGCGGTTGTCAGACTGCCCATTGGGTTGTTGGCAGAAGAGCTGTTGGAGGCGCGGATGCGAGCGAACTGATATGAATCGGCAGCGATATCCGAGACGAATTTCTGAGTTGCGAGGGCGAGCAGGCGGGCGAGATGAGGCGGCGTTTGGTTAGGGCCCGTTCCTGGGGGTGGAAGGCCGGCGAGAGTGAGGTAGTGGGCTGTGACCGCGTCGGGGATCTGAAGGAGTCAATTAGTCCGTGGATTCTATCCATAACAGCAGCCAGCTCTTCGTTTTTTGCGGGTATCAACTTCGTTCGAGCCATGGTCTTGGGAGCATAGGGTGGCTGACAACCGGACGAGACGAAAAGAAAGGAGACTCAGGGGCCACCTACGATTGGCGCATAATCATCCATCTTGCCCAGAAACTCGCGCAGACTTGTCTCCTTCTTACTGGGCGTCGACGACGCACCCAGCTGATCCACGTCCGTCGCAAGCGGCCCGGCGCCATCCACGGCGCCCGCGCCAGTCTGCTCGACGTTCATATCGATATCCTGCTCGATGGAAGCATCCAAGTCGGGCTCGGGCTTGATCGCCGAATCTGCAGTGTCCGCCGATGGCTGTGGTGGCGCGGAGGACGATGGCGGAACAGAGGACTGCTCTTGTGACACGTTCGCAGGTTGGGAGGAAGGTTGCGGTTCGGTCATGGTGGGCAAGTCATAGAGGTGTGCCCCTCCCGCCTCGTTGTCTTTGGTCTGAGAATGGGTTGCAGGGACCAGGTATGACAAAGGTCCAATCACTGCGATGGGGGTGAATTGGTCGATTCCGGGGGTGTGAGACTCAATGCAGCTCTGCAGAGCCAGTCACACACGGGCGGAGATGCGTGCACGGGCCAACTGGGCGGAGCCCGGCCTGAGGGTGCTATACTTCAGACATCCGACTACTCTCCGAATCATGACGATTTTGCTGTTTTGATATAGATAGTTCGTTCAAATATTCATTTCAGCTATCGCTATGTACTTGTACAGATCGGATAGGGTCAAATCTCCCCTTTCCCACATAGTGCTTTTGGACTCACAAACCCCGTGTTTGCAAATCACATGGTACAACCCCTAAGACTCCGAGCAAGATGGCGCAGAAGAACGAATGAAAAATGATAAAGCAGGCCTAACTGAACGCCGTCCATATAGATGATATGAGACAAAAATGCGCTGTCAACATTGGGCAGATGGCATCGCATCTACTGGCCCAGTTGCATGTGAGGATCGATGTGATGATCCGGAGTGGGCGGAGGGTGCTGCTGCGGGTACTGGCTGCCGTGGACCTCCTGGCTCAGCGTCTGCATCAGATTCTGTTCTGCAGTCTGGTCGAACATTGATTGAGCATTGGCATCTGGAGGCAGGCTGGGCGAAGCCGACATCTCATGACCTCCAACTGGGGATGCGTGAGCCCCAGCCAGAGCCATCATGCCCTTGATCCCCTCGACGTGCGCCTTATCTTCCTCGCCTTGCTTCTTCTGCCGTTCACGAGCCTCGCGCTTGGCAGCCTGGGCCGGGGCCCGAGTCTTCAGCTCGCCAGTGACGAACTTCAAGTAGTATGGCACCTCGATTCCGCTCTTCAAGAAGAAAAGCTTCAGATTGCGGGCCTTATCCTTGAGCTGGACCTGATTGCGGTCCTTCAAGGCTTCACTGATGGTCCCACCAGGTCCAAACATAGCGAGAATCTGACTCCAGTGGGGTCCCTTCACGCGGTCTAGTCCAGCCATCAGGGCATTCTCCTCCTCAGTGGTCCAAGGGCGGCGTTGGCTGGGCAAACCAGACTTCCGGCTGGTAGGGGAGGACTTCGCAGACGCAGCCATCCGAGCTCGCTCATAGAGGACCTGGGTGGGCTGCGATTGAGAGTAGTGGGGTATCCCCGGCATGTATCCGTGGTTGCCTGGGGACATTCCATTGGCGCGTGCTTGGATGACCTGCGCGGCGTTGGGGTTGTACTGCTGGAAGTTGGCCTGCAGTGGGCTCTGCTGGAATGTCAAGCCTCCAGGAGACTGCTGGTACCCACCAGGCGGGGTGGGGCTATGATGGTACTGCTGCTGCTGGCCGGGCTGGCCGGGTTGCTGTGCGGCAGTATACCCGTGGAGATACTGGTTGTCGGCATGGCCAGTATGCTGGGGCTGTGCTTGAGGGGGCTGTTGATGTTGGTGGGATGGCAGCGAAGGAGCCAGGGATGGCGATGGGCTTGCCTGGGACTGTGACTGTGGTTGTTGGTGCTGATGCTGCATCTGAGATTGTTGCTGGGAACGTCGAAGACCATGACCCTGGAGAGCAATTTGGGCAGCACGAGCAGCACGAGCCACCAGGTCACCATGCATGTTCCGGTCCACTGGCACCTCAACTTGTTGATTGACAGCGAACTGGCCCTGGTGGGTAGTACTGGGAGCTTCCTGTGTATCACCATTGGAGCTGGATGGCTGACGACCCTTGACAGGCTTCTTTCCCTACACGAACTATTAGCACAGGGCTACCTAAGACTGGGATCATGTGAACCAACCTGTTGAGTATTGATGGCGTCGAAGTTCTTGGCAATGTAAGAACTCAGATCACGAAGAAAGTCCTCCCAATGGTACTTGTCAGGGAGCGCCTTCAATGCTTCCTCGTTGTTGATGTCATTGAGAAGGATGTCCCGGCGGGAGGCGAGTCGGTTGACGAAATCAGTTTCGCTGGGGGCCAGCTGCCGGATACCGGGGCGTCTTGCCAGCAGCCGCTGCTCCATATCATCAGGAAATAGCTCGTACAACAGCTGGGTGCGGGTGCGCGACTTGTTATTCATCGCAGCAATGAACGCCTGGGTCTTGAGCTCCAGGTACAAAGCACCCTGGACCTTCAACAAGCGACCACCTTCTGGAACAAAGACGTCCAGGAAGTGCTCATTCAGTTCCGCGAAACCAATTTCCTGAGAGCCAAAGATACTCGACACAAAAGAAGCTAGGTTGGCCTTGCGAATCACGTCGAGCTGAGAAGATTCGGTGATTTCAAGATCGGTAGGCTGCAGGAAGGAGTGCTTGATAGTGTAGACTCTCTTGGTATGGTCAAACAAGGAGCGCATAGTCGCATATGCCTGGCCATTCTCAGAGTCGGGCTCGGATACCATAGCTGTGAGATCTTGATAGCTATTCTTAGACAGGAACGAAAGGATTTGAGTCGACTAGATCAACAACGGTTAGAATGCGCAAGAAAGCATGCGTGATAACGTGCGCCCTTACCAGATTGTCCAGGATGGGCAAACTCTGGATCTTCAAATGAGAGTTGGCTTTCAAAAATGCGTAACCTTTGGCGCCCGGAAAGTCCCCAGACGGAGGAATCTCCTGTGGACCCATCGCCACAGTTTCCTCCTGACGTTCGGTGTGATCCATTATTTCCGAAATGATTGAATTCATGTCTGGATTGGAGTTTGAGGACGCGTCTTGGGCAGTTGTGGCAGCCGCCGAAGGGTCGGATCCGAGATTATCATGAGTACCGTCGGTCGGTGGCAGCGCGTGGGCGGTTCCTTCAGCCAAAGCAGTCGCTAGCTCCTCTTCAAACTTATGACCAGGACCATGCTGGTCAGAGCCTTGGAATTGAGGATCAATGGCGAGGTCATCGTCAGGGACGGAGCCCATCCGGCGCTTTTTTGCTGCGGGAGGAGAACCATGCTCATCCTCGTCTAATAGGTGCGCAGGCTTCTGGTCTGTTGTACGAGCAAAGATAATACGTCAGGAACATGCACTGTAAGTTTGATGGGAGCCGCCAATCCATGGCTGTATTCGAAAAGCTGGTCGCGGGTTGCTGCTGGTAGCGGCAGGATGGACGAGGGGGACTGGATTGGAAAACTCACCAAAGTCGCCTTCATCGTCAGGGAAAGGAGGGAGGCCAGATGCCGCGTCGAAAGACGAGCGCGAGCCTCGAGTTTCGACCATCTGGGGCGCAACAAGGAGGGTAGGGTTGGGCTGTCAACTTCCAAGAGCAGAAATGAGGGCTTAGGGGTAGGGCGCATTTGTAGGGCTTTGCTGGAGGTGAGAATTAGCCCCGGCTGGAGGATTTTTCTGCCGGTAAATCAGGCTGATGATTGGTCAGATATGGTGACCGCCCCACGGGGGAAGTATGAAAGGCTGCATTTATACCCGAGCTCGCATCAGAACTGAAAGATCATACATTGACTTAAAGCGCATTTTCTCATGAGAGAGCAGCCTGCATCTCTTTCTTCAAGCATCTGTCTTGTTGGATGGAATCGTAGCCTCTGCTGGCCGCAGCCTTCACTGCGGGGCGAGAACCAGAGCCCAGTATTGGTGCCTGAGGCGACAATTGTTGCCTGCCCAGGTCTCTAGGTTCCGCTCCAGGCCCATCATCTCTTAGTTTGTACTCAACAAGAGGTATCCAAGGTACCTTTGGTGGAAAAAACTATACTCTATAGAGGTTTCTAAAAAGGATTGAGTATTGAGTACGGATACATGCTTATCGAGTTCCATCTGGCCCCTAGAATTTGGCATGGAGATTGTGGTATAGTTGTGCGCGTCATCGACCTGAACCTTTGGTACTTCCCCTCTTTGTGGGTGTAACCCCCGAACCACACCTGGAGAACGATACTCGAATACGATCCACCAAGTACCCCGTCTAGAAAGGGCCTGCTAGTATGATGACAATGCAACAAAGCTCTCATAGCTGTCCGAATGGATTGCTCGTGCATGTACAAGTACCTGGTCTTCTTCTTAATCTACTGGAAGTTAGCTGAAAACACTCTATACCTGACAGCTGACAGCAGACATCCATAACTGGGAAAGTAGCTTGATAACCGGTCGTAGGCTGACCATTTCCATGGATCCTGCCAAAGATGAAAGCTCGCTCATACGCCGGTGGATCCGGACCCTTAAGCTTAAACCGGCCACAGCTGTCAGACACCGTTTATGCGTCATCTCTTCCTACGCATGGCGAACTTCCGAAAGCAGCCGTTTTCTTAAACAAATTTTCCCTTAGCTCATAGAGCATGCGCCAGGGGTCTAGCCCGTGCATACTACCTACTCTAGGACCCAAGTTGGGAGCTTTTGGGTCCTTTTAATTGCGGGCGGCTCCTGCGGTGTTTCTATATCTTTTATTGCTTCTCACATGAGTCTTCTGACTTGTAGAGTAGCTCACTAGGGCAGACTAAAATCGACGGTACCTCAACGCTTTGCGAGGCTCGATATTTGAGACGCCATCATGTTCACCAGCCGCTACCTCGCCCTTACCGCGTTCTTGCTGCACGCCACCGTGCTTGTCACAGCACAGGACTACACCGAGAAAGTCTGGGGAGTTTTCGCATATACCATCCACGGAGACAGCATCCCCAATGTTCTAGCAGAAGCTCGCCCCAGGTTCTTGTCGGACTATGGAGCTAATCAGCTCGCGGCCGCTGGGGCAGCTTTTCGCGAACGCTACTTGTCCTCGGGTGGAAGCATCAACGTCTCCGAATCCGCAATCCAGTACATCTCGGCGACCGTTCTAGACTCAAAAGATGTCGATGTGTTTGCGACGACTGATCAATTCGTCATTGCCTCGGCTCAAGCGTTCATGCAAGGTCTCTATCCCCCGCTCGGCCAGCCGGGCATGGCACCTTCGGATACCACAGGCAATAGCTCGTCTGATATATCGCCTCTTCATGGATATCAATACCCTCAGATTGTTACGCTCGGTGAAGCCGACCCACAATCTGTCATCTTAGCCGGACAATCAGACTGCAGCATGCACCAAGCCGCCGAAGCGGAGTATCGGGACGGTGACGATGCTCTGGAAATCAAGGAGATAACGAACGCTTTCTATGCAAGACTCTGGCGAGAGGTCCTGTCAGGAGTCTATGCCGAATCATCGGCCACCTATAGTAATGCAGTTGATATCTCCGACTATATTGAGTACGAGGCGGTCCACAACAGTACCGTTCGAAATCAACTCAGTGATGATGAGATGAGGCAGGCACGCTGGTTGGCCGACCAGTATACATACGCTACGAATGGCCAGAGTGATGCTTCTAGCCAATCTACGATTGGCTCTGTGAACCCTATTGCAGGCCAGACTCTCGCGACCAGCCTGCTGCGTGCCTTTGACATGAACATCAATCAGTTTGGCACACGGCAGAAAATGACGCTGCTGTTCGGTAGCGACGAGCCTGCCGTGGCTCTTGCATCCTTGCTTGGCCTACCGACTAAGCAGCAGCCCGATTTCTATTCCCGTCCGGTCCGCGGTGCATCGCTGGTCTTTGAGCTATACAGCTTTGAGAGCGATGAGGTGTATCCCACATACCCGGGCATTGACAACCTATATGTGCGCTTCTTCATGCACAATGGCACAAATGCCACCGAGTTCTCGCCATATTCGCTTTTCGGATACAGTCCGAGCCACGAGTACGTCGCGTACACCGAGTTCCAGAGCGAATTGGAGACGTTTGCTGTGCAGACTACGCAAGAGTGGTGTTTCCGGTGTAATTCAGCGGCCGTCTTCTGTACAGGGGTCCTGGAGAACGATAGATCAGACACGAAGGAGAAGAAAGGAATGGCCCCAGCCGTCGCAGGTGTCATCGGTGCTGTTGTAACGCTTGTGGTCATTGGGCTGCTTGCGATCTTAGGATTCTTCATCTGTGGTATGCGCAAGCGTCAGGGTAGCCTCAAACCAAGGCTTGGAGGGTTCAAGGGAAATAGCAAGCTCGCGAGTGACACAGACGTCACGTTCAGAAGCCCTATCTGGGGCGCTTCCAAGGTCGCGAGCGCAGACCAAAACGAGGACATCGCTGGCGGTATCATCGTGCGCGGTAACGAGCGATTGGGAAGCTGGGAAATGGGCCAGCAGAAGGAGGCTGGAGACGTTGAGTCGACGAGTCAGCGTCACGTCTCGAGGCTGGAGGATGAAAATGAAGACGAATGGCGCATCCACAGTGGCCTCCAACCTGTGAAAGTTCGAGAACGTGTTTGATATCTTGCTTGTCGGATCAATTTTGAGAAGAAGAAGAAGAAGAAGAAGAAGAAGAAGACCCAATGAATCCCTTTTATTCCCTCGTCCTTGATAGGATAGTTCTCATGGTTCTGAGCTGGTCCGTACTTAGATACGATAGGGCGTATACTCGTCACTCGCTTGTTGGGAAGTAGCTGCCTTCCACAACCTGCCGAAAAGCTTCGATTATTCCCGTTGTCCCTCCCTCTCTCTGGTTTCCCCTTCGTCCTTTCCCCGATATCATCCTGAGACCGCCAAGTGCCTGTCTGCCATTTTCAAATTCCCCATCCCCTCATCTGGTATGTTTTTCTCTAGCCTCTGATGACAATGAAGTACACCATCCCAACATTGATGGCTTTGAGCCAGGCCACAGACGTTGTCTGTAACTGGACATCTAACGCCCGAGACTGTAAGAGATCCACCCTCCAGATCTCGCACACGAATATGTGCGTCTGCACTTGTCGGTTGAGCTTGGGCTTGAGTTGTGGCTCAGCTCATGCATCAATTCACTATTGGACTGCATCTATCTGAGCTTCGGATGGTGCACCCGTCCAAATTCCGGGTGATGCATCGATGCGAGGCTCAGATCTTGCATTTATCTTAGCTCAAGCTGGTTCATCCCAGGCACTCTGTACCTTGCACTTTTCACACTTCATACACCTCACTCACATGTGGAAGAAAGCCCCTGGTGTTTGCTGACACTGTGTACAGGCAACGTACTTCGCGCAGGTCAGGGTAAAAGACCGACTCTCATAGAGAATTCTCGAAACACTGCAACTGTCAGCTCGACCGCAGCCCTACACGCAGGCAAGAACAGCCTTCCAAAAGTCAAACCGGATTGTCGATCGAGAAGGACAACCAAACGCAACTTGATCGCCTCCTTCACCCCACAAGACGTGGGGTTTGCTCGCTTTTTGGAAGAACATTCCTCACCGACCCACCAGCGGGTCACAGCTGGAGGCCGTATCGTCCCAATGGGTCGCCCGGCAAGACTATCGCGAATAGTTGACGAGACGCCTGAAAATTCCATGGTTGGGCATACACCCGCTTTGGCAACAGCTTCTGCCACCGGTATTGACCCCAACATGACTGAGAATGCAATGCTTTGAGCAGAATGCAGCGCTAACTGCATTTGAAGATAAGTTTCAGCAAGATGAACCGAGCCGAAACATGACAAAGCCAGGAATGGGTACCGCTGCATCTGCACCTCCTGTACTGGTTTCTTCTTTGAATGTTGATGCAATCCCATTCACTCCCGGTCACGAAACACCCACAATCAATGCAGCGCGCATGAAACTCATAGATTATCGGAACAATGCAGCAGGAAACACAAGTACAATAGATGCCATCAATGCAGCATTCACCGAACCATCAGAACAGGACAGATGGACCCTGATATGGCCACCTCTTCCTGAAGTCCGGACCACAGAGGACGAAGATCAAACATGGGTACAGTTTCGAATGCAGCTTGCGGCACAATTTATCGTGTCACCTGTTCATGTTTCATACACCACCCTCAGCAGAATGGTGAGAGGGAATCCGGCACTGCATTTTCAGCCACGCCAACCTATTCCGGTAGTCTTCGTCGATGCTCAGCTGAAGGATCCGGAAAACTTTGGCCCACAAGGCCAATATTGGACCCTCATCACGAATGCGTTCCGTGTGACCAACGAGGGCCGATTTCCTCTTCATAACTACTACCGCGCCAATCTGGATGCCCTGGTCTGGCTTGTCCAGGACCCCCAAGATGAGTATGAGGCCTTCATCTTGCTTCACGCCACAGAATGGCTGAAATATCATCGTCGGCTGTTCGATCACTTGATCGCGTCGGTGGACCATCGCCGGGCCTGCATGGCCGGGCCCGATCCCAATATCAGAGCTGAGCGGGTGTATTACGTCGACCAGAGGGCCTATGTGAAGGATGTCATTGGGAGGCTTGAAGAGGTGCTGAAGGTTGCACACCGATGCCGAGCCGGTCGTTTCTGGCGCGGTCTAATTTCCTTGGCGTTAGAGGGTGAAGTTTATGAGGACTCAGAACGCAGCGCCGTCCGTTGTGACATAAGCGACAATATAATCCAGGAAGAAGACCAAAACGACATAATCGCTCCGGTGGATTCAGAGGGCATGCATCCGGACGACGACAACATTGCAAAGGGGGGTGACCAAATTGACGAAAGTGCTCAAGAGGGTCTGAAAGGTGAAGACCCAGGAGACGCCATCTCCGTGGACTGTGAAGACGTGGAATCTGAAGACGTGTACTCTGGCAACCATGAAACACAGGGAGATAATCAGCACGTCGCAATCACACAGGGAAGCGTTGCAATTGTCCAAAGGGATTCAGAGAACATCCACCCTGACTATGATGGGCCTATGGGGATCCTCAGTATGGCAGAGGATTTGGCGGATCGACTGATTGACGATGCATCGGTATATTCTAGTGAAATGAATGATGGCCGTGCGAGGATCCACATTGTGCCCAGGTTCATTGGGCACGAAGTTCGTCCCTTGTTTGCTTCGATCACGTTCGAGGAGCGCCTTCAAGATTGGCACGACGGGACGAGTCAGACCCACGCTGTGTCTATCCCCGTAATCAACACCTGGTTCCCTCAGTCTCATCCTACTGAGAACCAGTCTGTACAGACAACGGCTGAGGACGGTGTGAATAGCGGTGCTAACGCCTCGCGGCGTGATGAAGGGGCGCGCAGCGAGAACGAGGTCTCGTCCCAATCAGTGGATGTAAACATCAGGCCCAACAAGGGCAAGCAGGTCGCCCGCGGCGACCCCACTGAGTCATTGGAGCCTATGCTCCGAAGCTTGAACACGCCGAACCCTGTCGAACAGCTGAGGTAGATTTCATAGCAGTTTCCAGACCATCTGAAGAAAAGGCTAACGTGATTTGACAGGGACTTGAGCGTGGTGTCCCACGCTAACGTCGACTCTGGGAAGCCGGCTGGCTTCCCAAAGAAATTGACGATTATGGTCATCGGCCCGGCTACCACCTGGAATGAAATGACCCTCAAGCACGCCTATGCTGACGAGGAGAATGTGTCAAAAGTTAAGGCGGTGCTGGTCCGGCTTCGGGGTTGAAAGGGATGCCAATCGCCTTGGTTTATTACCTTCCTGGACAGAGGTTTCCTTTGCCACGGAGATTCCTTTCGGGACTGTGGTAGGAGATCCGAAGAAATCTGTATAGTGATTGAGGAAGCGAGACCATACCAAACAATATGAACCCATACCCAAATTGGTTATGGACATGCCATGTGGGCCCAGTAGTGAGGCGTCCACGGTCGCTACCGAACGGTTTACCGTCGGAATCCAGCCAACTCAGGAGGATAGCTTATTTAATTGATAATCAGCCGTATGTTAGTTAGTGCCTGGCAAGTATAGAACTGGGGTTTATTTGAATTAAGGGGAGGATATTCTCAGACCACAAATTCCAGAGATACCCCGCCAATATCCTAAACTGCCCCTTATGCCACGGCTAATCACGGTAGTTCTAATAGTCGCTCTGATAGTCGCTCTGATAGCCTCATAGTGGCAGGAATGCGATCGGGGCCTGCCTGACTAAGCTCGGCCTCCACCTCCTTCTCCACTCGCCGTTCCGACCCCCCTTCATCTCTTTCGCCCTCTCCAGCCTGTCCTGACTGTCCTGACTGTCCTGATTGCCCTGCCTCTCTTTCGTCGGATACTACGATGCAGCTCCATTCATGAGCCCCGCTGTCGTGCTTTTTTTCTCCCCATTCTTTTGGGTGGAAAGCCCTCGTTTCTGCACCCTGGTCACTTCCTAATCACGCCGCCTCCCCTCCCCGCGGTTCTATCCCTATCGGCATTTCTGGGCCGCCACCGCCTTTGCCTTCCTTCGTGCAACTTTCCTTAGGAGACCCATTCTCCTCCTCCTAGAAGAGGCCCTAAATTGAACATCCTGAGTCCTTTACGACATGACACAGCTTTTTGCGTCCAGTCCGTCGGCCATGGCAAACAATGAAAAGCGTGGCAACTTTCCCGGCCTCTCGCTGCCGTCCCGAAAACACTCCAACGACTCTGGCCACCTGCCCACCAAGATCAGGAACTTTTTCCGGATCAACAGTTCCAGCAGTCACTCCTCTCCCCATAGCGGAAATCCGGTCAATAATGACCGCGAGCGAGAGAAAGAAAGTCCCGCGAAGAATGAAAAATCCACTTTCCGACAGTCTCGATTTCTCCCTGTTATTGGTCGCAACCGCTCGGCAACCGTCGCAAGCGAGGGCAACCCTCTTGATGATAGTGTTTCGCCTACCGCGACCGCGAATCCCTACTTTGCCCACCAGGGCCAACCCGCATTGCGACATCGGAATGACGGATCTGTCCCCTCATCCCCTCCCGATACCCCCGAGTTGCAGGTCACCGGGGTCTCAGCAGTGGAGCAGGCCGCCACTGCCAACAAGGAGGAACTGGCTCGCAAACTACGCCGTGTGGCGTCAGCCCCCAATGCCCAGGGTCTGTTTGCGAACGATCAGGACGGCCGTTCCCAGACGGCAGATATGGGCAAGGAGCCTTTTGTGGAGGTTCCTGGCCCCGATGGATCGGTGGGCCTTGCCAACTCGATGACCGAACAGGCTTCTGTTCTCACCGTGCCGCTCATTGGTACCAACAACAAAATCGGGGCCAACAATGCCCCCTTCCGTCGAACATATAGCTCAAATTCGATTAAGGTTCGCAACGTGGAGGTGGGACCCGCCAGCTTTGATAAGATTAAGTTGATTGGCAAGGGTGATGTTGGGAAAGTCTATCTTGTTCGCGAGAAGAAGTCGAGCCGCCTCTATGCCATGAAGGGTGAGTTGAATGACGCCATCCCTGCAGATTAAGTGCAAATACTAACATCTCGCCAGTCCTGAGCAAGAAGGAAATGATCAAACGTAACAAGATCAAGCGCGCCCTGGCTGAGCAGGAAATCTTGGCCACAAGTAACCACCCATTTATCGTTACCCTGTACCACTCCTTCCAGTCCGAGGACTACCTCTACCTCTGCATGGAGTACTGTAGTGGTGGTGAATTCTTCCGAAGTGCGTATTTACTCTGCAAGCTAAGGCTACTGGACTTCTGCTGACTGCTTACTCTCACAGCCCTCCAAACCCGACCTGGGAAATGCATCACGGAGGATGCCGCCCGCTTCTATGCTGCCGAGGTTACTGCTGCCCTCGAGTACCTCCACCTAATGGGTTTCATCTACCGTGACCTCAAGCCAGAAAGTATGTCTCTCTTGGTCGATCTACATCCTCCTCGCATTTTTGAATATGTTAATAACGTCAATTCGCAGATATCCTCCTCCACCAATCTGGCCACATCATGCTTTCGGACTTCGATCTTTCCAAGCAGTCTGGCCCGGGTGGTGCTCCCACCATGATTCCCGGGCGAAGTGGCGGAACATCCACTGCGGCTTTGCCCACTATTGATACCAAGTCATGCATTGCCGATTTTCGAACTAATTCGTTCGTGGGAACCGAAGAATACATCGCCCCCGAGGTGATCAAGGGATGTGGTCACACAAGTGCCGTTGATTGGTGGACACTAGGTATTCTTATATATGAGATGCTCTACGGAACCACCCCTTTCAAGGGCAAGAACCGTAACGCAACCTTCGCCAGTATCTTGCGGGACGAGGTGGCATTCCCCGAACACTCGGGTGCACAGCAGACTTCCAATTTATGTAAGTCTTTGATTCGCAAGCTCCTGATCAAGGATGAAACCAAACGTCTTGGTGCTCGTGCCGGTGCCTCCGATGTCAAGACCCACCCCTTCTTCCGCACAACCCAGTGGGCGCTTATCCGCCACATGAAGCCGCCTATGATCCCCCATCAGGGCCGTGCCGGTACCGATACCGTGAACTTCCGCAATGTCAAGGAGAGTGCCAGTGTGGACATTGGTGGCACCAACCCGTCAAAGATGAAGGGAGTTCCAATGGACTCTGGACTGGCCACCCCGACTGGTGAACTGAACGATCCTTTCGAAGAGTTCAACAGCGTGACGCTCCACCACGAAGGGGATATATGAACGTGCTCTATCAGCTAAGCCCAACTTGTACTTTGTTTCTCTTTTTTCATTTCACTCCCGACACACGAGGGAGGCAGCCGCCTGGGCATCGGCTCATTGACGACCATGATGCATGACGACTGCATTTCAATTGTTTCTCATCACTCCATTCATTGCAAGCTGCACATCCGGTGTACGGAGTGTTTAGGGGCCTTCTGGATCAATTTCTGTATGATTCAGCTTTCGACGGATTATTCCTCTTTGTTTTGGCCATCTCACGCGCGCATCTTGCATTTCCCATGATCCACCGGAGGCTCTGAACCACTGCCCGATTACATCATGCGAGTTGTTGCCTATTCTTTCCGCGTATCACTCCTTGTGTCACTATCCAATGCGCTTTTTGCCTCTTTCTTGCCGAAAGCAGCGATATACATCGGTTCACTTTCCTTCTATGCAGCGGGTGGCGTTTATGGTATTTTTATTGTTTCTTCTGGGGCTCGTGACGTTGTTCGAATCAGTTGGCTTTTTTCTTGTTTCTTGCTATTGTGCAATCTGCAAGTGCTCTTTTTTCCACATCTTTTGACCATGGCGCGCTACCATCTATCCACGAAGCTCTGTTCAATTTTGGTCGTTCGATCCCGTGTATGTTTTCGAAGTGAAGCCGCTCTTCCTTGACCTAGGCTTAGTGCCTTTGCTGGAACCAAAAATATGTTTGAATACTATGATTTGCGTCCCATGTATTTTCCATTGACGTACACTAGCTGCTAGGACCACCACTGTGCTGTAGATTGTAGTTCCAAGGAAAGCGCCGATGGTACCTGACGAGCGGGGAACATTTCGCTCAGCAAAAAAAGCATGGGTCCGCCGCCACAACAGACCACCGCGTCAGACTCCACCCCCTCCAAAACCCTCCTATCCTGCTTCCTCCAATCAATCCAATTAGCAACCCATCGCGATCTGATTCTGCAACATGTCCGCCTTCGCAGCCTTCGATGACCCTGACGGCGACTACTCCTACGCCGAGGCCGATCCCGCGACCACCACCCCCCCGTCGGCCCCCCAGAGCAATCAATGAGCTCCGACCCCGAAGCCTCCCGCAGCCGCGGCCGCTCCAACAACCCCCTGCTCGGCGACGATAACCCGCTTGTCTCCGAGCTGGAGCAGGAAGTGCTGGACGAGTACTCCCGGCTGCTGCGCAACATCAACCAGGTGAGCCGAGCCGATCAGCGACCCCGCGCCGCGCCGGAGCAGTGTCGCAGTCCCGTGCCATCCCGTGTTTTACAGGCCACTAACAATCGTGCCTCCTGGCACTTAGCTCTCCGAGAAGATTGGCGATCTCGCCGGATCCCCCGCGTCCATGACCCTCGACGGACTGCGTATGCTCGAGCGGAAGACTGCGACGGTGTGCACATTGCTCAAGGCTAGTGTGTATAGCATTGTGTTACAGCAGCAGATTTGGAATGAGAGTGAGGAGCAACAACAGCAGCAACAGAGTGATCAAGAACAACAGTTCCATGATCAGGAGTATCAACATGGGGAATATGCGGGGGAGGGCGACATGACTTATCAGTGATTGTTATTGCTGGAGCCCCGACGTTGGATTTTTTTTTATTTGCGTTTACATGCTCCGATGTTGGGCTGGGACTTCTCTTTTCTTGTTCTACATATACCCAAGTTCATTTGTTACGGATCGGCGTGTTACTGGAATGGGGATTAGGATTGGTGTTGGGGTGAACACTACAGATCTAGGAATCAAAAATCATTTCATCGCTAAACGAGTCCTTGCCCAATCCTTTTTTTGGATTTTGGGATGAAATACCTGTTGCAAAGGAATCTCCGTCATCTGACTGGACAGGGTGCTTGCAGGTTGGACAAAATGATCTAGATGACGATAGTGCTCAGATAAACGGACATGAGCAGTAGTCAATTCTCAAGCCTTGAAACCACGAAACAGACGTAGGTCATCCAAACAAATCAAATTAAATACGGAGAAGGAGAAGGAATCAGACTGGTTTAAGTAGCCCATAATGGATGAGGGTAAATGTCCTCATCTTATATAAAGCCGTAACATAGCCAACATTTTTTCTCTACAGAATGGAGATCAGACATGTTCTTGTTTTCCTATATAGGGCACATTAGGGGTGGCAGGAGCTGTTGCTGTGTTGTGTATACAGAGACTAGCGTATCTATGGACCGCTAAGCCTGTTGCCCTCGTCATGGTGCAAAGTAACACCTGGACGGTCACACATGGACCTATCCGCCCGTTGTCCTTCTCCCTATGGGTTCCAAGAGCAAACCTGCAGCGAGCATTGGTGTGTTTTTCCGGTCAGATAAAGGACCACTATATATTTCCCTCGGTTGGATGTAGTACGGGAGTAACCACCCCCTCAACCCCGAAGCTAATGTAGCTATGATATTGAAAAGCTGCTTTAACTCATCGCCCCTGCACTCAATCGATTGTTCCTCCATTTTCATCAGGACATGCAAGCGTTGAGCGACCTCGAAACTGAGCTTGGAGCTCTCGAAGCTTATCATATCCTTTGCGCTTTATCCAGGGTGTCATGGTAAGCAAGATCATGTACTACAGCTGTGGTATGAACCCATGTCGCTTCGATCGCGGCATCTCTGGATCAGGTCTTGGATATGCCTACGCTAGTTGTGTCACGAGGGCTTGAGTGTCGAAGATACCCCAGAAGGGTCGGTTTGCTGACCTCTCCTCAACATCGTTATCATGGTGAGACCAGTTGATCATCGCAAACCTGTGTTCATGATTCAATGAAGTCAATATTGGCGCTCGATTGATATGAGAATTGATTGATTGATCCGTTTGAGACATGACCAAAAAAAGTACAGATACAAGTACATGCAAAAGACACGAGGAGAAGAGAAAGGAAAAGACACCCATTATATACACGCCGAGGGAAAATGCACGGCTCGATCAATTGTCAAGGCGCATGTGTCTAGACCTTTCCAGCGTAGTAGACCTTGCGCACATCGACCATCTTCCGCCCACGCGCTCGGGCAACTTCCTCCGGGTCCCGCTGGCTCATGAGTGCCTCATATGCGGCCTTGACGGTATTCATCTGGTTGCGGGAGCGGCCGACCCGGGCAGCGAGGTCGTGGATACCGGCGGCGCGGCACATTTCGTAGATCAGGTACTGGACACGGAGACCAAAGCCTGGTATATTGTTAGCGACTGTTTGTTTTTGGGTAAGAGAGGCTGGCAGAACATACCTGGGGGACGGTGCATCAATTGGAGCTGCACGGCTCCGACCTTGCCGGTTACATCGCCGAAGATGGTGCGGTTCTCATAGCGCGGAATCGGCTGCATGTTGCGGATGGCGCGGTACTGCGATTGGGTCTTTGCGTCGGCAGCTTCGTCGGACTTGCCCTCACCGATCCCCAACAGGCCATTGCCATTGCCGGCGATGGACAGACGATAGGCACGGCGGACCTTGCCTAGACGGGTCTGGTTTACAACCGAGTGCGAAACCAGAGTCTTAAGTTTGAAGTCGCGGATCTGATCCGCAGTGTAGCCCGTAGCGAGGAGAAGGCTCTTCAGAGCATCGGTCATCTCTTCGGCCTTCAGTGATCGTTCCTTCTCACCCTTCTCGGCAGCACTCTTCCGCTCCTCAACGCGGGGCTCGTCAATGGTCTCACCAGGACCGAAGAGATCGGGAACAAGAGCGCTGTGTGGGTTCAACTCGTTCTCCTCCTTGCCGTGTGTCAAGCGCAGCTCGTCCGTAAACCGGACAAAATCCGCAGCTGTAGCATCTTCTGGCATCTCCGCGAAAAAGCGGCCGAAGTCGTTGACGAAGTCGTCCTCGCTCTTGAGCTTGAAGTTGTAGTCTGAGTTCGACTCGGGGGCGCGCACGTGTCGGTCGATACCGGGCTCAATCACCGAGAAGTCATCGACGTAATTGAATTTCAATGGGTCATCGCGCTCGTTCAACTGTTCAGCCAGGTCCTTGGGGTCAATGGCGGCCTCGCCGGCCTTCACAGCCTCCATCTGCGCGGCCGAGTACTCCTTGGCCAGGTAGGCCTTCTCCTCCTCTGTATAAGGCTTGAAATCCTCTGGTTTCGGCCCGGATGCACTTTGGGTCTCAAGGGCCTTGATATTCGGGAACTTGGGTTTCCGGTTCGTCAAGTGCGCCGGCGATGGGTGGAATTGGCGACGGGGGACTCGCGGGCCCTGCGTAGCAGTACGGGAGAAGCTGCAGAACAGACATCTCGCTGGTCGGGCTAAACTCATTGTGAAAGAAGAATTGACTCGTTGACTAGCAATGCCGCTAGCCACGAGCTCTGCAAAGAAAGAGCGATTGAACAAATGACGAGCAAAACGGCGCTGGCAAAGAAACAGCGGAGATGAACTTGGGAGGAATTTCTTCCTCACGGGCGGTCAGAGTCGGGCCAATCAGCGGCTCTGCAGATGCTTTTCTAATAAATTTCCAGAATTTCGGTCTCCCAACTTTCGCGACCTCGTCGCTACTTTCCTTTCTGAATTTACATGTTCGCCGTGCGGCCGTCTGCTTGGCGATTGTCTCATAGCTGGTCTGTTCTTACTCGCCCACTCTTCCGAGCCCAGCCCGTCTCGATCCCCTCCTTCCAGCGCCATTCAACCACTGCGACTACGCCGGCGGCAACAATGCCAAACTATCCAAAGAAGCAGTTTGGCGGCAAGAATCGCAAGAAGGCCAAATTTGACAACAAAAAAAAGAGCAGTGAACACGATGAGGTCCTGCTCACCGACATTGACCAACTCATCAAGCGCAATCGCCCCGAGGAAGACCAGTCCAACGGCGACAATGGCACCCCGGCTTCCACTCTCCCGGAGCCTTTCACTGAAATCGATGTGACGGTATCAGACCTTTCCTCGACAGGAGACGGTCTTGCCCTCTCCGAGAACAAAGACCATGTATATGTTGTGCCCTTCACAGTCCCCGGAGACAAGGTGCGCGTGAAAGTCATCAGACATTGTCCCGCTCAGTCTTACAGTGTGACCGACTTTCTCAGCGTGATTGAGCCAGGACCGAAGCGAAATGATGAGCTCATTAAATGCGGCTATTTTGCAAAGTGTTCTGGGTGTCAATTGCAGATGATGTCGTACGAGGACCAGCTGGCGCATAAGCGGCGCATTGTGGAGAAGGCCTATGCCAATTTCTCTGGCTTGATCCCGGAATTGGTTCCAACTATTGGCGAAACCTTCCCTTCGCCTCTGCAATTTGGATATCGCACAAAGCTCACGCCACACTTCGCACAGGGCAGCGGAAGGAAGAAGGCGAATGCCGATCAAGGAGAACCGCAGGAGGTCACAGTGCCGCCAATCGGCTTTACCTTCAAGAATCGGAGAACGGATATGGATATCGAGGATTGTCCCCTGGGGACAGACATCGTGCGACGTGGGCTCAAGAGTGAACGGAAACGCGTTGCTGAGAACATCCGCTCCTATAAGAGGGGTGCAACTCTTTTGATGCGGGAATCTACCTCCCGCATTGCCAAGGATGCAGCGGGAGCCGAGTCTGATGTCAAAGACAAGAACGGGCTCACGTCAACCGCTGGCGCCGACACTGGCGACGTTATTCGCACCGATCGCGGGGATTATATCGAGGAAAAGCGCTGTATCACCGACAATAACGCTACCTCCATCGAGTATGTGGACGACTTCATCTTCAGCAATAAAGCCGGCGCCTTCTTCCAGAACAACAACTCCATTCTCTCCGGATTTACCGAGTTCATCCGTTCTCACGCTCTTCCTCCTGGCAATGATCAAGATCCTAAGCCCATCAAGTATCTCCTCGACGCCTACTCGGGCTCTGGCCTGTTCACAATCACGCTCTCAACGATCTTCAAGTCCAGTCTCGGTGTTGATGTCGCCAATGACTCAATCACCTCTGCTCGTGAAAACGCCAAGGCTAATAATCTGCCGAACACGGGCTTTGCCGCTGCGGATGCAGCAGTCCTTTTCAAGGATGTACCTTACCCGCCTGACCAGACTCTGCTTGTCATTGATCCGCCTCGCAAGGGCTGTTCGGAGGACTTCCTTCAACAGCTTCTTGAGTTCAAGCCTCGTCGCGTAGTTTACGTGAGTTGCAATGTTCACACCCAGGCTCGGGATGTGGCGGTCATGGTGCAAGGCGATGAGAAGCAAGACGTGCGATATGAGATTGAGAGCATTCGCGGATTCGATTTCTTCCCTCAAACAGGGCATGTCGAAGGCGTGGCTATCCTGAACCGCACTTCTTTCCCTAAGAAGGACTCGGCGTAATGCCGAAGAATGGATATAATGCTGTTTTGATTCAGGATCACGGGATTGTTGCTGGATATATTTCATGTCTGATACTGCATACTCTTCATGGCGTTGAGTTTGGGGGCAATTTCTAAAAAAATGAGCATGGGGCGAAGAAGATTTTGGCATTTTTTTAATACGCTTCTGATAATATCAAAGACTCAAGAACCCATCCCCCTCTATCTACTCGGGATCCAGATGTAGCAAGCTGAGGACCCAGCGCCAAGCCACCCGCTTTGGATTCAAAAAAGAAACGAGGAAAAAGCACCAAGGAAAGGAGGGAAAAGAAAAGAGATGAAAACTAACGGACTATGAACAAGAGCGTCCAGCTACACCGGCTGCCAAAGGACATGAACAAAGGACGATGATACCCACCCTACGAGCTTCCAGGACCGCCGAGCAGTGCGAACCTCCGCACAATGCTGGGACCAATTTCGTCGTACTCGGCCTTGGTGTGGCAGTAGCTCCGGAATTCGGGTGTCTGACCCAGCAGGCTGCCTCCGAACCACGGACCGTGCCGCTGGCGCTTGTGTGTAACGACGGCGACATCCAGACCACCACTGCGAGCACCGCCGCTGCGGGCTTCGGATGCACGAATGCGAGCATCCACCAGATGGCGGATGTCACGCTGTAGACGACGGCCAAAGTCCTTGTACAGGGTGGAACCGCCGGACAGCACAATATTCTTATAGAGACCACGTCGTACGTCAATGGGCGAGGACTGAATAACGCCATCGACGACGTTGGGAAGCGGGGTCAGGAAGTCTGACGAGTAGATTTCGGGGTTGAAGAAGATCTCGGGGGCGAGGAAACGCTCGTAGCCGACGTCGATGGACACGCTGCGTCCGTTCGGCGCGGTCACGGTGTGTTTCAAGAAGCGGTCGGGCTCGCGGTCGTAGCGCGCAAATTCCTTAACAATATCCGGGCTCACGTAGCAGTACTCCTCCTTCACCTTCTCGGCGGTCTTCAAGCTGCTGTCCGGCTCACCGCGGTCACGCAGCAAGCTCTGCACGAAATATGTAATGTCGCGGCCGGCAATGGGAATGCTCTTGATAGACGATCCAATAACGTAACCTTCGGCCACGGGAATAACGTGGGTGACCCCGTCACCAGAATCAATCACAGTACCAGTCAGTGATCGGTCCGTAACCTTTGAGGACGTCCATGATGCAGCGAGGGCGAGCACGGCTTGCACAGCAATGTAAAGACCAGCGCAGTTGAAGGATTCGAACATAATCTCAGCGGTATTTTCACGGTTCTCAGGCGGGTTGAGTGGCTATATCCCATCCACGTTAGCGGGCTTTCCTTTGTGTATTGGCAGTGTGCGGGGAAAGCACAGATAAAGCAGTGTCTTACCGGTTCGGTCAAGAGGAAGTAGTGGTCTTCAGGCTCGACACGGAGGTACTTGAAAATCGAGTTTGACCAGAATCGCTCCATGTAGTCCCAGTTCTCAATCTGTCCATGGCGGATGGGGTAGTTGACGCCATAACCCGGACCGTTGCCCGCAGCCAGAGCCTCATCACCGATGAAGAAGTCCAAATCCTCCGTGCCGCGCTTCGCAGACAGGTGTGAACTAGCACCGCCACTGCCACCCAGAAAAGACGGCTTGTTCGCAACGGCAGGCCGCGAACCGGCGGAGCTTCCAGCGCTTCCCGCACCGGCCTTGGTTGCAATTGCAGTCGGGAAGACGAAGGAGGGAGAATCGTTACCGGCAAATCCTGTTATTGAAGAGAAAAATATCGTCAGTTGGGTGATTCAGGTCCCGATCCTAAGATCGAGATCGCAGACTCCAGCATGAGGCACCTACCAAGCTTGGAGTAACCAGTACCGCTAGAGGGAGTGCGGTCAGCATGGGGTCAATTCCGGCATGGCAGCGCGACTTACTTGTCCATGACAACGGCTGGTGTTTGGGACGCCATGGCGGATAATGGGGCTCAGTGCCAATCCGGTCACAAAGAGGAATGGGCCTGGTGCTTCAGAAGGGGGGAATGAGGTCAACCGTGGCGGAGCTCAGGCAGACAAGGCGGGGAGTTGCTTACTTAAGCGAGGGTCACGTCGACATCATGTGCCGGGCATCAGAATGGATTGATTGGGTTCGGAATGAACTAGATGCATGAAAATGCAATCATCGATCACTCTCTTCATATGAAAGTATATGCCTTACGCTCATTTGGTGCGGTGGTATTGATACGGATAGACGGGATGAAAATGGAAGGGACGAAAGGCAGCATACGGATGTAAATCGGGAAGGTTCCTGGAGCGCGCCCTGGATATTGTGTATTGTGAGCTCACCGGCTCTGAATACTCTTCCTGTCACCCGATTTCCTATCATTCTTTCATAAGAAGTGTTCTGCCGTGCATCGCTGTTATTCTTCCCCTGCATCTGTATCTTCCGTCGCTAGCAAAGCTCTAGTCGTCGGTTATCTTCTCTCACTTCAACTCCGGTCTCCGGAACTGCGTTGGCTCTGCACTACTGTTTCCAGATCGACCATAAACAAAAGCACAACACGTTTGTCTCTCGGTCAAACTAACCTTCCTCGGTGCATCCAGCCTGAGTTTCGATTCCTTCATTTCCCTTTTTTTGCCGAAAGCGTCCCAACTCTCGTAGCCGTCTGATCCATCGGACGGCTCGAGGCTCTACTGACTCGACTTCTGGCACGTTCTGGACACTGAACCCTTCACTGCGCCGAGAAAATGGGAAAAGACAAGCAGAAGGAAGACCTCTGTGCCATTTTTGTGCATGGGGGCGCCGGCTACCACTCCCGCGAGAATGAGTCCAAGCACCTCGAGGCCTGCCAACAGTATGTATTCCTATATCTCTCCGCCTTTCCTATAAGGACCTGGATCTGAACTGATCTTGGAACCAGGGCAGCCAAAGCGGGCATGACCTTTTTGCGCAATGGTGGCACCGCGGTTGATGCCGTGGAAGTGGCCCTCATGGTGCTGGAGGATGCACCGATCACGAACGCCGGCTACGGTAGCAACCTGAACGTCAAGGGCATAGTCGAGGGCGATGCATCGATTGTGGACCATCTTGGTCGCAGCGGCGCCTGTGGAGCCGTGCCCAGTAAGATCTGTTACTCGCACAATTCGCCGGTTGGCTTTAACTGACTTGATTACGCAGCTGTCAAGAACCCAATCATGCTAGCTCGGAAGATCTATGATCAAGCTCACAAATCCCCGGGGATGTCTCGTGTCCCTCCGAACCTCCTTGTTGGAGAAGGAGCCGCCGACTTTGCATGGAACAATGGGGTGATTCTCGTTCCGGACGAGGCTCTGATTACGCCCGCTTCGAAGGCTCGTTATGACGCCTGGTGTAAAGAGATCGCCGAATGGGAGGCTGAGAACCCAAAGGATCCCGAACAGGGACCTGTAAATGCTTGGCTTCGTCGTCCGTTGACTCCCATTTCGACTCGCATTGCCCAAATGGACATGGCTGCGCAGGCCGAAATCAAAGAAGAAATGCCCACCATCGGTGGATTCAGCAGCGACTTTGATGACCCCGCTCAGCTAAAGAATGGAAAATCGATGGATGGTCCACCTTTGAAGGGGTATTGTGCTCCCGCATCACCGCGGACTTCCACGTCTAGCATAAATGCTTCGATGAGCATGGGTCGATCTGCGCCCGCTGGAGGCTCAGGATCGTCTCTACCCACAAAGGGGCCGGAAGAGGGCAAAGATTTGATCACAGATACCGTGGGCGCCATTGCGGTGGACATGTTCGGGAACATCGCTGCGGGATCTTCGTCAGGCGGTATCGGTATGAAGCATCGAGGCAGAGTGGGACCCGCGGCGTTGATTGGTATCGGCACCCATGTCATGCCAATCGATCCAACTGATCCTGAAGAAACTTCTGTGGCCGCTGTCACCTCTGGAACTGGTGAACACATTGCATCGACCTTCGCCGCAAGTACCTGCTCCAGCCGTGTCTATTACAGCCAGCGGATGGATCATGCCGGCAGCTTCAACAACGTGACCGAGGAAGAGGCCATTAGCGCAATGATCACCAAGGAGTTCACTGGTAAGAACTCCTCATTCGTGACATTGTGTTGTCGAGATTAGATATATACTGACTGTTTCCAGGGCATCCCGCAGTGAGCAACAGCGAGATCTCCGGCTCGATTGGAATCATGTGTGTCAAGAAGAATGTGGACGGCATCGTTCTCTACTTTGCTCACAACACTGAGTCTTTCGTGAGTTTCCTCGAAAATACCAGTCTTTGATATCGCACTAAACGTCCATTACAGGCTATCGCCTCGATGAGCAACTACCAGAGCTCTCCCTCTTGCCTGATGTCTCGCAACGTCCGCCGGGGTCCTGTAGCCCAGGGAGCGACCAAGTTTCGACCCAAAGAGTAGGTGACATCTAGTCTGAAGTTTCATGCTTGATGGCTGGTTCTGATTCTGATTTCTTTATCTGGTCAGATCGAAGGACAAGGCAAAGGACGATGAAAGGGACACGGACAAGAAGAAAAAGCGAAAGGCAGACCGGGTCTCCTAATTTGCGTGGATATCAACTCATCAAGCATGCCTGATGGGTCTGGTCTATGAGATACTCTGGCGTGCATCGACTGCATTTCAATGCTTTGGTATGTCTATCCATTGCCCCTTTTCGTCAGCATAGTGATTCCGTTTTGTGACTTGGCCCCTCAGCATTTTCTGCGCTTTCTTCCTGCATAGCGACAAGGGTTGAAATTCTTTCGGTGGTCTTTGCCCTGCACATGGTCTGCACGTTTTGATATTTTTCCCCTCTACAAGCAGAAAAAAATCCCGGCTGGGCGACCCGAGTGTTTGTGTCAAGTTTATGAGCTTTGAGCGTTACCTCTTTTTTTTTGGCCTTTAATTTCCTCAGGTAGATAGGCCAGAAAATTCATTTAATCTGCCTGGTAATATTCTTATCATATTGCAGTGTATGTCTAACTTCTCGAGTCCAGCGAGAATGACAGCTAGATAACGTCGTTTCTGTTTTTGATTCTAAATAGATCCGATTCCTTATCATGGGCCAGGAGTCGGCGTCCCTCTTGACATTGGTGTCCCAACCGCCGAAGCCCCATTGGCTCGCTTCTTCTTTTTCTTCTTTCTCTGGATGAGAGCCGGCCTGGAGCCGTAGTTGCCCACGTCTAGAGGAGTTCCACAAGTCAAGCACTCGTTCCCGGGAGGTGGCTCGCAGAAAATACTCAAGCAGATAGAGCAGACGTAGCCAATATCCACAACACGCCGATGGCAGAAGCAAGCCGCCCGGAAATCCACATCTATTCGCGTAGGAAGCACTAGGTGCCTCCGTGAACGCTGATCTGGCAAGAATGCCATCATCAGATACTGCAGCAGCCCGCGCGGCTCAGAGAGAGCCATGTACACGCCCTTGGTGGCGTCGCAGGCCTGCTGCAAGAAGACCGCATCACCACTGAGCTTACACACATCGATGGGGATGTGCAGTCGCTGGCAAGCAAATATGCTGTTCATGACGGGTATGTACTGATGGGCCGAGTTGCTGGACCCGCTGACCGAGACGATCAGGATCCGACTTTGAAGGCGCTCATCCTCGTCCGATGCAGAGTATCGACTGGGCCCGGTCCCTGTTGCCCCTGTGCCTTCAGCTGCGGCGTCATCCAGACTCGCACCGCCGTGCTCCTCCGCCCACGCGATGGTGCGCCGGTTGATATTACTCAGTGCTAGAGTCAGAGCACCTGCAAGCATTGAAGTGTTACCGCGGAGGTCCGCGCTGTGTGTAGAATCCATGAGTTCCTTCAATTTCCGCGTCACTTGCTCCTCCACCATGCGGAATGGGCGGTATTTGTTCGTCTGAGATGCCGCTCCTCCATCTCCGTTCATCGAGACGTCCCCATCGCGATCTGATGACTCCTGTGACGTCGCGTCATTGTGGACTGGGTATAACCATGCTGCTTTCTGGCTGTGGGAGGCGACAACGGCAACCTCGTTTGCATAGTTGCACGCAAGGTGCGCATTGATGAAAACGAGAATATTTGCGACGGCTTTTGCGAGTGGGAGAGAGTCTTCGAGGGCCGCCCAGGCGTGTGGGTTCGTATCGATGATGACAGTGAGAAGAGACGGAGAAAGCTCTGGACATTTCATCAGACGATAACTTAGGTGAGAGCCAGCAACAAGAAAAACAGACCTGTCGCTCCTAGCTCATAATGCTCAGAGGCATCGATGGAATTCATGGTGCTAGGAGGGTCGGTGAAAGCGAAGGTTCATGATGAGGTGCCCAAGGCCTGGGGTGATCCGATGAGAATCCAAGCCAGGAAGGAGGATCGTATCTGCCGCTTGATGAACCCTCGACTGGGGATCCTAGAAACTGGACGAGCTGAAGCAGCACCGCAGCACAAAGAACCAGCTCCGCGATAAGGCAAGTCACGGGATGATAACGAATATCTGATCTATAAACCCGGGGTATTCTTTTTCGCTTTCCGGTGGTGCTGGCAGTCCGGCTTCTATGTTGGAATATCCCGTAAATAATGTGAATGAAATGAAATCAGAACTAGGTATGCAAATGGAATGGCTCGCCCGTGGCTTGCTTTGTCGGAACCAGAACCGCCGGGTAGGTGGTGGCCATTGGTAGTGTCCACTGTTCGTGGATAGCGAGATACCTCTGTTCCGCAGACACTTATCAGGAAGGCCGTGATCATGGAACCTGTTGAATCTTTCGACCCTCCGGGTGCTGCTGATCGGTCACACATGACCCATAAGCTAGTTCTTTTGTTTCCCCGAGCCTCTAGAATCTACCGGAGCTTCTACCGATGATCTCGGGGAGCTAGGATAGTGTGTACTCCGTATGCAGAAGAATGGGTTTAAGGACTGCACTATGCTGCGGGTCTCCTCAAATAGAAAGCAGACAGCCAGACCGACTTGTCCCACATGCTCGGTCTTCGCGGACTTCGGGGCTTTGTACAGCGTTTACCTCATCCTGAAGGGATGCAGAATCTCACGCCCCCTTTTGGCACATCCCTTGGCCTATTGATCGGTTGGTTTCATACCGGACAAAGCATCCATTTTGGACCGGACGAGGCTTCCTGCAGCGTCGCGTCCAAAGCGACTCCCAGCGAAAGCAAGACTGGCGGTTATCAGCAACGTGATGGCATTGGCCGCTGTGGTTGGTCTTATCAGGGCGATTGATAATGGACTTTCGTGACCGAAATGGCGTAACAATACCGCGCGGGCAGTACGAATATGCCGGGCACTCGTCGCAGAAAGTACCGTCGTGAGAGCCGGGTAGTGGGGGGAACGGCACGCCGGTATCTGGCGGTAATCGCAATACCGTATGGACCGTCTACAACCGTATACTTCTGCACGCCCAGGCCAAGGTGGGCCAAGAGAAGATAATTCGAAGATCACCGCCGAGAGCCTCTACGACTCCGATGGTCTTGCTTTTTCCTCTCTCCAGTCGACGTGGCTCTCACTTCTCAGAACCTGCTGCTCGGTGGATCTGATAAATCCGCGGCCTCCCACTTATCTCTCTCCTTCCTCCGCCTCTCCGCCTCTCCGCCGCTGCCCCTCTCCCCAAAAGAAGCTCCCGCCCGTCTTCCTTTTTTTTTTCTCTACGCAACTGCTCGATACCACCTACCGATCCTCGGACTTTTGCAGCCCCCGCAGCGTGTTGCTCTCCGGCATCCCTGCAATGGTTCAAGCAACGGGCGAAGAGCGCGCTGTTCACCTGGCACGGGAGGCTGTCGAGTTATTCGACGCTGGCCATCGAGAGGTACGTAATACACTTATCGCCAGCACGCGATTTCCCATGGCCTACTTGAGTTTAACGATGGAATGGTCCATAGGCCGCGTCGCGTAATCTCCGAGAAGCTCTCTTCATAGCGGACGAGAATCCCGATGTGAAAGCTGCCTTTCTTAAAATCCAGCAGGAAGAAGAAAGTGGCCACCCGCTCCTCGACCTCTGCCACCGTTACACCACCCGCAAGGATGAGACCGCCGGGAAGGAAGCCGCTGGATACCTTCGGACAGATGGCTTGAAACCTCCAGAGAATGTCGCGCTGGAAGCGCTGAAATTGCTGTTGGGCCAGCGAGCACATGCCCTTTCAGAGATTCAAGATGATATCATTTCGGGGCTCGTGCGCCACAATGCCAGCGTGCGCCAGTACTTCTCGACTCAGCTGCAGGTCTCCGTGACGGCGTTCTTTGATGAGATCTACGACCGAGGTGACGGAGCGGCGGTATGTTTGGACACCGTGGTGCTCGACCCAAATGTGTGGCCGTCGGAGGACGCGCGGTCGCACTGCGAGAGCGAGCTGTTCCTGCTCTTCCTTGCCAAGTTGATGGAATCAGGCCATGATTTGGACGGTCGCGCTCTAAAAGGAATTACTCGATTGCTCGCCGTGGATGCTGGCCGACTCCAACACTTGATTGACGACGAAGGATTTGAAGTCATTTTGACGTCTCTGGACAATCGGCTCCCGCTCGAGCTGCGCAGCCAAGCTACTCTGGCAACTGCGAAGTATCTGGAGGTCGCGAAGGAAGATGGCGAGAAGCAATTTTCGGCTTTGATTGCCGCGATGGTCGCCAAGGGCCGCTTGGACGATCTGATAATTGCTTTCTCTGCGGTGGCCGCCGTCTTCCCGGTAGCCCCGGCTGCAGCCGCCAGCATCTTCTTGTCCGGCGAATTTATGGAGTCATTGACCCCGCTGGCAACGCGAGACGCGACGCGGAAGAAGGTGGAAGTTTCGATTTTGGAGCTGCTGAATGCAGCATGCATTAATCGGCCTTGTCGGGAAGCGATCATCGAAAACTTCTCCGAATGGCTTTCGCACACCCTGACTAATGGCAGCGATGAAGGATCAGAGCTGGCGGCGGTGGTTTTGGCGAAGATCCGAACCTCTGAATCCACCCCGCCCTCTGCTAAGAACGGTGAGGCCCAGGAGGAAGACACCGGGGTCGCTGACTTGGTGCAACGGTTTAAGGGACTAATGTCTGAACCCAAGGTTGCAAATATCTCGCACGCGATTGAGGGTCTGGCCTATTCATCGGTGAAGCCCTCCGTCAAGGAACAACTCGCCAAGGACCCTACGTTTATGCGCGACTTGATCACTGTTCTAAAACAGCACACAAACGATTCGTCTGTGCTTTATGGTGGCTTGATGGTTTATCTGAACCTTACCAAATTCCTTCCCAATCTTTCCGACGAACAGAAGAAGATGTCCCAGTTGAAGGACTACGCGGATGCTTCTACCGGTAAGGGCCGGGATTCTGTTGACCCCCGGGATGAAGATGAAGCTGTCCTTGACCGCTGTGGCATCATCATCGACGCGGGAATCATGGCTCTCCTAGTCGAATGTGGCCGAGTTGCTTTGCCTTCCACCAATGATCTCTCAGCCAAAATATTATTGGCTCTGGCACGGCGGCAGAAGTCACGAGGGACTCTGGCCCAGCAAGGTGCTATCAAGCTGCTGCTCGGCTTGTCCATCCCCAAGCAGGGGGATTCTATCGTCCACACAGAGACGACACAGAATGCCTCTCATGCGCTGGCTCGGGTCCTCATCTCTGTCGACCCTTCACATGTCTTCCCGTCCACTGGGTTCCCTCAGGCGACTTCTCCCGTACGCCCTTTGCTCTCTCTTCTCCGCGCTCCTGAGGGTGCTGCCATCTCCGTGGACCAATCCCACGACCTTCTTCCCGTGTTTGAAAGCTTGCTTGCGCTGACCAACCTTGCTTCCTATCCACGTGACGACTCACCGGCCGAACTCATTGTGCGAGAAGGCTGGTCCGCCATTGAAGAACTCCTCCTGTCCAGTAACTCTCGCGTGCAGCGGGCTGCCTGCGAACTGGTCTGTAATCTGATGACTTGCGAATCCGGCATCATCAAATTTGCCGATGCCACCAAGCGGGCCTCGCAGCGACTCCATATAATGCTGGCGCTTACCGATGCGGACGACTTCGCCACCCGGCGAGCAGCCGGCGGCGCGATTGCCATGCTGACTGAGTACGATGCGGCTGTCGCGGCAGTGCTGGAACGGCCGCGCGGGGTGGAGTTGTTGCTGGGTCTGTGCCAGGAGGACGACGACGCCCTCGTTCACCGCGGAGTTGTCTGTGTGCACAACCTGACCACGGCGTCCGGGGACATCGGCGCCCGTGCCAGGGCAGCCGTGCAAGCTGCCGGGGGCATCGACGTCCTGACCACGTGCCTCAAGAAAACATCTAACCCAGCGGTGTTACAAGCCGGCGTGGAGGCCTTGAAACCGCTTGTACCATAACTGTGACGACCTGCTTCCTCGACATATCTTTTCCACTTGGCTCTCGGGAAGAGCGTCGGAAGGGCTAGCATTGCATCCACTATTCGCATACATGGAGATTCGGAATGGGTTGGGTCAAGGTCAGGACGGCTGGAGTTTTTCTATTTCTTTTTCATTCTTTGCTTTTTTTCTCTTTTGAGGGATTCGATACCCCTTTAATCAACAGCACATTGCCGAGGTTAGCGATCGATCTTCCCCTTGTGCCTTTTGTCTTGTGTTTTTCCCAACTTGCTTCGTTCATTCTGTGGGAACGTCCTAGACTGAAGGCGTTTGTAATGTCCTGGGGACGGGCGCATAATATTTTTGTCCTGCGCATTGGGAATATCCCCCTCGCAATAAACATAGAAGAGTATGAAATGCCAGAAGCTTTCTGGTTTATGAACTATGCCCTACCCCACGAACTCGAGTATGTTTAATTTTTCTGAATCTGTGGACATGCATGTCTTACTGCATCATGTATGCGGCGGAGTTAGTCTGCGGGAGTGACTTGGGCTGCAATTACCGCAAGTTACCTTGGGCAGGAATGGCGTGTGGTTCCCCCCCCTTAAGTCGGCTGTTACTTCCCCCCTCCTATCTTCTCTTTCCTCCACCCCTCGCTCTTATCCCGCCGTCCCCAACCGACAGGGAGACTAGGAGGCAGAGCGCGAGGAGGACGCTACCGGGTCCTTCGGCCTCGTTGATTCTGTGGGCTGGCTCTTAGGGTCCGCCGGGAATGCACAGCAAGTTCGGAGGGCGTGGCGCACCGCCCACGACTCTTCTGCCAGTCGCACGGGACCGCTGATGGGACCTCTTTGAGCTTCGTGCTGATCCCATGATGGATTGAGTCCATTCAAGGTGAGCGATAACCAGGGACCCTGGCCAGGGCTTTGCCCGGCGACCCGCCCAGAGGCCAACCAACTCTTTTTGGCTGGGGTCACGGGGTCGCGCCGGGAAGCCACGGCTCACTGGGCGGTCCGGAGGTACAGCAAATATGGACAGTTACGCAGATATGGCAGTTGGGAGGCGGGGGCGATGATAGTATAGACTATACGAGCACGCTATCCCGAGCTATCGATGACCAGAGGCCATGAATTCTTTCCATGTTGAAGTATATGCTATGACGTTGGGGTATAAAAAGGCCATCGGCCGGAACCATGGAGCTCGACCCCGCGGATCGACAAATCACCGCCGCTGCAGCACGCACACCTCCAGCCCGTTCGACGTGCGGCTTTCTGTCTCCGATCTCCCTTGATATCCCGTTGGGACGCTTCTTCGCTGCGCTTCACCTTCCTCCTCCCACTGCCCCTCGTGATCGCCCCGTTTGCTCCCCCTGGCCGTCAGAGTTTTACGCTCCCCACCGTTTCAGCACTTTCACCTTCTTCTCTTCACCGCTCCACTGACCAGCGCCCCCACTTGAACAGGTATAGTCGGTCTTGAAGCTTTCCACCTCCTTACACCTCCTCTTTCCCTTCTCATCCTCCCTCACACTCTTCCTCATGGCGCCATTGATTCCTCTCGCCTGCGTGCGTCCACTCACCTGATCACTCCCCGTGACCCTCAGGTTGGACCATTCGACAGAACGCTATCCCTGCGACCCGGGACTGTGGGGGCTTTTTCGTGCCTCGGTGGCAAAATAATATCCGGGCGGTGGGATTGGACCATAAGACAACAATCCATCCTTGGTGGGATTGCAAACAGTCTGGACACATCAGTCCGGTGTTGTCAACATGAAGTTCGGCCGCAATTTGCCCCAATTTACGGTGCCCGAATGGAGCGCTTCGTACATCAAGTACAAGGCCCTGAAGAAGCTCATCAAATCGGCTGCGGAGCAAGTCAAAGCAGGCCAAGAGGCCGATCTGGCTGGTAAGCGCGATACATTGTCGCCGTGAGGCGTCCCTTGCAAAACATTCCTCGAGCACCCTTCTAACCAGCATGGTTTGGTTGGTTTTTTCCGCACGATTAGGTTTCTTCTACTCCCTTGACCGAAATGTCGAGGACGTCGATTACTTCTACAACAAGAAATATGCCGAGTACGCCCGCCGTTTGAAGCTGCTGGAAGAACGATATGGCTACTCCATGGAAGGCATCCACCCGCTGGAGCCCGAGGACCGCCATGACCTGCGCGAGGCCCTTCTCGACCTTCGCTACCACCTGCGTCGCTTACAGTGGTATGGTGAGGTCAATCGCCGCGGCTTCGTCAAGATCACCAAGAAGCTGGACAAGAAAGTCGGCGCTCAGGCCCAGAAGCGCTATTTGGAGACTAAGGTGGATCCCGCTCCGTTTGCCTCCAATGCGCGGGCTGTCAAGGCCCAGGATCGCATCAATTCTTGGATGGCCGTTATTACGGACCAGTCGAAGGCGGATGAGAAGCTGGTGGATGATGCTAGCTCAACCCACTCTTCTCTGTCACTCAAGCGCGGTGCCTCCCGGCCGTTTTTGAACTTGCCGACCAGCGTTGTGACCACTGTAGACGAGGCTTTGAGAAATGACGACATCCATGTGCTGCTCGAACTGCTCGAGACATTGAAGGCTGCGGCGGACGAGGCGGGTGAGGGAGTCTTTTCCAAGGTCCTCAAGACGCTCATCCAGCGATCCATTCTGCACCGTGCCCGGGTCTGTTTGTCTGCACTGGTGCAGCGTGTGGACACGCTTGAGGAGGACGATGACATTAATCGGCGCAATTGTTTGCACCGCCTGGTCATTTCAATTGGTCGCGAACAATCGACCAATGACTCCGAGCCCGCAGCGTCTCTGGTCCTGGACTTCCCTCCAGAGACATCCCGCTACATCACTCCGGCGGCTCCGCCCACTCTGCAGCCACCACGTTCTGTGATCAAGGAGGCGCATATGCCTCAGCAGCTAGGCCGCGACGATCCAGCTGTAGTTCTCTTGCAGAATCTGCTGGATGGACTGCGTCCGAACCAACGCGAATCATTGATGGCCAAGGATCTCTCTGGCCGCACGCCGCTGCACTATGCAGCCCAGTACGGTTTCAAGGTGGTCTGTGAAGTGATTATCGAGCACCTCAAGGCGTGGGATATGTTTGATGTTAGCGAGGGAATCGATGGCACTTTGTGGCAGGACAATGACGGCTGGGCCCCACTGCATTTGAGTGTGGTCGGCGGCCACCCGAAGACCACCCGCTGCCTTTTGGACGCTGAAAATTGGGAAGAGACCCATAGCCCTGGCGACCGGGTCCGGAAACAGGTCTCGAAGTCTTCTGCTGTGCTCGCCCTTGCCACCAAGGCCAACTTTGTGGATATCGTCCAGCTGCTGGTAGATGCTGGCGTGGATATCAATTACCAGGACGAACAGGGTGAAACGGCCTTACATGTTGCGGCCCGCTTTGGCCATGATGAATGTGCCCGAATCCTCCTGGACGGCACCGAAGACCAGAAAGCCGACACTGACCTGGCTGAAAATACGTACGCGTGGACTCCGCTGTTCATTGCCTGCGTTGATGGCTCTTTGAGCGTAGCCAAGCTGCTGGTCGCTGCCGGCGCTGATCTGGAGCGCTTTGATTCATCTGGCTGGACTGCAAAGGAGCATGCTGCACTGCGTGGCCACCTCGCTATCGCTCGGTGTCTTGCTGAAGTCAGCCCCGGTCCTCCCGCTACCGAGCCTGAGCCAATTACTGTTCCCAGCTACAGCCCTTCTCCCTCATCATCGCCGCCGGGCCAGTCATCCCTGACTGATCGGCGGTCGAACGTCCCTGGACCGACATCCGGGAGTCCTGGGTTACGCAATACTGAACCTATTAAGACTTTTGGACATCGGTATCTTACCGACGAGACCATGATCCTGGTCAGCCTAGGTACTATGGATATGCGCAAACCCTTGGAGACGGTCAGCCTAGACCGGATCCCTATGGAGAATGCGCACGCGACACAGCTCGATACCGCTCTGTCTATGGTGGTCAGTGCGAGCGGTGCCCACGGCGAGCCGGAGGTCATTGACCTACCCGTGCAAGACAACATCTCGACTGAGCCGATTGTCTTCCACACGACCGATGCAAGCAAAGTTCGTCTGCTCTTTGACTTGGTACCCACCTACTCGGGCTCCAAGGACCGTGTTGTCGGCCGGGGTGTTGCTCTGCTCTCCAGCATCAAACAATCTGTGGGATCCCAGCGCATCAATCTTAAGGGCGATTCCACCATTCCCATCGTGGCTGCCAATACCTTGGAGGTTATTGGGTCTGTGACCTTCAACTTTCTCGTTATCACTCCTTTCAAACACCCAAACATGTCGATCACTGGCAACCAGACTTACTGGCGATCCATGAGCTCGACGATGGTGATTGGACACCGCGGGTTGGGTAAGAACATGGCCAGCCGTCGCTCCCTCCAGCTGGGCGAAAACACTATCCAATCCTTTATCGCAGCTGCGAACTTAGGTGCTTCCTACGTCGAGTTCGATGTCCAACTTACCAAGGACCATGTTCCTGTCATCTACCATGACTTCCTGGTCAGCGAGACGGGTATTGACGCGCCCGTTCATACTCTCACGCTCGACCAGTTCCTGGAACTGGGCAAAGGTCGACACCGAAATGTGCTGCCCGAAAGCGTGGACGTCCACGGCGCCACGACCCTCGGTCCCCGCCAGCGGTCCATGTCTGTTGGTGGCTCCGAGTACGATCCTGCCGAATTGACCGAGAGAATCAAACACACACGCGACTTCAAGAAGAAGGGTTTCAAGGGCAACACCCGCGGCGAGCACATTCAAGCCCCCTTCGCCACCCTGGAGGAGCTCTTCAAGAAGATCCCCAGAGCTGTGGGCTTCAACATTGAATTGAGTGAGTATTTATAGCTTCCCCAAGAACAGCTACATTTCGACGATCTAACCAAGATCGCCAGAGTACCCCATGCTCCATGAGAGCGAAGAGGAGGAGATGGATACCTACGCCGTTGAACTTAACTCGTTTGTCGACACCGTTCTCACCAAGGTCTACGACCTGGGCCGCGGCCGTGACGTGCTGTTCTCTAGTTTTAACCCGGACATCTGTCTCCTCTTGTCCTTCAAGCAGCCGTCCATCCCTGTTCTTTTCCTGACTGATGCCGGCGCCTCTCCCGTTGGCGATATCCGAGCCAGCAGTCTGCAGGAGGCTATCCGGTTCTCCTCGCGATGGAACCTTCTCGGCATTGTAACCCAGGCTGAGCCTCTCGTCCTCTGCCCACGTCTCGTCCGCATCGTCAAGGAATCCGGTCTCGTCTGCGTGTCCTATGGCGCGCTCAACAACGAAGGCGCAAACGTGGACGTAAGCTTCTACTCTTACGCCCATTTCACTACCTTAAATCTCGCAATATCTAACCCCTTAAACAGTACCAAGTCGCGGAAGGCATCGACGCCGTTATCGTCGACTCCGTTCTCGGCATCACAAACGGCCTCATTCAGCGCCAAAATAAGGGTGAGCGCACGCCCGGTCCCTCGCCGAACCCACACCCCGTCGCCGACAAGGGTGCCATCACCGTCCCGGTACTTGAGCAGGCAAAGCGGAATCACCCCAACCCTAACCTCGTCCCCGCTGCCATCCTTTGATCGTGATGCATAGAATCCTTTCTAAATTTTTTCCCTTTGGACTGTCTGTTTGCTAGTGCTACATACATTACTGCATTCTATGTATCTAGTTGCTTTGGGCTTGGAGCCTGCTTCCACAGCAAATACCAATTGTGTTTTGTTTGCATTTTCGAGGACCCTGGAGGATTCTGGAGGATTTGGAGGATTGTAGCGGTGTGTCCAAGTCCGTTGAAGGCATCTTTCATTTTCAAAGTGTAAATGGATACCCCAAAATCAGATTCGCAATGCGGTCCGTGTGTTCGTCCCAACTCGCTAGTCACTCCTGATACTGTTACAGCTATAACCGTCTTCTTCAGTCTCTGACTGCTTTCATAAAAATGCTTCACCGGATCTGTCCAGACATATCAAAAGACAGATACACTCTTTTATGCACAGAGAGAGCGAGGAGAGAAGACAAAGAAGTAAAGAAGTGATGATAAAAGGAGAAGGGGAGGATGATGCGAATAAGCGTGAAGACAAAAGAGGGAGGCGTGACCAAAAGGGCTGAGAGTGGCTGGTGGAGCCCGATTCTAAATGGTCCAAAGAGCTCATCGCTGGGAGTCTGGCTAGGTTTTTGGGAGTTGATAGCCCTGGCTTCAGAGAATGGCCATAGGGGATGCAGCTTGAGGAAACTGGATGATGACGTCCCAACTAGAATTTGTTCCATAATATGGTCACTAATGGGAGCTAATCACTATGGTCAATCCTCAGGCGATTCAAGTGTAGCGTGTCGGTTGAACGCCCCCCTAACTAGGCAGGTTGATTTCTTCCGTGCCATGCTCGCTTTTTACGAGCCGGATTCCTTTGCTTTCACGAGTCCCATGAGTCCCCTGACATATCCGGCATGGTCCGATTGGGCATCCTCGGGTACAGATTGTCCAATCTTCTGGAGCAGGGCACGGAGCGCAGCACGATCCGGGTCATCAACAAGACGTCGCTGTCGCTTTGGACCATGCTGCACAACAGTGCGAAAGACCCAGGAACAGCAGCGACATTCCGTTTCTTCATCCGCTTGCAAATACCGATCTTGGAAGAGGCCAAACATAAACTGCGGCGCTTTGTCGAATGGGGGTCCCTTGGACCGTTCTGACTCGAAAGGGGGCCCTTCCTCCCCCGGCTCGCGGATCCGGCTACTTCCAAATTCGAAGTGCCTCAGCTGCGACATGTTCTGTTTCATCGCGTCGAAATACTGGGCCCATCGAGTGTTGTATAACCGAATTCTTCGTCCAGATTCGTTTTGAACCACACGCAGAGAAGAATGTGGGTCGGCAGCTTGCAGCCGCATCGGAAGCTGAAAGCGCCACAACATCAGGCGGTTCACGATCGCACAGTCATCCAATTTCAAGGAGCGCAGTGTTCGTCCATGCCTGATAATCCAATCAAGCTGGAAATCAGCCGTGAATCCGCAGCCCCGCAGCTCCAGGAATCTTAGCCATGGGAAGAAGAATCCAGTATGACAGAACGCACCCGCAATATTCTTAATGTAACATCCCCAGCAAGTGATGGTCAGGTTTCGTAAGGTCAGTCGTGTTGGTGCAATCCAATTCAACGGCGGTTCGCCAATTTGCTCATATTGCTCGTCCTGGGAATATTTAATCAGCTCGATTTCCCATCAGCGAAGGAACATGTGACTCTCACCGACACGCTACCATGCCTCCAAACACCTGAGCTCACCAAGCCTATCTTCAAATCATTCACGTGAAGCTTTGTGATGATTCTCTTCAGGATATCCCGTGGCACCTCCCCATCCTGAGTATGGAAGCTTGGGAAGCGGACTGAGATTGGAAGACATTGAATTGAAAGTTCATTCAGGCTCTTTCCTTTCTTGGCTGTCCCAAGTCTCCTAAGGGCCCTGAGCAAATCATACACCGCGTTTTTCAGTATGTTTTCCTTGTCTGTGACAAGCTCTGACAGGGGGGCATGGCTTCTTGGGGGTGGACGAAGGTGTAAGGCCAGGTAATCCAGATTTTGGAATTGGCCCACTTTGGCTCTGAGATAGAAGGACAGGCGCTCATAGTATTTGATTGTGGGGTCAGCTTTGAACCCCATGTATAGCTGATACGGTGTCTAGTGGTGATTAAGCAACATATCCACGCTATGAAATGCCGCGAGTCAACTCAGAGACGAGGTCTTTCACTTACACGCCAGTATTCTCCATCAGGATACTTCACAATCACACCGCGAACCATAGCACGTGCCCGCGCGACTTTCCGTTTACTCTCCATGGTATTCTGACTGGATTGGGACAAGTCAAGAAGGAGCAAGCGCCGATCCAGCTCCCAGGCTGCAGGTACCGACCACTCGCGGTTCACGCGACGCAGCGAAAGCAGTGTCACCGGATCAGGAATGTAAGAGGTGATCATCAGCAGGATTTCAAGCGGGAGCCACACCATCTTGAGCTTGTTGAAAGAACAGCATTCCCTTGGGAGCTAGCCTAAGGAATTGGCGAAGAGGGGAGGCTGGAAGTTGGAAGGGGAAGGCATGAGGTAGAAGTGGAAGGTGGAAGGCGGAAAGATGAGGGCAGTTGAAGATGTTGGTTGTGTTTGATGGAGAATCAAACGAACGAGATACCATCCTTAACGCCAGTCAGTCCTCATTTTCCCCACGGGATACGCAAGATCCCGCACACCTCATACGGGTGTCTATGTGCGCTCTTTACGGAATTAGGCTGCCGGCAGAGTTGTCAGGGGCAGAACAAGGTATCAGTTCGTTAGACACTGTTTACAAAGCTTGTGCCTTTCTTCGAGACTTTCGAGCACAGAACCAAAGGTATTCCAAGGGGTTTCCAAAGCTATGAAACCTAAAATTCCAGCAGTAAACCACAAGCTTGCCCTCCATGTGCGCCTATGATCACTGTATGCTCAGAATCAATTTCAACACTCATGGCTTAAGATACACTCACATCACTCGACCTTGAAAGTTTTTATAACTGAATTACTTGACATAGCTAAGTTGCTTGCAAGAAGAAGCCAATACCAGTTCCAAAATCGGGGAGAGCAATGGCATACGGCACCTCGGCGGGGTTAGGTAGATCTGCACAGTTCTTTTTCTTTAAAGAACTTTATTCCAACGGAGGGCTACAACAAACCCCTACCGAGGAATGGGAGCAATAACGTAGCCTAAATATTCTTTGATAGACAAGGTTGGGTAAGCATGCTGAGAATACACGGGACGATGAGGATAGATGAGAGAGAATTATCTGCCTAATGTGACTGAGAATATTTGTCCGGCTCGAACATACTCGAGAAATGCCTCGATTTCTATTCGCGTTCCGCCAGGGCCTGTCTTCTGCTGATGCTCTTGGGGTCCAAATACGGCCGTTCCCCAAGCCCGACCACGCGATGGCCTGTTCGAGAACCAATCTCTTCATAGTCCCAAGTTGCGGCATGATAAACCGACCGGTTATCCCAGATAGCTATCGATAATGTGAGGGGTTTGAACTGAAATTTCCTGGTTACAGTGGACTTCTTACCGAGATCGTTCGGGTTCTGCCAACGGAGGCGCACTTGCAAATCATGGTTCTCGACAATGAGGCTCACAAACCACTTGAGTAAGTGCGAGCTCTCTTCTTCTGTGACCCCGTTCACCCTTTGAACATGCGATCCTACTGCGAAAATACTCTTCCAGCCTGTGACTGGGTTTGTGCGGACCACTGGGTGCTCGGCGCGCAGCTCCTCTCCGACATTCTCGGGAGCACCACGAGGGCCAAGATGAATCGAAAAGTTGTTGTTCTTGGCGACTTCATTGAACCGAGGCTGGGCGTAGGTTGCAGTAAGGCCTTCGAGGAATTTCTGATAAGGTTCCGACAGGCGATCGTACACTTCGTACCCCGAGGCCCACAGAGTATCTACCCCAATGTGTGAGTTTAATGGTATTAGCTGAGAATGGGGAAGGTCAGTACTTACCACCCCCAGTTTTGGGAAGCTCTGTCAGGCGGAGAATTGTGTAGTCACTTGGGATGGGCTCGAAAGTGATGTCACTGTGCCATTCTGCACGAGCGCTTTGCTTGCGGCCATTGCGCTGAGTGTAGAGTGTCTTGCGCTGCTGCGAGCTAATCACACTAATTTCATCATCCTTAACACTATGCTCACGGCCTGAGTTTGCGACTGGATGGATATGCAATCCAGAAGTCTTTGGCTTTCCTGAAAGCTCTCCCAATCGCTGCACAAGTTCCTTTTGCAAGTCGTTATCCAGACCGTCCTGCTTTCGGAAGAATACCACACCCCGTTGAGATACTGTTAGAGAATGGTTAGTATTGACTACTGGCCAAAGGACATTAGCAGGTGGAGGCTGACCGGTAATCGCTAGGTCCCGCAGCAGCTCGTCCGAGTTAGGGGAGCGTAGGAAGTCTTTCAAGCTCGCATTAGGAAATTCACGCCCAATGACTGGTGTAACATCGAAAAACTCGAATGCATCAAGAGCTCCGCTAGGCTTCAGCGGTGTCCGCTCAAGACCTTTGAGGGTGATCTTGTCTTCCACAATGGGGGCCACCAGGTTGGTTGTAGTTTCAACAAGCGACGGAGCCATGGTGTTTATAAAACAAAAGAGGTCACTAAGTCTTGACACCGAACTCTTTGTGTTCTCTTCAAAGATTTGCTCTACCATGCTCATATTTATATGGATCCGTCCACAGAATGTTGCCGACTATCCGGTAATGAGCCCGTGCATGCTGGCATCATCCCGCGCCGTGAAGTATAAAACGATGTCGTACACCTAGTGTCAAAGCACGAATCGAACCTCATACAGCACAGAGATAGCGGCGCTTGGCATGAAAGTAAAGGTTTCGCAATCAATGGCAGCGATCATGTCAGATTCCGTCATTCAAGGTCTGTCTGGAACTTTGCGGGGTAAAGGGAGGTATGCGGATGGTTACGCAACATGTGCTCACAATTGCGAATAAAATGTTGAATCGAAGCACAATCATTGGCGGTGCAATCAACGGCTATAGACTTTTATTCTATTACTATCAGTATTTATCAGCGATAACTACGATACGAAGCACGCGATCGGGAATATGGATCAGTATCATTAAAGCTGGAGACGACATCTTGTTTCCCGATATCCGAACAAAGAGTTGGAATACACGGCAGGAAAACAGTAATACGTGAATAATAATACTTGCGCTTCGGCCATATCCACAGGTTGCTCCGTCTTAGTGGGCAAAGCGGAAGTCTAGTCGCCGGGTCCCCTCCTCTTTGGTAGTCGCCAAGTAGTGCATTTTCTCCTGGTGAGACATTGCATTCCACTTCTTGTCTCGACTTGCATTACGCCAGACATAGTATGCCTTTGTCAATACATAGATAAAGATATTCGTCACGACCAGAGCCACAAGAACCCCATTACCTCGTCGATAGCGGGGAGCATCGTCTAAAACGCGTTAGCAATAGTGATCACAAGCGCAATGCATGATCGATCAACAAACCGGCGCGGTAGATGTTAGAGGCTATAATTCCCGATGCCTGAACACACATATTGTACATGGCAGCCGAAACAGTCCGAGATCGGACCGTGTTGGAATTACGGGAATTCCAGCCGACTTGGATTGCATGTGCTTTAATTGTCGTCAGAATGAACACGAGCTCGTCATATTGCAGGCAAACATACCGTTTGGAAAACCAAGAAGCAAGGTGACAATCGTCCAAACAACCCATTTGTTGGCGCTAGTAGTATCCACCACGTACAGATACACCACGAAGGGCAAAGTCCATAATTGACCAAGGATGGACACCCAGGTTAATTGCCCAGTAACTTCCGCGAGATATGTGATGGTAAGCATGAGGATGATGGAAATGACTGTATTTGGGATAGCAAGCAAATTTGAAACAAAGGTGTTGAACCCCATGTTCCGCAAGGTAAGGGTCAGATACTGCTTAGGTGTCGTCATCGGCGTCTCAAAAGTAAGTCCGATGATGTACAGAGGCCAGAGATCGAAATCACATAGACTTTTCCAAAGCAATTTAGGCGTGATTGGCTGGCGATTATGCATGGTACCTTTGCTGGGGTCGTCGCGAATGACGCGATTAACTATGATCGTTTCTTCTCTATGACGCTATTAGCTGAGCTTCACAACAAAATGCACGTGTCCAGAAGGCTGTTCTTACCGAGGCGAGAACCAACCAGTTTTACCACGCGACCAATTAGCAGTTTGGCAAGGTCCCGGAGGCATCAACATATATGCAGCAAGCCCGAAAAGCATAGTGATAAGGCCCTGTCAGACAGTTACAAAGTCAATTTGGAGGGTACGGAGTAGTTTTAGCCAGAAATGATTTACCTCGATCAAGAACAGCCAGCGCCAACCAGATTGACCATGAACCCCACGCAGGTGCAATAGACCGAAGGCCAAGAAGCCCGCAATAATGTCCGCAATGTTCATTGCCGTCCAAAAGAACCCTAACCGTAGAGACAGTTCATGGTGCTTGTAGAAGTAGGAGAGATAGAGAATAACCTGTCCGTGTCCGTTGAGTATGGTTTTCCTGGAAACGATCAGGTTGGGATACTGACATCGGGAATAAATCCACCTTGAAGAATCCCGAGAAGAGCCCGACAGACAAGAAATGTCGTCTTTCCTTGTAGGCCATACTGTCCCATGGCCACTGCGGACCAAAGAACCATTTGTGTGGGAATCCATCGATCTGGACCAACCCACTTACTTACCAGTTGCGAAGGCAGCTCAGCACAGAGGAACGAAAGCTTGAAAACCGTATTCCCAAGATTGTAGTCTAAGCATTGGTAAGCACAATTCCTCCAACAAGCATCAAGAACAGATGTGTAGATACCATTAGTATTCATGTGCAGGTCTTTAAGGAAGTTATCGGTCAAAGCCTGCTGCAGATTGGAACGGTCTAGTTCCAAGGCCATAAACATAAGACAGGCAAATACCATAATCCGCAGATCGATTTTTCGGATAAGTCGGTATTCCTCTCCCCATGTCCAGCGTGCATTAGGATCGAATCGATGAAGGTTTTCCCAGTCAGCTCTAGGTTGGTATTCCTTCGCAGTGTCTGCATCATCGAAGACCGACGGCAAGGTCGCGATCGCATCCGGATCGAAGTTTTTGGTTCGCTGGAACCAAAATCGACGCTCATTTTGCGGCTTTCCTAGGGGTGGGATGTCGGCGTCGGATGAGTCGGATCGATTAAGAACCGCCGAGACTGTCGACTCGGCGGTCTTCTTAGAAAGCGCTTCGGAGATCACAGTAGGCATTTTCAAAAACAAAGTGTGGACTTATTGGGAAGTCCTCAATGTTATTTTACTGCTTGCAAATGAGAAGTGGCAGGTAGAATTTATACATTCGCTGGTGACGGCAAAGTGCGACAGGACTTGCTCTGTGACAATATCTTGGCCATTGTTGACACCATCTGGCCAAGCATGGGACAATTTTTGCTCTGGTCGAGACACTTGCCATCTTGGGTGGGTATTGGACGGACAAGGGCCCGGCAATGCGAGGATGTTGGGAGTGGGAATGGTCTATTGGACAGCGGCAGTCACATCATTCCGGCAGAATATCGCGATCACCCAACTCTAAGCTATGAGAGTATTTGAACTAGAGCTACTGAATCCAGGATATTGCGAATGCATTTCTTTTCTGTGTTATCCGAAGTCATTGAGACAAAGGCGGCTGGGAACCGTTCACAGTGGACGAGGTGTTTAGTCTCTTGTCCTTGGGCGGCAAAGTCCCCGAGTTTCATCCCCCGGCCGTCTATTCTGTTGGAGACATGGAACCCCCTTTGATTGTTGTGATAAGTTTGTTGTAACTACTCTTTGCCTGAATCGGGTGACGTAGTCAACTTCTCCATAAATACAGATCGCCGGCCTCGGTCTGGAATAATCGCCAGGTATCAGTCATAAGCAAAACTGCAGGGAGGACACCAGATATATGCACATGAATGAATGGCTTTGAGCTGACTATGAGAACTGGCGCTTAAGGCTACTATACCGTATACGATATATACTCTTACTGCGTGAGCCGACTATCAAAATACCGAATAGGATAAAGGGAAGATGGCCAATAACAGGATACGCCTTCTACGGACGAATCAGCTAAAAACCCGAAAATGTTGAAGCGGTTAAGGCTCAAGCTAAAGGGGAGCCCTTCGAACAGCAATACACCAATCACTTGGATGAAATTGTCCAAGGTAACCGCATCGCATATAGGCACTGTAGTACTCTAATCCCGAGCGGGTTAAATATCCCCAGGGACTAACCACTCTTGCCAATGCTTCGCGGCCACACGGATCAGAATCCTTGAAATTCCTTTAAAAAAAGGGGCGTAGTCGACCACGCGTAAGAACATATCATACGCTCGTTTTGACAGCATCCGCTCCGATTCTTTATCGGTAGCCATTTCCTACACTCGTAGCCCCAGGAGCTATACTATAGTGTTCAAGTTCGTTAGCGAGGTAGCTTCCTTCAAGCGCGTGACTCGGCCCTGGCGTGAGTTGTAGTCGTCTTCTTCGTGGGTTCATGACTGCAAACCGTTGACTGCCAGTGTTGGTTTGAAGTCAACTCTTCCAGGATGATCTCAGTATGCTTCCCAGAAAGTCCAAGTAGGGACTGGATATCAAAGTCTTCGAATTAAAGGCGCACTCGGTGCTTGTCTCCGGCCTGGTCCCGTTCGGAGACCCAAAAGGCCAATCTGATACAACTGGAAATTCATAATAGCGGTTCGGATCTGCTCTCTTTATCGACTCGCGCTCCACTTCGCTCACTTGGACATGGACCGTGGGGACCTCCGATCCCAACTTTTTGGCGCTGGCTGGCGCATTTGGAATTCGAACTCCACCAGATGGGGCCGCTGCCAAATGAGGGACTAGGGAAGAAGCTTGTCCCAATCCTTCCTAAGCTTTTTCTTTACAATTTCTTCTCATTAGTCCAGGGATTTCTACTCCATGTGACTCCTCCATTGGCTAATCTATAGTCGTCACTTCATCCTGTTCCCCTCCCTAGTTTGGCCACAAAAAGCCTCCGGCGCCAATGCTAAAGCGCATCAGTTCCGCGGCAACCGGCGAGGGATGAAAGCTCATCCAGGTGTAACTTTTATTTATTCATATTATTCCTCCCCCCCCATTCCCCTCCCGGCCCCCTACGCCCCCAAATCCATCCAGCCGGGAGCGGTCCTCCAGTTTAGTAGATACCGTAGAACCACCGACTCCCGCATACAAGGGCGACACCCGCGAATATTTGGGAAAACAGAGATGATCAACCGAATCTAGTGTAGAATGGCGGTGCAGGCGGGATGACCATCTAGCTCGCATATGCCCATCTATGGAACAGTTGGGGGCAGGGGTTTCTAAAACTCTATTCATGTTGCATTGTTCTAGGCACTACCCGTGTCCGCACAGGCCAATGATCTTGTGGGATGATCTAAAAGTCATTTGAAATCACAGAACTCTATTAAAGTATGCCTATCACCTCGAAGACTGTTGCTTGGAAAATCCAGCTACTTTAGAGAGTTGGACTGATGAAAAAGTTTGTCCGACTGTTACTCCGAGAGTTAGTTTGCTCCCTTCTATTATCGGAGTTGTCAGAGTCACGGACTTAAAAGTCGGGGATAATCGAAACCCTCCATGCACGCACCACAACCTGATAGCTCTCAGCAATAAGCTCTGGATTGAGATTCCATGGGTTTGATGCTTCACTCCAGGGTCGGCTCCAGACACACCAAGTGAATGGCTTGTCCCATCTCAGATACTGTTGAGGCTAAACTGAGTATAGTAGTGTGATTCTTATGCTCTACTATCATTGAGACCGAAGAAATTGCAGAGGGGAGATTTTGGCGGTGCTGTAGGAGGAAGTGGGAAGCCGCGCACTTTTTGCCAAATTGGGCGGCGATGAGGCAGTTCGCCGTACCCTCCATCACTTCCACTCCAACAACTCCCGCAGAACCGCACCGTTGGCTCAGCCTTCAGGACAGCCTACACTCTACACTGCGGGGTTATCGTTTCGGATGTTGAATAACACAGTATCTCAAGTTGAAACATATTGCGAACACAGCCTACGTGCCAGGCGGGCCCGGGAAGAAGGTTCATGAGGTGAGGTGCATGGCGATCGTGGTCTATCCCCCAGGAAATCTCCTGACTCGCGATTAGAGGTCTGCCTTAACAGGGCTGCGGGAACGAAAATAGACGAAAAAGGCGCTAAGCTTCATTCTCGCAGTCCCTTCCTGGCAGGGTCAGAGATCCACCGGGTCACCTTATCTCCGTTTACCCAATTGAGGAGGAGATCCTTGGAGGCCTCGCCCAGTTTGTGGCCCCATCACCATGTGGAGCAGACTTGAGCGAGGCACTCTTCAGCTCTCGTCAGAGAATTGAATCAAACTGGATGAGTCAGGCCCGCGGGGTGCACTGCAGCTTAGCAGCAAGCGGACCAAATGTACGCCGGTGAACAATTTGCGCCCTTCTACAAAATCCGCTCAGGGGGCAGGGGCCGTCTATCTCTGCTGGACGCCTCTGCTAGATTCCCAAGGCAGACTTCCTCGCGATCGCCCCCGGGACAGAAATTACGTTCTTACACCCAGCGACAAAGCTCCACCTCCGGTTCGACGGCCGGATCATGATGGGACGTGCGATGGCTGGGTGCTTAGCACTCGGATGTGGGCAAAGCTCGTGGATTAATTTGGAATATGGGCACGGCATGTAGAGAACCAGAGATGATTTTCTGTGACCGCCAGAAAGGGCAGCTTCGGAGAGCTAACTATTATTGGCGATGGGGGCCAGAAAAATCTTGGATTGACAGCATTGCCCTTCTTGGTTCGGAGTAACTAACTACTGTAGTTAGAGCCCGCTTGATGAGCCTCCTCAGGCACCCACTGGTGGAGAGCCTTTCCCGACGTCAAGAGGCACCCGATAGGCCAAGGGTGACCGGGGGCGCATCGCAAATCAGGACGCAGGCTTCTCGCCCCGTCGACACACTCGCTTATTCTAGCGTTCCGTTTAGCTCCTGCGCAATACTGCCTGGGCCAGTTTAAAGCCAGTGATCATGCCCCAAGCGGACCATGGTTTGTGCAGCCAGCACCCGAGCCGTCGCAGATCACCCTTAGAAGGAAACAGTCGACTTGCCAGCCAATCTATAGCGTCACAGACTCCCCACCGTCTATCTCCACCAGCAGCTCGCGCTAACCGGAGCACAGTCAAGAAGTGGCCGGCTGAGCTCGGGCCTAGAGGTTAATGGACTCGGCTAATCTATGCGATGGAGGAGGGCACCGCAACGGCTTGCCATGTGGAGGTTATGGGATATTACTCCCTGATAGCGCTTTTGTTGCGCTTCCCCGACTGTCCGTGGTGCCTAAGCCTAGTACGGCAATGAACTTGCTGTGGACAGGGAAAATGGGGGCCTTTTATCGAATTGCCTAATCCTGGAAACCTTCATTCGCGAGTCGTTCGCACGCCCCATCCCCGTGAGGATCAATCGCCCCACCACGGACTCTCCGAGAGAAGAATGGTCCGTCCGCGATGTGGCCAACCAGTGGGATCTGCCTGTCGTCCCGATTTCCTAAAGGGAAGATTCTGAGCTGATCAGAGATGCCCAGGAGATACCGTCTGGGGTGATAGCCCGGTGGGCTGGTAGAACCATCGCTCAGACCAGCCCCCATCCAGTCTGCCTCCCCCTCCATTTCACATCCCGATTTTCAGCCGCCGACCTACCCGACAAGCTTCTTTCCCAAGCACCGCCTGCCTAGGGCTAGTTCGTGGAGGATCCAACGGCGCTTCTCTGAATCCTTTGGTACAACCATGAGGCCCAATAAGGGCTTTTGGATGGCCCTGCTGTGCAGGCCAGCGCGATGGCCCGCCATACAGCATCGCAGGCTGTGTCTGCAATGTGTTGGGAGCCAGATTTGCATTCACTAATCGTTCCAGGGCGGACCAACTTGGGGGCTGTGAGTGCCATTGATCAGTCAATCTCACCCCGGCCGAACGCTATTTTTTAGTCGATATGCCTTGCGTGTTTCATCTTTTTCTGTATTTGCATTAATTGAACATTTGATTTATTGCCTTTTCTCTTTTTATTCTAACCCACCATTCTTAATCCCCTTTCGGCCTGGCCAATATTAAATCACCCTTCCGTCAATCAGTCGATCTTTATTGATCCGCCCAGTTTCTCGGAGGATTTATAGAAGCTACTGACCCGGCCAGACCTTTGGCAAACCTGCTTGTTTTTCTTCAGCGATTCGACAGACAAGTCCTTCGTTCCACCTTTCTGCGGGACTTTATCACATATTAAGGTGCGACATTATTGCCACCTTACGAAGGACCGCCTTCGCTCCTCTTCCGTGCCATACCACCGCTCCTCCTACCACATAAGGGTTAGCCTGGCCGCTCAAGATGTCCATCACTTACAACCTCCCTCAGTTCCCCAACCACTTCATGGCTCCCATGCCATCCTATTTGGACTCTCCGCCACAACAGTATATTCCTCCTGCTTCGGCCTCGAGTGCCTTCATGGATAGCTTTTACCGCCCCGAGTTCAGGCACCCGACTCCGCACTCTCCGACTCCTTTGTCGCCGTCTTCAGCAGGCAACGGGCATCGGGTGAGCAAAGCCAAGAAGGGAAAGCGAGTTCATGCCTGCGAATACCCGGGATGCAATAAGGTTTGTGAACATCCCTTACCGTTCCATAGCCCTAGAGTTTTCTAACCCAGGATAGATCTTTACACGCGCAGAGCACCAACGACGACACGAGACGAGTCACAAGAACAAGAAATCTTATAGCTGCACATATGTGGGGTGCCACAAATCATTCCACCGCGCCGATTATTTGGCCCAGCATCTCAGACGACAGTGAGCTAACCCCCATTTCGCAAACCAGAACTTGGAGACTGACTATATTACCTAGCAGCAGCGGCGGGCATCATTCGCCGAAGATAAAGACCCCTTCGGTGATCAAAACGGAACCTGCGTCATATTCTCCATCGACCCCTCCGATGTCACAGTCCTATTCAACAAAGTCCGGAATTGCACCTGCCTCACAATCCGTTGAGAATAATAGTGCCGGGGCATCAAGAACCCTTGAGCCTCAAGTGCCTTGCTCTCAGTGCTTCAACTGCCAAAACAGCCAACTTTGTGAAGACCAAAGCGCGTACATCAACAGCTATATAAACGGGATGGATCATAGCCCCGAGTCCTCTGTCTCGAGTGCCTCTGGGCTTCTTGCAACGCATTCTTCCCATCCATCGTTCGTCCAGCCAGGGATTGATTCGGTCATCGAACAGTACATGAGAAGCATTTTGAGACCGGAAGCGTTCATTACTCCCCCACAATCTCTGTCTCCACCGCTACAAGCGCAGGAGCCGATGGACTCCTCTTTCTGGGACTCCAATATTGATCCTAACCTGCCTTCCCTGAACCCCGGGGTAAGCGATCCCCTATCATCGAGTTCTCAAATTAGCTCCATGAAAGGAGCATGCCACTGACTCGCATAAAGGTCTTCAATAATCCAGCTCCGTATTCTGAATGGTCCACTGCCAATGATAACCTGTCGCCCAGTGTGCAGACACATCGGACGGGAAGCTCGCCAGACCACAAAGCGAGTTCTTGACACGGACATGGTGTGATCATTTTTCCATTTAAGCTTAGCGCCTCCTGTGGCCTTTCCCTAGGCCACCATCAATATTTGTGCTCCTTGTCACTTTCTTCTCTTTCCCGTCTTTAGTTTACGTGATTCACGATCGATGGCCGAGCATTATACCCTATTAGATTGCTTTCAGTTCCTGTCTATATTTTGAGTATCTCATTGCCGAACTAGGGGGTACAGTGAAATGATAAATTTGATTAAGAAAAATTGCTGAATCAGACAACCCCTCCCAACTTTTCAAGTCGGCAAGGCTGCCGCGGGGCTTCAAATCTCCACCTATTTAGTCAGATATGTCCCAAACAGGAAGATGAGACGAGTAAGTCAATTCTCGAGGTCAAATAGCTTCCCCCTCGGTAAGTTTCAGCATCTCCACGGATGGATTAATAGACACGAAGTAAATGTACATCATTCGCTGGCTTGTTGGATACAGTCTAGTCAATCTCCACGATCGGACCGTTGTACACCTTTCTCGCCCGAAGAAAGTAGTATATCAGGCTGAGGAGAATCACGCCTAATGTTCCCACTACACTAAAGTTCATTGTTTGAACCGTCACAACCCATGATGGAGGCCAGAAGCTGAAGAAAACAGCAATGGTCATATAGATCAGGGCAAAAGTATTGACCAAAATGCCCCAGATGCCTGGCAGGTGAAATGGGCCCCAAACGAGCTTCGCACCGACAGTGTTCACAACAGCGGTGTCGCTGCTTCGAGCATTGCTGATGCCACCCGTGCAACGACGGTATAGGAGGAGACCAGCGACCATCATGTATGAAAGATAAAGACCGGAAACTGACATAGCCACTAAGTCGTTGAAGGCAACCGATGACCCGAGAGGGATGAGGGCAAGGAGACACACAACACAAGTTGTCAGAAGGACCGAGTAGATAGGAACCGCGGTACCACCATGAACCTAGCAAGTATTAGCAAGAAGCATGTCCTGGAGCACAAGATCATGGACTAGTAATCACGTACTCGACTCCAAATTCGCCAGCCTGGAATGCCGCGGTCGCGAGCAAAAGACCAAAACTGGCGGGAGGCCGAAGCCAGCATTCCAACAGAGGTAGTGATACCCATGGTAGTAACAATAGAGCACATCACCGCGGTACCGGGGACAGAGCCGGTGGCTTGCAAGAAGATTGTCATGAATGGGTAGCCAGTGGGGGCGTCGAGGGCCTGTCCAATATCTCCCATGCAGAAGAGCATGGCCAACAGCATGCCAAACCCTAGGGACCCGTTGATCAGGACACTAAGCATGATTGATGTAGGAACGGCTGTTGCTGCATTAGTGATTTCTTCGGACATCTAGCGGAAAGACAGAGTGTCAGTACTACTTCTGAAAAAGACCTGGCTGTTATAAAGGCTGTACATACATGCACTGCGGCATCCCCGCCAGCAAAGGCGAATATACAGCCAACCATGCCAACAAAGAATGAAAGCCCCTGGGAGGGGAATCCGCCCATGTTCAGGAACTGAGTAAAAACCTCCTTTGCGGATCCATGGTCGGCCATGTAAGTTAGAGGAATCAAGATCGCGAAGAAACCGAGAATGTGAAGAATGAGAATGAATCCCTCAAATCTCGGTAGTAACTTGCCGCCGACCGAGTTGATCCCGACTGAAAATGCTGCAACAGCCCAGAATAGCAATGTCGCATGCCAGTTCTTTGGTTGGTAGCTATTTTGTGTGAGCACGATCAGTCCCTGGATGAGAGTTCCACACAAATAGCACGAGGTTGCATATGTCGCTTGCCACCCAATAACGGTGAGCCAACCTAGAAGCATTTTAGTGATTGCGATGATCAAATTTGCTCTCCGGCGATCACATACCAGTTAGATAGCTAAAGAGCTTCATCATGGAGCGCGGGGCAAGCATCGAGCACCAGTGGTACTGACCACCCGAAGTAGGAGCCCTTTGGGTTGATTAGTCCAGTCCGAAATTTAGCGAGGCGAAATTTGAAATAAGATCATACATCGAGGCTAACTCCGAAAGAACCACGAAGGTCGATGCAACGCCGATCCAGACGAAGATAAAGCCGTAGATCGCACCGGCTGGACCACCACTATGCAACAACCATCAGCTTCACGAACCAGTAGCGTAGGATCCAACAGAGTCTCGTACTTTGCATAAGCCTGCAAAAATAACCTGTCGCCGAAATCTTGTCAGTAATGGCCGTCAAAGGTATCGGTCGCAATGAGTTCCTACACGACAATTCCCTCCCAAGTAATCAGAATAGTACAACTGAACCCCAGCATGGACATCAACCCAAAGTTTCGCTTTTCCAAGTTAGCCAATCGTGAATTCTATATTCCAGGGGTAATACGTCAACGGTATTTCCGTACCTTCAGCACTGGTCGCTTGCCCATGCGTGCCAGGTTGGCGTCGTCAAGCTCCTTGCTCGAGGGGGTATCAATCTCATGCATACCCGTCGTGCTCAGGTGCTTCATCTGATGAGAAGGCATATTGAACATAGCTGGAAGAGAGTTAAAGAGGAAAAAGCACGCAGAGGATGACAAGGGGACTGTATTTGTTTTGTCTCGGCGGTGGCAGAGAAGCTAATGCAGCCAGCTGTGGACAATCGTATGGTTGGATACTTCCTTAGATTGATCCACTCTCACTAGTTCAGTAAGTACACAAGTCAATACAAACAAATAGTTAGTTACAGTCTACCAAGACCCCCTAAAGCGGACTTGTAGAAGCGACCGAAAGCGATATTTCATCTTTCAAGCGCAGCGTCGCGTCTTTCGGGTAGCCGCTGCAAAAGCGGAGCAATCTTGCAAGGCGTAGTGAAGTACCGTCGGCCATTCTAACATTCCGTCTGAAGTCTGGAACATTCTGACCTGAAAGTCCCTCGCCACCGATGGTTAGCGACCAGGCCATCCCTGAGTCTAAACCTTAGTTTCTCTTGTGTTACAGCACTAAATCCTGGCTCCACTCTCGGTTGACCTCGCGAGTTCATAAAGTTTGTGCCGGAGAACTTTGGGGCTGGGCAATGGAGCCACTATACTTCACTGAGTAGGTGGTATTTCTTTTCTTTTTCTAACTTGTTCCTACGGTTGTTTTGTTTCAGCGCCGCCTCCCTCCGTTTAACATGAACTACCACGTTCCATTATCCACACTCTGACACCCCCGTTTTATAGATGCTCATTACGTACAATAATCCACCACCACCCCCTCCCAAAGAAAAGAAAGAAATTCAGTCACAATATATGCACCGTATACAATACTAGACCCGTTGAGTTTCCGTTACGGTCCATGTTCGGATTTCGCGAATAATTTGCGACTGGCTCGTCTGGCTTTCTGCGTCACAGTCTGGTGAAGAAGTGACGAAGGTCCGGTTGACGGCTTCCTCCGGCATTGTAACCAACTCGTGTGTCTCGCTTGGAGTCTCTCCGGTACGCTGGCCCCGAGAAATTTTATAGGAAGTCCCAGCATATGTCCTCTGTTGGCTCCCATAGCTCGTTCCTCCGAGGCTCATCCCTGATGACCGGAGACTATCGAGGAATGGCTTGAACTGGGGAGAGCAGGCGGTGATAATGCTGAGACTCTGGGTCATCTGTGTGGAAATGGTCACGGTCCATGTATCCCATGTTGGATCTCCTGACCCTTTCGCCTCCTCGGCGTAGGCGAGTTGGCAAATAATGGCAATTGTCACGCTGTGTGAACTTGATCAGTCGAAGAATGAGCCAAGGAAGGATGCAATCCACATACACGACCCGGAATAGAAAAACACTGGCTAGAACGACCTTCTTGTGGATATTTGCTTGAACCCGAATAATGACCAGCAGCGCCTGGACAATAATCCCTGCCTCCGATACGATGTTGGTGACTCCAAGGTAGTTCCACCAAACCACCTGAAATTCTGTGAGCAAAACCCGGAATAACATGTTAGAGCACCACACACCAAATCAAAACATTCCCCGTATAAGTAATCCCAAGTGGCCGGAACCTGGCATTGAAAGGATGCCGTGAAGATTCCTGTAACCGCCCACATAGTGATAAATATTCCCAGCCCAAGAGCAAACCAGCGGTCGAGAGACGCAGGCGTCAAGTTGCGGATAAACATCATCAGGGCGAGTTTGGAACAGCACATGCTGGCGACAAAGAGGATATTTGCGGCATATTGAGACTAGACATAGATACTTCTTGATTAGCAGACTTTTCGGCACATTTGAATTGTTATGGAGTTCCCTGAGAGCATTCAGATCTTACCTTCATCATATTTTCCACATCGGATACAGCTAATGGGACAAAATGCTGCCCAAGTCCACCCTCAGTAGCCATGGATACCGCAATTGACTGCCCGACACAAGTCACTAGAGAACCAATACTAAGGCCATCGTCGACTGTTAATTTGCGAAAGATCCAGTACTTGGTGCCAAGTCGAGTGAAGACGCTCAGAATGGCAGTCACCAGCATGAACCATGTTAGCACATTTATGGCGGGAGTCCAGGTTTCCCGCAACTCTGGCTTCATGGCGCCTAGTGTTCAGAAGAAAAATTGAGGAGGTAATAGTTATAGTATGAGTGCTTTTACCGAGGAGAATGTAGAAAGTCAAAGCCTTGATAGGCTGAGTATGTTTCTCTTTGCATTGCACTTGGCGTTTCTCGGACAGAACCTTGAGTTTTGGGGGGTTGTGGTCTTGCAAGATTGTAACTAGTCGCCATTACAGCGGCTCTATGTACTGTAATCACGCTCCATGCGGTGACTTACAGCTAGCTCATTCAGCAAACCCGGCGTTCCGGTGGTTAGTTCAAGATGTGACCACACGCGCAGCGCAGCGTCCGGTGGGCCAACTGGGGCCATCGGAACCGCGCAGCGTGTTCCTGGGCGCAAAGGCTGCTCTATTATTGAACCTTATGATTGGCGTGGCCCTATCTACCGGGCCGAGCCCGGACGATCGATCCCTGCTATTACCACAGATGGTCCGCTAATTTCTGATCCCTGTCTATTCTAGCCTTTTCCCACAGTGCTAGCCCGGTGTTTCCTTATTTGCGACAGGGGTGCGATATTTGTCTCAGTGGACCCGGTCTTTGCAGCTACTAATCACCTTCTAGAATTCAATGTTGGCGACTTTTCCAAGCATGTGAAGTGGATACTCGGACCTTTGATGTGCAGCGAAACCCCGACAAAAATAATTTTTTTAGTTGTTCTGGACTAGCCGGGGCCGGAGAGTCTTAGCCACAGTTGTGTCTGCGAGGTATGCTGCGACTTTTTAAAATCTGGATTGGCCATACAGCCAATCTTACGATGACACAGGGGCACTAATGATTTGGTATTTGAGTAAGAGTGGAAACGGCTTAAGCAAAAGCAATGTACCAAGGAAATATTACTGCATGCCTTTGTGTTGCATCAATCTGATTGTTTATTGTACTCGCGAGGTTGCTGTTTCATTGCGATCCATGGGGGCCAAACCTTCACTCTCGAATAATTGCAAGCCAAGACCATACTTTTCCTTCTTTGTCACTTCTTCATACGCAAGGGTCTGAACCCTAGTCAATCGTGCACAGAAGATTGGTTGTCATGAGATGATATTCTGGAAAACATCACTGACTGCCTTGCTCGAAGAAGGTAGGCCCCCATAACATCGACTGCTGGTCCACTCCAAGTCGAGTGCCACTCGTGTAAACTTGATCGAAAACATGGCCACTGTGGCGTCCTGCTATTACCTGAGCATTACTTGCTGAGTTACAAGCAAGACTACCCCGTTTCAGAGGTAAAATCTCTATTAGGAAAGTGGTACTCAGGTAGGTGTAAGACTGTTCCTTGCCTGAACAGACTTAAAGTTTAGGGCTTGCAACTATTGAGAATGAGATAATGTTTGGCTCTTGTTCGATCCTAGGTTCTACCTTAGTTGAAGAATGACTATCCGGATATTCGGCCCGTATATATATGTCTGAATGTTCCTCAACCACACTAGTTCTGGGAATATAATGTCGCGAAGCATCTCCACTGTGTATGCCAACATCGTGTTCTCTCAGGTGGTATACCGGTAGTTAGGATGACACTTCCACTTCGTTGCCAAGTCATGACATTCTGAGCCTTCCAGAACAGGGTCCCGACCCGCTGCGATATCTGCATCCGTGGCGTTTTCCAGTCGGCGATTCCGCCGCCTCAAAGTGAAGTGCAACACGGTGGCCATCATAATACACATCCCCGAGAACGCTACGTTAGCCACATTTGCTTGCCAGTATCTTGGACCTTCCGTAGAAGGATAGAAGTAGCTGGCATAAATCGAGGCGAAGTTGGAACCAGCATTTACCACTGCATAAGCAACGGCACGTTTCGACCGAGGACGTGGCAACGAGGTGGACACCCATGAAAGAATGCACCCGAAGGACCCATAGATCGACATCATCATGAAGGTTGCAATGTATCGTGCCGGCACATTCAAGGTCACCGCGCTGATGATAAATCCGATACTACTGAAGACCTGCGGCCACACAACGTGAAGCCATCGCTCACTGACGCGGTCGCTGTGCAAGGAATTGGAAACACTAAGGATCGCTGCGAAGATGTATGGTGGTGCAGACAAAAGTAAAGTATTAGTAGTTCCGTAGCCCAGGGTTTTTACGATGGTTGGAAAGAAGTTGGTGAAAGAGGCGGCAGTGTTTAGCCCCAGTTGCATAAGCCAGATGATATAGAGTACCGGATCGGTGAATGCAAGTCGTAGACCCTCCCATTTACTCCGTGTCTCATCATGATCGCTCTCATTTGCCTCCTCTGCGAGGCGAGCAATGGCCAGAGTCCGTTCCTCGTCGGTAAGCCACTTGGTGGTTGCTGGGTAATCTGGCAGGATGAACATTGCCAGAACCGCGATGGGGAATGTTGCGGCACCCTCGATAATAACTGCCAGGTAAGGGAACTGTCAGTGTGCAAATACTGGTCGAACGGGCATTGGTATCTCCTACAGAGCCATCTCCACGCTGGCAGGCCTGCCTTTCCGTTCATTCCCGACATGATCGCACTACCGAGCAGACCACCGAATGCGCCTGATAATTGGGCAGCTACATAGAGAATGGAGATTCGGGCCGCAAGTTCCTTTTTAGTGTACCAGGACGAGAAGAGGAAAAGGGCCCCAGCTTCAGGAACGTCAGACACCACGGTTGAAGTTTGCACTTGCATATTGCCAGGTACTTACGGAAGAACGGAGCTTCAACAAAACCAAGAACGAAGCGCAAGCCAAGGAGCCCGTGGTAGCTCTGTACTGCACCAGTACACGTGCTGACAACCGCCCAGCAGCACATCACAGCGGGCTAGCAAAAGATATTAGAAAATAAAGAATCAGAAATTGGGACCTTTTTGTACTTACTAAAAATAGTGATGGTCTCATCTTGTTTAGGATCATGTTGGTTGGGATCTGGGTCACGATATATCCCACGAAGAATAAACCTGGTCGCAATTAGCCCTTCAAAGGACACTCTTATAATTCTGACGTTCACGTAGAGCCTAACTGATAACGGTGTTGTATTGTTTGCCATGTAGCCCAAGGTCTTTCTCCAGAGTGCCCAGGCGAGCAGTCGCAATGTTGTTTCGATCCAGGTAATTCAAAACATCTTTGGAAACAAATGATTAGCCTTAGATTCAACTGAAAAGTGACTTGTCCGACCCCATACAAATCAACATCATCAAAGGAAGTAGACGCGTATCGAGTTTCCGAACCAACTTCTTCTCGAGCTCATCTCGGTTCTCAATAGTCAAGTTGGCTATCTCTATCTCTGAAAGATCCTTCTCATTCTTTTGAGAAGTCTCCACCTCCTCGGCTGCTACATGGTCATCGTCATCTTTACAATCACGATTCTTCTCCATACTGATGGTGAATGTATGGCACAGACTAAGAGGCGCAATGTTCCAAAAGGATGCAAAGAAACTCCGGCGACGTAGAATCACGCTCGCTTGGTCGGCAGAAAGGCTTGGGGGAAACACAAGATACCCCACGGGGAAGATCAGCCATTTAGTACTCACAAGAGCATGCGGATTTCCCCACACGAAGTCACTTCCAACCCATGGGGTCGGATCTGTTCCTCAGATCTTTCTTGGCTGGGAAACACTGCTTGACTACTTCGGGGCGCTTCCCGAGCCGTCCTTCGGCGCCGTCGGCTGTTTACCGAAAGCGGATCGGCCCTCATGCAGTACCTCGTGACCAGAGCAGCGAAGTGACTCCAGCGTTGGAGGCTAAGGCTGGAAATCCTCGTGATGGTACTTGATTCTCGCACTGATTTTCACGAAAGATTACGAAGGCGGGAAACGGCTACCTCCATCAAAGTATATATCTCCGTTATCATTATCAACAATTGACCGTCAATAGACAATGGGGTCTTCAAAGGCTAAAATGGACGTTACCGGACCATAAACTGGAGTATGCGAGAATAATTCTATAAAAAAAAAGGAAAGGAACGAAAACGGTCGGTGTATCTGTTTATGATCTAACTCCTCCATGGACGCGAACGTTATGAACTCCGCTATTCAAACAATGTACTGTGGATTACAGCTGGAAGGCTCCAACAACAAAAGCAACCATGGAGGCCACAATCACAGAGGAGTACAGCGAGATGGAGCCAGCAGCAGAAACGCTAGCAGAAGAAGACGCGCTGGCACTGGCGCTGGCGCTGGACGACGACGCCTTGGAAGACGACGAGCTGGAAGCGGCCTTGACAGAGCTTGAGGAGGATGCCAAGTTGGTCGCAGTGGTACCGTTGGTGGCCTTGATGCTGGTGTAGGCACCGGTCTTGTCGGTATACTTGTACGCCGCTGCCGGGTTGTAGTTGGTGACTTTGACGGACTCAACGTACATAGTGAAGGGACCGGCAGTGTAGTCGGTCTCGCCACCAGCCCACTCAATGGTGCCCTCGGAGTTGTCAGGGTCACCGCCGGCCCAGATACCGATCTTGATGCGCATGGGGGTCTGAGGGTAGTTCTTGCCGTTCAGTGCATCGGCGTACTCGAGGGTGCGGACAACATCACCATCCAGCAGCCATTCAATACGGCTGGAGGTCCAATCGACAGTGTAAGTATGGAAGGTCTCTTCCGGTGTGGTGACATTCACGGTGGTGCCACGGTCGTAGGAAGTAGTGTTGCCCTTGCCGAAGTAGTCGGTCTGGACGGAATAGTCGTATGTGCTGATTTGCTCCTGGATCAGGCGTTAGGAATTGTGGAAGTGCACACATCCTGTATGAAGCTTACCCAGTCAATCTCGTCCAGGTCATCGGACTCCAGCACGGTAGTACTGATGATACCGGTGCCATTGGCGGCTCTCATCTTAACCTCGACGCGACCGAAAAAGATGTAGAAGTCACTTTCAATGGTGGGAGCATCACCCTCCTCGGAGATAGTGAACTTGGCACCGAGCGAAGTACTCTCGACGGTTCCTGACGTAGTGTTCCACTTGCTAAAGGCCGATGAGCCAGAAGTGAAGTCCGTATTGAATTGCCACTTGGCCAGACCGGTATCGGCAGGGCATGTCTCTATATACACATCCGCTTAGATCTCGTTATTTCTCACAGCTCCATGGGGGGAATGACTGACTCTTCAGCGGGTTACAGCTGGTGTAGGTCTGGGCAGCACCGAGCTGAGCCGTGGCCAGAGTGACCGCGGCCCACTTCATGTAGGAGGAAATGGCCATTGGGGGTGAGGTGGAATGCAATGAGGTTCAAGTTCGACACAGAGATGCTTTTCGACCGACGGGGACTCCCAGATATATGAAACGAGTGGAGGAGAAAAGGAAGCTGCGGCCTATATTGTAGAACCAAGCGAGTGTCTGCGATTGTGGCCGCGAGAGCAACACCCAATCCGTCTATTTATACTCACTGGGTCCATTTGCCGCGAACCAGGTACGCCATTGTCCCTCAGCCTTCGAGCATCATCTCCTCCGACCAAGAGGATAAGTCCGGTGGTCGAAGCAGTATGAGGTAGTGATTGGCTTAGGAGCGGCCATTGTGGGGGAATTCATCGAAACGACGGTGTACAAATGCATGGACGCGCAGGTCAGATTAGTCGATGGTGGCTCCACCGAAAAAGCTTGGGTCGGTTGATGACGGCAGCGCTTGCGTGGTTGAGCCTGACTACGGCGGATCTAGCCGGCGGGCTACGTATGTCCGTCGGAAAGTTTTCCCCTGTTCTGGCACTCTTCACCGAGCTCTATAAAGCCGACCGACGAGGATGTGTTGTTTGCGCTGACAACAAAAACAAACAGCATCCACCAGGTCCAGCGTGGAATTGGACAGTAACCGGGACTCTCATAAGATCAAGTGTGGGTGGTGCTTCGCTATTAGTTCCCGCAGTTCCTTGCCGACGTCCAATCTTCGGATTGGAACGACCCACTTGCCACGACTACTGTTCAGCCCTGCCTTGGTGGTCGAAAAATGAACACCAATCTTGATTTATCTTCCTCTGGTCCGTTTTTATTTAATTTTTTTTTTTCTAAGAAAAATAGGGCCTACCGTAAAGATCTATCCTACCGCCCCATACATGCTGAATTCTTTAGCGCGGGGACACTCGCGGTCAGTTCGCAACACAACCCTCATAACCCAATGTCATGAGACAGCAAACGGCGTGGATCCTATTGTTATTTATGGAATATGGAGACATGCTTTTTTCTCATTGTGTAGGGCGAAGATTCGTGTATTTCCCTTGATGATGTTTCTTTCTCTCTTTTCCGTTCACCACGAAACATCACACATGAACCCGCCCTGCTCTCTGTACAATTAATCATGTGGTAATCGGTGCCCATGGTCAAGGTTATTTCTTGACCATCATGCTTCATGCATTCCTATAGATACGCAGAACACTTCTGTCAGTAATGACTTGCTCCATTTTCTCAAGATCTTGGTATTTCGGTACTCCACGTTGCCCTTGCATTCCGGGAGATTCTATCCAAGGTGATCGTGTCCAAATAGTTTCATCCAGTGTAGCCAACCACATTACTCCACATGCCCGTCACCTCAAGGGGCCACGTAAACACCTCTCTTTCTATTCAGCCACGACACCGGACCTGACAACCTAGGATTTGAAGCCATCTTCTTCTTCTTCGATGATAGAGTTTGTTCGATCAATCAACGGCCCAACCCCGTCTGCCGATTGGCCGGATTTCTTCGCGGCCTTTTTCAAGCTGTCCTCGAATTCTCTCCGGACACCCAGGACAAGCTCAATATGGTTAAGCTGAAGTGGTTTGTTTTCAAATCGAGCAATTGTTCGCGCGGTATTGATGGTATTGGAAATCTCTCGGCCATTGAGTTTTACTGCCACGAAGTGATCAATTGCATCATCGAGGTCTACATCCGTATCCTTTGGAGGAATAGTGCTCAGAATCTGCTGCCAAATTTGCTGACGTGTTTCAATTCCTGGTGGTGAGTATTCGAGAGCAAGATGGATCCGAGACTTCATTGCTCGGTCAAACGATCTGATGCGATTGGTGGTGAGAAATACAACACCGCTGAAGTATTCCAGTTCTTTGAGGAAGACTAAGGCGGTGATATGTCAGAAGGGATGTGTATCAAGCTGGAAAGTGATAACCCACCAGCTACAAGGGCGTTCCGGGTGTTATTATCGCCGTGGTCGTCTCGAGCCTCCAGAAACACGTCCGCCTCATCCATCAGGACGACTGCCTTCCATATGGTGGCATAGCGCAGAATGAGTCGCAGACGGGCTTCAAAGGCCCAGGTGCTAAAAGGTATATGTTACTGGAATTCATCGCCAGCGGGAAGGAAGGCTTGGCTGTACCTGTCTTCCTTATTGAGTTCCCCGAGTGAGGTCATGATTAAGGCTTTCTGGGTTCCTTCCGCCGCAGTTTCTGCAGTCAATGTCTTGCCCGATCCAGGGGTCCCGTAAAGAAGAACAACCAGGCCCTTCCCCTTTTGCCGCATTTGATCGCGGGCATCTTCGGGGTAAGCATGAGAAGTGACCAGAGACTGAAGAACCAGTTTTGGTCGACCACCAACAATCAACGAATCCCAGACATCCTTCTCCCATCTCACTTCCGTAAGGCAATCAACTAAGAAACGAGCCCATTCCTTTCTAGCTATTGAGAACCCATACTGATATGGAGGGCATAGTAGTGGGTCTGTCTCTTGTACTTGGACATTTACCCCATTCGCAATTTGTTCCTCTTGGTAGGTTTTCCGGTCCACAATGACTCTGCCTAGCTCCGTATATGGCAGCCACACACCCGGCCAATCGGCCATGAATGGATCATAGATGCGGTGGTAAGGCTCCTTGAGGTACTTGGCCGGCCCGTCGTATGCCTTGATCGACATCCCTTGGAGAAGAAGAAATCTCCGACCACGCTCGATTAGTCGCTCTTCTAGACGGTCATGACCCTTGACAAACTCCCGAGGATAAACAGGAAGCTCAGTAATGACCGCGGGGTTTTCTGCACCGAAAGCCTCTTTTTGGTAAATCTTAAAGACCTGTTTAGCCTGCCCTGCCACTGTACCATTATGATCCGAGAATATGCAATGAACTTCCAAATAGGGACCTCGTTTCACATTTTCCTCATAGGCAGTTTTTTGGCATCGCAATAGCCACGGATGCCCCATGAATGAAGTGTAGACTAAATCTCCGGGGCGGAAGATGCACCATGCAGCCGTAAAAGTGATTTGATTCTTCCGGATCATGCCGCGGATGCGGTCTCTCTCTTGGCCAAGCTCGTTGTTCATGAAATCGAACAACAGGTTAAGATGCATTCGCTCTTGGGCATCTTGAGTCTGCTGCCGCTGCTCGTCCAAGTCTCCCCAATGATGGAATAGGATTTGGAACGGACTGTCAAGTTGGAACGGGTCCTGGAAATCCGCAGGGACAGTTGGGTAGGAGCCGATCACTTCTCGGAAGACCTTGAGAAGGCGACCGGAATTGATTTGCAAGGTCGTCTTCTCGAGCTGGCTCTTCTCACCGAAGTATCGATTAATGACCAGGGCATAGGGGTGGTCTTGGTCGTCCAGTGACAGATCCTCGAAGGGTTTGGAAAGGACTTCGACAGCGCGTTTTCCGTCTTTCTTTGTATTATGGCGGTACACCTTGAACTCGCATTTCTCGCCAATCAGCTGGCGGTCGGCGTCGGTATCCATTTGGATGCTATGGGAGGCTTTCAGTTCTTTTGGCAGTATACAAGGGGTCAGCCCTAGTGACGGAGTCTTCTGGGATGGAATCCGGAACCCTCTCGGGGCGCTGAGGCCTTTATAGGCGAGATCAGAGCCTCGGCCGGCATTTGGGGCTCAACAGCCCGACGAAGGCTGCAGCACAGCCATGCTTAGGCTGCAATCGCATGGCCGTCTGATCAGCAGCGGGTATACGAGCACGCCAGTCATGCTCTCTGATTCCGTCCAAACAAGCTTCCTGCATGATTAGCGCGCTTAGGCCGTTCGGCCTCAAACCAGCTCACCATGTTCCCTGCGAACGGTGACAATACTTATCTAGAGCGCATCGCCAGGCCGTCCTGCTGCAGGAGTGTCGCCCATGGTAACCACCAGCATCTCTGTATGGGGTCTTTATGAGCAAATATGAACACGCGTGTTCGCTGGTGACTGAACGTCTGATTATCTGATTCCGCGCCTGCTGAGGCTGAGAGAACTGAGAACTCGCAGCCACATTTAAACGACAGCCTTACCCCTCACCTAAACGACATTGCACATCTCACCAGAGCGGCCAGTCACAAATGTCGTCCTGTTCGGCAGCCCGCGGCCCTTTGGCTGAGGCTATCGATGAGTTTCTCGAAGAACTGAAGAGTCGCGATCGGAAGGGTCGGTTCTATCATGAAGTACTAAACTCGCGGGCCGTCATGGCGGCCGCAACAAATCAAAAGGGAGTGAACGCCTGCGCTGGGGAGTTGCTGGATTTTGTGAAACAACTTGAGCAACGAAAACAGGCATCAAAGACAGTCAGAGTCCTCGGAGCGATCGGTCCTTTCATCGATGGAATGCAGAACATGATGACAGCTTGCCAGACGATGATACAAGCAAGCCCTTTCGCAGTGGGGGTAGTGTTTGCTGGTGCGCAAATCGTCCTCGGGGTCAGTCTGGAATGCATCATTTACTATCTCCTGCTCAATCTAACCTTCACCTAGTTGGCCCAAAATGTGAGTAAAGCGTTCGATATAGTTATCGAAGCCATGGTCGAAACCGGCGCTTCTCTTAAGTGCTATGCCAAGTTTGCAGTCGCATATGAAACCTGTAATGAGGTTCGTGAGCGGCTAGTGGCCTCATACAAGACGATCGTGAGTTTCTGGGCCACGGCAACGAAACTTCTTGACCAAAACTGTACGCGTTCCCTGGAATTCTTCTTCTGGTTGGTCGCTAATGCTATACAGACCTTATCGGTACCATCAAGAACATCTTCCGCCCTTTGGTGGCCGAGATGCAGGGCACCGTGGACTCTTTGCGTCGGGACTGTGCTAGAGTGGAAGCGATAGCCCAAGCCGAAGAAGCCGTACGAGCGAACGAGGATAGGAAACGTGCAAGAGCGGAGCAAGAAGGTAATACCTGGCCCCAATATTCAACAAAGTCGGGCAAAGAAAAATATTAACTTATGCATGGGACCTGCAGAGAAGCTGAAAAACGGCATTCGCGACTGGATCGCCGCAGGGGATGACCTCGAAGTCCGATGCGACCTTCAAATGCATTCCGAACGTCGGCACGGAACGACGTGCGCCTGGATATTTGAAGACGAAAAGTTTCAGCACTGGCGTGACAGTACTTCAGATCCTGTTCTCTGGTACAATGCACCTCCAGGGTCTGGAAAGACTGTTCTCTCGTCCGCCGTGGTCAAGCATCTAACCGAGAGAGGTCTGCCCATGGCATACTTTTTCTACTCCTTTAGCGATTTTACCAAACGCAAACCTCTATCAGGTCCGAAGGCACTTGCGCTTCAACTAATGAACATCCTCAAAACCGGCATCCCGGACAGAGTCATTGATCTCTACCGAGAAGAGATTACGAAGAACATGAGACACATGCGCCTACGAGACCACGCGATCGAAGTCTTACATGAATACCTGAAGCAATGCCCTCTCGTGTACATTGTTGTGGATGGATTGGACGAAAGCCTTGATGATGAGAATATGCGATATATACTCAGTTCAATTGTCCGTGCTCCGGTATACGGAACGGTGAAGTGGTTCTTCACTAGTCGGAACGAGGGGCAGATCCAAGGCATAATGAAAAACTTGAATGCAGTTTTCCTGTCCCCCACACCCTCTACACTTGCGGCCGAGATCAAACTGTTTTTGACTAGTGGCTTGCAGCCAATCGCCAAATCTTTGGAACACGTCGATGACTATGTTGAGTACAGCGAAGGGAGCTTTCTTTACTCCAAGTTTTTACTGGATACTTTACGCGGAAAAGGCGTCACATGCGACAGAGACATCCAGGAAGCCCTTCATGGATTTCCCCAGGGTTTGACAGGATATTATATGCGCAGTCTGCTGAGGTTGGCTTACCGGAGTCCGCCCGAGCGCGATCTTGTGAGGTACGATCCACCACCATTTAGCACCGCTGGGTGAAGCTAAACTTCTTGTAGGCGACTTTTCACCATTCTTGTCACTGCCGTTCAGTCCGTCACCTGGAATGAACTTTGCAATGCCCTAGCAATTCGACCCGGTGCTCAGGATTACTCTATCGATTCTGTGCCGCAGGAGAACGTGATACATGGCCTATGTGGCTCCCTGTTACTTTTTGATCGCTCTTCCGAAGAGTCCAAGAACAATCCGCGGGTGAAACTATTCCACAAAACCATCCAGGACTTCTTGCTGGAAGATCCTCAAAATTTACCAATCGACAAGTCATTCAGCGACGTTGAGGAGTTCACACTCGCTGAGATGAAGAAACTTTTCATCGACCCTACGGTGGCCTCTGTCCAAGTTGGCCGTAACTGTATGACACTTCTGCAATATCGCCGCTATAAATCATTTTCAGAAGCCAAAGCAATCCTGGATGATACTAACACTGAAAATGCATTCTTGAAATATGCCGCAGCGTTCTGGTTTTTGCACTTGATATGTGACGAAAACCATTCGAAAGAGGCTTTCGAAGAGGTGCGGAAATTCATGGAGAGCCCAAACTTCTGGACCTGTGTCGCTGTTCAGAGTTACGTTGTCCCTTACAACTTTGGCCGATATGCACAAGCTGGACCGACGGAGTACAAGATGGGAGTCCGGCGAGCGGATTGGAGCAAAGATGATTGCTTTGCGGTTCCTCTTCCCAATTGGCTGGGGCAGTATCCTCCATATGGACCTCAGCTGGACATGGATTTCTGCTCTTTTGTGAGTGATTGGCATGAGGTTCTTGCTTCGCGACCTGGCACATTGGGCGACTGCGTTCCACTGAGTACCATGAAATCGAGGATTGGTGATCATCTCCACCGGTCGGAGCGAATCAAAGTCTGGAGATCGAATGAAAAGATGGACCTCAAGGATATTGAGCAACTGCAGGTCACTTCCATGTCTCTTTCCGCTGGCAAACTGTTCGCCGAGCTAATTTGCAAGGAGCGGTTGGATCCTCCAGGGCGTATTCACTATCACCGTGTTTCCGTCTTTTCCAAAGGTACGAAGATCCATAGCAGCTTTGACACCGGGTCCCAGCTCGTGGATCTCGCAACCACTGAGACAGACTTCCAAGTCCTTGGCAGCGGCTCCCAAACCCAAGTACTAGAATTTGACGGGTCTCATCTTCAACTCAAGCGAACCGTGAATGATCTGTCCCAAACCTTTTCCGCTCCAAATTCCTGGAAACCAGGAACTTCGTCCCAAGCCTGGCGTGTTCAATGGAAGAACAGTCAAACAGTGCCCCACGGGAAGCTTGTTCTTTTCCATGTTGTTCAAGAGACTGCCAAGAGAGGCAAAACACAAGATGATGACACCGACTCTGACTCCTCTGATTCGGAGTCGGATTCGGATTCAGACTCGAGCTCTTACCCAGAGTTGAAGACTGACTCCGACACAACCGCTCACTATGATTCCGGGTACGACGACGGCCCCCCCGCAAGAACTCAGCGTCGGGCCATGGAAAAGGCACCGACCGACTGTGTGATTCTTGTTTGGGAATCATCCCAACCTTTATGGATTCCAGTGGCTTTGGATCAAAGGGTCCGCCAGGGAATTCCATTTGCGATGCACCCTTACTTGCCGATTGTCACCCTGAACTGTCTTAATGGACAGACCTTAATTGCCAATCTTGATACCGGCGTCTGGCATAATGAATATCACCAACCCGCCCTGAATGACGACAAGTTCCCTCTTGTCTGTCAAGGTGAGTCCACTGAACTGGCTGCCTTGCCACTATGGCTTTCTTTTCCCGTCCACTGACCTCGATCTCGCCAGAACTTCACTTTTCTTCGTGCGGACAGCTCCTGCACACCTTGCAAGCATCCTTCAGAGAACAACCGAATGATACAGAGTGCCAATTATCTCTTTCAACGAGTCGCTTCATTGCGAACCAAGAGGGTCATAACTGGCTGGATCATCCGAGCCCTGTCCGGCGAATCACATATAGGATCAAGGAATCCCTTGATACCCTTCCATCGGATCTCATTCTCGCGCATTGGGGTGAAGGTGATCTTGTCGTTGCTCTCCCACCCTTGACTTGCGAGCCCAAAATTGTAAGACTCAGCCTCCCCAGATTGCCGGACGCGGAACCACATCCCTCCTCGCATGGTGTGCAAACATTACAGAACCCGATCTACTTTCCCTCTTCGGCCACCACATCAGGTCCGGTGCTACTATACCGCCATCGGTCTTCACCGAAAGACCACGAACTGTTCCTCGCTCTCACCCAAAAGACGTCGGCCTGCCAAACGACGGTTACCGATGGGCAACCTCCCTCTTCCACTCCCTGCCCCGTAGTGATCCGCTGGAGGATTCCGAATGGGGACGGATGGAGGGACTGGAATTCTGATCATGATGAACAGTCTGAAGACCTAAAGCGAGGGGTTGACGACGCTCGCATTTTGCGCGGCGGCTTTGTGGATGGAGATAAGCAGTTTTACGTCCCGATTCGGAGCGGACTGGACTGGACGCGAAAAGGGTACTTGACGTGTTCCTAATTCAATAATTTAATTTTCCAAGTTGTAATTACGATGATGTCTCTAATTTCTCTATCCAACGTTCTATTATCTAGAAGACGGACACGACAGTCCAACGAGGAATGGAGAGTCCTGCGACCTGCACATCGATGGCCTAGACCTTCAAGGGAAGGCCCGGGCCATTGCATGCATCCGCTTCCTCAAAGTACCAATGGTGAGCGGGAAACGAGGTCAGTAATGGAATACCAGTTCCTGTATTGCCGTTGAAGTTCACCTCCCCTTCCAGCACGGTGACCTGGTTCGCGGAAACGCTGGCATTGTTGGGAGCGGTGATGTAGTATTCAGGGCTGATATGGACGTATCCCATAGCCAACAGAGGAAGCTTTGGCACAGGATCATCGGTGTGGGTGAAGCGATAGTTGTTCGACTGAGCAGTGATGTACGTGGCCAGCGGGATGTTGGCGACACGAGGGGATGCGTAGGCGTACAGCTTGATAGACGGGTAACCTCGGCCTCGGAGATCGGCGGCCGCGAGAGTAGCCACACCGGCCCCCAAGCTATGACCCACAACGGCCAGGTCATAGTCGGGGTTGGCGTCCACAGCGCCATTCAGGTTCTTGATCATGTCGTCACGAACGAGCGCCCACGAACTCCAGAAGCCCAGGTCTCCTTCACAGCCGTCACACAGGGATGGGTCGGTGTAGAGGAAAGCGGCATCGGCAATCCAGTTACGAACGGAGTATGAACCACGGAAAGCCAGGACGATAGCCTTGTTGGTGCGATCTACGGCGATGTAGCCTGCCGTATCGGTGGCGGTCGTACTATACCGGTCAGATTCCTCTCGCGAACTGCACTTGGTATACTGTCAGGGCCCGAGGACGTACTTGGAAAAGTCATACACAATCGTGGTATCGGCAGCCTCGACCTGGGGACAGTTACCAGCCCAGCACGTCAACTTGTGACCCGCCTTGGAGGCATAGTTGTCGTGGCAGTATGAAGCAGCAGCATACTGAACCCAGAACTTGAACTGCGCCAGTTCGTCCGCCGGGACATCTAACGCAATGTGAGCCAATGCAGATGCCAATAGATTCTTCTGCAGGGCATGGCCATACCACGGGGGTGCAGGTCCCTTGGGATAGCACTGCCGAACGCTGTCGCGGCGGAGAGAAGGACAACAAGCGAAAACCGCATACTGGACCCAAGGGTGGTGCACCGGGAGCGCGGAAACATGGTGAATTTGATGTATTTCGAGTGCAGGGTCCAGGATTATGCCTGCCGGACCCTTATATGCTGGCGCTGCCCGTCAAGCAAAAGAAAAAAAGACTCTAGTTCCTGCATGGTGACCCGACCCAACCAGGGACCCTGCTTATCATGCAGTGGATCACCGAACGACATGCACGATCTGGCGGAGATGATCGGCCTTCCGAACGACGATTTGCAAGGGCTTACCTCGGCGCGCCGGTGACTTTACCCTTAGCACCCCAGCATGCAGATCGGGAGCCCTAGAGTCTCGACGTGTGTGAGATCCCAATGCCGACCCATTGGGGCCCGGTGGATCGAGGTTGGCGAGGTGGGTCCTCGAGAAGTCATCATATTCGTTTCGCTTGTTTACAAATTAGCCGGATAACGATGCCCCCGGGGCATCTACAGTAGCTGGTTCCGGGAGGTGGTCCGGCAAGCGTTCAAGACACCGCAGATGATGGAGGCGGTTCAGATGGTCAAGGGCGTGGAGGAGGCAGAGAATCAGCTGAGCTATCTGCGGTCCTCGTCCGCTGTTCAGTGCCAGTTGAAGCGCACCCCGACTGCGCCAGGGTTGGAAGTTCGAAGCGTGGATGCGGTGTGCGGTGGTGGCAGTCCCAGGCCGACTCCACCCAAAAGCCAATAGTCCATGAACCATCCGGACGGACGGGCCAATTCGAATCATTCGTTCCCCCGTTTTCCCTTCCAGCCTCATAAAAGAAACGAACGCATGAAGGGGCACAACCGGCGCAGTAGTCGGTCTCATTTGCATCTTTCTGTCCTCGGCTTCTCCAACACGGTGCAACGCCGGTCCTAAGTCAACTTCAGGCGAACCGGCGCGTCTCAACGAGGTGGGTGTTGCCAGACCCACTTGTAAAATGCAAGATCGCGGACTCGCCGAGCGAATCATGGCAGGTGAGGACCCCATAATGGCACGTGTCAACCTTCAGGGCTGATCGTCCATCATCCATGGCTCGACGTGGAACAGACAGCAGATGGGCCATCGTTGGGTTCGGCTGTCTTGTCAGGAGTCTGGCCTCTCTCCGCTCGGATCACGCCGATTCAGCCGGATCGTCATTCTTGGCAGATATTCGGCGGATCCCATTTTCATCTCTGTCTTGGTTTTGAAACGGCGCAATGCCCAATTCCGACTTGGTCATTGATATTACCACTCCCCCAGGTCAGTCGCAGTCCTGACGAACTATGCCTGCGGTGATAGGTGATGGGAAGGTTTAAGGAGTGGGCTATGGTGGATAATCATGATATCTGAATAGATCACGAGCCGTGAAGAGGCGGGATGCATCTCGTTTCGAAGGACATCAATCGCTCAGGCCACACGGCTGCGACTCGCGCCAAATGAAGCATGATATTTCTCGCGAAAATCCAAATATCAAAAAAAAATTAATGAGACCGTTCACGAGCCCTTTTGCTCTTCATCGAACCTAACTTGCCCATCAGATTTGTTACCGAAGCAGCATCATCACATCAAGCATCCTTCCTTGATGCTTGAATGCAAGTCACTCATGCCAACACGCACACGGCGATAGCCTGCTTGACGTGCTCCGCCACCTTGCTGTTTCAGACCGTGTTCCTTGCTCTTCAAGCTCTCCCCACTAGGGGATACTGAGCGACCACCACTCATGGCAGGGGTAGTGAGCCTTGTTGCCGATGTAGAGGTGCGTTCAAGGGCGAACACCTCCACCATCCATTCGTACCAGACTTTGCGGTCGTCGGTTTGGCGGTACATCGTGACAACGACTTCGCCATTATCGGGAACATTGAGGGGGGTCTAGGGCGGGGAGTCACATTAGCAACGGAACATAACGAGTGAGACCGATCGAGGGCCTTGGAAAAAAAATAGTTTGCAGGATGATACATTCCATACCTTCAAGGGGAAGTAAATGGGGAACCAGCTGATCATGGTGGCGCTCTTCGCATCCATCGTCACGGGATTGGTTGAGAGTTCAACATCCCCGTAGAGAACGGTCTCGAAGTACCCCGCGAGGCCGTGGCACACCCCCGGTTCTGAGTGGGGAAGGAAAGGCGGGTCTGGCGCACATTGTGCGAATTGGAGAGGGTTGACTGCGTCGCTGATGGAGGGGGAATGTTACGGTTGGGGTGAGAGAAAGACCATGCAGTCTGAACGAAAGGCGTTGGAAACTCGGTGGCGGCCGTCGCCCCAGTGGTGCCCGAGGAACGGTTCGCGGTGTTTTGATTCGGAGTTTCGGCATTGTCTGGCGAATCTAAGGTGGACAGAAAATCAATGGCGTGCAGCATCACCACATATGGGGTCTCCGGAGCGGCGGGATTGGAGATGGTCTGATTTGTCACATCGCAGTGCAGCTTCGGGGCAGAAATGGGCGTGAAATGGGCCGAGTACGATGCGGGGATCGAGATTCCATGCACAGGATTGATAAGATCATTGATGCCATCCAGGCACTCCGGAGACAGTTCATTGTCAGCGAATGAGCCTAGAAGCTCCGACACCACAATATCAACGTATGTGTGTGTGGCGCCAGATGAAGTCGGGTCCGAGAAATCGGATGCCCGACCAGGATCATTATGACTCTTCTTGGGTGTGTAGAGCAACGAGTCCTCGATACCCAGCGACCCCCCAACTTGGTCCTGAGCTCCGCTCTGGGATGCGTGTCGCCGCACACGAGGGCCTTTCCAGCTTCGCATGTCAGATTGAACGAGAGTAACCTTGCCGCCCCAAATCGTTTCATTGTGTCGTTGCAACAAAACAAATGCATTCTGGTTCTTTTCGACAGCCCATAGGTCGATTTCGACACCCGCTTCAGCACTAGCCTTGAGCGCTCGCGTCACAAGAGGGCCGCGGCCAGCACCAACGACCGCAAGGATCACTTTCCCATCAGGATGGGATGTGGGTTTCTTCTGGTCAGCCCAGTCTCTGAGAGCCTTTGTAATTGCTCGCTCATACCATTCATACTTGATGGGGTCTTTTTCAAAGACCTCGTAGGTGATGCTCTCCAAATTGACGGTCAGTGGCTGAAGAGGGGCTTGCAGGTAGTCTTGGTAGCCTGTGCCAAACCTTTCAATCGGTGTGCGTGCGGGTTGCCGCTGTTGCAAATTCCGGATATAGGAAAGGTGCGGAGTGGGGTCATGATGCTTTTTGGGGAACCCGCTCCCAGAGGCAGACTGGGGTACTCGGAACCGGATAAGAGAGATTGACTGGCTTCGGATTCTTCTGTGTTATCGAGTCCTGGGATTGGCCCGACATCGCAGAGAAGAATCCATGGTGGAGTTCGGAGGCGCATCAGTTTTGCGATCAAGGCTTGATGGGCCTTGGACAATACAGGATATCCTTTTTGATTCTTGAGAAATGATGAGGCATCGATCGTGAGCATATGCAGTGGCTCCGAATGCCAACGCGATTGAACAGACAGAGCAGGTAGCTGCTTGGGCATGGAGAGGGCTGTTTAATCGAAATCGGTGAGCTTTATCAGAAGCAGGATGAAGGGGATGGGAGAATTCCATCTTACCAACGAACAGCCTTGTATGATACTTGCAGGTCTTTCGGATCAAGTCCCACGCGTCCCAGGTTCCAAAAGGATCAACCTTTGGCAGGGCGCCTTCTACTGGCTGCAGGTATTCCTCCCGGGCCAGTGGGGCCAAATCGCCCATAGTATCAACCTCCAGCTCAGGGCTGTCCACCATCCGCAACCAGATATGAAATTGAATGTAAGGTCCTAGATTCAGTGCATCCTGGATAGCCCTGGCGTAGTAGACCACACCTTCTGAGTGGATGGCGCCGTGGTGCAGTTTTGGGCTATGAATCAAAAGATACCCAATACCACAGAAAGCAGCATAGGCTACCTCCAGCATGAGAACCTGACGGGACAAGTCTGCAATCAACGGATCGGGAGAGCAAAGGTCAATCCAGCGACTAGTCACGCCGACTAGCTGGCTGGTGGCTTCGTTGGGGGTGAGACTTGAATCGAGTTTGGTCAGCGGTGGAATGACCAAAGGCCCTGTGTTCTGCGAGGTGGCCATAGTGCCAATGCGATCGTACGATGGCGACTGCAGATTCGAAAGGTAGGACGACAAGAGTCCCAGAACCCGCGAGTGGAAATGGGCCGTCGTAATTGGAACGGACAGCATATCATACTACAAAATTGCAATTGAAATGTTAGTAATTAAGAGGCAGGCGACAAGATGCAAAAGGACTGACATTGGTCTCGTGCACCCTGCTGACCATCTTCGGGGTCACAGCCAGTGTGCGGTTAGTCTCATGATGGCCGATGCAGAACGTCACCCCAGGGTCCTCAGAAGCACCGTAGGTATCCATGTTGACGGAGGACTTTTCGGCGGTGGGAGTCAAGGCGAAGTCGAGGGCAGTGGCCAGATCAAAGTGCACTTAAATCTCCGTACAACAGCGCACTGCAAGGCAGCAAAGTGACCACGGATGTCTGCCCACACTCAAAGCCAGGATGGACGCGCCCAGAAACCCCTGCGTGGTCGAGCGCGTCCCCTCGATCCCTTTGTGGGGGTGCGGCAGAATAAAAAGGGCGGTGAACCAGATAGGCAGCTGGGGCGGATCGCCGCCCGACTTTCCTATCCGAGTTTTTTATCGGCCTCCGAGTTTTGCACTCTCCAACTCTCTCAACCACCTGATTCAGCATGGTTGACCGCCGCTCAGACCCGGAGGACGGTGTGCGAGCCAAGCGCCAGAAGATGGACGCCGGCGACCCGAAGGATAACCCGTACCTGGCCCACATGTACGAGAATACCAACGGCGCAGACAAGAACTCGGCCCTGGCCAAGTTTAAACGCCATCAGACAACAGCGGCGCTGGCGAAGAAGGCCGAGGATGGCGATGTCAATCCCTTCAATGGCCAGCCCTTTTCCAGCAAATACTTCTCCATTCTGAAGACTCGTCGGGATTTACCTGTGCATGTGCAGCGGTAAGTTTGATCAATCCCTTGCGCCCCCCGAGACAAAATTCTCATGTCTCCTTCAGTGATGAGTTCTTGCAGCTCTATCAGCAATCTCAAATCCTGGTCTTCGTTGGTGAGACCGGTTCCGGAAAGACCACCCAAATTCCACAATATGTCCTCTTCGATGACCTCCCTCAAACTCAACGCAAGATGGTCGCTTGTACACAGCCCCGTCGTGTGGCTGCCATGTCCGTCGCCCAACGTGTCGCGGAGGAAATGGATGTCAAGCTCGGGGAAGAAGTCGGTTACAGCATTCGTTTCGAGGACAAAACAAGCCAGAGGACTATCTTAAAGTACATGACCGACGGTATGCTCTTGCGAGAGGCCATGCACGACCACAACCTCACCCGGTACAGCACAATCATCCTGGACGAGGCTCACGAAAGAACCATGGCTACCGATGTTCTGATGGGTCTGCTGAAGGAAGTGGTGTTGCGCCGGCCGGACCTGAAGATTATTATCATGTCTGCCACTCTGGATGCGCAAAAGTTCCAGCGGTACTTCATGGATGCGCCTCTTCTCGCTGTTCCTGGGCGTACCCACCCTGTCGAAGTATTCTATACCCCCGAGCCGGAACAAGACTACGTCGAGGCTGCCATTCGAACTGTTCTGCAGATTCATGCGACTGAAGACGAAGGAGATATTCTTGTGTTCTTGACTGGTGAGGAGGAAATTGAAGACGCTGCACGCAAAATCTCAATGGAGGGAGATGAGATGGTTCGGGAGGCCGATGCTGGCCCTATCAAGGTTTACCCGCTATACGGCAGTCTGCCACCGCACATGCAACAACGCATCTTTGACCCTGCACCACCACCCATTCGCAAGGGTGGCCGACCTGGTCGGAAGGTCATCGTGTCCACCAACATTGCTGAAACTTCTTTGACCATTGATGGTATTGTGTACGTGGTTGATCCCGGATTCTCCAAGCAGAAGATCTACAACCCTCGTATTCGCGTGGAGTCTCTTCTGGTCTCGCCGATTTCCAAGGCATCTGCCCAGCAGCGAGCTGGTCGTGCTGGTCGTACACGCCCTGGAAAATGCTTCCGTCTGTACACGGAGGAAGCTTTCAAGAAAGAGTTGATTGAGCAGACATATCCCGAGATTCTCCGGTCAAATCTGTCGTCTACGGTGCTCGAGTTGAAGAAGCTTGGAATTGACGATCTTGTTCATTTCGACCTTATGGACCCACCCGCACCTGAGACCCTGATGCGAGCTCTGGAGGAGCTCAACTACTTGGCCTGTTTGGATGATGATGGCAACCTTACTCAACTTGGTCGTCTCGCTTCCGACTTTCCTCTCGACCCGGCACTTGCTGTCATGTTGATCAGCTCTCCAGAATTTTACTGTTCCAACGAAATTCTGTCCATCACAGCCCTTCTCTCCGTTCCCCAGGTGTTCGTTCGCCCCAACTCTCAGCGCAAGCGTGCGGACGAAATGAAGAACCTGTTCGCTCACCAAGACGGCGACCATCTCACCATGCTGAACGTTTACCACGCTTTTAAGAGCGCCGACGCCCAAGCAAACCCTAAGCAGTGGTGCCACGACCACTTCCTCTCGCTGCGATCTCTTCAGTCCGCTGACAACGTTCGTATGCAACTTCTGCGCATCATGGAGCGCTCTGAACTCGAGATGATCTCGACTCCTTTCGAGGACAAGAAGTACTATGAGAACATCCGACGTGCCCTTTGCGCTGGATTCTTCATGCAGGTTGCCAAGAAGGATGCCCAGGGCAAGAGTGTCTACTTGACCGTCAAAGATAACCAGAACGTTCTGCTGCATCCTTCCACTGTACTAGCCCACGATGCGGAGTGGGTCTTGTACAACGAGTTCGTCCTTACGACTAAGAACTATATCCGCACAGTGACTGCGGTTAAGCCCGAATGGCTTTTGGTACGTTCTTATTGTCAAGATTTTCACATGAATGCAGTCACTAATGCAAACCAGGACATCGCGCCTACGTACTTCGACATCGATTCCTTCCCCAAGGGCGACATGCGCTCTGCTCTTGTTCGTGCTGCGGATAGACTCTCTCGCAAGGAGAAGATGCGCGCTGATAAGCGCCGTTAGATGGTCTTCTCACGTCAGAACTTTAATGGAGCAATGTCTTGGTTTTAGACTCCTTTCTTGCTGGTCTCATGATCGTGCTCAAATTTTTTTTCAAAATAGAAGCCCAGTCGCATATTTTATAGTACATATTCGTGGTTCCATCTGATATCCATTTCCTTCTTCACCTCGGCTATTCTTCAACATTCAAGACGCCATTTCTTAAATCTACGCCTCAAGTGGGTGCTTTTTAGATGTACATACCTACGGACAGGGTAAAGCGGAATGCTGCTATAGACTGAAATCCAAGGACCTGAACTTTTTATTCAAATGCCCCTGGGTTGTCTAGTGTTTTACGCATCGCAAACACTGGTGCTGAAATGATACATTCCGGTAATTGACATTCCGTTGATTGACATTCCTTTCCTCTCCTCAGGAGAGGGCGACTATATCATAATGTACAAGTGGGGTTACGTTGTCACAAAGGAGAACGAACATGGTCTCATGCATGGCCGGCAGCGCACTGAGAAGGCATGGGGCCATCTTTCTTCACCTTTCTTCGAGGCCGATTCGATTTCTTCGTCTGACCTCCAGGGGCTTGTTGGACTTGGTTTTCGGACGCGCCAGCCGAATGGTCCTGAACTTGTACAGGAGCCATCATGGCTTGTGCAGGGCGGAAAGCAAAATTGGAAGGTGAGTTGTCGGACGCATCGCAGCTGATCGGGCTGGGTATCCGTTCGAATTCGACACTCATGGGAGAATCTTGAGGTTGAGAGGCGGAGTTGTAGGAAGGTGGTGTGGGTTCGGATGGTTGTGACAGGGCATCTTCATACTCGAGGTCGTGATGGATGTCCTCCTTGAACGAGGCCTCAATGTGATGCTTGCGAAGTTCAAAGACAAGCTGGCGAAGTTGTGAGACTTCGTCCTTCAAGGCCGCAATATCTTCGCTTTGAGTGTTCTGGGTCGGCGCAGTGCTGGAGGTGGCACCTGCAGGTTCTGAGACTGCTTTTGAGAAATTTGTGCGTTCACGATTATGTGGCAGTGTTGTAGACATAGCATCGTTCGCATGAAGAGCAGCGAGGCGAGTAAACCGCTGCGAAATTGATTGATCTTCAGGCACCTCCAGACTGCTTAAGTGCTGGCCAAACACATTGGCAAAGTCATAGCATTTCTGCCACAGAGGACGAGACAAGTTCCCCGTTGGTGTTGTTTCGGCGGCCCTTTTCCATCGCTTACCCTCTGGGTCCACGATGGGTGCAATGTCATTCTGTTGGGATGGGATGTCCGGACTGAAACCACTATGCACAGCAGCTGAGATCAAACTTTCTGAAACCTCTTTCTGGCAACATGAGTCACAAAGATGAACCATGTATAGAATTAAACGCTCGACAAGTTTTGGTGGAAGATCTGTGGACGACACGAGATACGTCACGGCTCTCTTCAACGCATTCATTCCCTTCTCCCAGTCCTGGCGAATGCTGTAAAACCGAAGGTAGGTGAAAAGGGTGTTAAAATTGTCGAAAAACCCACTTTTCCGTGCTGCCTGGAGCCAAGCATCGGCTCGGTCCGGCTGATTGAACCGCAAGGCAGCTGAAATAAGCTCGGTATATATGACAGTGCTACTGCCATACAGAGGCGGAATGACCATGTTCAACCCATTAATTTTTCGGCGCCGGAAAAGGCCAATGGCTCCAAGGTTTACTGTATAGCCTTCACCACTCAGCATCTGAAGGAACAGATCAAAGTCCTTGAGATTTTTGGACTTGCGGAAGAATGAAACAATTGTGACGATGAGGGAAGTGCTCAAGTAAAATCGATTCGGCAATAATGACTGCAGAAGCAGGTCGTTCAAGTCGTTTTGACGCGTTTGGGTGAAAGCCATAAGCATTTCCCTGAATGCCGTAGTGCGGTCCGGGTCCGCTGACTTGATTAAATTGCTGGAGATTCGCAAAAGGAGTTCTTGTAGAGACATCTGCTGGCTCATGAATGACTGAATGTTTTCGCGGAGTTCGTCATCAAGTCTTCGGTCTTCTTCCCGCGCCTCTTCAGAGCGCATCACATCGAAATCATCGATAACATCACGGAGATTCACATTTTGCTTATGCAAGAGTGTGTTCATCTGGCGCCGGACGGTGTTCAATTCTTGCAGCAAATTCTTGACGTCGATCTGAGGAACGTCGAAATCCGCACCGTAGTTCATCGGAACGCCGGAATAGTTGTGTGCAATTGCCGGTCGTAGGAGAATCCGGATGGCGAATTTTTTCAATGCGAGCTTCTGAATAGCTTTGATACGAGCAGTATCTCCAACGACCCAGTCTGGTAGTGCTTCGTTCATAGCCGCACGCAGTTCGCTAGCTTCCGCTTCCTGGAGGTCAAGATGCGTGGAATCCTCCTCTATCGGCAAAGTCTCGCTCATTTGCGCATGTTGGGAATTGAAAAGCCTGCGCTGAGTATGAAAGGACCTTGTTGGCTGGCTTAGTGTGCTTCGTTGGCGGATTCGGGAGGGGTTCGTAACGGTGCCGAATGCTCGCTCTTGTAGCAATCGGTTAATCCCTCGGTGTTTCCTCCGTGACTGTAGAGACTCGAGGATCCGTTGTTCTTCATCCACTAGCTCGTTGACCTCAGCCTTGACAGCCGCAATCTTCTCTTCCAAGTCATGTCGGCGCTTAGTCTTGGCCTTCGCGTCAGCGAGGGCGGCAGCCGCGAAGATACTTGTATACAGTGCAGTAACAGAGTTCCCTATCCGCAATTTCTTTTTGCTGGCAGCCGTGGCTGATCGTGAAGTGACGCCATTGGCGACCGTACTCAAACACGAGACGCAGCGGCAGGTTGACTGCGACGGAGCGGTACGGGACCACATACTCTGCATTATCGAACCATCGCTATCGATAGGTTGAAAGGGAGTCGGGTATTTGGAAGATCAATTGGACCCCCCACGGAGTCCGATAAGGGAAAGCTGTGAGGAACTGGTTGAAATCCGACGATGCGAGATGCCATCGTGAAATTCCGGCGCGGCCCAAATCTTATGGTGCAAACGATGCAAACAAGCTAAGGACCCCGGTTGCGTCTCCTATTGTTACCCATCGAGGATTGGAGGTGCGCCGGCAGTCTTCTTTTCTCTTCGCTTTCTATTTTGCAATGGTATCCCGTTTATTATTTGTTGTCGCTGGTGTGCTCGCTTTGAGCAGCGGCCTTGCCAGCGCCCATGGCTCCCATTCAAATGACGGGCAACCCCCTCCGAGGACTGGGCGACGAGACACATGATGGGTAAGGATAATCTACAGTACTTACCGGCTGTTCTAGGAGCAACTGCTAACGCATGATATAGAGGAGCATCACATCGAAGGATTCGATGCGCCCTCGTTCTTCACCCTGCACGACTACGATGCCTCCGGGGCATGGACTCCCGACGAAGTACGCAAGACATACGGTCTCGATGACGAATCCAATAGCGGTGTGAGCAAGTCTCGCAAGGAGTCAGCCATCCGCTCCGTATTCGATCTCTTCGATCCGACAAACAGGGGCTCCATCAGCCGAGATGACTGGTTGAAGGCCGTTTCAGCTGGGACACGGTTGCCCGATCTCGGCTTCGGGCCCGGCCACCATGGCGACATTGAGTATGAATATGAGATTCACCACTTTGAAAAATACCACGGAGACGATGCCACGGAGGAGGAATTGACCCACCCCGAGGACATTGAGCATTTCCGACAGCACGACGAAATGGAGGCTGCTCAAATGCGACTTGAGAAGCTGGAGCGGATGCAGGTTGTCGAAGCCAACATCCCCTCCAAGTTCCGCCGTGCCCTTTAGAATTTCAGATTCTTAATGGGGTTTCTTTCTTGATCATGTATATAAGCACTGACGTTATTGGTGTTAGTGAAGTGTTATGTTTTAATAGCTGCTGGTGATGTCCCCAGCTGATGCTATCAAGGCAGGGTAAATTTTATGCACGCTGCCTTCTCTAATAATATGTAACCAGCTCGCCCTCTATGGAGAAGCCCTGGTCATTGATGTCACGATCTAATTCAGCCCCAATTTCAATCACAATCAGATGGGCCCTCAGTCGCTGGTATCTTTAAAAGCGGACAACTGGAAACCGAAGAGCAACGGATGACGCCAGGTGCGTATGACTTAACAACCTTATGGGGCGGGCTTCCAAACTGGATTAGCCGATAGCTCGTCCTAGGCGCACTGTTTGTCAAGTTTGGTTATTAATCCATATATTCTTCACCGGTGATTATATTGTTTTTTGATTTTCCGTAGGTTGGGAGAAGCAATAACGAAAATCGTATTCGGATTTGATGTCAGTCAAAATATATATGCCAGGAACGGGACCAAGATACTCGAACAAACAGAACATTAAAAGGCTTCAAACTATTATTGAAAGTATTTTGTAATAACAGACATCTACGACTACATCTCAGTCTTGGTATATCAGTAGGTAGTCGGCCCGGACCGTCCTAGATCTTGGAGATAGTCCAGGCTGTTTCCTTGACTAATAGTTCGCTGGGGTAGCGGATAACATCAACCGCACCGCGTGTAGGGAGCAACTGAGTGAATGGAACCAGCCGTGATTGATATGTATCATAGAAATGGACTAACACTGTGCGGTATGCCGGACATGGGCAGCGAATGACTTATCATCGGGTATGAGCAAATTGGTGATGTCGAATCTGCTTATCCGCGTTATCGCAATCAGGCACACTCTATCTCGGCCCATGGCACATAGTCCCCGATTGATAATTGATAATAGCAACCACAAAGCGAAATTCTTTGGCCGATTAGTTGACTTACTTTGTCATAAACTCCGGATAGTGGAATGATGGAAATGAAATGATGATGGCATGTACGTCATATATACATCGTAATAATAACAGCCTTCGATATGTCCGGCCGCTCGGTCAACTATGGCCAGCGACACTTTGGCCGAGAGGGAATTCTTGTGCAGCTACGCCTGCCTTATTGACCAATCGCCGCCCATACTGTTACGTTCCGACCTTGCAGACAGCCTAGATAGTCTCACCATTGCCTGATGTGGTCAAAGCTTATCTACCGCAGCATGGGCTTGACGCCAAGGAAGATCATCCCTACCTAGAATCAGGATCATCGTTGATCGGAATGACCCGAAGAATGTGGGGGGGCTGGAAAAGGTGCCCGATGCGGCTCCATACATGGCATTGACCGAGATTTCGATCTCCCGGGCTTCTGGAGTCCAAATTTATGGAAGGTTGCGATGCTCGAATGTGTTGGTAAGCCATTGGTCTAATTCAATCCACTACAATCGGTTGAGTGTGATATCGGCTTTTAACGCGTTCTATCTTGAGTCGACGTACAGCCAGTTTGATGAATGTTTTTATCTCATGCTAGGTAACGACACACCCTCTTACGAAGACGATATTCCACTGTCACCTTCTTCTGCCCACCGTCCGACGGCATCAGCAATCTCATTTTGACTCCACTGTCGCTCTTCACTTTCTCGCCCCCAAATGGAGGCTATATTAGCCCGATCATTTCCCTAGCCACCTTCTTTGCCCGGATTATCTCCTTCCCGCACATGATTCTATACCTTGGCGAGCAAACCCTGGATGGTGCGTTAGCTGGCTTTGCCTTGAACAGTGCTTACGGTAACCAGGAGTTTACCTGTAGGAGGATGCAACTTTGATTCTACTATTCCGTATGGTGTCTGCCAGGGACGGCCTGGTCATCGAATTTGTGGCATGCCTGATCCTCATTTTCTTGGCATTAGGTGTGGCTTTGGATCTTCGGCAGGCCAAGGTCTTTAATCACGCCACATCTCCCTGGTTCGTGGGAATCGTTCTCCGGGGGTCAGCTGGGGAGCCGCTTTTACTCGGGAGGGCTATATCGGAACCAGTAGGTAGAATCATCCAAAGAACGAAAGTCGTATATTGCGTGGGAATCCAGGGCGTTCAAACAAACTGCCAATCCCTCGTGCAGGCCTAAATCCCGCACGTGCTTCGAAATCTATGTGGCGTCCTCATTTACCACTTATCATTAGATCCGCTAGGTGATTTAGTGCATGTTATTATGTATAAGCTCTTATCGGGAACTTTTCAAACTTGAATTAGTTTGTATCACTTTGTTGATCCACTTTAGACCCTGACGCGGAGTTCGCCGTGAGTGCGGCGGCCCCTGAGACCGGGAAAACCAGTCCCTCACTGTACATGAATCATCAAGAGCGCAGAAAACCCCCCGTAGAGATAGCGATAGACTTTGACTTTCATATAGATCTGTGCATAGAGAAAACCAGCACATACACCATGCGGGAAAACCCGCCTCATGTAAGCAGTCCAAAGACGTCCCGCTACAAAGTAATTGCCTAGCCCAACGTCAATGTTGGGCTTATTACGAGATTATCATTAGGGGACGCCACCAATAGAGATCAGCATGCACCAATATGGAGCTGATAAAACATCATTTGTAGACGTCAAAAGCAAGTGTAGACAATTGTCCTTATTGGAGGGTTAGAAATAATCAAAGTAAGCGACCGCCTTCCTGTTGATTCTGCTAGTTCAAACCTTACAATGAATGATGGGATATCCTGGTCATAAGGGAGAACCGCAAAATCTTAAGAACGCCATAGGCCAGATCATGGAAGCTTTCCTCTGTGACAGATAACTGACCTTGGCTGACCCAGGCATCTCTCGAGTTGGTGGGGCTCGATTAGACATCAGACTCCGCACGAAAGCAACACAAAATCTGTGTGCAATCCCAAGTATCTATACTAGACCGTATAAACACATTCAACGGAGTGAAGATATCTGACCAGGATTGGGTCGATCTTGTCGCGATCCACAAGTTGAAAACACATCCGAGAGAAATAGCGCTGATAGACTTCTCAAAAGGCCGCAGAAGATCCCGGAAAATAAGTAGGGGAGGGCACATTGACGACTATGGTAGCAATCGAGGAAAGCTTTGGAGCGAAATTGGCCGATCGGCCTATTCTTGACAGCACCCCACTCGCCGCTGCCGCAGAGGAAGCAGACCAGAAAAGCAAGTGAGAGAGCTATGTTGGATTGAGCTAATCGAGAATCTCTAAAGAAGAGGAGAGAAGGGAAGAGAAGGGAAAGAGAACAGCATGGAGAGACTGGAGCATAGGGATAGAGTCATTCCATCAACCTCTGACAGAAAATTCCGTCGTTAACTCTCAGTGTGATTATCAATTATCGTCTTTCAAACATGACACCTTCAGAAACCTTACCCTGTTGCGTTAATATGGTGCTCAACAGTATCAGGCGTTTCTTTTAATGGAAAGATGGACTTGGGCTTGTTGTCAATAACTTGGAAAAAGCAGCGAAGTCCTCTCAGAAAACCTAGATCTTTCTAGAGATCATACTGATATGTATTATTCTCTCTTCAACCTCATAGAGCAGTGACTGCTATCTCGATTCATTAACCCCCAGGTTAGATTTATTCTATCCATCATTTGCCTCTCTGATGAGGATCGGCTTTCGCGTCTCACTACGAAACCCGAGTTAGAAACAACCGAAGGGAAAGTGGCCCCACTCTCGGGTCTCGGGTTATGCAAGAGTCGGGAATCACGTCTGAGTAGTATCGGGATCACTGGCGTGTTTGGCTTGTAAAATTATTTAGGGCGTGAAATAGACCAATTATCACTTTTTTTAAAGAAGCCACTTTCTCTCCCCACATTTGTCTTCAATCTCTTAAAGACTACCTGAACGTGTCGCTGCTGATAAAGTGGTATCACCACAAAGGCTTATAGTTGGGCAGGGCTAGGTTTGCTGTGGTTTGGTGAGACGACGCCATATTTAGATCAAATTGAGTTTGACCACGCTGACGTTTCCAGGGTGTATTTCAAACCTTGAACGATGTCATCGAATTTGCCAATGCCATGGGCGATTCGCAACGTCCCTGCCTGTCAAATACCAGCCAAACTCCCCGCATCTCAAGTCGCAATTGAGATTGACGGAGCAAAGGATGGGGAAAGAAGAACATTCTCGACCCTAGATCTCATAGAAGGCCATGCAGTTATAAGTGTGACTCGCGAGACTAACATGGGTGATATTGATATCACGTTTGAAGGTAAATTGCTGCCCTTATTCCATAGACCGACCGAGCAAATTCGGTTTTTGAAACATACGCTAACTCTTCCAGGTACTTCTTCAACATCTACCAGTCGAGCGGTTTCATTTGTTCCAGGACGAAGAAAAGCTTCTCACACGTTCCTTTGCCTGCAACAACCGACTAACCACCATGAGAAACGTCTGGTACCTGGGCAACTTTACAAGGTCCCCTTCACTTTTGTGATCCCCGAGAGCCTCCATCCGCAGCAATGCGACCATACAACCAAGAACACTGAAGTCAAACAATCGCATATTCAACTCCCACCCACTTTTGGAGGTCGTGTCTGTAGGTTCTGGCAGTCCAAACCAGGAAATCTGGCACCGAAACCTTGCAGAATTTCCTACAGAGTCCGAGTTGTGATCTCAGAAAAGCACCAAGCTCCTAATATGCCTGCAAACAAGCTGTGTGATGTTTCCCGATATCTACGAGTCATACCAGCCACAAAAATGACGAAGTTCCTTGACTCCCCGGTTCACTATTTGATCCGAGATGCCGAATGTCGGTCGCGAGGAAGAAGCCAGGGAAACCTGCAGGTGGTAGCAGAGCAGCCAGTGCCGATCCAGATTTCATCCACGGATACTGGCGTGTACTACTCTTCAACATCTGCGGTCCAACTTTGTATTACTTTCGATCCCACTACGAACACGCCGCCACCACGGCTATGCAGTCTGCGATCCAAACTCGAAGTGGCGACATATTATGGCACGATTCCTTGGGAAAACTATCCGACAGCAAAAGATCTAGAATGCTCAGAGACCGACCGTGAGGCATACGTTACAACAATTTCACTTTCATCGACGAATCTTGAATGTACCAAATGGGCAACGCTACCTCCCTTTGATCCATCGATTGAAAAACCGGGGGAGTCTGCTATTGAAGAATTGATGGACTCTGCTTCAGAATCGTCTGTCAGTCTATCAGAGTCTTCTCGGCAGCGTGCTTATACTGCTTCTGTCACAACCCCAGTCAGTTTACCAGATTGGCGAAGCCTCGTGCCAACCTTCCATTCTTGCCTCATTTCTCGTACCTACACGATTGACCTCACTCTTTTATACCATGTGCCAGGCGCAATCTGCAATTCGTCCATGGACTTTCGAGTTCCCGTGCGAGTGGTATTTGCTGACAGGAAGTCTTGATAATCCGGGGTCTGGGCCCCATAAAAGGCGGGGTTGGCAATGAAAGCGCGGTGTCTAAAAATCCCAGGAACCTAGAACAAGGATGGGATTCGTCGGAAAGAAAAAAAGGCTTATTTGATAGTACTGTACATAGAGTGAATTTCTATTTTGTTGTAGATAACATAGTCTGATCATGATACATTATCCGAAAATAGTGTAAGATTCATCTCCTCCAACGAAGGCCACCAGTGGGACCACAGGCCTTGCTCATGGGCGTACGTGCTGACTTCATTCAGTAAATCGTTCAAAGGAGCATCGAGATCTAGGGAATCTGAAGCAGCGTTTGTTGCCGGTGTAGCGTCACAAGTCGATGGACCTGTCCCACTTGCCGCCCCTTCAATTTCTTGAATGTGCTGCTGCGACCTATCAACTACACGGAATTCATGGATGGACTGATGCAAAATATCGAAGTCCTTTCTGGACTTTCCTTGATACCTGGCTCTGTCGGAGCTTGCTCGTTGGTATAAGAGAGACGCGTGCTTTATGGTGGTCATCTTAGCCAGAACAGGTTAGCTATATATTCAAAAGATGGAGTTTCAGTAGAAGGCATAGCTTACCCAGCTTTCACCGAGCTTCCACTCGCGCCGGAACTCTTCAAGGTATGCAAGGCAATAGTTCAAATTTGTTTCTGCATGAACACTGCGACCCAAATTCATTTGAGGGAAATGGAAGACATAAAGGTTCATATATGCAGCGGAAAAAGCACAAAACCCAACAAACGGCGTCAGCATTTCTGAGCCACACTCGGACGCTGCATGTAGGATTTTAGCTACATGTTCAGTTGCGCTGAACATCTCAAGTGCACTTTCATCCCACCAGCCAGGAGGCGCCTCTGCCTGGAGCTTAGGATGCTCGACTGGGCCCCTAGGGATGGTCTCTGCCGTGGGCAAAAAGGGGAAATATTCTCGATGAAGCATGAGGGTACTGCACGATACATGATCAGTACACCATAGGGATAGCAAATTCACAGGCATGACCATACCAGAGATAATATATCAGGTTAATGTAAGTGAAGGATTCTCCAAACCCAAGGGTCGTATGTGCCATGACAGAATTTTCCGGGTAGTGAAGCCTGTGATGTTGATTTGCGCGCCATGCCTCCAGGCGGCTCCTGGTATTTGACCAGGGTGATCCAGGTACCCAAGGGCAATTATTAGGCTCACACATACCTGGCGCTCGTCTTCCATCATTGAGAACAAACGTCATCACGTGTGTCCAAATGTCGAACCCTGCCACCAGGACCTCAAATGCTTGCGTAGTATCTAGAAGAGTAGAGTGCCTGTTTGGAGAAGTTTCCAGATTTTGCTCCATGGTGCTTCTCTGCGAGGCTGGATCTGGGCCGAAAGCAAATTCAACAGCGGAAAATGGACGAAGCACTTTGAGGTTCTCCATCTCAGCCAAGGGAAGCATTGGAGGATTGTAAGTTCCAGAGCTGATCATTCTATCCATGATAAAGCATGCCCATAACGTCCGATTTTGAACCACAGTGGAAATGGTGTCCTGGTCTCCAGAGTAATGAGGATCAGCCGAATAGGGGGCGATTTGAAGGCTATTTATTGCTTGCATGATCCGAATTGCAATTCCTGTAGATGGTCAGACTAATAATTATGCCAATTAACCAGGGAAGAAAATTACCACAGTAGATCCATGCCCGATGAAACTCCCGAGAGCCCCATTCAAAGAGCCCCATGACAAGGAGAGCTTGGGCAACTTGAAGTTTCGGAGCTTGAAATGAGCTCTCTGATAACATCTCACGGGCGTAAGATGCATATTGCTCTCTTGGCAACAAAGAATCCAGGTCAGGCAGGCTAGCTTGGGAGAGATGACATTGAGTCACCGATAAAATGGCGGCAAGAAGAGTTTTGCTTTCACTAGGACACGAACTTTGAAATTCTTCCATAAAACCAGGGACATGGAGGATCCCAAGTTCGGGAAATTTGTTCGTAAAAGTGTTCAGTGATTTCAGAACAATACGTGGTGGGAGGCTTGCAAGATGGCTGTCAACTTGGAATTTGCTGTCGTTATACATGAGATCATGGCGTGGAGAAGGATCGGGCACCCCGGAGTATTGTTCTGCGTGGGCCGATCCCACAGGTTCATGTTCATTAATCGGCTGAGGGTTAGATGCTGGAGGCTCTACCCTCTGGGCTCGACGACTGGACCGTTTTAGGATCCTGCTTGGAGGTCTGCTCAGAGTACATTCTGGAATACCGGAAATTTGGCATTTTCGACAAGGCGACTGCCCCGTGTGAACACATTTGATTTTGGATCGCCTGTGAACAAGATCTGATGAGCGGATTTCGCGAATAAGAAAGGGGTATATCTCACCGGCAGAATGCACATGACAGACTCGAGCGCATAACTGTAATCTCTTCAGGGCGGTCTTGACCCTGGTCTGAGCGCTTCTGTCATGCAATCACTGAATACAGAACAAGGCGCGGAAATCATCGGGAATGGGCTTTCCGAGCGATCGAGACGGGCCCGGTGCGTTGCTGAGTCATCAGAGGACAGCACCAGGGCACAGGCTACTTTAGGTAGGGTGTACTTCAAACTATACTACGGGGCATAGACAAGTAGGTACTCGTGGGTAACGGTGGCCGTGACACAACGCGGAATGATATTTTACTCGGTATATCAATGAGGACCCAATAGTTCATGGTTTGAGGGCTCCAACTTACTACCGCAACTGTTTCTTGCGACCAGTGGGTCCATTGATTAGATCGCCTCGGGTTTCGGCTCTGAGCCACCGCATTTTCAAACCCGATTTCAATGCTCTGAAGGGAAGAAAAAGCCGTGTCTTGCACCCACTGGCAATGCAAGCTACAGATAAAAATTAGCATGAGAGAGACCTCCGTTTAGTACATATTTCAAGACTCGTACTTTAGTCATATTACTCGCAGATCTGAAAGGCATCCTCTAGGTAAAGTTGATCACAACCCATTTAGTCAACGAAATATCGGGGAATTAAAACAGCTCTTCATATCCGGGATGACAACCACCTACTCCACCGGCTATGGTTGATAGAGCCGAGAGTGTGGACTTCTTTCTCTCCGATGGGAGAGAAATCATCGATGCCCGTGGAGGCGCGAGGTTGCTCTAATTGAACGAACATGGAAACAAGGAGGTCCATCAAGCCATCATAAACCAGTTACAAAAAGTCTGCTACGTGCATACCCAGTCATACACTACCAAGTCCGCGGAGGACCTGGCAAGTCTCAATCTTCAAGGAAGTCCAGTTTCTCACAGAGTCATGGCTTTCAGTGTAGAGCCTGTGGCTGGGGCTGTTGCAAGATGCGCCACTGCGCCGCCTGGCTATCATGTTGGCGTCTGCGACCTCTGCAATAAAAATGACATTTTGCTCATTATGGACGAATGACGTGTGGCGTCATTCGCACCGGAACCTTCTTTGCCTTTGAACAAGACGATGTGGCAGCTGATATTATGACTATTGCGAATGGGCTCGAGGGAGAATATGTCCCGATCTCTGGGGTTCTTATCCATAGGCGAGTTATCAATGCTTTCAATCATGGGCACACCTATCAAGCCCATCCTACCTCGTGTGCAGCTGCATTGGCTGTTCAGAAGATTGTTCAGAGAGATGGATTGATTGCTAGATGTGCAGCTATGGGGGAGGTCTTGGAATCGATGCTTCGTACTGATCTGCAAAACTGTTAGTCTGTTGGTGATATTCAGGGATGGGGGCTATTTTGGGCCGTCGAACTTCAAGGACGAGAAGACAAAAGACGATTTCGACCCAAGTATCCATTTTGACGTACGTGTTCAGCAAGCTTCATTTGATAAAGGGGTTGCGGAGTATCCTGGGAGGAGGACAGTGGATGGCAAAATGGACCACAATGTGTTGCTTGCACCGCCGCTCATCATACTTGAGGAACAGCTGATGACTGCGTGTAAGGTCATCCGTGAGGCAATTGAGTCTGAGCAAGAATATTCCTTAACCCCATTATCCTATTGGTACTGCATGAAGTAAAAGTTCCATATGCGAAACTGAGGCGTGTCAGTCCTGACTCTGGAATACGGCCACTATACATACGCGCATTGCTAACGCCTGTGGAAAGAGGGTGTAATTAAAGGTCTTATTTCATTTCAAGGCAATGGATATCAGGAACAGGAGGCAACCAGCAGAAAAAAGAAAAAAGAACATAGAAACGCAACCCCACCACAACGAAGTAAAAAGAGATACGAAGCATGATTTCTGATGGCGAACCAGAGGATGGAGCACACGAAGGTTTGAGACGAGGGGAATAGCGGCCGAAAACAAGAGTGACACAAGAGTAAGAGCTATCCATAAATTGACAATGATCCACGAAGAATGGAGATGTAACATGAACGCCCATCCGGAAAACAACGCCTTCGTGAGAGCAGGGTGTTTCCACCTATGATTTGAAACGAAAGCATCACCCCACATGGAACCAATGGCCGATAGTCCGCAGGTTAATGCGTTGTCCTTCAGGAGCATCGGCGAGACGGAGCAGCCGAGCCCTATTCAGACCACGCGGAAACCGCGGGGTGCCCCAATCTATCATTCGAGTCGACAACCCTGCATGCAAATTTAGTACAACTGGACTAAAGCAGAGACTCTCCAGACTTACGAGTATTGCTTTGTGAGGGTCCCCTCCCCACCTTTAGACAAGTCGATATTGAAAACGTAAAAGTTTCCGTCACTGGTGACAACCATCACCTGAGGCGTATTGCTGCTCATAGCAACAACACTCCGAAGCGGCCCGGTGTGACCGTTTCCACCTGCACCCTGATTGGACCGGGGCAGCTTAATCCACGCGAAGTCTCGTGCGGGTTCCCACATCTCACTGACTCCTTTAGGAAGATATCCGCCCACCCTTGCGGCAACTGCGCCACCGACATTTTGAGATGTTCGACGGAGCATACCAATCAATGTACCATTATGCTTTCTAGCTGCTAATTCTGAGCTGCTCTCGCCAAGCTCATTCTCATCCTTTCCAAATAGACTGGGACCGAGGTGAGAGTCCCGACCGACCGGAGAGTGAGCGGAAGAAGCGTCTGAGGAAGGCCCTTGCCGGGTCAACTTGAATAGATGGATGGTCTCGGTAGACGAGGAGACACAGAGAAGGGTGGATGTGGTGTTGAAGGACATGCTATAGATTCGAGAAGGCATCGATCCACGTCGAAACTGGTATAGCTTGTGGCCATCGGGGACAGAGAAAACACGAATAATAGTGCCCTTGTCCGAAGCGGTCGCAAGCAGCGTGCCGTCACTATTGAGGGTGATACAGGCCAACGGAGAACGATGAGCCTCGATAACGTTGATCGCTTCGAGTTTCACGGCGTCGAAGATAAGAACATCGCCGCTTGTGGACGAGACATGTGTCGTGCCTGGCGGAGCATGCGCCGGTGGTTTGACTGTCGCAGGGGCCTTTTGAGGCAGGGGATAGGCCATGTAGCAGTTATCCGAGGAAGGTGCGAGTGCACATATAGCTGGCGGGCATAATGAACAAGTACTCAACAACACCAAATGGGGGGATCACATACCATGCGGGTTCGGTGAGGTATCAATTGTAGACAATAGCCCCATGGTCTGAATGTCGTAAAGGTAGATCTGATCCTCCAGCACGATGACAAGTCGTTTTCGGTTCAACTTCACGGACAGAACCGTGGTCGGGAATGTTAATTCACATATTGTGCTTTGGCGCTATTTAAAGAAAAAGTTCATCAGACCGGCGGATCCTAGACCTGCTTGCACATAGTACTTATGGTGGGTGCCTTGCGGACGCAGGCGCCGGACGAACCTTGGTGTTCGTAATTTGTAATCGTCGCGGGGAGAGGATGAGTGCCACTAAGGAAGTCGAGAAGAGCATCTCAATGACAGCGATGTTTCCTTCTTTTGTCTCATAGCTTTTAGCGAAAGGGTCGGTCGTGAATATGCGGAATCCCTTGGAGGTGGCTGGCTGACGTCAGTAAAGCCGTGAACGCGCGCGCATTCCGCTCGCTGTCAGGGGTAGGGTAGGGAGCTCACCAACAGCCAGGTAGCTGTAGTCCTGGTTGAAGGTCACAAAATTCATCGCCATCTTGGCTGGTAGGCGTTACGTAGTGTCGCGAGGTGGATACAGAAGCCGCCGAGGGTGTACCGGACCCCGCTTGGAAGAAAAAACGACGGAGATGGGGGCTGAGCCAGCTAGGAGTCGGTCACCCGTCACCGATAAGCCCCTATCATCGCCCACAAATTCCAAGTCTGGCGGCAGCGAGGACGCGGGAGAGGATAGGACAATCAGAGATCCTTGGAGGAGGAGCCTTCGTCGTCACAAGCGAGTTCGCCGAGGCGCTTGGGCCACACCTTGATTCTCCACCGCCTACAACTCTCTCTTATCGATTAGTCGCTTGCTTCGCTGCAATGCGCCAACACTACCCAGCACTATGCCCGCGGCCTCACGACCGCCCATGGCGGCTCCATCCAAAGCCTTCAAAGATGGAGATGTGGCCAGGGGAACCTATGTGCAGCATGTATTGTCAGCTTGGCATTGGGCTATCTGACATGGAAAGCTTGCAAACAAACAACAACAGTATCCCATGCAGACGAAGCGCCGGGATAATCTGCTATTCCAGGTCCCATATCTCTCCGGTATTTCGTTCAGAGGCCCCAGTGGCGCTTGCCTAGCACAAATGTGAATTCTAGCTGCGCGTGCACGCTAGCAGGTATATAATATGTCCTGAATCTTAGCTATGGATAGTGAGTTTGTGAGTGGACACATTGTGCTTTGGATGTTACTGAGCTGTCGCCGTACCCTAGGGATGCGTTGCCATTCATTCTGTTGGTGGCGAGAAGAATTCCAGCCCAGTAGGCATAGTGGACTCGTCTACATCAAGCAGAATGCGGCCCGCAACGCGGAAGGGATCACCCAGCGTGCCCGAGGAAGTATAAGTCGGGTCTGACCAGGATCTTATGCCGATTCAAGCTCGGGTTGGCGCGTGCTTTACAAGGACTAGCGGTGGTTTCCGGGATTTTGTCCAGTGCTGTTGGACGCGATGGAAGCAATTTTGAACATTTCTAATCTCAGACTATCTCGCACCGAGACGACGGCTCTCTGCAGGTGGAACAGACTGATCTGACGGGATGGGTGCGAGGGGCCTCGTTGCGAACTTTCAAATACTTGACCAGGTCCAGGGCCACAGTGAACCTAACATCCTGGGGCTTCGTTGCTGAGGACGTATAGTTCCTCGCCAAGTAGTTCGAGGAGACAAAAGAAACCCGGCTGTTGGACACGAAAGAACTATTGAGATTTACAAATATGACGAGGCCATGCCGCCCAATTCTTATCGCTACCATCGGACTTGGCAAGGTTTTCACCGGCCACATCTCCTGCACGGTCGACGTCGATCAGGCGTTCCTGCTAGAGGTGCACTGTGGTTTCCCTCTGGCCTCTTCTGCATCAACGGAGCATGAATATTGTAGCCCAGCGCGGGCCCTGCACCACCCACTGGGCGACGAACTATCTCGGCGAGTACCCTACGATACGGCAGCTACCCGCATCACACGGCGAGGGCAAGACATGCCGTGCGTGAATCCATTGGCTGAAAGAGCTCACCGATGTACCAAATTGTTCATCCACGCCCCTTCAGAGCATATGGACTTGCAATCCAGCAACTTTGTCTGCGCGACTGACGGATTGAGGCCTTCCTCGAGGTTCATGTAGGCGGTCGCTAGTTCATAGACTGATTTCGGTTCACTGGTGGATACGCGTTTGATTTCCAAGTGCATGGTCCTGGTGACGGGGAATGCACAAACGTCGCCGCTGCGGATCTCGAGACCGGCTACCATATGGCTACTTTGTCTGTACGTATCCGGTACGTCGTCCCGCTCCTTCCCCAAAAGAGGGAGAAAGAGAGAGAGCCAGGATGCCATTGCAGACTGAGACCGAGCTGGTCCGTCCCTAGGTGCCGGCAACATCCTCGCCAAGTCCTCGGAGACCGGCGGCTCCTCCTGTACCCGCCCGAGGGGCAGCTCCTACTCAACCCATCCCATCCGAGCGAGATGCTGTACATCCAGCCCGAGGGCCAGCCCGCAGCGTGCTCGACAAGTCGCACAATCGGCGTGGGTGTGATGTTCTCCCAGAATCAGCATGTCTGCTAGGCATCGAAACACGATCGGCTAGGAATCGAAGCAGGATCGGCGTGTGGGTTGTTTGAGGGCCGCCTGACACGGCCCGCTTTTATTTGCGTGGCACCGGCGAGACACGAAATACATGGCCAATGAGTTTGAGTTCGTGGTACTTCGTAACATGGTTGGTTGGAGGGGCCGGATGAGGAGGGGGAGGGGGAAAAGGGGGGGGGGGGGGGAAGATATCCACGGTGGTCTTGGCTGGTCTGGGATCGCCTGGGGTGGGGTTGGGATGGCAAGCGCGACGCGAGGGGGGAGAGCGAACGAAAGTACGTGCGAGAGGATGTACATCCGGACACCCTTGCCACTCATCGTTTGTAGGTGGATCCGTAGTAGTATTCGCGATGGTGGATTCTAATGACAAGGTGGGCTGACAAGCCCCTCCTGCGGTGCCACCTGGGACTGACTGACTTGACTGACTTGACTGCCTTGGGCGTGCTTTGGGCACTGGACGGAGATGCCTTAACGTCGAGTGGTGACTTGGGCTAGACTTGGGCATCTGGCCCCCTGCAGCGAATTCCCCCAGCATAAAGCGCCGCCCTGACATTCTACACGGTCCTCATCCTTGACACTAAATCGGGCGACTCGGACGTTGAAGTTGCCTCCCAGCGCGCCTATCACTCCCCACTTGGCCACTGTGGATCGCAGCGACGATCCGGGGTCAGCCCCAGCCGTGCCCACAACGAATGCTGTAAAGCTCCCAGTTCGTTACCTAGTCGGTTTGTAAAGTGTGACGCAGGAGGATTGGATTCGGGAGATAATCTGATAGGGACCCAGACCATCCCCCGCCGTATCCGGTGAAGCAGAAAAGCAGAGCAAACCTAAAGTTTCGCCGTCCATCCACTGGTCCGGGGGGGGGGGGGGGGGGGGGGGGAACTTGATCCGGCCTTCGAGAGAGCCGTCCTGTCCGCGATGCGTGAAAAGTGGTCCGGGGATGCGGTGCTAGTGACAGCCGTTGCAGGGCTAGTGCAGAGCTAGTCGTGTGCGGGGCCATTTTCCTGTGTTGCATCGCGCCACGAGTCGACCCGGAACGGCCCAACTGGGGGGGAAGAGGAGGGGGGCGAGTGGGGAGGCGTTCTGGATCCCCCAGACGCACAGACTGGGGCCGATGGTCAGGAATCTGGGCCGAGGGGGAGGAGATAGGGACTTGATCGGACAGGGTAGAGGGCGGCACGAAATCTCTGCGTCATCGGAAACGGATGCGGGAGGGCTGATTGGGTTGATTGGATGAGCCGCGGGTCGTCCATGGATGGGAGGGGAAGATAGGACGACAGAGGCGGGAAAGGCATGGACGGTATATTGACGCTCCAGTCCCCCGAGATCCTACCTGGACTGCGCCATTGTCTGGAGGCGCAAGTAGTAGGAGGTAGTTATCGAGCGATCCAGTGATCGAGTTCTCCGAATCTCCCGCGGTGGAGAGGAGTGGGGACTGGAGGAATGGAGCCATGGGCGGGGCCGGGGAAAAACGATGACGACGGGGACCAGTGATGATGATGAGAGAGGACGTCCCGTTGGGGGAATCGTGTGCTACTCAGTGGTAGGTGATAGGCTCTAGGATGGTGGGAGATGGAGGAGCAGGGCGCACGCTGGAGCGATACGGTTCTGTCTTTGTACTGGCCTCCCAGACAGACGGAGTACACAATCCATAATCCGCCATCTGCAATCCTTGGCCAACATCTCCGCTATCTATCTCCTCGCCCAACCCGCCGTCATCTTCTCTGCTCCATTATCTGCTATCTACCCTGCTGGCCCATTCCTGCCCCCCTTGCTGCTGGCCGGTCCCTATCTCTAGCGTCGTATGACATTGTAACTACCTCCCCCCCCCTCTTCACTGTCGCTTCCCCCGCCCCCCTCTCGACTTTCTTTTCCACATACCTCTCCTGAGTACGAACCCAACCATCCCAGTGCACTCTCCCCAATACCTTCCTTACCAATCCCGCAGAGCAACCCCCTCTTAGCGATCGTCCGATCATCCCCTCACTACACCCGCCCCAAAGGATGTGATCCTCCCGATCGTCGGCTGCCGATAATACACCAAGACCAAGACCCAGACCCAAGACCCTCCCCACTTGGCGATCGTCCAAACTGCACCGGTCAGCCGATTCCCACCATGGCGACTGTCGTCGTCCAGCAGCAACATGCGCTGCAGCACTCGACCCCGCCGCCCTCGCCCATCCCGCCGGCGCGCTTGGTCAACCGCCGAGGCAGCCCAATCCCGAACAAACACCTGCCCATCTGCCCACCGGGGCCGTCGCCATCGGAACCCGCCTCCCACGATTCGCTAGGGGTTCGAACGGCCAACGATCAGACTTCCTCGCTCCTGTACCCACCAGATGGCTTGGTGCGCCTCTCGGGCCCGCCGTCGCCAACGGTATATGCACTGGATGCCGAGACATTGGCCGCCGCACTGAACCACCAGGCCGCTCAGCCCATGCCAGACCCATCGCAGATGTTCCCATGGCTGCATGGGCTGCACCCGGACAACCACTTACAGCTGGGCTTCTTCTCCAGTCGGAAGCGGTCGCTGCGTCGCCCCCCTAAATGCTGGCGCGGCATCACGGTCGTCAAGCTCGGCGGCGATCTTACCAGGGCACGCGTGAAGGGGGCCGTGTGCGCCCATGAGGTGATAACTCCGTCGGCGCGCTTCTTGATTTCCGACCCGCCGGAGGGCTTCTCGGTCCGGAACTTCCAGATCCAGACCGCCAAATTGGCGGCCCTGTCGGATATTATTGTCTACGCCGAAGATGGTGCCAGTCGATCCCAAATGCTTGCTCTGGCAGAGGACTTTGCAACCGCCCAGCAGGCCTGGCGACTGAAGAATGACCCCACCCAGGAGCGACCCGCATACAACACCTTTGTTCTCACCAGTTAGTTGGCTACCTCCGCTTCCTCCGGAGTCTCCGGAGCAGGCAAGAATCGTTCGGCTGATATCTCGATAGCTAGCTTTGCCGAATTGGAGAAGAAATGCCCCAACATAGTGGCCATCGATTCCAAGGGCCAAGTCACAGGACAAGTGATGGACTTTGGTAAATATCCCTTCTCAAAGGATCAATTGTGCGGACCGCGCTGACCCTGTGCCAGTCCTATGGGAACGGGTAGAAATGTGCAGCATGTCCCGGGCATCGGAAATTTCGGCCAATGTCTTCCTCGGGCCCACCCCAGACTATATCCTGAGACCAGACGCATGTCAGCTCCCAAAACAAGAGGTCTATGATCTTTTGATCGAAGCTAGCGATCTGGCCAGCATCCCTGGACCCCGTTTCTTGGGTATGATTGACAAGCAGCTTGAAGATGGCACTCAGCGCATGGAGTTCCCCTCATCCGGCTCCATTGTTCTCCCCTCGGGCAATACCCGCGAGGTGGAAGATATCGTCAACACGATCCGTTGGATCTATTATCTGGCGAACCCAGACCAGCCAGCCGAGGGGGCCGATCATGAAGGCGATGTCGCCATGACCCATGCCAGAAAGAAGCCGCGTCGAGTTTTTATCCACTGTGCAGATGGGTACACCGAGAGCTCGCTGCTGGCTGTTGCGTATTACATGTTTGCCGAGGGTGTCCCTGCGCCGGAAGCCTGGCTCCAGCTGCACTGTAACAAGAAGCGCAACTTCTTTACTTACCCCACGGACGTCGCCTTCCTGAGTCACATCCAACCGCGTCTGTTGCAAGAAAGTCCTGCGAGGCGATCCGCCCACACATCCTGCAATTGGGATCCTGACTGGTTCTTGAAGATGGACGGGTCCCTACCCAGCCGCATTTTGCCGTATCTGTATTTGGGGAACCTCAACCACGCGAACAACCCGGAGCTGCTGTGGGAGGTCGGGATCCGGCGTGTTTTGAGCATTGGCGAGCCTGTCCACTGGACTGAAGAGGAGCGCTCGAAGTGGGGCCATGAGAATTTGGTGTTTATCGACAATGTGCAAGATAACGGCATCGACCCGTTGTCGCAGGAGATTGATCGGTGTTTGGAGTTCATCGGTAAGTTGGAAACGCGGTGAACCTGATCCGGGTTTTGGTTGGTGTTGTTTATTGACTCTGCTGCAGGAAAAGGAAAGAGCGATGGAACTGCGACCTTAGTACACTGTCGTGTGGGCGTTTCCAGATCCGCCAGTGTCTGTATCGCCGAGGTGATGTCCTCACAGGGCTTGTCTTTTCCTCGCGCTTAGTACGTTCCGGTGGACCCCTCCGACTCTCTTTCATATCGAGTTTCGCCTAACCTGGATTCCACACAGTTGCTTTGTCCGAGCTAGACGCTTGAATGTGATCATCCAACCTCATCTGCGCTTTGTGTAAGGCCCCTCCCCTATACCCCGATCGTCCGAACTCTCGCTGACCTTATCCCGAAGCTATGAACTTCTGCAGTGGGAAGGGTTCCAAAAGCACAAACGGAACGCCTCCATACCGCGCGAGTTAGAATGGGCAACCGTCTCGCGCGAGATCGCGCTTCTCAATAAGCCCTACTCAAGAACCTAGTCACTGCGCGACACTAATACCCCCGGAGTCTTGCATACGTGGTGCTCGGCTCTGACTGGAAATGCCTGGTATCAATGCTCTTTATCTGGTGTTTTCTTTTTGTCTTCTTCTTGCACTCGCCTTGCGCATGGCCCGGGTTTATCCCCCTCCTCTTTATACTTCCTTGCAGGCTATGCAGGACTTTTCTTTGTTATGTTGAACGATTTGACGCACGACTTTCTACGACCGAGGGATGATTTTCAGACTTAGTTTTCACAGTCGAGTACTTGGCGTTTTGCGGATTATACGGAATGGGATAATAGGAACGTTTCAACAACCCATGTGGGCGATGCGATGCGATGCGATTCTACGATTTTATTGTCTACTTTTTTTCTCCATGGCGTTTTCCAGTTCTACCATTTCTGGCCCACCCACGTTTTACTTGTTCGTTTTTTTCCTAAACCTTGTCGGTCCAGTGTTTTTTTTATACTGCGCATCTGGCTACGGGTCGTGGAATATTTTCTGGGTTCTCCATTTTACTTTAATTTGTCCGAGGCTAAGAATATCGGGCGATCAGCCATACTGAAAAGGGGCTTGCGGGGCATTTTTGGCCCACGATCACAGTCCCATCTCGTTTGAGACCGCATCCATCTGGTTCAAGACTATTTTTTTTTCTCATCTTTTCTTGTACTGGGTTAGGGACACATGTGTTATTGATTGTGGGAATGGGCAAGCGTGGTCAATAACCAGGACCACAGAAATTATCTTCTTATGTCAAATCTACCTATCTGGAGCTTACTTTCTTTCTCCTCGGCTTGCTCGTTATATTTGGGATTCGATAAATTAGGCTCTCGTACTGGGATGTGTTCAGCACCGCTCAAATACTCTGTAAAGGCCCTTCAGATCCGCAACCTCAACTACCCCCTTGAGCATGCGTGATGTAGCAACCAGTCGTGCGCGGAGAGCCGGAAATACGGCATACTCCAACATCCGCATCATTTGTACCCGACGTGCTTGAATCATCGGGTCCTCATCTTCGGTAACTGAGCCACCCGGATTGCCTTCGTTTGCTCCTTGTCCTGCCTCGGCAGCAGGGTTCGCCGGAGCATCCTTTGATGCCTGCGACGCAGGAACGGGGAGTTGCTCCGGCGTGTAAAAAGCAGCCAGCTCGCGTAAAAATGTCCGGAAGCACTCCTCCTCGCCCGTCCAATCCACATACGGTCCCAAACGGAGCAAAAAGCGCGGCAGTTTCCCTAGCGATGGAACATACCCCTTTAACAGAAGTGGGATCGTAAGCAACTCCCCTGCCTCACTAACTTTCATCGAAAAGTACTCGTCGAGCATCTCCCGCCGCTCGACAAGCGTGCGGGAGATGAGCTCCGCGGCGTTGGTGAGAATACTCGCTGCGTCGTCGTCATTCCCGCTCCCCTGTTCCTGCATCTCTGCGTCGACTGCGATCTGAAGTAGATCTACCAACTTTGGTGGCGGATCCAATCTGATCACGCCGAAGTTCCCGAAGTCTGTTAGCCCGATTTGGTAGAAGAATTCGTTGCATGCGAGCCCGTAATCTACTAGGTACAGTTTCACGCCGGATTGGATGGCTGCAAGGCGGCGTCTCTCATCCACGAGGCCGACGTACGTGTGTGAGGCGAACATCTCAGTTAATGTGTTGTGCATGGTGGCGCGTACAGAGCTGCGGAGATTCTTGACGGACGTAAGGGCAATGCGGAGCGGTTGGCGGTCTATAGTTTCGTACTGTAGACCATCGTCTAGAATGGAAGGTGGCGGGATGCCGGGCTCGGTGGATGTACCTGGGTGAGAAGGGGAAGAAATGGGGGCTGAAGTGAGCATGGAGGTGATTTTGCGGACTTTCGAGTCTGTCCGGACCAGGTTATTTTCGTATGGGCGTTTGGCTGTTGCAGGGGTCTTGGGGGTTGCTGCTGCTTTTTCCCCTGAAGTGCCATCCTTGGATGGAGATTGGAGTGTTTCGATAGTCGGTACTCCGGGGAGGAGACTCTGCGTGAGAAATACTCGGCTCGAATCGACTTGCGCGAGCTTGGATCTGATCTCGTCACATACCATCTCAGTGATTTCATCCTCATTCAAAAAGTTCACCTCCCTCTTTGTTGGGTGGACGTTGACATCGACGCGGCTAGGCTCAATCTCCAAGTCGAGATACACGAAAGGATGGCCGCCCTTTGGTAAGAATGCAGAGTAAGTCTGTTCCACGGCACGCTTGATAGCGGTCGATTCGACAGCGCGGTGGTTGATGAAGAGGAGGATAGTGGTCTTCTTGACGTGGTAGTTGGCGTTGGTAGCAAGCCCCGATGCACGAAACCCGAGTTTATTGTCCGAGACCTCGAATTCAACGACCTCGTTGGCGACCGCACTACCGTGAATTTGGCGGATCCGATCGATCGTGTTAGCACTAGATGGAGTTGATACACTAACTCCGGAATCACCATGCTTGCGGCATGAGAAAGCGACTCCGGAGCAGTGTACCGCGTACCTGCCAACAACGTCGAGGATCTTGGCGTACTCCTCACTTGCCGAGCGAAAGGCGCGTCGACGAGTAGGAATATTGTAGAATAAATCTTCCACCTGGTTCTTGGATCAGAACTATACACACCTGGTCAGCAAGACCAATATAACTCACTGTTATCTGTGTCCCTCCTCGTCCCGCAGTAGCCTTGGGTGCAGCAGGCTGGCCTGGCTTCGCCGGAACCAGCTTCCCATCGCCATAATGTGCCCTCCAGGCACAGCTAGACCCAGCAGTCTTCGTTGTAACCGTCAGGTGGGCAATGTGGCTAATACTTGCTAGCGCTTCGCCGCGGAAACCGTATGTGCCGATCGAAGTGAGGTCCTCGAATGCCTTGAGTTTGGACGTCGTGAATCGTTCGCAGAGGATGGGGAGATCGTCACGCTAGATAATGTCAGCAAATAATGTTTCCTCCCTAACTATAGAGCCATGAAATCCACACCGACTCACATCAATGCCATGTCCATTGTCCGTAATCTGCAGAAGCTTCAACCCTCCATCCTTGACGAGGACCTCGATCGACGTGGAGCCCGCATCAACGGCGTTTTCGATCAGCTCCTTCAACGCATGCATCGGCGCAACAATAATCTCTCCGGCTGCGATTTTGTTGACGACATCTGGATCAAGGGCCTGCAAGATTCACTTATTTAATAATGACCTTATACCGCGAACGGAGACGATCGGCCAGTCCTTCCCTACCTTGATTCGCTTTGGCTGAGAAGGTTGAGAGACATCTGGGTCTTCTACAGGGCGTTTTGTGCCCCGATTGTCGGGTGCATCGACGTCCATCTCCCCCTCCATGTTGATAAAGACGCTGTGGCGCGTGCTGGCGTCGTGGGCGTGGAGAAGAAACGCGGAGCCAGAGGTGCGATAAGCCGATAAGCGCGACTGATATCATTGCTTGTGGAGACCTTTCCTAACGCCTCTTTCCTCCCTTTGCTTGAGCTATTCATGCTGGCCGCATCCCAAGCAGCCTAATCTGGGAAATAATTCATCCTAATGCTACGGTTGGCTGCTTTGGATACTACGGCGCCTGTGTCTGCGCACCATGGCGCCTTCAAAGATGCCCTTGCGGGTCGATGAGGAGCTCGGCAAGAAGGATGATGATCACCAATTTTCCGAACAAAGACAAACTCGATTTCGTCTCCTCTCAAATTCGAGGATCCCTCGTCCTCGGCGTCTTCTGCTTGCAGTTTTAGCTCTTTTCCTTCTCTACCAATTCTTCAAGCATATGCCCGATGATTTGGCTCCCGCTGTCGAGCGATACAACCCGACGATTGCGAGCCTTAAACACCCAAAACCTCCGTCTCCATCGGGATCTGTGCAGTCACTTCCTATACCGAAAGCACAGATTTTACCAAATGACAAGGCGGGAGCTTTGTATGATGGGAAGGTCAAATTCTACGAGTTGGCCCAATCCCTCCCCCGCGAAAAGCACCCAGGGAATATGGCTAGCCATGCAGTAATGTTTGCCGCATCGAGCCTCCATAGCGTTTCAGATATGTTGCCAATGGCATGTGGAATGGCTGCAAAGGGGCTGAATCACGTCCATTTTGTCTTGATGGGGAAAGAGGAGGTGTCTATTGATGGCATCAAACAGGTAAACGCGATTAGCGACCTTGAGTGTCCAATGACGTGGCATGGTTTGTGAACCAGCACTTCTTGATAGTAAACCATACCACAGTGCTGATCCTTCAAACAGACAGTCGGCCGGACCGCGCAGGCGAATCCACTGACGCGCGTATGGAGCGGTCGGTGGGCGGAGGACTTGAGGTCCTTCGAATGCATATTGCTCCAGAGGTCGTAATCACACAAAGACAGGACTGGGAAACACCTTTCTTCTGGAATGGAGTTCAAGCGCATAGTCTGGCATCGGGAATTCCTCACATTGCCCTCCCTGCTTCGTCAATAAATCTCATGTGGATGGTTCATATTGATAGCACTGCTCTTCAAGGTAGTTCGGATCCAAGAAAGGCTCGGTTTTCAATATGCTGACTCCTTTCCTTAGCATGGAATGAAATCCACGTTGAGATGGTTGTCCATGCATCCGAATCATCAAGCTCCTTGATTCGACTCATTCGGTCATTGGATGCCGCTGACTATCTGGGAACCAAACCCAGCTTGACAGTCGAACTTCCAGCTTGGGTAGACCCCGAGTTGCTTGCTAGCTTACAAGATTTGAATGGACTGTCTCAGCTGGCAGGGCGTATCACTCTGCGGCGCCGTATCCAACCCCACTACATGGACCCGGCTGAGTCTTCCCTGCGCACCGTGGAAAGCTTCTACCCTTTGAATCCGAAGGTGTCGCATATGCTCCTGCTGTCCCCTCAAACGGAGCTGGCACCATCATTCTATCATTACCTCAAGTACAGCATCCTGTTCTACAAGCAGTCTTCTCGGGCGCAGCGTGTGGCATCGAAGCTCTTGGGTATTTCACTGGAACTGCCCTCTGTCAAGCCTACTTCTGACACGGAGCCACTCACTCCGACATCTTTGGAACCACCAGCTCAGACACAGGGAGGCGGGCAATATATTCCCTCTTTCCTCTGGCAAGCACCAAATAGCAATGCGGCACTGTACTTCGGGGACAAATGGAGCGAGTTCCATTCTTTCCTTTCCAGCCGTCTTGCTTCCTCGGAGAGAGATTCTCATATTCCTTCTCATGAAAAATTGATTTCCTTGAAATATCCAGCTTTCATGGAATACCTACTGGAAATGATGCGAGCCAAGGGTTACTATCTTCTCTATCCCTCATTTCCAGGTCGCACGGCCGCGTCCCTAGCGACCGTACATACTGACCTGTACCATCCCCCGGAAGAATTTACGCACACCCCTAGTGGCACAAATAGTGAGGATCAATCGGGTACAGAAATCAAGCACCCGATCCCGCCTGCAACCACTGCTATCAGAGGGTTGTCGGCAGAGAAGCCGCTTGATCGTGCATCTACCATTCTCCCTCTCCTCGACGCCTTTGAATTGGGACTTTCTGATGTCGAGTCAATCCCTTTACTATCTTATAATGGGGAGCGGCTGGCAGAGGAGACGCTACAGAAGCAGACCATGGACTACGCCAGGATATTCCGGGTTCGATATGGACATTGTTCTGAAGAAAGCCAACAGGTCGATGACCCCTCCGCACCTCTTTTCTGTCTTGAAGAATGATTTATGGACATGGAAAGCCCTGAAATGGCTACATCATCTGAGACATCTGTCTGCATCTTGCACATCTGGCGTTGGTATGCTTAGGATAGGACTAGCTTAATGCGGATGAATTTCTTCGAATAAATCTTATCTAGAATTTGGAATCTTTCCAACCGTAACGATATTCACTCCCTTGTCGAAGGATGCTGACCAGCGGAGACCCCATCCAGGCAAAACAATGACGAGCGCTTGGCGGGATTACATAATCCGGAAGCTGCACCAGCCCGAGAGCTCTCTGCGCTTCCATCACCAGCTAACAATCCACTGCATCACACCCGCCATCTGCAGGATTATATTCCTGTTTCTCATTGTGTCGCTGCATATCTTGTCTCTTGATCCTTGAACCTTCGACACGCCCCTTTGATACCAATCCGACCTGGTCGCCAGACACCGTCAGAGATGGCGAACGAGGGCGAACGGTCAACCTCCGCCGACAAGGGCAAGGGCAAGGTTGATGATGTTCGCGAGCTGAACGGCAAGAAGCCTCAAAAGGACGAGAAGGCCCCTGCTGAGGGGAAGAAGAAGGATGAGGAGCCCAAAGAAGGTAGGTCATGGCAACCACCCGGCAACGGGTCGTGGAGCGGAGAGCATGTGGCCTCTGCAATGCACCCTCGGTGTCTGGATTGAATGCTGACAGTCTTTAAAGATGAGCTCAGCGAGGAGGACCAACAATTGAAGGAAGAGCTTGAGATGCTTGTTGAGCGGTTAAAGGTGCGACGATTCCCTTGTCTCAGCTTGATGTACACGATGACGTTGATGCTAACATCAGCTTGCAATAGGAGCCGGACACCTCCCTCTACGGACCTGCCTTGGACGCAATCAAGAACTTCATCAAGACCTCTACATCTTCTATGACCGCCGTTCCGAAGCCTCTCAAATTCCTCCGTCCGCATTACGATGAACTCGCAGAGCTGTACGAGAAGTGGACAGCGGGATCTGTCAAGGTAAATCTGGGCACTTTCAGCCATCTACAACCTATAGAATCTGACATTTCCTTTTTCCCCCTTAGGACTCGCTGGCTGATACGCTATCCGTGCTCGGTATGACCTACGGTGATGAGGAGAAGTTGGAAACACTCAAGTACCGCCTGTTGGCCAAGTCCGAGGACCTTGGCTCATGGGGTCACGAATATATTCGACACCTGGCGCTGGAGATCGGACAGGAATATCAGAACCGGCTGAATTCAGACAAGGACACTCAGGATTTGGTGGATCTTGTACTCTCGCTGGTACCCTACTTCTTGAGTCATAACGCCGAGGCCGATGCCGTGGATCTGCTGAGCGAGATGGAAATTATTGAGGAAATCCCGCGATTTGTCGACGAAAACACATATGCCCGTGTCTGCTTGTATATGGTCAGTATGGTCAACCTCCTGACCTACCCTGAGGACCAGCAATTCCTCCGAACAGCCCACGAGATCTATGTCCGCTACAACAAACTGTCGCAAGCTATTGTGCTCGCTATCCGACTGAATGACATCGACCTCATCAAAAGCGACATAAATGCTACTGATGACAAGGCTCTGAAGAAGCAGATGGCATTCCTGGTCTCCCGTCAACAGATCTGGCTTGATTTGCCTGCCGAGGACGAGGAGGGCGAGGCTCTTAATGATTGCTTGAACAACACCTCTATCCCGAAGCACTTCAAGTCCCTCGGAAAAGAGCTTAACATCTTGGACCCGAAGATGCCCGAAGACATTTACAAGACACATCTCGAGAGCAGCCGCGGTGCCGGTCTCACCAACCTCGATTCAGCACGACACAACTTAGCCAGCGCTTTCGTCAACTCGTTCGCTAATGCCGGATTTGGTAATGATAAGATGATGCTTGTTGAAGGAGAGAAGGGGCCATGGGTGTGGAAGACCAAGGACGATGGCATGCTCTCGACCACTGCGTCCTTGGGTATGCTGTTACACCGGGATGTTGAGGATGGACTGGACAAGATCGATAAGTTCACATACGCGCAGGAGGACCAGGTCAAAGCCGGTGCTTTGCTCGCCATCGGTATTTTGAACTCCGGTGTCCGTCTCGACTCCGATCCCGCCCTTGCTCTCTTGAGTGATCCGGACAACCTTGAGGCAAAGAATGTGCCGATGCGGGTTGCTTCCATCATGGGTCTTGGTCTGGCATATGCCGGCTCTAACAAGGAAGAGCTACTCGAGATTCTGCTTCCAATTGTGGAAGATACCTCGCTGGACATGCAGCTTTCTGCCATGGCAGCAGTTTCATTGGGTCTCATTTTCGTCGGATCGTCAAATCATCAGGTCAGCGAGGCCATTGCCACCACGCTGATGGACGAGGAGCGTCAGAAGCAGCTTAAGGACAAGTGGACTCGGTTTATGGCCCTGGGTCTGGCCCTGCTCTACTTCGGTCGGCAGGAGGAAGTTGATGTTATCCTCGACATCCTCAAGGCTGTTGATCACCCGATGGCCAAGCCCACTTCCGTCCTTGCCTCTGTTTGCGCCTGGGCGGGCACTGGAACCGTTCTCAAGTTGCAGGAGCTTCTTCACATCTGCAATGACATCATTGAGGAGAAGGAAGAGAACAAGGGCGATGAGCTTGTTCAATCTTACGCTGTGCTGGGTCTTTCACTTATCGCCATGGGTGAGGATGTTGGCCAAGACATGATTCTCCGCCAGTTCGGCCACCTCATGCACTACGGCTCCAGCAACATCCGTCGGGCCGTGCCCCTCGCGATGGGTCTTGTCAGCCCCAGTAACCCCCAGATGAAGGTTTACGATACCCTGTCTCGGTACAGTCACGACAATGACAACGATGTTGCTATTAACGCCATCTTCGCCATGGGTCTCTGCGGTGCTGGTACCAACAACGCCCGTCTGGCTCAGCTCCTGCGGCAGTTGGCTAGCTACTACCACCGCGACCAGAACTCCTTGTTCATGGTGCGCATCGCTCAGGGTCTCCTGCACATGGGCAAGGGTACGATGACACTCAACCCCTTCCACACCGACCGACAGGTTCTCTCGCGGGTTTCGGCCGCCGGCCTTCTGACTGTCCTGGTGTCTCTGATTGACGCCAAGCAATTCATCCTTGCCGAACACCACTACCTGCTCTACTTCCTCATCACCGCCATGTTCCCTCGCTTCCTCGTCACCCTCGATGAAGACCTGCAACCCCTCAGCGTTAATGTTCGGGTTGGTCAGGCCGTGGACGTCGTTGGTCAGGCCGGTCGTCCCAAGACCATCACCGGTTGGCAGACCCAGAGCACACCAGTGCTCCTGTCTTATGGCGAGAGGGCTGAGCTGGAGGATGAACAGTATCTCCCTCTCAGTGGCATCCTGGAGGGCTTGGTTATTCTGCGCAAGGTAAACTCTTGTCCAACATTTTCCCTAACTGACCCCCCACTAACAATATGTCCAGAACCCCGACTGGGTAGCCCCAGAATAATCTAAATGAGATGTTCCCCGATCTTCCTCCATTGCCCGCCACCAGCGGGTCTCAGTATTGTGGTCGGGTTATCGTTGGATCTAATGTATTCAGAACGACTGAGGAATAGCATCGACTTTTTTTACCCCCTCTTGCATTTGGTTATATCGGTATCGGCCGGCTTGGACAGGCTGCGTCCACTGGGAATTCTCATGTAGACTACATCTTCTCGATCATAGGGGCCCTGTTCTTTATCTTCTAGTAGAAAGATGGACTTTACTATTTCAGAACCATTGCATTAAGGTATTCAAGAACCTTTGGGCACTTCATCTCATAATTAGATCGGGTGGCGATGATGTTGGACCAAGGTCCCCATATTGGCAATTTCCATATTAGGAAATAGGGCTTAGGGCTATGAGCTTATCACTTTTTTCCTCTCCGCATCTTCCTTCTCAGTCAAGTCCAGCGCGTTTTCCTAGACGTTTCGAATATTCTGGTCGTTTATTCTCCTGGGCGTATTTGACGATGAAGCTCGACGCCAAGGCAATTCGATATCTCACCTCCGAGGATTTCAGGGTGCTCCAGGGGGTACTCTCAACCCCTCCACCCGCCATGCTTCCCAGCAGTGGGCCTCCGATCCTCTGCGCAGATAGCTAATCAGGATTTGTTTCCTTAGGTGGAAGCCGGAAGCCGTAACCATGAAGTTGTTCCAACCCCGTTGATTTCTCAGCTTTCGGGCCTTCGCGGGGGCAGCGGGGTGCACCGGGCTATCTCGAATCTGGCCAAGATCAACCTGATCGCAAAAGTGAAGAATGCGAAGTGTACGCCATTGTTTTCCATCCTTTCATCATTCTTGATCTGCGACTAAAACCGTTTACTATATCTGCAGACGATGGCTATCGACTTACTTACGGCGGTCTCGACTACTTGGCGCTGAATGCGCACCAGAAACAGAAAGTGGTCTACTCAGTCGGCAATCAGATCGGCGTGGGCAAGGAGTCTGATATCGTCGTGGTCGCAGACAGCAGCGGAGCTCAGCGCATCCTGAAAATTCATCGCCTCGGCCGTATCTCTTTCCGTACCGTCAAGACGAATCGCGATTATCTCCGACACCGCAACACGGGCTCCTGGATGTACATGTCTCGGTTGGCGGCAATGAAGGAATTTGCGTTCATGAAAGCACTTCGGGAGAACGGGTTTTCGGTCCCCGAGCCCATCGCCCAGAACCGCCATACCATTGTTATGGGTCTAATTGATGCTTTCCCCCTCCGCCAAATCTCCAAGGTCCCTCATCCTGCATCGCTGTATTCGGAATTGATGGAGATCATTCTGGAGCTGGCGCGGTTCGGTCTTATTCACGGTGATTTCAATGAGTTCAACATCTTGATTAAGGAAATTGCAGACCCCAGTGGCAAAGGAAAGGCTCCTGCCGATGCGGAGGCTGATGAGTCTGATGAGAACGTCAGGCTGGAACCGGTGATCATCGATTTCCCGCAGATGGTCTCCATTGATCATGCCAATGCCGAGATGTATTTCGACCGTGATGTCAACTGTATCAAGCGCTACTTCCAACGGAAGTTCCACTTCGTGAGCGATGCGCCTGGCCCATTCTTTTCCGATGCCAGGAAGAACTTCCTGAGGAACCCTGGTAAACGACTGGATGTGGAGGTTGAGGCGTCTGGCTTCTCGAGGAAGATGGCGCGCGAGCTGGAGAACTATATGAAGGAAGTCGGCGTAGATGGGGACGCAGGTGCTCCCAGAGATGATCTCGAGGATGAGGAGGAGGACGACGACGAAGAAGAGGAGTCCGGCTCTGAAGAAGAGGAAGAGGCGGAGGAGGAGGAACAGCCTGAGCAAAGCAGTACAGACGTGGATGAAAGCTCTAAACGATTAGAGGCGCTGCATGTTTCGGGATCATCGGGGCAATGAGTGAGATCCGAGATCGTGCTTTAATGACCATGAATGATACCTCTAGACTGTAATATAAGCCCTTTATTGCATATTGAATGCCTTGGTTGGCATTATTCCGAGCCTTTACCCGATTTGGATTAGATGAAGAAAGGCATAGATGGGATCCTAAAAGATAGGGCCAATGTCTGAGACAGATTTGTCGTGGCCCGATTGATGAAAGCAAGTAGGTAATACTTCAATAGTGTCCAACTGCCATTTCCCTTTCTCGTTCCTATTTGCTCTCATGCACTCTGACCTGTTCTCCCTCTTGATGTCTTGCCATTAGTTCGTGGGTATCATCAATGGTGAAGCATTCACCTCAAGGGACTAGAGACCGTTCGGGCGGTGATTGCCATACTCCGCCGATTCAAAGGCCGAAAACCAAAGTGATATTTTGTGGTTCTCGAATTTCTTGCTTCTTCATTTTCCCATATTTCTTATTGATGGTGGTGCAGCATGTACAAGCCACGGGGTACGGGCGTGGTTTCAAACTGCTATTAGAAGTATATTTAGAGCCAAAGTTGAACGAATGTTTAAACCTCATGGCCTGCCAAAGTTACCTTAGGTGTGTACAAGGAGCACTCTACGAGACATACGCCCCGGGAATGAGTTTTCTATTACCATGGAAATTTCAATAAGTCCAGAATTACCTATCATATCACAATTTTGATCTTTGACGACCTGGTCGGCTAGAGAGTGTGTTGTACGGCGGGCGGTGCGGCCACGCACGCAGTTTGGACGCAGCAAAAGATAGACAGCGCTCCGACAGTCCGATCTTCGTCCACCACCAACAACCGCATCTTCGTCACAATGGTGCGCCGAGCAGTCGCAATTCCGAAGGCAGCGAAGAATTCCTTCGTGCCGCCATCACAGCGCAAACAGGTCTTCCTGTACGTCAACTCCCACGACGCCCAACCCGCTCATCAAATTTCAAGATTTCCCCGGGCGGTTGATCGGCATCGTCAAATCTCTGGCTATACAGCCACAGCCTCTAGGTCAGGGACCCTGTGCTAATCTGACTTCAATTACAGGCCTGAATTCGTCATCTCTCTTGTCCGAACTCCCTTCCTCTCCCCCCGCTATGCCCAGTTCCGCGTCCCCCTCAACTTCAACAAGCTCGACCTGCGCGACTACCTCCAGAACCTGTATGGTGTCGGCGTCGTCAGCGTCCGAAGCTACATCGAGCAGCAGCCCATCACCCGTATGACCCGGGATGGACGGAACATTGGACCATGGCGGCGGCCGCAGGCGCAGAAGCGGATGACCGTTGAACTGCGCGAGCCCTTCGTTTACCCCGAAGAGCCGAAGGATCTAAGCCCGTATGTGGTCTCTTTTACCATCCCATGTGATGGATTTGCGCACCGTCGGCACAATTATCGACTAGTGCTTGCGATCTATAGTATCAAGTGTACTTTGCTAACGAATTGCCTTCTTTTCAAACAGGTGGGAGAAGAGCTCCTGGGATGCCGGCGAGAAGTGGCAAAGGAAGATGCAGAAGAAGCAGCAGGATGGGCCCAATGCGGCCGAGCAGCCCGATACCGACCTGCGCAAGGCATACGAGGAGCAGGCGAAGGAGCTGAAGAAGAATACCGAGGAGTGGCGGCCAACCTGGAAGGTATTGGGCCTGGACTTCGCGCATAAGGAGGTCGCGAGGACAGGGAAGAGTTCTCCGGTCCCTAAGTGGCTGTCGAAGTCGTGATTAATGCCTCGGGTTGGGTGTCTGGCTATTCTGATTTGAAAAATCGGTGTTCTTGTATTTTCCCATACTGTCATTGGGCCTATCTTGTATTATATCACCCTGAGGTCGCATTCTATAGATCTCAATATTCAAGCCCCATTTTCTTTCAATGGCTTTGAAATACACGCAAATAATCTAAATGGAAGTGTAGTTGCGCATACTGTATATCTAAAGAGCAATTCGTATTTGATGGATATAAACATGGGAAGTCTTGACTGCATAACTGCATCGTAAAGTCACAAAGATTAGTTACGGTCAACGTTAGCCACTGGGGCCAATATCACGCTATGCAGAAAGATTGGACTTGAAAGAGGCTGGAAGAACGGAGACAAAAAGCGACAAGGAATCGAGGAAACAAGTGACGGTGAGCTTCGCACTAGTATCAGAGATTGAGAGAGCTGTCTACAGGCGGCTCTCGACAAAGTTCATGTGGTGCTGGCCAGGCCAGTGTGCATCCGGCCAGACATGACGGAGTGCTTCCCAGATGTGCCTGCAAGGATATGTTAGAATTGAGGTTGGTGGTAGAGATAGGAATGTGACTTACTGGACGTAGACGATCTCCAGACCCTCACTGACCTCCTTGGGCACATCCTTAACATCCTTACGGTTCGGGTACGGCAGCAGCACAGTCTTCACACCCGCCCGCAGAGCACCGATAAGCTTCTCCTTGATTCCTCCGACAGGCATCACACGGCCTCGAAGCGAGATCTCGCCAGTCATGGCAATTTGCGGCGGGACGGCCTTGTTGGTGAACAAGGAGATGAGAGCCATGGTATGGGCGAGACCAGCCGAAGGGCCATCCTTAGGAATGGCACCCGAGGGGCAGTGGACGTGCAGACTGCGGCTCTTCATGATATCCTCGTTGGGGTCGTGGGTGAGTCCCAGCTCGAACGAGTGAGCCTTCACCCAGGTCAGAGCCACCTCAACAGACTCCTTGAGAACATCACCCAGCTTGCCTGTGAGCTGGACGCGTCCATTACCAGGCATGTCGGCCACCTCGATGAAGAGGATACTGCCCTGGCCGCCGGTGGAGTAGGCAACAAGACCAGTGACGACGCCAGGTCGGCCGTGCTTCTCGGCGACCTCTTCTTCGAAGCGCTCGATACCCAAGATTTCCTCTAGGTCCTCGAGGGTCACCGCCGGATTATACTCATCCCGACGATCGGCGTCACCGGCGTCAGCAAACTGGACGGCTTTGTAGCGGCAGATTGAGCCAAGCTCGCGCTCCAGGTTACGGACACCAGATTCACGGGTGTATGACGTGATGGTCTTGTCGATGACCTCGTCGGACAGATTAATTTGTCCATCCGCCAAGCCGTTGGCTCGCACCTGTTTGGGTATCAGGTGGCGCTTGGCGATATGCCGCTTCTCAACGGTGGTGTATCCGGAGAGCGAGATAGTCTCCATGCGGTCGAGCAGAGGTGCCGGAATGGTATCCAGGGAGTTGGCGGTGGCGAGGAAAAGCACCTTGCTCAAATCAATGGGGATGTTGATATAGTGATCAGTGAAGGTGTGGTTCTGCTCAGGGTCCAGGACTTCCAGCATCGCCGCAGAGGGATCTCCCTGGAAGTTGGCACCGCCAACCTTGTCAATCTCGTCAAGCAAGAAGACTGGGTTGGCGACACCAACCTTCTTCAATCCATTGACGATCAGACCAGGCATAGCGGCGACGTAGGTCCGTCGGTGACCGCGGATCTCGGCCTCGTCGCGGACACCACCAAGAGAGATACGGTGGAATTTGCGACCAAGAGAAGCAGCGACAGACCTGGCCAAGCTGGTCTTGCCGGTACCTGGGGGACCAACAAGGAGCAGAATTGGGGACCTGTCAGTCGTGCGCTTCGTCTTCAAGATCTCCAAACGGGTCTCCAGCGCCACCCGATCGGCCTCCGAGATCAAAGGGACGTCTTTCTCGAGATCCCCATGGGATGCAGCATCTAGGTCCTTTGTGAGACCAGTAATTTGCCGCTCCACATTCTCATTCGTGGTCTGCTTCAATCGCAGCACTGCCAGGTATTCCAGTAATCTCTTTTTGATCCGCTCCAAGCCATAGTGATCTTCATCAAGCTGCTTGCGGGCTAGCTTCAGTGTATCCGGGCCTAACTGATCCTCGGTGACCTTGGCCCATGGGATCTCAGCCAGATTCTCCAAGTATGTACGGCAAACGCCGTATTCAGCGTTGGCCGGGTTCATCTTGCGCAGACGCTTGAGTTCTTTATCCGCAACCTTTTGAGCCTCCGGACTGAGCTGCGCATCTATCAGCTTTTGGGCCAGCTCATCAACCTCATTCGGCTCCTTCTCTTCGTTATCGTTGCCACGACCACCCGCCGGTCCAGGAGGCGTGAGACCCGACAGTCCCTGCATCGCACGTCTTGCCAGTATCTCGCGCTCCCGAGGATCGATCTGGCCAATATCAACATTCGAGTTGGGTGGGAATGAGGTTGTCGTGATAGAGGTCACCTTCACGCTGCTCTTGATATGCTGAGCTTGGCGGGTCAATATCTCTACCACACGCTCCAGTCGCTCCTTCACATCGAACGAGGCCAATATCCGCAGCTTCTCTTCGAAGCTTGCATCGGAGACGTCGGCCATGAAATCGGCGAGTTTCCCCGCTTGTCCTATTTCAGTTTTCGAGATATAGAGTTCGAATTTGCGCGCCACAAGTGGCGACAGACGGTTCGAGGCGGCGGAGAGCAACGAGGATAGGCGTAGTAGAGTAAGAAGCTCGCGGGAAAGCTGTCGCAATTGTTGGAACAATTCCGCGGCTTTGGAATCGCCGTGCATCGATGATGCTAATAAATAAATGTTTAGCCCAGGTGTTCTTGACTCAAGGTCATCGGGATAGGTGCTGTGGGGGGAGGGGGACCTACTGCTTTCATCATGAAGATACACCTCCGCCTCGAAAAATGGTCGATCCTTGATGATCTTCTTAACAGTGAATCGCTGAGCGCCTTGGACCAACAGGAACGGCTCGGCATAGGCGCGGCGCTGGACACCGATCACCTTACCAACCGTGCCGTATCGAAACAGGTCATCCTTGCGCGCCTGGCCAGCATCGATTGCGTCGTACTCCTCCCTTCTATCATCATCCGATTCATCCCCTTCTAGAAGTTGCTGTCCATCGCGACTGAGGAACTGAGAGCTCAGCGGAATACATCCGAAGGTAATCGTGTTGCCCTCGCGCTTGGAAGGCCGGTCCACCAGTGATGACAGTAGGTTGGTCAGATCTGGGCGGTTAGAGACTGGGATGCGGAGAGTAACTCCCGGGAGCAAAACGGAGCCCTTGGACAGAGGCACCAGAGGGAGCTTGGTGGCTCTACCGCTGTTGGATGCCATGATGAACAGCCCGGGGGGATCGAATGGTGGCAAAAATCCAGCGATAGGGCCACACGAACAGGGAAAATGGGAGGAAAGGAAAGGATGCGAGGCAGTGATAGTCAAGTTGGGATAACACAGAGTGATGATCAGGGGGAAGAAGGGAAGAAGAGAAGAGCGGAGGAGTTGTGGTTCCAGAACCCTCTGCAGCCAGCGTCACTTTAGCTCAAGTCCGGGGGAGGCGATAAGGGCGAGTCGCATGTCTCGTAATCTCCACGACCCGTAGCCGAGGTTAGTGCTACAGTACGTCAGGCCGCCGATCCACTGGGGAACTCCATACAGCTAGACACAGCCGGGGTGTCTCTTGTACGGTCACTTGATAATATTGCAGCGATGGCTTTATAGATAGACTTGCTTAGCACCTCCTTCTCCCCACGATCCCCACGATCCTGCATCGAAATGTTGTCGTGGTGTGCTGGCGTGACCCTCTCCGGTCGCGACCGTGTCCCGTGATCGGAGTCCTTCCACGCTCCTCCGGCCGAGTTATACGTTCCTCCACTTCCTCGACCGTTTCGTCTTGTCCTCGGCCAAATTCCTCGGCTTGCTTTCCCTTTCACGAGGCACTACTTTCCTGCTTGGCACGACTCGCGTATCGTCTGATCTTCTCCTTATTCTTTGCCACCTTTCCCCCCTCAACCCAATATGGCTGCCCCCACCCCCGCCACCAAGACTTCCTTCACCATTGGCACGCGCAAATCCAAGCTCGCCTTGGAGCAGACGGAGCTGGTGTGCGCTGCCCTCAAGAAAACACACCCCGACTATGACTTCAAGATCTTTTCCAAGGAGACCGCCGGCGACCTCAACACCAAAATTGCGCTGCGCGATTTTACCACCAAGAACCTGTGGACCGAAGAGTTGGAGGAATTGATGATCGCTGGACAGGTCGATTTTATCGTTCACTCCCTCAAAGGTAAGGGCAATTTTATTCCCCACATTGGACTTGTTCAATGCGCTCATACATTCTCAATCGTTATTAGATGTCCCCACCCTCCTCCCCTCTACCTGCACACTGGGCCCGATGATGCCCCGCGAGGATAGCAGAGACGTGCTCGTCGTGAAGCAAGGGCTACCATACAAGAGCTTGGCGGAGATCCCCGCAGGCTCGGTCGTCGGCACCTCCTCAATCCGCCGAACGGCCCAATTGGCTCGTAAATACCCTCATCTCAAGGTCCTCGATGTACGTGGCAATATCGGCACCCGCCTGGCTAAACTGGATGCGGAAGACAGCCCCTTCACCTGCATCATTCTGGCCGCGGCTGGTCTGCTGCGCCTGGACCTTGGGCATCGCATCACACAGTACCTGGATTCGAAGAGCAGTGGAATGCTGTATGCCGTCGGACAAGGTGCCCTGGGCATTGAGATCCGGAAAGAGGATTCTTTCTTGCAGGTCATGTTGAACAAGATCGGTCACCAGGAAACCACATACGCCTGTCTAGCGGAGCGTAGTCTGTTACGAACCCTTGAAGGTGGCTGTAGTGCGCCATTGGGTGTCGAGAGTGAGTGGGTTAAGACTGTTGAAGGGTCCAAGAAGCTGCGCATGCGCTCTGTTGTCGTCAGCGTGGATGGCAAGCAGTGTGCACAGGTGGAAATTGACGGCGATGTGGATTCAACCGAGAGTGCAGAGGCTTTCGGTGTTACTGTGGCCAAGGCCTTGGTTGAAGAGGGTGCTGGCGCGATTCTCGAGGAGATCCAGCGCAAAAAGGTGGTCAAGGAGAGTCTGTCCAGCTGAACAAAATGATTGTAATAGTCTGAAGCAATACGTATCATATGGTAGATACCCCGTTGAAAATGTATGAAATTGACGATCTCGTCTTATGTCCCCAGTACAAAGCAGTGGATTGACTTGGTAGTAGATTTCCAGTTGGACCCAGATGGCCATGGATGCATGCATCGAAGAGTTTCACCCCAAACTAACAACACCGTATATACCTATGTTTTCATGGAATAGAAAATATCATATCAATCCCTCACCAGTTCAGACAGCCGCCCCTCTTCACCCGCGGTTCAACGTGTTGCCGGATCCCTTGGGATTTGCCTCCACGTATTCGTCCCAGGCGCGGGCTTTCATGGTCTCTTGGTCTGCCTTCTCCAGGTCATCCTCATCAATCTCTGGCTGCATACCAGACTGTTCTCCCCCCTGGAGCACGTTACCCCTGCGGTGCTCTTCTTCCAGGTACTCATCAATCGTCATAGTCGGGAGATTATGGCCGGAACGGAACACGCCTTGCTGCAGCTGCGTGCGACGGTCGAGCAATGTGAAAGGTTGCATTGGCTTGCCTTTACTGTTCAGCAGTGGTCCATTTCGCCCACCGTTAAGAAGTTGTGACAGAGATGGGTCCAGACGGTCTGAGTAGTTCACTCCGCCCAGGTTGCTTCGTTGTCTCGGGTCATCTGTAGGTGGTTGCACGGGCACAGGGGCATTGCGCACGGCAGAGAGCATTGATAGTTCTTGCATCAATAAATCCAACGCTTGGAAGGTCTGGTGTATATAGAGTTGAAGCTCAGCCAAATAAAGTCGACGGGTATCATCGTCGTCGCTTTGGAGTCGCCCTTCATTGCGGGTAAGGTACTTCACATCGCGTCAGCACGAAGGAAGAAGTAATCCAATAGAATTTCAAACAGACCTCTAGCTTTTGCTTCATTTCCTTCTCTTCCCTAAAGCGTCTCACTTTGACATCCCGCCGGGCTGCGGCATCATTCATGGGTGCGAGGGTGAAGGTGGACGGGTTAGCCATGTATTGTTCAAACAGCTTCTTATCTCCAGCTGAGAGTAACTCGTATTCGTCAAGACGTGTAAGGAATCTCTCGTATTGGTCTAAGGCGCGCCGGAGGACAGCTTCGCGATCAGTAGTCGGACCTCGCTGTGAGAGTTCGGCAAGGTGATATTCCAACGACATATACCTAACAGACAAGGATCAGCCCAATGATAACCGCATGACAAGGTTGAGCGAAGCTCACTGGATATCGCCTGTTGACACATCCTCCAGCGACTCGTTTGAGCTGAACAGTGACAGGAGGCTGACCTGTCGCTGACACTCTTGGAATTTGGCGATCGCTGCATTGACAGCGTCCCGATAGGTCGCGGTATGAGTGTCTCCCCTTGACTCTAGTACCGTCTTCTCATCCTTCGCAGATACAAACAGGGACCGAAGACTCTGAGATTCTTCCATGATGATTGTCGAGCTGGACCAGAGAAATTGAATCTCGGAGGGGCTCTTGTGTCCCCGCGATTTCGGCGGGAGTTTTGGCGAGGCGATAAGACGCGATAAGAGGGAGCTCCATCTTATCGCTGGTGGCATCGACTATGGCGGAGTGAGGCCTTACTATTGACTATTTGATTAATTGAGAGATGAATTCTGTTTCAGGCTCTCATTGCTGCCTCGGCTCAGTTGGCTGATTATCTCCTCATAGCTCGTAGCTGCCAGCAGACACATCGCAGAATTCGAGAATTCTCATCAAATATAAATACGGACGCTGCTGCATGCTCCTTCCTCTTACTTTCCCTTTCACCCTTACCAAACACCTCTTTCTCTACAAGCTGACAACTACGAAAACATCCAAAACATATCAGATCATATACCGTACAAGAGAGCACCGACAATAACCATGTCGCCTTCAGATGCCTGGGGAGAGCCAAGGCCAAGTTCCTCTGATGAATCCAAGGGAAAGCTCGAGAGTAAGGTCGCCATAATGAATCATTCTCGCCGCCAGCAAATTGAAGATGCTCAGTTTGAACACTTGTAAGAAATCAAATGAAAGTTGTAATCGCTCACCTAAGGCTGACTGGTAGGCAGGCTCACACAATACGCACAGCGTGACCCTAGCACAATCGAGAAGCCCGAGATGTCTGGGTCATGGGACACACAACTCAACATTGCTCGGATGCTCAAGAAGCAGGATATTGGCCGGGGGAATCTGGACCCTCGTGTGTACCAGATCGAGCTGTTTGAGCGGGCAAAGGCTGAGAACACGATCGCCGTGCTAGACACGGGTATAACATCACCGTATGTCCAACTAGATCAAGAAAGAAAGCTAACTTCAGTATCAGGATCTGGGAAGACCCTGATTGCAGTACTACTGCTCAAACACATCTTGCAGCAAGAGCTGATTGATCGTGAAGATGGCAAGGCTCCTCGTATAGCCTTTTTCTTGGTATATCTATTATAAATTTGTAAGAAAATTCATTACTAAAGCGAAATAGGCTCACAGTGTGACTCTTGTGTTCCAACAGACGGCTGTCTTACAGAACAACCTTAACCAGAATGTGGCGCACATTTTTGGTGCGATGGGCTCAGACCTCTGGGACCAAAATACTTGGGATGATTACTTCTCCAAGAACATGGTCATTGTCTGCACCGGGGAGATCCTCACTCAGTGCCTTCTCAATGGCTTCATAAAGATGAGTCAGATCAACCTTTTGATCTTTGACGAAGCCCACCATACGAAGAAGGACCACCCTTATGCACGGTGAGCTTTATTGTTATGAGCTATGTATGTGAGCACGTGCCTGATAGTTAATAGCATCATCCGTGAGTCTTACTTCAAGGTCGACCGGACTGTACGCCCTAGGATATTTGGGATGACGGCCTCTCCGGTTGATGGAAAAGCCAAGATGACCGAGGCAGCGGCGTAAGAACTTTTCCATCATTGAAGGACCAAGAGCTTATAGTTACTCCATACAGACAGCTTGAACTTCTTTTAGATAGTCGGATTGCCACCACTGCAAATCTGACACTGCTCCGCCAATTCGTGAACCGGCCATGCGAGGAAACATGGATCCATCCGAAGCTTGACCCACCATTTAAAACAAAAATATTTGTTGAACTGGAAGAGAACTTTGGAAACATGAAAGAATTAAAATATCTCTTTCAATTTGCCTGGGCAGCTACGTCAGAGCTGGGAAAGTGGTGTGCTGATCAGGTATGGATCCAAGCGCTGAAGGAGGACGTGATACCCCAACTCGAAAGCAATGCGGGCAAGCATCCGGAGTCAGACATTCATGGCACCGAACAGACTGGGAAAGACCTCGCGAGTGTCCGAGAGGCTTGCGAAATGTTGAAAAACCACCCAATTCAGCACCCGTGGGAGCCAGGCCAGCTGAGCCCGAAAGTTCAACTCCTCCTCGAAAGATTGGTACAACACTTTAGCGCATCAGACCGCAAGAAGTGCATTGTTTTCACAGAGCGGCGAAATACCGCGAAGGCTTTGCTGCGACTTTGTGAGGTGTTGAATATTCCCAATCTTCGCCCTGGAATCCTGGTTGGAGTTCGAAAGTCAGAAATCACCGGAAACGTCACGTATCGTCGCCAATTTGAGGTTAGGGGTAATTTCCAGGACGGAAATATCAACTGTTTGTTTGCGACAGCTGTCGCTGAAGAAGGTCTCGATATTCCGGATTGTAATCTCGTTGTGAGGTTCGATCTCTACAATACGCTCATTCAATATATCCAGAGCCGGGGACGTGCACGACACGCCAACTCCACTTATGCGATCATGATTGAAGCAGACAATGAGATCCACAAGAGACGGGTGCAGGAAGTACGTGATTCGGAGATCCTCATGAGATCATTCTGCAAGACACTCCCTAAAGATCGGTTGCTGCGTGGACCTGACTATGACGTCGACCTACAAACAGTTCTTGGGAGGCAAAAAGGGAAGAGGACCTACACCATTCTATCTACTGGAGCAAAACTGACTTACGGACACGCAATTGACATTCTGGGGCGATATGCAGCATCCTTGAAGTACCAGGCGAAAGATAAGAATCGGAATCAGAATCCGAATCAAAATCCCGATTGCGCCCACGTCAGCTACGCCATGGTTTCGAACGCAGAGAAGTTTATCTGCGAGGTCATACTTCCTGAGATGTCACCTATCAGAGGAGTGATAGGTGCCTTGGAATCAAGTAAGGCCATGGCCAAAGGCTCGGCAGCATTTGACACTTGCATGTTACTCCGGAAGAACAACCTGTTAGATGGCCATTTCAGGCCTGTCTATCACAGGCACTTACCTACCATGCGAAATACCAAATTAGCAATCGACTCGAAGAACCAGCACGAGTACGACAGGCGCTGCAAGCCCTCCCTCTGGACCTATCAGATTGGAACTATTCCAATATTGCTCTATGCCATAGTGATCTGTTTTAGCCCATCAAAGCCACTGACCCGAACACATGCAAATCTGATCCTACTAACCCGAGAGCAGCTCCCCACCTTCCCGAGATTTCCTCTTTACCTGGACGATGACATTGAAACTATGATCCAGACGGTCTGTATCGAGAGCCCTATTGCGGTCAGCTCTCCACAGATTGCCTCCTTCAATGATTTTACAGTTTCTGTTTTTCGCGACGTATTCCATAAGACCTTTGACTCTGTGCCTGAGACATTTCCGTATTGGCTCGCCCCTGCTCGCCAAGACACCGATCCGATTGACCCTACTGAGTTGCCGACCACAATCATAGACTGGAAAGTGTTGAGCTTCGTTGAGGAGCACCGTGAATGGAAATGGTCGGAAGATATGGACCCAGAATCTCTTTTAGAGCGATTTTTGTACGACCCATGGAGTGGGAAATACCGCTACTTCCCACTTCTAGTTGATCGCAACTTGCGTCCTTCAGACACCCCACCTGACCACGTGCCACGCCGCCGAGACGCGAACATGCAGAACATTCTGAACTACTCACTGAGTCTCGGCAAGGAAGCCCGGTCCCTTTTCTTAGACCATTGCAGCTGGAATCAGCCAGTTTTGCAAGCGGAAATGGTTTCACTCCGAAGAAATTTCCTGGATAAAGCATCTGAGGAAGAGAGATCAGATCACAAATTATGTGTTGTATGTCCAGAGGTAGTGATGCTTTCTGCCGTAAGTTGTGCGCTATACATGACTGAAGTCTCACATCTCATCTTTGACACCAAACTAGATCCCTTTGTCAACAGTAACATCATGCTTGGCCTTCCCTGCCATCATTAGCAGAATCGAGTCATACTTGACTGTGCGGGAGGGTTGCCAACATTTGGGCCTTGATATAAGGTTAGATTATGCTTTGGAGGCCTTCACCAAAGACTGTGACAATGCCGAGGAGCAAGGTGCGGAGCAAAGCCATGTCCAGCGAGGCATGGGCAAGAATTACGAGCGTCTAGAGTTTATGGGTGACACCTTCCTCAAGATGGCCACGTCAATTGCGCTTTACTGCCAGAGACCAGATGACAATGAGTACGACTACCACGTCTATCGAATGTGCCTCATCTGCAACAAGAACTTGTTTGACGCGGCTACAGGCATTCTGCTGTACGAGTACATTCGCAGTCGTGGATTTTCTCGGTATGTTGTAGTCTTGAAATCTGATGCGTAATTATGACTGACACATGGGTATCAGACATACATGGTTTCCCACAGGTCCTCGCCTTCTCCATGGTCGGGACTTCACCAAGTACCTCAGATCGGAAAGTAGCCATAAACTTGCACCAAAGACAATCGCAGATGTTTGTGAAGCACTCATTGCAGCTGCACTGCTATCAGGGGGCAAGGATCATCGCTTCGATATGGCTGTCCGTGCCGTCACTTGTTTCGTCAGAAATGATACGCTCACAGTAACCCATACGGCGACATCTTGGGCGGATTATTTTTCGTCCTACACAAAGCCAGTATGGCAAGACAATACGCCAAACGGATGGGAGCTTGATACCGCTCGGCAGATATTTAAGAAGCTCGGCTACCAGTTCAAGTCTCCTTTATTGCTCTGCTCCGCATTCACCCATTCATCTGTTCCACACCAAAGGTCCAGGGTGCCATGCTACCAGCGTCTTGAATTCCTAGGCGACGCACTCCTTGATATGGTGTGTGTTGAGCACTTGTACCATCGTTTCCCTCAAAAGAACCCACAATGGCTCACAGAGCATAAGGTAAGTAGTAACACGCCACTGAGAAGCTGCACAATACTAATGTCTGTTGGAAGATGGCGATGGTGTCAAACAAGTTTCTTGGGGCCCTGGCGGTGCATCTAGGACTACACCGGCATCTTAACCACGCCGACGGCCCCATCCAGGGGCAGATCACTCGCTACGCGGAAGAAATACAGAGCGCAGAAGCCGAAAGCGATGGGATTATGGATTACTGGTTGCATACCAAGGACTCCCCAAAGGTATGTTTGATCAAAAACCCACAATGTGGCTCATGCCCTAACTGATGGCAAAATGATATAGTGTCTTTCAGATATACTCGAAGCATACATTGCAGCAATTTTTGTAGACTCAGGCTTTAATTATACCGTGATCGAGAAATTTTTTAACACCCACCTCCTGCCGTACTTCGTGGACATGTCATTGTATGACACATTCGCAAACAGGCAGCCGACGGTAAGACATTCCGATCACTATATCACTATCGCATAGTAGCTAAACGGGCTATAGACGTACCTGCACCACCGGCTGGCCCAAGTTTACGGATGCAAGCACTATTGTGTGAAGCATGGCCCGATTCCCACGACGAGCTCAGAGCAGCCGATGATTCTCGCCGCCGTGATGGTACACGGCGTATCTTTGGGAGAAACGGTGGGAAGCTCAAGCGAATACGCAAGATTAAGAGCGAGCGAGAAAGCATTAGAGGCTCTTGAAACGCTCCTGCCAGCCGATTTTCGCCTCAAGTTCGCTTGTGACTGCAAATCGGCAGATACGGAAGAAGAGAAGAAGATTGACCATCTGGATCTCGGTACGGCAGAATGATGGGAACAAACAGGGTTAGGGTGCCGTCAAAGGAACATGTAATTGTATTTTATTGTTGAAACGAAAGCATGTATTTAAATATGTGTACCATATTTTAAAAGGAGCATAGTTACGTAGTTAGGCCGACATGGAGTGGCTCAGGAACCCGCCAGCCGTCACATGGCGAGGCGTGACACGCTTAGCCCGATCAGGAAAGGTGCATCCCCTGAAGTACAGCGAACCAACATCGCGTATCTGTGACTGCCATCGACCGACACTTTTTCCTTCTCTCGACCCCCGACTACTATCTCCGAGAAGCATCGATTAATCTTAATCCCTTCCTTTAATCCTTTTGAACCCACGGCGCGGTCTTTCGCCCGCCCTCCGACCCCTCCGACACGACTCGAACCCCTGTCAACAATTAATTTACCGCTCCGATCGCGCTCCAGTTTCATCCATCGATGATCTCTACGAGCGAGTCACAATAGAGTTGGAAACAGGATGGAGGTTGTCACTCCAGGGGTGCCAAATGGCGTGCCCACGCCAGATGCGGCAGCTTCGGTGGATTCTGGCGCGGTCATTCAGTACCTGACGGAAGTGCTTCAGGTGACACTGGGTGCTCTCAAATCCGAGTTGGAGAGCGCCGGGAGCTTGCTCTCGGATGCTAGGTACAACGAGACCGCGCAAAGATGTATGCGATTCGCCTCTGAGTCACAAGTCGCGCTCTACGTGCAGAAAGATATCTCGGCCGCGGAAGAGACAAACGGCGATGCTGAAGGCGCAGGTGAGTTGATGAGCTATGTGGTATGCTCTGTGCAATTAAGCTGATGATATATTTGAAGAACCGACGGTGCAATTTTCATACAATCTTTCTTCTGAGATCTCCTCCGCCTCGACTACCGTCGCTTCGGTGGCCTTCATCAAACGCCCCGCTCCCATCGATCCTGCTCTCCCGATAGCCTCGCAGATCCAGGTGATGAATCTACCCGGTCTCGCCTCTCTGAACAATGCCCAAAATCAGCAGGGAACTTCCATGTCCCCGTATCAGATTCTACATCTGTTGCTCCACCACGGTCTTAGTCCCTACTTCGAAGCCTTCACCCGCAACCAGGAATCTGCTGCGGGCACGAAATCGAGAACAGACACAGAGGCAAAGACTGGTATTCCTGGGACAAAGAAGAAGTTTGCGGAGTTGGAGTTGGGTCTTATGCACCTCCAGCAGAATGTGGAGATTCCGGCGTTGAATCTTCCGCTTCACGAGGTTGTGCAGGCTGCGCTGAAGGAGGCCGAGGCCAGGAGAATCAAAGCAACTGTTGAGTTGATTCCCACGGCGGTCTTGGATAGCAGTGCATTCACAAACAGCGTCCAGAATACGGTGAACGGATGGATTCGTTCAATCCAGACGATCACGAAGATGTCTCGGGATCCGGACAGCGAGTCGGCCTCCCCAGAGGTGAACTTCTGGCTGTCAATGGAAACTGCTCTCGAGGGTATCGAGAGCCAGCTGGCGAGTGAAGGTGTCCGATTGACGATGGATATTCTTCGTCACGCCAAGCGGTACCAACCAACGCTTAGCTTCGTGGCGGACACCGGGCTGAAAGACGCCACAGAGTTAGTCCAGAAGTACAACCAGCTGATGCGAGACTTCCCGCTGGATGAGCTCCTCTCTGCCACCTCCCTGCAAAAGGTGCAAGAGTCCCTGAGTCTCATCTTCAACCATCTCAATAAGAAGCTGAAGATCTGCCCATACCCCATCAAGCGCGCCCTCTCGCTCGTCGAAGCTATCTCTGGTGACCTGGATAAGAAGATCCATGACCTTATTAATGGCCGTGAAATCCTCCACCTGGACTATCGAGAGTTCCGGTCGTTAATGAAGATCACCCAGGCTATCTGGCGCTCTTGGGACGAGAACTTGAAGGAGTTTACCAATGTGGCTCGTGAGTCGACAAGACGCCGAAACGAAAAATTCATCCCAATCAAGATCAATGCCAGACACGACATGACCCGTGAACGGTTGAAGTACATTGATACCTTCCGAGTCAACCACGAGCAGCTTCAGAAAACCATCATCAATGTTCTCGGACCGAAGAACTCTTCACCTACAGAGGCCGGCGCTGGCGTTGACTCTGAGGAGACGGTCATCGTGGAAGAAATCGGCGACGTCGATGCCGTCGAGGAGGTTACCCACGCCTACACTGCTCTGAAGAACGTGGACGTGCTGGACGTCTCGCCCGAAGGATCACGCACTTGGGAGCAGGCGGAGATTGGCTACAGCGAGCGGACGTCCCGTGTTGAGAACTCTATCATTGCTCGCCTTCGTGATCGCCTTGCGACAGCCAAGAATGCCAATGAGATGTTCCGTGTTTTCTCTAAGTTCAACGCTCTACTTGTCCGGCCCAAGATTCGAGGTGCTATTGGCGAGTACCAGACACAGCTCATCGACAACGTCAAGCGCGACATCTCTGCCCTTCACGAGCGCTTCAAGCAGCAATATGGCCATTCCGAGGCACATGCCATGGCCCAGCTGCGCGACCTTCCCCCAGTTTCCGGTGCGATAATTTGGGCCCGGCAGATTGAACGACAGTTGGACAGCTACATGCGCAAGGTGGAAAACGTCCTGGGTGAAGACTGGCACCTGCACACCGAGGGCCAAAAACTGCAAGCTGAGGGCAACCTTTTCCGCAAGAAGCTTGATACCCGCCCTGTTTTCGAATCCTGGCTCTACGATGTGCAAAGACGGCATATCACTATTTCTGGACGACTCTTTAATATCGTGCGTAATCGCGCTGCTGGAAATACGTTGGAGCTTACTGTCAACTTCGACGCTCAAATCATTGCGCTGTTCAAAGAGGTCCGCAACCTCATTTGGCTGAACTTCCAGGTTCCCCATGCCGTCAGCAACATTTCAAAAGAAGCGAAGCGCGTCTATCCGTATGCTATTAGCCTGATGGAAAGTGTGCGAACCATACTCCAAACGAACCGGACCATTGCTTCAATGTCTGATGTTGCAATCCTCCTCAACGGTTATGTGAATGATTCTCAGGCTATGGTCAACAAGGGTATTCCATTGAGATGGGAATCCTTTGTCCACTCTTACGAGCTCCATGTCAAGCAATCAGCACTTGCAAATGGGGCCATTGACACCGCCATGCCTAATCGCACTGAAAGCAAGCATGTTCAGTTTGTCCGCGAATTTGCTGGCTCAGCTTCTGTCCTCCAATCCAAGACTGCCGTTCTATCGTCTATTAACGAGAGCATTCAGAAATCAATCCACGAGCTCAAGACCTGCCCATATGATGCCGCGGCATTCAAACAACGTTTGGACATCATCCAGGTCGCCGTGGATAAACTCAACCTTGAGAATTATGTGAATCTCGGGTACTGGGTTTCTGAGTTGAACACAAAGATCGAAGCTATTCTTGGTGAAAGACTCCATCGCGCGGTTCGTGAGTGGATTGCTGTCTTCCAAGAGCCTCGCAATGAACAGACAATAACCCTCCAATCGGGCGAACCCGAGTCCATGACTTACAATATCTCCTTCCCCGAGCTCTTCCACGAGATCTCCATGAAAAACCAGGTTCTTCACCTCGATCCCCCCTTGCAATTTGCCCGAGCCAGCTGGTTCTCACAGTTTGATTCCTGGCTGGGAGTCATCTGTAGCCTCGAGAAGATTAAAGCCTCCCGATATCAAATCTCAATCGATGTGCAGAATGTTCGCAAATCGGATGCCTGCTTCGCGGATCTCCCGCAGCGTTGCACTGAAGAGCTAAACCAGGTCTACGGGGTGGTTGAAAGCAGACTCAAGGATGTGTCGGAGTATGTTGACAAGTGGCTACAATTCCAGTCACTTTGGGACTTGCAATCCGACCAGGTGTACGATATTCTGAGCGATGACCTGTCTCAGTGGCTCCAGCTTCTACAAGAGATTCGCAAAAGCCGTGCTACTTTCGATACTTCCGAAGTGAGTCGGTCTTTCGGCAACATTAGAATCGACTATGAACAAGTTCAGACCAAGGTGAACGCCAAGTATGATCAGTGGCAACATGAAATTCTTCAGAAATTCGGAGCCAAGCTCGGTGGCCGCATGAGAGAGGTTCATTCGGAAATTGCCTCTGCCCGCCGTGATCTGGAGGGTCAGACTCTGGAGGCTTCTTCCACCGCACATGCAGTCTCCTTTATCACAATTGTTCAACAATGCAAGCGCAAGACCCGTGTTTGGGAGCCGGAGGTGGACCTTTTCCGCCAGGGTCAAACCACCCTCTCTCGCCAGCGATACGCGTTCCCCAATGACTGGCTTCACGTGGAAAATGTCGACGGTGAATGGGCTGCCCTGAATGAGCTGCTTGCCCGCAAGAGCAAGATCGTTCAGGACCAGACTGATGCTCTTCGCGCGAAGATCACAGCCGAGGACCGCGTTATTAGTGACAAGATTGCGGAAGTCATTGCGCAGTGGAATGACGAGAAGCCAGTCTCCGGCACTATTCCCCCAGATGAGGCATCTCGCACACTGAGCTCCTTCCAGTCAAGGCTTGAGTCTCTGCAGTCCGAGTTCGAAATGGTCTCCAAGGCAAAAGAAGCTCTTGATCTTCCCACTAGTACCGACTCATCCCTTCCGGCAATTCTCGAGGAGGTTCAGGACTTTATGTCTGTTTGGGCCGCTCTGTCTACAATCTGGAAGAGTCTTAATGATCTGCGTGAGGGCCTGTGGACTAGTGTGCAGCCCAGAAAGCTTCGACAGGCGCTCGATGGCCTAATCAAGATGACCAAGGAGATGCCCAGCCGAATGAGACAATATGCCGCGTTTGAGCATATTCAGAATGTTCTGCGGCAGCTCCTGAAGGTTAACTCTCTGCTTTCCGATATGAAATCCGAGGCCGTCAAAGAAAGACACTGGCAGAAGATCTTCAAATCTCTTAAGCCCGGAAAGCGGTTCTCCCTGGTATCTCTCACCCTTGGCGATGTTTGGGATCTGCAGCTCGCAACCAGCGAAACTGTCATCCGCGACATTATTGCGCAGGCTCAGGGTGAGATGGCATTGGAGGAGTTCTTGAAGTCCGTTCGCGAAACATGGCAAAACTATTCTCTGGATCTAGTCAACTATCAGAACAAGTGCCGCCTTATCCGTGGCTTCGACGATCTTTTTGCGAAGTGCAGCGAAAATTTGAACTCCCTCCAAGCCATGAGACACTCCCCGTACTACAAGGAGTTTGAGGAAGAGGCTACCTCCTGGGAAGACAAGCTGAACCGTGTTCATGTCCTGTTCGATGTTTGGATTGATGTTCAAAGACAATGGGTCTACTTGGAGGGTGTCTTCACCGGCAATGCTGATATTAAGCATCTCCTTCCTCTTGAGTCAAGCCGCTTCCAGAACATCAACTCAGAGTTCTTTGCAGTCATGAAGAAGGTCTACAAATCTCCGTTTGTTCTGGATGTTCTTGCAATCAATGGCGTCCAGAAGTCCTTGGAAAGATTGGCTGAGCTGCTCAACAAGATTCAGAAAGCGCTTGGTGAATACCTGGAGCGAGAGCGTGTGTCATTCCCTCGTTTCTACTTCGTCGGTGACGAGGATCTTTTGGAGATCATCGGCAACAGCAATGATATTTTCCGCGTGGCCAAGCATTTCAAGAAGATGTTTGCTGGCCTGTCAGGTCTTCTGATGGATGATGACAACAATATTGTCGGCTTCACTTCGAAGGAGGGTGAAGAAGTTCGCCTCAAGCGCGAGGTCAACCTTATCAAGACCCCTAGGATTAACGACTGGCTTTCCGCATTGGAAAACAACATGAAGCTGACTTTGGCAGAGCTGCTCGGGGAGGCTGTTGAGCAGTTCGAGACCCTCTACAACACCACCGAGGTGGACCGGACTGCTTTCAGTGATTTCCTGGCCAACTATCCTGCCCAGATTGTCGTCCTGGCTAGTCAAGTCGTGTGGACCAATGCAGTGCAGAGGTCTTTGGAAGACGGCGGCACAAATCTCCAAGCATTGCATGAGGCTGAGGTCAGAATCCTTGAGTTGCTGGCCGCTACTGTGCTTGGTGAACTAGATGCTATCACACGCAAGAAGTGCGAACATATGATTACCGAATTTGTTCACCAGCGCGATGCTATTTCCAAGCTCATCCAGTTCAATGCGACCACCCCCACTCACCATCTGTGGCTGTTGCAGATGCGTTATGTCTACCAACCAGAGGGTGACTTCTTGCAGCGCCTGTATGTTCACATGGCCAATGCCAAGCTCAACTATGGTTTCGAGTATTTGGGTGTACCTGAGCGTCTTGTTCGCACTCCTTTGACGGATCGTTGTTTCCTTACCCTCACCCAGGCGCTTTGCCAACGACTTGGTGGTTCCCCATACGGCCCAGCCGGTACCGGTAAGACCGAGTCAGTCAAGGCTCTTGGGCTGCAGCTTGGTCGCTTCACCCTTGTCTTCTGCTGTGACGACACATTTGATTTCCAAGCTATGGGTCGTATTTTCCTCGGTATCTGTCAGGTCGGTGCTTGGGGTTGCTTTGACGAGTTCAACCGTTTGGAAGAAAGAATTCTATCTGCTGTTTCCCAGCAAATTCAAAATATCCAAATTGGCCTGCGACAGACTGAGGACGAGGAGAAGTCCCAGATCGAGCTGGTTGGACGTCGCCTAGCCGTCAATTCCAATACTGGTATCTTCATCACCATGAACCCTGGATATGCCGGTCGTTCCAACTTGCCCGATAACTTGAAGAAGTTGTTCCGCAGCGTTGCCATGTCCAAGCCTGACAAGGAGCTTATTGCAGAAGTCATGTTGTTCTCCCAGGGTTTCAAACAGGCCAAGCCCCTGTCTAAGCAAACTGTGCCATTCTTCGACCACTGTTCCTCCCAGCTGTCCAAACAAGCGCACTATGACTTCGGTCTTCGTGCCTTGAAGAGTGTTCTTGTCAGCTCCGGTGGTCTTAAGCGTGCTCGCCTTGCCAATTCCGAGGGCCATCTGGGACCAGATGAACTTATTGAACCACAGATTATCGTCCAGAGTTTGCGAGAGACCATTGCTCCGAAACTTGTCCAAGAAGATGTTGACCGTATGCTGGAGATTCAATTGCAAGACTTCCCTGGAGTTGAATACGTGCCTGCCAACTACGAGAAGCTCACCCAGGCAATGCGGGATATTGCCAAGGAGCAGCACTATGTCGATAGCGAGATGTGGATCACCAAGGCTCTGCAACTCTACCAGATCCAGAGCATCCACCACGGTGTCATGATGGTCGGCAAATCGGGATCCGGCAAATCGGCCGCTTGGAAGATTTTACTACAAGCAATGCAACGGATCGAGGGTGTAGAGGGCATCTCCCACATCATCGACTCGAAGGTCATGTCTAAAGAGGCCCTATATGGTAACCTTGACAGCACTACTCGAGAATGGACCGACGGTCTCTTCACTGGTATCCTTCGAAAGATTGTCGACAACCTTCGTGGAGAGGATAGCAAGCGCCACTGGATTGTGTTTGACGGTGATGTCGACCCTGAGTGGGTTGAGAACTTGAACAGCGTGCTGGATGATAACAAGCTCCTAACACTGCCCAACGGTGAACGTCTCAACCTACCTTCGAACGTACGTGTGATGTTTGAAGTCGAGACTCTGAAGTACGCAACTCTTGCCACCGTCAGTCGTTGCGGTATGGTTTGGTTTAATGCTGATACTGTGACTCCTTCGATGATGATCAACAATTACGTGGAGGGCCTGAAGACCAAGACTTTTGAGGACTTGGATGATGACAGCGCTCCCGCCGGAACGGCCGCAGCCAAAACTCAGGATACCCAGGAAATGCTTTCCACTGTCCTCAAGCAACACCTGGAAATGGATGACCTGGTCCCCAAGGCTCTTGATGAGGCAAAGAAGTATAACCATATTATGGAGTTTACCGATATTCGCGCTCTGAACACCATGTTCAGCTTGTTGAACAAGGCTTGCCGCAACGTTCTGGAGTATAATATCCAGCATGTTGACTTTCCGCTGGACTCTGAACAAATCGAGTCATATATCTCCAAGAAGCTTCTCCTTACCCTGGTCTGGTCCTTCACTGGTGACTGTCCCCTAACAGATCGCAAGGCCTTTGGTCAGTATGTCGCCGGAATGTCGACCATCGATCTCCCACTGGATGGTGAATCATCTCTCATTGACTACGATGTTACTCTCCCCAAGGCAGAGTGGGCGAGCTGGCAGTCGCAAGTGCCTTCAATTGACATCAACACCCACTCGATTACCCAGACCGATGTCATTATCCCCACAGTGGATACCGTCCGCCATGAGGATGTTTTGTACTCCTGGCTCGCTGAGCATAAGCCTCTCCTGCTGTGTGGTCCTCCTGGATCGGGTAAAACCATGACGCTATTTGCCGCTTTGAGAAAACTGCCAAATATGGAGGTCGTCGGCCTTAACTTCTCTAGCGCAACCACCCCAGATCTTTTGATCAAGACCTTCGAGCAGTATTGTGAATACAAGAAAACCCTCAATGGTGTTGTCATGTCTCCGAACCAGATTGGTCGCTGGCTCGTCATTTTCTGCGACGAAATCAACTTGCCGGCTCCTGATCGCTACGGTACACAGCGAGCCATTTCCTTCCTGCGCCAGCTTGTGGAACAGAATGGCTTCTGGAGAACCTCCGATAAGACTTGGGTTTCTCTCGACCGCATTCAGTTCGTCGGTGCCTGTAACCCGCCGACAGATGCTGGTCGTACCGCCATGGGTGAGCGATTCTTGCGCCATGCTCCGCTCATCATGGTCGATTACCCTGGCGAGATCTCGCTCAACCAAATTTATGGTACCTTCAACTCTGCCGTCCTGAAGATTCTGCCATTGCTCCGCGGATATTCTGAGGCCCTTACAAAGGCCATGGTCCAGTTCTATCTTGAATCTCAAACCAGATTCACACCGAAGATTCAGCCTCACTACGTTTACTCTCCCCGTGAGCTTACCCGTTGGGTCCGCGGTGTCTATGAGGCAATCAAGCCTCTTGAGACCCTGTCGATCGAGGGTCTTGTGCGAATTTGGGCACATGAGGCTTTGCGTCTCTTCCAAGATCGGTTGGTTGCTGAAGAAGAGCGAGCCTGGACCGCCGATGCTGTTCGTCGTATTGCATTGGAGCACTTCCCCACTATCGACCAAGAAGAGGCCTTGAAGGGACCGATTCTGTTCTCTAACTGGCTGTCCAAGCACTACGTGCCCGTGGAGCAGGAACGACTCCGCGACTTCGTCAAGGCTCGTCTCAGGACATTCTGTGAAGAAGAAGTTGACGTCCCTTTGGTGCTGTTTAATGATGTCCTCGAACATGCGCTTCGCATTGACAGAGTGTTCCGCCAGCCCCAGGGCCATCTGATTCTTATCGGTGTTAGCGGTAGTGGAAAGACAACCCTGTCCCGTTTTGTCGCCTGGATGAATGGTCTAAAGGTCTTCCAGATCAAGGTGCACGGAAAATACTCGTCTGAGGATTTCGATGACGATCTCAGGAGTGTTCTCCGCCGGGCAGGTTGCAAGGGTGAGAAGATCTGCTTCGTCATGGACGAAGCCAACGTGCTTGACTCCGGGTTCTTGGAACGTATGAACACTTTGCTTGCCAACGCCGAGGTACCTGGTCTTTTCGAGGGTGATGAATTCTCTTCGTTGATGACTGCCTGTAAAGAGGGTGCTCAGCGTCAGGGTCTGCTTCTGGACTCTCAGGAGGAGCTCTACAAGTGGTTCACCCAGCAAATCGTCAAGAATCTCCATGTGGTCTTCACAATGAACCCGCCAGAAGAGGGGCTGTCTTCAAAGGCAGCCACTAGCCCTGCTTTGTTCAATCGTTGTGTGCTTAACTGGATGGGTGATTGGTCTGATCAAGCCTTATTCCAGGTCGGCTCTGAGCTTACTCAGTCTGTCGATCTCGACAAGCCCAACTTTGTCTCTCCCGATAGTATCCCGGTCGCCTACCGCGAATTGTCTCTTCCCGCTTCGTACAGAGACACTGTCGTCAACGCCATGGTATTCATCCACCACTCCTTACACCGATTCAATCAACGCCTGCAGAAACAACAAGGCCGGTCTACTTTCCTCACTCCTCGCCACTACCTTGACTTTGTTGCTCAGTATGTCAAGCTGTTTAATGAGAAGCGTGAAGACCTCGAGGAGCAACAACGTCACTTGAACGTTGGTCTTGAGAAGCTCCGCGATACTGTCGACAAGGTCAGCGATTTACGGGCTAGCCTTGCGCAGAAGAAAACCCAGTTGGAGAAGAAGGACACGGAAGCGAACGAGAAGTTGCAGCGCATGGTTGCTGATCAGCAAGAAGCAGAGCAGCGGAAGCAAGTTTCGCTGGAGGTTCAGGCAGCTTTGGAAAAACAGGAGAAGGAAGTGGCAACTCGGAAGGAAGTTGTCTTGAACGACTTGGCACGAGCTGAGCCTGCAGTCTTGGAAGCCCAGAAGAGTGTCAGCAACATCAAGCGTCAACACCTCACTGAAGTCCGTTCCATGGGCAACCCGCCGGCAAGCGTTCGACTTGCCCTAGAAGCTGTTTGCACACTGCTTGGCCACAAGGTCGACAGTTGGAAGACCATCCAGGGTATTATTCGCCGGGAGGATTTCATTGCCAGCATTGTCAACTATGACAACGAGCGCCATATGACACGCAACCATCGTGTCAAGATGCAGAACGAGTTCCTGTCCAAGGAAGACTTCACCTACGAGCGAGTAAACCGTGCCAGTAAGGCATGTGGACCACTGGTTCAGTGGGTCGAGGCTCAAGTCAACTACTCGGCCATCTTAGATCGCGTTGGACCTTTGCGTGAGGAGGTTGATCAGCTTGAGGAGCAGGCCCTGCAAACCAAGGCGGAAGCGCAAGCTATCGAGAATACCATACAGGGCCTGGAGAGCAGTATCGCCACCTACAAGGCCGAATATGCGGCACTCATCAGTGAGACCCAAGCAATCAAGACCGAGATGTCTCGAGTCCAGTTTAAGGTTGATCGCAGTGTACGTCTGCTGGACAGTCTGGCATCCGAGCGTGAGCGTTGGGAGGAGGGCAGCAAGTCTTTCGAGACTCAGATTAGCACCCTTGTGGGCGATGTACTGATCGCTGCTGCATTCCTTGCCTATGCTGGTCTTTATGATCAACAGTTCCGTAAGGCGATGGTCGATGACTGGGTTCACCAGCTGGCTCAGTCTGGCATCAGCTTCAAGCCTCACAACCCGATTACGGAATACCTATCCAATGCCGATGAGCGTCTCACCTGGCAAGCCAACTCTCTCCCTGTCGACGATCTCTGCACGGAGAACGCTATCATCTTGAAGCGATTCAACAGATACCCTCTCATTGTCGACCCATCCGGCCGTGTTACAGAATTTTTGCAGAAGGAGAGCAAGGATCGCAAGCTCACCGTCACAAGCTTCTTGGATGACTCCTTTGTCAAGCAATTGGAGAGCGCCCTGCGTTTCGGAAACCCTATTCTCATCCAGGATGCAGAGCACTTGGATCCGATTCTCAACCATGTTCTCAATAAGGAATACCAGAAGACTGGTGGTCGTGTTCTCATCCAGCTCGGCAAGCAAGAGATCGATTTCTCTCCATCCTTCAAACTGTTTCTGTCGACCAGGGATCCGTCTGCCTCATTCCCACCAGACGTGTGCAGTAGGACAACATTTGTCAACTTCACGGTCACTCAGAGCAGCTTACAGACCCAATCGCTGAACGACGTTCTGAAGTTCGAACGCCCCGATGTTGATGAGCGCCGCAACAATCTTGTCAAGATGCAAGGCGAGTTCAAGGTCCACCTTCGACAACTTGAGAAGCGCCTGCTGCAAGCACTCAACGAGTCTCGTGGCAACATCCTTGATGACGATAATGTCATCGAGACCCTAGAGACCCTCAAGAAGGAGGCGGCTGAAATCTCCAAGAAGATGTCTGAAACCGAGGGCGTCATGTCCGAAGTAGAGAATATTACTCACCAGTACAGCAGCATTGCCCGAGCATGTAGTGCTGTCTTCGCAGTGCTGGAGCAGCTTCATCACATCAACCACTTCTACCAGTTCTCGCTCCAGTACTTCGTTGATATCTTCAATTCCGTTCTCTACCAGAACAAACGCCTTGCCCAGGAGAAGGACCATGCTGCTCGTGTGCAAATCATCATTCGAGACCTATTCATCACCACCTACCAAAGGACCTCGCTGGGTCTTGTTCAAAAGGACCGTATCACGTTGGCGATCCTGCTTGCTCAAGCCACTCCGTTTCCCATGGACAGGGCCATCCTTGACCGCATTTTGGATGAGTCCGTTGAGGATAGCGACCTCTCAACAGCCATCGATTCTCGAGAGCAGGTTATGAGCAAGCTACTCAACATCTCGCTCTTCAAGGACTTCGTTCCAAGCATCCCTCAAGACCAATGGGAACCTTTCTTCGGGGAGGAGCTTGCAGAGAATGTTGTCCCAGTCGTCTGGAATGACGATACCCCCAAGCTCGACCAATTGCTCCGATCCTTGCTACTTGTCAAGCTCTGCCGCATGGACCGATTCGTCCCAACTGCGGAGCGCTTCATCGAAGCTGTCTTTGGTCGTGAACTCTATGAGGGTAGTGGCGATCTCAAGGACGTGGTCGACCAGGTCACGGCAACGACTCCTATTGCTCTCAGCTCCAGCCCAGGCTTCGACGCCAGTTACAAAGTTGATGCTTTGGTCGAACGCACACACGTTACCTGCGCCAACATTGCCATGGGTTCGAATGAAGGCCTTGAGAGTGCCGACAAGGCGATCAGCAACGCGGCCGCTACCGGTAACTGGGTGCTTGTCAAGAACGTCCACCTGGCACCTTCGTGGCTTCAGAGCTTGGAAAAGAGACTGGATTCCCTCAAGCCTCACAAGGAGTTCCGACTCTTCCTGTCCATGGAATCCAGTCCTAAGATCCCAGTCAATCTTATTCGTGCTTCTCGCGTGTTGATGTTCGAGCAGCCTGCCGGTGTCCGCGCCAACATGAAGGACTCTCTGTCTTCGTTGACCACTCGTGCCAGCAAGGCCCCTGTAGAGAAGGCCCGTGTCTACCTCCTTCTTTGCTTCCTCCACGCTGTGGTTCAAGAGCGACTCCGTTACGCACCCAGCCTTGGATGGAAGGGCTTCTGGGAGTTCAATGACAGCGACGTAAGTAACTCCCCACTCTTACCTGATACTGGCATCACGCTAACAAGTATCATACAGTACGAATGCTCAGCTCAAATCATCGATCACTGGGTCGACACAGTCGCTCAAGGCCGTTCCAACGTTGCACCCCAGAAACTCCCCTGGGAGATGATCCGCACCCTGATCACGGAGATGTACGGCGGCAAGATCGACGATGCCGGTGACTTCCAGCAGCTAGAGGGCCTGGTCAATAGCTTCCTCACACCCGCTGCCTTCGAGGATGAGCATAAGCTCGTTTCGGGTGTTGAGAATGATGAGCTGCTCACTCTGCCCAGCGGCACCAGCATCCGCGACTTCGTCAGCTGGGTGAACAACCTGCCCGAGCGTGAGCCGCCCACTTACCTGGGTCTTCCGGCCAACGCAGAGAAGCTTTTGCTGGTCGGCCACGGCCGCAAGATGATCTCGGATTTGTCGCGTGTGACCACGCTCCTGGATGAAGGCGAACAGTTGATGGTTGACAACTAGCCTTCGTCATCCTTTTTTTTGTTTTGAGTTTTGCTTTTCTAGATCGGAGTTGAGGTAAATCGCCTCTAGACATGTGATTGGAGGGAGAATGCTTCTATACCCAAAGACCGCTGGCGGAATTGTTCTAGTTCATATTGTTGTGGGGAATTTGGGATGTACGTTATTCAAATTCTGTCTTACTTTGCACAGCTTTCTTTTCCTTTTTTGTTCCGTCCCCAGGATCCAAGACTTTGTCCCTACTGCACAATCTTTTTCTTCAACGCTGTATTCTTGATCTCTCTGCTCCCTTGTCAATTAATATACGGTTTGTCTTCAAAAGAATAGACGGAGCCTAAATCCTCCCGGGTGCATTTCACGTAAATTCAGAGGAGAATATGGTCAATAGCATTAAGTATCCAGTATACAATCTGTGGAATAATATCTGGCATGCATCAGGCAAGTCTATAGCGACTGCCCAACACGTAATGTAGAGTAATTTGAAAACAAAAACAAAAAGAAAAAGAAAAACGCCAGCGAGTGATGATTCCTATGTACGGAAATTTGAGATCACGGCGCTTAGGAGATGAAGGTTGACTCTGAGAACATATATCCTTCCTCCTCAGTCTCAGTGTCCCCAACCTTGACCTTCAACTTCAGCTTCTCCTGGGGTGAGAACTGCGCATTGGATTAGTATATATGACAAAGATAATGGGAAAGGGTGGGCTAAGGTGGGAGTTCAGTGTACCTGGAAGATGTATGGTCGGGTACCAGCCACGCTGCCGGCAATGGTCTTTATGAAGCCGGGGACCTCGCCCATCACGTCGACGCGATCTTGTCGCTTGCCGAGCGGGCCGTCCACCACGGCTGAGAAGTCCTGGCCGTCGGCAGTCTTGCCAGTCCACTCCCACTTGATGGAGGTGGGTTCGGGCCAGTCGCTCTCGGGATCTTGCTTAAAATCGGTGTGAGTAACGGTGTTGTTGGGGCCAGCATAGACGATTTCGCCGTCTTTCAAGATACCACCGACGTTGACCTTGGTCGAGCCGTAGGACGGGGGAGTGGTGTACTCCATCATGACGGCGGAGAAGGTTGGGGTCTGGAAGTTGAGGAAGTTCCAGCGGGCGGCTAGAAAATGCGTTAGTCTATTTGCTTTCCAATGGGGCATATTCCTATAAAACCTACCAGCGTGGTGCGGCTTCATGCCCTGCAGAGCCGGGATGAAGACTCCGCGACCAGTCAGATCGTAAGTCTTCTCCTTGGTGGTGATGCTGCCCTCGACGGCGCAACGGGGCCAGAAGCCGTGGTACATGGAGCCCCAGGGGTTCTTGGGGTCGGTTCCGAAGTACGAGGTGCCATCCTTGCCGGCAACGAAGCCCGGCGCCTTGCGGGTGATCTTCAGGTCGACGATGATGTCCGGGTTGACGGTGGACTTGATGTGGTAGGCGTCACCCTCCTCGTTCAGGGTGATGGTCAAGTTATCGGCGCCAAAAGAGAGCATCTGCTCATCGAACATGAAATTGGAGAGCGCATCCGTGTGCCAGATGTGCGGGCTGTCACCCTTCAGGTTGAAGATCTTGGTATTGAAGTGGGCGGTGGTGTGGATGCCCCTATGGACCCGGAAGAACCGCAGAGCAGATAGTTAGTTTGGAAGATGCAAGCACAAGATCGGATGGATCTTTATATTTCACAGTACGCAAAGGATTGTATGCTCACGCAATATTGCTGTAGATGACCTGAACCATGACCAAATTTCCGTCGTCGGCCATGAGGTAGAAGGTCTTGGTCTCGACATTGGTGTACTGGTACGCCTTCCAGCGCAGATTTTCCTTGGTCATGACCGTATAGGGGGTCTCGTCGGCCTGCTGGGCGACAGACTGGATGGCGTCCGGGCCATAGATAGGCTCTTGCGTGCCTACGGCCGCAGAGAGGCTGCCCGCGAGGATTTCGGTCAGTCATTATCATCACCACCACACCATCGCAAAGGAGTTGGGAACGTACGTCGACTTAAGCCAGTTCATTATGGGATCTGAGGAATGCGCAACCAAACAGTAGTATTGGGAGGGATCGAAGAAGAGAAAAAGAAAAGGGAGGTGAAGGGGAGAAGGGAGATCGACACGCGGGGCCCGAGAGTTTACAGTAGTTCGGATGCGAATGGGAACCCGCTGAGCTGATTGAAGCGAGCCGCGCAACCACCAGATCAACTCGGTCGAAACAAAGGGAGACTGTGTGGATCTGAATCGAGCGATAAACTTGATCGGTAGAAAGCAGCTGCGAAGAATCGACAGAAAGCAAGGACGATGACGTTTGGCGGTCCTCAGCTGTTCACCTGTTTCGCTTGGCGCCCGAGCCAATCAGCGGCCGCACCAGGAAAATCTGCCCGTCTTCAGCGCTTCGCTCGTTTTGGTCGTTTCTGCTTGAAACCGTCTGCTTCCTCTTCTCCCGAACTCCACCACACCCCATCCCACATTCCTCGTCATGGCTCGAAACGCCCTGCAGAAGGAGCAATTCGTCAAGCTGATTGTCGGCGCCGGCCAGGCCAGCCCCAGTCCCCCGGTCGGTCCGGCGCTGGGTAGCAAGGGTGTCAAGAGTATGGACTTTTGCAAGGTGAGCTACTACTCCTTCGTCCATGGTCCGTCATTTGCTCGACGAGGCCACTAACATGGGGAAGGAATTCAACGCCCGCACTGCCCACATCAACGTCGGGGTCCCAATTCCCGCACGCGTCACTGTTCGCCCGGACCGCTCCTTTTTCTTCGACCTCCGCACCCCGACTACCACCTACCTGCTCCTTAATGCGGCCAATGTTGAGCCCCGGAAGAACCGTCTGCGCGGCGCGATGAATCCCGGTCACGAGATCTGCGGCAAAATCTCGCTCAAGCACGTCTACGAAATTGCCAAGATCAAGCACTCCGAAACGCGGTTATCGGGATTGAGCCTGCAGGGCTTGTGCAAGAGTGTCATTGCGCAGGCCAAGTCCATTGGCATCCAGGTGGTCCCGTGAAGGGCGCGTGACCACTCGACGTTGACTCGATTTCTGTATCACTACAACCGCATTGACGGTTAGTGGCTGTGAACCGCCGGCTGCTTGGTTCCGGATACCCTGGCGGGAACCACTCCTCTTTGTTGGATGATCTCTTGTGCGATATACCTCGATTGTTTCTGTGGTTTTAAGGCGTTTCTGTGGGAGAAGCAAAATGGGGGCTTCCTCTCGCGCGTGTACTATACATACTTCATACTCCATCCTCATCTGATTACCCTGGTGCATCCTGTTCAGATGTATGCATAACCAAGGGAACGCATATGCAAAGGCAACCGCTAAATCTAGAATAACACAAACCCGCGTTCTTGATGGGCATTCGGATTCGGGACCCGCTCGCAGGATCAAGACTTGATCTGCTGATTAGCTCTGTGGAAGGCTTGGGGGACCTCCAAGTTGTGAGTCGTACATCCCGGACATCTAGTACTCCGTAGATCATGTAGGTAACCCCCGGGCAACCTTGTTCGGTATTGGATTGTTGTAGACCATCTATACATGGCAAAAGGAGAGAGTTCAAAGGGCAAACTACTAACTATGGCAAGCGCATTTGATGCTATCATTAGATAGTTTCGTTGGCACCACAAGCTGCGTTCTTGAGGTGATATCGAAAGGTAGAGAGGGAAAGGGGTGTCCTCTCCCCTTCAGAACCACTTGGCTTGGCGAGTATGAGCGCCCTGAAGACACGCAACACGCACGATCTGAACGCTTGGCAGACATGGAGATAGATAGTACAGAGTACATGGAATAGGGATTTCACTTGCGCTCAGGGGTGAGAAAATATGAAGACCTTCTGACTCTTCATATAACTTCAGTTCTGAAACTTCTATTCGCTGTAGAGAAATCACCATTTAGGGAGGCTACGTTATTTTGGTCGGCAGGTTGATCTCGAGCCCGACACTTCATACAGATCCTTAGGGTTCAGTGGCCCGTGTCTGGGGATGCCCCGGGGGAACAGGGAGATCCCCGTGGAGAAAGAGCCCGCCATGGTCCGTGAGGGCCCAGGCTGTCCCACTCGGCGCTCCTGCTCTCCACCTAGAGAATGGAAGAAATTTATGGTTGCATGGTAGCACAGGAGGATAGTAGGACATGATAGTAGGACAAGCCCCCTCGATCTGCCCTGCGAGGGGGAGGCCAATCACCAACCCCTCGGGGTGGCAGGGCCCAAGCAAGTCAACGCAGGCGGCAGGGAAGAGGCAGGACTAGCCGAGTTGGGCAAAGTTCCAGACGTCCGGAAGAATTGATCGAATGTATCGATTTAATCCCGGCCAACGATGGACGAGACGGTGCATGGGCCACCAGTGTAGCACATGGCCCAGCAGCCACTATGAGTGGTGGCAGCCGCAGCAAGCGAGGGCTTGTGCAGCTTGGTGACGCCCAGCGAGGCCGTCAATCAGCCTGGCCGGCGGAGGCCCGGAAAGTCGGCACGAGAGAGCGCCAAACTAGTGCGACGGCGCAGGCTCACGAGGGGTCGGGTCATCGACATCGACATCATAGGCCACGCCTTCCGAGCTGTCTCCAGCTCCGCGACCTTCCGACCTGACCAACTCTATCCGCCGATTGGAAGGTGGACGGGGATTCATCGTAGTGGTAGCAGAGCCAGGTCAGTTTTCGGATCCAGCGTGACGTGGGAATGGAAATACAGGCAGAAAGCCGAGGGTTGAACAAGTCCAGCAAGTCCAGAGTCGTCAAGAGTACGCTCATACCTCGACGGGTCAACCCCCACTCCCGTTGGCCTCAGCCCTCAGGCGCAGACCCCAAACTCCCAACTTCCCAACTCCAAGCCTCGACACCCTCCTCTCCCTCCTCTCCTCCGGCGCCTCTCATCAACTGCCTTCTCTTTACTCTTCCCCCATTTCTCTTCTCTACTTCTCTCCTTGACGCGTCGATCCACCCCGTTCCGTCATCCCAGTGCGGTCGTACGGCGCTGATCGCACGGATTCGGCGCCGAAAAGTTAAAGGAAAAGATTTGCCTCACCCACGTAATTGACAGCCGGCTTCTTTTCGCCCCGGGATCCACGACGGCCTTTCTATACCCTCACGGTACCTCTACGGTCAATCGTGAAAAGAACACGCAAAATACCATTCTTCCCAAACCCCTCCGTGATATCTCCCCAGTCCGTGAGGGGCATGCGTCCCACCTGAAACCCTGACTTGCTCGACGAGTATGACGTCTGAGCCGGCCGAGCCCTTGACCCCAACCGCCAAATTCATGAATCCAGGTATGTCTTGGCCCGCTCGACCTCCCTATGGGATTGAGATCTCTGGCATTTCAGATTGGCTCTGACTCCGCATACTTGAATGTCTCCAGGCGTCCAGGCGATTCAATCCCCCGCCAAGATGTCCGCCCAGACCCCGGAGGCCGGTGCCGCCGACGCCAAGTCGAAGTCGCAGCCCAGCCAGGTCCGCTTTTCTTCTGTCACGCAGGAGATCGAGCCCTCCCAAGCGACGCTGTCGCCTGTGCCGGAGACACCTCAGCAGCCCGACCAACGCAAGGCCCCCAACGAAGAAGAATTGCGGTCGCTGGCGATGAGCCTGCAGAAATCCCAGCTCCAGGAGTCCCGTCTGCGTAATTTTTCATTCGAACCAATGTCTCTTCCGTCTTCGAGGGTAAGTCTACACTCCTCTTGCTGTGCCAATTAAGCTGCAGCCGTGGAGCTTGCAGGAGATGATGAGAGTTGTTGGTGATTACCCAACAGGACCCTCGTCGGGGTCTTCTACCAATCTGCACAGCCGTTGGTGCCGCAGACCAGTTCCTTGTGCTAACGTCTATTTTTCACGCCGATATAGGTTGCGTCTCGAGAGTCGAGCGACCGCAGTGCTCACGGCACCGCTTCTTTCGTGTCATCTCCCCATGCTTCTCCCCCCGTTTCCGCCGTACAGTCTCCTCCCCTGACCCCTGCTGTCACCACCTCCCGCGAGGGCCGAGCGAGCGACAGCCTGGCCGCCCTGAATGCAGTTGGCCGAGCCACTGGACAGCAATCCGCAATCACACCCGAAACATCCCCTCCAATCACTTCTAGTAACAAGAATGAGACGCAGCGAAGTGCCCCAACCTCTCGACCTTCCTCCACCGACCCACTCTCTATGAAACAGAGCGGCGCCTCGGAGCCCCCGGCCCCGATTCACCCCACGTCCATGCATCGTGCCCAATTCTTTATTGGAACCGATGCGAGCTCCCAGGAAGAGAGCCCCCCGCCCACTCCGCGAGACTCTCATACGCCACCAGGCACTATCACTCCGGTTGGCGAGCCAAATGACCCATACGCACGTAGTAAGCGGCCACCACAGTCGAAGAACCTCGCTCAGCTCGATGCACGCTTTATCTTTGGAAGTCGGGATTCGAAACGGTCATTTCGTCCAAGTAACCCCCCGCGGTCGGCTAGTGCTAGCGATTTGGGCAAGCCCAGCGACAAACGGCATCACAAGAAGGAAGCCAGCGACCACAAGAGTACTGGTCATGGCCACCATGGCTCCATGTCGGAACTCAAACGATTCTTCAAGATGGGTCACCGTTCCAAGCGGTCGGAGTCCCCGACATCTGCGCCCAAGCGGTCGAGTCGATCCTCTGGAAAGGGCATCCCGTACCAGATGGCAACCGACAACGTCCCATTCGCCGACGATCATGGATTGAACTCGAAATACGGGAAAATGGGGCGCGTTCTCGGATCGGGTGCGGGTGGTTCTGTTCGACTGCTCAAGCGCAACAGCGATGGCGTCACTTTTGCTGTGAAGCAATTCCGAGACCGGCACAGTTGGGAGAGCTTGAAGGAGTACTCCAAGAAGGTAACGGCGGAATTTTGTATCGGGTCCACACTCCACCACGGAAACATCATCGAAACTCTTGATATCATTCAAGAAGGAAGCCGTTGGTACGAGGTGATGGAATATGCGCCATTTGACCTCTTCGCAATAGTCATGACGGGTAAGATGAGCAAGGAAGAGATTGCCTGTTCATTCAAGCAGATTCTCAGCGGTGTGGCGTACCTCCACGGGATGGGTCTTGCTCACCGAGATTTGAAGCTGGACAATGTGGTGGTCAATGATCACGGCATCATGAAGCTGATCGATTTTGGAAGTGCGGTGGTCTTCCGCTATCCATTCGAGAACGACATCGTTCCAGCTTCAGGTATGTATTTTGATTGCATTGTCTTTCTGACGCAAGTGGGCCGTTGCTAACCATAACGATTTAGGCATTGTTGGTTCCGACCCATACCTGGCTCCCGAGGTATACGACGAGAAGAAATATGACCCCCGCCCCACGGATGTTTGGTCGCTGGCGATCATCTTCTGTTGTATGACCCTGCGCCGCTTCCCATGGAAGCAGCCGCGCACCACGGACAACTCCTACCGTCTGTTCGTATCCACCCCGACGCCTGGCACTCCGGTGCCTGATTCCGATCCTCGGCGACAAGCCAAGGCCAAGTCCACCCCCGATCTCCCTTCCACCGTCCACGAACAGGAGCAGCCCCCTCCTTCCTCGGGCGGACATAATGCTCCTGAGTCGCCTACCAAGCCCTCCGAACTAGCTCCCCCTTCGGCTGCCCCGGAGCAGAATGGGATCAAGGCGCCGGCGGAGCCTCCCACGAAGGAGAGCGATAAGCCCGGCGACAGTGCGCAGAAACAGACCAGCCAGACCAGCACCAGCACCACCACCCATCATGAAAGGCCCACGCGTACTACCAGCAAGGAGGCCCCGCCTCTCCCGCCGAATGCTCAGCAGCCGAGCCAGCGCCAGGAAGTCATCAAGGGTCCGTGGCGACTACTTCGCATCTTGCCGCGGGAAAGTCGGTACATTATTGGCCGCATGCTGAAGGTTAACCCGAAGGAGCGCGCGACGCTCGACGAGGTTTTGGCAGATGAGTGGGTGCGCAACATCATTGCCTGCCGACAGGAGGACTCGGGTGAGATCATCAATGCCTCCAACCACACCCATATCCTCGAGCCGCCTTCGCAAAGCCCTGCCGTGGCCAGCAAGGGCGCCAAGGCTAAATGATTCCCCATTCCATGTATCAATTTTTTTCGTTCTGTGCATAATTCCCTCAGTGTCCTGGATAGTGGGCCTTCAACTTTGTTCTCTTTTCCCTCTCCTTCCATTTCGCCGTCTTTTCAACCCGCGGTGCGCTTCGATTGGGTCTAGAGTATTCTGCTTCGCTGTGAATGGCGCCGTGTCTCATGCTGGTTTGTTCTATTAATTAAGTCAATCTCCGTCCGACTAATGATCGGTGTCTCTGGTGCTTGCCCTTCTAACCTGCTGCCTTCTTTGATTAACTGTGACAAGGACGGAGACAGGATTGAATAGACTCTGTTTTTGGCGTTGTGGAAAGCCTCGGTTCTGCTGACAAGGAAATTCCAAGACTCTCAATGGCCCAGGTGTCCAGAGTTTGAGTTCCCATGCTAGCGTCTAGTGGATCGAGCACCAGGGGTGTCTTTCTCTCTTTATTGCGGTGAACATGCCTCTTCTCGAGTCCCTGCGGGCGGCTTGTGCTTGTTTCGAGCGCGTGGTCTTGCCTATGCGGATTTCCGGGGGCAGTAGATACTTTTTAAATACAAGAATATATATCGCCTTCTTTTTAAGAACAGAATTTCGTCCGAGCCATTCAATTGCTTGATCTATCGACCGCATTGTTCGGGATTGCCTTGACGTAAGGAGCCTGACTCGGCGATATCGGATGGCTTGACCGCGGAGCAAAACCTTCGATCTGCGGTCGACTGCGGAGCTCTGCTCACCTCGTCGGTCATTCTACATTGCGCTTACCCGTGCGGGTCTGTCTCTGCTACCTTCTCCCATTCATCATCCGGACCCTTGGACGACACAGCATGTTCCTGTACTAGAATCCCCTCTGACACTTCACTCAATCTCGCTCGCCATGGCAGAGCAACCCGGCGGGGAGCAACTGGTCTCGTCCCTCTGGACGAGGTCGCTACTGGTATGCCACACGTCTTCCTAACAGCTCCCCGCTGTGACTCCGTGCTAATTACCGCTTCAACTACAGTCCGGCGCCGTCGCAGGTCTTACCGTCGACTGCTCCCTCTACCCCCTCGACACCATCAAAACCCGCCTCCAAAAGGCACGCGACACATCTGCCCCCCAGGCCCCCCGGCTCTCTCTGCGCCAAACAGTTCGCGGCATCTACGCCGGCCTCCCCTCCGTCCTCTTCGGCTCCGCGCCCTCCGCTGCATCCTTCTTCATCGTCTACGACGGTGTCAAGCGCTCGCTCCTCCCGCCGCCGTCGTCCTCGGAAACCCCTTCCCGCGCCCATGTTTTCTTCACACACTCCCTCGCCTCCTCCCTCGGCGAGATTTCGGCTTGCGCGGTCCGTGTGCCGACCGAGGTGATTAAGCAGCGAGCCCAGGCTGGCCTCTTTGGGGGCTCGAGTCTGCTGGCACTGAAGGATATCCTGTCTCTGCGGCATGCACCCGCCAGTCACACTGCGCCCACAGCTCCAGTCAAGAGCGGATATGGCCAGGTTATCCGCGAACTCTACCGGGGCGCGGGCATCACCATCGCGCGCGAGATCCCCTTCACTGTCCTGCAGTTCACCATGTGGGAGTCAATGAAGGCCACGTACGCGCAGCGGTACCTGCGGCACGACGAGTCCGCCACCACCAAAGAGTCGCAAATCCCGGCCTCCACGAGCGCCATGTTTGGCAGCGTCGCTGGCGCCATTGCGGCTGGTCTGACCACCCCGCTGGACGTGATTAAGACCCGAGTTATGTTAGCCCGCCGCGGCGACGGCGGCATGGGTGCCCCCGTGCGGGTGAAGGATATTGTGCGAGGTATTGCGCAGGAGGGTCCTGGAGCGTTCTGGCGCGGAATTGGGCCACGGGTTGCGTGGATTGGAATTGGCGGGGCGGTGTTCTTGGGAAGTTACCAGTGGGCGTGGAATACGCTTGAGGGTGAGAAGAAGAAGACGGATGATGAGTAGGGTCGTTTGTGAGGTTGTCAGATTGTCTCGTTCTGGCACTGTATATTATGACATGGTTGTTTCTATGCCGTTTTTATAGAAGATTTGGGGGACATAGAGTGGGAAAAGTCATACATACCTAGACATGATCTCTACTACTCATGGGTTTCGACTTACACATATGTCTTTCCTCGCTCGTAAGTCGTTCCCTCTCAAACTGCTTTTAGCATCTAACCTAGTTCTTGCACTTGTTCTGGCGTCAGAAGCTCGTCTATCTGTCTCTGCGCAGGAAAACATAGTCCGCAAAATCGGATCCCGGAACGGCCACGTGGACTATCTAGATGCCTGTTCTATATAGGATCAACATGATGGAACGGGCCTGGTTTGGGGAGTCTGGCAACACATCGCTCCCCTTATACTTCCCCGAACCCACCACCCACTGCAAGCGCTCCCCACGCGCCACATCAAATCCAGCCATGAAGCTCTGTCATCGAGACTTGCCCTCGTGTCCCTCGTGCTGCTCTTAACTGCGGGTAGCCTCGCCTGCGTGAATGATTACGTACCGCCGTCATCCTCGGTGCCAGCTGTGGACGGTCCGGCCCCGGTAGCAGCGGGGCCTTCGGTGTCAGCAAATAGAATTGTCGTACCTGCAGAGCGAGCTGGTTCACTTTCAATTTTTGTGTTCCTGCCCTGTCAGATCTGAATAAGGTGAAAGTCTGATGCGGGTTGCGATCGGTCTCGTTGAAGTCGTCTCCTTGGGGATGGGGGAGCAAGTTGAGAGCGTGGAAGAGGGATTCGATCGGGGGTGGCTCGACTGAGTGTGACGAGAAGGATAGACTCGGTGTAATCTGAGAACAGGAGATATTTATTACGGACATGTACGATTTGTTCTGAATGGAGTCACAGTCCTGCTCAGGCTGGGTACGGGTATATACAACCCTTCAAGCCGGCCGGAGATGACGACCAAACGACCTCGATGTGATCTAGCGGAGAGAGATGACAGCCTCAAGGCGGAGATCAGTCGCACAGATACCATAGCAGTGAGTCAGACAGCGAGACAGGACAGTCAAAAGCCCGGTGACACGGCCAGAGCCCTCACACGGACGAAAGCCGACCCCAGAATATGCGCTATGGCGTCGCGATCCCATGCCCCTGGCGGCAACCCCCCAACTTCCCCTCATTGACCATCCCCCTTCCCCTTCCCCTGTCTTCGTCGGATGCCCTTCGGTACACCGTCTTGGTCCGCCTATCTCTATCCGTCGAGCCCATTGAGCCGGGGAACGATCGTGGTAAATGCGGCTTGTGACGTCGCCCTCCCCACCAAACGTTGTGATCGGCCCTGAGGCAGATAAGCTCCGCATCTCCTCCGCAATTCCCTCTTCCACTCCCCAACTGCATGTATGGCACGGAAACTAAGCCACCAGAGGGTCACCTACGGTAAGCCAATATCTCCATTGGGATCTCGACTGCTGGTTCACCAACTGACCAACCGTTTTCCAGTGCTCCCTCTGCCCGATGCCCCCGGTGGGCACCGGCTGGGGGTCAACGGTCTGACCGTTGACCGTCAGAACTCCATCCTGTAAGCACCCCTTGGCCCCCGGTTCCCTCGAGGCCAAGCAAATGCCTGGCATTCGATTGGCAGGACCTAGTGTGCTTCTGGGTTTCTCTGGCAGCCGCCTTCCACGTGGGTTGCACAGCTTCTAATGTGACGTCTGTTTCTGCGCGCTAGGTATTCCGCAGGCCGCGACGGTGTCATTTGCTCGTGGGACCTCGACTTCTCCCTCAATCCCCTCCATTCCCCGGATCCGTTCTCGACCTCCAATCGCAAGCCGGGCCCGACTCGTTTCAAGACTCAGGTTCAAGCCCACAGCCACTGGATCAATGATATCGTCTTAACCCAGGATAACTCTGCGCTTATTTCGGCGTCGTCCGACACCACAGTTCGACTGTGGCGCCCGCATTCCGAGTCTACCGAGGTCCCAGAGCGCATCGGCAAGCATAGCGATTATGTCAAAGCACTCGCGACTCCAGGCGGCCAGGCCAGCTGGGTTGCGTCGGGCGGCCTGGACCACAAGCTTTACTTGTGGGATCTGAACGGCGGCGGCGAAATCCTAAGTATCGACGCTGGTGGAGACGATACGACTGAGAAGGGCTCGGTCTATGCCTTGGGCGCAGTGAACTCGGTGCTGGCCAGCGGCGGGCCCGAGAATGTGGTCCGTGTCTGGGATCCCAAGTCCGGGAAGCTAGTCACCAAGTTCGTAGGCCATACCGATAATATTAGGGATATCCTGGTTAACCAGGCCGGTGATACGATAATTACTGCGTCTTCGGACCAGACTATCAAGGTGTGGTCTCTGACCGCCGGACGCTGCATGAACACCTTGACCATGCACAACGACAGCGTGTGGTCGCTATACTCGGACGAACCGGATCTATCGGTCTTCTACTCTAGCGATCGATCAGGTTTGGTTGCTAAAACCGATACTCGTGGCTCCTCGGACCTCGAGCAAGGCACCTGTGTTGCTGCACTGCAGGAACATGAGGGCGTTGTCAAGGTTGTGGCAGCTGGTGACTTCATTTGGACAGCTACGCCCAGGTCTAGCATTAATCGCTGGAGAAATGTCGATACCACAGTCGGTATTGAACCGTTCCCGGATCCCGCGCGGACGATCGACTCTACCGCGGTGGCACCGGAAACCTCGACGGGCGAGATGCCTAAGCAGATTCCGTTTAACGCGGCACTGCAGTTGTCAGCCACGTCGGAGCTGCTCGGCACTCCGTCACCTTCCAGCGGACACTCTGGAGAACCGGACTCGGAGAATGATATTGGTCTAACCATTCCGGTGCACTCACTGCCCGAGGAAACCATCGAGGGGCAGCACGGTTTGATCAAGTGCTTGATGCTAAACGATCGGAGGCGAACTCTCACGCAGGATTCGGCAGGAGAGGTGGTCTTGTGGGACCTGCTCAAGGCAAGTTAGGCATTGAAGATTCAGCTTCCTAGTCCGTTGAACATTTACTAACTACGCATGCAGTGTGTTCCCGTTCAAACATTCGGAAAACGCCATATTGATGATGTAGCGACCGAAGTCAACTCTACGGAAAGTATCTCCCACTGGTGCACAATCGATGTGCGCACGGGCAGGCTGTCTGTTATTCTTGAGCCCAACCGCTGCTTCGATGCTGAGGTTTATGCGGACGAGATTGATCTCCCTGCCTCTGAACTTGCACAGTTCCGGGAGGATCAACGAAGTATGTATTGTGTTGGAATTCGATGATTTATATTCTTCTGCTTGCTCACATTTTCATATAGTCAATCTTGGAAAATGGATCCTGCGTTGGCTCTTCGCTCCACTAGTGGATGAGGAGATTCAACGTGATAACACGTACCGCGAGACCGCCATCGCCAAAGCGGAGGAACTCGCCAAGCTTAATCCTTTGAGCACATCCGCACCTGGAGATGACATTCCGCGCAGCATCGGAATCCCTATCCACGGCGACCCTTCCGCGACTCTGCGTCCTGGAATGGAATTCCCCGGAAGCCCGACCACCCCAGGCTTTGGAATCAACGTTGGCACACCATCGTCTGCGACATATCTGAGCACTTCCATGCAGAGCAATAATCCCTTCCCAGCATTCGATGTTGAGACCCCCGATGCTCTTCCTACGATTCACCCACAACACGATGCTGGGCCGTCCTCCTTCTCGGATAAATCCGGTGACTATTTCTCGTCCAGACCGCCGCCGCTCGAAACAGAGAAAAACCCGCTGTCTGCGTCCGATGCGGCTTCAAACCCTGGGCTTCCGCAATCGCCCGCAGAGCCAGACAGGGAGGAGCGTAAAAAGGGATCATTCTTCGGGAAGAAGTTGAGTTTCCCGAAGAAAATTGGGCGTACCTCTACCGACACCAAGCCTCAAATTCTGGAAGAGAAGATCGAGGAGTCTGAAATCTCGTCGATCAAGGAGGAGAAGGTTTACGAGGCCAATATCAGCGGAGTCATCGATCGGATTCGTCATGAGTATGAGGAGTTCCTGTCAGCAAACCCTAATCGGGAGTTGGTGACATCGATCATTCCTAGTGCAGAAAACGAGACTCCTCAACTGGACATACCCCCGCGGACCTCGGTTTTTATCCAGGAAGAAACTGGCGAGACTGCAGTGGCATCGGATCTCTACCGAGGCACCGTGGGTCACATTGGACAAGATATTGAGCGGTTAGAGAAGGCCATTCCTCATTGGCTTGGTGAATTGCTCCTGAAGGTATGTTTTGATCTTTCTCCGTGGCTTTGTGCTGGCTTTCTGATTGTCGCTCTAGAATCAAATCCCGTTCAAAGAGCAGGTGAAGATAGCCTTCATCTTGAAACCGTTTGACGATTCTCTACCACCAGTTGTGAAACCCGAAGCGTGAGTTCCAGAAACATCTGCTTTGGTAATTATCTTGAAAGCTAACACTTGTGTGCTATAGACCCACTGCCAACGGTGGCCCTGCAAATGGCGCTAACAACAGCTCGCGACTCAATGCCAACCGCATGCTCCGAACCAAGAAGGTCCTTGCCTATGTAGCTGAGCGCATTGATCCAGCGAACCCCGATGAGCCCGAGGCGAGCCAAATGCCACCAGAGGAGTACCTGGAGCTGTATTGCCAGAAAATGGTAAGATTTGCCTGGTTCTTCTGAAGACTGTTTACCCTAATCTGATTTTACTAGCTCTGCCCGCCCAATATGACCCTGGCTACTATCCGGACGCATCTCTGGCGAACCTCTGGAGACATGGTTCTGCACTACAAGGCCAACGGCAAGAAGCAGATCCGACCTCCGCGGTCCTTGATAAACACCGACGATAACCATCCCACCCTGGGCGAAGCCAATGTTCCCAATGGCGAGAGCAGCGCGCCTCCAGGCAGTATTCACTCAATGACCAACTCGGGATCGGCCGCTGGTTCAGTCGTCACCTAGGGGAGATGACTGCAAAAGCCCTCTCGAAATACCTGTCTCCATGTAGTTCTCTTGTCCTCTTCTGATTTATTCGCGGTCCCCTAGCTTGGTCTAAGTTGCGAACCGACGATGTGTGTGGCATTTTCTTCAATTGAACAGGCGAAGCACGGGCCCTAGTACATATGAAGATGCTCTCTGTTTACTCTTGTACTTGCTTACATGCCTTATTCCCATGTGTTCTTCGCTTTTCCTTCCCGTCTCTCTTGGTGTCAGCGCTTGTCCACGGCGGGTAGTCAGACCTGTGGGTGCAGAGCGTGCGTTTTGTACGTAGACTCGAGATACCTCTTGCATATATGTTCGCTATGGCTGCTTTCATAATGTTTCATGCTGTAGGGAGATATCCTTGGCCCTTGTTGATCTCCTCTGGGTAAAATGATGACTGAGACCAGGCATTTAAACCTCAGCTCCGCGGACCAACACGGGGTTTTAGCTGATGCATTATACTTATTTGGAAGGAACAGACGTGAAAAACAATGGGATCTTACTAAGAAAGAGGGTCTTGGTTTGTCGGACGTTTTTGAATCTCGTATTCTTCTGTTCTCCCATTAATTTACTACAATCTTACGTGAGGTTCGTGGTGCGCGGGTATAAATGGCGTGCGCACTTCAGTCCCCTCACCAAGGTTCCACCCCCTCCCTTTCCAACAACAATACGCTTCAGAATCCGTACCAAGCATGACCGACAACACTTCGGCCCTCAAAAGCACAGACTATGCTTTCGATCTCGGTAAATTCGGAAGACGTGTTACTACCAACAGTCCTGAAGCCCAAATATGGTTCAATCGCGGTCTCACGTGGACCTATGCCTTCAACCACAAGGAAGCAGCCACATGCCTTGAGCAGGCCATTGCGCACGATGAATCCTGCGCCATGGCCTACTGGGCCATCGCATATGCTCTTGGTCCAAACTATAATCAATCATGGGAGTTATTTGGCACCGATTTGAAGGTCATGGTGCAGCGCACGTACCAGGCCTCGCGAAAGGCACAGGCTCTCGCTACGTCTGCAACCCCAGTGGAACAGGCGCTCATCACCGCCATCCAGACTCGCTATCAGAGCGATGAGCCGGCAAGTATGGAGCAATATAAAGCTCAGAACCAAGCTTATGCGGATGCGATGGAAGTCGCATACCGGGAGTACGGAGATGACCTAGATGTTGCTACTCTCTACGCCGATGCTTTAATCAGCCTTACACCCTGGAAACTATGGGATCTGGTCACTGGAAAACCCAACCCAGGAACACGTACTCTTGAGGCCAAGGAAGTGCTGGAGAGAGCGCTAGCGCACAAAGATGCGAACCGGCATCCTGGCCTGCTACACTTGTACATCCACCTTATCGAGATGTCGCCCACTCCTGAACTCGGCTTAGTGCCTTCCGATAATCTGCGTGATCTAGTACCAGATTCAGGACATCTGAACCACATGCCATCCCATTTGGATGTTCAGGTCGGTGACTATCGAGCTGCCATTCGAAGTAACCAGCAAGCTACACTCGCAGACGAGAAGTACATGAAACACGAAGGCGCTTTCAATTTCTATTCCATTTACCGCATGCATAACTACCACACTCTCATTTATGCAGCAATGTTCGCAGGTCAAAAGAATGTTGCGCTCGACGCTGCTGATCGCATGGAAGCCGCGTTGCCGATAGCGCTCTTGAAGTCAATAGCCGACTTTACCGAAGTCTTCTTTTCTGTACGCTCACATATCATGGTGCGCTTCGGAATGTGGGAGGAGATCCTTCAGCGCCCGCTCCCTGAGGACCAAGACCTATACTGTGTTACAACTGCGCTGGCGCACTACGCCAAGGGCGTTGCCTACGCAGCCCTCGGCAGCATTCCTGACGCAGAGCGCCAGCGAGACCTCTACCACCACGCAGCAAAGCGCGTCCCAGAGTCTCGCCTGGACTTCCCGAATAGATGCGTCGATATTTTCAGCGTAGCATCCGCCATGCTTGACGGCGAAATTGAATACCGACGGGGAAACTATACCCAGGCATTCGAGCACCTCCGCCGCTCCATCGAGTTGGATGATGGGCTGGGCTATAGTGAGCCATGGAGCTGGATGCAGCCGGCGCGCCATGCATATGCTGCTTTGCTATTGGAACAAGGCCATGTGGAGGATGCGGCAGCTGTGTATCGTGCTGACTTGGGTCTTGATGACTCAGTCATCCGCGCACGTCAGCACCCGAATAATGTGTGGGCTCTGCAGGGTTACCACGAATGTCTGGTTCGTTTAGGACGTATGGACGAGGCACGGGTTATCGCGCCACAGCTGAAGATCGCGGTTGCGTTGGCTGATATTCCTGTGAAGTCGTCGTGTTTCTGTCGCACTGATACTTCACAGGCGCCGGAGCCGGAGAGCGCCTGTTCTCAAGGTGGATGCTATTGATTGTCATTATTCGGTGGGGTTTATGAGCCTAAATAGGTGGCGGAATATGATACGAGACGACTGTTGATTCTACACAGACAGTCAGCGGCAACCTTTTCTTTGATCTAAAAATCGAAGTTCCCAATTAGAAAGTTGCGAACATAGCCTCGTTTGTTTAGAAAAAAGTCTAATACAGCACGTGCTCGCAAACTCTCGAGACAATCTGCGGATTGGATTTGGCCCATGAAGGTTTTCAAAATGTGTTCCTCTATTCCAATTTTTTGACGGTGGTTCTGTTTTCAACTTGAAAACTTGTACCTCTACTTGCTGGTATACGCACTAATGCACGCTGTACTGGAGTAGGTCAGAAATCTCCACCTAACGAACAGAAATGAAATCAGATAGCTGATCAGGTCCGCAGCCGCCGGTGTTGCGGAACACAAGAGAAATCTCCGGAAAAGCTACTTCGGTACTACCGGCTTTGACTCTGCATGTATATTATATTGAAACGAGTTGATAAATGGCCCGAAATCTTTGTCTAATCTACCCCTTAAGAAGATGTTTGTTCACTGGTGTTAGCGGCTCTTGTCCTGTCAAGACCCGCCGGACATTCTCCATGGACAGTTTCTCAAATCCGATCTGCGTTTCCACAGCACCTCCGGCTGTGTGCGCAGTGAGCCTATTGGGACGTTCAAGTCAGCATCTATCTTATCACACATTCGTCTCGAGGGACAAGTCAACATACGTGACGTTTCTCATCTGTGCCAGCTCCTTGTTCACGTGTGGCTCATTCTCATGAACATCCAGACCTACCGCCGATAGGTGGCCAGATTTCAAAGCACTAACCAGAGCGGCCTCATCGACCAGAGCACCCCGCGCAATGTTTACAAATTTGGCTCCTATCTTGAATTTTGCGAGTGCCTCCTGGGTTATGAGCTTTGATCCGCCAAACGGTGTTGCGAGAACAACGCAGTCTGCCACGCCAAGAAGCTCGTCAAGCGATTCGCAGAAGGAGGCCCCAATCGCTTCCTCCTGCTCCGTGGACTTACGATACAGATCCTGGTAATAGATTTTCATTCCGAAGCAGGCATAGGCCTTGCGTGCGATGGTGCTTTTCACGGTGAGCGATAGTACTACCGAGGGGTGCTCATCAATACTTACTAGCCAATGTTTCCGAGACCGATGATGCCCAGGATCTGAGTTTGTGGGTTATGAGCGGTGGCTGCGGTATTCTGGTGCGCTTCAAGCCAGAGGTTGGGATCCGCCGAGCGTGCCGCGTCCATAGACCATTGCATATTGCGAAAGACGGAGATAATGTGGAAAATGGCCTGTTATTTTTGGGGCGAAAATATCATCAGCGGTCATGATAGGCTTCTTGTCGTCCATGGAGACGACTAATGCATACCATATCGGCCACAGCTTCGCTTGATGCTTGAGCCCCATTGCAGTAGACGATTGCTAGTATGTGATGAGCCTTTTGCATGAGCACTGAAGAACTAAAAGGCCTACCGTGCTCGGCCAGAATATCAACATCCATCCAGTCATAACCTGCCCCTGCACTTCCGTACACCTTCAACGACCGCGGAAGCAACGGGATCAGTTCAGCATCCCAACGCCCCATTTCCCCTCCGGTGTTCCAAAACGGTCTGAAAATACCCTGGAAGTCTCCCCATTTTTTCTCCTTCAGGGCCTTCAGAAATGCATCGCGTTGCCGCTCTTCTAATGAGGGGCGAATTACAATGAATTCTTTGGATATCTGGGCATAGAGTTCCTTGTTAAATTCGATAGGATCTCCAAGGTGGAGCACGATCGGCTTGTCCGACGCCATCTCGACACCTTATTTCCCAGGCTGTCACTGACGAAAGAAAAACTCATTCACCCAAAGGCCGCACCAAACGCTGGTTCAGTTCACGATTTTTGTAGCTCTAACTTTGAATCCCCGCATCCTCGCGACGCGAACAGCATCCAACCTTTAACTATAATTGGACTAGTGAGTGGGGCCCGTCGCCACAACTCCTAAAACGGCACATAGCCGAGTCGAGCGAGTTGAGGACCGGGGAATGTGGATATTTCCCCGGAGAATGTCAGAGCCGGAGAGTTAGGGAGGGGCGAGATAAGCTGTATGAGCCCCGATCGCGATGCGACACACTGATCCTCGCACACCTCCTCGCATACTCACCATGTTCTATCAGTGGGAACAGCACCCGAACCTGGATAGGCGGCATCGTCCACGCACGCGCAACGGATGCCTGACCTGTCGGTAAGTGAGACGTCGCTTTTCTGGGGTCCGGAGGACTAAAGAGCACTAGGCGGCGCAAAGTTCGATGTGATGAAAAACGGCCCGACTGCGGGCATTGCAGCCGCCTGCAGCTAGACTGCTTGTGGCAGCAGGAGACAGGTCTGCGACCGGGCGTGCGGACGAAGAAAGTACGCCAGCGTCTACCGCAACAGCTCCAAACCGAGTCGCCTGAACTGGTTGAGCCTTCCACAGCCATCACAAAGGCCTCTTCGCCGTCGACCGTCGAGGCCGTAGTTTCGACGGCAGAGGTTCTTCCCAGTGATGATCCTAGCATCAATCGCATCTTCAACTATGCAAGTTTCATGTGGGATGACTATTCGCCTACTGCTTTATCCCCTAGCTGGGACAGCCTCGGCCTGACCTCCTCCCAGGAGCTGGTCCCCTGGCCTGATACCTCTCTTTCCATGTCAGCGTCAATCCCGATGATCTGTGCAAGCTCCATCGCAGACAATGACGTTCTGGTTGAACGACAACCAAGACTCAACACGATGGCATCTCCGACCGTTGCCATCGGTTGGAGTGAGTCTCAGCTAGCCGAGTACTTTGCTCGTTCGGCAGCACCGCCGATTCTAGCTACTGTCGAGACCACGGCGCGCTGGTTCTGGATGCGAAAGCAATTGACCTCGATGACGTCGACCTCGCTCATGGTGAAGTTTGGTGTCATTGCCTTTGTTGCTTTGGAACTAGAGTCCGCGGGCACCTTGGAGTCAGCAACATACACCCAATACTATCGTATAGCCAAAGAGAGATTGGAAGATTGTTTGAGGGAGATTGGCCGTGACAGGAAAATCATTTTATCGCAGCTACGACACATTCTCGCAGTGCTCTTCTTGCTGTCGTACATTGACCTTCTGACAAAAGACGTGTCCAAGGCGCATGCCAATCTCCGAGAGGGATTCCATGCGTTGCAGATGGTGGATATTGAATCCCTCAGTGTGACTGGTAAACGACCCCGTGATAGTACTACATGACGTCGCTGACATGATGCCCGCCAGAAAAACGGCTTCTCTCGTGGCTACGGCTTCTCGATGCACGAGCCGTCAGTGCCGGGGGCGACGGCCTGTTTCTCACCGAAGAGGACAGTACGATCAACACGGACCTGCGATCTCCTGACAGCTCTATCGCCGATGTTGATCCTGGGCTGGACGATGCCGAAGCAGCCTTGGAAGATTTCATCATGCGGCCAGCGTTCGTTTTCTTCCAGAAAGTTCAGCTTTTCATGGGCCGGATCACCAAAATTGACCCCTGGCATCGACGCCGAGGAACGGTCGAAGATGAAACGGAGACCATGGTTATTGCAGCTGCAATCAGTCGAGACATCAAATCTCTGTGGCAGCAGCGACCGCCGCTGATGGACCATGCTGTAGCGGGGAAACTTGCAACCTTGTTGGCCCCCAACTTGGCAGAAACGATTACCCGGACCATGAGGGTGTACCATGCCAACTACTATGCCTCCTTCATTCATTTGCATCGTGTGGCATACAAAAGTAAGCCAATCCGTCCAGATTCGTGCAGGCATGGTCACTAACAAGTTCTCTAGCTCTCCCACGCACCACAGACGTTACAGATGCGATGAATGAGATCCGACAAGTTACTAAAATGATTCTGGAGAGCCCTTGGACATCCTCCCCTCAGGCGATTTCAGCGATTAGTACCCCATCTGCTTCGGTAACGACTTTGCCCTCGCTCCCCGTCAATATGCTGTGGCCTTTGTTGATGCTAGGCGTTGAAGTCGAGGACCCAGAGGAGCGTACGTGGGTTATATCTTGCATCAGGGGAATGGAGAACGTTGCCTCCAATGCCGGCATCACGGCTGATGTTCTCCAAGAAGTTACTCGGCGACAGGATGAAACGAAGCACCGAGTTGATATCAGAAAAGTGATGCACGAGACGTTTGATCGTGCTTTTGCTATCGTATAACATCATTCTGATCTATTTAATGAATCTATGCAGTCCATGAACATCATGATCTCGTTTTCAAAGTTCCTTTTCCAAGTGGTCCGTCATTTTCACTTGCTTCACCACCCAAGCCTGCTTCTCCTCATCCAGGAACTTCGGATAGGGTCGGCGACACCATGAGCTCTCTTCTGGATATCCCAGGTATTTGGCCACCACCCATTTGGTTCCGTTGATGCCAGCTTTTCCAAATCCCCACTCAGCCACGGCAATTTGAAGTTGTAGTTTTTCCGCCTGCTCCGTCTGCCCAGCTTTGTACAGGTTGAAAAGCTCCACCAGCGTCTACATTTGCACCCGTTAGTCATTTCTCTTTCGTTCTCCATCCCTCACTTGGATCACTTGATTACTGACCCTTGGATATAGGTTTGCTAAGCCTGTCACTGAGCCGGCACCGCCCACGCTCAGGCAGGGTACTAGCCAGTCGCTTTGGCCAGCCAGCGCGATAAACGCAGCATTCCCATCCATTGCCCGGCCAAATTTGGCCGCGGAACGAGCTACCGACGCAATTGTTCCACACGTGAGCTTCACCGCAGCGATATTGGGATGCTCGCCCAGAGTCTGCAGCATCTCTGAATTGACATTCAGGCCAGCAGCGACACCAGGGAAATTGTAGATCACGATAGGAATTGGCGAGGCCGAAGCGACCTCCTGGAAGAACCCGACGATCGCGTCCGAGTCCAAGGCGAAATGGAAGTACGACGGCACGAGAACCAGCGCATAGTCTGCCCCAGCCTCAGCAGCCAGTTTCGTGTCTTCAATGATAGCTTGGGTACACCCGCCAAAGGTACCACAAGTAATGGGCAGGCCAGGCCGCCCGAGCTTTTGTGCCGTTGACCGAGTCAGGCGCACCAGACGCGATTTCTCTTCGGGAGTCAGGGTAGCGGCCTCTCCATTAGTACCAGCGATCACAATGCCATGAAGACCGCTGCGGACGAGGAATTCAAGATGCCGTTCCTGTAGTTCCCAATGGATCGACTGGGTGGCGTCGGGGTTGAACCAGGTCAAGCAAGGCACATGAATACCTGGCGGAAACGCCTGGCGAATGGAACCCATCTTGTTCAAGCCAAAAGTCAAAAGGAATTTTTAATTTTGTACGGTCAGACAATCCGGTCATCGAGCCCATATTAAATGTGTCTTGGGTGCTGGTCGATGAGGCGACCAGCGATCGGCTCTCTTCATGCGGAAAGCAGCCGAGAGCGCTGTTAGCGATGGGTGGAGCCACTCGAACCCCGTTCAAACATTTCCGGGGTAGCTGTGGGGTGCGGAGGCGTACACAGGAACCCGCAATGGACGAAGAGTCAAGACTTAGCGCCTACATAAGCCTTGCGATGGCCGTTTGTTGACGTTTCTCCACTCCATACGTATTGAGCTCAGGCATCTGCCAGGGTACAGCACCATGGCCATTCAAGGACAAGCGTTATGCATTTTGATGACCGTCACCTGCGGTCTGTCGTATCTGCTCTATGGATACGATCAGGGTTTCATGTCGGGCATTTTGTATGCTAGATTGTCTCTTTTTGCGGTGCATTTCTTAATTGGCATGCAGGCTTGTTGACGACTACCTCATCACTATGGGCAACCCGTCCTCTTTCATGCAGGGCCTGCTCTCAAGTCTGTACACCCTCGGATGCTTCATTGGGAGTATATTCAGCATGCTCTTCAGCGAACGTCTCGGTCGCAAGAACCCCATCTTGATCGGCACCTCGTTTATTCTGATCGGTGCCACGATTCAAACTACTTCCTATACCCGCGCCCAATTTCTGGTCGGCAGAATTGTCGCCGGGTTTGGAACGGGTTTGAATACCTCTTTGATCCCAGTGTGGCAGGCCGAGACATTACCTGCCCGGAAACGTGAGAAGTTTGGCGCATTGCAATACGTTCTAGTCTGCACAGGAGCGTCCATCAGTTACTGGATGAGCTACGCGCTGTCTTTCTCACGTAACGAGTCCTTTGAATGGAGATTTGCTGTTGCTGCACAGTGTGTCTTTGGTATCTTGCTCCTCGCCGTTGGTACGTTCGCCGTTGCTGCTCATTGCGCTTGTCTGTTGTATGCTAACGTATGATAGTACCTTGGATGCCTGAATCTCCTCGATGGCTGTTCATTCATAATCGAGCGGATCAGACCCTTGCTGTTATCATGAGAATGCATGGAACAACTAACACCGAAGACGAGGAAGTTCAAACGGAAATCAGGTTGATCAACCAAGCCATTCAGTTGGAAGAGCGCAATGGGGCCAGCAAGTGGATCCATTTATTCAAGAACGAGAAGGAGACACAGAACCTTCGTCGGATTCTACTCGGATGGTGGTATGTTACAAGACAATTCCCTCTTTCGTGGACTAGACTATTCTAACCCTTTACTTTAGGCTCATGTTCATGGTAATGTGGTCTGGTGTGTGCAGCATCGGTTACTACATCTCTTATCTACTTGAACACTCTGTCGGCCTCGACCATAACCTTTCACTTCTCCTATCCGGATTCAACGGACTCTGGTATCTATTATCGGCATTAATTCCATTCCTGGTCATCCATCGCATTGGAAAGCGCTGGTGTCTTATGATCGGCGCATTTGGGATGGGGTGTTGCTTTCTCACCATGTCTCTGACGATTCGTTCCGGCACGAAGGCAGCCTCTGTGGTCTGCGTCATTGCCTTCTTCTTATACTACACGTTCTTCGCACTGGGTTTCCTGGCTGTACCGTGGCTGTATAACGCCGAGATTCTTCCCCTGCATCTACGGTCCAGCGGCAACGCCATCACAACATCCTCGAACTGGATTTGGAATTTCGCGACGGTTATGATGACCCCATCGGTGATGTCCCAGCAGGGCTGGAAGGGGTATCTGATCTTTACGGTTTTCAATTTCTGCTTCATTCCATTTATATACCTCTTTTATCCCGAGACTACTGGCCGCCGGCTAGAAGAGATTGATGCCATCTTCTACAAGACGGGCCCAATTGTGGCAGGCACTGAGTGGGCAAGAAAAGGCAAGTTTGAAACCGATCACCTGGATCGGATGGTGGATGGCCTCGAAAACGGCAAGGGGGCGGCAACAAGCTACGTGGAGGATGCGTACTAAATTAAAGTAGAGATAGAAAAAGATACCCGCATTGTTATATCTACCATGAACCAGAGTATATTCGCTGCCATTGGTTAATAATCTCACATTCAAGTCATGATGGGGCCTCCCACCGCCAAATTTAAACTTTCTACTGTAGGTGTAGACTTAATGCCTCCGGACGGCCCAATCTAGCGCCTAGCCCGCCACAGACCAGGCTACAATCTCGAATTTCCCAGAGAACGTCAGATTAGCCATTAACCGTATTTTTGGGGTCGAAGGTAAAAGGAGTCGACTTAGAAATCACGGAATGAGAAAAACATACAAAACAAAACCAAGAAAAACAAAACTCGCCAGGAAAAGGAGGCGGTTGACCCGGTCATGTGCCTCGGGGAAACTAATCCGCCGGCGCCGAGGATCTTGAGCGTCAACTGGTCGTCGCGGAGCATTCACTTCATGGCCGGTAAGAAAGCAATTTCAGTCTCGCAATTCGTCGAGCACTTCCGCCGTGCCTGGCTGGGTGCGCAGGGAAAACTTTATTCTGGTCAAAGTCTCAATCAAAATGACTTCAATAAGCTGCCTCGCAGGCTTGGTAAGAAAGATCTTGTGGCACAGAACAATCATCATAATAAGATAATGAGCATCACTGACCAACATCTTAGGCCTCGCCGTCAGTGGTGGGGCTGACTCCATGGCCCTGGCATTTCTTTGTCGGCAATTAGAACGCTCGGCCTTGGCTGGGCCCATTTCAGTCACCGCGTTTGTGGTAGACCATCGTGCCCGTGCAGAGAGCAGCCAAGAGGCCCGAACTGTGGCCGGTTGGCTGACTGCAATGGGTAAGTACTCGATCTAAAAATTTTGTCTTCTGAGGAGGAGGACACTGCTTGTGCTGCGAGACTTTCTAGTTGATCTTTACCAACATCAATCTAGGCATCAAAACAAAGATTTTGGAGCTGGACTGGGCTTCTTTTGCAAAGCAAGACCGTTCAAGCCAGAAAGAAGGGAAAATACCATTGCCATCTGCCTTCGAAACTCATGCTCGTCATCTGCGATTCCAGGCACTTGGCACGGCCTGCCGTGACAGCGGAATCGATGCCTTACTTATGGGTCATCACCAGGATGATACAGTCGAGACCACCATCTGGCGACTTAGCTCCGGAGGACGGGGTGCTGGCCTCTCGGGAATTGCCGAAGTTGCTCGGATCCCAGAGTGTCACGGCCTATTTGGAGTCTCCGAGAGCGGTTCGTCAATAAAGTTGACCCCCAAGCAGGGCGTTCATCCTCGGGTACAAGTCCAAATCGACGACAGAAATAGAGGCAGCATCGTTCTCAATCCTAACGAAAGCGAAAAAAACACCAGCAGAAAACGAGCAGCAAACTCATCTGTTTCGTCATCTAGCACAGAAAATCCATCCACATCCTCCGACATCTCCGTCGCAACTGGTGGAATTTATATCTGTCGCCCTCTCCTCTCCTTTCCCAAGACTAGTTTGCTGGAAACTTGCTACCAAAACAAAATTCCATACGTGTCTGATCCAACCAACTTTGATCCCACCCTAACTCCACGCAATGCCATTCGCAGCATGCTCGCCTCCAATTCTCTGCCGCGTGCATTGCAGGCACCATCTATCCTCTCCCTGATACGTTCAAGTCAATCTTTTCTTCACAGCTCAACCGAATTCTCCAATCAACTTCTTTCATCGAGGCTTCGTGTACTCGACTTTAATTTGAAAGCAGGCACAATGGTTCTTCAGATTCTGGATCTTCCTGCATTCTTGGATCCCCTGCAATCTCAATTGCCTGCCTTTCGCGTTTTCCAGATTCAATCTCTCACCCTACGTCGCATCACCGAAATAATTTCTCCATTCCATGGGAATCGCTTTTCGGTACGCAGCTACGACCCTTTTGTCTCCCATGTATTTCCGCAAGGCTCCCATCGTGGAAATGAAGACAAGGAGAAGGACGATCCATCATCCCCTCTTCGGCAAAATTTCACTTTAGGAGGCGTGATGTTCCAGCCTCTTGCTTTGAAATCCTCTGAAAGCCAGACGCCCGGTGGCAGGAACATATGGCGTCTATCGCGTCAGCCATTCTTCAAAAACAAAACCCCAGTCTCTCGGTTTGATATTCCCGTCCAGGATTCAAAACAACGCAACTCTCAACCTGGCTCGAAATCCTCTACAAGCTCTACGGCATGGACCTTGTGGGATGATAGGTACTGGTTCCGATTCAAATTAACTCCGAGTGAGAAAAATCGAAAAAGTCAGCCTGGCAAAACACGCAATATCACACTTGTCATCCGGCCATTTCAACAGTCTGATCTCCCCAAGATCCGCGCTGACCATTTGATGTCACCGGAAATGAAATGGGCACGAGGAAAGACCCCGGCAATCACTCTGAACCTGCTCCGCAAGCTTCTCGCCGTTGAGGCTCCAGGGCCAACGCGCTTCACTATTCCGTTACTGGCTGTGGAAAGACCCTGTGAGACGCAGCAACCGGCAAATCAGGAAGCTGAGCAGCTTCTAGCTCTACCAACCCTTGATTTCCGGTTGGATGCTCTATCAAAGAAAAGAGGCCCCAACACAATCGAATTCTCTTATGGGGAAGAGAGATGGAAAGTGACGTGGGACTGGATGTACAAAATGGTTGACATTGAGGCAATACGCCTTATGGGCGGGCCTGTCAAAGCTGAAGCTGAATCTGATAGTGTACACAACGACCAGGTCTAGACAGAAAAGAAAGAAAGTCTTGCAAACATAATCTCCGGTGCTATGCATGACCCACACCCATCTGGGCATGCGGGATGGAAAGTGACGACAGACAAGAACATTGAATATGCCATCAATACACAGTAGGAAACTCGACCTTGAAATGCCCGGAGCGAACAAAGGAGAGAATAGATGTGGTATCACAGAAAAAAGAAAAAAAGGATGAGCGGATCGAAAGAGGGGGAGAAGAAAAAAGGCAATGTAGCAGGCTCGTGTCTGGATGCTTGGTCCCAAGATCACAGCTGCAGATCTATTGGAGATCACGGTTCACTTGCTTTCAGTAATGCAACAGCAGCTGATTGAGCTCTCAGACCCCCAACTTCTCTCTTCAGTCGGAAGTTCTCTTTCTTGAGGCGGCCAATCTCTTCTAGCGCATTCGTCAATTGAGACGCCAAAGCCTCTTCTGCACTGCCTGTTCGGAAGTCCTTGGAGATCTTGCTGAGCTCCAAGTTGAACCGGTCATAGAGTGCTTCGTTCTCGGCGCTAGCCTCTCTGTATAGTTCATCTAGCTTCTTCACACGCTTTTCGCTCACAATCAATGACGACTCAAGGTCTCTTTCAAGAGCATACATTCGACCGCTATATTCACCAGATATATGGACGAATCGCTCCTCAAGTCTCTTCAGACGACTCTCAAGGGATGACCCAGCGCCTGAACATTGCTGGGCTTCTGGTGAACCTACGTTTGGCTCCATGCTAGACTGTTTCGTCGGAGTGAGCCTGAGATTGTGCAACTCATCACCAAGAGATCTTAGCTCATCTCGGAAGTCAAGCTGACTTGTAGCTTGGGTCTTTTTCTCGGCTTGAACACGTTCGCGAAGCTATATTGATTGGTCAGTCAAGAATACCCCAAGTATATTACAAGCATTTACGAACCTTCTGCGGGCTTTGCATTCGCAGCTTCTGCTGCTTCTGTGACGAGGATGAGGACTGTGGTCGCTTGATTTCAGGGCCATTCACGGCTGCGCGTTCCCGAAGGCCCGCATTTCGCTGAGGAATGCTGGTCGCGCGAGATCGGCTTTTATTTTCTTGGGTTGGCGATTCAGGAATGTGACTCTTGGACTTGGTTGACCGCTCCGTCTGCGGTACCCTGGGATCAATGTTCTCCTTTCTACTTGGGGTGGAAGGGCGGGTCGGTGATGTTTGCCGAATTGGCGACCCTAGACGAGCAGGCGATACCGCTTTGGCCGGTGATGAAGCCCGGACCGGCGATGCTAGATAACTACTTTGAGGCCTAGATTGACTTGTGGGCGTGGTTATCTCAGCTCGCGGCCGGTTGGATGGGGTGACTGGACGCAAATGGTGAGACGAAGAGGTATGCGACACATCAGATGAGGCCGTGTCAGGGCGCAGATCCGACAACGAGCTTCTTCGCTTCCTGCGAAGTTTGACGACACCATCAGTCGATATGCCTCGAATGGAAGACAATGACGGCGGTTGCCCGTATCCGGTGCCTGGCCGGGAAATTTGCTCCTCAGATGCAAACCCATAGGGACGATCGCGTGAGGCAGGCCGAAGGAAACCTAAGCGAGCGTCCACATCTGTAGATTTAGAGCGGATCAAGGTCCCTTTGGGAGTGCTAGGCTCCGAATCAGCCGGGCTCTGCCTCTTGCTTAAGGTTCGTAAAATCGATGCGACTTTGCTCTCCCCCTCGCCCTTCAGACCGTCCTTGTGTAAGCTAAACCCAAAGCGCTTCCGGAATGAAGAGCTATTGGAGCTCACAGAACCAGTGTTTGCATGAGAAGTCTTGTTCTGGTCGCAGCTGAGCGTTCCCTCAACCGAGGTCCCGCCTGGGATGAATTCTTCGAAGAGGTTGTCAAAGTCATCTACCAGCCTGTCCAGGAGCGAAACATGCTGCACAGGGTCTCCTTCCTCCGTAATAACCTCAGCGAAGGCTACCGTAAGGGCCCCACGGTCCCCATCGTTCCCTGAGGCATCGAGAAGTTCGGCAAGAAGACGAATGATGGCGGCCAGAGCACGGCGGTTCTGTGGGCTGGTATCCGCCAAAAATTTCCGGAACTTCTCCTCGAAATCTCGTGGAAACATCGTATCAAACTGATTCTGAAGCTGCTTCAAGGTGGGCGCATCCAACACTGGGCCCATGCTCCATTTCCAAGCATTTTTCATGAAGGTTTCGAAGGCAACAAATAAAGTATCAACCGGCACCTCCGCGGCAGCTTGTAGCTTGCTCGGGTCCTCGAGCAGAATATTGTAAAGTTCGTTAACCGGTGCACGATCCGCATGCTCTCTGGCCCGGAGCATGCGCCCCAGGATATTCCCGCTGCGAGACTGTAGAGAAAGAACGTATGCAGCAAATGTTTGTTCCAGCGATCCAAGTTGGCCGTCTGATCCACGAGCACCTGATGCTCCCACCACCGATATTTTGTTCGGAGTTTCTTCCCTTTCCTTTTCCTTTGCCCTTTCTTTCTCCTTTTCCCTGTCTTTGTCCTTTCCAGGGAAAGTAGAAGGTAGCGTGTTGGATCTGGAAATATTGCCTCTTGGGGGAGGCATCTTTGGAAATTCACCCAGTAAAGTAGCTGAGTTTGGCTGCTTGACTGTCAGCACGTTTTCACGGCTGCTCCCCCAGAGGTTCGATATGAGCTTTGTGGGAGAAGGCGGTCGAAAGCTACGTGACGATTTGACTTGTGTGACCAAGCTGCTCGCAATGTATCGAAGAATTTCGAAGTTCGAATGAACCAACGGCTTCATCAATTTCGGGTTTCGAGAGCTGTTCAGAGGTGAAAGAAGATTTTGCACTGGTATAAAGAGTCAATAGCTTGATCTGAAGATCACATCTTACTCCACTTACAACGTCTGGAGAGGGTTGGAACAAAGGTGTCTGCAGACACAAGATCCGTAGACGGAGATCCGACCACAGACTCAATTTCCATCCTGAACTGGTCACCGCTTGATGGAGATATCGACAGCACTACATCCAGGTCGGACCCATTCAGCATCTCAATGCATTTGGCTTTCGGGGTATCAAAGATCAGTCGGATTGGCGATGACTGGGCCTGGTTGAGAGTCACACTCTGCCCGTCCTCGCAGACACATGCCAGAATGTTCGTGCTGTTCGTTATTCCAGGGGGGCTGCGTAAAGTCCATTTGCCACCTTCCCGCTCTTGGTCTGGGAAGCGGCCTTCAATCTTCGCTTTCGTTATTTCTTCAATCAATCGGCTGGCCTTTCCCTCATACATTGCGGTAAGCTCTAAAGCAAGAAGTTCGGTGCCGGCATCCATGGTGCTTGGGCTTGACTGGATTGTGGCGGGTACGATGAATAGAACCCGGCCGCAGTTGGACTGCATGCAGCGCACCGTATGGAGGTCCAACACCTGAGCAACCTTGAGCTCCGCTGAAGACAAGGCCATAGACATATCATTGGTTGATGACGCCGCATTATCGATATCTGCCAGCAATCCTCGCGCGGTAGCCCGACTGTCGGCAGGCTTCGCGAGTAGCACCAAACAGTTTTTGTAGAGAAGCATAATTCCGGCTCCGCATCCTGGGACCTGAGCGTCCAATTGGTATGGTGGCGCAATCTCATTGACATCCACGGCCGTGATCAAACGGCCATCGGGAAATGTTTTCGCTGGCCATCCATCAACAAGCTCTCTCAGGCGCCGGAGACTTTGCGCGTGGCCAGATGGAGACGAGCTGTCCAAGGCACAGATGTCCTTCACAATGTCCCGAGCTTTTAGCAAAGGACGTACCGCAGGATGGACTAACGGCAGGCTGCCTGTCATTGTATCGATCAGAAGACTGTAACGAGGAAGACGTTGCACAGGCTCCATTAGCAAAGAACGTAATCTCTGCTCTCCAGTCTCGTAGACTCGCCGAGAAAAGCTGGAGGTTTTGTCCCTCATGAATGAGTTGAGCGTCTGGGTAAATCCGGTATGCGCTCGCATGTAGTCCGCATAGGGTTGCGAGAACTGGGGTAACCAATCAAGCAATGCTCTAGCAAATGCGGCGGCTCCAATGGCATCTCTAGCGTCCCTTGATGAGCCGCGATGTGAACCGGATGCGGGTAGTTCGGTGTCTTGACTGATATCCTCAAGGGCATCTTTCTCTGTCTCTTCGAGTACATGTCGGATCACATCCAAAAATCCGAGGTTGACTTCCAGGATCTCGCTCAAACATGGTGGGAAGAGCGCCTCCAAAGCTTCCTCGTCAGGGCTGGTACTCGATAGCCCTTTGCGTTTCGCCTTTTGCCGGAACTCATTCGCCACTTCGTGGACCAGAGAATACAACTTCGCTACATATCGCTCCTCTGTATCAACGAGCTCACACATTGTCAAGCGAAGGGCCTCTTTTTGACTGCGTGTAAAGATTCTCGACTTGCTGACGTTAGTCGGCTGTGACGGTGCTCGTTTGAGTCGCGATGTAGGCAAGAACACTGGATCTCCCAATGCCAGGATGAGGGATGTATATGGGCCATATTGGAGAGTCTGTGTCGCTTCAAGGGCTGATTCAGCACTCTCCCGCCGTTGAGATGGTTGAATGGTCCCCATAGGTAACACAACGTCCATATCAGCCCAAGGGACTTGGCGTTCCTGGTATGCACTGCGTATATCGCGCACAACTTCCGATGAAACCTCCACCTTGGTCATACGGCTGGCCAACTCCGCTGCATGCATCTCATCAAATAACTTCGGAGTCTTCTCGCCATGTCGCTGACCAGTCCGAGTGGGAACCGCCAGCCCCTTCCTGAGCGGATCTGACAGTTCCGCAAAATATTTCAGCATGCTGACAGCAAGTCCCCTGGCCACCTCATCGCCTTGTCTCTCGCGGGGGAGATGGTTGACTGCGGCATATAGCGGTGCCGCTGGTGAAATCGTGATTCGAGGGTAGCTCTGGACGCCAGCAGGTGTGAAGATGTGCGCTTGGATGCGCGAGCTGCTCACCGTGGCATTGGCCGTTGCAACAGGGCCGTAGAAGACCAAGATGGAAGAGAGGTAGGTATCGACAGTATGGTAGAGGCTGAGCTGTTCTAGCGGCAGGTCCGACACGGCGGTGCTCGCGGGCGCAGGTGCGTTGGCCGCCATGGCGAGCCTTGTTGCACTTTCCCGGTGTGAGTACACCAGTCTCGGCGAATTGAAACGTGGTGGCAGGAAGAATGATATGCCGGGTGCAGAGTTTCAGAAGGAGCGACGCAGAACTAGTAATGCGCAACGGCGCACACTCAGCAAGGGCAGGGAGGGGAGGTAGGAGGGGAGGCGGGCATCATATGGTCGGAACAGCTCAACGCGGCCTCCATAGAACCTTGATGGAAGGGGTTCAGGCGCAGATGGAGGACCATGCAACACGCTGCAGGTGCATGGAGGGTTTAGAGTCACGCGAAAGCAGGGTGGAAAGAGAGGAGAGAGCGTTTGTTTTGGCGCGCGGGGAAGAGTGATACGGTCAGCGGGCGGCGATAGCGCGATAACTGGTTGACTGGGGCTTATTAGCGCCTCGGGAGGCTCAGCTGGCGGTGCTGTGGGATCGGCTTGTTTATGTTTGTCGGGCCAACGCGGGCCAACACAACCGTTGCTGGCCCCAACAAGGCTGCAAGGTCGATCTGACAAGTCACATTAGCGCCAGTGGCGATTCCATCGAGGCTTGGTTTCCTCTTGTATAATGTCTTGGTATTATCCCTTCCTATGGACTAGCTTGAATACGGGATATTGCTCCAGGCCCTAATGAACGCGATAGATGCTATGGGATCCACAGTACGAAGTAGTGAACCACCGGCTGGGTTCATGAACGATCCCGCCATGTTTTAAGCATAAGTAGGTAGTGAAATGAGGGTTCAGCGCGCCAGAGATAGGTAACAAAGCAATTATAGCTGCGCATCGGAAGCAGGAGGTCTCAGGAAGTAGGGAGTCTGTCTTACTCAGTTCCCAAAGGAGATGTAACTATAAATAGTTGATATAAACAAACCGTAGCGCGCGACAGCCCAACACCAACAATAGGAGGCTAATATATGCCAGATTAGCCAAGCTGAGATGCATTTGCTAATGTGAAGCAATCAGCTTCTTTGAATTTCATCTCTCCCGGCTGTTGCTGTCTTTCAATTCGATTTTGACCAACGCCCGACCTCGACTACAGTATATCGTGGAAAGTAAAAGTCGGGGAAACAAGGCCAATACCAGGCCAGACGAATATTACCACAGTACCTGTCCAAGATGGCCCGCGAAGGCCATTCAATACCACCAAGTGCGTACCAGGGGATATCAGCCCCTGACGAAGGCGGTGAGCGGGCGGGGAAGACGCTAACCCCGAAGAGGCAAGCAGCAGCCCATCGAGAGACCAGCTGTTTGCTCGACGATTCAACGGTGACACTATAGAGCGCATCTCCCGCTCGAGATGCTCGATCCTACCATGCCCGATCCTCTCCCCATTGCCATCGACCCGGTGGCCCTGGTGACTACAGAATGTATCACGGTCACCTCGTCCATGCGGAAGCATGCCCGCTGGGCGCACTCCTCCGTCTCCGCCATCTTGGGCGGCAATGGAGGCTCCCGCGTCTACGAACGAGATACCTCAGCGCCGCCTAGTCCGCGCAAGAGCGGGCAGTCGACTCTTACCGGCGATGAGGATCATGCCCTGGCCAATCGATGGGGCTTGCGGGGGAAGAAGGGCAAAAGCATGCAGGACAATCCTTTGATATCAGCCTTCACCCGCCTGCGGAGTGATCTCAAGGGCTGCAAAGATATCCGGACCTTTGATACCCCAGCGCTCCTTCATCCATTCCTACAGGTCATCCGATCCTCCTCGACCTCCGCCGCGATCACCTCCCTCGCATTGATCGCCATTACCAAGTTCTTCTCTTACAATATTATCAACCGAGACTCCCCCCGCCTCCCGATGGCCATGCAGCTTCTCTCAGCTGCAATTACACACTGTCGATTCGAAGCGAGCGATTCATCGGCAGACGAGATCGTGCTACTAAGGATCCTGAAGTTGATGGAGGGCATGTTGTCTCGACCAGAGGGCGAGCTTCTGGGCGATGAGAGTGTTTGCGAGATGATGGAAACGGGGTTGAGCATGTGCTGTCAAGGACGCTTATCAGAGGTGCTGCGGAGATCCGCGGAGATGGCCATGGTCAACATGTGCCAAGTCATATTTATGCGGCTGTCACACCTCGATCAAGAAGTGCCTCCAGGACCCGACCCGTTTGCGGGTGAGAGTATAAAGAAGGACGCGTCGACCTTGAAAATGGATCCATCTGTGAATGGCGATACCGTGGCATCCCAGCATCAGTCCGCGATGAGCTCTGACACGGCAGCCGCAGAGCGAGACAACACCAGTCGAGAGGGTTCTCCCGAACAGGCAGGTATTGGGGCAGCTGAAGCTGCACCACCGCCCAACCCGCAGGATGACAGTGAGAGCGAAGTTCAGCCTTATTCCTTACCCTCGATCCGGGAGTTGTTCCGCGTCTTGATCGATCTCCTCGATCCTCACAACCGTCAACACACCGATACCATGAGAGTGATGGCCTTGCGCATCATTGATGTTGCTTTGGAAGTAGCCGGTCCGTCTATTGCCCGACATCCTAGCTTGGCTGCTTTGGCTGAGGATGACCTCTGCCGCTATCTATTCCAATTAGTCCGCTCTGAACAGCTGGCTATCCTCACTGGATCCCTCAGAGTCGCTGGTACATTATTGTCAACATGTCGCTCTGTGTTGAAGCTGCAGCAAGAACTCTACCTATCATATTTGGTGGCTTGTCTTCATCCTCGTGTGGAAATTCCCCGAGAAGCAGGCATCGACCCATGTCTTTACGAGGGTGTACCGCAGGCCCCGAAATTGGTTAAGCAGTCGTCATCTCAGACAAATAGTGGGCGATCAACCCCAGTCCCAGTCAAGGATCGACAAAAGCTCGGACTTGAAGGTGGATCTCGAAAACCCGAAGCTCGGGAGGCCATGGTAGAAAGCATAGGAGTCCTGTCCCGGATCCCTAGTTTCATGGTCGAACTTTTTGTTAATTATGACTGCGAAGTTGATCGTGGTGACCTGTGTGAGGATATGATCGGGTTGCTTTCTCGCAATGCTTTTCCAGACTCTGCAACGTGGAGTACGACAAACGTACCCCCGTTGTGTCTCGATGCTCTGCTTGGTTATGTGCAGTTTATTTACGATCGTATGAACGATGAGCCAGTACAAGGAGATTATCCTCCGCCCGATCATCTTCGGAATCAGCGGAAGACAAAGAGGATTATCATCAAGGGAGCGCAGTTGTTCAACGAGGACCCCAAAGCCGGAATTGCCTACCTTGCAGGCCACGGAATCATCGAAGACGCAAAAAACCCTGTGCTTGTTGCCCGGTTCCTAAAAGGGACGGGGCGCTTGTCAAAGAAAGTGCTTGGAGACTTCATCTCTAAACGAGACAATGAAGAATTGCTGGGAGCGTTTGTGGACCTCCTAGATTTCTCGGGGAGAAATGTGGTTGAAGCACTTCGAGAGCTGCTCAGTTCCTTCCGTTTGCCTGGCGAATCGCCCCTGATTGAGCGAATTGTGACAACCTTTGCGGAGCACTACACGGAGAAAGCCAAGCCAGAAGGAATTGCGGACAAGGATGCTCTTTACATCCTAACCTACGCCATCATCATGTTGAACACGGAACTCTACAACCCCAACGTCAAGTCCCAAAATCGCATGTCTTTCCCCGCTTTCGCCAGGAATCTGCGGGGAGTCAATGGAGGTGGTGACTTTACAGAAGAATTCCTTCAGGCAATCTACGACTCCATCAAAGAAAATGAGATTATTCTGCCTGATGAGCACGAAAACAAACACGCGTTTGACTATGCTTGGAAGGAGTTACTTCTGAAGTCGTCTACCGCCGGTGAAATGGTGGTGGGTGAAACCAATGTCTACGATGCAGAGATGTTTGAAGCAACTTGGAGACCGGTTGTGGCTACACTCTCATACGTGTTCATGTCCGCCTCGGACGATGCTGTTTACTCTCGTGTGGTGAATGGATTCGACCAATGTGCTCAAATTGCTGCTCGGTATGGCCTGACGGAGTCATTTGATCGAATCGTCTCCTCCCTTGCCTCTATCAGTACTCTCGCGACGGGTAAGCCTCCAAGCACTGCGCTCAACACCGAAGTGCAAGCAGGCAAGAAGAGCGTGATGGTTAGCGAATTGGCCGTGAAGATCGGAAGGGATTTCAGAGCGCAGTTGGCTACTGTGGTCTTGTTCCGGGTTTTGGCAGGCAACGAGTCCACCCCCAAGCAAAGCTGGGAGCACATTGTGCGAATTCTCAGCAACCTTTTCATCAACTCCCTTATCCCGCCATTTGATTCTAAGCTGACTGCCGAGCTGGACATCTCTCCAATTCCCCTGCAGCCGCCATCCCAGGTTGTTGAACGAGATGCACGCGGCAACGAAACTGGCTTGTTATCTGCTTTCACGTCCTATCTGTCAAGCTATGCAGCCGATGATCCTCCAGAGCCATCCGACGAGGAGCTTGACAACACTCTTTGCGCCGTGGATTGTGTTACTGCATGCTCTATCCCTGAAATTTTGACCAATATCAAGTAAGTGACCGAGCACCTTTGTGACGGCTCATGTTGCTGACAGCCGTCAAGATCACTACCCCTGTCTTCGTTGGAATCGCTTGTAGGGGCCCTGTTATCCCAACTTCCTGAAGAGAACGCGCCTGCCGTCATTGTTGTGAAGCCAGAAAGGCCGAGCCACGTGTCAAGGCCGACGAGCGCCAGGGTTGACCCCAATCGGCCTAAATACGATCCCTCGATGATCTTCATTTTGGAGCTGGCAACCGTTCTCACCCTTCGTGATGACAAGACCCTCGAAACCCTCGGCGAAACGTTGGCGACTACGCTCCAAACCTTGGTTCGCGATGCAAAGAACCTTCATCCACTGACAGTATCTCGTGTTGTGTCTTACCTGCTGAACCTGCTGAGACTAAGCCATGTACGTGTCTATGAAGCGTAGTCGAGTTGTTTTTTCCAGCTAACATACTGCTAGGATCAACATTTCCTGCGAGTACCTGTCGTGCTCCACGCGATTTCTGGGTATGATCAAGATGTATTGGACACCGTTGCCGTGCCGACAGTGAAGGGCCTTGCACGATGCATTGCTCACACCGGCCGTCTGAGAAATGAAATTACCATTTCTCCAGACTTCTGGTCCATTTTGCAACGGCTACACCAGCACGAGGAGGCCGCTCCGCTAGTCTTCGAGCTCCTTCAAAGCATTATCGACTCTATGCCTGACATTGTCACGGCCGACAACTACGAATCCGCCGTTGCTCTAGCGAATGACTTTGTCAGTGCAGGGCATGTGGGGTCTATCGACGAGCGTCAGAGAGATGCTCAGGGTCGACGAGCCAAGGGTGTCAAACAAACCAAATCCAGGTATGAAGACTTGCTTATACTGGAGTGATGCACCGATCTAACCCACAGATAGTGAGAACCAGGTCGTCGCTCGCGGCATCAAAGCTATTGGGTTGATATATCACCTTACTGGGCGAGTGCCCACGCTTATCAAGCAGTCCCACCTCGAAGAGCGTGAAGGTTAGTCGTACTGGCTGCTGTCTAGTCCCCCATAACAATCCTGACCCGTTTTGAATAATTAGCCTGGTCTGCATACTGGTCTCCTATTTTCGAATCCCTTCGTGGCCAGTGTACCAATCCATGCCGTGACATCCGACACCATGCCATTTCCACTTTGCAACGAGCCCTCCTGTCAGCTGAGTTGATCTCTGGCGACGACCAGGAGTGGGCCACCATTTTCGACGAGGTTCTTTTCCCGCTCATCCTGCGCCTCCTCAAGCCAGAGGTTTATCACTCTGACCCCTTTGGCATGGGTGAGACTCGAGTGCAAGCAGCGACATTGGTCTGCAAGATCTTTTTGCGCTTCCTTGACCAACTTCCCAATCGGGAAGGCATGCTTCCTCTTTGGCTCCAAATTTTGGATATCCTCGACCGGATGATGAACAGTGGCCAGAGTGACAGCCTGGAAGAAGCCATTCCTGAAAGCTTGAAGAACATTCTCCTCGTCATGGCTGACGGTGGCTACTTGGTGCCCCCATCCCACGATCCCAGCAAAGAGGAGATGTGGGTGGAGACTCGGAAGCGCCTCGGTCGATTTTTGCCGGACTTGTTCGTCGAGATTTTCCCCGATGCAGCCAAGGAGTCCGAGAGTCCTCGGCCAGGCTCCGCAGCTCCATCGCCACCCCAGCCGGCCAGCGATGCTGGAAGGACGAGCGAAGAAACTGCGCCGTCGCCGCATGATGCTGGGGGCGATGCCACGGAAGCCGACCCTGCCGATGCTCAACCTGCTCCCGAGGGAGCTGCCTCATCATAGGCCACGCCCCTCTTGGTCTCCTCTCGGCAAGCTGTGGTTCGCTTGTCTCGTTCCGCTCCCTTTCACTTTTCGCATTTACATATAGAAATAGCGTTGGGGTGACCGCTTTGGATTCGCCCCTTTCTTGCTCGTGATCTTATTTTTTGTTTCCCAATCGCCCTATGTAGATAGAGCGTGTGTGATGGACCTTATTACTGGGGCTGAGCCATAATCAAAAGGAGTTGATTTCTGAGACTAAAATGATGATGGAACAAACTAGCGCAACCAACTTGACTTGAGAATCGTAAACAACGCTGGAGAGCCGGAAAGAGACTGGCCAGTCTTACGCTCCTGCTTCCCCTGCTCCTGGTGGTGGTGGCCCTAATGGAGGCGGTGGTGCTGGCAAAGGTGCTGGTCCCCCCAGTGCGCCTCGCCCCATTCCTCCGGAGGCCAATGGCCCTACTCCTTCTTTTGCCAGAATTCCAGAAGGCATCGCCGGCGGCAGTTTCGGGTAGGTTGCGTATACCTGCGCCGGTGCCCAAGTAGCGTTATACGCCCACGGTCTCGTGGCGTTCAAGATATTAGGCCGTATCGTCGGTACTCGGGTTTTGAATCCGCCTTTGAGGTTAAATATGTGCGTTACGCCTGTCCCATCCGGAGCTGATCCCATGTACAGTTTGTAGCGGAGCCATGGGCCTGACAGCCTTTCGCAGGGCCGGAAGGCCGTATTATCCGTGAGGGTACATGGCGTCCAGTCCCAGCTGGTCATGTAGGCGCCATTGGTATCGGTCATGTTGACTTCTATGGCCCACCACGTCTTCACAAACCCTGCGCCACCGGCAGCCGTTACATGGCTACAGGCGCCGAGCATGGGAGGCATGAGAGGATGGAAGCCTCCCTGGCCCATTGCCATTCGAGCTTGCTCCCGCAGATAGTCCATATCGGCGTCATAGATGCTCATAATATCAGCTCCTGAATCCTCTTCGAATCCGAAAGTAAACCGTCCATCTCGACAGTGAGGAAGTCGCAGCACAAGGCTAACCTAGAAAATCCAGCCAAAAGGTTACTTGCGATTGGAAAACGCCCGTCCGATGGGTTGAGATTCGCCGGGGGCATTCGTGCTTACATCTCTGATGAAGTTGCCGGCAGCTGGGCTCGCAGTTGTAAATTTTAGTGGCTTCTCTGACGCCGAGTCCAGTGGGGTAAGCTAGATGGCCAGATTTAGTACTTCGTGTCCGATATCTGATTCTTGAGCGACTTACTCCTTCCACCCAAAACCCCGTGTGTCCATTGTGCTCCTGATTGACGCGAAGAAACTCTTCGTAGTGGAATGGCCGCGGCTGGCAAAGCTGAACTCCGTGAGACCAGTAAGTGACCAGGCCAGGATTCCATTCCAATTCGCGTGATCTGTAGGCAGCCATTATAGCAATAATGTTGGAAAGGTGGCCACGGTCTTCCTCCTTCTTGGCTTCTTTGGCTTCGGTGGCTTGAAGCTTGGCTTGCAACTGACGCTCCATGTCTTTCAGCACGTCGAGACGTCTGATAACGCTCAAACTGAGTCCGGGCGAACCACTCTCAGCTTCGATCATCGTGCTATACCACTCATGATTAATAGCCAAGGAAATGTTTGCTGGAAGGGAAGGTCTTACTCGCGCTCCTCCTTCAGTCTTTCAAGCTCTTTCTTTCTTCGCACGAACCAATCCGACAGGATTTGATTAGCAATTCTCTCGTCACATCGAATAATTTGGGCGTCAAGATCACTACAGCAAAATGGTTAGGAATCCCCGGTATCATTCGGAATATCACTCATATTGCCCAACGGACACACTTTGGATCAAGATCGGGCTCATCGTAATGCCAGCCTCTGGGCATCCTTGGGTCACAGGCATAAGTAATTGGTTCTTCCGGCGTCGGCCACGTTTGTCGTGCGGGCCGTTCGGGAGGAGCAGGAGGAGTCCAATATGGTGTTCCCACATAGGACTCGTCAAACCCCAGCATGGGAAGATCTCCCTGATCTGCTATTTCTTCTCCGATTTCGTCTCCTCCGCCTTCTTCTTCTTCAGGCGGCTCGACTTTCCTCCTTTTTGCTGCGAGATTTCCCTCACTGTAGAATCCCGGAGGCTTGCTGTCACGTCCTCGTCCACCTGTCATGCTCGCAATAGTCCCTGTTTGGTAGGCCAAAGAAACGTACTGGTGGCAAATATCCTGAGTTAAAAAGCCTGAGCTGAACTAAAGAAAAAGATTTCGAGATAGAAAGGCACTTCTTATGGGGCATGTATACATGAGAGACTTCTGACAGGGTAGGTTACGCACATAAAGCACCCCCGAAAGCCGAATGGCTCGGACCCCAATCTGTGTCGTTCACAAAGAAAAGGCAAGTTCTAGAATATGAAGCTACCTACGGGTTTTCTTAGAGTTAAATTTTTCTAGTTTGTGGACTCGAGAATCATGGAGACAAAGCCGGCTACGCCTCGAAAAAGAGACTTTGCAGCCAGAGCAGCAGGGAGGAGGCTAGCGCCAAAAGAAGTTTGCTAATGAAAGGCATACCATGTCCATCTTAAAGCTTCTGCAACGCCAGCCGAAACAACCCGTCTGGTTTCAAGCAAAAGTCTCTGGATGGGTAAACAGATGCCGAGCTTGCACTTGCCTCTTTATCCACTTTTCTCTCTCTCTTTCTCTCTTTCTTTTCTTTTCTTTTCTTCTTATTTCTATCCATTTTGATGTATCTATCGCACGCAGTCATCCACTTTGTCTATTGACCTAAGAACTCATCCCAATCATTTGTCGTTCCCAAAATGGGACGACCAGCACATTCCCCACCGATCCGACGGCTCAGAGGACGTTTCTGGATCTAGGTATCTCCAAAGAAATCGGATTATTCTACATTTACTTTCACCGATTTACCCCACGAGCCTCAATCCAGGCTTGAATTAGTTGTAACCATGCTTACCTGGGTTGACCAACAAGACCGAGGTGGACAGGATAGAAGAGAAGGCAAATGAGTATCCTAAAGGCTTTGTAGGCACATGCTAGATTAAAGACACTATGTTAACTCTCTAATTTGAGCTAGGTGGTAATATTATTCTCTAACTGTTGCCAGGGGAAGATGCATTCCTCTCAAAGACCACCAGTTCTTGAAGGGCAGTCAGTCAGTTGGTCGAAAGAGAGCAAAAATCTCGTCGGAAAATGGGAAAAAAAGGAGAGAAATATTCCTTCAAACGGGCAAAGTAAGCGGCGCCAAGGAACATTAGGGGCATGTGAGTATTCTAAAATCAGATTGACCGTGTAGACAAAGAATCTCCTCCCTATTCTCTGATACTATATTGCGGCCACCTCGTGACAAAGTCACGAGATGGCATCTCCAATCTTTCGTCTTTGTGCTCGGCCAAAATCTCATGTCGACAAGAGTCGGCCACGTTAAGGCTATGTATGCCTATCTGTTTTCACTCGCCCATGAAAGATTGTCCAAAGATATTGGTGGTTTAGACCAGCGAAGGATATCATCCAAGGCTAGTTGCCGCATGTTAGACACAACTCAAATTACGCAATACGCTTCAAGTCTCACACCCTTGTAAGGATTCAATCCTGTTGGTAGCTCTATACATACAAGAAATATGCCTTGGTAAAGGCAGGGATCGCAAGCGATGAAACAGTGCAGAAAGAAGCTATTAATGAAGTGGTAGACAATTCATTCTCAAGCAGAATAGGCTTGAGTCAACAAAAGAAAAGAGCTGAGACAAGAACATGTGGCGCGCAACAACACCAGGGAAAAAAGAAATGAGCTTGGAGCTTGCAGTAACATCCGTTGCAATGGTACTCGTACGAGAAAAGAAAGAAAAAGATAGTAGGCACACAGTTTGAAGAAGGTGATCGAACAAAAGAAGAGAGCATCCAGTCTGGTGGTGGGTGGGATTTCCCAAAGTCCAGTCTAGACCTGATTCTAGTCGTCCATATCGTCGTCGAGGTCGATAGCATCCGGGTTGGCCGGTGCTGCAGGTGGTTCTTGGCCTGCAGGGAGAGGGCGATTGCCGCCCTCGGGACCAGTGCTGGCTGCAACAAAGCCCACTGGCGCCCGAGCCTCGCGTTCCAGGGCAGCCATGGCATCGGCACGGACGGTATCTTCGCCTTCGCCTTGTTCGCCGTCCTGGATGCGTTGCTGGCTGCGAGCAATGGCTTGGGAAGCGATGAAATTGACGTCGGTGCTGCGGCAAAGGTCAGTAAGTTGGACTTCAAGTGCGGTGGGGGTAAGCGGGCGAATCATACTTGTATTGAGCCTGGACGCTTCTCTTGATGCGCAGCATCTCCTTGAACGTGTCCTCGTTTCCGTGTTGAACTTCGAATGCCTCCCACTTTTGCCAGAAGGGGGCGTTGGTTCGAGGATCGCAGAATTGTGACGCATGGCCATAGATCGCACGCGCCCGGTCGATCTCACCCAGTCGGCGTTCCATCTCAGCGAACTTGAGACACATCTCCTTGGCTTCTTGGTCTGGCAGAGCCGCAACGGCCCGCTCATAGATCGGTCTTGTGGAGGTGAGACCGAAGTTCGAGGCGGACTTGGTGATGTAGAACTCAAACATCTCGAACCTGTCCTCGTCGGAGACCTCGCGAGTCGCACGCTCATAGATTCGCATCGCATGTCGGGCAAGACCTCGCTCCTCTTCCAAGTTTCCATACATCAAATACAATGGCTTGGCAAACTTGGGCGGGCATCCATCCAAAGCTTGTTCAAAGAGATCTCGGAGTCGCTCAATGCCGATCTTGCGATCAACGGCCTTGGTCAGATACATGTTCCAAAGCTCAAAAGCCACTGGATAGCTGAAGAGGTCCAAGCCACGCTCGTATACCTTGAAAGAATCTTCGAAATAATCGTTTTCTTCCAGAAGATTTGCAAAGTTCACCACCGTTTGAGGTGTCGCAATGCGCAATTCGAAAATCCGTTCGTAGACCCTCCTGGTCTCATCCAATGAAGACACACTCTCGACGAGATCTACGTAGAAACTCCACAGTTTCCAGCTCTTGTGCACCCGCTGTTGCGGGGACAGATTCTCGTCGAAATAGTCCACGCTGGACTTCTTAGGTGCTTGTGTCGCCTTGGCCATGATTTCAACAGCCCTGTCGAAATTCTCCGAGCGAAGCTCCATCTCCGCCCATTCGCACCACGTCTCAGCGAGCTCAGCAACAGACTTGAAAGGAACCTTGACGGCCTTGTCGAAAATAACTCTTGCAGTCCCCAGATCCTCGCCGTTCTCATAAAGTTTGGCATAGTTGACCCAAAGCTCAGAGAATTTCCCATGGGCTTTCTTGGGATTGATGGCCGCAATAGCGGCTGTGTAGGTGTTGACAGCTTCCTGCTTGTTGTCACCCCATAGGGCCACTCTCTTCTCCCATTCAATGACATTGTGCGGGTTTTGTCGCAATAAAACGTCATTGACCAGGAACGGTCGCCGATCCATCAACTGTTCGAAGCGCAGCATACGGAGGTCAAGATCAAAGTCGGCTTCTTCGTCTAGTTTGCCCTTCTCTGAGCGGACAGCTGCAGCCTCCATTAAGCTGCCAATGATGGACTCCTCGAATTCGACATACGAGTCAAAAATGAGCGTAAAATCACGCACCGTCATAACCGTGGTGATTCCTTCTTCGAATATGTCTCTTGCCTTCTCGAAGTTGCCTCTGGTGATCCAGTAAGTGGCCAGACCAGCCCAAAGTTTTCCTCGCTGGTCAGCAAATCGATCAATTCCACTTCGGAGAATGGCATCAACGTCAATTCCTACTTGAGGCCCAGTCTCGATCTTCTTGGCCTTTGAGACCAAGAGATCAACCATCTCGGTCCACAGCTGGAAGTTACTCTTGCCATTCTTGGATTGGAATCGCGGGTTGTCCAAAATGTCCATGAAGACCTTGACAGCGTCCGTATATTGGCCCATCTCGGTCAGAAGCTCAATGTAATCTTCCGCATTCTCCGGATGGATCTGCATGTACCGAGCCCAAATCTTTACGGCAGTTTGTCCAGAAGCAGACCGTGCAAAGCCCTTGTAAAGTCTCCAAATGCGGTTATGCTGGGTGACTGGCAGGGCGCGTAGGGCGCGATCGAATGTTCGCCGCGTCTGTGTCACTAAGGGCTGAAGAAGCAGGAAGGAAAGGTACATCTCCCAGATGCGAGGCATCTTGTTCAGAAGAATCAGGGCTCGTTCAAAAAGAGCATTGACTTTGAGGTACTCGGCGCGGTAGACGGTGGGGTTCCGACCCTTCAAATGCTTCGTCCGGAACTCCAAGTACTATGATGATCGCAAACCAGTCAGCTATGCCCCTCTTTGTCTTTGCCAGGGAGGGGTATCTCACCATTTTCCATAGCTTGTATGATCGCGGCAATTGTCGGCAAGCGCGTTCCATAACCTGAAGCGAAAGAAGGGAGGTTAAAAACAGTTTGAAACCTAAGGGGCCTAGTGCTCGAAAACCTACAAAGGCTTGTTCATAAAGCGTGCCATGTTGCTGCTTGTATTCGATATAGGCAAGCCATGGCTTAACACTACCGGCATCACGCAGCAGATCTTGTTCGTACACAGTGTCCTGGTCGGTCTGTTTGAAAGCATAGTTAGCATCGTACTGCGGCGGAATTCCAATGGGCGCTTACAATCAAATAGAAGTCCGGCCGGGACGCAGATGTTCGATCCATCTGTGCGTGCTGCCGGTGTGATCTCGGGGGCAAAAGCGTCCCTGGCATTGCGCCACTCTATTCGAGCGGGATCCAATCACACAGGCCCACAGGTCAGCATGGAAGGATGACGGGAGTGCAAGTCACAGTTGGCGCGTGTACTTGAAGGTTGAAACTGCGGCGAGGTCGGACGTTAATCACGTGATACAAACCACATCGAGTGGGCGGTGGAGCTTTATCGGCGGCGTCATATCAATGTGGCCGCATCCCAGCTGATCGTCTACGCCGGGAATTTCAAGCTGCAGACATGTCGGGTGCAGTAGTGAGTGTGTTTCTCACCTGTATTAGATCCTCCTGCTAACGTGAAATCAATGCCAGGGCCGCGAGCCAGTCTTCCCGACTCGCCAGTCGCTGGGTTTGATGAAGAGCAAGCTGAAGGGGGCGGAGACTGGCCACAGTTTGCTCAAACGGAAGAGTGAAGCTCTGACAAAGTATGTATTGTGTCCTGATTGACCTCTAAGCCCGCACTGATCACCTATGGCTTCAACCAGGCGTTTCCGAGGTACGATTCATCAACTATCATGCGGGGGAATCCGGCCCTACCCCACGGAAGCTAATCACAGTGGGCAGAAATCACACGGCGCATCGATGAGGCCAAACAGAAGATGGGAAGGGTGATGCAAATTGCTGCCTTCTCCCTCGCCGAGGTTAGCTATGCTGTCGGTGGAGATATTGGATATCAGGTTCAGGAGTCGGCCAAGCAGGCTCGGTTCCGTGTCCGAGCCAAGCAAGAGAACGTCTCCGGCGTGTTCCTCCCTCAATTCGAGAGCTACACTCAAGAAGGCGTCAATGACTTTGCCTTGACTGGTCTCGGCAAGGGTGGACAGCAAATTCAGCGATGCCGAGAGACATACGCGCGGGCCGTGGAGACATTGGTGGAGCTGGCTAGTCTACAGGTATGGAAGCTAGTGACGTTGACTTGATAAGCTCTTTCTAACTATATTAGACTGCATTCTTGATTCTGGACGAGGTAATCAAGGTCGTCAACCGAAGAGGTCAGCAGAGTTCCTGGATGAATATCGTTTTATACAGTTGCTAACATATGTTTCCAATATAGTGAACGCGATGTAAGTTATCCGATGCGACTCGGATTCGAGACCAACATTAATGAATTCCAGTGAGCACGTCATCATACCTCGTACTGAAAACACGATTAAATGTTTGTGCTATTTACTATCCCAAAGGTTGATTGCGGGCAACTAACAATTGTACAGACATCAATTCGGAGCTTGATGAGCTTGATCGAGAGGAGTTCTATCGCCTTAAGAAGGTCTCCGGCAAGAAGCAGCGGGACAACGCTGCGGCCGACGCCGAGATTCTCGCAGCGCGGCAAAAGGCAGCCGCAGAGGAAGCAGGAAAGAGCCCTGCAGCTGAAGAGCCCGGGGCTGCCGATGTTCTGGGCGAGCAGGAGGATAACGATGTCATTTTCTAAGGATCTTTGCTGTTCTCGAGTTGGGCAATTCGTTGTTCCATGCCCACCAATTTCTTGATATCTGTACCATTTTGCCGTCAACTTTCAATATGTGTTTTGCGAGCCGCTACCTACATGGCTTATCTTCCGGAAGTATATCCCTACTACGCATTATATACTTGTAGGCAGTAGCAATGCCAACAAGTCATGTAAGGAAAAAATCAGTCTCTTCATGTTGCAAGATACGTAGATTGGACCCTCCAAACGCCAAAAAAACCAGACATATCTCCTTGATGCTATGCATTATATAGCAACAATCACTGTCTCTGATATGTAACACGAATCACCTTGTTCTCCTCGCCCATGGGCATGCCTGAGGTAGCCTCCTTTGCGCTGATCGCTCCAGTTTCATTCTCATATTCAACGAACGCAATACCCTTGCGGCCAGGCACCAATCTGACTTCTTGGAATCCTTCAAAGCGGCCAAAGACTGCCGACAGACCCTCCTCGCTGGCATCGTCGGGTAGATCCCGCAGGAACAGAATCTTGTTGGGAGGCAGGTACTCGTCTGGAACAACAGCGGCTGCGGCCCCAGAGGTGGGCTTAAGGCCAGCGCCCTTTGTGGTCTTGGCTGGGCGGGCAGGCTCGGCAGGAGCAGCGGGGCGCTTGAGTTTCTTCTGGGCTTCGAGAGCTTCGTGGGCTTGCTTCCGCTCTGTTGGTACAGGAGGTCAGGATTAGCGAAAGAAGATGCCGGGGACGAGGTCCTGCGTGGGGTTTTGCAAGCACAAGAGTCCTGCCACGTACCTTTTTCAGCTAAGCGCCTCCGCTTGTGAGCCTCCAACTCATCATTTCCACCCTCACGGAGGACAGTAGCATCACTCCTGGTCTTCGCATAGTCCAAGACCATGGGCTTGTCGAAGAGCTCAAAGCCATTTACCTCGTCGATAGCTCGGGTTGCGGCATCAACGCTATCGTAGACGATGAAAGCCTGGCCCTTGGCCTTCAGATTTCGCTTCGCGACAATCTCGACCACATTGCCGAACTCAGCGAAGATCTCTTCCAAGGCCTCTTTGAGTTCCTCAATCTTGATGCGCTCTTCGAGATTCCGAACCTATTCTCAGTGCAATGAATATGTCAGTCTGCGGGCTGCGCGCGGATTGGAGATTGTGGCAGGAGGGATGAGGCCTTGAGCGCGTACGTAGACACTGTGAGACCAGGTTAGCAGTCAGATCAAAAGAATCTTGGGAATTGAATGACTCACGTAGAATTGGGCGGAATACCGCCTGCAGATGCATCCACGGCTGCCATGGTCGCGACTGTTGGAGCTCCGGCAGCTGAGTGAGGTTGAGCTCAGATTCCTATCGGACGCAGTCGGTGGCAGGTGCGGCGTAGAGGAAGAATTCAAACATAATGTCAAATGTCAAATCATTTGACATGTACCAGCATCATTGGTCTAGTGGTAGAATTCGTCGTTGCCATCGACGAGGCCCGTGTTCGATTCACGGATGATGCACAGCATTTCTTTTTGATATTTTGGAAACTCAGCCCGCGTAATCAACCGACGACAGCTGATCAATTATTTACTAATACAACAGGTATTCAATTGTTTAATTGCTGGTTTGTCCATATTTTGGTTTATGTCATGTTGAAATTATGGTTGATGAGATTTTGTCTTGACGTTAATAGCCATCTCCACTACTCTAGCCCGCCCCGCACCAGAGTAACTCTTAGGCCTTCCACCTTCTCCTTTAATTGTTTTGGCTGTGCAGACCAATCTTCATACTTGACTGTCTCCGATTCGGTGACCACATAAAGATTCTCTGCTGCACTTGATCGAACCTGAAATTCCATTAGCGAGACTGAGCTGAAAACGAGTCGGTATAAACATACCCTCGGGAATGGATGTAGCAGCAGCCCAGTCAGCTTCTTCAGAACATCGTCCCGTAATGATTCCAGCCTCGACAATGTCGCATAGACCTTCACGGCACCCTCTAAGCGTTGGATGTTGGATGACCGGAAATGGGCTTTCTGGACCAAGACGAATACGCTCCGGAAGATGGGGTCTGACTGCCCATGGCTAGAGACTGCAAAGCTGTCCATCAAAAACGCCATAAAGTCAATGATTGGAATCGCGTAGCGATCATCTTGAAGATTATTGCTGAGAATAGTCGACAAGTCTTGTAGGATGTTGATGAGGATAGCCTGGCGCTGAATGGGCTCCTGGGAGTTGAGGAATCGAATCATAGCTGAGCGCGATGAGCGAATAAGACCTTCAGCACCAGCAACTGCAGATGTAGCCAGACCCTGTAGCAATGGCTGGCGTAGCCACTCAATTGAATATAAAGTGAGTAGTTGGTCGAAGTACCCTTGCGAGGATACATGGCTAAAATGCTCATATTTACTGCTTTCATTAGCCTTGTTCAGTCGAGCGCAGATTGTTGGGAGTCATTACCTTTGCATGGGAGGGAAGTCGACCGACGTAAATTCCCAATAACCTTGTAAGCAAAGCCATGCTTGCAATCTAACTTTGTCAAGTTTCTCAGACGCCAAGCGGCAAAGGCAACCCACCAGGCTTTGTACAACAGGGGAGCTTGATGACAACTGCGAGTCGGGTTTTAAGAGGACCTCCGCTGCCTGTATTGCTTCCACGCGAATAAGGGATCCGACATCGCCTCGCCTATCCGTGGTATAATCGTTGAGAAAGTCCAGCACGCTATTTGCAACTGTACTTGAGACGACTATGATCCTGTCAGCAAAACGCCTGTTGCTGCGTGTAAATACGAAGGCAATGTACCTGTATGTGGCAAAATGCTAGTGGACAAGCATTTCACAGCAGCGACTCGTTTCTCAATGAGCTCTTCTTTTCCTGCACAGCGCAGCAACGCCGTAATAATACCTTCTCGCAAGTCCTCGCGCCCTTCAAGCTGCTTGAAAACAGCTCCGAGTGCGAGAATTTGCCCACAGCCGCTCGGTAGTCTTGACGATGCGTGCAAATGAGAAAACCACGCTTGCACAGTTTCTTCCTGTTTCGCTGACGACAAGAGTGGAAATATTGTTGAAAGGGCATTGGATGAGGTTTCAATGGATATATCATCACTGCGAGAAACACAAAGTGAAAGAAGACGGAGTATCCGCTCAAGCAAGCTTTCCGAAGGATGAGAAAGCCCCGCCGAGATGGTCGAACGAGAGAGTGACGAAATCAAACAAGCAGCTGCCTCTGAAGTCAACTCCGGACGAGAGTTTTGGCGGGTCAAGTCTCTATCAGCAGGACCTGATGCAGATTCGAAGATCCCCCACAGCTCAACGACCTGAGATGCAACCTCCGTCGCCTCAGATGACTCTCTTGTCTCCGGCGAGGCTTCCCAATCTTGAATATAAGCATCCACAGTGGCAGCGATTGACAACAAGCATCCATGTCGTGACTCGATATCGCTTCGCGGAATACGGGGAAGCTTCCGCATCAGACGTTCCAATATCACCTTCATGGTTGTGAAGCTTTGTTGCGTGCTCAGAACACCAATGGCCCTTGCTGCTTGTCTTCTTGATTCGGCGTCTGGAGAGCCAATACCCCGCCAGTGCATGAGGGCTTCTACCAACGGGCTCCAATACATTGGATCCAAGGAGGCAGTCGCCTTCGCCACATCGATCATTGCGCGGGAACGCCGAGCAACCGCGTGATAGTCCACAACCTGAACGAGAGGGATGCCTTCTGTGATCATGTTTGGATGACGACCGATCAACTCTTGCAGAGCAGCAGAGGCGCCACGACGGATATTTCCTGACGGGTCAACGCATGCTGAGCAGACAAGCTCGACGGCCAGCTTCTGCAAAATATCGACTTCAGTAATTCCAGACAGAGAGGGAATAGCCTGACGCTGCATGGCTTGTAGTTCTGTGGTCGTGTATTTCCGAGACAGTGCCCAAATGCCGAAGCAAGCAGCGTCTCGAACACCAGTTCCCACAGAGCTACCAGTAGAGGACCGTTGTTCAAATTCCAGGCCCAAGACAAGGGATTGAAAGATATCAGGCAGTTGTTGAGTCGGAGGGGCATGGCGAAACAGCAAATGAGACAAAGTAAGCATCAGACCCTGCCACCGCTGGGCGTCAACACCGCTCAAGTTACGCTTCAGACTCTGGATTCCAGCATTCCGCGCTTCGAAAGGTGTCATCAACATGCCATCGTCTTTTTCAAAAAGTATGTTCTCTCCCAATGAGCCGATGACTGCCTCAATCACCTCTGCCCCCATCTCTGGATCAAGCTTCAAGGTGATGACACTAAGAGCTTTGCTGGCAGCAAATCGTACAGGGGTATCCTTGTCTGCCAGAGCAACTAGAAAGTGATCAATGGCATCTTCCATAATGCTGGACAGCTGTTCATCCATGATGCAGCTTTCTCCTCTCTCGCTCAAAGCCAAAGCCATGACTGTAATGTTACGAAGGATCTTGACGACGGTCTTTCTGGCCAATGCAGAGGACTGGATAGTCGCAGAGACCTCCGAGGTCCCCTGTACAACGCTGAGAGTTTGTTTAAACACATTTTCCAGCAAGGGGGCAAAGTCTTCCACATGGCCGGATCCCGCCAAGCGAGCAATGAAAGAGAGGAGCCCGATACACGAGTAGACAGACGGCACTTCCGTGTTCTCGGCAGGCTTGATGGTAGCAAAAGCCCAGTTGATCAGACGCGTCAGAAGCCCGAGGGCCTGCATGTCCCCACGCGAGACGAGTCGCGCCAATAGTGCAGTAGCTGCCTCGCGCTCTTTGCCGGGTGCGTTGATGTAATGGAGCGCCAAGGAAAGAAGTGACTGTGCAACCATCGGAGTCTGATCTGGCACCTCACCCAGCTGTTGTAGGTTTTTATACGGGATTGGGATGTCATCCGATGACATCGAGGCTAGGTCAAAAGGCGCCAGAAGTAGATGCGAGAGCCAGGACAGCATCACGTAGCGCTCTTCCCATTGCATTTTCTGTCCCTCGAGGCCGGTAATGTTGTCTTCGGTAGACTCTGTCTGGCCTATAGCGTCCCATTCGATGAAAGCCCGCAGCATGGAATCAAGGTATTTGGGCTCATTGTTAAGAAACCGACTAATGACCTTGATACCACGAACCTTGCAGAATGTGTACAGCAGTCTGCAAATAGCTCTCGGAAGCGGATAGTGAGCAGCACCTTGGGTCTTTTTTGTGGCTTGGGAGCCATACTGCCCGCGGTGCTTAATCAAATATGCCAGAAACGCATCAACTAAAGTGGGCAGCAGCGTCCGAAGATGCGGGTCTAGGAGCTGAGGCCACTCTTGGAAAGGCTCGAGCTGTTGGTACTTCGTTAGCTATGGACCTTAAACTTGAAGGGGGCATTTCAAATATATGCAAAGTCTTACAAGCGCGACGAGCTTCTCCGTCTTTGACACTTGCGCCCATTTGCGTGGGGCGCGGAGAGGGGTTCCATTTTCAGACCTCCATAGCAGCGTTGGCAGTTTGGCGGAGAACTCTGTCACCAGGTCGCTGGATGCCCGCTGGAGCTTTAAATCTCGGTCCTCGGCTGCATCCATTGCGGGAATTCAGGATGTGGATGCAATGCCCTCCTGGATGAGTCGGGAAAAGCGTCAACAGCGGGACGGGTCATGTGACATTCATCAAGACATCAACTTCCAGCAGGATGTCAGTGAAGGGGAGCCACATCCATATTTCACAAGTTAGGGATGCGATCATCTAAGCAGGATGATTGAAGTAACGATTGCTACGGATGCATTACCTAAGACTTGATATGAGAAGCAACAGAATTTTCGAAAATCAGAGCTTTATATATATCCGAAGGTGCTTAAACTACACCTGGACAGCGAGGGAACGGTAACCTAGTAATAACAGAAACACAAGCATCCTCGCAGCACTCAATAGGTAACAGATAATACCCCGAGGTGGGAACACATTGTAACCACCAGGGTTCTTCAGACAAAAAAGTAATAATTGGAAAGAAAGCAAGCTTATAGACAAAAAGAGCAATCGCGCGGTTCATTCGAGAATGAAGAAGAAAATAACTTGCATTTTCCATCGGACCACAACTCACAAATCTTCATCCCCCGAATCCACGGCGCCCCCTTCTTCCCGCCAGCGAGGTAAAAAGGGAAAATCATAAGTATCCGCAAGTCGACCCATAGCCTGCCGAATATGAATCACTGCAATCGCCAACGCCAGCGAGTTCCAAACGTCCTGGTCATCTTCCGACATATCAAACTGACCCATGTACTTTGCACGAGAGATAGCGGGGTTTGTCCAGGTGGCGGATTCGGGGTTGGTGTCCACAGAGAGTATGGTGACGATGGGTCCGCACAGACAGAAGCCGACCAGAGTTGGCCAGTATTGGTGCTCCGCACATCGATGCAAGGTCTGATGAGACGCGCTCAGTTTTTCAAGCTTCTTGATAACTTTGTTCACAACGGATAAAGTATCCTCGTCCCGCTTCTGGGCGTAGATTGTGTAAACGGGGACCGTCTGAGGTGCTATCTTCAGACCGGCATCACTGATAGCCCAGCGCAAGTACTTCCGAATGGCCTTTGCGATCACTGTTTGAGGGAGTACCGTCAGCACCCTGCAGTCTCGGACATGACCGGGAACCTGAAGAATCCCGTGCAGGGCCGTGATGGCGTAGAAATTGGATCCTTTTTGAATCTTGAAGGTGAAGTCGTTTTCATCGACCTCGTCGTCCTCGGCAGGGAACAGGGACTCCGGGAGAGTGGTGAAGTCTTTCTTCCAGTCGGCAGGCATCATGGGTTTGCAGCCGCGAGTGGCCAGATCGAGATATAGACACCTCTCCTCTTCGCCCATCTTGGTATCCTTGGGCACTTTCACAGCCTGCACCATGCGCTTTGCTTTCTCCCTGCTCAGAATGTACACGATATCGTCACGCTCCGACTTGTCAATTTCGTCCGAGTACTCAGGATCAATTTCGCCATCGTCACCCTCCTGATCATCGACGTATTTCTGGTCTTCTTCGTCGGAATATCGAGTTTTGCGCATCTTCCTCGATTGTCTCCTGGAAGCCCCGGCAGTCGGAATATCGGTAAAATCGTCGGGGAGTCGCCTCAGGGCTGGGAGTAGTGCTTGGCATTTCTGGGGCGAAATGGAGTCAGTAGCATCGCTCCCTGAGGGAGAAGCGGGCTGGGAGGCCGAAAATGCAGATTCACCATCGCTGCCGCTGGTGACTACACAGCCATGATCGGTGTCGTAACTTTCGGGCTTTATCCGCTTCGCTTTGGTCGATGCCGTCTCCTGATCGGTGCCTACCCAGTGCCCCGAATATGCATCGTGCCCATCTATGCCTGGAGGTGAATCATAACTCTGTGAAGAGCCCGAAGGCCGGATGCGACCATCTTCTGGTGCCTCTGATGCGGCTTGGGCCACCCCATATGAGATCGGGGAGTTGCAGCCTGGAAACTTGCGTTTGCGGTCCATCAGGCCAGAAAGGAATCAAGGAAGAGCTAGTTAATAAAGACGAAAATACCGATTTGAGACGATCTCACAAGCAAGAAGCTCAAACAGCATTTAAGTTAACTGGAGGTACTGTGCTGATGAGCATTCGAAAATTTAGAGCCGCCCCGGAGGAAGATCGAAGTTGGAATGAGAATGTGAGTGAATAAATGCGTGGTGGATGGAGGAGAATAACTCAAAAGGAGAAGCCGTCCGAGCCGGGGGATGTCGAGGGCCGAAATAAGTCACTATGGCAGTGAAGCATGTGAATGAACAAAGAGTAGAGCCCACCATTTGCACTAGCAAGAGAACCAGAAGGAACAACTTCAGTTCCAGAGCTCAGAAAAGGCACCAGCCCGAGATAACTTACCGAGGACTTGAGCGGTTGGACCGCAAAGATCTAGGTAAAAAACATTCTGGGCCGGGGAATAGGGTGAGGGGATGAAAGAACGAGGACAAAGGGAGGACCTTAAAATAGACTCTGGAAGCAGGAAGAAGGATTGAAGAGCGTCACCGTCGTAGTATATGCGATGAAAGAAACCAGTCATTCATCATGGACCGTGATCATAATTGCCTAAGACTGTCCTTAACTGGAGGCAGTGGCTTCACCCGAATGTACTTTTTCACCCGATAAATTCACGAACGCATGAGTCCCTTCCCATATTAACCACGGAGTTTACTGCCATGAAACCAACCATATAACATAAATAGCACAGGTTGTATTAGGCGATTTTGCATCTCTTGTTCATAGAGCCATGGGAATCAGATACTAATCCAGCAACATGACGGCAACACACGTCCACAGCGTGCACAGCGCCAGATCCTGCAACACCTGCGCTGGCAGCCTTCGAGGAGTCAAACAGGAGCAAAATGAGGAAGAAATAGTTAAGGGAAAGAAATGATCCCCCCGATCCTCCCGAAAAACCACATCATCGTCTCAACTTTTTTTTGGTTGAAAACACACACACACAGTCCCCATTCATTCGTGCTCATCGTCAATCAATCAATGGATCCGTTAACATGGCTGACCGCTGCTCGAGAGCCATTCATGCCACCAACTAGGCGAACAGCCGTGCGCCCCGACCAAGAACAGAAAGAGAAAAAAATGTCTCGCCGGGAAGATAAAAGAAGTAGAGCAAGAAAACAAACAATTTAGACACGCACATAAGAAAGGGATGCAAAAAGGCAATAAGCAACAGCGTTGCTACATCACTCATGTCATTCGGCAAATGAAGCATGCTCAGCGAGGTGATTGGAGCCGGCGTCTACGCCGACAATCAACCAAGACAACTGCGATGGGTATGTAGAGCAGAGCAATCTGAAGAGACACAGAGATAGAAAGCGGAAGCACCTCGCAACCCCAACTAGGATCCGGACGCGACGGTGTCAGGCCGCCGTTGAACCAGGTCAAGGCCGAGCCGAGGTGGGTGGGCAGATAGCATGCTCGAGCAAGAGATATCATGGCAATTTGAAGACGATCAAGCAAAATCGGCGGTATAAGAAAAGCCGCGGAATTCTTCCTGCATGGCCTGCGAGAGCACAGACTGCACTGGTGTCAGAACCGGAGTCACGCTGGTGAACTCCTGGTCGAAGTTGCTAGTATCCGTGGGACTGCTAATCGTGGGGATGAAGGGGGAGGAACCCGCTTGTGGTAAATGTCATCCCAGTTGATGTTGCGGAAGAATGCGTGCGACATCACCTCCTGGGCATCAGTGGGGCCGGAGCCCAGACGTAGCTCAGGCTCCCGGGTCAGCAGCTTCTGCAGGATGGAGACCGAGTCACGAGGCATGTGGATGGGGTAGAGGGGCTCGTCTGCGAGAATGGCATCGTAGATTTCGTCCTCGTCTTCACCGCGGAAAGGAGACTGTTGCAGGAGCATCTGGTAGATGAGGACACCAAACGCCCACCAGTCCACAGCGCGACCGTATTTCTTGTCCAGCAAAATCTAAGCGCAGATATTAGTATTCAAACTAGGAGTGCTATCCGGTTGGAAAATACGAACCTCAGGTGCCATGAACTCAGGAGTACCACAGAAGGTGCTTGTGGTGCAGCCGTACCACATGTTCTCCTTGCAAAGACCGTAATCACCAATCTTGATATGACCATCAAGAGTCAGCAGGATGTTGTCCAGCTTCAAATCACGGTAGATGACACCGTTCTCGTGGAAGTACTTGAGAGCCAAGCAGACCTCCGCAGCGTAGAACCTAGTCGCCTCAGGTTAATATCCTTTGAGAGACATAAAATCGATAGGGAAAGTCAAACAAAACTTACTGTGCTCGCTTCAACCCGAACTGGCCACGCTGAATGTGCAGCATGAGATCACCGCCACTGATATACTCCATGACGAAGTACACACGGGTCTCGGTCTGGAAACAAGCGTGTAGATTCAGCAGGAAGGGGTGCCGCTCCTTGTTGGCAATTAAAAAGACTCGCTTCTCGGACTTGGTGCTTTCCACCTCGTCGTTCTCAATGATGAACTCCTTCTTCAGCACCTTGATGGCATACAGCTTTCGGGTACTCTTAGTTTCAGCCAGCATGACCTTGCCGAAGTTACCCTTACCAAGCACAGCAAGGAAGTTGAAGTGGTCCAATCCAATGCGAGCCTTGGCCTGAGGAACAGGAGGTTCCGGCTCCTTGAGTGGCGGTGCCATCTGGGGTGGAATGGCCTGCACGGGTTGCTGCGGCGGGGGCATAGGGTAAGCTGAGGCTGCACTGGGCTTTTGCATGGGCGGGGCCTGCGGGGGTTGCTGGAAATTAGCATAGACGGATGGGTCATAGTGCGCATGCGGAGGAGGTTGTTGTTGCTGCTGGGGCTGCACTTGAGGACGACTCGGTTCCGCTAAATCATCCGCGTTAATACTACAGGGCAAATGCCAAGCCAAGGACACAGAAAATACATACTCGGTGTCTGGACAGGGCTACGTAGCCCAGTCGCAGCAGTCGCCGCGGCCTGTGCAGGGGACACAACGGAGGGCGATTTCGGTGGCAGTGGTTGACGAGCAGCTTGTGTAGCAGCTATTGGTGACTGTGGTGTCATGTAGGAGTTAGTCGCAGCGCTGACCGCTTCGGCTGATGGCAGTCTGGGAAGGGCCCCATAAGGGCCATCGGTGGGTTTTTGGGGATATGAAAGGGCGGCATTGTCATGAGGGGGGTGCGGTGGACCGCTCGGTCGAAGGGTACGGCCGCTGAGACCAGAACTGACAGAGGTAGATTTGTTGTGATTCTTTGCGCGAATCAGGGTGTCGAGGATCTGGTTGGCTGCCTCCATCGACATGCCGCAGAAATCAGGCACAAGATGCGTGCACTGAGCGTGGCAGGTAAGCGCACATTCTATAAAACAGGGAATTGAATCAGTATGGTTGCAAAACAATATATATCTAAAATGGTTGGCATACCGGTACATCGCTTGGCGTTCTTGCGTCCAAAAGGAAGCAGGTAACCACAGTGGCAGCACCAATTGGCAGAAAGGTTGGAGAAGCCCTCGAAACGGTGGGGAATCCGGTGGTTGATCTTCTCCTCGTCGGGGTCGGTTTCGTAGTTGGCCTTGCTAATACACTTGGTGACAACCTTCGGGTAGCATTTGCGGTGGCAGGTATATTTGCAATCCGCACACTGCATACCCGCAGCGTACTTGAGAAACTCTCCACACAGCGCACAGCGCATAATATTGTAGAACTGCTGGGTGACAAACTTGTGGCCCTGCTTCTCGTGGACCTCTTCCTTCTTCTGGCGCACGGCACCCTGTCGGTTGAGACCGATGTCGAAGGGACGGCGGTCCTTCAGTTGCTTGGCTATATCATATATTAGCGGGCTATTCGAAACCCCCCGCCGGGACTCATATCTTACCGAAACTCATCTGAAGTTGAATGCGGCCGAATGGCTCCAAAGCAAACCATGAATCGATCATCACTGTTGGGGGCACATTCGGATTTTCTCCATGTGACTGTCCGCCATGAGGAGCCATTCCACTGACGCTGGCACCCCCACCGTGGGAGGAGCCCATAGGAGAACCCGGATGGTGATCCGATCGGGGAGTGCCCGAGCCGTCCATCTTGTCCGCCGAAACCCATCCAGAAGCGTTTAACTCCGTCTCGATCTTCTTGCGACGCATCTCCTCGGCAATATCGGAGATGCGCACCCATAGCATACCAATAGGGGTCGGGCGGTCTCCGGACTTGTCGTAAACGGTAAGCTCAATCTCGTTCGCCTTGTCGATGTCAATCGAGAACGACTCGTCCAGCCACTTATCATTTCGAGTCGCCTTTGTCCTGGCTTTGATCGCGTCTTCCACCTTGACGATGACAAATGTCTCGGGGCCGCGCGAGAACCGGGAGCTGGTGGCATGATCGACATCTTTAACGGCATGAATTCGCATCGTCAGAAGACCGGTCAACGGTTTGCGCATGTTGGGGCTGCTGAGCGACTCGTCTATGCACAAGGGTTAGTTTCTTCTGAAAAGCGAACCCTGCCATCATGGAAATCAGGAGCCTCTCACGCACCGTCTGCAGCATCAGAAGACTCAATATCCACATGGAGATCCTCATATCGCTTCAGAGCCTGCTTCAGCAGCTGGATCTTCTGGTTACTCTCAATGCGACGGCCTTCGGCATCGGCACGGCTCTTCCGGTCGCCCTCGTCCTGGTACAAGCGGACCATCTTCTCGATACCGGCCTTGTATTGTTTCTCCACGCTGAGCTTGAACTCAAGTTGGGACAGCATGAGCTGGATCTTCGGGCCGAGATACGGGGTGTCATATTTGATGAGATCTGAGACACATCATTTAAGTCAGCATTCCAATGTCGGACCATTTTTTGGTCGGCTTGAATTCCGCCCAGCGGGGTAACGAGCGCACGCACCGAGCTTTGTGTAGTTTGGCCGCGCCTTGGGGATCGGGGCATACGGGCGGGGGTCAGTGAACGGGGCGCCCGAAGGCATCGACCCCGCGCCGCCCTGAGGATAGTGCGCATCGCCCTCACCACCCAAGTATCCGTGGTAGTCTTTGGGGGGAGGCGCGGGTCCTCCGGCTTGCTGGTGACGCGAGTTGTTGGGTGAACCACCACCTTCCCGCTCCATTTGACGAATCTGCAGCTCTTGCATCTTCTCCTCAAGGTAGGCGATGTTCTTGCGGCCATCGCGGATGTTGGCGTCGACCCGTTGTTGCACGAGGGGGTTGTCGGTGGATTGCCGCATGTTACTAGCGGCGGCGATGAGGGCCTTCTCCCGCTCGATCTTGCGGTAGACCGAGGCAATCAGCTCGTCGCCGTCCATGGTGGGCGGAGGGGCAGCAGGTCCGAGGCAGGAGGAGTCTAAGGGGGATGCTGCTGCCGGACCGTGAGGTGGGTGGGTGGATAGGCGGAGGAGGGTGGAGGAGATAGGTGTGGTTGGAGGGTTGGAGTGGGAAGGGTTTCGCGGGGCTCGTTGTTGACCAGGGGGGGGGGGGGGTGGAAAGAGCCGGTAAGGATAATGCCACTTCGGAAAATGTAAGACCAGCGCTGCCCGACTGATCGCCCGCCGATAAGAGAATTCAAAGAGGGATCCAGGCCTGCGCTGCCGGGGTTGGAGAGGGACGAGGAGATCCGACAAGTCCCACCGTTGGTCGCAGTCTAAACAATGGATTTGTGGCGAAACCAAGCAGTGACATCTACAGAGTACACGTGAGGCTATGCTGCCCTTTTACCCAAACCGGTCATGCACGCCCCTCCTCCTGTGTCTGTGTGCTGCGAGATACCAGATCCAACATCCATCCATGCTTTCTTCACCCTGCCCTGCCCTGCCCGGGCAGATCCAGCAGGCTCCGAATTTACCCAACCTGGCCGCATCTGACCCAGGGAAACGTCCAAGCCAATCCAGCCCTCTCCTGTCACACCGCTCGGAGGACAGGCATCCATCATCGATGACATGCATCAGCCGAGGTTTCGGAACCCTGACGAGTCCAGGTGTCTCAGCAGTATGAGTCCTATGAAGGAGTAGGAGTCAATAGCGGGATGATGACGACCTGCCGATTAATTTTTATTCGGTGGGAGGGAACCGCAGGACATCCTTGGTGTTGAATTTCACCGCTCCCGCTCTGGCGGCTTTTAGGCGTGCGACCGTTCCAGCTCTGCTCTCCTTGCCGCATACATGGAGAGTTGCTGGCTCTAGACTAGAGGCGTCTGCTCGGTTACATCGCACACATTCTTTGACTGCGTCTAGGTTTGCGCCACCCGGCTCGATATCATTCGCCTCTGGTGGTCCCATGAACTATCCTGACCATCCTAGCCCCGCGGGTGTTCATGATGGCTATTGGCTATCATGGCGGGACCAAGAAGCAGGAAAAGTGATCTCGAAAAGGCTCCAAATGAGATGATTGCCCGTAGAAGCTTACTACCTATATTTCTACGTAATTTCATTCCATTCATCCATCTGAACCCAAACTCTTCTAGAAGTCACGATCAATTAAATCCCGCCTTTGATATCAACGCGCCGAACATCTCCGCCAGTGTATATAACCCGAGAAGTATAGACAAGACCAGCAGATGGGCAGGCGCCCGAGAGGGATGAGAGGTATAAGGGCCCAGGCCCCAACGCCGAACCGGCCGAAAGGCTCATGCAACCAGCACATACGTCCCCAGCCTTAGCGCTGATAAGATCGTCTCTGACCCTATCTGAGGCCCGGACCGTTACTCGGATCTCTTGGAAATCTTCGGCAAGAGAAGCCAGCTAGTTGCCATCACTCCATACAATCCAATACAGATCGGATGCAGCACCATCGTCCCCACATGTTGAGCAAGAATACCGGTAAAGAAGGGCGAGACCGCGCCCCCACTGCTGCCAAGAGCGCTAATGAAGCTGAGACTGGAGATGTGCATGTTCCGTGGGAGCAGCTTAGTGAAAACTGCCGTGGCACACGGGTACACAGGGCCTAGCAGAAGACCCAGGATGGCGACCGTCACGGCGTCCCCAATCACGTTGGGGATGAGCCAGGTCATCAGCTGGAAGGCCACAGCGCCTGCCACCATGATCACGACCGCAACCTTGTGGCCCAGCTTGGCGGCAGGATGGACTAGCAGGAACCGGCCCGCAGTAATGCCAGCCCAGAAGCCTGCGCTAACATATCCGACTCGGGAGGGGTCGCCGTGTCGGTAGCTGATGAGGAAGGACACGACCCAGCCAGATGTGGAGACTTCGGCACCCTGGTAGGCAAAGATAAACAGGGCCCCGAGGAGGGTCGTGCGATTGCGGATGGCTTTCTGGAGAAGCTGCGTTCGGGTCAGCGGCTCGCTCTCTCCCGCGGGATGCGAAGCGGTTGGATGCAACAACTCCGCTGGGGTATCGTTCTCAAAGTTGAAGAACGCCCACGAGGCATAGGTAAGGTTGACCAGGCTAACCGCCAACGAAATGGTGTAGAAGAGCGACCAGCGGATACCGCTCGACGCCATCGCAGTGGCAAATAGCGGCGCTACTGTACCTCCAATGCCATAGGCGCCATGGACGCAGCCCAGGGCCGTGGTAGAATTCGGCAAGTTGGCACAGTACACATTGCTCAGGGCCAAGGTGAGCGCGATGCCGAATCCAAGCAGAAAGAAACACGCCACAACCACGGGGAAAGGCGGCTGGCAAATTATGATCACATAACTGACGATAAGAAACGACATGGCGAGCGCATAGCTTTTGGATCGGCCCAGCTTGTGCTCGATGGCATGCGTAACGGGGGCCGCAGAGATGAAGCCCAGAGCGTTGGTCACGAAGATCAATGAGACCACGGCGTACCCGATACCATAATGTTTCTCCATGTACGGAATAAGGGCACCAGGGACACTGTCGTTCATGCCATTGCCGAAATTGATCAGACAGCAGCTCAGCAGTCGCCATTTGGACTTCCACGACGTTGCCGAGCGATCTGCAGCCCACTCCGTGACATCATCCGTGTTTGGTGATGGTAGACGATTTTCCAATACGCTGGGAGTCGGCGTGGGTGTCGATGGGCTCACTGTGGATGGTTTCACCGGCTCGGCAATCCCTGTTGAGCCCTGTTGATGCTGAATCTCACTGAGTCTGTACTCGGACGGCGGTCGTGAGATGCCCTGCTTGTCCTTTCGCACTGTGGCCGGTGGCCGCGAGATGTGAGAAGAGCTCTCGACTTCGATAAACGCTCCCAGGCTTGCGGGGGCCATGATGAGAGACGGATGGTAAGAGGACAACTGCCGTTGATTGAGTATAATTCTGGGGTGCTTTGCGCGTAGAGCAGAGACCTAGACACTTGGAGAAACATCCAGCCCGGGCCTTCTGGAAGAAAAGAAATCTCCAGCTGGAGGGTCGACTAAGTACCCCGTGGAGCTTCCCCACAAGGAATTCATGTTCCGACCATTGTGACAGACGACGAGTTGCCACGCTGGGGCAGGTCTCGACCAGTTAACTAGTCACCACACCCTGGCGTGGAGGGGTGTTTGTCAGCAAAGAAGGCGGCGCGGAAGTGCGGAGGCAGCCCCGCTGATAAGGAAAATTCTCCCACAATCGAGCTCAGCAGTGCGGCGAAGCAGTCTCCCCACACTCAATTGCAAATCCCATCCTCCACTGTACATCAATCGACAATGGGTCCACCTCGCCGAAAGGTTCTGGCGACAGCCCAGGAAACCATGTTCCCTCCAGATGAGTTGGCGGACACCCAGCAGATCGTCCGAGCAATCAAGGCCACCGGCAACAATATCTACTTGGTTGAGCATTCGGACAAAACCCAGATGCTGGTTGAGCTCCCTGCACGGTTCCGGTCGACCTTTTGGATCAAGCGCGGGGCATATGTTGTGATTGATACGAAGGCGCGGGCGGAGCGGGACAACAAGATCGGTGGAGAGATCATCAACATCGTGCGAGATGAGAAAGCCTGGAGGAAGGCTTCTTTCTGGTACGACCACCTCCATGTTTCAAGACTCATAGCCAATGACTAACTGCTCTATCGTCCTGATAGGCCGAAGGAATTCATCAAGCAGCCCGTGGCTGTCGCCGACTCTGACTCCACCGACGAAGAGGAATCTCGAGTCGGAAAGATGCCTTCCTCTGATGAATCTGACGCGTGAATCTTTGCAATTTTTGACTATCTGAACATGAACCGAAACGCTGGCCTTCATTGAGTACGCGTCTTCCTGCGGTCCTCAGCTCCGCCACGCTTGCCATCTACCCCGCCGAGTCCATTGACGAGTACACCAAACACTTGCACAGCAAGCGACAAGACCACGACCGCGGAACTGGCGTCGGTGCTTGGATAGACGTTCCACGCCCACTCCTGCAGCGCCCATGTGGCATAAATAAGGATTGGATGGAGACCTGCGCGCCACAGGAGGAACGGGGTGGCCCATGCCAAATATGCAAAGAACTGGTAATGCAACGACCTGGCGCTCAGCAAACCAATGACGAGCGAGCTCAGCAACACTGTCATGATGAAGGATCTTGACAGAGTCACGGGCGGTTGGCGGCCCTGGATGCTGTCCTGGAGGAAGCGGAGCACGTTGGATCCGGACGGCTTTGTCCACACAACAGAGAAGATAGCCAGTAAAGAAACGTGCAGCACCAGCAGACCCAATGAGAATTCCCTCGAAAGAAAAATCTCCTGGCCCACAAATCGCCAATTCACTGTCCATTTGAACATAAATTGCCGCGACAGCTCAAAGGCTTTGGATAAGTAGCCAACTGGGTTCGCCTGGAGGAAAGGAATAGCAAGCAAGACCTGAAGGTTCGATGTTAGTGGCCGGTATCAAATCGACCGTGTAAAATTTAAGTATAACCAACTCACCTGAATAAGCATCGCCATGAGACCAAGAATAATACTCTGCGCCAGTCCCAGGCTCAGCAGGGTGAGAATAGCAATAGCCGGGACGAGCAGGACCAAGGTCATTTTGACGCCCACACCCAGAGACCAGATCGCGACACCAGCGGTCCATTTCCGCTTCATGCACAAGTAGATTGCTGTCCACATAGTGAAAGCCGCAATGCCATCATTGAACATGCGTAGCATGTAGATGCTATGAAGCCGCTTGGACAGAACCAGCAGTGGGTACAGGTATGGAGGAACCTCCACTTCTCTGTAACACGCAACTACGACGATAAGTGTAGCCAGGTAAAAGCCGGCGAAGAAGATCTGCCCGAGGAGGATATCGCGGCCTCCATCGGTCAGGTTGTGGAGGAGGGTGTAGAAGTAAACATGCGCAGCGGGGTAGACAAGAGGACCGGTCGATCCCTTAATGGCAGTATAGTCGCGTTCACCGGAGATGTAGAGCGACACTTGTTGCATGTAGGTTGTCCAGTCAATCTCGGTATCTGTGGTGGCCGTGGAAGCGATTAGCTCGGTCGGATCGGGACCGTACGCGACGCGGACTCACAGGAGATCTTCCAGATGACCAGGGCGCAAAGAACCGCATCGCCCAATATGAGCAAGGATGCGACCCAGGGCGTGTGCTTTGGATGCGTAAGCGCGGAGTGTATGAACCTGGTCAATGGATTTGGCATCGCGGCGCGAGTTGGTTGAGGGGGAATGTTCAAGGTGGCCTGACTGGAAGCCGCTTTAGCTTAACGGGTTCTGGGCCGCCGAATCCATGGCAGGCTTGCGCAGTCATAATCAACAGTCTGGATTGTGGAATGGTCGAATGTCTAGACATTGCTTTCTCGTATTTGGATCCTTTTATACATTTTATACAAGTGGGATCCTTGAGCGCCGCTCAACTCGACACCTCAAGCCCATCTATCAGAGCTATCCCAACAACCACAATCGCCCAAGCAACACATCCCCGTAAAAAACTCCATGGTATCATTAAACAAGAAAAGAAGGATATGATGCAAAAAACAAGACATATAACAGCACACGATAATGCACAGCACAGATGACCCGGGCACTACCGACCTCCATCGGCCGATCCGCCCGTCTGCGTCTGGTGTTGCTCGCTTCCACGCGCATTGCGGAATCCTAGCAGCTCGCCGAGAACACCTTTGGGCTTTGGCACAGGGCACTCGTGCCCAACATGGGCCAGCTTCTCAGCTTCCTCCTCCATCTGGAAGAACGCCGACACCTCCTCGTCCACGGCGCCGGATTGTGTTGGGAAGCCGGGGCGGGCGGTTTCCGGGTCTAGCTCGGCGTCTTTCCGCCGCCGCCGCCGGATGCGAGGGACTTGCTGCCCATCGGCTGTGATCATCATCTCTGAATCGGCCAGGGTGCGTCGCGGCGCTGGGCAGGGGAAGAGGTGCGGCATGCCGACCACCACGAGGGACGCGAGGAGGGTGCCTGCGAAGAGGGTGCTCGTTGACCGCGAGCGGGGGTGTAGATGCGGCGGCATTGTGAGGATAAGATATGCGTATGGAGGATGAGGAAAATGCGGATTGAGGGAGGGATTGGACGCGGCCGAATGCTTCGACTATTTTCGGCTCAGGCCATCGGAGGGCCTTGGGATGGACGGGTTGGCTGGCCCAGGGTCGGCGTGGAAGGTGCAGGAGTCGACAGAGAGGTCAATTGGACGGACTTCGACAGGACTCTTTAACCGAAATGATTTGACAGGGTCACCAGCGCAGGTCCGGAAGGTGGGCGATCGAGTCGACGGAAGGAGAAGAGTTGTGAAAGCTCTGGTGCATCTAATCTTATCTGCCTCCCGCGTGATTGGCTGCCAACTCGCCGCGCAGAGTCAGAACCGCCCTCTTCGTATCGAGTGCTGCTTGTTTCTGGCCATGGCGGCGCAATGATGAGTCTGCATTTTCCACGGGAAGGAGACTGACTTTGTCTGGATTATTTTATCTTATTTTTTCTTGGTTTTCACGAGGGGATCCCCTCACGCCCACTGCAACCCACCCCTCCTCACTTTCTACCTCTCCCTGACCTCCCTCCATCCGCGCATCCTCTGGCACCATGAGTGACCTAGACAGGTACGGCGTGATTGACCCTCCTGAAACTGTGCCACCCATTCTCATTGCTTATCTCACGTAGGGCGATCGAGCAGCTGCGGGCCTGCCGCCTGATCCCCGAAAGCCAAGTCCGCGAACTGTGCTACAAGGCGCGCGAGCTCTTAATCGAAGAGGGCAACGTCGTCTCCGTTGATGCGCCGGTCACGATCTGCGGCGACATCCATGGCCAATTTCATGACCTGATGGAGCTGTTCCGCGTGGGCGGCGACGTTCCCGACACAAATTACTTGTTTATGGGCGACTTCGTCGATCGCGGCTTCTATTCGCTCGAGTCCTTCCTCCTTCTCCTATGCTTGAAAGTGCGCTATCCCGATCGCATCACTCTGATCCGCGGCAACCACGAGTCACGTCAGATTACCACCGTATACGGGTTCTACGATGAGTGCATCCGCAAGTACGGCAGCGCCAACGTCTGGCGATACTGCTGCGAAGTGTTTGATTATTTGGCACTCGGCGCCCTCGTGCTTGGCGCTAGCTCGGAGCTTGAACCAACCATGTCCGGAGGAAACGATATAACACAGTCTACGATGCCTATCGATGACGGCGAGCTGGAGACTGAGGTACTGAATTCGCGTGGAGAAGTTACAATGAGTACATACCGCCCCCGACAGCGCTCTTCCTCCGATGTCTCCACAGACTCCCGAAACATTTCACCACCACGCGATATATCCGCCGCACCAGGCCAGACCGGCGCGCCTACTCGCACCGGCGCCCCCGGCACAGGCGCCAGTGGATACGGTAACGGCAGCGCGATGACCAGCCGCACTGGCGCTGTGCTTTGTGTTCACGGCGGCTTGTCACCCCTAATTGACTCGGTAGATAAAATCCGGCTGATTGACCGCAAGCAAGAAGTGCCCCATGAAGGCGCCATGTGCGATCTTCTCTGGTCAGACCCCGACGAGATCGAGGGATGGGGCCTGAGCCCGCGAGGTGCCGGGTTCCTGTTTGGCGGAGACATTGTCAAACAATTTAACCACCTGAATGGCTTATCTCTGGTGGCTCGTGCCCACCAGCTTGTCATGGAAGGGTATAAGGAGATGTTTGACGGCGGTATTGTCACAGTGTGGTCTGCGCCGAACTACTGCTACCGATGCGGCAATGTTGCCGCTATCTTAGAGCTTGGAGAGGATGCTCGCAACGGCGGCACTGTTGCGCGCAGTAACGGAGAATATGGACGGAGCAATGGTGTTGTTGGTGCGGACGGTGTCGCCAGCACTGTTGTCAGTCCTGGGAGAAGATACCGCGTTTTCGAGGCTGCAGCGCAGGATACTAGGGGTATGCCTGCGAAGAAGCCCGTCGCTGATTATTTCCTGGTAAGATTGCCTTATTCGTTGGTATTCTACACATAATAAACTAACTGCCATCCAAGTGATACCAATTCATGCATGCTTTCCCCTTTCTCGCCCATACGGTTCTCGGAAGCCATTTGATCTACCAGCATCTCGTGCCCTGGTGTTTGTGTCCCAGTTGCTACCCTAATGATCATTCATGACAAGAACTTGATTCCTGGAAATTCTGACAAGTTCTCTTCTATTTTGCCTATCTCTGTAAACTCGATTGTAAAAGTATCTACCTGCAGTTCCTGGCAGATGCGACAACATATACCTACTCCTACACTGTAAACCATAGAATCCTTCCAATTTCTGTTATCATAGAGGGAACATTCAAGAGTAATGCACGGCCAAACAACACAAAGAAATCAAAGGATGGTATCAAAGGATATTGTCAAATCAAAGGATATAAATATGGAAGTTTTGAGGCAAGACGCGCAAATCATGTATAGAAAAAACGAACCATATGTTTTTTAAAAATGGAAAGATCATTTCCATTGATAGTCAAACCCGGAGGTGCTGTTTTCCGCGGTGGGACAGCTATTGGGCATTCCCACTGTGACCTGTGGTTGATGTTCCGGGACAGATAGAGGATCAGGATGCTGTGCCATTGCCATGGCATAGCCGTGATTCCCATCATAGTGAATATGAGGCGGGGGAGTCGGCATTTCAGGGCTCCATGGCCCAGCCCAGTTTTCTATACCGATTGCGCTGCCACGCGACCACCAATCTTGGCTCTCCTCAACGAGGTGTTCCGTGCCTTCGAACCCAGACACAGTCGAACTTGAGCCCGGAGTGGTATTCTGCGGCGCCATAGGCGGCCCCGACGGGTCGTACCATCCGTTTGGGTCTGGAGACGCACTGGAGGGACCGGGTGAAGCGAGAATGGGCATCTGGTACGCGGGCCGCAGGTATGTTGGTTCTGGCGGCGCAAAATCTGCCCGCTGAGCCTGGACGCCTGGCACGTGCCGGGCCGTGTGCATTGATGGCATGGCGGTGGCCACAGCAGCAGCGGGGTTCCGGGATGGGCCCCTAGTGGCAATGGGAGGGTTGGTAGCCAGGGGATCTGCGGGAGCCATGGGAATTTGATTGCTGGACGGGGAATGGGAGACCTGATTCAGGCTGGTGACTGAGGAATGGAAATTGCCGTGGTTGATGGGGGACTCGTCAGATGTGGTAGAAGGCGACATCGCTTGATCCCATGATCCCCACGAACCCCATTTCAAACGGGTGCGCTCAAAGATAGAAGTAGCTTCTGGAGGTAGATCGACCTGCCACTTGCTAGCTGAGATGTCGAGGATACGCAAGGTGCGACGCGCGCACAGCCAGCCTTCAGCCATTTCTTCAAGGTTTCGTAGGCCGTGAATCACGTCTCGTTGGGCGTTTTTATCTGGCAGATTGAGAAGATGAATGGTGCAGGCAGTATGCAAGATGTACACGACAATATTACAAATTTGTTTCAACCCGTATGTCCGCTTGTACATCCTCATCATCTTGGATATAGCCGAGGCTGCCTGGGTGCATATTTTGCGCGGTGAGACGTGTGATGGGAGAGGGGTGTTCGTTCTGGTATACTTCAAGAAGGGCCGATAGAGATGGATAAGAAGAAGCTGGTTGAACATGCTGTCATGCCGTTAGACAGAGTGAGAAGGAAAAGTTGCCCATGCATGTTTACTTACTGCATGACAAGTACCTGGGGTAACTGCCCTTCTTTCGGTTCCAGCTCCTTCGGAAGCTCCTTTTTCCACGCCTCAAGACGCGTATGGACATCACTCAATTTTTTCAGTTCCGACTGCTTCTGATGTGTCTTCTCCAGTTCTGAAGGATGGTAGAAGAACACGAGTAGGTCACCGCTTATCTCGCACAGCTTCGAAATTTGAAGTGCTACGGCCCTTGTTCGGGAGGGCTGTGCGTGGTTATGACCCACGCCAGAATCTGTATAAGGCGACCAGAGTTCTGTCTCTTCTCTCGGCAGGACATCGAATTTTGGCACGTTGGTATTGGATGAGGATAGTTGAGGTTGGCGGCCAAGGTAGTTGGACCAACATCTGGCACATGTTAGAAAGCACAACACACATCAACGTCGAAGGAACATACTTGTCAATGAGGTAGCAACCCCAGAAGGTAATCCGTCGCGCATCGATTTCGTCATCATTAAGTTTGTAGGACCCCATGTTCTTCGCATCGACATTCAGCCCAAGATCAAAAGCCATGCGGAAGCTCAGACCGCTGTATACCCAGCCTTTGCCCTCTCGGCCACAGCCAGCCTCACGAACAGACATGAGAGCAAATGCTTGGACAGTGCAGAGCTTCGCATTCTCGTGTTCATCATTTTCCAGAACCAGCCGCTTAGCTTCTTTGAAAAAATGATTACCCGCCGTTGCCAGATCCTGGGGATCAGCGAATGCTCCCGTCCAAGAGCTAAAATGGCAACCAAGCGCCAGCATAGCGTTGACCAGCAGTGCCGAGCAGTATGGGCTGGAGATACCACGGATGTAATCTCGAGAGAACATGTCTTTAGCGAGGATAGTAAAGAAAGGATAGTGCCATGTGAAGTACATGGTTAACAGATGGCTGATCAGCGAGTCATCTTCCGTGACTTTGGTCCATCGCCGGACTGGCTGTGCATCACTCAGCGCGGGCGACTCGGCTCTCGAGGCAGACTCGTGCAGCTCTGAACCCGGTGGAAGGAAAATGAGATTCGAGGTACCACCAATGAATTTTCGAGACCCATCTAGCATGAGCTCGCTCATTTTACCGGCTAGCTCCGACTCGAACTGATCAACTTCGGCAGAGGCCTCATCACTTGCCTCACCCACGGCATGGGCAGTAGCAGCAGCAGCAGCAGCAGCAGGAGCAGCCGGAGCAGCAGCAGCAGCCGCGGCAAGAAGCCCCTTTTCGCGAGCAATGACCGATTGAGCGACATCTTCCAGGTCATCACAAGACCGCAGTTGGCGTACAAGTTCGAAGGCATCATCTTCTTCGTAGTTTAATAATGCCTGGATCAATGTTTGTAGTGTTGTATGCCGAGTGCGAAGAGCATCGGCATCCTTTTTGTATACTCCCTTGCGTCGATGGTCGGAGTTTGGATCATAGATACCTATCAAAGATCAGCCTCATTATATAGGACTTGGATAGGATGTACCCACATGGCGTATGGTAGACCGAGGAACATGCTGCACAGCTGGGCAAATTGCCATCACACTAGGAAGAAGGATCAGTGGCGCGCGCCTCGCATCCAAGCTTCCCAAACACAGCTGGGCTTACCTTGGACTTCCTCCGGCGACAGGCAATGCACGCAGTGCTTACACAGCGCCGTTTGGGCGGACCGCGCTCGGTAGCCATAGGGTCGACTCCTGCGATAGGCGGGATTCGGGATTTGGTGATGCTGCTTTCTCCGCGGGTGATCAACCTGCGCCTTCAGCGTCGTGTCCACCGATCAATGGTCCAGCTTTCAGTGGGTTTCAGGCATCGTCTGTCCATCGTCCAAACGCGGGAGGTGAATCAACATGGGCAGCCTTGCGCCGGAGAGACGTGGTGCGGTCACCACACTCGACGGCGGATTACGAGCTATGGGAGGTGTTTAGACCACGGCGAGATAGTCTCCGGTTTGGCCGGTCGTGCCGGTGGTCAGCGGGCATGTGCCTTACGCAGCGAACCCGGTCCAGCTATTCTTGTTGCAGTCTATACACGCCGCAAGCAGCACGGATGTGGGTAGGAATTCAGAACCCCGCGGGATGACCCACCCGGGAGGCGGGGAGAGCTGCTTGGGGGGTGGTTTTGAATGGCCAAGGCTCGCGAGGCTGCAGTTTGATAGCAATTGAAGATGCAGCCGAGATGATTGGATCCTTCTGGGCGGCTGCAGACGGGGTTTATCGTCGGCTTCTGTCTGGCTCGTCAGCGACTCATGACGGGCTCGACGATAGAGACTGCTGACTCAGCCACAGGCACGTGGTATCACATGATTGTGGTCTAAGTATGGGAAGAGTACAGATTATCGGGGGGTGGAGCCGAGTTGTGCGAAGTACTGGTCGGGTTGAAGAGCCTATTTGGATGCATAGAAGGGTAGAAGGAGCCGCCCCCAAAGAGCAAGACCACATCCCTATCGCCCTGCTTACAGTACCAATGAGTCACTATCTCACTGGGTCTGGAAGAAAGGAGTATACCCGCAGTAAGCGAAAGCCCTCAACCCTTGCTTTTGATTGCCGGACCCCGCGGGTGTTTGTCAGAGAAAAAGAAAACAACAGGCCAGGCCAGCCTGATATGTAATAATACAGCACCGACAACGGCAAGCAGAAAAAAAAAAGGAGAGCACCGGTCTACCACAACAAAATAATATACACCGCAACTGTGCTCGCTTAGGCAGCTCCACCTGCCACGTCAGGTTCTTCTTCACCCTTTCAGAGACTTCTGCAGCCACCCGCGATCCGACTGGTTCCTCCGATCGCGGCAAAGCCGGCGTCTCCCGAAGCGGTCCTGTTGGCCGAGTGGGTCTTGGTCAGCGGTGAGAGAGTCAAGAGGTTGGTAGATGTTCCATGCGCGAGGGCGGATGGAATCAATCAATATTACAGTACGGGGCACTGTTCTGTTTTGAAGGGGGTACTGGTTTGGGACGAATTTCGAAAGATAGCGGCGGCTTCTCAATCTGCAGGCACCCACACTAAACTCTACCTTAAACGGCCCACCCAGCGGAGTCGGAGAGCACCCCGACACGCGACAAGGGGGGATGGAGCCCGTAAAATAGGGATGGTGGACAAAACTCCGTGGACGATGATAGAGACTACTGTACTCCGTACATACTATGTAGGATGATTATCGGGGGATGGTACCCGACCAAGCACAAGATAAGGTGACCTGTCACGCACAACGGACTCCGTGTACGAAGTCCATTGGAAAAGGGGGACAGCCCGATCCCACGCAGGGCTCCTTCGATGGCTCCACCGGGCGAACATTCCACCCCAACTGAACAGACCCGCCGAACAGAATGAATACCACCTAGCCCCATTTCAGAACCACACTAAGCCCAAGGGAGGCAGGCGCAGCCTCCCAGCCGGGGGCAATTAATAATGTTAAAGAATGGCGGTGCCGGAAGCCCGGCATGCGATTGTTCCCCGCGCCCAATCGCCCTGCGCAGAAGCCCCCAAGCCCCCACACGACCATCCCATAATTACCGTCACACGCGTACCTGCCCAATACGCCTCTGATGCCTCTTATCATCTGGCACCCGCTGAGATCACCACACTCTTATCTTCCGCCCTCTCGCCCTGTCAACCCTTTCCTCTCCTTAACGACTCGCCTTTCCTCCCCTTCGACCCTCGTCTCCCCTGCAATCAGTTCTAGACGTCTCCTTCCGAAACAAACGTCAACCCGCACCTCCCTTTCCTCGACCAAGCCCAGTCCAATCAGATCGGCTGCTAGTTATCTCCCGACATCAGCGCCGGGAGACGACATTTGGTCACCATTTTCTCCCCCCCCATGTATCTCGCTCAGACGCTTGACCAGAGTGCCTCCTCCGGCCAAGGCCTCGTGAACAAGTTACAGACGGGCATGACTCGTTAAGATGATGGTCCCCAGAGCCTTTCTTTTCACCTCGGCACCGCCCCAGAAAGCGATGCAGCCTTCGGGCACACAAGAACACACCCCTCGACCGGGTTGGAATCGAGTGGGTGGTCATCCTACCAAACATGCTGGGATTACCGCTTCGCTCATGACCACTCCGGTGGTGATCCCGCCAAAACGCGGCTCACATACTCCCGTACGGCGAGAAGGGCGGTCCCGCACCCCTTCGAGGACGTCGGCTTCGTCTCGCAGATCCTCTTCCTCGTCCTCCAATGACCGGACTTTGCCCATGTCCTTTGCCTCTATGTTGGACGCAACGGCGATTCCTGTTCCACGACGGTCATGGTCCACTCGGAGGCCTCGGAAACTTCCCCGAGGGAACCATGTGGAAGACTTCAGCCGGATCATGCAGGAAGGTCTGAAGGCGAAGGAGGTCTATCTGATGGGTGGCACAAGCAACTCGCCACTGGATATCTTATTGAGTCCACCAGATAAAGAACATGAAAAGTATTCGAATGGCCATGAGTTTGAATCCGACATCCCCTTCTCCCCACAGTCCGTATCAAGTGACTCAGTCCCCTCACTTGTGCCCGACTTGGGGTCCCCCTCCAGCTCGCTCCTGCCACCAACACCAGCCGGTCTTAAAAGCCCATCCGAGAGGCGGCAGCTACGATACTCCCCTGCCGAAGACTGCGCCCTTGACCACCCTCTTCTTGAAACGGAGATGGATGATTGTGCACTGGTTGAGTTTGAGAATCACCATGAGCCGATCATACATGATGCGGTCACCTCAAAGCGATCTACCTCGTTCAAATCCTTCCCCAGCTTGAGATCGTCCTTCAAGTCGAATCTCACAGCGTCATTACGAGCCATCAAATCCGCCGCGCAGTCGGTCTCAACCTTTACCACGCCTTCTGTCCAACCAGAAGACTTTCTCACGCGATCCCTCTTCACCATCACCCCCGAAATGACCGATGATCGCCGCCCACCACCTATGCAGGAACCGCCTTCTCCAGCTCTGCGACGCTACCTGAATCCAACCCCTGTCTCTCCCGCCGAGATGTGCGTCTACCATGACCACCCTCACGACAAGCCCCAGTCGGCCAGTACTTGTGCCGTCTCAATTCAGATGCAGACGTATCGCCGTTCTCGCGGCCGAGGTAACCGGCGCAATCACTTCCACGTCGTTGCCTTGAAGAATCGCGACCAGTATCACACCTATGATCCTGAGGTGCCGCCCATGTCGCGCCAGCGCGAACCCCGTGAGAACAGTGACTTCCTTCGTATGGTCGTTCTTGAGATGAACATGCGCCGCAGCGGCAAGCTCCGAGAGGATATTCCCACACGGGCCCGCATCATGCTTCCCCCTCGCAAGAGCAATCCTTACCGCTTGTCGACCGACTACGAAGATGGCGATGATAACGACGCCATCCCAATCCGGTGGGTGGGTGTCTCGGTTTGAACCCCCCAATCTCGACAGCCACCCCTAGAGAAGCCTCCACGGCCAGCGCTGGACGCAGGCGCAGTCGGGCTCTCCCGTACATATACATGATATCTTTGTTTATTACTCTATTAAACCAGCGCGGCGTTGGACTCGGATGCATGCAAGTGTCCAGGCTGACACATTTTTCCTTTTGTGACCTACATCCCCCCCTAGCTTAGCTCTCTATCTCTCTATGTGTGTGTGTCTCAACCATCCCACTAGACCAATCAATCTACTCAATTTCTAAATTATCTGGGCTCCATCGGGCAATAATGCTTGTTTAGCGGTAATCCTGCATTCGGCGAGACTCCGGAGTTTCCCCCCTGCATCATGATCTCATCCCGCAGCCATGAGATCATCCCCGGGCGGTCAGCCTTGACCTCCGCCTGAGCGATTGGTCCGCGCCATTATAGGACCTGCTTCTGGCTGTCTACTTCGGCGTAATAGGGCTGGCTCTTGGCGGGCAAAGATAGGAATCTGCCTAGGCCGCGGTGGGTTAGTCGCTTTGTGGTGGGGCAGGAAATTCATCCCTATGACGATGCTATGAACACACGCCTTTCTCGACTTTGGTCCCTTCTTGAGCAGAGTACATTTGAGCCAAGGCTTTTCTAGCGCCTTGATATATTACTAGCGGCCTGTACCATGCCTTCCTGGGCCAATGGAGGCCGCACGGTGCTGTCAAAAACCTGGCATCACGAAAGCTCGCATCGAAAGTATGGGGCTGGTCAAATTGACACCGAAAATCGCATCTGATGCCAGAAATGTGCGCCCCTCCATCCGTAGCTTCCAGCGACGAATCGCCCCCTGTTCTGCCACTTTACGATATTTCCGCAAAGTTGATGATGTAACGCTACGATGCTCAATAGATGACGAACCCAAGGGACTTGATTACCGATTATTAACAATAGCGGTAAACCCCTCACCGCGGCACCTGGAATCCTGTAGACGGTTGTGTCAGCGGTATACCCGGATGTACAGGTAAATGGAAGGGGTGATGGTTGTAAACCAAGAGGATTGAAAACTTACTTTCTTCATCCAACAGTGTCCCATGCTTCCAACTTTCCTCCACCCAGTCCAGGCTCACAAGATGCGGTACTTTCTTTCCCGATCTCGCAACCAAGGACTGTCTCAAGGACCTTATATCTGCCGATGAGACTTTCTCTGGATTGACAATGACATGAGTGACGTCTGGACTGTTCAGCGAAGTGACACTGCTAGCCCCGGCAAAGTGGGCTGTGTTGCGTGCAAGAGTCAAACGGATATCCTCCGTGATGGACCCTGACGAATCCGACTCGCCGCTTTCATTGCCATTCGCCTGGTGGGTTGGAAAGAAGAGAAATTGTAGACCGCGGAACAACCACCCACATGGTGCAGTGTATCCTGAATTAATCTTGTCCTGAATATGGGCCTCGATCTTGTGGACTGAATGGGGATCTAATGAGCTTTCGACCTCATCTTTGCCATGCTGCATCTGCTGGAGAATCTACTTGGGAAATTAGCGTATTGGACAAAATAGGAAGGACTGTGAAAGAAACGTACGTCCTCAAGCTCATCGACACTAGTGTCGCGAGCATAGCTGTCCCCGAACTGGTCGACGTTCCTTTTAATATCTTCATCTTGATCCTCCTTGATGAAGAACATGTGCCTGTTGCAGAAATTGAACAAAATTAGTCTTGTTCTAGTCACGTCTAGTCAAAGAAAGCTAAGGCGTACCTCGGCTCGAAAGCTAAAAGGAGGTCCGGCAAGCCGGCATCCTTTTCATTTTGCTTGACGCAATCGATCAGCCAGGATGGTCTAACAATATTGGTCTGTCCGCTCTTCTGTATTGATGCAACCTTGACCGTCTCTGCGCAAGACATCAGTCAGATTCAACTAGAATGTATTGTCATAAACAGAAGCACGTACTTCGATCAGCGATGCAAATAGTATCTGGTGCGGCTGTATTTGTCTGATAGATCTTGCCCCCGTTGGCCTTGACCAGTTGCTCAAGCTCAGCCTTGGTCTTCTTTTCGGGCATGGTCGATTCCGTCATGACGACTATAATGCCTTTGTCAGTGAATGAACTTAAGTATGGGGGGAAGTGGCAATACGCACAAAAGTTGAGATGATCAAAGACATGACCCGAAGGGCCGAGATACTGCGCGTTTTCCTTCTCTTCATACCCGGCGATGGTCAACGGCTTCTTCCCTGTCTTTTTCACGCGCTTCTGCTTCCGGGAATTATCCACTGAGAATTCCTTTTCACGGTGCTCCTGCTCTGCATTTGACTTCAGGTCCAAAAACTCTTGGATCGACAGGGCGGTCTTCCAAGTTTTATCTTTGCGCAGTTTCTTAAAGCGTGGAAAGCGCAATGTTAATCCCATGCGGAACTGGTCACTGACAGACACTGAAGCTGCCTTGACACAGAGCACAACCGAATCTGACGGTTTGATCCACATATCAGGTCGCTCGTACTGCGCGTCTCCGCCGGCCAGCTCGATCAAGGCTGTTGGTGGTTTCTTGGAATCCCACTCCTTCCACTTGCCATCCGTGTGGTGACGAATTTCCTGATAGTCAGCGGCAGTGAAGCCTCCGCCTACTTTACAGAACGACCAGCACTTCATGGGGTCTGCGCCCTGCGAGGAGTTCTGATCATCAACACGCAGGCCACACAAAAAGCTCGCCAGGGCGCCTCCTCGGTGGCCAGAGCCATAGTATCCACCAATGACCACTAGATCAAGAGATTCTCCAAATTCGGTCATGTACTCGGGTTTGACCTTCATCCAATCATCGTGGCGCTCATTCAGGCGGTATGGGGACCGAGGATTCTTCAAAACCAGACCTTCTGACGCCTCAGCCACGACCGTCCGCAGACGTTTCTCCACGTCTGCTGCAGTGGTAGCTTCGTGGTATTCGAGAATCTCAAAGCGGCGATGAACAGGAAGAACTGTCTTCTGTAGGGCATTGCGACGGTCGCGAAGAGTATACCGTGTCAGGTCCCTCCCATTGAGATAGAGGATGTCAAACACACGGAACAAAGGCCTCGGTCCATCAGAGAAAGGATTACGCTGCTCTGCCAGAGCTGCAGTTTTCAGCGTACCAAATGGAACGGGTGCATCCTGCTTTGGATCCCATGTCACCATTTCGCCATCAAGGATGAGGTTTTGCACCCCATCCACAAAGGCATCTTTAAGGTGTCTTGTCAAGGTTCCCTTCTCGTCGTATATTCCACTTCCATAGAGGTACGTATACTCCTTGGCTTTCCGGGACCAGAAACAGAACCTGCGACCACCTGGGACGGATTCGTCTTGATCCATATGAAGCTGCATACGCTCTCCGTCCATTTTTTCTTCAATCCAAAAGACGGGGTCATCCTCCGTTGGTTGCATTCGCGAGATCATTTTTTCGAACGAATGCATCTGAAATTGAGCCAGCTGGGGCTGGAAGCACTGCATAAGCGAGATCCCTCGGTCCCCCGCCTCAAGACGAATATTTGGATCATGAAGCTCCCAGCATACCCGGCGCAGGCTACTGGAGATGCTGTACAGGTTCTCGGCGTCTGGATGCCAGACATTGAAAAGTGTACGCTCAGTGGCTCCAACCTTCATCTGTCGAAGAATGATTCGAATGAGCCATGTAAGCTCGTCCGGGTTCATGCGCCGGTAGAACTCCGTCAGAATAGGCGTTTGCTGGTCCTCTTTGGAGGCAGCCGAGAGGTCGTCCAACTTTTTGTTCACCTCCTCGATAGACATATCACCCGGCTCAGTCCGCATCGGCCGCTTTGACAGAACATCGTAGCATCGCCCAGCGAAGTCGCCCGCCATACGCGCAGCGGACACGCCTGGCAGCTTCCAATTCAGTAGATTGGAAGCGTCCTCTGACTCCTTGTTGATCTTCATAATCTTGACCAACATCTTTCCAATGACCTTTTCCTTGATTCCGTACATAGGCCGATCTCTGTCCTTGTCCGGTAGTATCAGCCGGAAGGCTGGATAGATATCGTCCCCCACTTCCTTGCGCCAACGTGAAATAAAACGAGCGATGATATCGCGCCGAAGCTCATATGGATTCAAGCTCGCCGTACTTTTTCCCTGGGGTCCAGCCTTTCGTCGCGCTAGACTAGGGCCTTTCGGTTTCTTTTTGATGTCACTGAGTGGGTTGAAGAGGTTCAGGTACAGCTCATGGAATGGGAATGTTGGGGCGCGGTTATGAGGCCGATTCGGGTACCTGTGTTTTTTGAGCGGTTAGTGGTCTCATAGGAGGAGGATCAGGTAGTGAGTACTTCTCATCCAGGTCCTCCTCCTCATTCTGGGTAGGCTCAGGTATAATCTCGTCGGAATCCATGGTATACACAGCTCAAGAGAGGTGGAAGTCCGCCGGACAGTCTTAGGCAGCTCCGCGATAAGATAGCGCGAGCGCGCACGTGTGACATCACCTCAGCGGTCGCCTAGAACTATATCGCCCTCCAAGACAAGCAGTATAAACAAAGGGGTATGCATGAAAAGACTATTCTAAAATTATATCTGAATAAGGTATATTTCGAAATTAATGTTCGAAACCAGAAGGGTTACAGCTCTCGTCCATATTTCCATTGCGGCTCGGCTCAATCTCCGGGTTCCGCGACGCCAGACCAGCCAGACGAGTCAGGATAGAAATGAATCTCTTCGAGAGACGCCATGCTGCCAAACCGGAGAGAACCTCGCAGCCGATTCGTAAAATCCTCTCTGGACCCTCGGGCGCACATATATCTCCTACGCCCGTGATATTCCCTCTCATGGAGTGGCCTTCGCGAACGAAGAGTTGCACCAGTTCATCGTCGCACGGTCGGTCTAAATGAATAAAACTTGGCTCTTGCGATGGCTCATTGCGCGAAGCCTGCGTGTATGGACTCGAATCTTGGGGAGCGTAAGCATGACATGACCCGTAGGCCCAGAGTGTTAGAACCGCGAGGAAAGCAGCTACTGGCTCGTGGAATGCATTCGTGGAGTATCTCCGGACGTGCCAGAGGGTCACTCCAGCATGGATAATGGACAGCCGAGCTTTGTATTGATCATGCTTGATCCAACGCCAGATATATTGCCATTCAATTGCTTGATGCCTTTTGCTCCATCGTAGCTTATCCGTTGCAAGAGACGTCGCGAGCGAGCGAATCTCACGGAATGGTGCCAGCAAAATAAGCCGAGCAGCGTGGAGATGGAGGATGGTGGGATGTTCCAATCCGGCCGCCTTAGCGACAGTACTATTGGCGGTCCAGTGGAGAATATCCAAGCAATCGCAAGCGCTGTTACGCCATTTGGAGTATGACGGAATTCCTGGAAGCCAAACAGACCCGGAAGGGATTGCAGTCTCTCGAGACTGCTTTTTTGCAGTTGGATTCCAGAAAGACAGCGGACGGCGGAAGTAATCGCCCACTTCCCACATTCGATGGTAAAGAGCGTGGATGAGGAGGATGTGACTGAACTCTCCAATGCCGGAGACCAGTCTCTTTTCAATGTAAAGAGTATGCACAGCATCATATAATGATTCGTTCACTGTCATAATCAGCATATAGCTTAGGGAAATTGAGAAGATTGGGGTAAGGAGTACCGGTAGATTGATCCCACAGCTGTTTCCAACCTTCCATAGAAGTCGACTGCCAAAGTTCCTCATGGGCAGGTAGTGCAGCCTGTCCATCATCCAAAGACAGAATTGGTCGCTCATCGAAATAATAAGCAAGTGTGCAGTCCAAGAGCTTTACATCGGATGTCAGCAAATCTACCTCCAAAATTTTTTGGAATTCAAGCTTACCCAGACACAGTAGCCAGTCCGCTTCCGAGTTTCGTCCTTGATCCATTTCTGCCATAAATCTTCGCAAGAATTCCCATTCGACTCTCTCAATGGTTTCGTTGAGGATAGCAACTTCTCGTCGTTCGCAAGAGTCACAAGGTCTTTGAACGCGCCGAAAGCAGATAGCTTATCCTTCTCATTTCCGCTGTGAAGGAGTCCAATACAATTGAGCAGCATGGCTTGCAACAGGTCAAGTGAAACAGACCCAGCGTGATGTTTTTCTTTCTGCAACAATATCAGTATGCCTGGAAAAGAGATAAAAATCTGCACGACAGGTCAAAAGGTATACCTCAACGTAGATAGCCCGTCGAAGCATCTCATGAAAGGCCGTTGTACATTCATCTGCCTCATGAATGCTTGAGCTATGGCACCCAACTGCTAGAAGAGCCAAGGTCAAGATCCAGTGACATTGATTTGGATCAAATGTTAGAATATGAAATATCGGATACACGGCCTGGAATGAATCGAAGTAGTAAGCAAGGTATCGGCTGCTTTCCTCTGTCGTAGGGAAATTCTCCGATTCAAACGTCTCAAAGAACGGATTGTCAGTGCGGCAAAGTAAAAGAAAATTGCGATAGATCTCGTTGTACGTAGTCACCTCGATTGGTCGAGCGAACTGTAGGACTTTTTCTGAGATATTCTCCATGGGTATCTCCTGCACGTTCGGGAAGCCGAATTTACGTGCGCCGTTCTCGAAGAGAGCTTGCTCTGTGACAGCGGCTGCATCTGTCGAGGAGGACCAAGGTGCCTGTTTCTTTCTGTATCTTGGAAGCCTGGCACCGCCACCATCAACGTAGTAGTCCGCTGAACGATTTCCAGAATCGACAGATTCTGAATGAGGAGATGATTCGCTGCCGACATGTGAATATCGCCTGGGACTCCCCATATCTGTTCGTAGAGAATGATGTCCGGAAGGGGTATGGGAATTATTTTCGGGGATTGAGGAGCTGATATTATCAGCATGGATCACTGGAGGCTGCCATGGTATTCGCGCCGCATAGTTGTCCAGGATGATGGTCTGAGAGACCTGCAGTGGGAGCCTAGAAGATGGTGCTTCGTGGTTCGCTGGGCCAGCAAAGAACTCATTTGGCAGCCAATTGATCGTAGATAGCATCGACTGGTCAAAAAGCGACGGATCGAAATCAAGTGTCATCTCTGGGTTTCCTGTCATGTCGATATCCAGATCAACCGCAGGGCCAGCCATGCCGGCCTGGAGTTCCCTCATTCCAGGCCCCAGGTTCCCTGTGGCATCGACGGGTAGCATGCCGGGATTCGTGATTTCGCCATATCTTGGGCTACAATCTCCGTCGGGGTACACACCCGGTGGAGGCCTGGCCGCGTTGACAACGGGATTGGCAGACGGTAGGTATAATTGAGAATTGGAGGGTGTTGCGATAGAGCCCCGCCTATCCGACGGTGTATTTCCCAAATGAGAGTCCGTGGAATTTGGAAGTTGGCGTATTGAGGTCTTGGGTGATAGCTGCGAGTCATTAATGCCCTCCATCGAGAACTGCCCCAGTTGATGAGAGGCCGCATGGTCCATCAACGCCGGAACCACATTGATTGCACTGGGATGGGGCGAAGAGTTTCGAGGCGATTGTGGTTCAATTTCCTGTATGTCCAGACTAGACTCTCCCCGCACGCTTCCATTACGAAGTCTCGCTTTTGACCGTCTCTGCGTGGGATACTGGCATTCAAGAGAGCGAGCATCACACCGTCCGCATGGCAAGCCACCACTACATCGCACTCTGGCTGTGGCGCAGCTGAAGCAAGCCCGGAATGTCTTGACGGTGATACGATGCTTGCGGTCCTTGCCTCCTTCACTTCCTGGGGTATGGTGGCTCAGCTCATGTCGATGGAGGGTATCACTAAGGCATCATTCATTACCTCCGTCAGCCGAGTCATATCAACGCAGGTCCCAGACGGCAACATACGTTCTTGAGAAGTGGCGGCCACACTGCGCGCACTCGAAGGGTTTCTCCTTTGTATGACTGCGCAGATGGCGCTTCAAATGTTCCGGGCGCCGAAAGGTGCTGCTACAGACCGCGCATTGAACCTGGCCCGCTGTGTTCTGCTCCGTTCGGTCCCCGGCATGGTTTGCATCTTGTCTGCGATCGGAGTCCATCATGGGAGAGGTGCCAGCAGCTGCGAACTCGGCTGGGCCCGCATGATCAGTCTCAGTCTCAGTCTCCGAGAGCATGGCGGCGCCAGGGGGTGCATCCGGGCAAGATGCGGCATTTCCGAGGTGATGAGGAGTTCATGCAGTGCAGGAAAATGAGGGGAAAGCCGGGGTTGTGGGGGTTGTCTGGCTATAAATTGGCTCAATTAAGCCGTCCACTGCGGACTGTCCCACGCGACGAAGGGTTGCGTGCTGCGATTGGGCTTGGTAATTAAACGACCCGGCTCGGTTAATTAGGCATGGAATCTGGGGAAGCCTTACAATTACGTCGAAAGTGCCCTGGGGCTCCGTAGACGTCGGGCCATCCGAGCGATCGTTCCTGATGGTTGAAATAGTCATAGCATACCGATACTCCTTTTTCGCTGCGTTACACTACTCCACCGCTCCATCCTTGCACGAAGGCCTCAGTCGTATACATGGTTCCTGGCTCCTCGGCTGTGCAGCTGCAAGCTGAAAAGCGCGTGGCGTGCACGGTCGGCCTCGGGAGTGGACCTGTCCAGCGTCATACTCGACGCCTAGCGTTCTCATCTGCAACAGCTGCAGTGCAACCCGGAGAGTTCATCACTCTCCATCATCCACCCCATCAACCCCCCACCCCGCTTTGGTGGTGTGATCGGGCACGACTCGGCGGAGATCGATTCCATGAACGGCGAGATCGCCACCGCGAACCAGCGGTTGGCATCCCGGGCCGCCCGAAACAACTCCGCGCTGCAGGGCGCCACCATCGCCTTCTCAAACTCCAAACCTACGTCCGATGTGGCCTCGCAACCATCCGCGGCAGCCAGAGCCGCAGTCGCCAGCACAGTAACCCGTCATGCGGAGCTGCGTCGCCAGGAAATGGAGTCGCAGAATGGGCCCGAGGTGGGCTCCGTGAAGGACAAGATCGGGCTGTTTGCAGCCAACACCAACCTTTCGCCGCCGAGAACTGTCTCGAGAGGACGAGCTCCGTCACCCTCGATGTCGCCCTCGCCCGGACAGATCGCTGCACGCCTCGCCGCCGAAAAATCCCCTTCCAGGAAACAGGAAGCAGCTGCTGCCATTGCTGCCGCCAAGATCAGTGCCGCCCGCAGTGCAAGCAGAATGCAGTCTCGAGCGGCTGAAGAACGACGAGAGCTGCGCTCGCCCACGCCAATACGACCCAGTGGACCCAGATACACTACAAGAGAGACCCCCTGGATACAATGTTCCGAGATAACCTTGCCATTTCGGAGCCCGAGCCCGAGCCTGAGCACAAGCTCGAATCAGAACGAGAGCCAGAACGATATGGCGAACGCCCATCGTCTCTACCACCTCGCGCTGCAAGTGCTCGCGTCCCGGCAACCAGTGCCCAACCCTCAATCAGCTCTCAATTGAATTCAACCTCGTGTCACGATCCCAAACCGAGACTTCCCCCGCGGTCTACCCCCTCTCAGACGCCCTTCCGAAACCCAGTTCTCACCGGTACTCCTCTACTGCGCCCGTCAACACCAAGCCTGGCCTCCATATCAGGTCAATCCCATAACAGCAGTTCGAGCACGGTAACTGAGTCGGGAATGAACGAGGAAGCGCTCTCCGACGCGATAGTCGCATCCTCCCTCGCATCCGCACGCGCATCTCCGAGGACAAAGGTGCCTCCACTACCCCCGGCCCGACGACGAAACCGGTCGCGGTCAATTCTACGGCTCGCACACACCCCCAAGAGCGACCTATCGCGCACGCCGAGCCCTCCCAAGGGCATGCCGATGACGCTTCGCGGCATGCCCAAGGCCGACGTCGCTGACGCCCAGCGCCGACATAAAATGAACCTGCTCCACAAACACCCTCACAAACATCACGAAGGGGATCGCAAGCGATGGAAACGCCAAGTAACAGAGAAAGAGCGGAAACGCTACGAGGGCGTCTGGGCATCCAACAAGGGGCTGCTCATCCCTCCTGACCGAGGCAGTCGCGAGCTTGGGCCGAATGGTGCCGAGAAAGGGCCGCCCCCCTCAGAGATGGTGCTGAACCTTGTGGTGCGGGAGATCTGGTCCCGCAGCCGGCTGCCACCCGCGATACTGGAGCAGGTATGGGATCTGGTAGATAGCCAACACACGGGACTTCTGACGAAAGAAGAATTTGTGGTTGGAATGTGGTTGATCGACCAGCAGCTGAAGGGTCACAAACTGCCGGTCAAGGTGCCCGACAGTGTTTGGGACAGCGTGCGGTATGTCACAGGCATTAAGCTTTCCTCCACAGGGCCCAAGGGCTAGGGGGACGGATCGTGTTTGAATTGCGAGGTTAGGACTGGAACGCTTCGCTGGGTCCATAAAACTATGTACTCTGTCCACCGAGGTGCGCTAGTACATACTGTAGTCGGACTAGCTAAATCCTCCCTATAGTTCGGGAAGATCCCCTCTATGATGCGCAGGTTCGCAGTGGGGCTCTCGAGATGGACAGAGGAATCGAGGTCATATTCTAAACTCTTAAGATCCGCCCCCTCCCTGATTCCTGTATATATTCCCTGAGTCCACAGTGCAGGCGCGTGCAAATCCTAATTAGCTATGCCAAAGGACCTCCATACTTCAGCCGATTGATCTATCCACATTCCCCCTTCCCCGCCTCCCGGGCTCCACTTCCAAAAGCTGCGCAACAATGGACGACGACCTATGCGACAGTTGTCTTCCATCTTAATCCATCTGCATGTCCAGTAAACATCCGATGCCAAGATTTCCACGAGATGCGTCCTCTCAGGGTCCAGCTGGACATTTGACAGACGCCCGTCCCGGCACCACGTGACCCGAGCATCCACTCCGCGCAGGGAGATTTCATGCCAGCCGAAGAGAAGTGATCGAGGACATGCCAGGCTGACCTCATGGATTCCTCGAGTTCATCATATCCGCCATGTTGCTTCCGTACCTGCCGGCAGTGGCATGAAGTGAACCCTCCCCGGTGACAAATTGTGGACATCCGCCGTACCACGAAGCAAATCCCGGATCTCCACGGCTCGGGGTTTGGACCGAGAACACTCGAGCAATCAGCGCACCGCTTCTATATCAGGGCACTTCTTCACTCTCCCTCGGGATTCCTCTGTATCACCCGGGCTGAACCGACAACCGTTGAGAGGCTAGCCATCAAAGAAGGCGCATTCAGCAGTCTCAGAGAAGCCTGCAAAAGAACCCGACGGAGAGGGCCTGGCGGGGGACTGCGGAGTATCGCCCCATGCCATCCCGGCAGTGTGATTCGCCATGGTCGATGCTTTTGAGAACGAGAGCGGGCTTGCCTCGACGGCGCCTCGGCCGATTCGCAAGAAATTCGCCAAACCTCCCGTCAAGGTAGCCTGTTTGCCTTGGTGCGCCTCCCCTCCCGGTCGGCGTCGGCCGGCTAAAGGTTTTCGCTCGCTAACCCCAGTCCCTAGTCGCGCCTCGAGAACACGCTGTTGCGGGCAGGAACCCTGTGCCAATGTACGTTTCAAAGCCTCCGAATTCCCTTGCCTTTACTATGTTTGAACTATTCTTCTGGGCGGTGGAGCCGCCTGTGGCTCTCACGGGTCGCTGAGTACGACTAAGGACTAACTGACCGTCTTTTAGTGCGTCGCCAAAGGCCGAAAGTGCTCGTACCTGCCTAGCAAACGAGGCGGGCCACGCAAGAAGAAGCAAAAGGTTTCTTCCCCGTCGCCGGACGAAGAGCTGAAGGAGGAGGATGCCCAGTATGCTGTGGATCCCTCCGGGGATTTCGACGAGCGTACGCATTGCTTATCTAGCAATGGCATGCGTACATATGTCACTAACAATCCCACAGGGCCGGGGATGTTTAGTCAAATCGACGTGCTCTCTCTACCGGGCGCAGGTTTGCGGCATCTGGATTTCCCGCAAGTGGCCTCAATATTCCAGGGCTTCTATGCGGGGGATGAGAGTCCGTCCCATGTCCACATGGAGCCTATGCCATCCCTCATGAGCACGACGTCGTGTCTGGTGAGAACCTACGGGAGCGAAGCAGAAATGTAAGTCTTCCATCGTTCCCTCCCATAATACCCGTATAGTAGCGTTGACACGTCCGCTAGTTTGAACGCCTATTACGATTTCATCCACTATTATTTTCCCATCTTGCCACCCCGGGTATTACCACAACGTCAGGACCGACCATTGCACTGCCCTGTCTCCCCAAGTCCGTCATCAGAGCCGCTCATGATGTATCGGCCCCGTTCGCCTTTGAGCCTTGCGATATCGGCAATCCTGGCATTGATTCCGCACCCCGACGACCCGGAACCTTCCTCGCCGGCATCTGTCGTTCAACGCAGGACGTACGCGCATGCATTTGCCCAACTAGCCAATTCGGTCATCGAGACGGAGTGTGATCTTGAATTGTCCTCAACTCACCCTGGACAGGCATTATCAAGCGCACGGCCGTCGGTAACCCGAGATAGGCTTCATCCCTTGACTCCGGAGGATCTTGAGACTCTTCTGGCTCTACTCATCCTCTCAGTGTACGAGTACTCACAACGGGGAAATCTTCTCAAGATGAGATATCGTGCCGGTCAAGCTTTGGCTCTTGCTCTGGATAAGTCCCTTCATTCCTGCATGGACAGTGATGACTTCGCTGAAGCTCGCCGGAGGGCTTGGTGGATGACGGTAAGCTACCCTGAGGCTATTCTTTCTCCATTGTGGCTAACAGTTTCCTAGTATTATTGTGTCATTCAAGGTTCCATTGTGAGCATAACTGTAAGTACAATACTCAGGCCAATTGATTGCCCCAGAATCGATATTTTCTAACGCAACTTTAGCCTCCGACGATCGTCATCAATGACCCGCAGTTTACAACACCATACCCACATTTCGATTCAGATGCTGAGGTTTGTCGCCTATCTTGCCAACATCTCCTCTTCTCCATCAGCCTGCTAATCTTTCTACAGGGCTGGTCAATTCTTATACAGGCACAACAAGTCTTGATATCAGCTACTCAGTTCATCTCCGATCTGAATAAAAGTCTTACCTCACAGTCGGGTCTCCATTACATGTTTGAACGGATGCAGCAGCTCGATTCCTGGACGAATTCTGTGCTCGCGCAGACAGATATGCTCCCATTGGTCTCTCGACATCCAGACTTTGACGATCGCCATGAAACAATAACTGCTCAAACCATACGAACCATATCCCGGATCAAACTGTCAAGGTAGGTAACGTCTTTTACTTTGCTGTCCATCAAGAGGAAATAAGCTGATTTTCCCCAGTGCACAAATCAAGACCCATCGCTTCAGAGCCTTCTCCGACATCCCCATCTTCATCAAAAGACATTGCGACCTAACGGCTGCAAACCCAAGCAACGCATCAACAGACCTAATCACAAAACCTGCCGTCCAGGGGTCAGGGATCAACAACATCTCCTGCTCATGCAGCCACCTCGACCACTTCCAACGCGCTTCTTCCACTGAATACATGACACCCTCAGACTCTTCTACTTCATCCGACATCCACCCCTATCTCCCGGCATATCCGCAGTATCCTTTCGCCTCCGGGTTCCCTTACAGTCCACAACAATGCGCAAAGATCTGTCTGCGAGCCGCGCTCGTCATTTCCAGTGCATTTGAGTCCTTGCCCTATCCTCAGCCATTATCCGAAGGTCGGCAGCAACATCAATCGAGTCGCCCACTATCTCGGACTATGCCCTCGTTCGCCTGTTGCCTAATGCAAAGCAGCTACGCAATGCTCATGATCTTTTACAAGGCACGAGTGGCCAAGCAGCTCTCGCCCGGTGCGGAAACTGAACTCGCAAGTGATTCGACCGATCAGCTGATGGAAGAGCTACGGCGGGGCCTGGAACGAATTATTGCAGCTGTGTCAAATTATTCGTATGCTTTTGAGGCAATGGATGGGATGAGAGGTTTGTGTTTTCACGTACTATTATCTCTCTACCAGTACTAACCATTACGCAGACGAAATTCAAGGTGCATATCAAACGGCGTTTTCTACTACATCTGTTTAGCTGACCACGCTTTTTTTTAATTTGTTGCATTTTCTGCGAAGGACTTCACCTCTCCACTGCTAGCGGTACTGAGAAGTTACACCTCATCCTTTCCTCTCATTTTATGTTACCTGTATCTATCTATCTCGGAACTAAACTAATAGTTGCCACGTAGACGAGTCGTCAAGTCGCCAACCTTGCGTGGTATTCAAATAAGAATTGAAGAATGATTAAAAGAGGAAATAAAGCAGAGGGAACTGTATATTTCCTCTAGAATGTCGCTAAATTGTAAACGCTAAAAAACGAAAGAAATCCGCATCCAAGGCTTCAAAGGTCTATTATCGCAAGCTACAGCTTTGACCGGATACCCTCAAGTCGAAACTTGACGTCCTTCAAAACCTTACTCGACGGCTTCCAGTCGTCGAACTGGCGGAGGAGCTCCATGGTCTCTTCATGCAGCTGACGCCGCACGTGCTCCTCTTCTAGAAGACCGCGCATAGCGAACGGCAGGATGTATGGGTTCGGGGAGATGGCGGGGCTGGATCGTTTGATATTTAGTTTCGCATCTGGGACGGTAGATGTCTCCAGAGCAAATTGAATAGCCATGCTGGAAATGATAATCAGTATTGGTAGGTAAATAGGGGAGCTAGAAAGCTGGGTGACACATACTAGTATACAGCTTCGTCGTCGTACAGACGAGAATGACCATCTCCCGTGTAAAGACTGCCAGCCAATGGGCTGCTGAGTTCACGGATGAGGCCGTGATCTGGGACGCCGAGGTTTCGTAACTTGAGTGCAAAACCAACGAGGTGGGAGAGGCTAAGGAACAGGATTAATATCAAGATAGGTTTGAATTTTGGGGGTGATGCATACAAGCTTGGAGCGTGGACTCTCCCATCTACAAAAACGGAACGGTAAATGTAGGGGTGAGCAATTGTAGAAAATAAGGATGACTTGTCGACCACAATTAGTCAAAATTCTAAATTTCAGCATAGATAATGAACATACCTCCAGAGAGACGAGCTGATCGTCAATGCTCCCAACGTAAGATATACGCACACCGAAATCAAGAGCACACTTCAGTGCGGCCTCATAGTCCTTGGAGACCTTGCTGAAAGGTAATTCGAAATCAAACAGTTCTCCGGCCGATCCGCTGATCCACCGGGAACGATAAGAAGAAAAAGGACCCATATTCACACCGGCCATGGCACAGACGCCCACACGCGAAGCATTGACGCAGCCAAAGGCAATCAACTTCGCAACCAGCATGATAGAAACCGGGACACCTTGACTGTGGCACGCTACCAGAATGAAATCGGCCCTGCGGATTTCTTCCATCCAGTTCAGCAGTAGCTTCCAAAGCAAGTCGACCCGCTCTGCAATACGGCCTTCGCCTTCCAGGGCAATTTTGCCAATCTCGCAGGTATAACCATGATCTGCAGTGTATTTTCGAACAGCCTCAGCGGCCATGTTGGAGAATCGAATAGATGTTCCAGTGGGCTGTCCCAGCACGCTTCGAATAAATGGTGCAGGAAAATAGCCATGAACGCCAATGACCAGGGCTCGTTTGATGCGCGTCGGTTCTTTGATTCGAGCGACATGGTTATGCTCTGGGCCTTTAGTGTAATGCAACAATCGGCCGAGACTCTGCAGGAGCGATGGGGACTCCTCCATTCCATATGTGTCTTCAAATTTCGGTAGTACTTGATTAGGCAGTATCATCTGTAGTTGCTTTGACGCAGTAGCATCCGCCGGTCTTGTGTCGACTGGTGCTGTCGAGGTTGACGTGGCTTCGACGGTTGAGACGGTTCCGTCTTTCACATGGCTATCTTTGGATGGCTTGACTTTCAGATTTCCCTTCTTTGTAATTTTCACGTTGGCTTCTGAATTTGGCTCAAGTGATGTTGTTCGCGACGGTGTATCCGACGTCACTGTCGCTTCGACGGCTTCAACTTCCTGGGCTTTCTCTGGAGTAGTATCCTTGGAATTGTCTTTGGACCAGAAGGACCATCCCGAGGATTTTGTTCCTCCTCCTGGGATTTGAGGGGGAGCAGGTGTTTCTTCGGGAGGGCCTGAAGGGTCCTTTGGTGCCATATCCACGTCCTGATCCACAGATGTATCGGGGTTTCTCTGAAGTTGTTGAGTCGAACCCGTTGTACCTTGTTGCCCCTGTTTATTCAAGGAAGCTGAACCGTACCACATCTGCAGCCACGACCGTTTCTGAGCCGTTGAAATCGTCTCACTTGTGTCACTTGTGGGTTCCGGTGTTTGCTCTTGTCCCTGATCTTGTTGTGCCTCTTCTCCGGTGGTTTCAGTCGCGGTTGGCTGGGAATCAGCTTGTTTGGTAGGCTGGTTTTTAACAAGTTGTTCTGCTTCAGTAGATTCCGGACCAGTCGGATTGTCCTTTTCTGTTGAATCTGATTTATATAGCCATGAAAGCCATCCGCTAGACTGCTCAGCAGGCGCTTCGACTGTTTGCAGTGGATTGGACTCAACGTTCTCAACGTTAGGTTGGTGCCCTTCCGTCGATTTCTCCAAAGGTTTCAAGGCTCCTTCTCCTGATGTCTCTTTATCTGGCGAAGGCTCTGTAGCCGCAGTTGTCTCCGGGGCGTCCAGGGTTGTTCTGGAGACTGAACCATCCGACGCAATATTGACTCGGGTGGTTGTAACGTCGGCTGGGAGAGATCTGGTAGATGTGCCAGCTCTCTTAGTCAGTTGAATAGACGGATGCCGATTTTGTCTGGGCGTGTCGAGAAGGGAGGTTGTAGAATCCACAACGCTGGAAGCTACGTTTTGAGCGACCGATATGCTCTCACGGGCAACCTCGGTAACTGGAGCTGCTTTGGACACTCGCGAGATGGCCGACCAGGATCCCGGGTACCAGCTCTATGTGGAAGGTAACGGGTAGTTAGCTATACCATCAATAGGCATTAGCTTCCTGGACGGCCAGACTTACTGCACGGCTTTGGGTTTCGGAGTCTGAGCGGTCTCGGGCAGCATTGCTCGGAGACGCGGGGAACGGTGAGTCCGCGCCAGAGGGGCTGGGCTTCGCTTTCTTGCGAGATCCCTTGAAGGTCATGGAGGCGGAGGTAGTATCATTAGGGGAACTCTATCGCGCGAGAGAAACAACAGAATTTCAAAGGCAGATCTTGGGGAGCTATAAAGCGCCACGAACTGGGGGGTCTGATATCACGCACGTCACATGTTGGCCTGGCCAGGTGCCTCCGGTTTGTTTGTAGCCTCAGGCCACAACATTGTCCCAAATGTTGAAAGGCGGTGAGCGATAAGTTCGACTTTTTTTTTTCTTTCTAGCGCTGCTGGGGTAAAAGTATACATCCTCTATCGTTCTTTTATTCCATTGCAATACAGGGCACTCAGGTCTTTGATAAGGCCGCCCGTGTTCCAAGATGGCGATCCAGAAGAAGGTTAGTTCATTTTCCTCACCCTTTGGTAAGTGCATGTACTGACTGCTTCAAGCACGGAAAAGGTCGTTTGGATAAATGGTATCGGCTGGCAAAGGAGAAGGGCTACCGCGCTCGTGCTGCGTTCAAATTGATCCAGTTGAACAAGAAGTATGGATTCCTGGAGAAGAGCAAAGTTCTGCTTGATCTTTGTGCGGCACCCGGTGTAAGTACCTCTTGTGAGACCTTCACTTCAGAGGCCTTCATCTCTAACAAACCTCATAGTCGTGGTGTCAAGTGGCTGCGGAATGCATGCCTGCACAGAGTATCATCGTCGGTGTCGATCTCGCCCCCATCAAGCCTATCCCTCGAGTCATTTCCTTCCAAAGCGATATCACCACCGAGAAGTGCCGTGCTACGATTCGATCGCATCTCAAACACTGGAAGGCAGACACTGTCCTTCACGATGGTGCGCCCAATGTCGGTACAGCATGGGTTCAGGATGCCTTCTCCCAAGCCGAACTTGTCTTGCAATCTTTGAAATTGGCTACAGAGTTTTTGTGTGAAGGCGGAAACTTTGTTACCAAGGTCTTCCGGTCCAAGGATTACAACCCTTTGCTGTGGGTCTTCAAACAGCTGTTTCAATCGGTTGAGGCGACCAAGCCCCCTTCGTCACGTAGCGTATCTGCCGAAATTTTCGTTGTCTGCCGTGGCTACAAGGCGCCGAAGCGCGTCGACCCGAAGTTCCTTGATCCCAAGCATGTCTTCGCGGAACTGCAAGGCGCTACTCCGAACCATGAAGCGAAGGTTTTCAACCCGGAGAAGAAGAAGCGGAGGCGTGAAGGTTATGAGGAGGGAGACTACACCCAGCACAAGGAAATCGCGGTCACTGAATTCATCAACACCACGGACCCCATCGCCATCCTAGGTGGTTACAACAAACTGAGCTTCCAGCAGCCCATAGGTGGCGATATTGCGTTGTCTACTGTGGATAGGCTTGAGGAAACTACAGATGAAATTCGAACTTGCTGTGAGGATCTGAAGATTCTCGGAAAGAAAGAGTTCCGCAACCTGCTTCGATGGCGTTTGAAGGTTCGGGAGAAGTTCGGACTTGTTGTTAAAAAGAAGCAGCAAAATGAAGAAGATGGGGAAGAAGTGGCTGAGGTCGCCCCAATGGACGAGGAGCTGGCGATCCAGGAACAGCTCATGCGCATGCGGGAGAAGGCAAATGCCCGTAGCAAGAAAGAGCGGCGCAAGGAAAACGAGAAGAAGCGCAAAGAGATCGTCCGGCTGCAGCTGCACATGACCACGCCCATGGATATCGGCATGGAGCAAATCGGACCAGGAGGAGAGGACTCCACTTTCTCCCTCAAGCGCGTGGACCGAGCTGGTGCCAGAGATGCTGTGGTCAATGCTCGCGATGTGCCTGTTGACAGCGAGAGCGAGGACGAGTCTTCAGATGACGACGAAAGCGACGATGACGGCGACCGTCTGGAACGGGAACTCGATGGGATGTACGAGCTATACCAAGAGCGCATGGAGGACAGAGACTCGAAATTGCGCTCCAAGAAGGCTCGTAAAAACTACGAGGCCGATGAATGGGAGGGCTTCTCAGAGGAGAACAAGAGCGACAATGAGGAAGGGGAAGAAGAAGAAGAGGACGAGGAAGATGAAGACGAGACTAATCTCTCGAGTGACACTGCACCCAAGTCTGGCAGCCTCTCGAATAATGCTTCTATGTTCTTCGACCAGGATATCTTCCAAGGACTAGGAGAGGAGGAGGAGGATGAAGATGAAGACGACGATGAGGAGGAGGAGGAGGAAGAGGAGGAGGATATTGAGATGGACGAGGAGGAGGATGTCCCAGCCCCTGCATCAAAGTCCAAGGACAAAAAGGAGGCCAAAAACAAGAAGCCCGCCAAGAAGCAGGAATCTGAATGGATTGATTCCGACGAAGAGACCGAGGACCCAGGAGATCCACGCAAACCCAATGGCCAACTTGGTAAGTTCTCCTTTACCCCATATCGATGTCCATATATTCCTTTCTAACCTTAACATTGCAGACATTGATATCATCACCGCCGAGGCTATGGCTCTAGCACAGGCGATGGCTTCGGGCGAGAAGAAATCCGGAGATGTCGTTGACGATGGCTTCCACCGCTATTCGTTCCGTGATGTTGACGGTCTCCCCGAGTGGTTCCTCGATGATGAGGGCCAGCACAGCAAGATCCAACGACCCGTCACCAAGGCCGCCGCGGCCGCAATCAAGGAGAAGTTGCGCGCCATAAACGCTCGCCCTATCAAGAAGGTGATGGAGGCAAAGGGTCGTAAGAAGTTCAAGGCCGCTCAGAAGTTGGAGAAGCTGCGCAAGAAGTCAGCCCTGCTGGCGGATGACGAGGCCCTCAGTGAGCGTGATAAGGCGCAGGCTATCTCGAAGATGATGGGCAAAGCCACTAAGAAGAAGCCCAAGCAGCAGGTCAAGCTTGTTGTGGCTAAGGGAGCCAACCGTGGTATTTCTGGCCGTCCCCGCGGTGTCAAGGGCAAGTACAAGATTGTGGATGCGCGTATGAAGAAGGATATTCGGGCGGAAAAGCGACTGGCGAAGAAGAAGTCGTGATCGACGTGTTCCTAGTGTATAGATTCGGCCAAAATATGGATGATACCCGAGTGCCTAGCTGTAGAAGTATTTATATAAGCAATAGTGACATTACCTGACAGTACCAGTATAAAGGATATTTGTATAGTTGGTATGTTGAAGAGAATAGTTGATAGTAGGATATGGTTGTTGCGTGTGTAGTTACCAACTGCTGTAAGTGCCGTCTGACTAACGATCCCCGTGCCACGCGCTGAGGTTCCCAAGTTTGGGCGCTGACGGACCGTGACCGCGGCGGTGGTTTCCCCGAGTGGCGCTGCTTATCGATTACTCTCTTCGCTCTTTTCTTCCACTCGGCACTTCTCGCGCAGCCTGGTGCTCTTCTTCGTTTATCGGGGCCATCCACCCCTCATGTTCTTCGCGTGCATACATTAGTCGCATTCAGCATTCTTTTCTTGTCCATGTCGGTACATTCTTATTCTTATCTGCATCTGCGCCCCAACCCCGATGGGCTTTTTCGACCACCTCCAGAAAGGAGGGGCTTTCTCGCTACAGGCGAAGAAGACTCAGGTCCGCAAAGTCGTTCAAACACGGCCGGTAGCCCCTGCGCGATCCCCGACACAAACTCCCGATTCTCGATCGCCTCGCGTTCAGTCCTCATCGGCACGCAGCCGCAAGACGCTCGAAGCCCGATCGGTCTCGAGTGACGCAGACGCCGATGCCCGCCCCTCCAAGCGACTGACCACCCCTAGCCGCCCACGGAAGCGACCAACCCCGGAGATACGATTATCGAGCGACGACGATGTCAGCGATAGTGATACTTCCTTCGAAATGCGCAAGCGCCTGCGGACGAGCGCCAGCGCGGAGCCTGACCCTGAGCGGCGCATTCGCTCCGTGAAGGCTTTTTCGGAGGAGGGAGGCCGGCCGTTTAAAATGGTGCATGCGGCCGACATCACATCGGGCCAAAAGGCAGGCAAATTTAAGCCGGCATTCGGTGCTGGGGGTAAGCCCACGGAGATCCTTCTACAGTATCCCAGCGCTTCGCAAAAAGAAAGGTACGTGCCCCACGTAAATAGTTCTAGGCTTGAAAGAGATTAACGAATTGATCGCTCGGACAGATTCGACTCCGTGGTGCCTAAAGACAACGACGACTTCCGGCCCATCGATGATATTGTCCAGGTGATCGAGACCGTCGCGGACAACTATATTCCGAGCGAAGAGGCAGAGGAATTTAACGATGAGGCCACCGGCATCAGGCGAAGGCTGCGCAGGGCGTTGGCTGTGACATCGGAGACACAATTTTGTGAAGCCGTTGAGGATTACAACAAGGCGATCGACCGATTGAGAACCAGCGGCAGCCTTGTAAAGCATTTGAATGAGATACAGCGCATCAGCCTTCCATGGGTAGAGCGGATCCTCACTCAAATCTATGCACGCACGGTTTCCCCTCGAGTCGAATCTCTACGGCAATACGAGAACGGCACAGACAACGTTTATGGTGAACTTCTCCCTCGATTTATCAGCAACATCTTCAAGGAGACAAAACTGAAGTCGGGCCAAGTTTTTGTCGATCTTGGCTCTGGCGTGGGCAACGTTGTTCTGCAAGCCGCGCTTGAAATCGGTTGTGAGAGTTGGGGTTGTGAGATGATGACGAACGCGTGCGATCTAGCAGAGTTGCAGCAGGCCGAGTTCAAGGCGCGCTGCCGTCTTTGGGGAATTGCACCGGGCAAGACACACCTCGTCCGCGGCGATTTCCTCGAGCAGGAAAGCATTGTGAATGTCTTGAAGCGAGCCGATGTGGTGCTCATCAACAACCAGGCATTCACGCCACAACTTAACAACGAGCTGATCAACCATTTCCTCGATATCAAGGAGGGGTGCAAGATCGTTTCGCTCAAGTCTTTTGTCCCTGCCGGTCACAAGATTCAGTCACGCAACCTCAACTCTCCTATCAACCTCCTCAGGGTCCAGCAGAAGAACTACTGGTCCAACAGCGTCAGCTGGACCGACGTCGGTGGCACATACTTCATTGCCACAAAGGACAGTTCACGCCTGAAGGCCTTTATGAACGACTCTCTATGAATCAACGACAGAGCACTCAACGTGCGCGGATCGAAGACACACGACTTTGCATTTGAAAACTTGGTTGTAACTTAGTCCGTTGGTTTTGTCCTGTACATTACATTTTCTCTCGTGGATATATCCCCCCCCCCCCCCGTCTTGGTTCTTCGTATGATACCAATTCAACTTGTACAAAAATTTTATCATCTTCTTCATTGTCTGTACTTGGCAACCTTCTTTCTGTCCTTGGCAGTCAATATACATCTATTTGGTATCATGTAAAGGGTTGGGAAAGCAAATTATCTGTGGGCTATGCTGGCTTCCTGCCCACCGCATGGGCACTGCTAGGAGAATTTCGATGCGTCGTTCATGGCATCAGCCTCTTCACCCATTCTGGCCATCCACCGGTCAACTAATTCTTTGTTTTCTCGTTGAAGCTCGTTTGACTTCTTCTCGGCCATGTTGAATTCGAGGTTAAGCGATGCCAACTCAGCTTGGAAATCCTGTAAAGATCGGGTGGGATCGCGTCAGTCACAGCTCACGTGCAGGCATCTATAGCCTTAGACCACCTACTTCCAATAATTTGGTCTTTTCTCTCAGCTCTTCGTCTCTATCTTTCAGGCGTTTCAACAAATTTTCCTTCTCGCTTTCCAAGGCGTTGAGGCGCCGGCTATCTTGGCTGCTTTTCTTGCGCAGCTTTTCGACGTCTATATTCAGCCGGTTTAAGCGATTCTGCAAATCTTCTCGCGAACGTTGTGCCTCAGACAACTCTGCCCTGGTGGTTTTCAATAACTCTGTCAAAGACGGCCCCGTCTCAGACGCAGCCTGTTTCCTAGACGCTGTCGCAGGTGCGGATGAAACGGGTTGTTGAGATTCACTGAGGGCTACCGAGGACCTCCTGCCAGCTTCAAGTGTGGTGCCTGTTTCTTTGAGAGTTGCCAGCTGTGCAGTGCGATCCGCAAGGCGTGTATCTATGATTGTAGACGATATGTCAGTAAGAAACCAGCTCTCCACAGGAGCCTTGGCAGCCAGGAACAAACAGGCATCGTAGAGCGCAACGTTAGCCTTCTCTCTCTGATCTCGAACTGCCAGCGCGGCCAGATACTCCTCTCTCCAGTGGGCCATCGGCCTTCCCGAGAGGTAGAGGGCGATCGATCGATCAGGGACTGAGGAATGTATCGGGAATACGATGATGTCGGGCGGAGCTTGTACATCGTTATCAGCACCGCCTGTCCACTGCCTGTCCACCGCCCCTCTCCACCGCCCGGCCCTCATGCATCATTAGATCCCGCTGCGACCCAACTCCAACTTTCCAACAGCTCTCTTGACCTCCTTTACCCCCCATAGCCCCTACAGCCACTTCTTCGGGCTCAATACCTATCGACGGGTCATTCTATAGTGTACTATCTCCTTTTTACCTGGGATTTCTGAACACAGGCCGCTGCCATGGCGTCACGAAAGAAGGTCCTCCTCAAGGTACGATCTCCGCAGCAGCTCCGCGTGACTACCGACGGTCTTTCACGTCAGCCCCTGGCTAACATCATAACCTCCTGCTATAGGTTATCATACTTGGTGATAGCGGCGTTGGCAAAACAAGCTTGATGAACCAATATGTGTGTTCTTTCCCCGCCCCCAAATGCCATTATTGGCGCCGAGCCACCCTCAGCTTCATCCATAGCAGTACCGCTAACGTGCTGATTTCTACTACAAACAGGTCAACAAGAAGTTCAGTGGGAGCTACAAGGCGACTATTGGCGCGGACTTCCTCACCAAGGAGGTCCTTGTCGATGACCGGCTGGTGACGATGCAGGTACGACTCGCCGAGGCCGCATGATACCAGCTACTCAAGTTAATCACGTACTTTACGCAGATCTGGGATACCGCTGGTCAGGAACGGTTCCAGTCACTAGGTGTCGCATTCTACCGAGGAGCCGACTGCTGCGTGTTGGTCTACGACGTGAACAACTCGAAGAGTTTCGAGGCGCTCGACAGCTGGCGGGATGAGTTTTTGATCCAAGCTAGCCCGCGTGATCCCGAGAGCTTCCCTTTTGTGAGTATATGAGCCATGATACCATCTCCGATGGGCAATCCACTGTCCAGGAGAAGACCGCATAGGGACGCCCAATACTGATCGCTTCGGACAGGTGGTCATCGGCAACAAGATCGATGTTGAGGAAAACAAGCGGATGATCTCTTCGAAACGAGCTATGACATTCTGCCAGTCCAAGGGCAACATCCCGTACTTCGAGACCAGCGCCAAGGAAGCCCTCAACGTTGAGCAGGCATTCGAAGGTGAGTTTTGAATCAGATATCTTACCTTATCTTGTCTGCTCTTTCGCTGACTGTTGTCTCTCTAGTCATCGCCCGGAGTGCACTTGCGCAGGAAGAGGCGGAGGAGTTCAGTGGTGAATTCAGTGACCCGATCAACATCCATCTGGACAATGAGCGTGATGGTTGTGCCTGTTGATACCCTTACCTGATACTCCTATGACATTTTGAGCGACTGTTACTTTGTTTTCTCTTGTCTCCTTCTCCACGTTCGACATACCGTTCCCGGTGGTTTTCTTTCCTTGTTGGGTGTTTCTGCTTGTAGAGAAGGCCCTTGATTTTTTGGCTTTTTGGATTTGTTTCCTGTGTAGATGTTCGATGTTCTGAGGGGATGCGCCGATCAGGGCTGCGATTAATTTCAGATTCTTTCTGCTCTGTAACTATTAATTGACCTTGTTTGTCGGGGTCTTGAACAACAGTACAGTTTCAGTTATCTATTTCCACCAATTTTGTATTTCAGGCCTTACAAACTTAAAAGCCAGCTTTGAATATGGAACAAACAGGGGAAAAGTGACCAGTGGGGGTGACCTACCCCGTGACTAGCCTCTCCAGTCACGGGCTTAGCGACTCCTTCCGGCGGAGTCCGCCCCTCGAACAGTAGATTTCGAAATCAGTTATACCTCCACACTCTTGCGACTTCTTTTCCAGAAATAATTTCGGGACGCGCTAATCTGGTTTAGAAACCCCCCTCGTAAATCCGGAAGAGTGCGCGTGTAATTGCAGTACAAATTTGATGAGCCATCGTCATGATACCGTAACGTAGTTCCCGCCCGCGTCGGCCACCCTAACACCAATGATATTTTCAAAATATATTTCGGATCAAGTTATTTTCACATATATTGATCTTGTGCCTAACTCCCTTCACTGTACCTTGGCGACGCCCTTCTGGTAGGCTAAGGTGACTGTATAACCTATTGATCGGCTACTGCCAGAGCCTGTCGAACGTGCTCTATAGCCTATGTAGTACGCTATTGGATCTCTACGGCCTTAGCGCCTGTCAAGCCAGATTCGCGTGCTATCTATCGAGGAGATGATTAGAGCGCGCCAATACCTAGTCATATTGCCTAGACTATCGCGTACGGAGCTCTGGCTAGCGATAGATCTTCTAATAGTCAATTTTTGCCGACCGTAGGTAGAGGTATCGTGCCGCAAACCGCGAGGATAATATTAGCTATATCTCGAATAGCAGAAGGTCTAGGCACTAGACCTCGCAGATTAGCATCAAATATCCGCTGTATCAGCGATTCCTCCTCGTTCTGTGTCATTTTTGGCTAGGCCGGCGTCTTGAGACAGTAGAATACGGTCGCCTAGTGTAGACTTAGGCACTTCATAACGCGTAGCTGCTACGCGAATAGACGGAAATTTGGACTTTTTATAGGTTTGTATCGCGAGGAATATCCTCCCCTCTTGATCCGGCAATATTGAGACGTTTTCGACGCGTTTTCGTGGCATGATGTGTAGTGGAAGAAGATATGTCAGTGCGGGAGACGCGATTTTGCTACAGTAGGGTGGCCGACGCAGGAACTACGTTAACGCCTCATGGGATCTCGTAGAATCCATTAGCAGCCTCGGCGATCTGGCACCATCGCCGGCAACTTGCGTGCGAGCGGATTGTCTCAGCTAAGCACAACATTTGCCAGGTCAGAAATATGATCCTATTCTAGCATACTAGCCAACATGCTTGACCCACAGTTGGAATTCGCCCTCTCGGAAGTTCCTCTGGTGCTCCAATTGAATCTCTTTGGAATGAACGGAGCATCCTCCAAAATACCACATCTCATGGATTCACTGCCAAGAACGACCAGCTTGAGCAGTGATGATTGCTTTACCATTTTCACCCTAATTACTCGGATATCTCTCTTAGCATGGCAAGGTTTCCATGTGACTCAATAAAAATGAAAATTATTATTGAGAGGTCCCGCCTGCCATCCCCTTGCGGTGCGTCTTGCTGGGTGGAAGCATGGGAGCGCGACCCTTGATCGAGGGGCAATCCACTCTCCGTGAAGATCACACACTATATCAGGCGTGATGCATGTCGAGAATACAAGATCAGCTTTTGTTCTGCCGATCCTAGCAATTCTGCATAGAGTGTCGGCCTGATTGGAACACATTCTCTTTTTTGCTTTTGGTTTGTACGACTAGAATTCCCACTATCTGAATGGTGCCAGCCAGGTATAAAAAGCGGAACTGCTCTTCTAAGGACGAGCGCTTAAATCTCTTTTCTCGACCTCATCTAAAGACAGATCGTTCAATTTTTCTCAATTACGTCGAAGATGCAACCGATTTATTTTCTCACTGCCCTTTTATTTACCACGGCAATGGCACTGCCGGTCGATAAACGCCGCTCTGATGTCCTAGTCGAGCGTCAGGTAAGCTACTTTTCTTTTCGACGAGGACAGAGCTAACATAGATTGATCAACAGGATGTAAGCGCTAGCTCCCCTTACTAAATATCCATAACTGCGTGGCTAGGGCTAAAAGAGAGAGGGATTAACAGGATGTAAGTGATGGCTCCCTACTGAATAATGATAACTGCGTGGCTAGGTGGCTAGGGCTAACGGAGAGCGATCAATAGCTTGTAAGTGTGGCTCCCCTTACTAAATAAAGATAGGGCTAATAGAGAGCGATCAATAGGTTGTAAGTGGTGGCTCCAAACAACGATAACCGCGTAGCTAGGGCTAACGGTGAGCGATAAATAGGGTGTAAGTGATATCTTACAAAACAACGATAACCGCGCAGCTAGTGCTAACGGAGAGTGATCAACAGGGTGTAAGTAATAGCTTACTGAATAACGATAACTACGCGGCTAGGGCTAACAGAAAGAGATTAATAGCTTGTAAGTGGTGGCTCCCCTCCTTACTAAACAACAATAACCACGCGCCCAGGGCTAATAGAGAGCGATTAATAGCTTGTAAGTGGTGGCTTCCCTTACTAAAACAATAGTAACTATGCGGCCAGGGCTAATAGAGAGCGATCAATAGGGTGTAAGTGATGGCTCCCCTCCCCTTACTAAAGAACGATAACCGCATAGCTAGTGCTAACGGAGAGCGATCAATAGACTGTAAGTAATGGCTCCCCTTACTAAAGAACGATAACCACGCGGCCATGGCTAACGGAGAGCGATTAATAGGTTGTAAGCGATGGCTCCCTTCACTAAATAACAACCACCACGCAGCCAGGGCTAACGGAGAGCGATCAATAGACTGTATGTGATGGCTTCCCTTACTAAACAATAGGGCTAATAAAGAGCGATTAACAGGGTGTAAGTGATGGCTCCCCTTAATAAATAACAATAACCATGCAGCTAGGGCTAACAGAGAGCGATAACAGACTGTAAGTAGTGGCTCCCCTTACTAAATAATAATAACCACGCGGCCAGGACTGATATAGAGCAATCAATAGCTTGTAAGTAATGGGCCCCCTCACCTCACTAAATAACAATAGCCATATAGCTGGGGCTAACGGAGAACGATCAATAGGGTGTAAGTGATGGCTCCCGTTACTAAACAACGATAACCATACAGCAAGGACTAACAGAGCGATCAATAGGGTGTAAGTGATAGCTCGTCTTACTAAATAACGAAAACCGCACAGCTAGGGCTAACAAAGCGCGATTAATAGGTTGTGAGTGATAGCCCCCCTCACCTTACTAATAGCCACGCAGCTAAGGCTAACGGAGAGCGATCAATAGCTTGTAAGTGGTGGCTCCCCTTACTAAACAATAGTAACTACGCAGCCAGGGCTAATAGAGAGCGATCAATAGGGTGTAAGTGATGGCTCCCCTCCCCTTACTAAATAACGATAACTGCGTGGGCAGGGCTAACAGAGAGCGATCAATAGGATGTAAGTAATGGCTCCCCTTACTAAACAACAATAACCGCGCAGCTAGGGCTAACAGAGAGTGATCAGAAGGAAGTAAGTGATAAAAGGGAGCAATTACTTTGGCTGGAGCTTACAATCTACTAGTGAATAGGCTTATGAGCGTTCTTGTACGTTTCCGAAGATGGTTGGCATCGGTGACAGGATTTTCAGGATTCGCTACTCGGTCTCTACCATGGAGAGCCGTCTTCTTTCGGCCTTGATATGGGGTTCCCCCTAAATTTTAGGTTTCCCTATGTCGTTCTGCAAATGCAAAGGCCAGCTTATTACTAAATCTTATAATTTGGGGCTTGAAACAGTTAGGCTGCAAGTAGGAAGGCGAATTTATTCGATCACGATTGCATTACTACAGTAAGTGTAGTCAAAGCCCCTATTACAGTACGAATGGCGAGCGTAGATACAGTGGGCTTCCACCTTTTCTGCTGTACATACAATGATGGCTGTGACAGCTGTGACGAGGCGTGCAGGCCATAACGACATCTCATTGTCATTTGAAACCGCAATTGCTGACGGCCGCTCTCCGGTCGGGAAGACTGTCTGTCAATGGAAAGAGAGGCAGAGGCGTCGCTTGTTTATCGGACTAGCCTAGACAATCCAGCCTTCAAGAGGCGTCAGAGATGTATTGTAGAGTGCGAATACGATTGATGAGGGTGATCCACAACGCGGTTGTCTTCAGAAATATTCGATCAGAGGTCCGATGCGGCGGAGTTACTTTCCGGGAAAGAAGTCGCAAGAGTGTGGAGGTACAATATAACTGCTTTCGAAAACGACTGGAGGATGCCTGGCCGTCCTCTTATCGCCGATCCTCATCCGCACAATGCTTGGCATCTCCTCCCTCCTCACCCACCCTCTTCCTGCAGGGCAGGAAGTCGTTTCTCGACAACTCCCAGAGGTTTCTGCTTCTGGAACCGCTCGCTATACCATTGCCCTGCTGATGCCCGCGGTCCGCATTCCTTGTGCTACCTGGCGACCCCAGGACGATTGTACCGCGAGCTGACCCAACTCGCCTTAACGCTCGTTCACTGGACTTGACCCTCGTACCTCACGATAAGCGACTTCTAGCCCTTGACCATGGCGACTACGATCGATGCGCCCGGCCCAAACCTGCTGGGGGTGGCGAGACGGACCCTCGGTATGGGCCTGCTGCTCCTCGTCGTGGTGCTGTGGACAGCCTCCAACTTCCTGGGAAGCGTGAGTTGGCAACTCTTCCTTGGAGCCAACAAGGCGCCCTTTGATCTCGCGGAGGTGTGGTGTTTTCTAACCTGTGAATGCTATACAGACTATCTTCGCCGATAAAACTTATGCCAAGCCCTTCTTCGTGACCTATCTCAACACCTCGCTCTTTACTCTGCCGCTCTTTGCCACTCTTATTGCTCGGACATGGGGCCTGTGGCGTGCTCAGAAATTGTCCCAGGTCCACTCATTCCGGAGCCTGCTGCGACATTTGGATTCCGAGGATCCGAAGCACGAGGAGGAGAGTATGCTGCGTTCTGGGTCGTTTGACGATGACTCCCGTTGCGATCACGAGATCGAGAGCTTGCAGTATTCGCGGTCGATACCGGACAATTTAAATGCGAGGTTGGGACTGCGAGCGACGGCCAAGCTGAGCATGGAGTTTTGTCTTCTATGGGTACGACTCATTGCAATCCTGGAACCTGGTACAATTTCGCTAACTTATCGCAGTTTGTTGTATGTCATGATTCGTGATACCCATGGATAACTTTCCATCCCAAGGTTGGACTAACTTTTGTTATGAACAGGCAAACTACTTCGCCATGGCATGTCTCGAATACACGACAGTTGGAAGCACGACCATCTTGACTTCTACCAGCGGTAAGGCCTCCAAAGTCTTGGAGACGACACGACGTACTAATCCACTTTCAAGGTGTTTGGACACTGGTCTTCGGCGTCATGATTGGCGTGGAGAAATTCACGCTGCGCAAATTCCTTGGTGTTGTCGCCTCGCTGATAGGTATCATCCTCATCTCACGCGTTGACCTGTCGAAGCCAGACACCGGCGATCCCACAGGCGCTGATGGCAGCGATGGCTCTTTCCCCCACAAGACCCCCACCGAGATAGCCATCGGCGATGCAATGGCCGCATTCAGCTCAATCATGTACGGTGTGTACACGATTGTGATGAAGAAGCAAGTGGGCGATGAGTCACGAGTGAACATGCCATTGTTCTTTGGATTGGTTGGATTATTCAACCTTATTCTTCTGTGGCCTGGGTTCTTTATCTTGCATTGGACCGGGGTGGAGCCGTTCGAACTGCCGAGTACGAATCGCGTGTGGACTATTATCCTGGTATGGCAGCCCTCGTCGTAACCGTCATCTCCATCACCCTGAATTATCCACTCTGTTCCGAGAGATATGTATAACTCACTCTTGATTCCAGGTCAACGCACTCTCCTCAATCGTTTCCGACATTGCATGGGCTTACGCGATGCTGTTGACTACGCCGCTCGTGGTAACAGTCGGCCTTAGCCTGACTATCCCTCTGTCCTTGGTCGGGCAGATGTTCCTGCAGTCCCAGTATGCGTCACCAGTATACTGGCTAGGGGCTGCAATCGTGTTTCTGTCGTTCTTGGTCGTCAATCATGAAAGCAAGACCCAAGAAGAGGCCGATGGCTCTGGAGATACGGGCAGGCCATCAATTGGGGAATATGAAACCATCCCCCGTGAAGAAGAAGTGCGATAAAGTTTATAGTGTAGATCAGAATCTCGGCATATTTTATTCTTGCCCACATTCTTAGGTTCATGGTCGTTGCGTTTTCTGATATCATCGTTTGCGTTTCCTTTTTAAACCCCGTCTTGCTTGCCTCATTGTAGACTCTTGACGTGCACGATAGCAATCCTAGGCATTTGTCTACTGGGGCAGAAACTATCCATACAGTATGCCAGAATTTGAAGAACACGTCGCTAGCCAACTAATGGTACTTATGTATGCGTCGGCCCCAGCCAGTTGATTTTTGGGCCCGACTCAACGGCCTTGTCTAATCCCTGCACCTACCAATCATTACAGACGCCGCAGCAATGGGGCAAAAGCGCCAACCCAACAATAGCGAAACAAACAGCATCGACGCGCCGGTGCCTCGAGAGGGCTAATGCGCCTACGTTCTGGTTGGCACGACGTGTCAGTCGTTGCCGGGGGGCTAAGATCGCAAGGCGGATTATGAGGCTCTTCTCGACGAGGTTACCATCGCTTAAATGAGCGGAACCAGTAGCAAATCCTTCTTCTTTGCAATCTACCTCTATTCACATACAAATATCCCTTCGATTGCAAGCTGGTGCGATGGTCAACTTAAACGAGTTCACGCAGAGGCATGAAGCCGTAAAGGCTGTCGAGTATGGCAAGGACAAACTAATTGAGGTTGGAACGTCACTGCCATGCCATAAAAGAATGATTAGCTCATGAACTCATACGGCAGGATCTAATTGCGGAAGTCAAACAGCTTCAAGCCGCCTTGGACCTCGAAAAAGAGGGAATGGAGGATCAGAGAACCCTGGCTAAAGCAATCAAGTTTGACCTTAAGAAGTACAAGTCTGATATGGAGGATATGCAACGGAAGCAAGTATGTCTTGCACCACTTTTGTCCATGCGAAGGTAATTGATCACTGACTCTGTATTTCCCAGTCGAAACTGAGTTTTGTATCGGTGCTCATTGATGGCGACTGTATGAATGTAGGCAATAGCGTTCCCCCCGAGTCCGACTTCTTCCGTCCCCACCTAACACTTGCCATCTAGTTTCATGATGATTTTGTCCAGGATGGACAGAGGGGAGGAAGGTCGGCGGCTCGGCTTCTCACCGAGAAAGTACAGCGCTATATCCAAGACTTCAACCCCGAGGCCGGCCCCAATGTCCAATATAGGATCCGGGTGTATGCAAACGTGCGTGGGCTGGCGAAGACATATCGTGACACCAATACTATTACCGAGGACGGTACATTGGATTCGTTCATTCAGGGTTTCAATATGGAAGGTGTTTTCTGTGATTTTGTGGATGCAGGTAATGGGAAAGAATGCTCGGATGTTAAGATCAACGGTAAGTTAACCATAACCTAACTACCGTTTTGCCCCTGATGGGGAGACGACTCAGCAGCCTCTGATGATTTCGAACACAGCCCTGTTGGAGTCAGAGATTGTGGACGTGCACTGTCTACACGTCGTCTTCTGTGCATCCGCGGACAATGGCTACGCCCGCGTGCTTGGACGTCATCGTGGCTCGGAAAAGGTCTCCCTGGTCGAGGGGCCGCCTTTCGCACGCGAAATAAGAGAGCTCGCCTCCGAATTCGAGACGACCTCATTCCCCGAGGTGTTCCGGCCGCAAAAGCTGAGCAGGCGAGTCTCATTCGGCAGTGCGCCGTTGACCCCAACTGGGACACCTGTTACCAATTACGCCTCGATAGTGAGAATCCCGCCTCGGCCTCAAGAAGAGGCCTCCTCCTCGACACCGATCAGCGCTCTTCCAACGGGTCCCAGCGCGAAGGGCAAGACCAAGCTGGGAGTACACAGGAACGCCAGCGGGCAGCGGGTGGACAGCCATATCTATTTTTCTTCGCGAGCCAATCTGGATGCACTCAAGCAGCAGAAGCTCTGTAATCAGTACCACATCCTGGGATCCTGCTCGTACGGCAAGGGCTGTACGCACAAGCATGAGCACCGGCTGGGGAAGGAGGATGTGGCTGATCTGATGTATATTGCGAGGCTGAGCGTGTGTTATAGAGGGTTGCACTGTGATGATGAAAACTGTATTAGTGGACATCGGTGTCCGCAGAGGGCCTGTGCTGGGCCTTCATCTGGCTGTAAGTTCGACTTCGAGATGCATGGGGTCGATACGAAGATTGTGCCCAGCGTTTGACCTAAATGGGTTCAATTGGGATGGGTGGGTTGGTTGGTTTGGTGGATACAGGGTCTGAATCAAACATTGCCCTGAGCATGGATCGTCCTTTATATTCGTTGATTTTTTTTAGTTTAAGGGAGAATGTTAGGAATAAAAAGGGAAGCGCATGAGACACAATTCATAACAATTATTGGAAAGCCAAGACGTAGAACAGACATCCAGTACTCGAGTCAAATTTCACATCGATTAGAACGATCCACGATAATTGGTCCAATAAATGAAGAAAGCTCTCACACAGCAAACTAGAAAGAGAGTAAGGCCATGCTTGTCGAAAGGGAAGATGTTAGAAGGATAGGATAGTAAAACGCCTGCAGGCTCCTTAAAAAGGCTCCGGGTTAACACCTACCGGCGCGCAGACCATAATAAATAAGAAGCTGTCAACACCGAAACCTGGGTATATACTGAATGAGACGTGGGAAGGAAATGTACAAACGACAGAAGTGATCTGGTGGGCAAGGATGAGATGTGCTAGGAAAAAGTGTTGTAGTAGCATGGCCATGGAGGGAGAGATGGCGCAGGTTCAGTAGACCGGAGGAACTGCGACATGTGACAAGGGAAAGGGGAAGGAATGTTGGGTCCAGATTTATACAGCAGCGGGTGAACCAGCTTCGAGTTTCTTGCGGGCCACGAGTATACTCTTCAAAGAGCCCAGCCAGCGGGCCAAAGACTCTTCGTCCGGGGCGCAGAGCCGGTATGTTTTCTCCTCAGCAATGATCTGCAGACAGAACGTCTTGGACCGCGACAAAGGGTCCACCTCGGCCGCATCGATCACCTGGGACATCGAGATGATCTTGATCGCCGAATATTCCTGGTCATCCTTGTAGAAAGCCAGACCGTTCGGCCGCAGGACCACCCACAGCCGTTTCCACTGGCGCACAGTGCCTTTGATGCGCAATCCCTGCAGGTATCCTTGGCAAACTACCCGCTCCGGGTCGCGCAGAATACCTAGCTCGGACTGACGGCTCGTGTCTCGCGGTAAGGACATGGGTTTGTCCTCTGGCGCCGAGAGGGACAGGGTGTGGATGGATGGCATGGACCGTAGGCGGCTATTTCGGGTGGGAGGAGGCCCATTGTCTGAGAGCTCCGAATAGGAGGTAATTTCGTTGCCCGAGTAATCCTGGGTGTAAGGGGGTTTGCGGGCACGGGCGCGCAAGGACAGGGTGCGACCCAGTTCGGGAGAGCTGGCGCGGCCCGCGCCCTCGAAGTCGGAGTGGTCGGTGGTATCCTCGATCAATTGTTTTTGAATGGCCGGGGGCTCACGTTTCCGGGACAGGGCAAGGAAGGCAGCTTCATCTTCGTCGGCCAGGGTCTCGCCGCGGATGCGAAGAATCCAGTCTTCGGCATCGCGCGCGGACAGGGCCTCGAAGCGGTAGTTCTTCGACGGGGTGAAGATGCCAAAGACAAACTTGCGATGTGAGCGCGGCGACTTGACCGGCGCCACGGCCGTGACTTCGGAAAGGGTGATGGAGACGCGGAGGCGGGTGGTTTCCTCGTCCTTGTAGACGGACAGAAGATTCGGTCGCAGAACGAGATAAGCTGGTTTCCACGAGGCCCGGAAGACATGCTTGTGCTTGACGCGCCGAAAGACCCGTCCGGTCTTCAGCACGCGGTCAAACTCGAAGCTGCCATTCTCATTGACCGGCGAGAAGGTATCGAGATTGACTTGGCCGTTGCGCGAGTGTGCCCGGCGGAGATGGGCGAGAGACCCCGGAACCTCAATTGCGGGGGTTTTATTGCTCGGTCCCTCCGGACACGAGGGACGAGCCAGCACTTGATTCATGGTGGCAGCAAAGGCCCATGAATCCACGGACGGGGAGGAATTGAGATGGAGATGCGGAGATGGCGAAGTGCGCGATCACAGGAGGGAAAAGGGGGAGACCCCGCGGAGGTGCGGCCTCCATGCAGTTTTGAAGATCGGTTTTCCCATGGACCAGTTGACCACAGCCTGTTTGACCGTTGGCAGTTGTTGATTAGACGAGGGCTAGGACCCCCCTGCACGCAAACTGCACAGCAAACTGCAAAAGTGGAAACCGAGAAGTGATGCTGGTCACACAACAGGGCCTGATGTCAATACTAGCGCGGGCGGCAGTCATGACTGCGGTCCCGCAGGTGATTTCCATGGGCATGACCCAGCCGGTTCCTCTAATGTTTAGTGAGGTATCAAGTTATGCTGATAGGTCAGCTGGTCCGGTCAGGCGCGCAACTGCCCAGTTCGAGGGGCATCATGAGGTTCTCCCTCTATATACTACGGAGTATTCGCTACCTAATGCGACTGCCTGCCAGCCTTGCCCCTTGGACCTTTTCGACCTTTCCAGTAACCAGACACACGAACAGCCGCCAGGGTCCAGACCCTTTCCAGACCCTCCCCCTTCAGGCCACATCGCCCGAACGGAAGTGGAGCCGTGAAATTGGCAGGATGGCAGGCAAGGTCCAGGACGGAGTCCTCGACTTGGCGTCGGCGGCCAATGATACGCTGGAAGTACCCGATACGCCTTTATTTGGATCTGCCATGTCCGGAGCGATGTACGAAGTATGGAATACGGCATACGGAATACCTGGCCTATTGCTTCTGTGCAATAGCTCGCCCACTGGGCCCCTTTAAGAGCCGTCCAAACTATTTTCGGTGAACGGCTGGTCCCCAGGTCTGCCTTGAACCCTCGATCGTCATGCGCTAGTTCCTGCCGGTCGCCGACGCACGAGTAAGACAGGCCGCGAAGGAGGACGGAGTGGTAGCCATACAGCCACCGTGTTAGTCTTGTTCGTGGACCAGGAACTACAGTAGGAGGGCTTCGGCGTCGTCATCTTGAAACCTCAACGTCTGGGTGTTTTGCCACGAGTGCCGCATGCCACACCCAATCAGACTGCTGATTGCGAGGCCAGTCAAGTTCCGAGCAGAACCGAGTAGTGGATCGGATCGACTCAAGATCTCCATTGGGGAAAATCTTGATGATTCGACTGTTATACATGGCGAGACAAGCATCGAGGGGGCTCAGCCAAGCCCGTCTAAGGGGCAGCGTAGCACTCATACAGTAGCACTAATACGGCGATACACCGGGTCATGCATTTGATCCAGACTGTACAGAGTACAGCACTGTAGCTCTCGGTACCACAGCGCTACGCAGCGGCGCAGGGCCAGTAGAACCGGGCCTATATAGAAACCTAGAATGGAGATGACACCAGAAGATTGAATGAGGTCCATCGATAGGGGGCCCAGCTATTCAACTACCCATCCATGTACAGTATAGGGGGACTAAGGCTCTCGCGAGGCGAAAATGAAAGGAAATTACAAAAACAGCGGGATAAAAAAAAACTCAGCCTCCCAAATAGATTACGCACAATTACAGTACAGTGTATGGGGTGAGTACCAGATGGCCGGTGGCGGACAGCCCAGGAGCAGCCCGCAGGGGACAGACAGAAAAATAACGAAAAAAACGGTCCGGGCGTGACACGGCAGTACACCCACCGCAAAAAGACCAAAAAGACTAGAACGACTAATACGACTAGAACGCTTGCGCCGCTCTGGGCTTGGCACGACTTCAACTCATCCCCATCCCCGACCTTCCCCTACCACTCCTCTTCTCCCTTTCCTTTTCCCCCCCCCCCAATATCCATCTCCATCCATTCATGTCCTCCACGCTTCTGTGGACCCCATTGTGCACCGCTGTCTGCATTGCTCCCGACACCCTTCCCACCCGCCATCTCTGGCTCTGAGAAGGAAAGTTGGGGGAGGAAAGGAGGCATTCCTCCGGCCACTCGTTTTTTTGTCTGAGATATCGATCACTCCACTCATCTGGAGAACCCCATCTGAGATCGGTATCCTCATCTAGACGTCTCGCTCGTCGCCCTCAACCACTTTTCCATCTATTCAACTCCCCCCCCACTCCCCTGATCCACGCCGCTGGGCCCCGACCACCATTCCTGGCACTACTGCTCCGGGTCCGTTGATTTGACCACCGCGGGGTCTTCGACGCGTGCTCCCCCCCCCCCCCCGACCGCATCCATGGGCTTCATTCAACGCATTACAAAACGGCTGCCCAGCGCGGCGAGCCTTCCCATCGATGATGCCCCCCGCGAAAAAGGCCACACCTCCCGGTTTGCCTTCTTCCGCCGGCGCATTCGGTTGAAGGGTAATTCGTCGATTTCTATACCCCTGGGATTTGTCTTACTATTTCCTTGCCTTGTAATTGTCTTCATTTTACTTCTTTTCGTCCGACATCCTTCGTCTCCCGGGGGCATCCTAATTCCAGCGGGCACGCCACCCTCTATTCGGTTCGTTCAACCCTTCCTTTCTGGTGGGCGATGGTGAAGCGAAGATATACAATGGACTGACCGTGGAACGCCTTCTCTACAGAAAAATCAGCGAAAAGTATGACAAAGTCTTCGCCACGGGCTGTCTGCCTGTGGACCAGGCCCGAATCGACAAGGAGCCTCGCGCCAACGCGGCCTTCGTCGTTTTGGCGCGGAACAAGGAGTTGGACGGTGTGATCCAGTCACTCAAGTCGATTGAGCGCCACTTCAACCGCTGGTACCATTACCCCTACGTGTTCCTGAATGATGGCGACTTCGATGAGGATTTCCGGGCCACCGTCAAGAACTACACCAGCGCCGCCGTCGAATTCGGCAAAATTGATAACACCATGTGGGGTTTCCCCGACTGGGTTGACCACGAGGTCGCCAAGGAAGGTATTCGGAAACAGGGTGACGCTGCCATCATGTACGGTGGCATGGAGAGTTATCACCACATGTGCCGGTTCTACTCTGGGTGAGTAATTTTTTTTATCATCCCGCGCGATCATCGGGCCCAAAAATACTGACCCTCAATCACCAACAGGCATTTCTACAAGCACCCCCTTCTGATGAAGTACGAATGGTATTGGCGCCTGGAGCCCGAGATCAAGTACTTCTGTGACATCACCTAGTAAGGAGTAGCTCCATCTCCCTTTGTGCGAAGCTACCCGATTACTGACTTGAATGTGCAGTGATCCATTCATCAAGATGGCCGAAGCGAATAAGACATACGGCTTTACCATTGCAGTCAAAGAACTCCGCGAGACCGTCCCCAACATCTTCCGCTACGCGGCGGCCTACAAGCGCAAGAACAACATCAAGTCGAAGGGCCTGTGGGAGATGTTCTTGGAACGCCCCGCGGAGGATGAGGAGACCCCACCCGAGCCGGAGAAGAAGCAGGAGAAGCTTCCCGACGAGATCTTGTTGACCGAACCTGGGGACAAAAATCTCGATGATATTGACCCTGAGGCCATGGAAGGCGAGAGCTACAATATGTGCCATTTCTGGAGTAACTTCGAGATTGCGCGCTTGGATTGGTTCCGCAGCAAGGCTTATGAGGATTTCTTCAACATGATGGACCGTAGTGGTGGATTCTGGAACGAGCGAGTGAGTGATCATGTGGTTGGGGCAACCGTTCTGAAATCGAATTTACTGACTTTATCCGTGTTTAGTGGGGTGATGCTCCTATCCATTCCCTCGCCGCCGGTGCTCTCCTCGCCCCCAGCGACATCCACTACTTCCGCGACTTTGGCTATCGGCACACTACCATCCAACATTGCCCGGCCAACGCCCCCGCCCGGCAACTGCCCCGCGAGCCTTACCTAGAAAAGACCACCGATGATGAGAAGAAGCGGATCGAAGAGGACGAGTACTGGGCTACTCCGGACCCGGTCAAGGAGAACGGTGTCGGCTGCCGATGCCGCTGCGATACTGACATTGTAGACGTTGAGGGCAAGCAAGGCAGCTGTCTTGCCGAATGGGTTGAGGTGGCTGGCGGTTGGGCCTCACCATAAAGCCCTTCACGTACGCCTCAGTCGTTCCCCTGCATCGTTTGTCCTTGACTGCTTCTCCATGCCTTTTCTCTTCCGCCGTGAGCATCGCCTAGGCAATTCTTGCCCAGGTGGAGTTTTCTGCTGAAACTCGCATGTTGCGTTGGGGTTCTTTTCTGAGCGGCGTTTAATGGATCTGACGGCTTGTTTCTTATTCGGAAGATGGCGTGACCATTTTCCACCATCCATGTTGACATATTCATCTAGCGTGCTGTCCGCGTCACTGGGATTGGCTGTGTGTTCTAGTCATTTTTCCATTTTCTTCTTCTGGGTGTCTGACGAGGGGAGGCTATTGTCTGGTTTACCTCGAGGTCGCCGACACTACAGGATTTCCGACCCCCTGTCGCCGACGGTATAATTATTATGCGGCCATTCTTCCTCTTCCTTGCCTCGCCTGTCTACTCCAAATCATGCACTTGGTCCTTTGTGAGTGGCAGGGAATCAAGAAGGTCACTGCAATGGACAAACAGGCCAGTCTCAGCGACGGCGGCGACCACCATCGGTGTGGTGTCTTGGGGGGAATGAGCTTCCGGGAAGATCGATGGCAGCACACCCCGTCTGTCCTTTTTTGTCTTGTTTTCTTTTCTGTTTTCTATTCTCCTTCCGCGCCCCTATTTGTCAGTCTCACTCATCTTTCTTCCCGTTTCTTCCCCAACCCCTCAATACTTCCACTTTGGTTGCCTTCCCCCAGCATGCATTCATGAAATGTACATACCTTGTTCTCCCACCCCGTCTAACCTATCCTTCGAGCCCGTGGCACATAGCCATGGGCCTGTCCCCCTTCGCATTGCCTCTAAACCTCGCAAATACCAGATTCGAGCATGGCTGTCTATAGAGTATCGAATAATCATCCGGTGAATTACGCGAAGAATGAGATCCGTATAATGCACTTGCTTTTTCTCTTTATGTTTCTACTTGGTAGCTGGTGATTTCTCTTCAGACTTGACTACTTGTGGAGTATAGATCTGGATCTCTTCCTTGCAGAGGACTCCTTAGCGTACCTAGTATTTTGTTTCCCAAGCTTCCAGCCCTCTTTATCATTGCAATAATCCCTCCGTTCTAGTCTCCCTTGAGCCCATTGAGTTAGCGACCACCAGAATCTAGTACCCCAGGCACTCCTAGTACCTTTCGATTATCGACATCATGGAGACCACAAAGTCAGGACTGGAATATCGGCTTGGATGTTTCATTAGCGTGCACAATTATAGTGAAGGCAAGACTTTCGTCTCATCCCGAATGACACAGTTGCTTCTACTATCAAGACCTGACAGCGTCGGAGAGGGTGGTGACATTCAGGAGGGGACGGTGAAGAGGGGGTTGGGGGAAAAGGGATATGTACCTGCCGATCGATAAACACACCCCCAAACCCTCTTTCGGCTCGCCATGATCTCTCCACACCCCACACTGGCCCGATGCGTTGGCTGTTATTCTTTGCGCTGGGCCCAGCTGCGGCCTTTAACAACCCGGTGGACGTGGATATTTGGTGTGGGAAGGCCTATCGTGCTACGTGAGAGACAGACGCCACCACAGACCAGCCAGGGATGAAGCTAATTGGTCTAGAAATGCATCCTTCGAGCCTGGGGGTTGGCTGGAGCAGCCAGATTGGTCTACTGTGCCCCTATTGGATCTACGCGTGCGCCCGCGTATGAGTCTGTATACACCAGGCGATGATACGGGGTCATTTATCATCGATGCGGACATGTCTTACATTCGTGGAGAGCCGCTGAGAGAAACAGGACATGGTTCTCAGGACCTTGATCTGGAGATTACAGTGGGCGAGGGACAACTGACTTTGCGACACACGATTGCAATCAATTCATCATCGATCGAGCTGGACTTTCCACTACACAGTCTTGCTCCGCACTCTCGACCCTACAGTGTAACCCTCAAAGCTACACGTCCGAACTGTGATCGTGCGTATACAGCGACCACTCAAGTATATCACTTGCCAAAGCGGGCAGATGGGGGCAGTGTCACGAAGGTTGACAGTCTATATGGCGGACTGCTGGTTCAGAACAAGTCCGATGACTCCTCTCCATGGAGTCCCCTCTTGCCGTATTCCTTTTACGTGAGCTGGGATGGATGGCTGAAGAAGTCCCTTAGCAACGTGCAGAAGTTCAAAGACCAGGGTTATAACATCATCCATATCGTCCCGAACGCCGGACTGGCTAACCAAGCCTTCAATTTCACCGAACTGAACATGTTCCTGGACAAATGCGACGAGGTCGGCCTGTGGGTAATGTACGACATGCGCTGGACGTACCAGAATCTCACCTCCGTGCGCGACCAGGTCAACATGCTCAAGACACGGAAGAGCATGCTGCTTTGGTATACCGGCGATGAGCCCGATGGCCAGGGCGATCCGCTGAACGCAACTCGCGTCACTTACGACCTGATCAAGTCCCTGGATCCATGGCACCCGGTATCGCTGTGCTTGAACTGCTTCAACTTCTACTACGAAGAATACTCGTCTGGCGCCGACATCATTCTGTCGGACGTATACCCGATCGCCGTCAACACCAGCTGGTCGGAAGTCTACGGCACGCCTTGCAACACGACCTACGGCTGCTGCGGCTGCGACGACTGTGAAGGAACCCTCGACGACATCTCCGTCCGCCTCGACCGATTCGTCGAGTACCAGACCTGGATCGGCACCGGGCCCAAGTCCATCTGGGGCGTGCCGATGGCATTCGGTAACGAGTCGTTCTGGTCGCGGTATCCCACGGCCGCGGAGGAAGTGACCATGACGATGCTGAGCGTGAATCATAATGCAAAGGGCATCGTGATGTGGGACTACCCGACGACGACTGAGCTAGAGCGGGTAACAAGTCAATTGAGCCGGGTTCTTGCGAGCGAGGAGGTTGTGAGATTCCTATTGGGTGCGCCGACGGTTGCACTGCAGGCGACAGGCCCTTCGAAAATGGATGTTGCTAGTTGGAGGCTGGGTACGCAAATGGTGGTCAGCATTTTATCCTTGCAGACGCCGGCATGGTTGTCCAATGTGTCAGTGACGCTGCCGGAGGGGGCTCGTGCTGTTCACAAGGTGCTCTGGGGATCGGGGGATTGGCGGTTAATCGAGGGTCAATTAGTCAAGACAGGTGGACGAGGACTAGAGACAGACTTGGTGATTGTCGAGTTTGATGCTGATCAGTAAATATATCAATCTATTCATTTAAAGGCGTACAGGTTTGGCGGGATCGTCAGGAGTCAAGAGCGTCATTGAAGATGTACTCAGTATTGCGCCATGTAGCGTCTCCGCAGTGGCTTGAGCTCCCGACCAATGCGGTATGTTGTCACGAGACAGGGGCTTCTCGGGTCACAACCAGCCGTTAACTGAGTGAACTCTCATTATTGAGTTGCTTAGTTAAAGTCTCAAACGTCCCGTTTTCGTGCTTTATCTCCGGAGTTGTGATAAGCCACGCCGCGGCTTCATTCGCTGCAGATTGCGGCCGCAACCATGGCGGCTTGTGATGGGCTGCCCAATTGACACCATATGATTGTTCCTCTTATTTATTAGCAGGGTGTCCCCTAGGGGTTCCGGACTCGATTCTTTCGTCAACCCCCCTCCCCCCAGCTCCAGGACACGATGACGACCGTAAGCACCTTGACCACCACGATCGTCCTCGAGGGAGAGAAAGCCCAATCTGTCTCTCTTGAAACCGTCAAATACGCCGATATTCTTCAACAAGACGCACTAGAAACGTCCAAGCTCCTTCGAGCGTGCCAGAGTCCGGGGTTCTTCTATCTGGATCTTTCGGGCGTCAATGCACAGTTCAATGGCGATGCTTATCTTGAGAATATCCAGTTGCTGCATCAGCAGCAAGAGGAATACTTTCATCTCCCCTTTCACGCAAAAATGAAAGACTACCTCGAGTCCTCGGCCAAAAAGGGCTATCAGTACTTCCCGGACTGTGAGGCATTCGAAGTGCCATATAACTCATCTCGAGCGGACGATATTCCATCTCCACTGAACCCTCAATCCGTATGCCAGGTCATGGCACATACACACGCGATTGCGGTAACCCTTATTCGCTGCCTTTCGCCCTTCATCGGCAATGAAGATATTCGGAAATACGTGAGATCGATTCACGATGACCGTGACGTATCTCTTTCTGGTATGAGGCTGGAAAATATCCTGGCCGCGGAAACGGGAGGGTGTATCCATTCCTCTGGAAACACGGATAAGGGATCTATGACCCTACGCCATTGTGATGAAGTGATCATTGAGTATTTGGACGCCGAGACTGGGAGGTGGGTATATATTGAGCCACACCAAGGTTGTTTGATTGTAAATGTCGCAGACTTATTGCAGACAGCTAGTCATGGGCTCTTTCAGAGTCCACTCCATCGTGTGGGACACCCGATGGTTGGTACCCAAGCCCGCCGATGTCTAGCATACCATTTGTGGCCTTCGGATAATTATGTTATGGACCTGTAACTAGATAATACCTAATGACTTATGATTCAAGTATGGATTTAGCGGTAATGGAAGATAGTGAACCCGATGAATAAATCCTAATTGAGCAAAACCCATAGAGCGACGCATCTCAATGCTCGGTACTGCTGCGGAGTGACAGTGGCGGGCAGGTATGAACGTGGCTACGGCACGCGACCCTTCTCCCCGAAGGAATTGCTGGCTACCTTTTTATATAGATACAGCTTTGTCGATCCCATTGGCCATCACACTGTTGATAATCATCTACCTCTTGGGATGCAATTGGCGGTCAGAGCAGAGCCGTCATAGGTTCTAAGGGGAAATGAAACAGTATTTCTAAAGTTCATTATTCGAGCGCAAATCTAGCCCTACAATTCCAGACCTGATTCCGCTATTCCTATGCTGAATATCTCCCTGCTGCCAGTAATAATGTGATGCACCTGTTTGAATTTGCTATGGCTGTACCTACCTGGGAATACCAAAATAAAATGAACCAAGAAGATTTCAGGAAGCTACCAATCACACTATTCATGAATCAATGTCGTCACTATCTCTCATAAATAAAAAATAGCGATAAGAAGAATAATTCGCCAGAGAGGAGCTTAATCATCAAATTCTGGGCTTCTTCCATGTGACTGGTTTCAAACCTATGAGGCGCCACTATACATAGGAACAATTACAATTACACTCTTGGTCGAATGCGATGATCTGCGAATTTATTAGAAAAAGCAATCTTCTGACCTAACAAGGATATCGGACTAGTGTCTTATAAGCCTTTCGTCCATTACAAATGACACTTTCAACAATAAGCTTTATAATGAATCGACCACTGTCTCAGTGCAGCAAAACCACTCAGAGACAAATAGTATTTTGGGATGACAGCTGATAAAAAGCAGAAACGCCAGGGTACGATAATTCCCTTATCATACCATTTCAATTCATCTCTTCCCTGCTGATACTACCTATTCTAGGCAAACGATCGAGTCATACGAAGAATGATTGGACACAGCCACTGGCTGGAGATATACTTGTATTTTCTGACCCTGCGTATCGCAGGCTCCAGTATTCTGGCTACTTGAGATTACGAGCATGGTTTCCTTTGAGACGTTGAGAGTGAAGGTCATCGCCTGTATCAAGTCGGCGGCAGTATTGATATGCTTTGGCATAAACAGCACTGGGTGTCTGGAAGTTGCTGCATACAATATTGCTGTCAAGGTTCCCTCTTATTGATTGGTTCAGGGTTGTTTTGACCCAATTGGCTAGGGTGATCTTTCCGGGTAAGACCGGAAAACTCTCCAGTTGTGGGTTGTTTGTGATCCCTTTTTGGTTCTCGAAATCAATAAATAATGTAAATGAAATGAATGTAGAAGAGGGAAGATCGTTGATTATTGACATGGTCTGCTTCTCCACCGTTCAAGCAGCAGTCACTCTAGGCAAGATCATCATTACCAATACATTCAAGTATATATGCTTTCCGTCAATCAGGTCTCCTTGCCGGACTGGCTTATATTTTTTTTTCTCGAAAGTCACCAACCGCCATACGCCGGCCTCCAAAGAATTTATCTCTAGCCAAGCCTTGCACCACTTGACTAAGCTGTCTGCTGAGGTGACAGGTGTGCATAGGGACTTGATTGGTATAATTTGATGCTAGATGAAATAATTTGCTAGAGGCTTATTGGAAGAAAAAGAGGAAACCGCAGCAGGCAAATTCGAGGCCGTCTGCGATCCCCGAACACTGCACGGGGAATTGATTTTGAGGCATGCCGGAAGCTGGGATCATCACATCTTAATTCCGAGGAACTAGAATAGGTTGTCATTTCTCCAGACCGATCAATAGGTATCCCAAACTATGTAAAAAACAATATTTCCGAACCTAGAGGTTGAATCCACGCGCAACCCTGAGCCACTCGGTACGTTTGATGAACAAGATTGCTTGCTAGAAGAGGCAACTCGGACCGTATCCGAAGGGCTCCGGTGTTTAGAAACGAAGGGAAATGGGATTCGCTGCCGTGGGTGGAGCAGCGGATCCTTGCTTTGTCCCGCCCAGGCGCCAACTTGGCATAAAGCCACCGTCGTCTTATCTGATTCTCTGCAGTGATCAGCATTAGACCCCGCCCTGCCGGACTTGTCTGCTAGTTTCGGAGGGTTCTATGATGATCGGGCATGAAACGTCCACGGGAAGACCCAATCTAGCTTGTTTGCTGTGCCGTTTCCCGGTTTCTGGCCGCTGGAGGAGGCATGAATGGCCCGCTTGAGCTTTGGAATTATCAAAAGAAGCATGATCATCCTCGCGTCCTAGCAGGCTGCATCATTTCTTTCTCCAGAGGAGGCATGAATGGCCGGCTTGAGCGTTGGATTTGTCGATAATACGCGCGTTCTAGCAGGTTGCATGACGTTCTAGCAGGCTGCATGATTCCTTTTTCCGGAGAAGGTTCAACGGCGGAGAACGTCGGTGCACCGACGAGTTTCCGCTCCCTGTCATCCTCGGATACCGGAGATCAATCGCACCTAGTGCATTCAATGTTGTTCTTGATTCATCTAGTTACTTTACCCAGAACAAAACAGCATAAACTAAAAAATTCTAAGGCACTCATGCCATGCCAAGCACCAGACTTGTGGGCAGTGCCGCTAGATGAAATTAATGCCAAGGCCTCGTGGATGAGGATTTCTCCGTGGGTGGCCGTTCCACGATAGGATTGACGCTAAAGTTCCCAGACTCCTCGATGATCATGACTTAATTCGAAGAGACTGGTAGCCAGGGAGAAATCACCAAGTTAGACATCCTAGTTCACAGTTCGCGCCTGCCGCGTTTCAACCGTGGCGGAGTACGCACTGACGCGAACAATGTGTTCTTCGGATGTCAAGCGATGGATGGAAACCTCCAATCCGCATCATCAGATTGGATTATTCTAGGGGCTTGGCATTCCAGTCTGGTTTGCCGGTCTTTTCCCCCCTGCGGGTCTATACCGTATACTGTAGACAGACGGGAGGGTGGATTTGATGCTACATCCGAGGTGCCACTCGGCCCTAACAAGAAAAGATCGATGTTCCCCGGGAGAAAATTCATCTGAAAAGAGCAGGAATCGTCAGTATAAAGACGCTGAGAAACCCCCGGACATCGGTTGCGGTTGTTGCAGTTGGTTTTCTCCTCCATCCCAGCCAATCCCACCATGTGCTCTTTCTGGGCGTCCATTGCGCTGCTGGGCCTAGCCCTGCAGCCAGGCATGGCACTTTGCCCTTATGCGACGCAGATGGACGCAGGCGCTAAGCACACCAAGCCGCACCCCCCGCATCCTCATGCACCCCGCGATCAACTGGCGACGAATGGCAAGCAGGGTGTCTTCTATATGAACCGCATCGCCCCCGGCACGTCGGAGCTGTACATCGCCAACATCGATGGGTCTCATGAGCGTCCGCTCCTGTCAAATCCTGTCTACGAGTACCATGCAGCCTTTTCCTCTGATGGGGAATGGATTACCTTTACCAGCGAACGAAACGGCGACGGCAACTCGGATATCTACCGTGTTCGGACCAATGGGTCTGATCTCGAGGAATTGGTCTCCACGCCTGCGGTAGAAGATTCAGCGGTCATGTCTCCCAATGGGAAATATGTCGCCTATGTGTCTACTGCCAACGGATATAAGGCGAATATCTGGATCATGGAACTCGAGAGTGGCAAGAAGTGGAACTTGACCGATACGGCGACGACTGCTGCCAATGCATCCTTGCCCAACGGCTACTTCCGCCCTTCTTGGTCGCCCGATGGCGAATGGCTTGCTTTCTCATCGGATCGCAACTCAGGATGGTATGGGCACGGTGATCCGACTTTCCTGGGTCTGAGTGGCTGGGAACATACTCAGGAACTATCCATTTACGCCATCCGGCCCAATGGCTCGGATTTCCACCAGATTGCGACCAAGAGTGGTTGGTCTCTGGGCTCACCAAAGTGGTCGGCAGATGGCAAGAGAATCGTTTTTTACGAAATGACCCGTGAAGATACCTGGAATTCGCATCGTCCCGAGTCCATCGACACGGCCAACTCCACATTGGTGTCCGTGGACTTTGCAACTCGCAGGGACCGCCGAGTGGAGGCACAGGGAGCTGGTGTCAAGATCTTCCCCCAGTATCTGCCGGACAACAGCATCGCGTACTTCTACAAGGGCGGTACCCAAGAGGGATTGCACACCACCAACGGCGAATATGTGAACACTTCCAGTGCAACCATTCGCTCCCCTGCGTGGTCGCCGGATGGCAAGCGCGTCGTCTATGAAAAGACCACCTGGACTATTCGCCCCATGGCCAAGAAGCTGTGGAGCTGGGACTCCGACTGGGAGTACCGCTTCACCGACGTGTTCCCTCAGCTGTCCAACCAAAACGTACTTGCCATCACCCAGAAGCAGCTTGGAAACTCGTCGATCATTTCCATGAATGCCAGCGGTGCCGATGAGCACATGGTATACGACGATCTGAAGAGCGACTTCCTCAGCTCCACAATGGTTTCCCAAGGATTGGCTGGAGCTTTCCAGCCCGCGTGGTCCACCGATGGCGAGTGGCTCACCTTTGGAGTCGGTTTTTGGTTCCAGAGCCGCGCCGAGGGTGGTGGCTGGCTGGTACGTGCGACAGCAAATGGCTCGTACTCGGAGGTGTTGACGGAAAGCAAGTCAACCCTCACCGCCAACAGCTCGACCATCAACTCGGGGTTCCCCAGCTTCGCTCACGATGGCAAGAAGATCGTGTACCGCGTCTGGGGCACCAACTCCACCCTGGGCGACAAGTCGCAACTAGGTCTCCGACTGCTGGACTTGGAGACCCGAAAGATTTCCGTCTTGACCACCGAGTGGGATAACTTGCCATTCTTCTCGCCCGATGGCACTCGTATTGTCTTCACCCGCAAGACGAGCGCAACCAACTACGACGTGTGCACGATGAACCCTGACGGGACCGATATCAAGGTGTTAACCAGTAGCGGTGCGAACGATGCGCACGCGGTGTGGACTCACGATGGACGTATCATGTACTCTTCTGGGATGTTTGGCTTCCAGTATGAGTGTGCGCTGTACGATCAGACCTTCCAGCCGTATGGACAAATTGTTGTCATGGACGCGGACGGGTCCAATAAGCAGGCGCTCACCAACTCCCTGTGGGAGGACTCCATGCCCCTCTATGTGCCGAATGCTGCTCTGCATGACAGCTCCAGATAAAAAAATCCGAAGTCTCGGATGACCACTTCATATGTCCCAGATGTGCTCTTAACTTGTTCACGGTCGGTTTACCTTTTATCCACACGTACTGTAGATGAATGCCAGATTGATGTGTCACATGATCGTACGGGGTGATTCACATACTAATATCCTAGATGATAGGCGCACATATTAGTCAAAGTGGGTATCAAGCTTGTAAAATCAATGGATGGTGACTCTATGTAGCCTGACGATGATTGCCAACGGCTGCTACGAGTCCCCCGCATTTTCAGTGAGCCCCACGCACAACGAAGTAGACGATATGCACGCGTAGACGCCTCATCTCTGGTGAACAGAAGTTTGAGGAACTTCATCATTAACAAAGCGCGAAATCGGGTGAGATCCGCTAAGCTATAACTAATCCATTCGCAGGTATGAAACCGGAAGGTTAACCTAACCCCGTCCCCCCCCCCCCCCCCCTTCCCCCTTGAGCAACAGAAACAGACCAATGGACGTGTCAAATGGTTAAAAATAATGACAGAAATCTTGTCCCGAAGCAGGCTTTGCCAATTAAATGTGCGGGCAATGCAGGGTTGCCCGAGACACGAACCTGGCAGGTGGAGACGCGCTCCGCGATGCTGGAGGCTGGGCAGGGATGGAACACGGAGGACCGCGACTCCGGCTGGCGCAAGACCTGAACCCCTGTTTCCCCAGCAAGATGTGGCTGCCTGTGTAGACTGAGGCCCCAAGACCTCCTTGGACGCGCCAGATCGCAACACGCGAGCTGGGTGATCGCCACATTCTCCGGCGTAAGTGACTTTAGATGGGCTCCACTCCCCGAACCTTCTGTATGGGGTTAAAGCTCCTCCTTCATTCCTTCTAGAGCTTGTGGTCTGGCAGCCTAGATCTGAGTGAATACTTAACTTAGATGATATTCCTAATAAGTAGGTGATGTCTAGTATGTCTAATCCTGCTCTTCGTAGGACTGTCTCTAACGTAAATCCTTTACGCGATCGTGGGAAGGGGCGGATCGGATGGACGGTTCACGGCTCGGCAGACAGCTCTGGCCCCCAAGACGCGCACAACTGGAGCTTCATCCTTGAAATAACAACCCTAACGGAGCTAGCTTCGGCGGGACCTGGCTGGTCTAGAGTACCAATGATATCCGTAAATCCGGGTTCTTCTGTCTGTCGCGTCGTGCCCAGCGGGACCGAACAGATCTGGCTTATCTGATCGTGATTCATCCTGCCTGAAGTGGAGCCTCATTACGTCGAGCTGAAAACTCTTATGGAGCAAAACGCGCGCTGGAGCGCGTTGTTATTGGTCCTAGCGCTCGTTGCCTTGGTTATACAAGTAAATTTTCGTCTCTAGTGTAGCCAAAGGTGGCGGATTTTTGGAGTGTTTCACGCGTAGACGTGCAGGGCAACAGGAGCTAGAATCAATGGATAGGAATGGGCTGCATGGCAAGCTCAAAGCCGGACGGAGAGCAGCAATACTATGCATAGTATGCGTCGAGGGGGCTACCGCAGGCACGGCCATGGATCGACTGCCCTAGCGTCGGATGTAGCTGGAAAGCCAGTGGCATGAGGGGAAGCCGAATGGAGCGAAAACGGGGAAAGCGCATTGTTCGACGCGCCTTGCGTCTCGCTGATGTAAGCACGGGCACGCGGTCACGTGCTACGTGACTTAGCCCGTCGCGCTAAAAGAATCACGTCCACTAACTACTTAATCGATTCTTTTCCCACTTTAGCTGCACTCATTCTCTTTCCCCCCAAGCCTCTGCCTTTCCCTTATCACGGTGTCTGTGTTGCAATTAGTTCTCTCTTGAGACCATATACCCTTCAGATACATTCTCAATGGCCACCCAAGTCACCCCTTCGAAGCAGGTACGTGATGTCACGACTGTCGCCTCTCGCGACAGACGCGTCGCGAGCATCAATTTGGCTAACTCGTGTGCTTCCTTAGACTGCTTCCTCCCTCGAGAACCTGAAGATGAGTGATTCGCCCGTCAAGAAGCTCGACTTCCAGTCTTTTGGCAAGGAGAACGCGCCCGCGTCTCTCAAGCCCGTCGACGTGATGACCGACAAGCCCGTCGAGAAGGCCCTCGAGGTCTCAAAGGTGGCTGCTGGCATCAATTCTGCTGAGGCTAGCGAGCCCCTCCTCCAGGAGAACCCCCACCGCTTCGTGCTCTTCCCCATCAAGTACCACGAGGTAAGTCACGTCGCCGACGCGTCTACGCGTAAAGTGGGTTGGACGTGCAGGATTCCCCGACGCCAACTCACTTTCATCTTAAGAACAAATGACTAACAATCACTCTTTCATCCCAACAGATTTGGCAAATGTACAAGAAGGCCGAGGCCTCATTCTGGACCGCCGAAGAGATTGATCTGTCCAAGGATTTGCACGACTGGCACAACCGCCTGAACGATGACGAGCGCTACTTCGTCTCGCACGTTCTGGCCTTCTTTGCCGCCTCGGACGGCATTGTCAACGAGAACCTGGTTGAGCGTTTCAGCGGCGAGGTTCAGGTCCCCGAGGCCCGCTGCTTTTACGGTTTCCAGATCATGATGGAGAACATCCACTCTGAGACCTACTCTCTACTCATTGACACCTACATCAAGGAGCCTAAGCAGCGTACCTACCTCTTTGATGCCATTGATACCAGTATGTCCAATATCGCAATCTCCTGGCTCGGATCTAGTCTTCTAACCAGTCTCCAGTTCCCTGCATTGCCAAGAAGGCCGACTGGGCCATGAAGTGGATTCAGGACCGTGAGTCCACCTTCGCCCAGCGTCTGGTTGCCTTCGCTGCCGTTGAGGGTATCTTCTTCTCCGGCTCCTTCGCCTCCATCTTCTGGCTCAAGAAGCGTGGCCTCATGCCTGGCCTGACCTTCTCCAACGAGCTGATCTCTCGTGACGAGGGCTTGCACACCGACTTTGCCTGCTTGCTGTTCTCGCACCTGAACAACCGCCCCAGCAAGAAGATGGTCGAGGACATCATCATTGAGGCCGTCGGCATCGAGCAGGAGTTCCTCACGGATGCGCTGCCCTGTGGCCTGCTCGGCATGAACTCCAAGCTGATGTGCCAGTACATCGAGTTCGTGGCTGACCGTCTCCTGGTCGCTCTCGGCAACAAGAAGTACTACAACTCGACCAACCCCTTCGACTTCATGGAGTCCATCTCCCTCGCTGGCAAGACCAACTTCTTCGAGAAGCGTGTCGGCGATTACCAGAAGGCCGGTGTCATGGCTTCCACCAAGAAGGACACCACCGCTGCCGAGGGCGAGCAGGCCCCCAAGGACAACGGCCTCAGCTTCGACGAGGACTTCTAAGCGCTGTCCCTTGCCACTAATACCATCCCATCCCCTTTCTCCCCCACCCCTCCCCTTCTCTTGTTTTATACCCTCCAGCCGTGGGGCTCACCTACGCTGTCCTCCACATGATATCACGCTGTTTCTTTTTCTTTTTTCTCTGTTATTGATTGATGGAATTTCTTCGAAGGTTACGCATGGATCAGGCGTTTTTTTTCTTTTCTTTTTCCCCCTGTTGTCTTTTCTCGGTCTGTCCTAGACTTCTGACCGCAATGTCCGACATGGGATAGATGGCGGATATGTGTATTTAACGTTGCAATTACTTGGTTATTGTGTACTTTGGTTTCATGAGTCGGTATTCGTAGCAAGCGCCTTGACAGCGTAGTCATAATCGTATTGTTCGCTTGGTAACACTGCTTTCTGCCTGTGGACTTCAACTCAGGGCGGTCTTGAGATGATAGGACGCGGCTCCATCTAAATTCGCAACATCTGTACATTGCTCAAAGAGTTCCTGAACCCGTAACATGTCATTATGCTCGATGAGCCATTCAGAACCACGTCCCCCGAGCCCAAGCCCAGTCCCTCTTTTCATCTCTCTTAACCTTAACGATGCGTCGGGAACTCTACCGCTTCCCCTTCCCGCCCTTCTTCTTCCCCTTCCCGCCCTGGCCCTGTCCCTGTCCCTGGGCCTGGCTCTTCCCAGCCTGCGCCGGAGCTGCAGCTGCAGCACTCTCTTCTACCGGCGCATCAATCATCTCCACATCCCCCGCCGCTTGACCCGGCGCCGACAACCCAAGGCTCGCGACGTCCGCGCCGCTCGCCAGCTTACCCAGCCCGGTTATCAGCCGGCTGACCTCGGCGATCTTGTTCGTGCGGTACTGTAGCACGATGCCTGTCGTAGGATTGTAGGTCTTGAGGGTGAGCGCAGCGACCGGGGCGGAGGGGGTGGGTGCTGCTTGTGTAGAGGGTGATTCTGAGGAGGCGGTCTTTTTGGCTTGTGACTTTGCGCGCTTGGCACGGGCGCCGGGAGTTTCGGTTGGGAAGCTGTATTTTGTTGTTATCCGGGTCTGTGGGAGATTAGCGGGGAGCTCTGGCTTTTTCTTTTTCCCGGTTCTTTGGTGGCTGGGTGGTGTGGTGGTGCGTGGGAGGGTGGATTGGGATTGGGATGTGGGTTGATATTGATATTGAATTGCATGGAGTGGTGGGATGCTTCAGATGGTAGTGGCATTGCGGGCTCGGTGGGGGATGATGAGCATGGCTTGAGCTTACAGTGTCTGGGTATGCCTCTAGTAGCTGGGCGGACTGCTCCAGGAATGCCTGGGAGGTAGGCAGGTAAGGCATGGTGGTGGGTGGGCGAGAGCCGGTCTCGCTTTGCCGGTGGTCGTGCGGTCCGAAAGTAGGTGGGATAGGGTGTATGGTAGCGAGTAGATCTCGATCGAATGGGCCGCTGCGGAGATCAGACAATGCGGCACAAATGAATTCGGAGGGAGAGAAGCAGGTTGAGGAATTGTGGGAGGTGGTGGTTGAGGCCAGTCCGGGGTGGAAATGGAGGGCCAGTTATCTGAGCCGGACTTTTTCCATGTCTTGGCATCGGCCCCAAACACTCGGACCGTCCTTGCCAGACGGCACCACAACTATAACTTTAACTCCACATGGCTCATTTCAGGCAATTCGATATTATGCAATTCAGAAACATATGATTGACAAGATGATGCATTCGTAGTCACAGTCGTAGTCATATATCTTGTTTTGTTTCATATCATACACGCTGCCAGCCTATGCCAGTCCATTGCTCCCTGTAGATACGTACCTCAACGGCCTGTCTTTCCACCAAGGCAACCAAGAAGCTTTCTAGAAAAGATATATGAAACCAAAAGAATGGTCAGAACCAAGTCCCCAGCACCAGCGCAACAACTAAGAAAAAACTGTCAAAAACATAACCAACTCATATAAACATCCTTTCAAATCCCAAGACGTCCCAAGATATGTCCAAAAAGAATCAAGATATCGAAGCCAAAGCCCTGTCACCCAATAGACCGGTTACACTGTACACAAATCAACTTTTGCGTCCCATCCCTCCCCTTCACACCCCGAAAATTTGTGCCCTGGCAACGCTCACACTTCATAATATCCTCTTCCCCGCCCGTCGAAGACTCATACTCACTACTCAACACGCTCTCCGCAGTACTCAGCTTGCGCTCGGCGCCGGACGCGATGCTGTTGGAGCGGACCAGGTCATTGGACTTGCGGGAGTGCATAGCCAGCGCGTCGTGTGTGATCTTGTTCCAGAACGCGTAGCTATGGTCACCCTGCAGCCAGAGCGGATTGTCTTTGTTCTTGCCGCTGGTGACGATGTCGGCGGTGGATGTGGGGAGTTTGCGCGGGTCAGTCGAGTCGGCGGTGGAGGGATGGGTGCCGGATGGGAAGGTGGTACCGCTGGAGGGTTGACTGGGTCTGCGGCCATGGCCGTTTTGGGGCCGTGTGTCGTCACCGCGGGTGTCGGTGCGGGATCGGCGCGGGGATGGTGGTGGGGAGGTTGCTACCAGGGAGAGGGTCTCGTTTGGTCCAAGGCTGGAGGGTCGCGATGAGGAGAGGCGGAAGGTGGCGGGTCGGTGGTGGGAGGATGGGCTGTGTGTGCGGAGGCTAGGGCGGGAGCCTTCGTTGCTGGGGTGGCCGTGGCGAACGACCGAGTTGCGCCAGGAGACGATGTGCTCTGACGGCGTCTTGTGTGTGGATTCCTTGCCTGATGATGCGAGGCTGTGGCGGGCGGAGTTGGAGCGGCGTAGGATCCGGCGTGAGATGGTCGAGTTGGCATTCCAGTTCTCATATCGTCTCTTCTGATATGCGCAGTCTTGCCGGAGAACCTTGATCTTTCCGGAGTAGTCGGCGAGGACGATGATGTTCCCACCTTCATGTTTCGAGCGAGAGATGTATGAAGGCGATTGGTGGGCCAATTTGCTAATGATCGATAACCGCCGCGCTGAGGAAGCTCTCTTGTAATTACTTCCGTTTTCTCGCTCAGGGCTTTCTTGCTTCGACGACTCTTCGGCGCTCATCAGAGCCACCGGAGGCGGGTTACAGATATCGTAGATCGGATCTTCGGACAGGCCTAGGATCTGCTTTGTCTTTGTCGGAGCCGACAGAGCAACCGTCACAATAGCAGACTGCGGTTCAAACACCTCCACCGCTCGTTTACCAGCATCTCGCTCCACGGCACCAATGGGCCACAAATAGGCCCTGCGGTCCTCGCTTCCACAGATGACATGCTTGCCGTCGTCAGTGAATGTTGCCCGGATCTGGCTGCACGTATTCTCGTTGCCGCGGAACTTGGCTTCCAGAACGCGAGTGCGAAAATCGTACATGCGAATGCGGGAGTCGTTGCTGGTGACCAGCACTTTGATCTCGCCGTTGGGATCGTCGGAGGGAACCGTCATCGTGTCGATCCCGGTAATCTTATGCCCCTTGGCGTTGCGGCCACGAGCGGATCGAACGTGGATTTGGCCTGAGGCCCTCAGTCCCTCCGTCTCGTAGATATTGAGTAACCCATTCAGACATCCAGCCATCGAGTTGCGCCCGTCTGGTGTGAATGATACCGCGGTGATCATGTCGGGCACGGTTGTGACGAAAGCGACTCTCTTATCCGGAATGTTCCAGAGGCGTAACTTGGTATCGAGTGACCCGGCGAGGAAGAATCGGTCGTCGCGAGGGTGGAATTGGATCGAGGTGACAAAGTCGCTATGCTGAAAGCAACAGAGGCATTCGGACCGACTTACATGCCACAATCGAACTGTCTTGTCCATCGACGAAGAAAGGATGAAGTTGTTCTATACTCCTATCAGCCTGCTCCTTCCCACACGGATATCGGTGACCCTGCAAGTGCCATACCTTGCTCCAACTCAAGTCCAAAATGCTACCGGTATGTCCTTCAAGTATCTGAACTGGGTTGGATTTGAAGACAGGCGCTTTTAACCTCGGCGGTTGATCCGCTGCCGGCGCATCCTCTTCACCTCCCGTGCATTCCCGCCGCTCCTCCGGAGTCGAGATCACCTCCCACACTCTTACCTTCTTTTCCTGGCCAGCCGCAGCGAGATACTTGCCATCCTTGGAGAACACCAGAGCCCAGATGGCTTTCCCAGTGCTATCGTCATTTGGAACGCCGCTCGATGTGGACCAGGACCGCCGTCTTGCGGCAGCTCGCGGCGGGGCCTGTGCACCACCTAATAGCTCTTGCGCGAGGAACACCTTATCGAAGTCCTTGTCTCTCTTATAATGCGCGCGGGTCTTGAGATACCTCGCGGGTGCCGGGTGCTGGGGGATGAATCCTATCGGATGGGACGCGTTGATCGGCATGGGGCTGGCATCTGCCTCCAACAGCTCATCTTCCGCCTCAGAGGGTTGATCCTTCTTCTTCTTGGTGCCAATAATACGGCTTAGGAACGAAACCCGGTTTCTAGAGGTAAATCAAAAAGAAAGAGGAGGTACAGGTCAGCCACCGTGTTACCATATAAGAAGCACGAAACACCTCAGCCGCTTGAGGGCCGGAACCCGTGGAAGAGGCATTTGCACGCGGGACGGAAGGATGCGGGGAGAACCGATCCTGCAGGAGGCGTGAGGCGTGAGACAGCGTCTGCATGATCGGCGGTTTGGGATTTTTGGTCTTGAAGCTCCCCAATAACACTTACTTCTTCTCTTTGGCTGCTTTTGAGTTTGACATAGCATCTCCCCGAACCGCGCTGGATTCCGACAGGTTGAGACCGGAGCTGCCGGCGTCGGCCTCGTACGAGGCCCGGCCCAGCAGCTTCAACGGAATGGACTTTTGGGTGTTGGTGCGCTGGATGATGTGCTACCGAGAAAAAGACGTTGAATGTCAGCGGTGCGTGTTGTCGCGGAGGTTTCGAGTCTTTTGTCTTTGTCTTCATCCACCTCTTGAGAGCTGCATCTGCTTACCTGAGATAACGGATCGATGGCGCTGGTCTCGGTTTTCGTTTCCTGCGGTGTGACAGACGGCTTCCTGGCCAGAGGCCCGTCAATGGGCTGTGGGCGACGAGGAGTCCGCTGCGCATCTTGTTGGCTGTTGCTGGAGCCTGACTCGACTTCCGATGTGACTGATCCTGCGCCTATCAAGGGATCGCCCGTCAGCGCTGCAACTTCTCATTTGACCTTTTCTTGTTGTCTTTGCTCGGCCCGCTTACAGGCGCGAGACTCCAAGGCAACGGAGCCGATGGGGCCGGGAACTCAAATGCGAAATTCGCAAGCCAACTAGGCGCGATGGAAATAGCAGAGTAGAGTGCACCTACCGGGGTAAGTCTGTGAGGCTCTGAGCGGGCCCGGCTTGGTCTCGCCGGCTATCGCGGGGCTCGTTGAGGCTCGTGGCAGTGCGTCATGCTGGTCTGCGCTCCCCTCCATCGCGGCGCGCGACACAGTCGCATAGGGTATAGTAATCGTTGGCTGAGGATGGAGGAAGGGGAGGGTGGGGAAGCGGTGTTACAGAAATTGGGCCATTGTGGAAAACGAACGGGATCCCAGTCCATGAGATACCCAAAGAACAGAAACAAGAGAGGCGAAAAAAAAGCACGGATAGGCTAAGCGGCACCAGCCGGAGCGCGCTGGATGGATGACATCAAATTCCCCGGCTCGACTGTGCTGGGTGGAGACTCGACGGCACTGGACCCTGAAACTCCCTGCTTATCGCCGACAAGCGTCGCTCAGACCTGCCGATGGTGGGGATCGGGGCATGTTCTAGAAGGTTATAGCGCATCAAGTGTACATTCCGATATTGAGAGCTTCATCGATTCATAGTCCTTTTATACGCATAGTTCTTAATAATAGGTGGAATAGATCATCGAGAGATGCACGGCTCGGGAACTTCCTGGTCCCAAAGCACCTCTATATGCGCGCCTCCAGCTTGCTTGCGCGGTCCTTGGCAATGTCACACATGGCCTATACCGAATCAGTTCCGCCCAAAGGGCAAAGGGGGTCCCTCAAACGGTCCTCACGTACCTGGATAGTCTCTGTGATCTCTTTCTCCGCGTCAGCCCGGTCAATGCGCTGGCGCATTTCAACCATAATCATGTCGCGGCTGCGCCCATTGACAAAAGTCCTAATCGGCGCGATAAGATCAGCGAAGAGCAAGGATAGGCGTGGGGTGAGGGGTGAAGGCATGAAGCTAAATCGACATTATAGGCCTGGTCGACATGGGGAGACCCTACACAAACCGCAGCCCGGGAAACTGTGCCTCGTATTCGGCATTGAGCGCCAGCAGTTTCTCCGCTTGTTCCTCGGCGCCTGTATTCAACTGCTCCTGCTCCTTCTTGCTTAGTTCGCTCAGATGTTCGGGGTTGGCCGGGGCCCGACCGAGCCGCGGGTGCGAGCCCAGGATGCCGAACAGGACATCGCGGTCCGTGGGGGAGTTCGGCGCAGAGAGAGCGGACATGCGACCCCAAACGGCGTCGATGAGCGAGTCATACGAGGCGAAGGTCTGGTTCGCCAGCACGGGGATCATCAACCGATGAAGCTCCGGTGAGGGCTCGAAGAGGGTGTCCAGCACCCGCAGTTGGGTCTCCTGCGACTGGGAGGGAAGCGACGAGAGGGCGGGGAGATCGGCCATGAGTGCGCAACAGGTTGATCGCCAGGATAAAGTGGTTCGAGGGTTCGAGATGGTGGAGATCAAGTCCAGCGCCCACTGGACCGTGGGACAGTTGCTTGGTATAAGTACGTCGTCCCGCCGTCGGGGGTCGCCGAGAGTGTTGCTGTTCGGGCGGGGACCAGCGGGAAAAGGGCAACCCAGCAGTCGGCTTGACAGGACTAGATACCGGAGATGGAACTTGACGAACGCAACGGAACCGTAGAAAATTCCGATCTGGTCTACTGGGATCGCTTGAACGGGGGATGACCGTGGAAATATGCGACCAATGGGTCGGTTCGGTAGGACAGCTGATCTTGCACGATGTATGCAGACACTATAGGGACACTAGAGTCTTGGTCCTCGGTCGTATACTCGCCCGGATAGTAGTTTCTTACTCTCCGCCCAATAGTATACTAAGAATACAGCGAGTATGCCGGACGGAGTACTTGGTCTACGTCGAAGTCCCGACCGGTCCAATTGGATTCGGCGCGGACAGACGAACCGATGAGATCATGGCATTCTTTCCTTAAATGCTCGGCAGGCCGGGAATATTCCTCTGTGACCTCGTACTCGTGCCCCTCGTGTTATGTGCCCGATGGCCGCAAAACAAGCACGAGGGGCTAGCTTCAATCAGCATTGACTCCGAGCGAGCGTTTCAGAACTTCCACTGAAATGAGGATAGCCGCGGGTGGAGTCGCCCAGCGAATTGGGAGCGGCTGCCCCTGAACCACCCTGTGAAAGCCAGGCCTGACGAGCAGAGGTTCGCCCAAAGCTCCTCTCAGCGGCCACTGAGGAGACCCGAACTCCGTCCAGGACGGCCGATCAGCCTGCCGCATCCGCCCTCTGTCAACGGAGCGCGTTTCGCCCTGATTGGGCTTGGCCGCGATCTCAAGATCTTATCCGTGGCCCCAACTTCTGCTCGTGCTAGGCCTACCCCATTGGGACCCAGTCCAGTCCAGTCGAGGCTCTCCTCCCCCTTCTTTCCCTTCCCTCCCCTCCTCTCCCCCCCCCCCCCCCCAATCCAGACTGCCACTGGTTCTTTCAGCCCTCCCCGGCACGCTCCTCATGCCGTGCGCGCCATGTCTCTCAATGGGCTAGATACTCCCGCTGTCGTCGAAGCCTACCAGAGTGCACTGGCCGACGCGGGCGGTTGGTAAGTTGGGTCAATCGCGGAATACCCGCACCCTGCCATCCTCCTCCCCCCATCTGCGCCCCCCTTTTGCGCGGCCGCCACTGTCCGACTGGTTTGACGACCCCTTGATCCTGACCGTTGCCTTCGATCTCTCTAGGATTCTATTGCACTACACGGCCCGAGATGAGGTCGCGCTCCTCGATCGAGGCACCGGCGGGGTGCCCGAGGTGCGCAATGCCATCGATAACTATGCCGAGACCTCGCCGCTCTACGGCTTCCTACACTACCGCAGGAGGAAAGTCGTTCTGCGGTACATGCCCGAGGGATTGTCGCGGCTCATCCAAGGTAGGTTCCTGACTGGCGTGGGACAGTATGCGTCGAAGGATCATGCCACTGACTTGGGATCTTCGTTTCCAGCTCGGAGCAACGTCCAGTTCCAGTCCGTCCTCGACAAGTTCACACCGAACGACACTGTGCTGCCCCTATCGCAGGCTTCCGAATTGAACGAAAGCGCCCTGTCGTCCGCCTGCCTGCTTCACACGGCCTCAGGATCGATTACCTCGTCCTCGAGCTCGCTCCGGCGCCGTCGCCTCATGGAAATCACCGAAGATGCGGAGGAAAGCGGCGTGAAGGAGGAAACAACGAAACAATCGGAACCGCAGCCTCCTCCCAAGGCAGAGACCAGACGACGATCAGGCAGCCAGAAGTCTGAGGCGACCGTTGTACCACCTTCGGCAACCTCACCTGAGGTCGAGAAGTCCTCGCCCGAGCCTCAACCTCCGCTTTCTGCAGCAAATTCCCGCGCTCCGCCCTCACGCGAGAGTCCGAGTGAGTCGCACGCAAGCACTACGTCCGCAAGCTCTCCCAGATCCCCCGATTCCGATCTCAAAAATGGCAAGTACCGGAATATATTGGATGAGTTTCCTCGTCCTTCAGAGGAGGTGCGTATGTCAACTCAGTCTGCACGACCTTCGTTGCGCGAGCTTGAAAGAGCAGCTGGATACACACCAAAAGTCAAGCTGGGTCCTCGTCCATCAGTCGACCAAAGCGGCCGGCCTCGCACGTCGGGAAGTTCCCGTAATCCCGATCAACGACCAGTCGCCTCTCTGCCAGCCGGCATGCGTTCATCTTCCCTACGGAAACCGCCGAGTGTTACCGATGTCCCCCGTCCCCGATCTCAAGGAAGTTCATTTGCGACCAAACCAAACAGCCGAGCACCTCCAATCCCGCCTTTACTGATTCCTCCTCCGTCGATCCCCATATCGAGACCGCAGCTATCTCCCGGTGCCAAGTCTTTGGGTGCCTTATCAACCTCCTCTGGCCTGACCCCCGAGAAAGAACGGTTGATGAAAGCGCTGCAGCAGCGGAAAAAACAGATGGCGAAGCGAGCGGAACAGACGAAGAGGAAACAAGCGATTCCCGAGGCGGAGAAAGAGGTGAACACACTGCAGGAGTCTGCGCAGAGCGAGAAGGAAAACAAGGAGAATATTAATCTGGCCTGTGAGCCAGAAAGGAGACCCAAGATTGAGGCTGAAACAACACCCGAGCCTAAAACGCAGCTCGAGCCTGAAAAGCCGCAGGAGACTCAAGATGATGAGAAAGCTGCAACCCCGGCTATGGCTATTCCCGAACCCTCCGATGATGCTCCTAAGCAGCCTCAGCAAAATACTCCAGTCGAGCCGACCGAAGATCAAGTTCCTCTTTCCTCCGAGACGCTAGAGCCTGAATCTCTTCAGAATAAGGACACAGTTGAGCCAGAAGAGGAGCAGACCCGTTCTTCTCCTGCAGCGTCCAATGCCGAACCCGAGCCGACTGCCGACGCGACGACCGTGTCTGATTCGGAAGGCCCATCCTCTCATACTTCCGGCGCCAGCGCCGACACGACCTTTTCTACTGACCGCGCTGAGACGCCCGTGGAAGCCATCAAGTCCGGAACAGCACAGACCGGTCTTGAAGAGGAAGTCCCTGAAGTTGAAACCCGCGCCGAGCACACGGACTCCGCAGTCCTTGCTCCAAATGAGACTAAGGACGACCTAGCGCCACCTAGCGCCAACGCCGAGGTTCCACTCGACAAGGAGGCGACCGGCGTCCCAGACACGACGCTAGAACCGGAAAATGCTTCTCCTTTGCAAGAACCAGAGGTCCTATCAGTCGTCGACAAACAACTGGAGGAGCCGACTACCGAAGAGACAGCCCCGGCAGCCATCCCTGAAACGGTTACCATCCCCATCCTTCCGCCCGTGGACTGCCCCCCTAGCCCTATAGCCGAGCCTGCGGTCCCGCCCGTGTTGGTCTCGATTGAGGCTGTCCCGCAGGACGAGACTGCACCCGAGGAGTCCCACGCACGCAGTATCACACCGATTGTTCCCCCTCTGGACCAAAGGCGAAAGATACACCTGGAGCCGATTCAAGTGCCGACCTTGGAGTATTCAGACGACGACAACCTCCTGTCGGATGATTCCTTCATGGAGGAACTGAGATCGGCCACCGTACTGCAGGCTAGACCAGTTTCGGTCAAAACTCCCAACGGCGGTGATCAGTCTTGGAAGGGCTCGCGGGCTGTCTCCAGCCCGTACGGGCTGGCCTCTCCATCTGTCATGCACGCTTTAGCGGTGGGCAGATCCGTGTCTAGCTCATACCCTGACAACGGACCCCCAACCCCAGTGCTGATGGCCAAGAAAATCAATGTTTCTTCCGGCATTTCGAGCCGCATCAAGGCACTGGAGAAGTTTTCCAGTCGGGAGGGCGCTCCTCCAAATCCCAACACTGTGACTGGGCCGTCCGCCTCCTCGTCCTTTGAGAGCCTGCGTAAGCGTGCGTCTGTCTCGATCCCGAATGGTACTCTTCCAGACTTCTCGCGTGCTCCTAGCGTAAAACACCACGACGCCGGTCCCGTCTCCACTGCCACCCGCCGTACTAACTCGATCTCTGTGACCGCTCGCATTGTACGTGATAACGGCGTGTCACCGGAGTCCTCTGGTCTTGAGCCGTCCGAGTCTGATGTTCTCAACCTCCAGGCCAGTCCGCTGACCGTGGAGCAGCATGAGGCCACCAACGAGCCGCTGTCCAACAGCTCGACCTTCGAGTCTATCACCCACCGCTCGGAGGCTCGCAGCATGTCCACGTCGTCTGCTGGGTCTAATCGTCAAGCCACGCCAGTCTCTCGCCCTGGAAGCCGCCCGTCACTTTCTTCGCGTCCCAAGACCGATGAGAATCTCCAGGCGTCCTCGCCCACAGATGAGAAGAAGGGCTCCCGCACCTCTCGCCTTATGCGCCGCATGTCCTCGATTACCTCAACTTCTCGCCGCAGCATTATCGGGGCTCTGAGCCCACCCGTGAAGGAGGAAGTGGCTGCCGTTTCTTCCCTGCACGATTCGGCCATCTCGCCTTCCTCATCCCGCCAGACCCTTACGGATCCCATTGACATCGGCGAAGTCAATGTTCAGTTCCCCGAGACCCTCCTCTGGAAGCGCCGCTTTATGCGCATCAACGAGAATGGCTACGTGGTTCTCACCCCCGCCACCAATGACGCAAGTGCTCGCAACATGACCAAGCGTTACCACCTGACCGAGTTCCGGACACCCTGTCTCCCCGATGAGGACATGCAGGAACTCCCCAACAGTATCCTGCTGGAGTTTTTGGATGGTAGCACGCTGCAGTGCGCGTGTGAATCGCGACAGGGACAATCCTGGACCCTGCAGAGTAAGCCTTCCAGCTTGATTTTGTTTCGATAGTCACATACTAATCAGTACCGCAACAGCCCTCGTCCACGCTTACAACGCCTACCGGCCATGATGCCTTCCGTCGGCGGCGTTCGAGGACAGGACGCCTCCGCTGACTGCAACTTTTCATATTTTTCCTACCCCTCATAGATTTGAGCCCCCATTTACCATCGCATCATTGTTGACCTAGCGCGTATTGCCTCGCTTTCCTTTTCTCTTATCTTCATCTCACCCCGACCAGCTGGTCCTTGTGTCTTCCTACAGCAACACCTTTCCTATCTCTTCCCCCCACCGTCATCTCTCTCTTTTCCAGTTTTCCCTCTTCCTTACCTCTGATCTCCGATCTCTCTGTATGTGCGTGTGATATATGTGGCATGTCGCGTGGTATACCCCTTTCCAAGTCAAAAAGCTTCCTTGGACTTTTTTTCTTTTTTCTCTCTCCTTTCACATTTTAACCGATTTCGTCCTTCCCCGGCGGTCGACAACTTCTACCTCCCGTGTACAGGTGAAGACGGAGCGGTGCTTATGCTTACTGCGATGTCGTGCATCCGCCGTGACTGGCGCGGAGTTTGTGTTAGCTACTCTCTTTTCCTAATATTCTCTCCATATTTTCATAGTATGGCATACAAACTTTGCATTGCATTGCTGTTCCTGTTCTCTCTACCTTTTAACGTAATATATATAAAGTGGACGAAGCACGGCGTAAATACATTGATTCCCAGAAATTTTGCAGAGGCTCCCCTCTGAATGAGATCAGACGATGTTAGGAAGTAAACCTGTCTACTTTTACCCAGTAATACGCCCAGGAATTGACCGCAGCTCAGAGTATGTTTCATGTCCGGAGTACTTTTACAATCACATTGAGAACTACACCGTTACGGACATTGTCCTAGCGCGGCTCCACGTTATCCCATGTCTCATATTTTTCAATGTACTCCATTTGCATGAGCATGGCGCACCTCTAGCGGCACTATACACAGCCAAAATAATCTCTCAATTTCCCAAACTACCCAATGTGCAACCTCGAGTGGACAGCAGAACCATTCCTGACACAGAGTCCCATTACAGGTTTGTCAAACGGCACCAGCGGCTTCCCGTATCGTATAATGCCCAGGTGGCACGATCATCAACTGCTGTTTTGGGTGGGTACTATACCGATGTGACTAGTTGATCGGCCGTGTATAGGTTTCGTCAGGAAACAGGACACAGGCATACAGTGGTGTTACTTTAGTTTGAAACCCTCCGTTTTGACCGCCTTAGCCTACCGCCCACTACATTCGGCTAACCGCCCCTGACTACGCGCTGCGATACGCTTAGTATAACGCATCTCCCCCCCCCCCCCCCCCCCCCCCCTATTATTTTATGCAATTTGAAGCTATTCAGACACTAAAAATGCCTCCTCTTCGCACAGGGCAGCAATACGATGCGCCTACTAGGCACCCAAATATTACTACACGACGATCTGGCTACCAACTTGCCCCCTACGAACGTATTAAGATTATTGAGCTTAAATCGATTGGCTGGACCTACAAAAAGATCAACGAGCGTTATCCTCATATTCCAATCAACACGATGAAGACAACGGTGGCTAGATCTAGCCTACGAGGGCCTACCCAAGAGACACTCCCTCGATCTGGCCAACCAAAGAAGCTTAACGAAGAGGATAAAACTAAGCTTCTTAACGCTATCGATGAGAACCCACGAGTCAAATACGACGACCTCCTTGCAACAGTCGATAATAAGGTTAAACGAATATCGATTTGGAGACTCCTTCGTGAGGAGAATCGACGAAAATGGCTTGTGCTTCAGCGACCGGAGCTTACCGAAACCCACGCCCAATTACGTCTCGAATGGGCCGAACGAGTACGTGGCTATACCGAAGATCAATAGAGAAAGATCTTTTGGACCGATGAATCGACGATTAAGAGAGGTAAAGGGGCTCGTCGCGAGTACACCTTTACCCGACTATGCGACCAAATCGCCGCACGAGATGTCGACCCAATATCCGTACATAAGGGTATTAAACAGATGTTTTAGGCTGCTTTCTTAGGATCTGGTCGGCGTTCAGGGCTTATACTACTCTTTGGAGACCCAGATTCACCTCGGGGAGGTGTTAATCGATAGGTTATCCTCGAATTATACCAACGTATGCTTCTAATATTAATAAATAGTATCGAGGGTGCTATTTTTTAACAAGATAACGCCCCTGTTCACACTACACGCGTTATAAGAGACTGGCTTAAAGAATAAGCGTTTGAAGTGATAGCCTAGCCACTATATTCGCCAGATCTTAACCCAATTGAGAATCTTTGGGCGCTTCTTAAGGCTAAAATCTATGATATGTATCCAGAGATTAAATGTATGCCTGATAACGAAGAAACCTTGGCGTTTTTGATCGCTGCTGCGCAAGAGGCTTGGTCAGAGATAGATCTTTCTATACTAGATAATTTAGCTATAACGATGCCTAACCGGGTGAAGCAGGTAGTTGATAACGGTGGATGGTATACTAGTTATTAACTAGTAAATATTGAATGCGAGGTTTTAGTGCGGCAGAAAGGGTGGCAGAAAATTATATAATCAAATGGGAGGGTTTCAAACTAAAGTAACACCACTGTATGTACAATATTGCAAGACCCTTATTTCCCCTATTATTTGAGTCCCTCGAGGTTCGGTGAAATACCGGTGGGGATACGTAGCTCTATACACCATGTACGGTGACGGGGTCTGTTAATTTCCGACGTGACGATCATGTTAGATTTCGATCTCAACGAACTGTTCGATCACTAGATCCAGGGCCCGAATCGATCAAAATGGGTCCCGAGTATATCCGCGCCTCAGCTTTGGGGGATCAATTACCGCATGGCGTTAGGGACCAGTGGGGCCACACTCCAAAGGGGAGCCTTCACCCATAGACTACTGTATTGAAGCGACTGTATGTACTCCGTACTCCGTACAGCTCCATACATCGCCATGAAAAGGGACTACTGTCAATTCGATCTCCTATCCCTTAATTTTACATTGTGCAGATCTCTTTGCCTTTCTATTGTCCAGCACGAGTGATTACCATCGTAGTGGGTACGCACTTCCCTGGACTTTTATCTACTGAACGTCTCCCTCGCGGCTTTGTATTTTCTACTTCTCGATATACTCTGACATCAAAATGCAGCTCACTCTTAGCTCTACTCTTCTCCTCGCCAGCGTGGCCTCGGCCCAGATGACCTCGTCGGCCTCGCTCTCTTCCTCAGCGCTGGCGACCTCTACCCCCGTTACTTCCAGCGTCGCCATTCCCTCTATTTCTATTTCTCCTAGCTCGGTCCCATGGAGTCGTCTGTCCGCAAATCCCACCTCGTCCTACGCTTCCGTCTCGGCAGCTGCTTCTTCCGACGCTGCTAGTGCCGTAAACCCCGACGACTACGACTGCGTCTACCACGGCTGGGGCTGTGACTGGATCAAATCCGAGTACGGCTACGGCAACGACTACTGCGGACGTTCTCCCTTCAAAGCCGGTCAGCAGCTGTCTGACGGTAGCCAGATCGTCGCCGTCTCTTCGGATGGCTCCGGTGACTGCTCGTCCAAGGCTGGCAGTACGTGCTGCAAGGTCCTGGCTGACTCGCCGTGCAAGCGCGGCGAGAAGTACCTCGAGTGCAAGAAACCTTAGATAGTAAGTTTTCTTGATCGTGACTATCAATGTATTGAGGGTTGCTAATCTATTTATAGGTTGAAACTATGGGTTATGGACGCTCAAAAAATCATGAAGCAAAAGATCCCGTTTGTTTAGATCATATACAATGGCATTTGTCAGATAATAATAATGTGGAATCTATCGCTTATGTACACTATTTACCGGTACACTGTGGTAGACGAGGAAGACGTACGGCATGACATTGATACATCCGTAGCTGGCTTTGATCTGAAGATCCGCTTTTGCCCCTCGTATAGTAATTGTGTCACTGTTGGCGAGTACGTAAAATGTCCTCCGTACTTCCGAATATATAGCAACAGCATACACACCAAATATTCAATTATAGTGGCCTCTCGCTGTCTCACGAATTTGTGCTCCGCCGAATCTTAGAATAGGAATAGCCAGAGACGAGACAGAATGCCTGATCCCGGCATTCTGGCCTTCAGCCGTACGGTCCGCAGGGCATGCCATGTTGTTTCACGTTCTCGCAATCCACACAGCGCCGATAAGGCAGCGTGCCGCAGTGACTGCAACACTGCACCACCACAACATCGATGTGACAGTAACGGGCTTCTCCGTGCCATGGCTCAGCCGATCGATAAACTACAGACAAGCAATTACGTTAAAGGGTGCCCAGAAGTACCTCGCGGTCTCCCGATATACGGCCAAGGCTTTCCGCAATTTAGCTTTGGGAGGGAAGTATAAAAGGGAACTGACTTCATCGCTACATCATTCGGAGCCGCCCATTAATAATTAATTGTTCTTGCCATACATTCACTTTTGGCTGCATTTATTTAATCACAGCTGTCCACAATGAAGTTCCGGACTATTATTTTGTCCCTATTTGCTGTTGCCAGCACCTCTCTCGCCATTCTGACCGAGCGTGCCGACTCGGTAAGGATTCGAGATTTCCATGTCCAGCATGCAGATGACGGCACGGGTTCACTGCAATTTGCCCTGCACAGTTCCGTTACTGGTCTCTATGATGATTGCACCCTTAAGTGGTATTTTCTCTACCCACCTGGCTGGGCTTATCTCCTACCTCTCATCCTCAATTCCGTCCCCTATTTTTTTTCAAACACTTTCCACAATCATCTTTCCAATTCTCAGATCATACCGATCAGTTAAGCCGAGACTGACCCAGATCTAGGAGTACCACCAACGACATACAGCCAGGTCTTTCGATGAACAGATGCCTCAACAACCACTATGAATTTGGCTTCCGCTACGGCATCGGCAATATTGAGAACTTCACTCTAGTTGTGCAAGCGGTTAATGGCACGCAGCAAGGCTATAGAGTTATCAGTGCTTATGCAGTAAATGCTCATTGGATCTGTACGAAGAACCCAACCCATGGTTTGCAGGAGCGGTGCGAGTTGGTGGGTGTTTTGTGTATTGAACTTTGAGAGGTAGTACAGGCTTTCGCCTTGGAGAGTCGGAAAATGATCTTAATGCTAAACCCTCTATTAATCATGTTTAGATGGCCAATCTAAATTTCATCTCGTCAGCTTTCCGGCGGTCACAAGAACACGAAAATGTCGCCTAGAAGCAACATAGCTTAACAAGGGCAAGCGATATCAGTATAATAATCACAATGAGCGTCAAGAAGTTGATAACCGAACAAACCTAGGTACCTATAGGTCTTTAGAGAAATCAACTTTGTCAAGGCAGTATTCAAGGTCACAGTTATTTCGCCCAGCCCTCGGTGTATCTGAGCCGGTTGGAAGGTCTTAATCTGCCGACACGCATTCTTCGTTGTTTGGCCGATTTGATGGCTGGCCATGTTGTCGGCGTGAACAGAACCTACTACCTAAGAAGGATGACGCCTTTTGCCGGGACACTTGGCGAAAGAGATGGCAAGGTTGCAAACATATCCCTGAGAGAAACGCCATAACATATGTAGGTGAACATTCCCTCAGTGCGATTTTTGCCTCTCATAAGATGCTGTTGCACAAGGAAGCATTTCAAACGCCAGCAAACGATTTGCCTTATTTCTGATGGCTGTTAGTCTGGAGGGTGCCAGTCTCTAGTACGTAGCAGTGTGATCGATTTGCCTATGACCTTCAAGGCATGTTCCGGAAACACGCTTATTATGTGGTGACATGAATTTGCTGCACTAAATTAGCTTAAACTAATCGCCTCGACCTGGGGAACTGCTCCACGAAAATTTGAATGAGATCGGATTCCTAAAAGAGAATGGTACCCAACCTTCTAGGAAAGATAAACCGATGTATAACTATCTCTACTTAGATACCCAATGGTAAATTCATACATTTCTCGGGGGTTCATTGGGCAAACTTTTTCTTGCAAGCTTACACGCTACGGGTTCAGGCGGAACAGACTCAATCGTGAAGCCCGAAGGCAAATCTTTCATCTGGAGCATAAAGTACAAAAGTACGGTATCTGCGAAAGTAATACGTCAGGTTGAAGCTTCTCCAGAAAATAACAAAAACAAAGGGAGAATGACCTTTTCCAATAGCAAAGCAAGCTTATCCAGCCAACTTTCGGGCATTTATGGTCGCGTGTCGTCGTTACAGAGTCCATGCATCAAGATCGTGAGGCCAGGTTCAAGTCTATCATCTCAGGTAGTGTGGCCGTTCACACCATGATCCTGCTTTTCAGCGGACCGCTGATTCTGGTGCATAGGGACTGAATCTTCATCCTGGGGATGTTCAGGGTGTTCAGCGGTCCCATTTCCTTCCACATTCTCCTTCTTTTCCGGGTATACTTCGGGGAACGCAGCGCGCATCTGTCCATAGTGCTGGTTAATGAGGTACTGCATGAGGTTGCTGACAGGCATTGTGGTATGCATCCGTCGCTCGGATTCTACCAGCTCGACTCGCATCTGAGTTTCCCAGTCATGTTCTAGGGCATGTGCCTCAATATCCTTCTTGCGCTGGTTGCACTTGCTCGTGATTGTCTTTGGACATCCGGGCATGCGGCATGACCATATATCTGATATTTTATTCAACTCAGCAAGGGGGTCGGAGGCGAGAACATCTCCGTTCACGTTGGTAATCGCAGATGTGGTCTGGGGAGGCTCCGATAAAAGCACGCTCTGCAAAAGAGAGGCAGCAGCGGAGCCGGAGTTAGGAAGAAGGGAGCGGCCTCGAGACTTTGCAGTGGCAAGAGGGGTTCGGATAAGCTCGTGGCCGCGAGTCTTGCTGGGCGTGTCAACATCTTCCATAGTCTCGTCTTCGTCTTCGTCTTCATCATCACTATCATCGGATCGTACGATCTCCTGGTTGAAAACTGGATTGCGGTGTCGTTTGCCCATCACCTTCCCAGAGACAACAGAATTCATCTTGGGACGAAGGACCGACTTTTGAGTGTGGCCCAGGTGTTCATCGTCGCTGGAGTCTTCGATCGGTTGTAGAGGTGTAAGGAGTGCGGGTGAGAGGGTGCTATTCTGGCTGGCAGCATGTGTGAGCTCTCGGTGAATAACATAGCGAGACCATCTGAAGCCAGGTGTATCTTCTTCATCGAGCAGCTCGATAACAGCGCTTGCTCTTGCGGCAACAATCTTGGTCGCATTCTCCCGGCTGAGCGAGTACCGCTCAGATAGGCGCTCCGTCAACAGATCAAGATGCAGCCGGCGCTTTGCTAAGTGACCTTCTTCTCTTAATTCCGTTATCATTTGGTAGACAGCATCGATTTGTGATTTCGCAATTGCAGCCGGATCATCCCGGGGTGTTGATACTTCCGGCTCATCATGCGCTTCTTCGTCATCAGACTTGGGCGATCGCTCTTCTATAAGCTTGTTATAGACATCCTACGTGGGAGTAAGATCAGTTCCATTAACAGAAATGAGGATAGTATGTAATAACTCACACTAAAATGGCGACGGAGGTGAACGAATACATTGGTCTTCTTCCAGTCCACACCATCCGCATCTCCTTCAATCATGCAGCGGAGCAAAAATGGAGCATGTTCCGCAAACACTTCAGCTGACTGCTCTCTGGTCTCACAGTCACCGTGTGTGTGGAAGACATACTGGCCGACGTTAGTTGGGACGATACCCGCCAAGGAAATGATATGGGAACCCACCTGCTCACACAGGTTCTTGAAGGATGGATTGAGCTGCTTATTGCCATGCTGGTGTCGGTCCATCAGGAAATATAGCATGTCGACAGCCTGGACCATGCGACTGAACGTCGGCAGGTAGCCCTTGGCTGGGGAGATGTTGTACCAGCCAGCCTTGCCGGCCACCCAGAGCTCAACACTACGGTCTTCGGTCTGGCCATAAGCGTAGTGGGTGACATCGTCGATAATAACACGTTTCGAAGGGGAATCGGGTGTGAGCACTAGAGAAGAAAGAGCAGATGTGAGCAAAACCTCGATCTCGAACTGATTAGACCAGCTTTGCGATAAGCAGCATAGGCGTGTAATTGAATACGCACGTAGGTGCTCCTGGTCCTCTTTAAGCTCCAAGCAGCCAATCACCTGGACAGGGTTCTGTTCTGCGGCCTCGAGTAGATTCGCATATAGCATCTTCCCTGGCCGCAGGACCTTCACGTCCACCAGATCGAGTTCCGGCCAGTCATTTTCATCGGTGATCGAGGGATCGAGAGGACGGAGGACGTTGTCTTCGCGGGCACTCATGATTGCGATGGCTGCGGGCGGATCATGGTGGTGAGATCGAGGGAGAGGGGTTGTCGAATGCGATTTCGAGGCCTCCTGGGAGAAGAACGTGAGGGCAGGTTGGAAGCTCGCGGCGTCAACAGTGAAGGAGAGCCCATTGATGGCCCGTAAGTTACCGATACGTTATCGATACACCCGAAACCGCGATTGATTACGCATTGCTCGCAGCTCGAGCTTTTTTCCGGCTGCAACTGCAACTGCGACAGATGCAATTTCCACGAGGTTTCCGCCTGTTCCGCACCACAATGTCCGGAGAGAAGATCTTCGAAGGCTGTTTCGGTATGTTGTGCGCCACTTTTGATCCAAGAAGTGTCCCCGACTGACTTCGCAGCCGTTCACAAGCCGCAGGGCATCACCTCCGCCGACGTGCTCCGCGATCTCCAGCGCCATTTCAACCCCTCAAAGCTTTTCAAGCCATGGATCCAGGCTGAGATTGACCAGCGGAGTCGAGAAAACAGTTTCCAGAACCGACGCCGCCGCAACAAGAAGGTCGAAGTGAAGATTGGACATGGCGGAACGCTGGACCCGCTCGCAACAGGCGTTCTGATCGCCGGCGTGGGTAAGGGTACCAAGTCTCTCAACGACTTCCTGGGATGCACGAAGTCCTATGAGACTGTTGTTCTCTTCGGTGCCGAGACAGACACCTACGACTGCCTCGGTAAGATCGTGCGCCGAGCCCCATACGAGCATGTCACGCGGGAGGCAGTTGAGAAGGCCCTGGACCAATTCCGCGGGAAGATCATGCAGCGCCCTCCAATCTTCTCGGCGCTGAGAGTGGAAGGAAAGAGGCTGTACGAGTACGCGCGGGAAGGTAAAATGCCGCCCGTCGAGATCAAATCCCGGCCTGTCGAGACCTTGGAGATGAAAATCGTCGAGTGGTATGAGCCGGGCACGCACGACTTTAAGTGGCCCGAAGAGGAGATGACTGGCGACGAGAAGATTATTGCTGAGAAGCTTCTGGACAAAGACGCAGAGGTGCCGGTGGAAAGCGAAGCCGCGGATCAAAACGCTTCATCAGCCAAGCGAAAGACGCCTCCCACGGCGGACTCCCCGAAAGAGGAGGATCAGGAAGATGCCAAAAAGCAAAAGGTCTCAGAGGATGGAACAGCCCAACCTGCTGCGCCTAAACCTGCTGCGCCTGAACCTGCTGCTACCGAGCCCGCCACCTCAGAGGCCCCTTCGAAGCAATCAGACCAGCCTCGTCCCCAACCCGCGGCTGTCAAAATCCATATGACTGTCACTTCAGGATTTTATGTTCGTTCTTTGGCACACGATCTGGGCAAGGCTGTCGGCAGCTGTGGTCTGATGAGCTCGCTTGTCCGCAGTCGCCAGGCCGAATTCGACTTGCAACCCGAGAATGTCCTCGAATATAAGGATTTGGAGCAAGGCGAGGAGGTCTGGGGCCCGAAAGTACAGAAGTTCCTTGAAGAATGGGAGGGCAAGAGGGCGGCCAAGGCCGAGGCCGAGGCCAAGGCAAAAGCTGAACAGCAATAGATTCGATAACTGAGGATAAGGTTAAGGAGGGAAGTTGTATAAAAGTACCTTGGTTCATAGAAGGCGTTTGTATATAGGCCGAAAGACAACTTTCCATATTTTATCATGACTAGCTGTTCACTCTCCGTGCCCTCTAAGAGCACTAATCCTCACTAAATTGACTCTATTTAATGCAGCAAGCCCGTAACACCTTTAACCCAATGTTTCTACCAATTCGTCGGCGGAGATGCCGCCGAGTACGAAGCCCCGCTGTGTATTGATAGGGAACTGGGATGGTCCCTGGAGGAAGCCTGAGATCTCATCTCATATCTTGATCAAAATTCGAATATACCCAGCGCACGACATCAACACTATCTTCAAGACCTGTCGAGGACGGATCCACTGGTGCCAGACGGTCCTCGACATTCAGGGACAAGCTCAGGAAGCTGCGCAGCTAGCGCGCGGATCATAATCTGTCTCAAGGCGTAATTAGCGCTGGCCTTGTGGAGCGGATCAGAGCGCAAGTACATCGACCCACTGCGGGTGACTGACGGCCAAGTGTCTCTGCTCGGCCCTCACAAGATGCCTATAGATCCTGAGGAGTACAGGAAAGAATCGTAGCGAGATGCAGGGATGAGCGGAGGGGATGCATTTCAAGATCTGCACGAGAATCTAGAGAATCTAATCTGATTTGATCTGACCAGTCTCCTAGTTGGCAACATCGCCAAGTCGGCGCAGCAGAACGGCCAAGGCCCTTGTCTCTGGTCGGCCGTTCAATATAACCAGAGAGTGTACAGATCACCATGCGTACGAGCTTTCGGTGCTCTAATAGCTAAGAGCACAATAGGTGAAAGCTCAAAGTCAGACCGTAAAAAGGTAATTCAATTGACCATGTGCAGATGCAGGGTAAAAATCTAGATATTACAGAAAGCCATGGTGGATGTCCACCGGTGAATTTTGGTTGCGCCGTGCGCCATCATTTCCCTCCGCAATACCACGTACTTCTCAGTACCAGCCCGCTTGCGTCTTATAGACTAGCTTTACGACCGGCCCTTCGCAGCAGCCCGCTTGCTCTTGCCGGGCCGCTTCGACGCACCAGCCTTCATCTTCTTTTGGGAGAAGCCACGCATGTCACCGCTGGATGCGGCATCACTGCTCTTCGTGAAGCGCTTCTTGCCGCCGAATCCAAACTTCTGGTCGCGCTTCTGGCGCTTGTTGGCGCCGCCCTCGCGGCCGCGCTTCTCTGGCTTGGAAGTCTCCTCGATGGCAACATCGAAGAGATCATTGGCATCGTCGGTAGGAGCAGAGGAGTCAGCCTTGCGCTCTGTGCAGAAACAATTAGTTAGCGGTTATTTCATGTAACCATAGAATGAGTAAAGCGACGGAAATAGAATGACATACTCTTCTTCAGGGCAGTAATCTTCTCAAGGGTATCGCGCTTCTCCTTGGCGCGCTGCTGTAACTTGGCGACCTGCACCTGCTTGCCGAACTTCTTCAGATCACGTTGGCGGCGTGCCTCAGCAGCGGCCTTCTTGCCCGCGGCCTCCTCGTACAGCTTCTTCTTAATCAAGTTCATGTGCTCATCATTCTTGACCATCTCGGCGAAGTAGTCACCGGGGCGGGTGAAAGAGATGCCCTCCTTCTTGAGGAGACCACGGGCCTGAATAGCAGCAGCCTGGCAGACCTTGTAGAAAGCCAGTTCGCGTTTGAGATCGTCATTGGGGTCCTCCACCTCAATCGGCTCTTGCGACACTAACGAGTTGTGCTCAGAGAAGGGGGTGTTCTGGGTGATGAAAGAGATGCGCTTGAGGGAGGTCTTGATTGCGGCGGAGTTATTGATGGTGAGGCGCTGGTGGGGGATAACATCCTCGCGCTCGTCCTCCTCCAGGTCAGATAGCGGGATGTCTTCCTCTTCTTCTTCTTCCTCGTCATCTTCGTCCTCGGCCTCTTCGTTGTCTTCCTCGGCATCCTCAACAGCGTCCTCCTCTTGCTCCTCCTCGTCGTCCTCAGCCTCAGAGTCAGCAACCTCTTCTTCGGGCTCCTTGCTGACTTCTGTGCTAGTGTCGGTCTTCTTCAGGCCTTTGCGCTTGTTAGCGGCCTTCACCATCTTCTTCTGCTTCTCGGCATTGTAATCCCGGCCCCGGTGGGCATCGAGTGTCTGAAGGAGCTTGCTTCGTTTGACCATAGTGACTGATCTGCGGGGAACTGGAGTTTGGGAACAACGGTGTGAAAAGCAGCTGGATTATGCTACGGGATTTTTTTGAACTCGGATCGGTCCAAATGCGGTTAGCGTTGCGATAAGGCACTAAACAGGGTTAGCGTTTGTCGGTGGCGGAACAACATGATGATCCGGCCTTATCGAAGGGCCGCTTCATAGTTACTCCTGCTCCTGTTCCGCGGAGGGATCAATACGCAAATCCAGCTGCTGCCCACCATGGCCGAAGAAGCCTCTCCTGAGAAGACGACCGCTGGAGAGTCATTCTTGTCTCAGCCGGTATGTGTGCGCCGTCAATTTCTCAACAAATTCCCCACTGATCAATTTCAGAGCGATGCCCAAGGCCAACTCACCGCGGCGGTTGACGATCTCCTCGATCAGCTCCAAAGCAAATTTGACAATGTCTCGAAGGAAATGTTTGGCAAATGTGTGTTTAATTTACATTGCCATGGTCGCTCAAGCCACCATATAGCCTCACAACCCATCCAATACATGACTGACATCCTGGCAGTGGATGATATGACCCGTCGCCTAGACGAACTGGAGGCCTCCCTGACAGCATCGGGGAGTAACTCGGCGTCCGCGACTCCCACTAAATAAAGATCCGGCCTTTCCAAGCGTACCCAAGATGGCATTGTATGGGTGGAATGGACGACTGAGCGTTGCATTTTGGTATATGTTGCGCGTATCTTTATCTCTCGGGTCGGCACCACCTGCGCCGTCTCACAGCCTTGGCTTTCCTTTGATGTTTTACCAAGATACCCTATGTCTCAAGCAGACAGATCTTTCAGAAGAATAGAATATCTTCAATTGACGAACCTATTCTCGTATACAGATAGCTAGGCGTCCTAGCAAAAGAACCCACATGGCACCATTTGACGTTTCTCAATTCATACAATACAGCAAAACATGCCAATAGTTTCCACTACTCATCACTAGGCCCATAGAGTACCCGTTTATCTCCAATTCCAAGAATCCAACATGCTCAATAATCTGGATGAAACGAGCTTACAGCTCATCCTTCGGCTCCTTTTCGCCAGCGAAGGCGCGCAGGATGTTGCTGCGCGAAACAAGGTCATCGACCTTCTCGGGGGCAGAGCCGCCCTTGCCAAGCACCTTGACCAGGCGAGCCAGCTCCTTGGAGGCATACTCCTGGTTCTCGCTCAGCTTGTCTGCAACCTTGACGTAGTACTGCGCGTACTTGTCCTGCAGACCCTGGGCCGCCTTCTTGACCTCGGTGGCGAGCTGCTCGAACTTCTGGGCGGGCACGTACTCGGCCACCAGCTTGTCCAGCGCAGCAATAGTACCAGCCTTGCTGTTCAGGCCACCGCCAACGGCGCGGTTAGAACCGGTCTTAGCGTTCAGGAAATCGGTGAAGCCCTCCGCCGAGCGGGTGCCAGAGTACGCCTCGGGTTCGGTCGATCCCTTGGGGAAGAACTTAATGGTAGGGTAGCCAGTGATGCCCTGCTCCTTGGCCAGGGCGCGAGCATTCTCAGCTTCGGCATCAACTTTAGCGATCACGATGTCGGTCTCGAGAGCGAAGTCATTGGCGAGGGTCTCCCAGACAGGAGCGAGAGTCTTGCAGTCTGGATGGATAAGAGCCAGTGGTTAGTAAAGCAGCGAAGGAACAAAGAGAACGAGATATAGGAGGTACTCACGGCCACACCACGGCGCAGTGAAGGCAACCAGGACATCCTTATCTCCACCAACAGTTGTCTTGAACGTGGCGTCGTTCAGGAACTCCACCTTGCTGGGCTCCTTCTGGGCACCGCGCGGCTTAATGCCAGTCTTGTCGGAAATCCACTTGGTCAAGCTCTCCAGGTCACGGCCACCCTGATACTCCTCCGGCTTATCACTCTTGCCATCGAACCACTTCAGGGTAGGGAAGCCCTGAACGCCGAAGCGCTTGCCCAGTTCACGGTGCTCATCGGCGTCGACCTTGCCGACTGTGACCTTGTCATCGGCGAAAGCGAAAGCAGAGGCGAGCTCCTCGTAGACAGGGGCAAGGGTCTTGCAGTGGCCGCACCAAGGGGCGAAGAATTCGACGAGAGCGGGCTTGCCCGACTTCAGGACGACCTGGTCGAAGTTGCTGGGGATCAGGTCCGTAACGGCGGAGCTGGCAGTGGCAAAGCCGCTGAGCGCGGAGAGAGCGCCGAGCAGCAGGAAGCTCAGACGAGCCATGTTGATGGGTTTTCTGTTGATTTAATTAAGGAAGATTGAGTTTATGTCAGCTTCCTGGAGGAAATTGGGGGGATTGAATGGCAAAGGTCCACCCAAGGTCTCTGGTCTTTTGGTGCTGATGACAAAACACCCCCGAAGAGGCCAAGTGGTTCCTCTGCACTCCGCAGCTCATCGGCGGGTTGTGCACCACGCCCGCGCGACCGCTTGACACAACCTAGTCGCGTTTCGATCTTTAGTTTAGTTGTATTTTGGCTCTTCGTATGCTCGTTGGAGCATTTTGCTTCTTTTCCTTTACTACTAGATAGTAATACAATAGAGAAATCCGCCGACATCACATCCTCAAATAGTTGTCCATGCAAGTTGAGCTGTCATAAGAGACATGAGACTCAGGTGCGATCTGCGTACACATAGGGCCGACACTCTCCTCACTGACGACTTCAATAACCGATATAGCTTTCATAGGAGACTCTTCTCATCTCTCATCGCCGTTCCGCCAACCACTTGTTGGCATCTTCCCAAAGCTTTGCCTCCTTGAACTCCTTGCTCGCATTCTGCGTTCCCTTGTAGACCTGTATGCAACATCAGCTCGGCGCAAAAGGCCCCAGAGAATAGTCAGGCACTTACCGCATCCCAAAGCTTGAAAGCCAAATCCAGATTCCCGGTGAAGCTCTCGCTGTGTTGGAACCATTCCTTGCCCTTTGACTTGACCTCCGCGCGGGCCTCGGGCGAAGTTGGGTTCGCCTGGAGGGGAAGATCATCCAGGTAGGTGCGAACGGCAATACCGAGGCCGCAGTCATTGTCGTCAATAAAAGGCAACCTAGTCAGAACGGTTAGATCATATTCAAAATATACGTTTTGAGTCAAGCAGGGAGAAAACATACTTAATTCCCATCTCAACCCAGTCATTACGGTCCCGATCAGCATCGCCGCTGAGGAGCAGACCAGTCAGAACCACCTCAACAAGATTCCTCAGTGCAGAGCGCACTTCGGAAATGAGAGAGCGGTAGCAAAGGAGCTGCCGGCTCAAAGGGCCGGAATATCCGATAGCCTTATGCTGCAGCTTTGCGATGCAGGCCACACGAGATACCAGCATGTTGAAAGTCTTGTCCTCCTCTGCAATGTCAGGTCAGTCAAAATTCGCAATAAGGATCCTCTATCTGATAGCCACCTACCTGAGCCTCTCATTGGGCCACCAGATACATGTGAAAACCAGTGCTTAGTGTTGAGAAGATCCATACGAAGCATCTCAATGGCAAGGAAAATAGCATCCTCTAGGTTATCGGCAGGATCCACAGCCGAGAGGGCTTGCTCTAGGCACTTGCCCCACGAAGTTAGCTTGTGCTTGTCGTCAACGTATCCACGTAGTTGCAGGAACCGCCACGAAACGTTCGAAAGTATATCCTCTTGCGATGACAAGGTCTGTAGGGCATTGTTAGCTGAGAGGGTGAAGATTTCGACCCAAGAAAACATACAGGAGTCTCTCTGTTGGCGAATGACTTTGACACAAAGTCAGAGTTATTCAAGCTCTGAAGGGCGAACTTGAAGGACCCACGAGGCGCCTGCAACTGCTTAACGCTCTCAGGGAGTTGATCACCGGGGATTTTCCAGGCTTGAATGGTTTCCTTGACCGACGGGAGGCCCTTGAGGTTGATCTGCCTCTCTTCTGAGCTTTCATCAAACCACGGGCGAATGGTGATAACTTTAGTCTGGTAGAATCTGTGGAGGGAATTGGCCAGAAGACCAATGGACTGCGTCCGGATCGGAGTGAGAGTTTCGCCCACGAGTTGACGGAAGACCTCAGAATCTTCTGTACCCAGTGGAAGGGGAACGCGCACTTCGCCTGATGTAAGGAAATTCGGTACGTCTGGGCCTAAAACGCCCTTGGACAGGTAGAAATACAGCTCCTCGGGGAGGCGCTGGCCGATGAGCTCGTGCATATCCGAGGAAGTGGTTTCCTGGTCCATGGGACCGACACGTCCATCAATAGCGATATACACATGGTGCTTCACGATCATATAGGCCCGCTTGTACCGCGATGCGTATTGAAGCTCCTGCATGCGACGCTCTTCTTCAAACTGAGCACACAGGGTCAAGGCGCTCCTCCCAGCGGCATTAAACATGGGCAGCGCATCGCGGACCGTAGGGAGCTTTCCGGGGAAGGCCGGGTTCTCGAAGAGGGGGAAGGAACGCAGGAACGGGGAGCCGAGGAGCAGGCAAAAGTCGAGGAATTGGTCATTGGACAGGCGGCCTAGCTCTTCCTGGCAAGTCTGCTTCGTGAGCCAGGTAAATTGTGCCGGCTCAGTCTCAATACGAGTCACAAGCTTATCGATGTCGAACAGAAGGGCTTCGGAGGGTCCGTAAACGGCATCGATAACGGGGTTGGCGCCACGAGCGAGGTAAGCAAGCTGCTCAGATGCGCTGGGTTAGTTGCACATGGTCTCCTTGGACAGGGTGTCTTGGGACAGGGCCGTGTCGCCAGCTTTTTCAACGGAAACTTACCTGCGCAGCCGCACTATAGGGTGCCACCATGAAGGAGACGCCATTCTGGGAGAGAATCCGCTGCAGGAACTTATAGAGGGTTTCCGGGGGTGGGGTCCCTGAGGTATTATCGTCAGCGTCGATTGGGGAGATCGGCGGCCAGGTACAGATGACCCTGGCCGGCAGAGAAGGGGACCAGATCTCTGACATTGAAGCAGAAAAGGTTGTCATACCGGCATTGCTGAAGGCATCCACGACTTGGTCAGCTTGTTGCTGGTCATAGAGCTCCCAGGCCTGCTCGAAGGAGCGCGCAGATGCGGACTGGTTGCGAGGCTTTTCGTCTTTCTTGCCAAAGTCTAGACCATTGAAAACGAAGATGCATCCAACACCCAGGCTCTTGAATGTCTGCAGCTCCTTCTCGATGTTGGCCTTCAAGGCAAAGGGAAAGCCGCCCAGAGCACCCAGCAGGGCTTCCCGGGTCGACTGGTTCACCAGGTGTTGTTGGATGTAGTGCGATGCATCGAGACCGACAACTGCGCCCTTCAAAGCGGAGAGGGGGAGGGACTGGGTGCGGCCCACAGCCCATTCATCGAGAGGACGGACTAAGGTAGAAGAGGGTCTAAGTTAGCGACCTAAGAGCAGGTCAACTCGGGCACGACGGTACTCACTCGGCATGGTTGTGAAGCTGACGGGCGGAAAGCACGGCTAACTGCCGAGCATTGAGGCCCAAAGGAAGCGTGGTAGGAGAGTGGGGGAAGGAAGGAAAAGCGGCAGATCGGAGGGAGATGAGGTCGCGATGAGTTGCGAAATGACGGGGGGGAAAGCGGAGGCGCAGCTGGCCTTTGTTTTTTTTGGCAGCAACCTGCACACCCCCTTCCCGCATTATCTCCAGGGCGGTTGACGAATTTACTTTATTTTGGGGATTTCTTGTTTATGATCGATTTCTGTCGTCTTTTCAAGCATGCTAGATCTGTTCTAATTACTTGTTCCCACCACACGGTGGGCCCATCAAAGCTTCCTTCTACCCTCTGGGTAATTGCTCGCATGCAGCAAATGAATCGAGAAGCTTATTCTTGCTAGTCTCTCTTACAAAAAGACAGATAAAGAATAGCATAAAAATTGGTCTAGTCGTAATCCGTCATAGTGACTGTCTCAAACGTATCAATCCCAACCTAAGTATATTCTAGACCCCCACCAGTGCACGCACATGAATTTCAGAGTCCCGCTATCTAACCAAGGGGATGACCAGTGTACACGGAACTGCCATGGCGGGGTCTGAATCTGCACGTCGGATCTCGCCTGTGCGCCGAATCCACCCATGGAAAGCGCTGCTTGGTTCGATTAGTCGAGCCACCATATGGCAGATAGTTACGCGATAGGCCCATTCTTGCTCAGACGGCCGATATCTCCCTAGCGCAACCCCATCTATATAATCGTATCCTCTCCAGCACCGTTGCGCATCCCACTCCACATTCCCTCTTTCTCCAAGCATCGACAGCTGGCCGACATGGCAGATACCGCGACCCCCATTGAGCTCCCCGTTATCGACATCTCCAATCCCCACGACCCCGCCGTGGGGAAGGCGATGCTCGAGGCTGCGGCCAAGTATGGCTTCCTGTATGTGAACAGCAAGGGTACAGATTTTGTGACTGAGGATGTGGATCATGCTTTTGGTCTTGTATGTATCGCTAGTGCTTTTTGGTGCAGATGAGACGCTAATGTTATCGCTATAGTCGAAGAAGTTCTTTGCGTCTCCGACAGCGGAGAAGGAGACTTGCCGCATTACGCCGAATGTCTGTGAATACCTCCCACCTAGAGCTTGACAATGATGATGATTCAGACTGACCCGATGTATCCTTTAGAACCGCGGCTGGTCTGGCATGCATACAGAGACCCTGGATCCCGAGCATCAACGGGTATGTTGAGAACCGCATCGGGACCGATGGACATGGCTAACAATGTCCTAGACCGGTGATTTCAAGGAGTATGAGTCCATAGAAGGATAGTAGATCAATGGCCGGTACGGACTAACGATGACTACAGAGCTATGAACTTTGGTGACTTCAAAGATGGAAAAGCCCAACAGCCTTTGCCAGCATCTCTTTCACCCCATGAGTCAGAGATCTATGGCTTCGCCCAACTCTGCAACAAGACCTGCAACCGGATTCTGAATCTTCTCTCCCTGGGTCTTGAGGTCAGCACCCAGTCACCGGCGTGGCCCTCACTATACCCGATTATTAACACGTCACCATAGATGCCAGAGGACTTCTTCACTACCCGCCACGACCCCAGCGCTGGACCCACAGGCAGCATCCTCCGCTACCTTTACTATCCATCCATCTTCTCGCCAGCAGCAGCATCCTACAAGCACGACAAGGATGTCCGTGCAGGCGCCCACTCCGACTACGGCAGCATCACGCTCCTCTTTCAGAGGCCCGGACAGCCGGGCCTGGAAATTCTCACGCCAGAAGGAACATGGGCGCCTGTGCCCATCATCCCCGGTAACCAGCCAGACGCATTCCCGTTCCCACCGATCTTGGTCAACATCGGTGACCTATTGAGCTACTGGACGGACGGGCTGCTCAAGTCGACCGTGCACCGTGTGGTATTTCCGCTGGCGGAGCAGCGCAGCCCGAACCCGCAGGACCGGTATACACTTGTATACTTCTGTCATCCTATTGATGCGACGGAGTTGGTGCCTGTGCCGAGTGAGATTGTGGCGGGACATCGGGCGAGAAAGGCGGGGTTAGAGGGAAATGGGGCGGTTGGGTTTGGGGGTGGTGCGGGGAGCCTGGAGCCTGGGAAGAGGCCGCTGACGGCCGCGGAGCATTTGGAGTCGAGGCTGGCAGCCACATATGGGTTTACGAAGGATGAGTAGGGTGAAGGAAAGTAAGGCTTCAGGGGAGAGGAATGTAATTACGAAGTTATACTGCTTATGCTTCCGAGAGAGGGCAAGATCAGATGCAAGTGGGTTCATTCATTTCGAAATAACAGTGCCAATGAGTGTAAGAACAACGCCGGTGCCGTGGAGGCAAAGTGCAAATAGACAAGACCAATCGAATCCTCCAAAAACGTAAATCGGCATCATAGATGGGACTGCAGAAAGAAAATGCTTCAAGGGACCGTAGTGGTGCGGTCGGATGTGTCGATAATGTTGCCCATCTACGGACATAGGAAACTCGTGATAGCACAATTAGGTATGAGGGGAAGGTAAAGAAGCGCAGGGTGAGCCCGGGCGGTTGACATGTAGTAGATCTGGGGCAGAGGACTCGGGGAGAGAACCGGATTCAAATATGAAGATGTAAAACAGATATACACTCATGACAGGCTGGTGGAATATGTGAGTTTGGATGTAGGGCATGGGACCCAAAGGTATGGATGGTGCCCCGACGTCAGTGCAATAAATGAATAAAAAAGTCACGATGGTCAAGGCAAGAGTGGTGTGAAGAGACGAGAAAAAGAGATGGAAGGCCAGACGACATGTAAAAAGAGGTATCTTGGTGGGTTATTTGTCAAACTGGAAACGCCGCCAAATTTTGCAATGCCATGCGCGAGTGAGACGTAAGACCTTGGAACAAAATATAGGGGAGACGCGTGACGGATATGACGCTATGCGAGAGCCAGTATGCATTTGTGAAATCAAAAATGGAACTCGAACTTCGAGGTCGTCGGGGTTGTAGTATATGATGTGCGGTGCGGGAGGTGGTCGTATCAAGGAGTGGTGTGGCACCAGTGGCGGTGGTAGACCCAAGCAGCCTTCTGGCAGTCTTTGCTGCAGTACTTGGTGCGGCGGCAGCGGCGGCATTTGGCGAACTGACGCTGGAACTCCTCCCACTTGCCACACTTGTAGTAGGCACATTGGCGGATGCCGCCCCGCGACTCGTCCTTGCGGCAGAGGTTTCTCATGACTACGCATGCCCAGTACTGCATATCCTTCGAGTGGTGTCGAACGGTAAACTTCTCAACCAGTGGGAAGATATTGACATCATCTGGCAGCAAGTACTCATCTTCCTCTTCAGGAGCCTCAACGGGAGGAGACGGGTCAGCATTTTCATCAAGGAGATGCAGTTCCCGGTCGATCTTGAGTTTCGGCACGAGATGGGAGCGCTGGAAATACGACCTCAGGTTGCAGTATTTGGATACATAAGCCAAGAGCTGCAATGACATCAAGACATCCTCATCCCGGGGCATGGTGGTGAGGACACTCTGAGTCGCGGGTGTATTTCGATCACGAAGGTACATGGCGTAGGGGCTGGGGGCGAGGGTGGGAGAGTTAGGGTTATTTGGGGCCTGGGTGGGAGATAGACCCAGCCCGCCGTTGGCTTGCGTGGTGCCGTTGTTGTTGATGATGCTGCCGTCGACAGCAGAGCGATGAGCGATGTTGAAAGTCTCAGCTTCCTGGCCCTCTTCGGAAGGATCAGTCACTGTGAGGCCATGCGTGGGGGAAACATCATCAATCATGGTCGTCTGCCGCTCGTCAACATCATCGATCTCCATCCGGTTGGGCAGTCCCACGATGGGATCTGTAGTCTGTCTCAAGAGAGGATCATCCCCCATCGTCGAGTCCTCGCCATTAGCATCATCCGATTCACCCGAGGCCGACAATTGCTGACGAATGGCGGGCCGCTGCCGGGCGGGGGCCGTTTGGGGAATGCTTCGAGATTGAGACTGGAGAGGTCCACTTGGTGTTGTCGGGGAGTCCGGTTGCGAGATGATGCCAGTTTGTAGCCCTGGGAGCATGCTAGGAAGCCGTTCGGCATCACGCACGGGTCGCAAACCAAAGGTCTCGACGGTATCTATTGGAGGAACAGCAGTGGCGAGAGGCTGCATGGTTCGCAAGCGATGGCTCGTCCGAGAATACCGGCCATCGTGGGCCCGGTGGTTGTGAACCTCCTGTCGGAATGTGCTTCGTTCCGGGGGCGATGTCATAGGCGCACGGGGAGGGGAGGTGATATCCATCGCATCGGAGTCGGTCGGTTGGGTGTCTTGATAGTAAGGTTGTGGGATTTCGATGCTCGGGGGAGGAGCCTGTCGGCGGGAGGAGGGGCGGGCTTCGGTGTGGCTGCTCGAATCTACCGGGGCGGACCGTCCAGGTACTTCGCGACTGGAGGTACTAGACTTGCCGACCTGGCGGCTCGAGGAGTGCTTGTGTGTCTCCGGTTCAGCGCGCGATCGCACCTTATCCACCACCTTGATGTAGTTGTCCAGGATGGTGGCAATCACAGGGACCATGTCGGCCTCAACCACTCTGGTCCGCACACCTTCCGATCCCCGTACTCCGATGTTGACCACACACTGGAAGGCAAGACTCCATTTCCACATCTCCATCAAATCCTTACTCCTGCCCTCCTTCAGGATGCACACAAGTCTTTCGATGCCGCCATCAATGGTCAGGATATCCCGAATCCTTGCTGACGAGGTTGTGAGGTATGCTAGGTGGTTGAGGGAGTTGATGAGCGGTAGTGTCGATGTGCAGTCAAGGGCACGGCGGTCATAGAGCGTGGTGGTGATGTTGACCGAGGCCTTGTTCACATTGGGGATGCTGAAGTTGACTTCCCGCATGATGAACCACTAGCGACGGGAAAATCAAATGGCACTGAAGAAGTAATACAGGCGTAACAGATGTGATTCGCATTCAGAAATTGAGAAATCCAAAAGGCCAGATGATGAGGACCTTGACGATGCCCAAATGGTGGGATTTCAGCCCCCTAACCAGACCGGGATGGCGCCCACGGCGGCTTGATCAAAAAACCCTCACAGACAGTGCTGAGTGTCACTCAGAGACATCAGGAGCACCGATCCAGGGACTATATAGAGCGCCTGGCGGATTCTCAGGAAGGAGGGGGGGAAGACAAGAGGGGGTTGGGGGGAAAGTCTTGGGATGACTCCACGAGGGCGAAAGGGAAAGGGCGAAAACGGGGGTCAACGACCGAGACGGGAGAAAGGGGTGGTGAGAGTCGGTAAAAGAGAGAATAGACAAAAGTAACGAGATGAACTCGGGGCGTAGGCGATTTCGATCGTACTAACGATGGGATGGCGATGGGGAGGATGAAAAGCCTTTGAGGGCGAAAGCGGAGAGGCGTCAGGTGCCTCCTTAATATTACGGTACCCGCCCGAGGATTGGCTCCCGCCACTCTCAACTCAACTGTGCACGCTATTTTTAACGGCCTTTTCAGGCTGTGGCACGCTGCAGATGAGCAAAAAAAAAGGACGAGAGTTATGCAGTTCTCGTCTTAAGTCAAATCTCTTCCTCAATGCCCTCGCTACTGGTCAGGACTCCCCGACTGCGTGCCCTGCAGGGCCATTCGATCCCTCGTGGCGGCTAGTGGGCTCGGGATGACTGGTGACAAAGCTGGTAGGGCCGAGCGTTGAATGGGTTCTGCCCCCATGGTCTAGTCCAGCCCGGCATCGTGAACATTAACAGGGGCACGCCGACAGAGTATTCATGGACAGAGGAGAGAGTAATGGAATACAGAATTCCTATTCTCTCTGACTGTCCTTATTTTGGTTTCTTTCGATCTCATTTCTTTGTAGAGTGCTTCATTCTCGCCTCTTTGCCTCGCTATGCCGAGGCCCAGCAAGAAGCAACATCTCCTATTGAGGACGCATTAAACCATACCCGGAAAACCCAGAAACTGCTTCTCTCCTTTAGTGGAGGGAGATGGAGACATAATTGGGGTGAGACCACCAAGGTTGATAGATGAACCGATAGTTGATGGTCTGATTGGTGCAGGGACCCATTCCTGAGAAGTCCTTGGCTAGAAGCTATGGGCATAGCCGCTCTCTAGAGATAACAGTCGGGGGTTCTTCCGAGTCTACTGTTTGATCCATCCCTTCCTCAAAGTGTGGACCATGTATGGAGTACGGAGGATGGCATAGTAAACCCCGTGTAGGGTTCTGGTCGAAGCGCAGGAACAGTGATGATCAGGGGTTGCACCACGAGCAAGATCCACTCGCTAGGGGTATCATCTATATCCTTCGTTAAGTCAGCCAGGCTATACGTGAAATCAAGTCTCGGTCACATCCGCGTTTTCTCAGGTACAAGCGGCATTCCTACCGTTCACTGCACTCTTGCATAGCACTTCATACTACTCCGTACTGTCGCCTGGAACGCCCAGACCACTGGGGTGGGCTTGAGCATTGAGTATCGAACGGATGCTCGTTCGTCTCACAAGCGCAGTATAAGACACTGTCAGTAGTCCCTGTAGGTACTGTATATACAGTGGTATTGCTATGGATCATCTGGCCCAGGGTGTCCCATTCCTCAATGGCAGTTGACTCAGTTGCAGTCTGTCTACCTCCCCGGCGAATGGCCTCCATGGTAGACATGGAGGCGAGAGCCGCGTCAGCACTGTCGTACGTGAAGAATCGGAAGATAACCAGCCGAATTACAGCGACCAGCACATCCTGTGTGCTGTATCTTGACGTAGATCTTTAACGACGAGTGGGGATCCCGGTGGGGAGAGAGGATTGGGCACGTTCAGTAACCAGAAGTGGGCCTTGCAGAATCAGTTCGGGGGTGGGCTCAGCAGTCCCAACGCCTGGAGAATAATTGAAAGAGCTGAAGACCACGAATTAGGCCGCCTCTTTGCTGGCTACAAGCGACGATGTCGTACCATCGGAGTATGAGCAGGAACGAGAGTGTCGGTCTTCTGGAATCCATTCTGACGTGAACCGAGGATTGTAAATAATGATCGACCGCGACTGTATCCGACCGAGCCTCTGTTTGAGGGGCCCGGGAAATAGGGGGGCCAAAGGCCGTCGGGCAGTGGGGGCTCATCTTCGTGCGGGACCGAGGGACGAGACCGCGAGGCCATGGCCATTCGGCACAACGCAATCTAATGAATTGAAGGCCCCTTGGCAGACTTCAACTGCGGGACCCGCCAGACTGGGAGTCGGGGCATCATGCCGATTGCCCACCCGAAGGTTGGAGTTGGAGGGTTAAGGCTTCAGTCACGAAGCTCAGACTAGACCAAGCACGCTGACTGGACGAACAAACGGAGAGCAATTTGCAGGTTAGTCAGCCAGCCGGGGCTGTGGAGCCTGAACAGATTAGAGAAGCAATGGTGCGAGAGCTTGGGCCTGGTCTGTGGCTACAAGCTGGTATGGATGGCTGGATAGATCCAGTATGGGGATGTACCGTGGTACGGGTACTGTAGCGTGTATGGAGTACAGTATGGTAATGGTAGATGGCCGTACTACCGTGCCCGGGGTCCCAGCACTTGGGATATGAATAGATTTTCGGCGGTTGAAATGGCGACGAGGGCCTCGTAGGAAGTCATCGGGTTTCGGGGCAGAGCGCCGAATTAGGGAGGTTCCCTTCCCCCCACGCCCCAAAGCCTCTCCATCTCCGCGCTTTGGCGTCTACCGACATTGGTCCGAAGGACTGCAGAAGGGGGAACAGATCTCCGATTTCTGCGGGCGATGACGCCAGGGAGAGGCAAGGCCAATCAGAGACGCTGGGAGAGAAGAGGATAGAGCAGGCAAATAGCCGCCAGCAGTGGACGTGGAGGGAAAAACGACGCACAGGGGGGTCGAGAGAAGTTGAAGTGCCTGACCCGTCATTCCGGTTTGTTTCTCCAGAAAATACAGCATGGGAGGAGGTGTACACTACAGTATGAAACCCCACGTACAGTAAAATATGGCTATACCGATGGGTTATGGTTACATGCTACTACTCAAGACCGGGGCGCACTATTGACCTCCACCAGAATCGCTCCGTACCGAGCCTACTAATGCCTTACAGGGGTCGGATAGGCCCCTAGGCTCATTAGAATCATTATGGAAATCTTTGATTACATACTACTGAGTACACCACTCGTACCGAACACTATTTTCATACTGTAGGTACTCCGTATAATTAATTACAATTATACTCAGGTCATTACTAGCCAGTAGGCAGTGGACCACTACTGGGCCTTGCACATACACTAGACCGATCCCCAGCGCCACTGGGACCTGCTTGAAAACATGCTCCGTTTTCCTCTGGGTGAATCACGTCTCCCCATTGGTGACTTTCCTACGAAAGATAATATGAATTTGGCATCCCTGTGTTATGATACCTCTATTATGTACTCAACCTAAAGTGGCAGTCCATAAGTATTTCAACTCGATATTTCGGCTCTACTAGATTACGAATTTTTCTGCCAGCAGAACCTGTGATAATAAATATAAATTGTATATACAGTAGTAAGACTAGTTACTCCCGTGCGCATAGCGATTAGATCATTGTATAGTGGTATCAGGCTAGTCTACCGTGCAGCTCAGAAAATGCCGCCTAAAATATCAAGTTAATCTGATTCTCTCGTATAGGTATTCCTGAAATCTCATATTCGTGTGGGTAATATTTCGGAGATATAAAGGTCTACTTACGACATTCGCCGATGCTACGCCTAATCATGCACTTATCTGACTGGAAAAGCTGGCCCTGATTAGTAAAAGAGAAGTACTTATAATATCAAGCCTTCGCAAGCCGTTTCGCGGTAATTTAAGGCGTTAATATCCGCTGCTATATCTCCCCCACTTGGTAGACCTATCTTACATATTAAGCGCTATACTGAGGACTTTAAACCCTTACATCAGCCTTAGTAAATAGACCTTCACGTGTAATAGAGGCATTTTGTTAGATTGTATTGTATATATAATCTTGGCCATCTTCGGTAAGCTTTCGTGGTGCACTACTACCTACGCAGTCATGAGTGTTTATTAAGGTCGTTCTTCTCTTCACGGAGAGTATACTGGATTGTAGAGAGCGGTATATCAGGAAATCGATATTTATGAAGATTTCTTACACTCCATTTATAGGTATATTTAAGCTCATGGATACGAGAGCGTATTCCTGCGCTAAGCGCTGGCCCCCAAACCCCCGGGAATCGTTTGGTATGCACATATATAAAAGACTATAATCTAGAGAGCAAAGCGCGTCAAAACGGTTGATGCTGTTGATATTGTTGATCCTATAGCGCATGTTGTCGCGTGTATTGGTAGGCGGTGTAGCAAAGGCGGTCAAAAATAGGGGGTAGTTGGGTTTGAATATGCACTTATGGCCAGTCGTACTATCTAGGGGCGATGGTCGTTACCTGTCAGTTCCAGTAATCGAGACCTACTGTAATTTGTTCATGCAGTAAATGCTGAGTACGGAGACCTCCGTATGAAGTGCTACCATGTACACAAAGAGCAAACTCAGAGAAAGAAAGAAAGAAAGAAAGAAAGAAAGAAAGAAAGAATGAATGAATGAATGAAAGAAACAAAGGAAGAAGCAACATTGCTGTTCAGTTACCCATGATGGAATTATCCTCTGCGCGCGTATTGTAGGTGTATTTTTGTCTCCACCGGAGCCGGGCCGCTGGGCGTCCGGCAGCGCGGTCCAAAACAGGTATTATGATGGATCTGTTTTGGTGCCATTAGACTTCCAGCTGGGGTACAATGATGCTGGACAATCGATTGTTCTATAGATAGGAGCGTAACTGGCTCTGGAATGCAATCTAGGCCCTGTCGAGAAATAGCCAAGGGCCTCAATGCTTGCGCTTTCTGTTATGCCTCTGCGTATCGATGCCACCGTATGTACTGTACAGTTGTAAAGGTGTAAAAGTACGTACCGTCACAACGTGACCGTACTGAACTGGGTCTCTCGGCCTACTCGCTCTCTTTCCCCCCTGGTCAGAATGCCAGAAACCTTCAATCGAATCTCTCTTCCACTTTCCTTTCACCCCAATTTGCGCGACGTGGACTCGTACAGGAATTCACTACCCCTCCAACAAGACACCCCTTGCTAATATTATATTACGCCGTGTATTATGATCGCAGCTTGAGGCCCTGAATCGGTTACTTCCGTCTTTCTGTCCTCTTCGCTCCACTTTCAGCCCCCTCGTCCCAACTCCCCCCCTCTACCCTTCCTGACTCTCCCACCCAACCGCCAACCTCCCTCCACACCTCCTCCACACCCCCCCTGGAACATTGTTTCCCTCGCCCCCTTCCATTCCACCACAACGGTTCTTAGGGGTCATTGTCCGGCAACATGGCAGCCGATATGACGGGCGAACAGATGCAGGCCAAGATTACCGCGGCCAGGCGCGAAGCTGAGGGTTTGAAGGACAAGATCAGGCGCCGGAAGGATGAGCTTGCCGACACCTCTCGTACGACCTCCCATGACTCTCCGCTACTTTCCCCCGGATATTGGTTGCCGAGATTTACCTCTCCACGGACCTTTTTCAAGAGGCGCTGGGTGGACGAACCACGATTCAATACATGAATGCTGACACTTTCTTCGCAGTTCGCCAGGTCGCGCAGAATCACACCGATGCCCTCCCACGAATTGGCATGAAGCCGCGCCGGACGCTGAAGGGTCACCTTGCGAAGATTTACGCCATGCACTGGTCGACCGACCGCCGCCACCTCGTGTCAGCTTCGCAGGACGGAAAGCTCATTATCTGGGACGCATACACCACCAACAAGGTCCATGCCATCCCTCTGCGCTCGTCATGGGTCATGACCTGTGCCTATGCGCCTAGTGGAAACTACGTGGCTTGCGGTGGCCTCGACAACATTTGTTCCATCTACAACCTGTCGTCGCGCGAAGGTCCCACTCGCGTCGCGCGCGAGCTCTCTGGCCACTCGGGCTACCTCTCTTGCTGCCGCTTCATCAATGATCGCCGCATAATCACCTCATCTGGTGACATGACCTGTATGCTGTGGGATATTGAGTCTGGATCCAAGGTTACCGAGTTCGCCGACCACCTTGGTGACGTGATGTCGATCAGCATCAACCCGACCAACCAGAACATCTTCGTGTCCGGTGCTTGCGACGCTTTCGCCAAGCTGTGGGATATCCGTACCGGCAAGGCTGTGCAGACGTTCGCCGGCCACGAGTCCGACATCAACGCTATCCAGTTCTTCCCCGACGGAAACGCTTTTGGAACGGGTTCCGACGACACCTCCTGCCGCCTTTTCGATATCCGTGCCGACCGCGAGCTCAACATCTACCAGGTATATTATACCCCCTTGCCCACCACCCGGGATCCTTCCCAGCTCAGGCTAATTGATTTGCAATCCCGACAGAGCGACCAAGTTCTTTGCGGTATCACCTCCGTCGCGTTTTCAGTTTCGGGTCGGTTATTGTTTGCTGGTTACGACGATTTCGAGTGCAAGGTATTTATCTGTGATCGAGGACATGTACCTGGAATCTCACCTGACTGGATTTTAGGTGTGGGATGTTCTACGTGGTGACAAGGTGGGCTCTCTGAGCGGCCATGAGAACCGGGTGAGCTGCTTGGGTGTCAGCAACGACGGCATCAGTCTGTGCACTGGATCTTGGGATTCTCTCGTAAGTTTATCTTGCCTGACTTGTAGACGGGAAGACATCTTACTAATGACCTTTTCTACCCATTCTACAGCTCAAGGTCTGGGCCTGGTAATCTCCCCCAAAAGATAAACAAACGCAAGATACCCCGCGTCGATCATTTGCAATGCTCTTATTCGAAATTTTCTTTGGTTCGATGGGTCGACTCTCCGCCATTGTACGATAATAATCAGTTACCGGGGAACTTCCGGGTTCTCGCGATAATTACGGCGCAGACATCGGTCCGTCGCATGCGATACGGAAGGGTGTTGGGTGGTGGAAGGTGAGCGCGACGCCTGGGGAAGACACGAAAGCGACGACACAACAATGTTAGGACATGACGAGAGCGCTGCCGCTTGGATGGTCAATGGGAGGTTCAATGGACTGTTGTTGCGGTGACACCAAAAAGACACTTGCCCCTGCCCGCGGTCCATTCGACTACCTCCGCAGTCATCCCGTTCGTTGGCTTCCTTCCTGCTGGATGATGCCTTTTTCTTCTTCTTCTTTCCCCCTTGATTGATTTTCCCCCCGCCTCTCTCCCCCTTCTTTATTTTCAATTACCCCCTCTTCATTTTCTGGATTGCCTTTCCCGCATCGGTTCTCGGTATGTATTTTCTTGGTGATGGATGGACAGGGGGCGGAACCGGCTTGTTGGACTTGGCCATGATCTTGCGCTGCTTTGAAATTTCCCCTGCGTTTCCGCGTCATCTCTCTTATTATTTTTTTTTAACCTCTCCCATTGCTGTGTTTCCCGCCATATTTCCTTGCGTCTCGCCAAACAAAGAGTTGCCATCTGTACCTATTGAGTCTCCTATGGCTTGAACCTCTGTCGGGGATTCCCTCGTCAGATTTCCTTATTATCCAGTGTTTTGAAGAAGCTTCCAATTTCCATTTGTGATTTCACTTTCTAATGTTTCTGTTCTGCTGCATCTCTTGCGGCCTGCAGCGGGTCTGTTCGAGCGTTGCGCTGGACTTCGGTTCCTGCTTTCGTTGCAGGCAGGGCGTCTGCGAGTGTGGGGTGAGCGTCAGACATACGGCATTCATACAGGGCCTTCGGTTCTCGCCTGCCCTAGTAGCGGGTAGTCAGTCTGATGTATATTCCGTAGCACGGTGTAGATGTGGTGACTGTTCCCGACAGCCAGCCAATTTGGAAGCATGCCGCTCTGTGTGAACGCGGCCTCCTTGCTTGATGCCTAGGGAACAACATATCGATGAGCATCAGGGACGAAGCGCTCACTCGTCACCACCACTCCCGTCGGCATGCCTTTGTCCTCCATGGTCAGAATTGTCACCTGCTATCAGGGATGAAGCCCTTCCAACGGACGGGAACCGTGGAACCGCCACAGCCATATATTCACAGCGGAACCTAGCCCCCCACCGCCTTGGGGATCCTCTAACCAGACGAATTGATGTCCATGAGGCCATTCTCGCTTGGCTACAACCAAAGATCGTAGCGAAGGGAGACCCGGTCATCCTTGACGAGGGGGTGTAGTCACCCCCAGCATATGTGTTCCCCGTTCCATTGTATCGGCCTAAGTAGCCCAATTCCCCGGCGCTGCCATGCTTGAGATTGTCCTCGGGAATTGAGCTGGCCGAGACAGCACAGCATGCTGGGGAGTTTCCACTGGTAGGAGGACCTCAGGCGAAAACATGACTTCCTGACCCCACGGACAGGGCAGGGAGTAGCCCGAATACGACACTGCGTGGTGCAGTGCACTACGTGGCCATCAGTCAGACGCCCGATCCCAGGATCCGATTCCTGCAGACTATTTTTATTTCGACCTGCCCTAATTTGCGGACAAGTTGGCTGGTCAGGTGGATCCGATCCTCGAGATCCGCTCCACCCTGGGGCCGAATGTGTCCAGCCCTGAGACCCGCCTAGCGCGAGAGGGTCAACGGGGGCACGAGACTAGCCCCCGGCGGTGTTGGGGGAGAATGGGAGCCTCCATTGGAAGCCGAAATGGCGATGCTGGGGATCCAGGCAGGGCGAACAGCCTCGTTCCGGCTTCAACCGGGGGCCCAAGAGCCGCGTTTCACAATTTGCAGGGAGCTGGGCATGCTGGGAACCGGTGACGGATTCACCGGGATGGTCGGAGCGGCTCCAGCTGAAACGCGCTGGGAGGGGAGGATCCAAGGATCCAAGGATCTGAGGAGAGAGTGCGAGAGGGTGAGCGGATGCTGCAGGCTGTGCCAGCTCGAAGGATGCCGCTCTTACCGTCGTGGCACGAACCGCGTTGACGCGTGACAAGGTTTTTCCACGTGGAATCCCGTTTGGGGATCCCGAAGATCGGCTGGCTTCCGGCTGAATACTACCGTCGACAACTGTGGACAGTTCGACTGTCGACGACGAGGGAGAGGTTCATTCTCATCGGGCACACTGGTCTACGAGGCAGAATCCGTCGCTGTGAACCCGCATCCCCTCCGACTCGAAACAATGGAAACTTCTTCAGCTCTTCGGTGGGGCCACCACCGCCCACAAACCTGATCGGCGGGCGCCTGAAACTCGGTCGAAAAGGGGCTTCTAGTGGTGTTTCAGCCGGGCGATCTCTTCCCAGCTCAGCCCCAACTCCGGCCCCCGTTCTTTGTCTTCACCTCCCTCGGCACTACACTACACCAAACTCGCTCTAGCTCGACTTCCTTCAGGGGCTTCGCTGCTGAAACCGTCTTCAACCGCAGTCGATCTCTCCGATTCGCACTTCCCCAGCCAATTGCCAGACGAACGACGACGGCGCGCCCCCAATCCTGCCCCAGAAATCGCAGACCTCCCACCCTTTTACCTTAAATCCCATCTCCACCCTCAGCCCGTCGGTCTCTTCTCTTTCACGATGTCAGCCCAGGAAGAGTTCGACCAACTGGTGCAAAACAACCGCGATCACGCCTCATCCCACCCCGAGGACCGCGATCACTCCCCGCACCTGTCGGACGACCACGACTCGGCCTCCTCCTCACGCCACCTGCGCCAGCGTCGGGCGATCGATTCCTCCGACGAAGACGAGGACAATACCGACAACATGGTCTCCTCCCGCGGCAACTACCACGTCCCCAACACCGTCTTCGAAGCCAACACCGGCCCGAAGGGCGTCATCGCCGACGCCCAGGCCTTCGAGCGCGCCCGCAAGAAGTCCTTCCGCCGGACCCTCCTCAATGCCGCCGGCTTCGACTCCAACAGTCCCGCCTTCGGCTCTCACAAGGCCACCCGTGACAACACGCCTCCAGCGCCGGAGGGCTCGTCCGGCAGTGAGGACGATGAGGAGCGGTTCCTGCACAAGTGGCGCGTTTCGCGCATGCATGAGCTTCAGAACCGCGGCATGCGGCGTCCATCCCCACGTGGGCGACGCTTTGGGTCGGTCGACACCGTCGATGCCGCGGGGTACCTGGACGCGATCGAGAAGGTGACCTCGGACACCGTGGTCGTCGTTTGCATCTACGATCCTCAGGTATGTGTGGGGAGACTCACTGGATCCGATCCGAAAGGGGTGTCGTTTCTAACGCGTTTTTCAGTCCGATGACAGCGCCATTATCGAGGAGTGCCTCGTCACCATCGCCCGCAGACAGCCCACCACCCGCTTTGTCAAGCTGCACCGCGAGATTGCCGAGATGGACCACATCAAGGCTCCTGCGCTGCTGGCCTATCGTGGCGGTGATGTCTTCACTACGATAACTGATATCATTCGCAACATCCCCAAGGGCCGCAGCTGCAGTGCTGATAGCCTGGAGGACTTGTTGAAGCTGTATGTTGCGCCCCCCAATGTTTCGAATCTCCCAATCACTGAGATGCTAATTGGCTTTCCAGGAACCGTGTGCTTTGAATAGCATAGATGTGACTTTCTCCTGCATCATCTTCGCACAGCAACAGGCGTTTTGGCTTCATTCCTTCCCCTGGAAAAAAAAACTTTTCCCTTTTCTCTCATCTCCGCTACCATCTATCTCCACCTCTTACACCTCACCCTTACACGTACATTTCTGGCATGTCTTCCTATCTTATTACCGTCCCTTTACTCTCTTTCCTTTCCTTTTCCCTTGTTTGTCTTCCCGGATGCATACCAAAGAAAGTCAAAAAAAAGACGACTATTTTCAGGCGTTGGATCTCAATAGACTCTGTGGAACAGAGCTCGTGGCTGGATCATGCATAGGGTGTCTTTTTTCTTTTTTTCTTTTGCATGCTGCAGTTTCTTTGCCTTTCTGATATGTGCTTTTACGCTGACCTGTGCCCTACGCCCTGCTTGTTTCATTCCCTTGTGTTTTCGTTCTTCTATGCCTCTGTTTTTCCACTCTATTTCTGCTGGGATTCGACCATGTCGCGCTGGTCGAATGATAAGTCTTGATGTTGATTTCAGTTGAGATATCCTGTGCTGTTTTTGTTTGTTACACCAGATTTTGTTGAATCTTGTATTTTTCTCTGATATCCACCTACTTCGAGTCCCAATCTCGACATTCAAAACCCCACATTCATCCTGAGCCATAAAAGATCAATGAGGCAGACGACTTCTAGAGCATCCAATAACCCTAGCAGGCATGATGTGTACACAGTCCCGCCTCAGCCGCTCCCCCTTGGCTGGCAAAGCCCTCGATGAGAATCCACGCTATAATAAGCAACCACCTCTCTTGGAAAACTCACTGAACTGCGAACCTGAACCGTTCAGCATTCAGTATGGGGCCTTTCAGCTACTCATGAGCGGTGAAGTCGATGTGAACCTTTGGAAAATGACTACTTGTGGAACTGGCCCTGGTCGACAACTCTGGAAGTAAATGAAGCTGCGCTGATGGTAGCCACACGCCCTAAACTTGTGCCTACGAGAGAACAGTTCCAAGGTAAGCTACGCGGCATTGGGGATAATATTGGCAAATGCACACCGTCCATTCTATCAACGGATCCTCGCCGAACGATCCAAAAATGGATGTCGTGAGCGGCGTCCACCGCTTGTAATTCTTGTGGTAGATACTTGGTGAGATACTAGCTCAGGTCAATGACACAAGGTTGTACTTCAATACCAAAGAGTGATCACTCATTTCCCCCCGAGACCCTTTATGAGAAACAAACAACCCCATCCTCACCATCGCGCATAGCTGATTCTGGTCAGAAGCACTCGGTATGAGATGGGAATCTACACAAAGAGAGAGGAGAAAAGAGAAGGTCACGAAATAAAAGACCCCAACCAAGTTCCTCGAGGGCCCGCTAACTCCCCGATTTCAAAGACGACAGAGACAAGGAAAGGGATGGGAAAAGCACAGGACAGGATAGCACAAGAAAGGAAAAGAAGAGCGTACAGACAGGAAGAACTAGAAGAGATTGTACCCAAAGCAAGAGCTTTCGCCATTTAGGGGTTTGCGCCTAGATTTCCAGCAACAAGGGTCCATATGAGTAAGTGTCCCTTTTTTCCCCCTTCACGCTGCTTCGCTACAAGGCACCCCGTTCCACCGTGAAGTCCCAGAGCATCTTGATCAGAGTGTCGGGGAGGGTGTACAGGTCCACATGGAACTCGCCCACTGTTTCAGGTAATCAGGTTAGTTGATGTCCCATAGGCCCGGGGGAACTCTCATGTGCGGAGACACTCACACTCAGCGTCGTTCTTGGTATATGACTCGGGGGTTTTGTTGTCGTGTACCATTTGCACAACCTGCAGCAAGTCATCTTCGTTCAGTTTTTGCAAGCCATCGGCAAGCTTGTCCATGTCGACCTACGCGGCACATTAGCGTGAGAGACATTGAAAGAACCAAGCTTGATGACTCACATTCTTCTCAGTACGCTTCTTCTTCTTTGCGCTTTCCTCACCGGCACCGGCAGCACGCTTGGCCTTTACGCCATTCTCGTCACCCGGAACAGGGCCAGACTCACGCAACGCGGCCAGGAGAGCTGGTTTGGGGTTACGGAAGGTCTGAAATGCAAACAGATCAGTCAGACACGGTCCCTATCACAGGTACTAGGGAGAGGTGTTCACAATTTGGTGCTTAGCCTCGTAACGCTCCTGGGCAAAGTTCAAGTCATGTTGGACCGGGTGGGTCTTGTCGGCAACCAGATCGATGGTCATATCAAACTCACCCCATCCCTCTTCTTGGATACGGAAGGGAGGGTTTTTGAAAGCTATTGGTCAAGTGTGTCGTCAGCCTGGGCGCTGCTAAAAGGAGGGACTGCTCGGAAAGTGATGACCGCACAACAGCGCAGACAATCAGTCGACCAGGACACAACATACTCTGAGTAGCGCGAGCGCCGAAACTGGGATGCAGACGGTAGACGACCTTGTCGAAGATGGTGGCAGGCACCTGCTCGCCCTTCTCATTCAGAAGCCACACCTCGATAGACCACTCGCGTTGGGGGAAGCCCTCAACCTCTGATGGCTTGTCACTATGGCGCACAGTCAGCCCATATGCCTCGCAATATTTCTTTTGCGATTGTGTGTATCTGCGGAAGAGTGGTAGACCATAGGCGCGAGCGGCGCACGCCAGTCGCCCCCTCTCTTCACGCGCGATCAAGTCCCGTAACGCCCCAATAGTGTGCTTTCAATTGAATCTCATTCCATGGAGGTCGGCACAGGAGGAAAGGGGGCTCAATCGCTTGCGGTGGGTGACGAAAGGGAAGGCAAGGTGCCGAGCACGTACATGATATGTTGCTCCGTGACGAGACGGACATTGCGCTTGACCTGCCTCATGAAATAGGAGTTAGCATCTGGAAGTTCAAAATCCATCAGGCCAGCTAGAGAGCACGTAGCCAGCCCATCAGTTCACAGAGGAACGCGCGGAGCGAGGGCGCCTCAGCGCCCATCCACGGTCCGCACCTGAACAGAGCCGGCGGCCAGGCGGAAGGAATCCGGGCTGGGGGAGTTTATCTCACGTCAGGCATTTTGGCGAGGAAGGTGAAGGTCGTTCAGATTGCGGTTAGGTCAAAGTGGTTGTGGAGGGGATGCGCGCCCAAGGATGCGAGGTTCGGAACAGTTTGCGCGGCTGGCAGGGAACGCGGGTGTCCGGTGCGCAGGCAACGGCGGAGTGAAGAGACGGGAAGGAGAGAGGATGTGAAGCGGAATTGAGATTGATCGGTCACAGGTATACAGCAGGAACAGCGATGAGCATTGGACGCGCTCTCACAGTGAAGGGAGAAAAGCAGAGGACCAGGCGGGAGTGGGGAGGAATGAGGTCGACGGGGAGACAACTGAGACCACTCGAAGAGCTGAAGGCAGTAGGATCAAACCACCCGCCCGAACGAACCCAAAGCACTTATCTACATGGTATTTGTTGTTGTTCTTGGGGTTCCAGTGGATGGATTGCTTTCAGAAATTTGTTACCTATTTTTCAATTCAGATTCCTCTGTGGCGAGGCAATCGCGAGAGGCGGCAATGGGCTACCTCCTACTGGTGTCATAGAATATGAATCACCCGCTTCTCTAACGATGGCCCTGAAAGATACGAGGAGGTCTGAAAGTTGAGTGCAGGGTGTATATTCGATGGAAAAAAATTGTCTATCTACTGCCGACTGTGGACCAAAAGACATCAGGGAACTGCCCTCCGCATCATAATCACATCACGATAGCTGCTGTGAACAGCATCATCATCATTGCTGTCTTGCTCGTCGCGTCGTCGGGGAAAGGGATAAAGATGTGGAGGAGATATGGGGTGAAATGTCATAGGCTGTTTCGTATTTGAGAGAGTTCGATCGTGGGATTCTGGGGGGAATTTCGAGAGCAAAGGTCCTGGTCCACGGCGCAAAGGCTGTTGGCGACAAGCACTTCGTGGTGATGAGTTTTTAGGCTCCTCCGGATAGGAGCACAAAAGGCCGAGGTGCATTTTGGATCTACTCCGAAGACCCGAAGACCTTCCCGTTCTCCTGCTGGGCCTTCTCAAAGGCATCCTTGAAGAGATTGGCGTCTGCATAGCAAAGTCAGCAAGGGTCCATAAACTCTCAATTTGGAATAGATCTACTCACTATCGCTGTTGGCGAAGCGGATGGCCAGAGTCTGCTTCTCGGGTTCACCCTCAGAGACATCGGCGGTGGTGTTCCAGACCCAGCTGCGGTCACTGCCGACATTGGGGCTCAACTTCATCTCAGGGACGACTGCACAAGGTTTTATCAGAAAGGCTATCCAGAATTCCGGAAAATTACACGGGGTGTCTCACCATAGTGGTTGGCGCAGACCTTGAGGGTCTTATCCCGGCGCATGACCAGGCGGGTCTTCTGGTTCTCCTTGTGCTTCAACAGACGAACGTCACCGGTACCACGCTCTTTCCACTCTTTGCTCTCGGGGTCGAACTTGAAGAGCTTGGCGCGCATCTTAAACACCTGCGCCTCAAGCTCCTCGTGGGTCTTGATCTCCACCACCTCTTTCATCTCCTTCTGTACCCATCCGGCGTCTGCGACGACCTGAAAGGAGAGATATATGTTAGTGAATGGCATTCAAGTCTACTTGGGAATGAGATGAAATGGTGTGGCTGTTGGGTTGCGGCGAGCCACACAAGCTGCGGGGCCCGAGAAACACCCCGCGTTCGGGGCTAGAACAGCGTTTTGATCGTAACACGCATCCCAGAGCCACCGACCCAGAACACTCATCAAGAAATACCAACTCACCTTATCGGCCTCAACATCCTCTTCCTTCTCCTCCTTCTGGGCCTTTGCGGAGCCGGAGCGGTCGTTCTCCTCCTCCTCTTGGGGCTTCTTCTCCTCCTTCTTGGGGCCCCCACCGAACATCGAGAAGACAGTATCAGAGGTCTTCACAGCGGCATCCTTAGCGGTCTCAGCGGCCTCGGAAGCCTTCTGGGTGGCGGTCTCTGTGATGCTCTTCTCGCCCTCACCGGTGGTGGCGGTCTCAGGCTTGTCGGCCTCAGGAGCCTGGGTGGTGGGGTCGGGCTTGGTCTCCGCAACGTCAGACATGGCGAAGGTAAAGTAGGGGGCTGTAACCGGGGAAAATCGGGACAGGAGAGGTTCAAAAAGGCGAGTGAACACCGGGTATATTGGTATTCAGGGGTAGGAGATGCTTTGTTGATGCGGGAGGGTCGATGAGGGGGGGGAAAAATTAATAGTTTGGGTGTACGCGGGCAGAATTCGCCACCGCCTCGGAAGTCAAGCCGCTCCAGCTTTTTGACTGCATACTGTACGTACTCCGTACGTATGAACGAGAGGGGCTGGCCAGTGGTCGCTCAACCATTACTCCTAGTTCATGAAACTCACGCTTGAATTACTCTGCCAGAATTCGTTAGAAAGAGCCAGAGGTTACAAGGTAGTTAACGTAAATTGCATTTGCGCCGTATGGAACAAAACTCGCGAGAGTTCAGGCCCAAATCCCCGTCCCGCCCAGCCTGATCGCCGTAAACAAAACCCCATCATTAGCCAAAGAAACATGAACAAGCAAGAGTTGAGTGTAGAAAGAAAAGAATCATCTCAGCATGGGAAGCCAGCTCGACCCGCACAATCTCAATCGCCGCCCCGGCGCCCCACAAAGCGCCGTGCGCGTTTCTGGGCCCGATCCAGCGTGGCACACTTAGCACTGCGCACTCGATCCATCATGGAGTGTATATCAACCTGGGACGCTGATTCTCCCAGGCGGTTCCAGGCGTCACTGACAAGGTCTCTGGCCTCTTGTTCGACCCGAACAGATCGGCTATGCAGAAGAGAAGAGACGCTATGGAACTGCTGGAGAGCATTCCGGGTAATGACCTCGGAGAGTTGCTTTGATCGCGATAGAATAGTATCCCGCGCGAGAAGACTCTGGCGCCGAAGATTGTCTTGGTGCAGGAAATGGGACCGCTCCACAAGGTCGCCCATCCTCACTTGCACGTCGGTGGAGACGCGGCCATACACTTCAGCCAGGCTGGTTTGGGCTACCTGCAAGTCCTTTGTGACTTGTGAAGAGATCTTTTGTGCCGCCCATCTCCAATTTGCGATTTTTAGCCACGGAGTTCCAAAATCAACGGTCGTAATTTGATTGACGGGTGGCTTCGATTTGGCAGAGACGGTCACGTTGACCAAGCCATATGCATCTTCCCGAACCAGCCGGATCGTATAGACGCCCTCAAACAACTTGGAAAGCTCATAGGAGAGAGGTTGATCGTATCGATACACGCTCACATTGAATCGTGGTTGTTTCTTGGATGTCGCAAGGGGGCGAGGGGGCTTGATAACCACATGGCAGTCTCCGACAACTTGAATCTCAAAGACGTCTAGGTTTCCAGAAGACCCTGAGTCTGCGATTGTGAGCATCTGGTCGATGATGTCCGAGGGCTTGCTGGGTGGATGGCATGATTGACCCGACGGCCACGTAGACACCGAGGTCTGTGGCACATGCGCTACTACCAAAGAACTCGTCGAAAGAGGAGAAAATGACGACGGTGCGGCATCGGAAAGCCCTGGTCCTGAAATCCATTGCGAGACGGAGATAAAAACAGTACTCAAAGCCGCGTACCCGATTGAGAGAGCTATGGCCGAAGCAAGGGTCAGGGTGATCAGACGCAGCATGGGCCCAAGCTCACGGGCTTGGGTGGCATACGACGGTGGAAGCCAGTTGCGTGGGTATTTCTCCGGGTCGGCGAGGGAGTATCTTTCCACCGGCTTCGGGGTGTTAGCGATGACTTTGGGTGTCTTCTTGGGATAGAGGTCCATGAGCAAAGCCAGGTTTCTGTTGAGTTGGCCGGGTGTGATACTCTCGAATGTCTTCAAGTCGATGGGATAACGGCGTAGAACCGCTGTTTGCCCAGTTTGCGAGTGTCGAGATTCCAGGCACATATGCAGACTGTTGTGATTCACAGGGATGGGCTCCCCAGCAAGCTTCCAGAGCGGTTCTTCCGAGATCACCATGGCTGGAATTCCATGCCGCTCCAAAAAGGCATGAACATAGCGCCGTGTCTTGATGGCAGCTGGACTATCCCGACCAGACACGAACAGGATGGCCACGTCTGGCAAAGTCCACTCCGACGCAGAAGAAATACGATATTCGTCTCCGTCCCACCACGAACGGCATGAAGGGCGGTTCTTGAAGTCTAAATGCAAGGTGCTGGGTTGAGTTTCATGGGACTCCGCGCTAGCTTCTTTGCACTCGTCCACGACAAGCTGGACATGAATCGGGAGGAGTTCAGCAAAGTTCGGCACCGCACCAGCTCCAAATGAGGTTGGCACCACATGGTAGCGGGAGGATTCAGCAGAGCTGGTCTGTGATCCAGCGGTGGAGCTCGACACCAGGACATCCCCAATCTTGTCCAGAATGATGTTCCGAGAATCCGGTTGCCCGATATATAGCACGCGATAAGGCTTATCTAGATCGAGGCTCACTTTCGTCATGGTTTGCTTCACGGTGGCCATGAGAATAGAGTCGTGCAGGTTATGCGGTAGCCAACCCTTCATCTCTGAAGCCGTAGCCTCCTCGAAGATGTGAATCGTATGCTTCAGTTCAACTCGCTCCATCTCCGGCCATTTCTCAGGTTCCACAAACTCGATCGAGTCGATCGATTGACGGAAGACGGGCTGGGCCGTCAGGTTGCTATCGTCGATCGCGGCTTCGCCCTGGCTGAACAGTATCGGAAACTGCTGAGAGACTGTAGCACCCTGCAGCTCGTCTCGGGTTCCATTCTCGTCTTCCTGCTGGTACTCTTCGGGACCGACTTCGCTGCTGCTGTATCGCTCGTCGAGGCTGGCCACATCGTCGGGGCTAGTTTGGTCGATCAACGATCCAATATCGGTGTGTTCCGAACGACTGCCATCTTCCGAGTGTAGATCCGACACACTCAGATCCGCCCAGCTATCACTGAGGGCCTTGGAAGCCAGATCGAGGGGTTGATCTGACGTCATGTTGTTGGCTGGACGAGAGCGGGACAACCACTCGTCGACGGAGGCTGAGAGCGGCGGGAAGGTCGGGTATTGGAGATGCGAGGCTAGGTGGGCGCTCGCTGGACGCCTGGGCGACTCAGAAGCGTTAGCCATATCTGCCGTGGGAACATAGAGCGAAATGTCTTGTATATAAGTCAAAAACGATGCAGGAAGAGAAACAAAACATACGGAGTGGATGGGGACGCCTGGGATCCAGGCATGTACCCGTGAGTGGGTCTGCGGGGAGTTGCCCGTCAGCTGGTCGGTCGCGTTGTCTGAGTCAGGGCAACTGCCACGGGGTGCGGGCTATTTGAGAGAGGATTTGAAGTTGGAGCCTTTTGACAGCACGGTAAGATGGTGGGGGAGGCTGAGTAAAGGGAGGAGGGAGGGGAGCACGATAGAGGAAGCTTTAGAAAGGCGTGCTGTCGCTGAAAGTACCAGCAGAGCGTAGTTGTAATCGGCGTAATCGATAAGCATCTGATCAAGCGGGGTTGCGAAGTATTCAGCCCAATGGCCCAAGGCCCCAAGGTCCGCGGAAGATTCACCTGCTTCCTTCCCCCGTATACCAGCCACTAGAAATACAGGTGGTTCACCAAGAGGCTCTGCCAGGGGTTTCTTTGTTCTTCGACCCCTCTATTCTCATTCTCTTTTCCTATGGCTACTGACCGGGAGCTTCCCACCTCGCTGCCACTATTACGTCGCTGATAAGCAGCCGCGACGCCACGCAGCCCCACCGATCATCCTCCGCCGAATCAGAAGGGTTCCTACCATAGGATATAACGGATATACAATCTTGTATATAGCCTATGGCGCAAGGAAGCTACTTAACGAGCGCAATCATTCTGAATCGTCGGTTCCTCCTCGTCCTTCCCCCAAAGGGCATCACCGCATCCCACACATACTCATCAATCAACTCCTCGAGCTCCTCCCTCAGGTGAGTCTCCACCTACTGTAATAGACAATTTTATTGCAGCTTAAGTGTTAAGTGGTTTTTAACTTTAATTACCGTGAACAATAAGAGAGGGCTAGAATATTAGGCCATTTTTAATCATTAACTTACCCGCATGAAGACCCTTTCTCTCACAACCATGGCTTAAATGGTCCTGTTCTGAGGCCGCTGCAATTTTGATCATCCTCGGGCCGCCTCCGAGCTCCAAAACCCGGCGAGGTATCTGTACTTTATTCTTTTAAGCAGCTGGCAAATTTATCTGGCTACCTGTTTTGTTGACAGGGCAATATAGTTCGTTATTGAGGCAGGCATTCAGACTTTGTCATCTTTTAGCTACGTGGACGATTGCAAGAAGTATCTCATGTAGTAGAGACAACAGAGGGAGTCACGGCGGCTTATCCGGGACGTAATAATAAGGGGCAGCAAACTCGTTTAAAAAAATGCAATTCTATGAATGGATCCAAAAAGAATGGATTATTTTCTTCATTCAGAGCCAAGAGACTTAGGGATCCATCATAGCCAGAGTTTGCGGCAAGGTTTTCACTGCACTGAGGTAGCTGTCAGCGATCTGAAGATTTCAGCCAATAGCTTCTCTATCTATCCCGATCTGCAAGTCCTTGTTAATTCGACAAAGCCATTATACCGGATCAAGGTTCTACGCAGTTGTATATGAGGCCAATGCTTCGAGGACTCGAAAATTGAAGATCAGGTGGTGTACTCTTGGTAGTTTGGAGGAAGGAAAAGGTAGGGGAAATTCGGTATCCATGTATCCTATAAGACTACCGTACGTCGCTCCGTGATACTATTATCGTGGAGTGCTGGTATCTGAGAATAGTATCCAAAAGAAATTTATCTATTCAGGCATACCCAATATTCACCACTGCATTTTGTACAAAGACATCTCCAAATTTGGGGGCCACGACTGCCCCAGAAACGCCGAATCTATATCCAAGAAAATCAAGAATAAAACAAAACAAAATCGGTATCGCAAAGTCCACCTCAATTAATGCAGTTCAGCACGTCTAAAAGAACCAAATGATGAAGATAGGTAGTCTTGATGCAATATGGTGGCTGAGAGGGGCTAATCAAAAAAGTTCAGTTGTGTTTTGTTCGATAGCTAGAGCTTTTCGCGCAGAGAGCCTGGCAGGACTCGGTCCTCAACGCGACGCATCAGCTTGTTGGTCTGTTCAGCCAAGCTGAGGGTCAAAATCTGAAAAGCATTGAATTAGTACATTGGGCAGTTTAATTCTGATGCCATCCAAACTTACAGTGTGCGGGAGGATACGGGCCAAATGAGCGAAGAAGCCTTTGTAGATGGCCAAAACACCCTCGGTGCGGATAGTCTTAAACAAGCAGTCAAAGACACCCTGGTACAGGTTGCCAGTTTGATTGTACATGCGAGCCATGATAGTATCTAGAAGATTAATGCATTAGCAAACAGAATATTGGTCTGACTCCCAAGTAAAGACATACCAGGAGGATGCATAAAGCAGCACACAACAAATCCAGAAGCCGCACTACTGGCCAAATGCAGAGCGGGCCCCTCTTCCATGCCCAAGTGCCGGCTTAGGCGGCGCTTGGCAAAGAAGTAAGTCGGAAGCTGGACAGCACTGCCGAAGCTAGTACGGATCATAGCTGCCCCCACACCACGGTATATACCTTTAACACCCTCACTTTTATAGATCTTGCTCAAGCCATCAAATGAGTTCTTATAGTTATGCTGAGTACCGACGGGCAGGAAAGGCGAGTAGGACTGCAAGCGTGTCTTCACCAGGAAGAACGGAGATCCAGCCGCAGCTCCGATAACTCCAGATGCGGCACCAGCAAAGACGTTGACACCAAGGGACTGCACCTTGGGATCGCTATAAATGGCGGTAGTGACGTTGGAGCGAATGGGTTCGTAAAAGCCGAGACGGCAGCCGTTGAGAAGGACTTGGTAGATATACTAGATATTCTCAGTAATTAGCCCACAACGAGCGGGAATAACTGTTGTGACATGGGCATGTGTCCACGTACGGCAGATCCGATTCCACGGAACAGACCACGAGGGCCTTCGTTTTGGAGGATAACCTTGACACCGTGCAAGACACCACGATACTTCTTTACCCCGTCATTCTTCGCCTGCAATTCACCTTGCAGTTGTAACCTTAGATACAATCAACACCACTCCAATCAATGTTCGAGGCGACTCATTCGGTAAGCTTACCGAATCTTAACAGTCTCGAAACTGTGGGTAACAGTGACAGCACCGCATGCGGCGATACCTCCGGCGAGGAACGCCCTATTTCAAGCACATACAAGGTTAGCGCAAAGAGTGACTTGAAGTGTAGATTCGTGGGTCTCCTTACCCAGTCGTAGTGGACATCGCGCCTCAAAAGTAATGACCGATGAGTCGGACGATTTGGACGGCGATCGGAGAGAGATCGGAGCGGCGGCAATTGCAGGGAAAGAGGCGAGTCCCCGATTAGAGATGGCGAGAGAGAGAGGAAAAAAAGAATGAAAGCCTTCTTAGCTTGTCCGAGAGCACGTTTCACTATATGTCAAGGGCTGAAGACTTTCAAAAATTGTCAGATCATCCGGGGGAGAGATGGTCGGGCCTGAGAGGGACCCAAAAGCTTACCTACGGTTACCGCAGGCCGAAACTCGGCCTCCATAATTGGTCAATGGTGCCTGTCGCGCTCCGACTCTCGGGGGCGGTGAAGCGGGAGAAAGTAAATCCGCGATCGCGAAAAAAGAAGGCGCGTGGAGGGCTTCCTGTCTGGCCCAAAGAGGAAAGCGCGACGCTGCCCTGGGCTTTCTGCCCACACCTGAGCTTCCCCTCCCTGATTTCCTCTTCTTTTACCTCTACTCGATCACCTTCTCACTTCCTTACCTTCTGCTTTATCCTCAAATCCTTTCACTTGCTGCAATCTCAGTATGGCGGAGGGCCAGCAGCAGACTCCGGTGTCTCAGCCGGCTGCCCAAGCTCCTCAGCAGTCCCAGAAAATTCCTGACATCATCCGCGGATATCGCCCTTGCAAGGTAGGAAGAAAATACTCACCGGCAACCCCCTGCTGCGGCTCACTGTCTTGATTCAGTCCTTCAAAGGCTCCAAGTCGGATTCGTCGTCGAATTATGTGACCTCCCTGGACTTCGATGACCAGGGTGACTATCTGGTTGCTGCCGGCGACGACGAGACCATCCAGATCTTCGATGTCAAGGAAGGCAAATCTACCAAGTCGGTTCCTAGCAAGAAATACGGTGTCCACCTAGCTCGATTCACCCATCACTCTCGCCAGGTGCTTCACGCCAGCACCAAGGTCGACCGTAAGTGCTCCGATATTTCAAATTATGGAAAGTGTGTGGCTCAGTCTACTTGATAGATTCTTTGCGGTTGCTCGACCTTCACAACGAAGGATATGTGCGCTATTTTTCTGGTCACACAGACAAAGTCACATGTCTAGCGATGTCCCCAGGCAGTGACTCCTTCATCTCATGCGCAAAAGACGACACTGTCACTGTATGGGATCTTAATTCCCGCAATCCACAGGGTAAGCTTAAACTAGCGACCCCGTATCTAGTGGCATTCGACCCGTCGGCCTCGGTTATTGCGATTGCATCGCAGTCTACCTCCTCCGTTCTTCTCTATGATTTCCGCAACTACGATAAGGCCCCCTTCTCCTCATTCGATCTTGCTCCGTTCGAGGAAATCTACACACCTTCGACTCGCGGACGTGCCTGGACTCGGCTGGAGTTTTCCAACGATGGAAAATTTTTGATGGTTGCAACCGACTACCATGGACACTACATATTAGATGCTTTCGAGGGCACGGTCAAGGCTTTTCTCCAGGGAAAGAGCGGATCGCCTGGCCGCGCTGCGCCAGTCTCAACTACTGGCAAGCCTTTGAGTCAGGGTGATGCTTGCTTCACCACGGATGGGCGCTTTGTGATTGGTGGCAACGGGGAGCAGCACGATGTGCTAGTATGGGACCTCAATGATGTGCGGGAGGGACGACAAAGCAATGCCGGATTGCAGCCAATGACCAGGCTGCCTCATCGTGGCCGGACCGCTCTCATTGAATACAATCCGCGGTATAACATGATCGCCAGTGCCGATAAGGACATCGTGTTCTGGCTTCCCGACGAACCTCCGAGGCCTTCTGACAAGTAAGCCTACCAATTGGGGCTTTTAAGGAGAGCTTATGGCGATCTTGATGTGTTCGATTACTGTGACCCGAAATACAGGACGCTCAGTGGACAATTCGAGTTCTACTGGAGTCTTGTGATCTCTATCATGAAATGCTTATTTACGTGGAACGTCCCAAGCCCCAGTGTTCCTTGATTCAGGACGTTGGTCCCTTTCCAAGGGAAGGCCATTACCAAATGCCTGGATGCCACACGCCTGTCGATGACCAGGCGCCATTTTTATGCTTTACGGTCTTTGTCTTTGCCCGCCAAACTTCGGGCTGTATCACAGATCCAAATCATAGGTCCTTCAAGGTCGTCATCAGTCCCTCGGTTCTTTTCGATCGTCGTTTCGATCTGCTTATCGATCGTGCGATTGCTGGAAATGGTCGTCATCCCAGTCGCCCACCCATACATGAATACGCTGTGATTGATATCCGACAAGCCTTTAGCGACTTCATCTGCCACTGGAGGAAGCTTCCCCTCTGCCTTCGCGATGCTGATGACAGACTGGGCCTCAATGACCCTGATGGGGATCTTCCAGTCTGCTGGCACGTGCCAGTCCGACAACTCCTGAAACTTTTGAAGGGTAGATTGCTGATCCAGATGGTCATACGGAGGATCACCCATCATAATCTTCATCCTTTCCTTCTCAGCATCCGTCCCTATTATTTGCACGATCTCGCGCATGCGGGTCGCTGCCTCGTTGGTACAGACCAGTTCATGCTCAATCATGGCCGGCCATATTTCAGTTTGAAGCAGCGGCTGCTGCTTCTCGACCTCGATCTGCCTCAGAATAGCTCTATGACAAATGGGCGATGGAACGATATCTTTCACATGAGACAGGTCCGACACCAGTGCGAGGAGCAGGGTGCAGTCCACATTTAGGGTGGCAGTGAAGCGCCTGAAAAGCCGTGGCAAGAGGCATGCCAACTCTGGCTTGCTGGCATCTGCAGAGATCCTCTCTTGGCATTCGATCTTGACGCCGTAGCTGCGCATCTCGCGGATAATATCATCAATTTCAGGAACATTCCCTTCCCCAATCTTAGGAAGCACCACTCGTAGCCGCGGGTGTCGATACCGCAAGCGCGTAGCATCGGCCGCTTTCCTCAGATCCCGCGCCAATTTGATGAGCTCCAGCTCATCCTCGTCGTCTTCGTAGTCCGAACCATCGAGGTTCTGCAGTACAGTCCGTTGCCGCGGGCCATCGCTGCCCTCGTCGGACAGGAACTCATCCTCTGAATCGCGCTCCCACCCTTTCTTCGCCATCTCGAAAAGCAGTCTACTCTCCGAGATGGTCGATACTTTCACCCACTCCTCCCCATCGTCGGCCACGATATCCACAAACACACTTTTGCGTTTATCTCTATTGGGCTGTTTCTCTCGGCCGCAGTCCTCTTTCCCAACAGCTTGCGACACCTTCTTCTCCTTCTCCTTCTCCTTTTCCGAACCCTTCGTCTCCCCATCCCAATAAAACCGCTTCCCCAGCGCCGAAAGCCCGCAGCACGAACCTCTCACAATGTCCCATACAGCCTGGTAGAATGGGAGATTCGACGACCGCAGCGCATGCATCAGTCGCATCTCGGTCTCGGATTCTTCGCCGTCCTCAGTCTGCCTCTCCTTGCCGTTCTCCTGTCCCTGATTCCTGTTCCTACCAGCCCCAGCACTGCTTTGCAGGCCCTTCTCCAGTCTCTGCAGCATCTTCAGCTCCGAGGTCACGTTGGACCGGAACTGCCGCACCTCGACGAGCTGCGGGTTGCGCAAGGAGCGCTTGAGCAGATCCTGCAGCTCGTCAATCTCGTCAAGGAGATCGAGACATTGTTGATGCAGGCGCACTGACGATTCAGAGCTGGGTGAAATCGGGGAGGAAATGTGTTTTTGCAGGGCGAGAAGTCTGGCGGTGGATGTGGTTTGATCGTGGCCAGCGGAGTCGTGCGTCATTGTGGGAAGGGAGATTGTGGGAGGGAATGTGGTCGTTACACGCGTTGTTTGGCTGAGAATCAAGTGCTCTGCATGGGGATGAGGTTACGGAGTTCCCTGGCCGCGTAGGGTTGGGCAATTGGTGTTGGTAGAGGATTAAGTCGTAGGCGCGTGCTCTGCAGCTTGTCCGTGGCGGAGTGCGGGGCGGATACGATCGATATGCTTACTTATCGGTGGAGGGCTAAGGCAATTTGAATTTTGGTTGAAGCAATGTGTAAATATATTTGCAATTGACTAGACCCGATCGAAGATCAAGGTATAGAGTGAGTTCGTGAAAGGAGGGAGGGCGGCTTATAAGTTGGAGACGAAGCTCTGTATGAGTCAAGACGTCGGCCCGCAGGCTTCTCGATGGGCTTCCGTTGGATTCGGCCCGACAATGCACTAAAATAGTGATAGTAAAAAATACAGCCCCAAAGCGTCTCAAGTGGCTACAGTCTGCAGGCAGATGCATCTTAGTATATTAACAGTCTGTCAAGCAGTATTCAATTCCAGCAGCTAGTTGAGTCGCTGTCGCCGCAGCAAGCTATTCAAAGTATACATTGGGAGCCAACATACAAGCCAGGTGAAGGTGAATCCAGGAGTATCAAATACGCATCACTAGAACAAGGGAAAGGAAAACCAACGCCGTGACATGCATGTAACTTGAGCTGGGCTGTGGGCAGGTGGGATCTGGTCACACTGTTCGCAAGAAGAGATCGATTACCCCAGTCGATGAGGGTTAATCGCGGGCCCGAAACGATGTGACCTGAGTCATGATTCCATTAATGGGTGAGCCTTTGTCTTTCGCTGGAGTTGCGAGGAGATTCATCATCATCCGACCACTTGTCTCCGTCCTCGCCAACAGCGAAGATCGTCTCCTCATCGATGGAGGCACGTTGGTGGGGCGCGGAGACAGGCTTGGGAGGCACGGGCGACAGATCGCGGCGACCTTCAGCGGCAGAGCTGCCAGGGTACTCGGGAGGAGCATCCAAGGGGTCTTCCTCGTCGAGACCGCTGCCGAAAGATCGAATCTCGAACCCGTCATCATCTTGAGCCAGCTGTAAGAAACTATTAGTATGCAAGGTTGACTAAATCTGCTCGGGTAACAACATCCATACCTCATCACTCATGGCGAAGCGCCGGTTGTTGGCAGTTGGTCGCCACAGGTAAGAGACAAAGGCGATATCGAACAGGTAGACCAGATTGAGCCAGCCATCTAGCACGAACCACCGCGCCTTCCAGTGCTCAGGGACGAAGCTGGCTTCACTGTGACCAGCAAAGGCAAAGGAGTTAATGAAAAAGAAGCCGAAAATCACGATGATGCTACCGAGGATGCACCACCACAACTTCTTGTACATCAGTGCCTTGGTCTTCTGCTTGCGGTCAATCAGGTCCTTCATGGTGGCGTTGAGCGAGTTCAATGTCCACACGTAGAAGGCCGTCAAGGTACCGGCCAAGGGAAGAACGATCAGGAGCACCATAGGACCGGCACTGTCTGGGGTGATAGACAAGCTGGCAATCGAGTAGACCATAGCGAAAATGAAGTGCGCAATGGCTAGAATGCGAACATAGACCATGGTCCGACCCAGGGAAGGCTTGACGACGCCATAACCCATGCAGACGATGAGGAGGAGGAAAAATGAGAAGGCATTGCGGCCTGCATTGAGTATAGCCACAATTATCATTAAAGCCTTGGCCATACCATTTAATCCATGTCGATTTTGATAATCTAGAAAGACGCGTCAGGTCGCAGATAAAAGAGCACGGATAGGCAAGGCAGCATACCATAGAATCCCCATGTCATCAGCTGTTCAACAATCAAGAACACAAGGATCGCAGTGATGTAGTTTTGAACAGGCACTGTTCATAGTTAGCACTCTATCGGCCCACAAATAAGCTGCTGTTCTTACGAATATCATGGCGGTTTTGAACGTAGAGGAATGCCCAGAACCTGAATTTCATGTCAGCCTTTCTCGTCATCTGAAATACTGGCTCTGATCGACACATACATTCCAACAACAGCATAAACAATCGTCAAAGCCCCATAGAAAGGAAGCTTGGCGATTTGCGCCGCGGGAAGCTCGCCGTATGAGTTGCGGAAAGTAACCACCGCGCTGTAGTCCTCCCCAGAGTATGCGTAGGTGCTCACACAGTAGAAACCAGTCTTCCGCACGGGGTACTTGATGGCATCCGGGTCGTTCAGGTGGACAGCCTTGGAGATGATTGGGTTTTGAGAGGCGTCGCTGGCGTTCTTGGTGAGGATAAAAGAGCCGACATCAACTTGCTCGCAGAGTTTCGCGTCCACGGCCGCCTCGTCGCAGATGGTATCCTTCATCTGATATTTAATCCGTCAGTTCCATTACTGCCTGGACTTGCGAATCGGCGGCATACCTCGGCGTCGGCGGTTCGGTACTCGCCAATCAATTCTTCGTCCTTCCATTCAAATATCACCAAGCTGGCGAGAGGGTCGCCCTCTTGGTTCTCAGCTTTAGAGAACTTCACCAAGATAAAGGGGTCGACGTTCCCGCCCCATGCCTTCCGGCTATACATCCCTGAGCATCGTTGGCGGTGTGCCTCATCGGATTTCTAGGAAAGAAGCGCCATCAGTAATTTAGTGTGGATAAATTGAATCAAGCGACGATGCGAAACCCCTCACTATTTCAACTTCATTGGCAAGCACGGAGCCTGCGAGCAGGGCCGTTAGGCCCAGTGTCCGGAGCCAGCCCTTCATCGCGACCGTAAGCAAGACGCAAGCGAGGCTCCAGGGTTCGGGGGAGGATAAAGCTATTCAAAGCCACGCCTTCAAAATGCGCCGGAGGATAGGTTGAAAAATAGCCGTCTTTAGATCAGATCCATCGAAGCTGCTCCGGAACCGTCGAGCTCACTGCGTGGCCTGAAAAGGCCGGGGAAGCCGCGTGTGGAACCGCCTTACCTAAGCCGCTCACCCGCACCGCCACCACCTCCCATACTTTTTCTTGACTTTTTTTGGACGGCGATCTTGCTCAGTCGTTAACCAGAGAAATTACACAGAAATGCCAGCCAAGGAGCTAATTCGTCCTTGCATGGACTGCAAAGATGGAGAGGCCATTCTGGATACTCGAAAGAGGCAGTATTGTGGGTATGCGACTCATTATCAACCCCTCTATTTGACAGCTACAAAATACTAAACGGCTTCTAGTAATTGCTTCAAACGTTTCGCTACCTACAAAGTCCACACTCGCATGGCCGATTATAGGCAAATGAAAAAGCCAAACATACAACAAATCAAGTTGTTGCTCCCCCTCTCCCTCGGCGTCTCCTCCTCGATCCTATTGCATATTCTTAATGCCGATATCCAACGCCAACTCGCCAAGCCGTATGGCGGGCTCGGTTACGACCTTCATATACTTGTCGTCGATCCCTCAACCATCCTCCCGTCGAGCACCAAATATGATCAAGCCTATGAGGCTGCAACAAAAGCGTTCCCGGACCTCAAATTGACCCGCTTGCCGTTTCATAGTGTCTTCGAGTATGTCCCAGATATGAAGGAAATTATTCAAGAGTATACGGGCCCACACTTCAGCGACGACGAGTCGCGGTCGAATCAGGATCGTCTGGCTGCATTCCGTGCTGCTGTCTCAACCGCAACGTCCAAGGCCGACCTCGACTCTGTGTTGTTGACGAGACTTGTGGTTGGATACGCAAAGAATACTGGCTGCGAGGTTGTGATTTGGGGTGATTCGGATAGTCGTCTTGCGGCGAAGACACTTGCTGGTGTTGCCAAGGGTCGTGGTGCCTCCTTGACCTGGTCGGTTTCCGACGGCATGTCTCCTTGGGGCGTGCGCTTCGGCTTTCCGCTACGAGATTTGTCAAAACCCGAGCTCGAGCAATACAAAAGCGTTTGCGAGGAGCTTTCTGACATCATCATCAGTGATGAGCCTTTGTCAGACAACGTTCTCACGAAGAATCTGTCTATCGACGAGCTCATGATGCGCTATGTTCACACGCAGGGCGAAAAATACCGTGGTGTGATGGCGAACGTGACGAGAACGGCAAATAAGCTTGAGTCGACGGCCGGGTCGGACGATCATTTGTGCCCGCTGTGCGGAGGGCTCGTGGGGAATGTCAAGGGCAACTCTGGAGTAACTGTCGCTAACCAATCCAGTGACAACCACAGCTCCAAGTTCTGCTACGGGTGTATGAGGTCACGTCCAGAAGCCACCTGCTAATTAAACCACTATGGGAGATGCGCTATGTGAAACAAATCCACCAAACAAATCTGCAGTCATAACTTTGAGTCAACTCTCAAACCAGTCCGAAAGGGTATCTTAAAGTCGTCATTCTCGCTTTGGGCATGTCCTTCATCCTCCTCGCTCCAGGTCCTCCTCGCGATGGCGTGATCCGCCAAACCACCAGCTAGGGCCACGACTATTACGGGACTTTTTTGCGCACGGGGAGCTGGCTGGCCGGCTGCCAGCATTGACTCCATGTTGACCTCCTGACATTTCCTGCTCGCGATAGCCGGGCGGCGAGTTCCCTACCACACCGCTCTCCTGCTTGTCCCATTCCTCAGGAAGACTGTGGTCGATGACTCGTTCTTCTCGTTCGTTCTCGATGGCCGGTCGCTCTTGTCGTTTAACCTGTTTCTTGAGCGCCTTAGCACCCTGTTCCCGCAGGTGCTTTTCGAGGATCACGGCGTTTCTGGTATTGCACTTGTACACGGCATCCGCAATGTCGCCGATGAACGGAACCAGGCCGATGAAGAAGTCGATTATCACGTTGACAAGCATCATCGTGCGCAGACGAGATGGGAGTCCACCATCGATCTCCTCGCAATTTCTCACAACCATCATGGCAAGTGCGGCATCTGCGGCGTCTCCGACGCTGTAAAAAGGCGCCAATGTCAGATCTCATAATGAATGGGCACAGGGTCGATCGGGAACTTACAAGGGCACAAGACCAATCACACTTCCCCAGCCAAAGCGGACCCCGCACAGATTAAACAGGCAATAGTCGAGGCGGTACGCCCTGCGCTTGACCTGAGTTAGGATTTTGGCATCTTTCTCCGATAAGCCAGGCGGGATAGCCTTGCGACGCTTTTGAGTCTTCTTGCCAAAGGCTCTCCCCAGGCGTGAGGCGGGAACATCTTCAAAGTAAGGGTCCTGGGAAAAGGCATGAGGTTAGCTCAGTTGTACACTTAGTTCGTGATACCTCACTAAATAAACATACTTCGGTTCCAAAGTGATTCCTTGCAGACTCGGCGAGGACTCTCTTGCCGACTAAAGACCATAGTATACCAGACATTTTGTATCGTAACGTTGGCTAGCTCGAGGGAGAGCGAAGGGCAGCAGCTTGTAGGAGTGTCGAAGAGCGAGTTGGAAGATATGATGTGGGGGTGTGTCAAGGGGGTTAAAAATAGAAGGCTGGGCTTTCCCTGTTTCCACAACGGCGCCAGAGGTTTCAAGATGCGAAATTTGTGGCAATCAGTTGGAGCCAGCAATGCAAAATCATGAAGCGCCAGGGAAAGACGAAACAAAAATGGGGAGCGGGCAAGGTCGCCGTGTTTATGGCGCAACGTCATTCCCCAGTATTTATTGCATTACGCGCCCAAATCCTGGCACGCCGATCGCTGTGGCGCATGAGATTGTGCAGTGCCACAGCGCCACAAGCGCCACATTAGTGCCTGAGTCATCTGATCGTTACTCGGGCAGTTCCGCCTGCTTTGCACCTGAGCTGCCCGCCCTTTCCCCCGATTGGCACTTTGTCTCCCTGTACTTCCTTCTCTGCAGTATCCTACGACTCCGAACTCGCTCTCCCTACCTCCCCACCTACCTTCCTGGGCTGCTGCACCCTTCCTGCAAGCTAGCCCCGTTGTGTTGAGCCGTGTCGCATCCCGGACCCGAGCAAGCGTCTGGTTTCGGTTGTCCACGTTGAAATGCGAAGCTTCGTCGCCCAACATGACCGAATCAAAGATGCAACTAGAAGACTGTGGGTGTTGTATCTGACCTCCCTGGCAAGGCCAGTCGCTAATCAGAAGCCGGTCAACCTCAATAGGGCTGGATGACTTATGTGTTCGGTTTATCATTAACCTGCCCCATGAAGAGCTCGAATCCGTGGAACGAATCTGTTTCCAAGTCGAAGAGGCGCAATGGTTCTACGAAGATTTCATTCGGCCTCTTGACCCGGCGCTGCCCTCCCTTTCGCTCAAGGCGTTCAGCTTGCGCATCTTCCAACACTGTCCTCTCATGTCGCAATGGTCCCACTACCATCATATGGCCGCCTTCTCGGAGTTTTTGGCTTACAAGACGCGGGTTCCGGTCCGCGGTGCAATTCTGCTCAACGAAGAAATGGATTCAGTGGTCCTGGTGAAGGGATGGAAGAAAGGCGCGAATTGGAGTTTTCCACGAGGCAAGATCAACAAGGGCGAGCCCGACTTGGACTGTGCGATTCGTGAAGTCTATGAGGAAACTGGGTTCGATGTTCGTGCGGCCAATCTGGTGAAAGACGAAGACTCTGTAAAGTCTATCGAGGTCACCATGCGAGAACAGCACATGCGACTCTTTGTTTTCCCCGGTGTCCCTTGCGATACACATTTTGAACCACGGACTCGCAAGGAAATCAGCAAGATTGAATGGTATAAGCTGTCGGAGCTGCCGACTCTTAAAAAGAACAAGCAATACGACGAAGGAATGGCCGTGGCCAATGCAAACAAGTTTTACATGGTTGCACCTTTCCTGCACCCGTTGAAGAAATGGATTGCGCACCAGAAGAGACTCGCGGCCAAAGATCAGATAGGCATGAAGTCATCTCTGCAAGCCGAAGGTTATGCATCCGTGGATGAGAATGGTCGTCGGGCCGATTTCGCTGCCTACGGAGGCGGGGTCAGTGACCTTCCTGAAGTCAATTCAATGGCTTCGATGCCGGACGCTTCCTCTCACATTAAGCAACTGCTTAAAATCAGCGGAGATCTCCCAACACCCGCGGAGGTGCAAGCTCCTCCGCCTACTCAACCCGCTGTTGTGGATCAGACTAAGTCGAACGCGCTTCTAGCCCTCCTCAGGACGGGCTCGCAAGATGTCGCTCCTCAAGTGCAGAAGGAAACCATGACTCCGCCGGCCTCACTTCCCTCTGGTGTACTTGCTACTGCTCAGCCACCTCACTTGGCGCCCAATTTCTTCCCCGGATTCCCTCAGCAACAGTATCACATGGCACCATCGAATTTCATGCAACAAACCTCCGTGCAACACCTACCTAGGCAGCCGCTGGCAACAGTCCAGCGTCCTATCCATGCCGCCCAGCACCATCCAATCCCTACACCTGGACAGCCTGAGCTACAAGGTTCATCTACGATACCCAGATTAACCCAAATGCCCCGGCCGGACTATCAGGGTCTCTACCCTCAATCTCCACTTCCAAATGTTGCGCCTTCGAGAACTGCGGTTGCTCCATTCCAACAGACTGGTGACCCCCAATTCTCCCAGCCGACACAGCCGTCTCAAGTACCGGGTGCGATTGTACCGCCAGCCAGCAAGCTACCTCCACCGAAGCTTACTAGCCACTCCCTCGCGCTTCTGGGTTTCTTCAAGGATGAAAGCAAGACCCCCAAGACCCACCATGCTGCTCCAGTACCTGTTCCTGCTCCTGTACCAATTCCCGAGCCTGTGCCTGTGCCGGGTGCTAGTCAGGAACGCAAGACATCTCATCAGGACAGTCTTTTGGACTTGTTCAAAGGGCCAAGAGGTACACCTAGATCTCAACCAGTTGAGTTGTTAGGTCAACCTATCCCTTCAGCGTCGCCTGCAGGAAGACAGATCCTTCAAAGGCCGCCAAACCAGATGGGCCACGACGTGCAGCGCGGTCCAGCGGGATCAAAATCTCAGACGGGTGCAGCCCATACTTCAGCTACCGTGTCCGGGCCTTTGAACATGCCACAGTCTGCGGCAATTCCGAAATTGGCGACCAAGAAGGTGGTCAATGGATCGAATCGTCGAAGCAATTCAAACCGTCGCGAACAAACGCAAGTACAGCCACTTTCCTCGCCAATTACTATTCTGCCTCGGCCGCAGATCGCAAAGCGGGATGTGTCTACCACGGGACCCCATGTTCAGCCCGTCCAGGCTCCGTCTCAACAGCAGGTCTCTCAGCCTGCAGCTCCCGAACCAGTGAAGCCATTCCAGCCGCAGATTTTGCGTCGCTCTGAGAAGACAGGCTATGAGAACCTGTTGATGGGCACCCCCAAGACGAAAAGCTTAGATCCCAAGCCAAGTCTTCCTGGTTTGCAGACACACGCTGCGGAGCTAGCGCCGAAGACAAATTATGATCGCCGGCCTAGCCAAACTCCTGCACAGAAAGAGGCACTCCTCTCACTCTTCGGCAAGCCTCAAGAATCTCCCTCTTTGGCATCAGCAGTGCAGCTTGATTCCCAGACTATCAACCGACCGCTCAATGTGTCCGGTCTTGTCAGCCCGCTTTCATCCTTGCAATTCCCCAGCAGCGGCGAGTCGATTTCTCGCCATGGAACACCCTCTGAAGGCGAACAGGACCCTTCTAGCGCCAACCGAGTCTCATCACCGAGCAACAAGGCATTTTTGCTTGGCTACCTGCAGGGAGTTGCTAAGGGAGGCAATTGAAACAAAGGAATTTGCCGGTCTATCGGCCATAACATATATCTGCTCGCCCTGAGACAATTGTGTAATACAGGACGAGGATAGTCAAATGAAGCATTAATTGACTGTATCACCTTCCCCGAGATTTTCTTCGTAAAAAAGTCTGTAAGTATTGATGCTGGCTTGGGAACGCACATATTATAACCCGTATTTCGTATCATTCGCCAATTCCTCCCTCCCGTTAACGTCGACAGCGGAAGATTTGGCGCTGGCCACAAATAGATAGAATGGATACCCAAAAGGGATGAATATGCTCCGGTATCACGTAGACAAGAAACATCCACTGTTCGTTCGTGTGGCTAGCTGCGCGCTAAAAACCTGGGGATAACAGTTTCGTCAAGCTTAACCTGCTAAATGATACTCCGCAGGGATCGAGACTTTTTCCCAGGCCTAAGATTTTTCCGATCTATCCGAGTCTGATTCTTCTCCCGATTGCAATCGTATCTTATTGTCCTTGGGAACGGCGGCAAAGTTCGCGGTAGTCTTCTTTTGTGGACACTCCGTAGAGACATGGCCCTTGTCGCGGCAAACGAAGCAGCGTCCTTCTCTCAAGTGCGCTCTTCTTAACTATATCCGTTCCTGATTCCTTCTTCATTCTGGCGTTTGAACTCGTCTTGTTATTCGACCCGTTGTGGGGTTCCGTCCTCCGCGGTTCCTGCTGTTCCCTTGGCTACCTAGAGCTTGTCCTGCCGCGACCTGCTGAGCAACCATCTGCGAAATAACCCGGCACTTTTCGATAAATGCCTCCAGGCTAACGTTGACATTCTACCGTCCGACATAACTTGATTCTGCAGTACGTGCGGCAACTTGCGATAAAGATCGCGCTTTCGCAGCTCCTCCGGGTGCTCGGCCTCCTCAGCCAGGTACGTGAAATTTTGCAAGGAAATCGGTGAAGTCTTGTTTCGGTGTCATGCTCAACTCAAGGTACTTATCGCACGCAACTTGTCGTGACACCTCCGGAGATCACATATTTCATCATCGAAGTCCAGAGTCCCTAGCAATATCATCATCCGTAAACCCCTCCTTCAAACTACAAAGATACTTATCAAACCTCCCCGAAACATCCAGTACATGCTGCAAGTCCGCATGCGACATACTCTTCCCCTTGAACTTAGCCAACTGCCGACTTGTCGTGATAGCATTTCGAATCTCCCGGCCGTTCATCTCCTGATCCGCCAACTCGCTAATATAGCACTCGACATCGTCAAAGTCGATGTACGGCTGCTCCAGCCGCTTGAGCCGGTTAAACAGATTACGCCAGATCTTGAACCGCTGCGAGCGGTTGAGGTTGGGGTAGTGCAGTGAGACTTGGATTCGGGACTTGAACGCTTCATCGAAGGTTCCGACGCGGTTGGAGGTTAGAATTAAGATACCGTCGTAGTATTCGAGTACGCGGAGGAAAACTGTTACGAGCGCGTTGCGCTGGAGGTCTGATAGGGTGCGCTCTTGTAGGAACACATCAGCCTCGTCGAGCAGGACAATGCAGTCCCAGATTTTACCCAGGTGGAGGGCGGATTCGAGGTAGTGTTCGACGTTCTCGGGCTGTGTACCGATGTCGCCGCAGGTTACACGGTATAGTGGCTTTTCAGCTAATTCAGCGACGCTTTCAGCAGTGAATGTCTTGCCAGTACCCGGTCCGCCATGTAAGAGGATTGTCAGCCCGTTTCCCTTGTCGTCGATCATGTCTGTTCCCTGTTCGGCTTCTAGGCGATTTGTTATCAAGGCTTGAACGAGCTCTTTGGTTTTCTCATCGATGACGAGGTTTTCAAAGGCCTTTTTGTTCCATTCAACTTCCTTAATGAGGTCGACTTCTAGATTGACTGCTCACGAAGAATCAGAAGGAGAGAATATCCCGTGATTATACAATAAATAGCTTACCCCATTTCTTGCGGCGGAGGTTGAATCCCACAATGCGTGACGGGAAGAAGAATATCTCGGGCGTTGTGGGTGGTTCATCGTCGTCCATTCGCTCACGGGGGATCTCTGTGCGATTTGTTGTGGATGACGGCTTTGACTCAGGAGGATGGAGTTGCCTATAGGTCGGAAAGTCGATCATGAACCTTTCGCTATTCTGGATGTCAAGTTAGATGAAGTGTATCGCGGAGTGAAAAAAAGTAGGTCTAGAGGGACCCACGTTATTGAGCGAATCGATGTCATCCTCTCCACTATAAGAGATGAACTTCTTTTTGCGACATGCCCAATATGTCTTTCCCCGACGCTCAAGCTTCTCTCGCATCTCAGGACTGGTGTAATCCAGGGGTGTCACCTCCAGTGAGCTTAATGCTACCTCCTCGTTGGGATCTTTGACATCAAGTTTTATCTCGAGAGTGACGGGCTTCTGATGGAAGACCCCATCGAACTCATATGACCAGGCTGACACTTCCCAGGTCTTGTCAAATTCCCCTTCCGTTTTGGCATGGTAGCCCCTATATGTGGGCTTTATACTCACCCAAGATGTAGCCTGGTATGCTTGGGGTAGGCCTCTCCCCTGATTCCCCTGGAAAACGAGCGGGTCGCCTGGTCTGACAAGGTATTTCATCGACTGGCAAGAAGTGACTCCCCGTGCAATCTGGCTATCCGTGTGTTCATATTCCGCTCCGTAATGTATGCTCACCCAATCCGCGAACAGCTTCATGAGAGATCTTTGAGGAGATGGAAGCGTTTGTAGGACCGAGTCATACGATAATCGAAAGCAATACCAGAAGAGGTAAGGCGAGGGGATTTCTGTTGCAATATCAAAAGAAGGGAAAAGATTTTTGAAATTCGATTGTCTGTCCAAGTAAGCCTGGACGGCAAGTCTCATCTCCTTTGAGGCGAAGAGGACCGTTTCAGCTTCAGGCTTGGGAAGAGGTGGAAGTTCCGGTTCTTTGCCTGTTACTTTCACGGGGCCATCCACTGCCTCGGGAGCATAAGTTTTATAGACAACAAAGGCGAGATTGCTGCTCTGCTGCAGGAAATGGGCTCCCTTCATTGAGAGAGAGCTTCCTCGCAGATAATAACGATTGTCATGCTCTCGAATCCACATGGGTGGCTTGAAGAAGATCTTATCGTCCCATTTGATTCGATGAACAACTTGGCAAAAGGGTCGTCCTTCATGGATCGAATCCGGATCAATCCAGCTCTTCAACAATGCGTTCTCTTGTTCGAGAGCCTTAATGCGGTCTATTAGCTGTTTGTAATGCAATAGTGATTCTGAATCCCCATTTCCCTCCTTGTTGATAGTATCACCGGAAAACGTTCTCAGCAGTTCTCTGGGCACAGGTTCGGGGCGACCGTTGAGAACCTCGCTACTAGCAGAAAATGGTGCCTTAACTAAGCGGGCTGTATTGAGATCTGAAGCTGCGCCTGACCTGAGTTCACTAGCTGGGCGCTCATCTAGAAGTGATTCTTGACGCTCATGATGAGAATCTTTGTGCCATTGTCGGCCTAGGCGATGTGAGCTCATTGAATGCAACTCTTCCCTCGGACCTGAATAAGCTGTATTCGGGTCAAAGGTGAATCCAGTGTCTAGGTCGGTGTTCAAGAAGGTGTCGAAATCGAAATTCTCTAGAATGTCTGGGTTGTCCAGGGCACTAAAATCAAGTCTGAAAGCCGCGGCTTCAGGGAATTGTACGTCTTGGAGCGGATTCGGTACCGGCTGTGGCTCTGGCTCTGACTCTGCTGTCGAAGTCCTCTGTTGGCCGCGAAGAGGTCGAGCAATCTGCGGAAGAACGCCTGCAAGTTGTCTTTGGCTCCAGCCACTTTCGGTCGTTCGATCCTCGGATATAGTGGTATGTTTCCAGAAAGATAGTGGATTGCTTCTTAGGTTGTCTGGATCAAACCAAAAATCGACGTCGTGACTAAATTCTTGGGGTTCGAGAGATTGAGCTTGTAGGAAACCGAACGTGCCCTGAAGACTATCTGATGGAAACTCGCCTTCGCCTTGTTCGTCGTTATAAGGGGGCGAATTAGGGCGACCGGACGCTTCCGATCCTTCTTGGTCCTCTTCTGCGCCTTCGTCTTCCTCGTAGTAATAGTCTAACGGCGCGTTTGATCTTTCTCCCTCTGACTCTTCGTCGTAGTAATAGCCTGACGAAACAGTTGATCCTTCTTCTTCTTCTTCTTCTTCTTCTTCTTCTTCTTCTTCTTCTTGTCCCTGACTGTCTAGATTCCCAGTTGACGTTTCTCCAACCCCCCTGAGTTCGAGCGTTGCGTATAATCTCCGACGGCAGATCCCGCGAGGCTCTCGGGGGTCGTTACTTTTCTGGCTATTAACCTCTCGATCAAAGGGTCTCGAACGAATGGCAGACTGTTTGCTGATGAAGGATGAGGATAGGTACCAGCGACAGAGCTCTGGGACGGCGAGGCTCGAGGGGGAGGCCTAACGAGGCTGAAGAAGGGATTGGGCAGGAAACCTGAAGGAATATGCGAAGGTTGAGACATGCAGCGGTAAGAGTGTGCATTCAAGCCTTTGCAAAGCAACCACCATGCGCCAGGCGACGGAAAGATGATGCCTGTCACTAATGAGTTATTGGAACGGAGAGAATCTGCGTGTGTGAGAGAGCTGAGAGAGCGCCTGCGAGGGGTAAGCGCTGGACTGGCGGTTCTATAACCAATGAGGAAGGAAGCATCCGAGTCTTATTCTGATTGGCTCTCCCGCCTGGGGTCAAAAGATGATGACGAGCTAGGGAAGGCATCAGCGCGTATTCGTAATTTCCTTTCCAATCTTGCCATTTCCTGAGCGTGATGGCGGGGATGGTGGATATTAACGCCCGCGATGTTCGAAATTTGGTCAACGGTAACGTCGCTGGGGACCAGATCGGGGGAAGCAAATTTGGAGGCGACCATGTCGCGGGGAATAAGGTCTGTCTCTAGCTTTTAGCCCCTATATTACTGAAGTGTCGTCTAACATCGAGGTTGACCAGATCACAGTTGAGATGCACAATATCATCTTCGATCCCGCGATCATCAACGAATTCGGGGCGCAAAAGAGCGACGATATCTCGGACGATCTCCAGCGAATCGGGCGGCTAGTCTCAAGTATGATTCTAGCTGAGCTGAAGGACAACCGGTCGAGTTCCTCGACCACCATCGTGGGTCTACCGCAAACCATACACGCCCTCGAAGGTGGGTGGCAGTAATTCAACTGATCCTCAGGCGAGGATTGAGACTCATTTAAACCCATCACCCAGAGATCCACACATTACGTTACACCGGTACATTCGAAACGAGCAAAGAGCACCCTGACGTCAATCTGTCCGGTCTGCTTCCACTCAATGCGACCAGCCTGGTCGATCCACAGGAAAGTCTCCGATACTACAGCTTGATGCGAAACATTCGCCGGCGGAAGGAACGTGACTTGTGCCTGTTGCGGAATTCTCGACAACTTCAGGACTGGGCGGCGAAACCTGGATCCTCGCAGCTCCTGGTGAAAGGCTCCTTCCGTACTCGCCACATGCTCCGAGACTTTGCCGCAGATATGATCGAACTGCTTCAAAAGGAGAAGAGAGTTGCTGCCTGGGTCCTCCAGTGCAAGGGAAATAAGTCGGATTCATTTGATACGGCGCATGCCCTGAAACAGGTTGTGTATCAAGTCCTCCAGCAAAGTCCGGGTGTCCTGAATGAACGCGGCGCCTCGCTTACTGCCCAGAGGATTCAGGATGCCTCGAGCGCCGAAGACTGGTTCAGTCTGTTGGGATCTGTCTTGCGAGGGAATAAGGAAGTGTACTTGCTCTTTGATACTACGGCTTTTGCCGACGAGGCGCAGAAGTATAGATGGACAAAGAGACTCGCTAGCCTATTTGATGAGCTGCGGCAACGTCACATCTCCACAACAATGAGGGTCGTGTTTATTAGCTGTCAGCAAGCTGTAAGTCGACAGCTTCAGGCGGATCTTGAAACCGTCATCGATGTGAGCTCGTCCCAAGCGGTGCAGCGGCTGCAGTCTAGACCACTGCTCCCCTCGAAGCAGGCGACCAGCATAAATGGTGTATAAGTCTTTTTGACGAAATCCGGTTAGATTCAGGATTTATCGGTATTCTAAGGAAGTTAACATTAAATCTTTGTATGTCAGTCATTGATACATCACACAATCCTGATATCTAGTTCCTCCATTCCTGCCACACTTTATCCCCAGTGACCTTATCTCCCCCAACAACATCTCCAGCCACACTCCCATTCACAAGATTCCGTACACTCCTCACACTTAGCACCGTATGGCCGCGCTGCGGTCGGTCGTGTTGCGGGTCATTCAAAACAGGGACATAAGACAACAGCTCCTTCGCATATGCAGCAGCCGCCGCCGCCGCATAAGGCTGCCATCTATCATTCTTATGCGAATCCGCATAATCGCAAATGCCTCGAATGACCAGGCAGGGAAAAGAATCCAGTAATCCGGCGGCCTCCATCTCCACACAGTAAATCCCCAGATCATCCCTCAACATATCCCTCAGCTGGCCATCCTTGACAACAACGTCCGAAGATCCAATTGTCCCGTAATGAATGACGGGGTTGGAATGTATCCGGTCCCCACGCCTAATAACCGCTTCTAGGTCGCATCCTTCGCAATTTCTGCGCCACTCAGCGTGTTCGTATTCCGCCCGGAAGAGCTGATCATTCTCAACACCCTGGTAAACATAACCACCCGCCACCATCTTCGGAAACCGCTGCACCATATGCCCCAGGAGCCTCGGTATCGCACTATCCACCCTCCGATGTAGTGCTTCCATCCTCCCCATTGTAGCCAAAAGTATATCCGGTGGAGACCTTAACGCACCCGTGCGCTCGAATCTCCCACGCGAGAGAACCTTCCCCTGCCGAAACTGCACAACGCCCCCAAAGATGCCCTGGGGCTTACTAACAACCACATCACCAAGTCTGATGTCAACACCGTGGGAAAGATTGGGAATCCCGCCGCCGATGCCGATGAGGAGGCTGAAACGGAGGCGTCGGAAGTCGTTTAGAACCTGCGTCGCGACGGATGCTGCGCTGCTGTTTCCGATCTTTGGCATCCCGGCGATTACAACGTTATGGTTGGTAATGCGGCCGAAAGTGTAACTGTTCTTGTCGAGGGTGGTCACGGGGAGGTCTGGGTGAATTTCGTCGAGCATTGCTTCGACGGGGGCTTGTTCGAGTGGCATGGGGCAGATGAGGGCTATTGTGTAGTCGTCGGGGGTGAAGATTGGGGTTGAGGCCATGGTCTGATATAATTTCTTCCGTGCCTGCAATTAAAATACTTGGAAGTGGGTGGTGAATATGTTATCTACACAGGAGTATTTTCCGGTTGTCGTCGTCTGCGGGGAGATGAGCTCGCGGCCACTTCGCGAATAGAAAATCAGCAATTCTGAAATAGGCCTAGCCCATAACCTATGCATACTCGCAGCTTTGTCTTCTAACAACCTGAAGTTGGTCTAAGCTGTACCTTGTATATCAAGAGTCCGGAGCCGTGAACTGTACGGACCTCACACCAAGCTTCGTGACTGGTTCCCTACAGCGAATTGTCTTCGCTTTGCTTTGCTGGGGTTTCCCCTTCAACATACTACCTAGCGTAGTGTTATTATCTCCTCGAAGTAAGGATAATTAGCAGTTTTGGGGATTAGAATCGCGTGTTGTTGTGAAATATGATTGTGAGGAGGACGTGTCATCCTCTTGACATTTCAAATGCAAAAAATGCAAAAGTGGCTCTGCGTAGGGTTCCTGGAAAGCCTAGCAATTTAAGTAAACATGTCAATAACAGGAAAAGAATGACTTTTTTTGCTGAGTTCCTTCACTAAAATCTTCTTATGAATGTGTTGTTGCACTAAATGCCTTAGACCAATAGGATCACTATTTTCACAGCTTGTCCACGTCGAAAATAAGCAGTTAAATAATGGATAGCGCTTAAGTTAATAAGTACTCTATGTTAACTTATCGTTACCTATCGTCACCCCGCCAGCTGATAGACCCACTGCCGCCACTCGGTATCGAGATGTGCTAAATGATGCCATTCATGGTTCGAAGCAAACAAACCCCTCTTAACCACGAAGGGTGGCATATACACAAAATCTCACAATACAAATGGGCAACTGCATGATAGGACAGGCGCTCAACACCGAGGGTGGCAAAGTAAGGGGCCGGGCAGGTGCCGACCCGCATTACTCGACAGCACACCTGCCGAGCGCACCTGCCGACTGGCTGCGTTGGGTTGCCTTAAAAAAGAAATTATTGAAGCTTGTATCGTGGACATTGGCACGAAGTACTGTATATACGTGTTAGTGTATGGTGATTACCTATATCTGAGGTATCGTGATCTGCCCACTAGCAGCCTCGCCAATCAAACATATAATTTGACGGTTGAAACGATCAGAAAGCTATCCACAGAAGCTATACAGCACATAAAAAGAAGACCCATCTGATAGCGTAATTGAAAAATATGTTTGTCAGAGATTTTACGAGGGCCTGGGACCCGTGGAGCTGACGCGTAATTCTCTGCTGAGGAAAAGAGGGACAAGGGGGGGGCCATGTACAATAGCACACCGAGATAACAAACATGCAGCCAAAGGCAGCCGATCCCACGAAGATCACTCACCAGCAACTTTGATTCGAAGTCGGAGGCCCCAGGAGGGGGTGAAATGGGCACAGCAGCGCATTAGCGTCGATCCTGGAGGTTACATCATCTTTTAGCTGCAGCTCCCCAGTTTTCTATTGAACCATGCAAGTTCAAAAGTTCAAAGCAAGAAGGACCTAAGCCGCAGGCTCCTGATCTTAGGCTGATTTTGGGCCAGGCTGGAGAATTCTCAGTCAAAACGAGTCCATGATAAAACTAAATTAGCTGTCCTAGTACAATTTCACTTGGAACTTTTTAAAAATTTGTGTGTCTCCCCCTTATCTCTCTCTCCTTACATCCCATGTCCCTTGAGCTCGATTCCAGCACCTCTTCAGATGTTCAGTCATCGTATACCCTGCCAAATGTGAGCGAATTATCTCCATGCGACGATTGGACAAAAGCCACCAGCCCCAGAGAAAGGAAAAGGGTGCAGAACCGAATTGCCCAGAGGAGCTATCGTTCGTTTTCCTGCATGTTGGTATTAACCTTGTTAATGATTAATCCAAGGGCATCGCATGAAGGCACGTCTTGAAGAGCTCCAAGCAAAATTAGCCATACACGAGGAGAAAGCAAATTCACAGCCGAGCACGACCGACAGTCATTTGGCTAGCGAGTCTGTACAAGCTTCACATACTGCTGACCAAGACTATTTCCCCTTCAAGCTCAATCGAATTTCACAAGCCCATACGGAAGCGCCTACGCAGCCATTTAGATTACAATCTCCAACTGGCCAGACGTCAGATGAAATCTTGAGCGACGAAGGAACTGTTGGCCTTCAACAAACTCCCATGAGTAGGTTTACCCCAACACCTGGGTACGAAACAAGTTGTGCTCATATATTTTCATTAGATTGTCCATCACGAGCAAGAATGTCATCCCAAGAAATTATCATTCGGGATCTATTCGAGCTTCACGCCCAGTTCTCCAACAAACTGAACGATCTTCAACAGGATGGACCGGAATTTGTTCAACAACACGACGCAAGAAACGGAATGACAAGAGGTATTTCCTATCCTTTGTGCTGTTGTTGACCATACTAATCTCATCCTAGCACTTTCTGAGATGGTCCAAGATGCGGCGTCGGGTTATCAGCCACTGATAATCCCGAAGTTCAATGAACCCATAGATTTTGGCTCCTGGAGGTCTAATCACGAGGGGATGCTCTATGAGTCCATAACGGACTCTGAAGCCCAGAAAACCACACCCGCAAATTCGCATATCACAGATAGCGGGGCGTTCAATCCTTCACTTCCGGGACACCGGGATTCCATGGATGAGCGTCTCGATTCTCTTCTGGAGCGCGTGGAGGATGCTGGATTTGAGAACTTTGATTCCTTGGTGACAGCCTACTACAGCTCGACCTTTCCCGAGTCGTCACCACTGTATATTGAACAATCATTGAGTCGCGAACGGCGGCTATCTCGAGTCCTCTGGGAAATATTCCGATCCTCCACTCAATGGGCCGTCAGGGAGCGAGAAGGCTTTAACGAAGAAATCACCAAGATTTCCGAGTCGATCCTCATAACGGAGAGCTGCAATGCTCATAGTGCACTTGTATGTAAGCTGGGACCTCTTATGGTCGATTCGCACAGTGGACCCACGGATATCACACCCCAGCGTGTCATTGACATGAAGAGAATTGTGACCAATGAGGTAAGTGTATGGAATCTATCCAAATTGCAAAACAAAGCGTTAATGCAAAATCCCAGCATCCCAAGTTCTGGGCATTTATCGTGGGCTTGGCCTCTGCGAACCCGACCTTGCGGCCAAAGGATCGCTCGAACATTGCCCTGGCAGTCATGCTGCTGTTAAATTTGGCAGGTCATATTCCAAGGGAGCAGCTGATTCGAGTTATAATCTCTTGCTTGTGAACTCAGATTGACGAAAAAAAGGGGTGGATCCGCTGAGAATTATCTAAGAATGCGAAGTCAACAGCGGTGTTCATCTCATAGCCTGCCACGCAACACTTCCCCAACATGTCTCTCTCACATCTCGACTGGTCAACCAAGCCCTTATACAACTGCAAAGCCTTATATATGAAATTGATCTCCAAAGTTTAACAATCAATCATTCCGGCAGGACCAAACCATCAAGTTCCACGTCCAGCTCAGTATCGTTAATTTTCAGCTTCTCAGATGGGAGCAGGACGTAAAGCATTCGTGACCATTGATCCTTGCTAGGATTTTTCCAGCCATGAATTGTGCCACGCTGAATGCTGACATCTCCAACATTCAATCGTTTTGTTGGGCCATCCCAATCCTCCAGGACAAGGTCTACTTCGCCAGCCAGAACAACGCCATAATCGAGACTGATCGTTCGGTGCATCGGTGAGCTTTGACCCGGTCCCAGATCCACAATTCGGCATACTGAACCACCTTCATTGGCCAGGGGAATATTTTGAGGTGATTCAAAGTAGCGCTTCAGGTCCTTGTCTTCGCTCAGATCAACCGGAAAGCCTTGCGTGTGATAGTGAACGTGCAATCCCGCCCTCTCGATATTACCCGGCGGAATAATTGGTATGATGTCCTCAACCTTTCCCTCATAGAAAACAGCTTTGCCGTTCTCGTCATGGGTTGTAATGTATCGCTTCAATGGCCGCAGGTTTGAAGAGCTCCCATCATCATATTGTTGAATAAGTGCACTAGGTTTCGTGGGAAGGCTCAACTGGGAGACTACCTGGTCATATGCATCCCGGGCGGTTTGAACGATGTGCTGAATCTCTTCCTCACTGCTAGTGTATGCCGGTGCAAACATCAAATGGTCACCGACCTCGCCATCCACAGAGCCTGAGCCTGGATAAAGTGAGACTCCGCGTCGAAAGCTCTCCATATGCACCTTGCTTGCAAATCTGACTGATGCCGCAAATGGCTTCTTCGTCTGGCGCGACTGGACAAACTCAAGAGCCCAGAACAATCCGCGGCCACGAACCTCTCCAACGTACTGGCAGTCGGCGAACTGTTCTTTAAGCGTAGCACCTAACAGCTTACCAAGATGTGCACAGCGGTCAACTTGAACGATCCATGTCAGTGATTTAATTTAATCCATACAGGCGAGGCATAAGAGATCGGGGATGAACTTACCAAGGTTATCTCGTTGAATGATAGTTTGAACAGAGGTGGCGACGGCGCACGATAGGGGGTGTGCCTGGTATGTTTGCCCGTGATTGAAGGCTTTGGAAGGACCGCCACGGAATCCATCACACACACGCTTGTGGGCAATAATGGCAGCGATGGGGGCGTATCCACCACCCAGACCCTTTCCGAGGGTCACGATATCAGGAATCACCCCTTCCTGCTCAAACGCAAACGGGGTACCCGTACGGCCAGCTCCACACATTATTTCGTCGAGAATGAGGAGAATCCCGTACTTATCGCAGACGGCCTTGACAGCGATGAAGTAGCCGGCCGGGGCAGTAACGCAGCCACTTGTCGCCCCGACGACGGTCTCTGCAACAAATGCCACCACGGTGTGTGGACCGAGTCGCAGGAACTCATCCTCAAGCTCGCTGGCAAGGCGAGCAACAAACCCTGCTTCCGTCTCACCAGGCGCCATATATTGGTATGTATAAGCGGGGCTGACATGGCTGACTCGGTCTCCCAAGATGATGGGAAGGTAAGGTCGGCGACGAGCCACATGAGAGCCAAGGGACAGAGATCCAATAGTATTGCCGTGAAACGACTGTGCCCTGGCAACGAAATTGACGCGCTCGGGCTCGCCTTTCTCGACAAAATGGTGTCTAGCCAACTTCATGGCTACATCATTGGCCTCGCTACCTAAAAGACAGGATCGAATCGTCAGAAATCTTCTTTCCTCCCGATTTGGTGTCGTTTTGGGCACAAGACAAGCATCTTTGCCAACTTACCACTGCCCACAATAAACATTTTCTGCAAGCCCCACGGGTTTCCACCGAGGAAACATTTTGCAAGACCCTCGGCAGCGGTCGTTGTGTAGGATAATGGATGGGCGTATGTGATTTGGCGCATTTGCGCCACTGCGGCAGCAATCACCTCCTCGTTGCCCTGTCCAATACAAGCAACTGCAGCCCCACCACATGCATCGAGAATTTGATGGCCATCACCCATAGTAATCATATGGCCATCGGAGCGTTCCATTAATTTAAGCGGGTGCTCGAAGGACCTATGGAAGAGGAAAGTGGTCTCATCGGTGGGATTCAAGGGTAGTCCATTCTTCTCGATGGCTGCAACTTCAAACTTGATTTTGGGGCAATCACCATTTGAATAAGGCGACAAAGAGGGGTCTTCAGTAGGAACTGCAGAAGGAGCCATGTTGCTTGCTTGTTTTTAAGAGAAACAAAGAAACAAAGAAAATTTGGACTGAGAGCTTAGAGAGCACTTCGGCTTGGGAGGTCCATACCTCAGCTCTTAAATAGCAGGGCGACTACAGTTTATAGTGTAGTGGGATCTCTATTTACAGCTTACACGACCATACCATGTCATGTTCCGTTCGGTAAGGATGGGTGTCATATTAGTGCGAAATAGTGACAGTTCTAGAATACACACCTAAGTGAACCATAGTATATTGCAAGCGGATCCGAAAATAGACGGTAATTTCTCATTCCAGTGATAAACCTTGGGTTAGAAAATGACGTGGGTCTTGCTCTAATTCGTCCACGATCTACCGCTCTGTACTGTTAGACGTAATATGGATGGAAGTGTTGACATCCTGAAGTGCCATCCCAGCATTGAAGAGAGGCGGGGATGAGATAATCTCAAAATTAGTCATGAATTCATTGTAGTTAGTGCTTCAGGAGCGAATGTAAAGTCAAGTCAAGGCTCACGTGGGAACAAGACACTAGCTAGAGGGGGTAAGCCGACTTATGGTCCTGGCCATTCAATATGAGTAATTCGACTAAAACGTTACATCAGGTATTAGTAACACGACGGATCACAGTAATAAATCAAATAAAACAAAATACGTGCATGTAGTTCTTAGTAGTAGGTTCTTTCTTCTCTCGGAAGAGAGCCCCCGACGCCTTCCAAGGTTCCATCTTTGGATATCTCTTAATCATGGCAATGAGCCCCGGAGATAGATTTTATTTGTCCCATTGCTCTCTCAAATTCTTTCTTCTTGAAGCCCTATCTATTGAGTATCGCCGGAAAAAATGACCGATGAGCACACATATCTGCATATCAAGTCGCTGGCGTCTGCGGCGACTTGGGTCTCTGAAGTTGATTCAGGGAAGGTTACTCTGAATATTCAGGACATTGAGGATATCCCTGATGACACCCCGTCACCTGAAGGACTGTCTACAATTCCACCATTCTCAGGCTCTATGGAGCAGCCGGCTCCCGCGGTGGAAGGCTTTCACCAACAAGAGTGTTATGATGTAGTGGTCGCTGGAGTAAGCTTTACTCCCACCAAGTTTGATTGAATAAGCGAGGTGACCATGATCAAAAGGCCGGGCCTGCTGGCCTCTTCCTCACCTCCCTTCTGGCACGCAACGGCCTCACCGAAAAATCCTCTCTCTTATGCATCGACCCCCGGTTACATGTACGACCCGCGGGACACGCAGATGGACTTCATGCTCGCTCTTTGGAGGTGTTCAAAGTCCTGGGTCTTTACGAAGAGCTCATGAAAGTATCTACTGAGGTTGGCGAGAGAGCCCGTTGGGCAGAGGTTCCTCCCTCCTCCTGCCAGGAATCCGAATCTCCTTCCGCGCCCGCTTCCGAACCCGCCAGGATGGAACGTGTTATGCGGCAAAAGCTCGCCACTGCACCTAACGCGCGGATGAAGCAGCTCATAAGTATTCCTCAGGGTCAGATTGAGCGGATCCTGGAGGAAGACCTCAAAAGGAACGCTCCGGAAGCACTTTGGCGTGGGCCCCATGTTATCGAATCGCGTATAGATGAGACGGTTCCAAGTCACCCGGTGCTGGTCACTATCCGAGACAGTTCAGGAACCAAAACAACCACCAGAGAGATCAGGTGCAAATATCTTGTCGGTGCAGACGGCGCCCACTCCACGATCCGGAAAAACTTCGATATCCTCATGGAAGGTGACTCCACTGATCATGTCTGGGGCGTCATTGACTTTGTCGCCGACACGAATTTTCCTGACATTAGGAGGCTCACGACAGTGCAGAATAGCTCTGGTATGGCGATGATTATTCCACGAGAGAAGAATGCTGATGGCGAATGGCTTACCCGATTCTACGTGGATATGAATGACATTGAGTTGAAAAGCCAACAATCAACAAATATGACCCATGTAACAGGCCATCCAGAAGCTACAAGCATTCTCATTGTCAACCAGAATAGAAAGTCAAACATCAAGGATGATTGTATTTATCAACGCCTAGCAGAAATCTTTGCTCCTTTCCAAATGACGCTCAAAAAAGGCACGGAGACCGACTGGTCCACTGCGTACGCAATTGGGCAACGTGTCGCGTCTGATTTCGCAAAGACGGACTCCAATGGTGTTCCTAGAGTGTTCTTAGTAGGAGATGGTAAGTCTGGATCTCAAATATTATATTGAGCGAACTTCGGGAAACTGATCGGCGACTAATCTTTTTTCGAGCAGCATGCCACACACACAGCCCCAAACTCGGCCAGGGCATGAATGTCAGCATGGCGGACTCATTCAATTTGGCCTGGAAGCTCCAGCATGCCGTATGTGGAACTGCTGCCGACTCTACCAGCTTGCTCCAAAGCTATGTCTCAGAGCGTCGGCGCATCGCTCAGCAACTGATTGAGCTTGATCGTCGGTGGTACAACATACAATGGGCGGATAGCGAGAGAATGAAGCAACCCGGCTACCTAGAAGAATGCACCAAGCTTTACCAGGAGATCTCGGGGTTCACTAGCGGCTGTGGAATTGAGTATGCCGAGTCTGTCGTGGTGGTCAACCCAGCGCAGACTTCCGCTGACAACACATCAAAATTCATCTTTGGCACGGTCGAAAACGACGGGGGGTTCATCCCAACAGCGGTATGATCAAGCCAGGCAAGCGGCTCTTAAACACCCGCATGCTGCGTCTTGCAGATGGTTGTCAATGGGACATTCATGACAGCTTGGCTCCCGATGCTGGTAGCTTTAAGGCGGTCATATTTTGCGGGCGCGATATTCTTAGCCCGGTTAGTGACTCTGCCAATGCTATTCAAATTGTTCTCGAACAACTCATTCCCCAATTCTCCATCACCCTGCTCAACGCCTCTGTGGTCACGCCTGGGATGGTTTACGCGCCTACTGGACCGTCAGAGCGGCTCTTCGCAATCTCGGAATATGATCTGTGGGAGCTGCTTCCCAATTGTACGAAGCGTGATGCTGAGATGACTACCTACGCTCTTTCCGATACCGGGTATAACACTTACGGCATCGATCCCAATATGGGAGCTGTGGCTGTTGTCCGACCGGATGGAATTGTCGGATCTGTCATGCCTCTGGATCCTCAGGTCATTGAGGCTCAACTGAAAGACTTCCTTGGGGCCATATTTGTTGCAAAATAACGCAGTTTTTACTGGAAGAAGATGCAATCACGTTTAACAGAGAGATAGATTTATCATTGGAGGATACATGTTAGCGGTCCTCTTTAACTCGTCAAGATGCAACAGCGTATAACCAAGGGTATAGTCCACATGAGACTGATGTTCATGCTGGACGATTTATGTGAGACTAGTGAGCCCTTTTGCTGTCTGCGTGGCAAATAGAAATTTCCTTTCTTGAACAGACTAGACCAGCCTTAGGGTACCTCGTAAGATGCCCTTGAATTTTATTTATTAGAACATCAGAAGGTATTTGACTAAAATAGACGGCATCTAATAGGAAACGTCAACCGAGCGAGCTACCGCCTTGAACTACCTAGCCATAACAGCATCAAATGAACGTTAGAATACTACGAACAGTCAAGCTGCCATTTTGAATTATAGAGCATATTTAATGAGAAAATGGGCGTGACCAGTACCTTCAACCACCGACCGGACGACTAATAATCCAGTTAAATTTGTTTCCTGAGGCAATGGGTACAATAATTCGAGCTTTATATCCATGTCCCGTTCCAAAAGCTCTACATCGATAGTATCAATAACAAATAAAGACCGATTCGAAGAGATAATGGGAGAGATTCCCCGCTTCCAAGGAAAAGGAAAAGCACTTGTATCAGTTGCCATCTCCTTGGACCATTACAAGTTCTTAGTCTTGCTTGTTACCAACTTTTCCCACATGACGAAGCCCCAGAGAGCTCACTAGGAAGACAACTACCATGCCAGCAAATATAGTCCAATACGCAGCACGATATCCCTCTAGGAGCTGACCGCCCGTTTGAGAAGATGTCCTTGTATCGTTTGCCGAGCCATCATCGTGGGCGGTGACGGAAGCGGCTATGACCGCAGTGACAGCCAGTCCAACAGAGTTACCCAGCTGGGAGATGGTATTGAAGACACTCCCAGCCAGAGCCATTGAGTCATCAGGGAATGCCCGAGAAATGATTAGACTAGACACAGTCCATAGCACTAGGCAAACGATAAGTCAGCATTTGCATCGTTCTTATCAGATACACAAGTTGAGGAAGTTACTCACCATCGCCGTTGATTGGACTTAATGTCATAGCAACAAAGGCTGCAGCCCAATATGTCCAGTTGGGGGAGGCGACCGCCATTAAGATAGGGGAAATCGCGGTCATCAGTGCACTCACTCCCAGCAGCAGGTTTACATTCACCTTTGACACCAGGTGAGCAGTGACTATGTTGGTGGCCACGCCAACTACAGCCATGGGCAAGAAGCGAATGGAAGCTTGGAGGGCCGAGATGTCCTGGACGTCCTGAAAGAACAGGGTTGATATGTACTGGAAAGAGTTGAACCCGGCCCATGTGAAGAACATGGCCACGCAGATGAAAAGAAACGGCAGATTTCGCCATAAAGTGTTTGGAATCAAGGCTGGCCTGTTGTGCTTTACCTGCCATTTCTCCCAAAGCGAGAAGACAGGGAGGAGTAATAGAGAGATAATGAGCAGCACGATGTATTGGGGCTCAGACATGTTTTTGTAGGTATATGTGATCATCCTATAGAAAAGTCAGCAACATCTGGGTAAGGAATGAAATAATAAAGATCAAGAATGACTCACGCAAGTACATAGGATAGGAGTCCAAATGCCAGGGCGAGAATTGCCACGCCAATCCAATCAATATTGTAAGCAAGCTTATGCCATGTAGCCCGGCATAGCTTCATCGAATCCGCGTCCGATGGAAGGATCAAGATGGACCCGACAAACAATACGGCATCGATAATGGCGGTGATATAAAACCCCCATCGCCAGCCGATGGTGTTGGTGAAAACACCACCAAGAATGAGTCCTAACGCATAGCCTAGTGGCTGTCCCATCCCTGCTGCTGCAAAGGCAATATTCCTCTTGGGTCCAGGTGGAAAGGACGCAGTCACCAGCGACATGGATGTCGGGAGACACATAGCCACAAAGAGTCCTAGCAGAGCACGGAAAATGATGAATTGGTTACCAGTGCGGGCAAGTCCACATGCAAGGATCAGAGGACACGAGAAGCCGCTCCCGACCAGCCACATTCTCTTAGAGCCGACCACATCCGCAACGGCGCCGAAAGCTAGCAAGGTGCATCCTGCAGATAAAGCATATACCGATGCCGGCCAGAAGATCAGATCGCGGTCGAGGTTGATGTCGGTTGAGATGCGAGGAAGTGCGGTGGTCAGAATTCCAGTTCCCGAGACACTGATAAAAGTGACACCAGTTATTATGGTGATAATCCCGAACGACTCCAAGGCCGACTTGCCATCCTTCTCCAACGACTCCTCAGGTAGAACGCTCCCATCTAGCTTTGGCGACTCTCTTTCCGTTTCCACAACTTCCTTGTCGCGTCTTTCGTCGTACGGCTCCGCCAACGCCGGCGCTGCTGTGGTCACTGTCGTCACGGTTGTCATGGTGGCGGAAGCTGCTTTTTCTCACGGTGTGAAGGATATGAAAGAAACAGTTCAAGGGATCCGGTGAGAACAACAGCCAGGTCACCCAGCCCTCCAAATAGCACGGAAAGAATTTGAGACAAAGGAGAACACCAAATCACACACACCCAGGTACGTTCTTGGACTCGCGCATCCTCTTAATAAGCGGGAGTACCTTTTTGTCCTAGTGATATGCAACATCCCTGCAAGCCCCTGTCTGCGCCCTCATCCTTCTAAGAAAGGGGCGGAGCCAGCGTATCTCGCAAGTTCTTGATGAGTTCTAATACATGGACCGGGTGGGCTTATCACAAAGGGATGCTCTTATCTTATCACGGAAAAACAACGTCAAATCAAATCAAATCGAATCAATATGACCAAAAATAAAGATCAAATGAACTACTTATTAGTAAGCCCAATCAAAACCCACCATGACCATGTGCAGATCATCACGCTAATCAGTGGACTCATCCCGCCAGCCCCGACACGAATCCTGTCCTCGGGGAATTAGTCAACTCGGGATTTCTGACTGGGAATAGAATGACTGAGCTGAGCACACATGTCCAACAGTGGATCCTCCATGCTGGTAATGGCTCATCTCGAATCAGGGAATGCGAGGGGATGCGACAGTCAGGGTAACGTGAGCCTCTTTGCTTAGTGCACAACATCACTTATCACCATCAAGTTTCCATAATAGGAGGGCATAGTTAATGTCCGTTTTAATATTATGCTGATTATTTTCAACAGACCCTTTCATTCTATCTGGCACAGGCGGGCAATTATCAATATGTTCAGGTCTCACTAGGTGCTATAAAAGCCAAAATATCCTGTGCTACCCAGTCTCTACTCTTGGATACAAACAACAAGAAAAGACATTCCAGTTTCCAGTCGCTACAATCTCCATCTAGCCAAGCATGGCTCAGATCTACTCAGTGGCCGACCTTCTCAAAAAACATGCGGAGACTCGGGGGCAACAGATAGCCTTTTCTTCCGCAGGTCACAATGTCACCTACACTGAACTTGCCACCCGAACGGGCCAAATAGCAGTCAACCTGGTGGGTGCGGGGGTCACTCGGGGAAGTCGAGTGGCCGTCGTCCTTGGGAGCTGCATTGAAGCGATCGAAAGCATTTTCGCCATCACACGTGCTGCTGCGGTCGGCGTCCCTCTGGATCCGCGCGCATCCCAGGCAGAACTAGCCAGGATTTTGGAAAACAGCGAGGCCCATGTTGTCATTACGGACAGTCACCGTTTTAACAGGGTTTGTGCTGCGATATCCTCTGGGAAGACAAAGATCAACACGAAAACCACTGTTGTCGTGGTCAACAAAGAGCCTGGCTTGGCAGATCCGAGAGAGAGCGTGGAGGTGGAAGGGCTCACTGCTGAACGGTACGAGAACTGGTTCACGCATACTTTGAACCCTGCTTCAGAGCAACAGAAGCCACTGGACGACTTGAGCTTGGATGAGCCGGCTTGGTTACATTACACCACAGGTACCACCGGCTATCCCAAGGGTGTCTTGTCCTGCCAACGTGCGTGGATGTGGTCCGCCGTGAATAGTTATATCCCTTCACTTGGACTTGCGTCTACCGACAAGATATTCTGGCCGCTACCTCTATTCCACGCCTTTGGTCAGTCCTTATGTATCATTGGTACGCTGGCTGTCGGCGCGAGCACCCATTTGATCGGTGATGAATCTCTGCTTGACAGTCTGCGACTGCGCCCAGAGACAACCATCATTGCAGGCGCACCTACCTCATTCCGCGAGCTCACACAGCATTCCGCCCAGGAAGCTTTAGCTTTCATCAAGCCTCGAGCATGCGTCAATGCTGGGGCAGCGGCACCCGCGGGACTCAGTACCCAGGTCGAGAAGTTTCTCGGAGTCCCTTTGATCAACCACTACGGATGCACTGAGTGTGGTCTCATCGCCACAACCGGTCCAGGAGATAGATATCCCGAAGAATTTTGCGGACCGGTCGTCAAGGGCATTGATGTCCAAGTCCGAGGTTTGAGCAGAGATGGGCAGGTATCAGCTGAGGTTGTGGACGGAGGTGAGGGTGAGATTTGCGTCCGTACCCCAAGCTTCATGCTCGGATACAATGACAGCAAATTCCCTTTATCCAAAATAGAAGATGGCTGGTATCGCACCGGTGACCTTGGGTGTCTAACGGAGACTGGGCCAGATGCAGGACAGAGGATTTTGACCGTTACTGGACGACTCAAGGAACTGATAATCCGTGGGGGTGAGAACATCCATCCAGGCGAGGTGGAGCGGGCCGTCCGCGCGGCTGCTGGAGTTGCTGATGTTGTCGTTACTGGGCTCCCACATGATGGTAAGTATCTCATGGCTCTCCATAAATTATCTTGGGGTGTGCCGTATCACTCACATTGAGAAAGTACTTGGAGAAGTGCCTGCTGCCTTCATAGTGGCCGAGCCTCACGTCGAATTAGATATGACGAAGCTGCTTAAGACATGCCGTGCCGTTTTGCCAGATTATAAAGTGCCCGTCTCATTCTACACTATCGAAGCTATCCCCGTCACAGCATCAGGGAAGCCTAAGCGCATCGCTGCGCTGGATTTATTGAACACTGATGGGGCTTGTCGTCTGCTCGCTACGCCCTTCCTGGGCAGAGATACAATTGGACCCCTTGTGTTAGCAGAATGCATTGCTGTCTGCGGCAGTGGTATCGGGCTTGATAATATAGACCCTGAAGAATCTTTCATGAGTCTTGGCTTGAATTCAATGAAAAGTGTGGTTCTCCGGGATCGACTTGCGTCTCTTACCGGGTTGGATTTACCCATAACCTGTGAGCACTTGAATACCCCGCCCGTTCTTCACTGAGAGAAACCCAAACAGCAATGCTAATTCGATCTTCAAAGTTGCGTTCGACAATCCTACTCCGGCTGCGGCAAGCCAATACTTCTATGATAGACTCTTTGGGACTCAACAACAGGATGACGCAGCTGTGCCACAAGCACCAAATGAAGCTGATGGTCGGGATCCAATTGCCATTGTTTCCATGGATTGCCGTTACCCTGGGGGTATCTCGTCTGCTGATGACCTATGGTGTGCTGTATCTGATGGTCTCGATTTAACATCTGACTTCCCTACCAACCGAGACTGGGATATCGATGCATTGTACAACCCAGATCCTGATAAGGCTGGGACCTGTGTCGCGCGCCGTGGTGGCTTTCTTCATGACATGGCCGACTTTGATGCGGAATTCTTTGGAATGTCACCTCGTGAAGCCCTTGCAACTGATCCGCAACAGAGGCTCCTCCTCGAGACTACATACTCACTTATCGAACGGGCTGGAATTGCCCCATCCTCCCTTCGCGGTACCTCAACTAGTGTCTTTATTGGTATGATTTACGCCGACTATGCCAGTCGTTTTAATCATGGAAAAGGAGAAGGGCATGAATACGAAGCCCACCTTGATATCGGCTCATCTCCCAGTGTTGCAGCCGGTCGTATCTCGTATACTTTTGATTTTAAGGGCCCATCCATGGCCATCGATGCGGCATGTTCTTCGTCGCTGAGCGCAATCCATCTGGCTGTCGCTTCTTTACAGACAGGAGAGAGCACTCTAGCCATAGCAGGAGGCGCAACTATCATGTCTACACCTCGCCAGTTCATTGCTTTCAGTAGACAGCGGGGTCTGTCAACGGATGGTCGCTGTCGGCCATACTCAGCTGATGCAAACGGTACTGGATGGTCTGAGGGTGTGGGTCTGGTCCTTCTGGAACGACTATCAGATGCACGACGCAATGGACACACTGTGCACAGCATCATCCGTGGTTCCGCTGTTAACTCAGACGGCAGCTCATTCGGTCTCACAGTCCCAAGCGGCCAAGCTCAGCAAGAGGTTATCAAACAGACACTTCGACGTGCCGCACTTTCACCTGCGGACGTGGATGTCCTTGATGGCCACGGGACTGCGACCATGCTCGGGGACCCAATTGAAATGCGAGCTGTACTTGAAGTCTATGGAGACAAGGCCAGATCCACACCACTGCTGGTGGGCTCCGTGAAGTCCAATATTGGTCATACGCAGGCAGCAGCAGGTATTGCCAGTGTGATTAAGATGGTCAAGTCTATGGAGCATGGTATCGCACCTGCGTCCCTGAATGTCTCTCAACCAACTCCTCATGTCGACTGGACAAGCGGTGCAGTTGAACTACTTACCAAAGCTAAAAAGTGGCCATCGACTCCTGATGACCGTCCACGCCGGGCCGCTGTCTCTTCCTTTGGTATCAGCGGCACGAACGCACATGTCATTTTGGAACATGCCGGTTTCAACAAGCAGGATCAAGAGGATTGTGTCAGGGTACAGTCTGCAAATGTGTATCCTTGGCTCCTGTCCGGGGCGGATGGAAAGGCGTTGCAGACACGTGCTCGCAGCATGGCGACTTTGTGTCATACCAAGGACGCGCTTGATGTCGCCTTCTCCCTTGCTGTTACCCGCTCGCCCCTCTCACACAGGGCCGCTGTGACAGCTACATCTGATGAGGAGTTGCACGAAGCATTAATGGCTCTTGCGGAGGGCCGGCCGCATCTGAGCGTTTCCACCGGGATGGCCAAGGCTAGTAAGTCCGGGCGTTCCCAGTCCCAATCTCGACTCGCCTTCCTCTTCTCTGGGCAGGGAAGCCAGCGAATCGGTATGGGTCAGAAGCTGTGTGCTCGCTTTCCTCAGTTTGACGCAGCATTCCGTGAAGTTTGCAAAGAATTAGACCAGCGGCTGGATCGCCCATTATCAGAGGTTATCGACTCTTCTTTTGAGGCCAACCCGAGCAACGGCATGTGCCTTTTGGATCGTGCTGATTTCGCGCAAGCTGCGGTTTTTTCCTTTGAAGTCGCCATGTATCGCTTGCTGGAATCGTTCGGTATTCGACCTGACTACGTCGCAGGTCATTCTCTCGGCGAGATAGCTGCGGCCCACGCTGCTGGCTATCTCTCACTCGCCGATGCTGCCACGTTGGTCACTGCGCGAGGCTCTTTGATGGCAGGATTGCCCGAAGGGGGAGCGATGGTTAGCATCTCAGCTACTGAGAAGGAAGTGAATGGGGTGATCCGCTATATGAATCTGGAGGCTACCACGGTTGCTGCTATCAACACACCCGACTCTGTTGTGGTCTCTGGCCCCGCCGAGTCAGCTCTTTTCGTCAAGGGCCTCTTCGCTGCGCAGGGACGATCTACCACTCAGCTTCGAGTGAGCCATGCCTTCCACTCGCCTATGATGGCGCCGACCCTGGATTCTCTGCGTGCGGCCATCTCTCATATCTCCCCCTTGCCAAACAGCGGTAGCCCCAAGATCCCACTGGTCTCCACATTGACGGGTAAGCTGGTAGAAGCCAGAGAGTTGACCGCTGAGCACTGGATTCAGCACATCATTTCTCCCGTCCGCTTTGCAGATGCTCTTCGCACCCTCTCCGCCGACGCAAGTGTCACTACATTTGTCGAGATTGGCCCGTCGGCTCCACTTTCGAGCTATGTTCCAGATGCAATTGCTACATCGAGAAGCAAGCAAAATGAGGTCGACGTCTTACTCAAGTCCCTCGGTCAGCTGTGGGTCCGCGGAATTCAGCCTTCTGCAGGGACATCTGGACAGGAATGGAAACCCGTCTTCGACGGAAGTGGCGCGCGTAAAACCGATTTGCCCGTCTACCCCTTCCAGCGACGTACGTACTGGCTCAAGGCCCCTTCGCCTGCACCTATAAGCACCTTAGGATCTGAACATCAATCCTCGAAGCCCGCCCCGCCCGCATCTCCTGCATCTTCCGTACCTTCCGCGTCACCCAAGTGTGCTCCTCTCGAATTGTCTGAGCCAGAATCCAGTTCGTCTCGTCCGGAAACACCTGCCACCGAGGTGAGTGTGGGGATGGGCTGGGAGGACCAGCTCAGTCAAGTCCCCGCTGAAAAGCGCCGTGCCATGCTTGTGGAAATGGTGCAAGATGAGGTATCCGTTACACTTGGCTATCCCGATCGCCATTCGTTGTCGCCATCGGCGTGGAGCACCTCTTTCGTGGGCCTTGGCTGTGATTCATATATGGGGACCATGCTTCGTGGTCGACTCGCCCAACTAGTTGCTGTCCAGTTACCCATTGATCTGATCTTCAATGAGGCCACATCAACCGTGCAGTCTTTGATTGATTACTTGTTTGGTCAGATAGTTTTGTGAAGTATATATATTGTAGTGAGGACCCCTGTCCTCTTTTATAGCTTACATGACCATACCATGTGACATATTAAAGGTTAGAACTTGCTTATTCGGAAAGTAAATAACTGGCTCAACTAGAATCTCTAGGTAGGTCACCGTCATAAACAGAAAAAGGATGGATGTGTGAAAACTAAGATATTTGCGATATTATTCAGTGAATGGTAACTTATGGGGCATATGTCAAAATGAGGATAAGAACTACAGGGGCGCCCTACTAAAAAGCTCATAAATCCTAACAAACGGAATTTCCTTCATCTTGAGTTTACTGCCAAAATCCGTAATAAACGCTGACTGTGTTCTCTGATGATACTGTTCAATCATACTTCCTGTGCAGCACTGAATCGTAGCCCTTTAATTTTCAATTTCCCATAACACAGACGGTTTGGCCGAGTGGTCTAAGGCGCTTGACTAGAAATCAAGTCCGTTCGCGGGCGGCGGTTCGAATCCGCCAGCCGTCGATTTTTACTCCTCCTTTAAAATCCAAACTCAAAAACATAATTATAGATACTCTTATGGATTAGCTTTTGTCAAAATTTTACTTAATGGAGTTGCTAACGGTTTCTCACACCCGAATTGTTCCCCAGTATATCTTTAAACGGCCCAATTCGTTTAAATTCCTGTATAATGTACCAACCCCTCCTTATTTACATCATATCAATTGCTGTATCGCCAGATAAGTCATTATGAATCACTGTACTCCATCCTCCACCATACATAAAATCTCGTAGAATGTTCAGAGCAGAGCTTCCAAATAGAGTGGAAGATCCGGCAATCTTCCGAAAAGATTGGCTAACTTTGATAGGCTAGCTCCTAATTCAGTCTTCTATTTCTGTTGCGGCTGAAACGACAATTAAAGAGGCCCCAGAAATTACTATCCCTAACTCCCGAGCTCCTGAGCTCATCTGCTGAGATCGTCATCCATCTGCAGGCCTGCTGATCACATCCATCCAACGCAGCATGGCGGCCAGGCTTTCCCGAAGCCTGCCACAGGTCAACCGCCGTGTTTTCGCTGGATTATCTTCCTGCGCGATACCTCGCATTGCGACCACCAGTGCCCGTGCTGGCTTGGTGGCACATCGCAATCCCTGGAACCTCGCACCCTGGACCTGCCGCGTAATACAGGCCAGTATCGCGCGAATATTCCCATACAGATTCCGGCTCATCGGTCAAACCAAATGCTTCCATTCAGGATGTTACCGCTTACAAAGGATCGAGCATCACGGAGAAACATTGGATGAGTCAGGACGTAACAGTTGGTACGGTCCTACTTGTCACTGCGTTACTGTCACCTCGCTAACCAAATCAGTGGACACCTTGATTGAACTGCAAGCTATCTTACATTTTATGGAGTTCATAACGCATGGTATTCTACCAAACGGAAAAAAGACCGATTTAGCTTTACTCAATCCAGATGAATTCCCACTGTTCATGGCCCCGAGTTCACAGTGGGCGCCTGCGCCGTTCAACAAGGCCGCTCTCTCAACTGTGCAGAAGGCGATGGAGCGGATCACTGGCCCAGAGGATTTGAGCGGGCTGTGTCATGTCGGGTCGAATATTCACTTTCTCAAAAGTCGCCTCTGGGGAGGCCTTGCCCCCGTGCCCGCATCGCGGTGGCATGAAAAAGATCTCAACAACCCGGCCCATTTCACGATCGCCCTCGAATACCTGACCTCCGTCATTGCCGTCTTCGAGTACCTAAATATTCCTCAGATCCGGACTAATATGTGCGACACCTTCAACAAAATATCGGGTGACTTTGGAGAAATGCAGGATGCCTTGAATGCGCGGCGCAAGGCCCAAGGCGGCCTTTCTCCCGACCTCAACCTTAGTGCTCTTTGGGAACAATTCATTCGCGCACGGTACAAAGTCATGACCAGCACCGCCCATTCCTGGGTCCTGGCCCGCGTTGCCGAATTACGTGAACGGACATTGGACGGCTTCAGCGCGAATTCGGCTGAAAATGCAGAAGCCCAATGGACATTCTCTCGCAGCGGTGGAGCGACCTCATTGCCGTCATTTCAAGGGCAGATTTCAATATTTGGATGTCCATGGATGGGTACAACGGCTACAATTTGCCCTCCGAGATCATCGCTGGGCTACACAATCCTGACCTAAAGAACCAAGACAAGGACTATGAGTTTTCCAAGCTCCTGTTTCCCCGACTCGCAAAATGCATCGAGGCTCAGAACGAAGCTGCGAAGGTTCAAGGTCCAAGCGCGACGCAGAGTGACGCGGCCAGCCGCGAACGCCTTTCTATTAGCACAGTAGTACAGGACGAACTGCGTGTAAAGATACGCGGCCAGGCGCCATCGCCGCAGCCACCCGTACAGCCCTGGGTCCAGCAACTCCTTCGGGCGCAGGAGGCGAGCTTGAGCATGCACCCGCAGGACAGACACAATTATGGCTTCGGATTAGCAATCTACCGCGCAGCGCTTAAGTTCTCTGATGAGCAGTGGGAACGCCTACAGCGGGACTTGGAAGCTCACTTGTCGGCATGGGGTGATGACGTCCAGCGCGCTGATGAGCTCAAACCCTTGCTCAAACTGCATTGGTTTGACTGCAAGGAACTAGGCCTCGACACAACTAAACCCGTAACAGCAGCAAAGAGGTTCGACGGCGCTAATCTTTCCATCCCAAGATTCACATGAGCAAGAGACTAATGCTGCCCATAGACACTACCAACAAATCCGGTCCTCGGACGAGTGGAACCATAAATTAGCACCATCTGTTTTCCTTCTTATCGATCACATGAGCGCAAACTCATATATCGATGAAAAGTTCCACGCCTCCTTCACAAATGACAAAGACTTCCTCAAAGGGGACGTTCATGGCCATGTCCTGGCTGTCGATGCAGACTTCGATGATAGTGCCATTGCAAACGGAAGTGCAGACGGCATGGCCACCGAAGACCCCCAGGATGATGACTTGAAATACCCGGGTTTGATGCGCATCTTGGGTGACCTGGTCTGGAGCGAGCTCTATCCTATGCTAATGCTGCAGTCTGTGGGACTTGAGAATCTCTGGCTGCAGGCGCGAGAACATTCAATGAAGGTATATACGGGACCGACAGTGCCGGGTCAAGTTAAGCCATGGAAGGGGCGGAATGCCTTGAAGACCCTTATGATGAATAGCTTTGTGGAGTTTCTAAAAAGAAAGATCCCATCTTAGCAGGAAATGTAGAGGGGTTCAGGAAGGATGGGCTTCTTTGATTTATGGAAACCATTTTTATTATGATATATCAATCACCCCTACCGCCCCTGATCTGAGGTGTTGTCGGGTGTCTCATAATGGGTAGTAGCCCTTTGTCTACCTATAATTGACAGTCTATCGTAGAATCTGAAATAATTTCTGATTATGCAAGAACAGATTATCAGTAGTAAACGATCTGGATTTTCAAATCAATGGGCCTGTTGGGTAAAATCTACTTCTGTGCGCCGCCAACGATTGTCGCATCAGACTTACAGCAGACTTGGAGGCGAAGACAAGTTTAAGACATATTTTAGTCTGTCCAATGAATTATAGCTTCGAGAGCATTTGAAATCCCAGTTTCATTGGTGATCATTCGTATACTTTTACCCACTTTTGGCATACCTAAGAGGGAGTATGAAAGCCTCCTTAGACTACTGGGCTAAAGGTCCAGGTAGGATCTTCCATGTGGGTCGTCCACGTATGCTCTGTCCAACTTCCGATATTGATCATTAGTGGCATATGTGATTTGGGTTGTTGTAAAACCAGGTATTGATTGACATGTCTGTTTTCGGTGAAACACTTTTGATTAAAATGTTTGCTTGCCACAAACTTGCTGCCCGGGTAGAAGGTCAACCCATCTATGGCTAACTATCAGGGACGCTAGATATCGGACGAATACGATGTTATAGCAGTAACCCGTTAGGGAATAAAAATGTATTTTTCATCACGAAGTAAAAAACGACGGCTGGCGGATTTGAACCGCCGCCCGCGAACGGACTTGATTTCTAGTCAAGCGCCTTAGACCACTCGGCCAAACCGTCTTAGATATTACATAAGACGATGTAATGGATAAAGCCTTACTCGAGATAAAGCACCAATTAAGGCCAAAGCTAAACCAGTAACGTTCCCCGGTCGGGCCACCCCAAAACACTATACTAAATGCAATATTTCCAACATCATATTTCAACGCTTAAGGCTAATTATATAGACTTAAGGTATCATACCAGGTATTTTTATTAGCTCGAGAAATATTTTAGGGTATCACAAAGTAGACATATATATCTTTATCGCTCGATTGGAGCGTATTTTTGGTAATAGTACTTAGTAAATAATCATTTTGTGAATATATTAGCGACACTATACTATTTCTAATGCTAGGAGATCATACTATACTAAAAATTAAGCAAAATCGTCTTCTTGTTGTTGATATATTATAACCTGAAAAATCGCATTTTGTATGGTATTTTGGGGTGGCTCGACCGGCCGTGGGTTACGTTATAGTGAGTTGGAGACAATTTGTTGACTAAGCCATCTACAAACAAGCGTTAGCTTCTTAGCCTTTCTTAGCCTTTCGGTGACTACGTTGAGGATGGTGTCACGTAAGTTGAGTTGGAATTTTGAAGGAGCAGCAAAAATCGACGGCTGGCGGATTCGAACCGCCGCCCGCGAACGGACTTGATTTCTAGTCAAGCGCCTTAGACCACTCGGCCAAACCGTCTAACTGGTTGAAATACTATTCCTTTGAGACTATATTCTTGGAGTAACTACAAATTATGAGCTACATAATACCGCACCGCCGAGGACACTATTACCACAAAGTAAAGTGTTAATTTACCTATATACCTAGCTTGGTAGACTGGTACAAGTCGTACGTTTGGAGTGAAAATTTGCGTTAAGGTTAAATGTCACAGAAAACGACGGCTGGCGTATTCCATGACGCCGCTCATGAATAGACTTAATTCCGAGTCGAGCGCCTTTGACCACTCGCGCAAACTGTCCTACTTGATGAACGTTGAAAATTAAAGAGTTGGATAGCTCAAATCACTTGAAAATGTGAGAAAGTACTGATACAGATATTCGCCAGGTTGAAATGAACAATCTGTTATATTGTTAAGGTGACTATTTTATGGACATTTAAAACTAGGGGAAGGTAGTAGGTAGGTAAGAGGGTCACAGGGCTGGAAGTTCCATGAAATGAACTTATGGATGTGGAAACTTAACACGGTGGATAACTATAGAACATAGTCAAAATGTATATATCTGAACAGTCAGGTTCCTGCAATGGGAAATGCGGTACTAAAGTAAAATTTACCTACAACATACAACAGGAGTTAGTGGCCTTGTATTAATCACCAGATTCCAGTATATAGGAGATGGCTAGATATGTAAAAAACCATGAAGTATCTCTCCAGCTATTTCCATAGGTATGGCTGACGGGCATCTAGAAGGTGGTCTGTACTTCCGCCATTTCACTACAACTCGCGGTATCGGTTGTGTTTTAGAGTAGGTTACAGTACCATATTCTGCCACCACCTCCCGCCTAACGTCATCGCCCGATATCTGTCAGCAAAAGAATATACGGCGCTTCATATTGGTCGTTTCTGGCTCTCCCTCAACCATGATACGTCCTCGTCTCTCAGTCTGCAGGCGCTGCCTCGCGCGCAGTAGGCTCTTCTCTACGACAACTCACCGGACTGAGCAAGTCAAAAATCCCCCCCTCCCGCCAGATGTCGGCTACGCTCGGCTCACAAATCGCGGCCTCATTTCCATTACCGGAGTCGATAGTTCAACCTTCCTCCAAGGTCTGATCACCCAGAACATGCTGGTCGCCAATGACCCGAACAGGAGCATCCGTCGTACAGGATCATACGCTGCATTCCTCAATTCCCAGGGCCGCGTGCTAAACGACGCTTTCATTTACCCTCTGCCGAGCCCGGACGGCAATGACATCGAGGGGGAATGGCTGGTCGAGGTGGATAAGCGTGAAGTCCCAACTTTGATGAAACACCTGAAGAAGCACAAATTGCGTGCGAAGCTGAAGCTACGGGCCCTTGAAGACGACGAGCGGACCGTCTGGTCGTCATGGAAGAATCACTCCGAGCCGCGATGGGCCGCCTACAACCTCGAGTCTGAGACAGCGTCTCCATTCTCTCCATCTTCAAACATCGTGGGGTGTATTGACGCCAGGGCTCCGGGCTTTGGTTCCCGACTCATCACTCCTGGCTCCGACGGCCTGCGCAACCATTTACCGGATGAGTCGCAGGTAGCTGGGTCGGAGGTCGAATTGGGTTCATACACTGTGCGGCGGATACTACATGGTGTCGCGGAGGGCCAGACCGAGATTATAAGAGAGTCGGCCCTGCCACTGGAATGTAATATGGATATGGGACGGGGAATCGATTTTCGCAAAGGCTGCTATGTTGGCCAGGAGTTGACCATCCGCACGCACCACACCGGTGTAGTGCGTAAGCGAATCCTTCCCGTGCAGCTTTACACTGGGGACCTGCCCTCGGTAGATGGCCCTGTCTATGACCCTTCCGCAGAGCTTCCCCTACCGCCTGGTGGATCGAATATCAACAAGGCTGGTGGCCGCCGGGGCCGTAGCGCCGGAAAGTTCTTGGATGGCGTGGGCAATATTGGCCTTGCGCTGTGCCGCTTGGAAATGATGACCGATATCGCACTCACCAGCGAAGGATCCAAATATACCCCCGGGAGTGAGTTTAAGGTTTCGTGGACAGCCGAGTCGGAGCAGCCGGCCGAAGTCAAAGTGCAGGCTTTCATCCCACCCTGGACAAGAGACTTTATTTTGGACGGTGGCGCACGGAAACCCGCTCCGCGAAAGGTTGATATTGATGGCGGGAGGGCCCGAGTTCTAGTTGAACGTCTAGAAGAGGAAGAGGCGCAGCGACGAACTGAGTAGGACGACGCCTGCGTTTGATATATTTATGTACAATACGATAAACTAATGCATATTGCCAATATGTATCTCCTATTCATGCAACGAGGTCTTTACTAGACCGGGGTATCTCCGAGGTAACAAATATAGTCCGGGCTGTAAGCTGGAAAAAAGAAAGTCATTATGCAAAATTTCAGGTTCTTCAGGCTCCATTGGCCTTTGCCTCTTCCGCTGCAGCTTCTGCGGCATCCGCTGCTTCGTCTTCTCGGGTAAGCTCCTCTTCAAGAGCTCTGCGCTCCTTCTCACGCTGTGCTTTCTTGAGTCGCATCATAGTAATTTCCTGAAGGCTGGGCGTTGACGTCTTTGCGGATGGATTGAAAGACGATGCTTTGGGGGGATTTCCGGCAGCAGAGGGGAATGATCCGAATGAAGGTGCATTTCCAGATGGTTGGTGTGCATTTTTTACCCCTGGGAAGTTGAATGACGGCCTAGGGGATGTGTCGGTAGGGAGCTTGGACGAGGATTTCTGGGAATCCGCTGATGGAGTTGGGCCTTCAGGATTGTTGTTCGTGCGGAATCCCAGGTCTGGTGCTTTGCCTGATGCATACGCAACAGAATCCACAAACGCCCAGTCACCATCCGCTTGCCGAATCTTCTTCTCGCTATCCAGCACAGCTGCCTGCGTGCTGACAATCGACTTGAAGACCACGACGCCCGTGCCAAAGGAGACCTTCCCTTTCTTCCCCTCCACACGGGCACGCTTATCCTTTAGCATGAACGTCCCCTCAATCTCTCCAAATGGCGCGCATATAGCCTTCAGCCATTCTGCATCCCAGTCTGCTCCACGGCCGTCTCGCACCCAACGCACCTTCACTGAGCGCTCGAGCTCGGAGACATTCGTGCCGCCCTCATGTGACCGATCGACACGCTGGCTGCTCCAGTCTGTCCCATTGCGCGCCTCCTCTTCCCCCCTCTGCATCTTCTTCTGCGCCTCCTCCATCTGCCGCTTCAGCTTGTCTGTCGCCTCTCGCCGGCGCCGGCGCCCGTCCTCAGCGATTCGCTCAATTTCCCGCTGCAGCTTCGCCTCCGCATCGTCATCGCCACCTGGAAACCATGGCCGCTTGACACCTTGCTGAGCAGCGGCGCCAGCACGCTCCCGCGCTTCGAGGTCCTCGCGCATTTTCCGTTTCGCGGCGTCCATCTGATCCCGCTCGCGCTGTTTGCGCATGCGCGCCTCGCGCGCATTGTCGTAGAGCTGCCGAACCGCTGGTTCAGAGAGAACATCATTGGCTATTTGGAGGAGATGGAACTTGTCGATGTCGGCGGCGGTTGGGTTGGCGATTTTGTCGGGGTGGTATTTCAACGCGGTGCGGCGGTAGGCGCGCCGGATCTCGGACTCGTTGGCCGCGGGCGAGAGATCCAGCAGCGCGTAGAAGTCCTGTTTAGAGGCGGCATGCGCCTTGAGGTCGTCTGTCGACATCTTGGCGACTGGGTTGTGGGTTGTGAAGAGGGAGAAAGAAGTGTGCCTGGAAGTTGGCCCTCGTGGGTAATTCTGGGCGGTGACGAGGCGCCGATTGGACCGCCGCCCAAACTAGGTATTCGCCGCCCGCTATGCAACTGACAGCCACCGATTAAAAGTCGACCAAGAAGACTCTTTCAACCGTATGAGAATGCTGTATCCAAAGCAGAGCTATAAGTGGTCAAGTAGGGAGACTTAAAAATGTAACAAAAGAAGCAACATTTAGTGAGCGAACCGCATTGATCTCCATCCAGTCACCTCAATCACTCGGCGAAACTGACTTATTCACGGTATCGAAACTACCAACCGGATTCCGACAGCCTCCTTGCTTGTAGTTCAGAATTGGTAAAAGACCAATGTACCTAACACAGGCAGATTTATGGGATGTCTCCGGCAGGAGTGCCTCTCCCATCTCCGGGACAGATTCCCCATTATTATAGGTACGGGGTTTATTTCCAGAAGGCTGTCCGTCGTATATCTCGTCAGGTTAATCAGGATCAAGGCATCAAAGCCCATAAGCTGTTTAGCAGTGATGACTTCGAGATGAAAGCGTACAGGTCTCAGTTGCAGCGGCAGCTTACGAAGTTGAGTGAATCACAAACTTGAATCAAAGGAGAATACCGACTTATCAAATCAAGGAATATTGTGCTATCTTAACTGGCTAGTCAGTTGGCATCAAAACAGGCTACGGGTGAATTATATATCCATTTGTAGCACGTGTTCATCATCATGATGGGATTTGATGATCCGCAATGGTTTCGCATTGCTCTACCCCATTTTCTCTCACATCTCATCACACGGCTCTTCTACCCAACCCCGCTTGCGTTTGAATGGCACCTCCAATAGAGGTCTCCCAGGTCTCTGAGCCATCAAGGGCCCAGTTGGCTCTTGCGCTGGCAATTGTGAAGCAGAAACCCCCAGGAACGGCAGTCAAGGGTAGGCGACCCTCACTTGGGTGCCCATCTCAAAAGCTTCATCAACTCACAAATCATGCAGATTATATTCTACAATTCAGGAAATGCATCAAGCAGGTAGAAGAAAACAGCATTATTGTCTCAAACAAGTTCCTTGATAGCGTGGCCTTCTGGCAGACGGCATACAAGAAGTCTGAGGCGGAGCAAACCAAGCTGCTCAACACCATCTACGAGCTGGAACAACGGAACGAGAGCCTCCTCACTAAACTTCACATGGACCCGACAACAAGCGACAGCAAGAAAATACCAGCAACAAAGCGTAAAGCATTCTGTGAGGTTGTGAACGGCTCCGATGCCAGCAGGAAGAGAGGGAAACGTTCTCCACCAACTACCCAGTCGCAGAAGGACCCTGCTGCGCAAGGGAACGAGATAGAACATGATCAAGGTAACGAAAAGAGTGCAGAATGGGGATTCTAATGGTTTTATTTGGTTGACACATTCACTGACAAGAACCAGGAATTGCATTCACGGGACAGATATTTGCACTTCAGCGAGCCCTACAGAAGCGTCGCAAAAGCAGCCTCCTCGCCATCGATGCCGTTATATTATGCAAAGAGGCAGAAACTGAGCTTCTGAATGCCATTCAAAGGGATATTTTGTTGGCGACACAATCAAAGATCTCCCAGCCACAGCAAACCAAGTGGCCTGGTCTCATCGCTGTCCTGAACGCCGTTGAGCTATCATTCCAGCTCGTCCGCCAGGCCCTACACAAGATCCCTAGCTCTGCGAATGAAAAACAGCACAAAAATCAGATTGTATACTATATGGTGTGTTTGTTCGAGTCTACTATGACCGGACTTACCCAACATTGCACTGCCAGGTCCAAAGAGAAAGACACAGAAAATGGTGTTCCGATCAGCACAAAGACTACACGGCCGAGTGTTAATGGGAGCAACTCAGGTAAGCACTTGCCCAGCGCCAAAGGTGATACAGCAAGCCTTCTCGTTGCAATGCTATGCAAAACTGCCCTTTCATTGGACCTGGCTCGTCAGGATGACCAGGAGGTTATGGAGGGATTCCTCTATATTGTGCTCAACCGGGTTGGAAAGATGCTTGCTCTTTTCGTCTTCAACCGCCTCCAGTTACCATCCGTTGTATGCCCCAAAATGGGAACGCCCGAGGGTCTAGCGGTAATGAGGGAGGAAGCTCTATCGCCGCAACATGCTCAACTTGAAGCAAGGCATCTTATATGCTTTCTCAACAGAGTGCTTAGTGGCGGACCTCTTTGCTCCGATGCTTCCCCTGTGCAAGCCCAGTTTGTTCGAAAGGTGAAGACTCAACTACAGAAGAGCTTACTCAAGGCGGTTTTCGGTGATGCGGATCCTCTGTTCCAAAACGGCTTGGTGCGACCTGCGACTCCGCCTCCCCAGGATCATGACGGACGACGGAGAGATCGACCAGTGTTCTCCGAGTGGTTTACGCAAGAGTTATGGCGCCTGGTTGGCTGGGATTTGTTAGGCTCAACTATTAGCCCTAGCTAGGGGAGCATTCGCGCTTTTCATTGTCGGCCACACTGATTGGATCCCAATGCTTGAGGTTCAGTTGACATTTTTATTACTGGAGATGTGTCAAAATACTGCTGCTATTGAGACAAGTTATGATGTATGATTAACTAAAATCGAGTCATCTATAGCATTTTACTCTATTTCAAGTTGAGAATACGGACAGCGTTACCTCCCAATACTCCAACCACTGCGTCTTGATCCTCACTAAACGACGCACTGATGGCTTTGTAGTTGGTAGTCACACTGGTCCACTTTTCATCTTTTTCATTTAGAGGTGGGAAGAAAGGATGATCGGTACCTGATAAGCGATTAGCATCAACAAAGAGATTCTCGCAAATGGGCAAGGTGTCTTACCGAACAACAGACGATCCGCACTTCCCCCTCCAGCTTCCACTGCTGCTTTCAATCCCGCAGTCCCATACGCCACGGCGTCTAGGTAAATATTGGTTTTCAGCACCTCCCAAATACTCCGCTGCGGCCCAGGAATGTCGCCCCCGTTTACTTGGAAAGTCCGCTCATGAGCGATACAGCTCTCGATTCGCCCAGCAAGGAAGGGAAGCGTGCCACCCGAATGAGCCAGCAAGATTCTGAGCTTGGGGAACCGATCAAAGACCCCACTGAGATACATGCGGGTGATGGCAATGGTAGTTTCAAGCGGAAACCCGAGTGCTAGTGGGAGGACATGTCCATAGCGACGAACAATTTCGGGCCCCCCAAATGCTTCGTCCGGCAGGCCATAGTGCGGGTGCAGGAACAGCATGAGCTGAGTGTCTTGGAGCGCTCCCCATACCACGTCTAACTCGGGGTCATCCAGGCCGTTGCCTCGCCCGGTTGTGCCCATAATTACACCCCGGATATGTGATAGAGCACTGATTCGATGAACCTCATCCGCCACTGCTACCTGCTGGGGTGCTCCAAGCGGCAATGTGCCGAACGCAAAGAGGGGAGGTAGCCTGCCCTTGTGCTCCGTGGCGCCATTGACCTGTGAACAGGTCGACTCCAAGTCATCATTGATCTTCTGCGCCCACTCAGAAGCTTGTTCTTCGCCGATAAAATCCAGCCACGGATTCGCGAGCGAAATGACGCTGCAATCGATGCCATGTTTCTCCATGAAATCGAGCTTGACCTTGATGTCGGAATATGATGAGTCGACCGGCCGACCACGTTGGTCGAGTGGGATGTTTGAGTCATCGTCTGATGAGAGAATGATCAGACGGGGTGGCCCGCCATCGGATGCGTCGTGGATGTAAGGCACCTTATTGCGGGCGCGGAGCATATCAATGTATGAGGGAGGATAGACATGAGTGTGGATATCGACGATCAATGGATCCGACATGTCGAATATTTTTGAGAGGGTTAAGAGTAGTAGGAAATGAGAGAAAACGCGAAGATTTGGAGGCAATGAGAAAACGAGGGGCAAGAAACCAGCAGCTGCAGCTTGTTTGTCTTGCAGGGGAGAGATAAGAAAGTGCCGATGCGGGGGTCGCCAGGATCCTATCGCCTCGAGGTTACCTCACGATAAATCTCCGCTTATCTTTAATCTGGCTATCGTGTACGCTTGTCTCCTTGGCATCCAAAATTACCTAAATAAAATGTCATCCAAATCTTCTTTTTCATTTCATCTCTGGATGTTTATTTCTCGCAATAGCTCTCGGAAACAAGGAACACATTTGGCCCATCGAAGGAACCGAAAACATACAGCCCAGCCCAGGACGAGTAGTAAAGACTGTTAGATACTCGGCTTCGCACATACTTTGCCGGGATACATTATTATATTGACTTGAAACTGCATTAAATGATGCCGTCATACATTAAGCCGTCATCTGTATCAAAGTTCCATCATGATTCCCTATGATGTCGATCAACTGAGAGTAGTGCCTCTCTCGTAGACCTATGTATATTAGCGCATGGCCCAACAGAGCAGGAAAGTAGAGAAGGGGCTGACATTTTGAAATTGACGAAGTCCATTATGCGATTTCCTGGCTTCCAATAACGCTGCCTGCCAGAGTAATGGGCTGCACGTTGGTAAAGTTGGGGATATCGCCGAAGATGGTGGGTGCCGACTCTGACTTAACAGCCGCCGTGCCGGCTTCCTCGCTCTCCCACACAAGGGTGGCCGTAATTAGATACTTGGGAGAGGCACCAGTGATATCGCTGTCGTACTTGGCAACTTTCCAGCTCTTCAGACCGACCGGTCCCCAGAGCTTAGCCACCAGAGGCATATGTGACTGCAGGTAGTAGTCAATGTCGAACTTGGTGTCCGGCTCATTGGGGTAGGCGACCACAGCGGTGTAAGTCATTGTGACGGGTTGAACAGGCGTGCAAGTTTTGAGATAAAGGTGGAATTGGAGGTAACTATGAGTGAGATGTGGGAACTCTAGGAGAAAGAGGGGCAAGTCGTCTTGTTGCTAGAGGATCACCGGCTTATTAATGTCGCCGCGGTGGGGTTTGAAAGTTCGCCCGAGGTCCGTTGGGGGGTGAGATGCCCCGTACACGTGGGTGAACCTCAGGGTCCTGGGTTTTTCTTGAGGAACATATCAATTATTCTGAGAGGAATTTAGGTGACTATACTTCCAATAGTTGGCCGTGAGTCAATCATCTATGACGACCGGCAAGAACCGCCTCATGCCCCCAGCATGTAAGCGGGGGTCTCTGATGCTTCTCATATCTATACTCGGTGATGTCCTTGACGTATGACACCCAACAGAGCCTTTTCGGTACTGCCTACTGCGATAATTCCCGATTCCATGCTAGGGTTTCATAACCGATAGGTGATTCTGTTGAGCGCCGCCTTGAGGCTTGAAGCAGGCGGCCCAGACGGGTAAAACTGCCATATTGCCGCCCGCCTCGTGGGGGCGCGGCGCCTCGAGGGTTCTACTAACGGGATCTGCAGGGTTAAAACTGCCCCCGAAGACTGCCCCAGATGGCCTGGGTTCTAATATACTACCCGCGCCTCCATGCCTCCGTCTGTCGCTTCCACCCACCATGGCGACCGGCACTGACCAACCACGGAGGCGACATCTTGACATGTTGTCTTGGAGTGTGATAGGACTTGTCATCGCTATCGCCTTCGGATCATATTCAATGGTCAGCTTCCCCTGTTCCTGGGCGCTGACTGATAGGCCCGACTCATAGACAGTCCTCCTTGGTGGTGGAGATGCTCGCAAACTCACCATCCTTTCATGGTGGGCTGTGAGCATATTTCGCTTGACTATTGAGCCGAAAGCTTTATGGTTCCTGTACCAATGCCACGTCTCCGAAGGACTGGAACCCCGGGGGCAGCGCGGCTACTGCGTGGGCGAGATCTCGCAGAGATCATATCGCAGTGTTAGAACTGGACACCATCGGTCGGCAGGATGATACCGGATACAGAAACTGGACGTTCCAGATAATTTTCCTCGCAAGTTGAATCTGCATGGCTTTGACGCGCGCCATGTCGGCAACCGACTTCGATTCTGGCTGGCCAGCCATACGCCAGCCCTGGACCCTATAACAGGGAAGGCCCCGATGTTCAGACAGATTCGAGCGTCGAGCTCTTTGATCTGGATCCTAGATCCAGCAAGCTTGTGCACATCAAGACGATATCCAGCGAGGCTCTCTATTCGCCCAATAACCTGGCTGTCGACCCAGATGGAGCAGGGTTTTTGGTGATTAAAGGCGGTCGCATCAGGCTGGGGAATTTCCGCGTGGTCCGTTTCAATTTGGCCACTCCAGAATTGCCTACTGTCGAACAGATACGGGGAAATGTCGGACTGTTGCCAACAGGGGCTTTGATCTTGCCAATGGCATTGTTATGGCCCACGACGGTCTGGCATACATTTCAATGTTGTCGATGGGAACCATGGCAGTCTATAAAATAGCCAGCAATGAAGCTTACTCGAATTGATGTACTTTCGCTGGGGTCGGCCCTGGATTGCCTCTCCGTTGATGCATGAGGAAACATCCTCGTCACTGCATTTACGGACTCTCTCGAACTACAGGAGGTGTCAACGGATCACCAGGCCTCTGTGACGGCGGGGACTGTCCTCATGGTTCAAAAGAAGAATGGCCAGTCGAGGAAACGGGACGAAAAACAGTATATACTCCAGCCGAAGATCGAAGACGAAGCTACTAAGCTCATGTCAACCACCACGATGGCTGTGTTCAGTCCGATCTTTTGTTCCTAGCAAGTGTGTTTTCGCCTGGTATTAGTATTTGTGAGAAGCGATTTTGAAGATGGAAGTCTGCGATTTGTATTCTAAGTTCGTCGGCGGTGCGTTGGGATTGCCGGACCGGTGTCATATCTTTGGGCGATCTTATGTAAATAGTTTCATCCTTATCTCTATTGCATCGCATAGGGGCTGGATTTATCGTGTGAGCGAATACGGTGGAGTTATCAATCACATCCTAAGGTGACAGGCGCCGAGGTCTGAGCACTAGTTGCTGCCAGAGCTTATCTTGCTTTCTTATCATGGGTTCTTATCATGCATCTCATGCTTGGACCAGGGTGCATCTGCACTTCCCCTCTTCATCCCCTCTTCTTCCCCAACTTCACTTCTCCTTTTTCCCCGGAAACCCTCTTGGAAAATTATTGGAGCGATCAAACGAAACATATAAGCCCTTATCTTCCCGACTGCCACGAATGATGGCGGGCGCTTTTCAAGTGACCCAGTCAGTATCTACTGCGGTGGCGAAAGACGACCTCGTGATACCTGTACGCCTCTCCGCCGACCATCTTGTCTACCTTGAGTCATATTCCTCTGATCGGAGTGAAGCTCATTTGACTTCTTTGTAGCTCATCGATTTCGGTACCTTTGTCTCTGGCACGCCGTCCGACAAACATGCCATTGCATTATCTATCACCGACGCATTCAAGACCTCCGGCTTCATCTACCTAAAGGGCCATGGCATCCCACCCTCCGTGGTGACTCGGGTTTTCGCCTCATCTGCTGGCTTCTTCCGTCGACCCCAGAGTCAAAAGGACAGTCTGGGCTGGTCCACCCCCCAGTCGAACCGTGGCTACGTCGCGAAAGGGCGCGAGAAGCTGGCTACTCTCGAAGAGACTGAGGAAGTGGATACGTTGCGGGGATCGGCCCCTGATATTAAAGAGACGATGGAGATTGGCCGAGAGGGAGTCGATGGCCTGCCTAATCAATGGCCAGATCATCTCGATGACGAAGGGAAGGACTTTAAGGAGACAATGCTTGCCTTTTTTGGCATGTGCAAAGAGCTGCATAGGCAGGTCATGAGTGCTATTGCCCTGGGGATGAACCTGCCTGAGCACTTCTTCGATGAATTTGTGAATGAGGGGGACAATAATCTCCGCCTATTGCACTACCCTCCCGTTCGGAAAGATGTCTTCAAGCAGAACCGGAACCAAGTTCGTGCCGGTGAACACAGCGATTACGGGTCCGTCACGCTGCTCTTCCAGGATCAGCATGGTGGTCTGCAGGTGCGCAGTCCCAAGGGGACTTTCGTGGATGCGACGCCCATCCCTGATACCATTGTCGTTAATGCCGGTGATCTCCTGGCCCGATGGTCCAATGATACCATCAAGAGCACCCGGCATCGGGTCATTGAGCCGCCGAAGCCAGAGGGACAGGACTCGACTGATTCATCGGAGACCTATCCTGCCCGATATAGCATTGCCTACTTTTGCAATCCAAATAATAACAAAGTGATTGAGGCGCTGCCAGGGACGTATGGCGAAGAAATCAACGTGACCAAGAAATATGCCGATATCACTGCAGGCGACTATTTGGTCCAGCGACTGACAGCGACCTACTGATCAGGAAGCCCCATTAATGGTGGAATGCTTCATGCCTCTCTCTCTCTTTTTCGTTTGCTACTCATAACCGTCTTATTGCGGTGGGCGTCATCATCTTAGCAACATTTACAATGTCCCATTCATGCAATCTCAATCATCTATTCCAAACTCTCCGCTCGAAAGATGAAGCTGTACACCAAAGAAGGGATATAAGAATCATCCCCAGACCTTCACATGGGTCAACTCTCAGTAAGTATTCGGCACCGAGCCAATCCGACCACCATCCGTGAGCATCATGGTGCCATTAAGATAGCCGCCCGAGGTGCTCACCATCCAAAGGATCAAACCCGCAATATCTTCCGAGCTACCACCACGGGTAAGCGGGATCATTTCCCTTGGGAATGAGCCGTCTGAAATGCCGCTACCTTGAATGCCACCATCGGCGAATAAATTTTCGGCCATCTCGGAGTGATACAGTCCAGGCGCGATACCATTGACCCGGATGTCATACGGCGACAGATTAGTTGAGAGCGATTTGATAAGATGCGTGACGGCGGCCTTGGAGACATTGTATGCATAGCTGAACGGCACCTTGCGGTTGAACCCCGCAATAGAGCTGGTGATGACAACCTGGGCGGTGGGGGGCGAGAGCACACCAATCTGCGGTGCCGGCCGTCTCTGGTTAGCTGCCTCCAGCAAGGGCAAAAAGGCCAGGACAGTGTAGTATGAGCCGGTGACGTTGACATCCATGACCTTTGTAAATTCCGCCATCGGGATGTTGAACAGTTCCTCGCGGACTTCTGCCAGGGACGGTAGACTCCCGTCTGCCTTGGGCGGCGGTGGGCGCATAAGCGGACCCAAGATGCCGCCGTTGGCAAACAAAACGTCGACGTGGGTTGTCTGTGCCGCGACAGCCTGATATGCCGCTTCCAAAGACTCTTTCGATGTAATATCGCATTTGATCGGGATGATGAGGCCGTCTTGGGCTAAAGCGGCGGTATCGCGGAGAGCATCTTCACGGCGACCGAGGACAAAGATCTTGGAGGCACCGTTGATGGCGAGAGCGCGGGCCATGGTCCGGCCCAGACCTAGTGATGCAGAGTCTGTATTAGCGTACATGCCCCCCTAGCCCGCTGCTTGACCCTATGGGATTTATCTTTACCGCTGCCGCCGCCGGTGATGACCGCCACTCGGCCCTGGACCGAGAACAGATTCGAGGCTTGAAGATTCGACATGATTGCTGAGATGGAGAGCGTGCTGAACGTCGAAGGTCACTGCACGACCGAGGTTATATATGCCCCGCGCAACACCGCCATGCCCCACCATTGATCGGCACGGGGCCGATCTGCCGCGGTAGCATTGTCTTTCCGAATTGCAATGGCACGGAATAACGCCGCGAGGCGATTCTTGCTTTAAAAAAGCGCAGAACGGCTAATATAAGTTTGTCATGTACGCTGAAGATGGCCCTGATTACAGTATTACGCGCACACACTCTCTAGCGCGGCCAAGGTTCGACACTGCAGGAATGCAGCATTCTCGCGAAATGAGCCTAGGAGCTGAAAGACAGGGACAAGACGCTGCATTCGCAATGAAGGCCTCCCCGGCGCTAAATAACGAGTCTCCGCAGCCAAGAGACCCTGACATAGAGGGGACTGTGCACAAGTGACGTGGGCATGGGCCCGTCTGGTCCCGACTAACTCAACTGCACGGCGAGAAGACCGATGGCAAGCGCACGTACTTGCAAAATCTCTCCCATGCTCATTTACCCTGTGTATGACTGAGAATAGGGTGATCCGGGGCATCCGAGGGCGGAGATGACTTCCCTCTCGACGCTTCTTCCCTGTGCGGGTAAAATCGCGGATGACTTCGTCATCACTGACCCACTATGAACGATTCACTCTGCTTCCACAACGCATAACTTGTTTGGAAGAACCATGATCGGATGCAACTGAGGGCCTGGATACTAAATTTAGTGCACAGCCTGGTATTGGTATATTGGTATTACATGCTGAATTCATGCGTGCTCATTAATTGCCGAACCCTGCACCCAACACTGATTAGTACATTCGGCCCGCCTAAGACTCGAGCCTGTCAAATAAACTTCGTCCCGATGTACGGACCATCCCGCAGGTTTTGAAGAGTCCATTCTACTCATACCACCCTCTAAGGTCCCACCCTGGTGGAGTCTAATGTATGACAGCATAGCGGGCACTACCTGCTGCTTGACCAATCGTGCAAAGACTTGTTGCTGCAAGCATCGAAGATTAATGGAGGAATATAAGAAACCGAAACCTTAACGGCCTGGCCGACGCGGCCTTCAACCGGTTGGGAGTGCATTCCGCTCTAACCTCGTCATTACCTGGCGCTGACCTCAATTGTCATCGCTGTGCCCCTTCGCCATCTAGCAACGGAGCGACGCATTGGGTATCCAGGCAATAGGTCGTTGACTTCATGGGTGCCGGACCGGTGCGCCATTCGACTCATTGGCGCCTGATCCACATCATGATGTGCTCAATGGAGCATAGTGGCTGCTTTTGTACCTTGCTGTGTCGCGCGTTCGAGCTCGTCGAACCAGGATTGCTTGGGTCAATCGTCACCAGTGTCAATATATGGCTCATGGCTGACGTATCCCGCGTTTAGGTTGGGTTTCTAGGGCCATATATGTCCTTTTGATAGTGGCCGCCCTTTTCCGAGACCCTGGTTGCTACACCTCCCCTGCATACACGCTGTTCTATCTGCAGCCTGCGAGACGCCGAATTGCCTGGGAGAAGATTTGACGAAGTGTCTGCGGTTATGATGTGGAACTCTTTCCTCTTCTTGAGCGTGTTGGGCGCTGTGCCTTTGAGCTCTGCCATTCCGAATGGGATTGTAATTGCTCGCCAAACCTCTGCATCCTCCGTCTCCGTTTCGGGCCCGCCTCTGCGAAGCCATCCATCTTCTCAGTCGCACACTCCTTTTAGTGGAACACCGTCGACTACTGGTGCATTGACTGCCTCCTCGATCGGATCTGGCATCTCCAGCGCTGGTGTACCTCCAGGAGCTACCACTTATCCAAGTGATGGCAAGCTTCATAACGCCGAGCCAGCCCCATATGTTCCTGCAGGAGGGGTAGGCACCAACGGATCAACTCCTGTCTATAATGCTAGGAGTGACTTCGACTATGAATCCTTGGTCAGTAGAAGGTCCACGTTGAACTAGAGGATTGCACTGGTACTAACTGCAAATTGGCAGGCCTTGGCTCTGTACCAGGAATGGATTGAGCTAGACTTGTTCCAGGACGGATTGAAGCGCTTCTCCGCAAGCGACTTCCAAGCTGCTGGTCTTAGCTCTGCAGACCGAGACCTAATTGCATTCATGGCCGAACAGGAGGTTGGCCACGCAACTATGATCAGCAACATTCTCGGCGCCCAGGCGCCACAACAGTGCTCGTACAACTACCCGTACACCAATGTCAACGAGTTCATCGATTTCTGCCAGAAAGTGACTCGATTTGGCGAGGCTGGTGTGTACGGCTTCCTGGCCCATCTCGACTCCCGCGAGGCAGCCACTCTGTTGACGCAGTCCATCACCACCGAGGCGCGTCAGCAGCTGATCTTCCGGCAGTTCGAAGGTCTCTTCCCCATGCCTGAGTGGTTTGAGGTCGGCATCCCGCAGTCCTGGGCCTGGACCTTACTGGCGCCGTACATTAGCTCCTGCCCCAGTAATCAGACTCGTCTGGTATGGCAGAACTTCCCTGCCCTGCGAATCCTCAACCAGCCTAGCGTGTCCAGCGCTGGCAGCACCGGCAATAGCTCTGGCCTCAACAACACCATCAGCCCCGGCACCAACGTCGTGAAATCACCCAACGGCTCGAACTCCAGCTCCGGTTCTGGTAGCGGTGGTGGTGCCCTTGTCACCAGCGAGACCGCGGCGCTCTCGTTCCCCGGCCGCCAGGTGGCCCTGCAGTGGGAGAGCGCGGGCAAGGCCGTCGGTCCGAACGACAGCTATATTACCACCACCCAAGCCAAGTCCGCAAAATACGTTGTCTGGGTCTCGCAGTTGAATGTGACATATACACCGTTGCGCGTCCTGAATAACACTAATAGCACCGGCCTCGGCTATGGCTACACGATCCAGCCGAATCTGGAGACCTATCAGGGTAACCCGGCGATCAATGGCACCATGTTTATCGCTATCACCGACAGCAACCCGGTCCTGACCCCCTTCAACCTGAGCTTGATTAATCCGCACGTCGTTGCTGGCCCTGCCATTTACCAGGCTGGTTAAAGTTGAGATCTCGGCACAAGGAAACGTGGAACGACGGACCGTCGCAAGGGCCGGAATGTAATTTAATGGCAGCGGATTGGGGAGAATAAGCTGATTAAGAGAGCGAGACGGTGTTCACGAATATGAATCATTCAATTACTCTACTCTACTGTGATGATGTTCCAGTAAATAGACTTGGAAGGCAGTTTCACTAAACGTGCGGATTCACGATGGTGCAAAAATAGCCCCATGCGTTGGGTTAGCGCTGCGGGAGGGGCTGAGCTGAGTTCACATCCCCACTTGAATTTCGACCTCCCCCAGCGCTGATGCAATGGAGCCTCTGCCTTCCATAACGTCCGCATTTTTCCAACTCGTAAGGGGTTGTGCTGGTCGGCAGGTATTGCAAAGACTCCAGAATATTTCAACACTATGGAGCCTAGTCGGAGACTACGGATATCGACGATCGGCCTCCTAAAAAGGATCTATGACAAATTGGAGAGAGAGGAGCACTCACGACGGTATGCTAAAAAGAGCCCATCTGATAATGTACCTGACTAAGTTGAGCAGTCGCGCGAAAGCCATGGTTGTGCTTCTGTTCTTCGGGTTTGGCTTGTGGCTTCTCATCATCCCATTCAGGGCGAAGCCGCAGAAAGACTGCGAGCCGCCTGATCTCAGCGTCGTCTCTGGCTACTATGGTCCAGGCTCTCTTCTCGCTTGGCTGGTGGCAATTCTATCGTCTGTGCTCTCCCACGAGTTCTCGGTTGGGTCGTCTTGGGCGGAAGCCTTCCACATCTCTCCGCGTCTCGCAGCCGCCATCAGAGAAGACGAGCACCCCCTCGAGGGCATCGATGGCGCGCAGCTGACAGCCGCGGCATATTCGATGGGTGCAATCCTCGATCTTGCCTTCCGCTCAATTGCTGGAAAGAACGACGCCCAGAACGCAGCTTCATACACGATTACCTGGCTGTCGCTGTTCTTCTTCGCCTGTTGCAACGCTACGGAACGGAGACAGAATCAGCGCCGGTCCCGCGTGTCCCGCTTTTGGTATAGATTCTGGAGAATGAATTGGCTCTTCGCAGCTGTAGCGCACTCGATTCAAAGCCTGATGACCATGTCGAGGGATGCTGATACCACTGGACTCTGGTTCATTGCAGGAGGGCTGTCTCTGTTGTACGTCATCAGCCTTCTCATCACCGTGCAGCCTTGGGATCTAGCTTGGGTGGAAGAACCCGAGGACCCGACCACCCGAACACGCGATATCCATGGGGCTGAGTTGATGTGTTCTGTGCTCTTGATGGCGATAGACGTGCGGCGAAGGAGCACACCGTGGAACTTCCAGTTGCGATGTGGTGTTGTTGCGGCGCCATGGAGTCTCACCAAGGCCAAGTTGACTGATATGGACCAGATGGCGGCGTTTTGTGTGGCCGTTGGAGCGACGGTGCTTCCCTGGGTGGTCACAACGTTGAAGAAATACCGATCTGGCCGGTAGACTCGTACGAATAGTAATTCATCAAGATCATTGAAGACTTTGAGACTTTTGTATACTTCCAGTGCCGCGCGGTGTCGGGGCCGCTTTGCAGATTGGCTCCGCCGAGTCCGCCGACCCACTCGCATCTTTTGTTTCCCGCCAACTCATCCACTTCTCCAACCTCCCCACCACGCCCATCCTCAGCCCATGGAGGCCCCCCGGAATCGAAAGCAGCGCCGTGCGGCAGCTGCAACATCGTCTTTTGCCTCCGAGGATCCTGACATCCCTCTCGCTCTTCCGCAACGTGACGATCCGACCAAGAAGACCAGCGAACGGACATTATATGACATCATTGCAGAGCGCCAAAATGAGCTCCTCAGACAACAAGAAGGCCTGAGGAAAAAGGGGCCAGGGTCGGCAATGGTCAAAGGAATACCCTCACAACCAACCGGGACCCGATTTGTGACTGTCGACGCGTCGGGGCAATTGGTGGATACCGACGGCGACATCGACAGCCAAATCCCCACGAACATGGGAACTCAAAACTCTCATCCCATTCGCATGGTACCACATAACGACAATCACGACGACCCTGAATCCGAAGATGACAAGTCCCTCCCGCCCTTCCTCGACACCCTCCTCCTCGCCCTCCCCCTAACAACCCTCCACCTCACCCTCGCCTATCTCGCAGCCCACCAGTACGCCGAAGCGACCAACGTCCGTGGCCTCATCAAGGAATCCATTTTCATCACATTTCCCCTCCTCACATTCCTCGTCCACTTCGTTCATGGCCACATTGTCTCCTTCAAGCTGCGCAGTAGCCTGGGCTTTCTCGCGGCGCAGCCTGTCTCAGTACTTCCGCTCACGCGCGACAAGTTCACATTCTCATTTCTCCGGCGTGTGGTCTTTCCGCCGACCCTGCGCACCATATTATTACTACCCATATCGGCCTTCCTGGGTGCTCATCTCATAACAGTCACGAACGGGGAGCCGTACTACGCTGTTATGAAGAAGGCGCCTGCTTATGGCACAATATGGATCTGGTGTATTCTAGAGATGTCTTTGGGGCCGGCGGTTATTGGGGCGCTTGGGCCATTGATATGGGGTGTCTATTGGATGGGGTACGGCATTTTTTGAGGGTCAGTCGGGTTGAGAAGAAGACCCTGAATTGACCTGGTATCGTCCTGCTCTCCCAACAAAGGCTATAAGAAGGTGCCCCTTCTGGAAGGATTCTTTGTCAGACTTTGCCGGTTTGACCTGCTCGCGGGGCCATTGCGGTTATCTTGAAAATAGTCAAGAACATAAGTCGACACACGAACTAACAAAATGTACATTATCCCTCGAGTCACACCACAATCGATTCGTCCTTGGGCAAATGCGGCCGGAGTATCTCAATAATCTCCTCCCAGACTTTCTTCTGCAATGCCTTTCCCTGCGAGCTTGTGGTAAGGTCACCCTTGCTTTGCACCGGATTAGCCCCGTGTCTGAAATTTAGCGGACGTGCAATGCATACCTGAAAAACATATCGGCACTCCATAGTTGACCGTGCGCTTCCTCACCAAGTGTCACTCCACTGACATAGCTCCTCGCTCCCTCTTCAGCCGAACGAGCACAGACAGAATGAAAGATGGCCATTGGAATCTTCAGCACAGTCGAAAAGTCCCGACCCAAGCTAGTTCGACAAGGTCCTGGACAGACAGCGTTGATGATGACATTGAGGCTGCTAGTAGATGTAACGAGACCTTCCATCACATAAAAAAGCAGGAGCTTTGTAACATTGTACTGTTTCTGTATGCCGAAAAAGCCAGCATGGTTGACTTGATCCAGGATCTTGGCATCATTCGGCGAGAACGTATCGGGGTATACAGCGCGACCAGCAATACTTCCCACCAGCTCGAGATGTGCAGGTGTGCCAGACTTAGCAGCCGATTTCCGAAGCTGCGGTAGAAGGAGTATCGCCAATAAAGCGGTGGAGAGAACCATCACTTGCAGAGACATTTCGTATCCCTCCGGGCTGAGCTGATAGGATGGTGCCGCTATACCGGCATTGAGGATCGCAATATCCAGGCGAGGTTCCTTGGCAGTTGCCTCGGCCAACGCCTTGACTGAGGCAAAAGTGCTCATGTCTATTTCGTATAGCTGGATATTGCTCGGCTTGTAACCGGTTTGCTGGCATATCTTGGCTCGTGCTTCTTCGCCTTTGCGGAGCGATCGTACGCCGAAGATGATTCGCGAGGCACCAAGCGCAGCGAATTTAAGAGCGGCCTCGTAGCCTAGCCCTGTATTGGCCCCGGTGATTAGGACGGTTTGACCAGCGAAAGACGTTGTGGGATTTGCTGGTGGGTGGCGCGCTGCCCACCACATCATGTTGAGGCCTTCTCCTTCAGGTGGTGTGGAAACCATCATGTCAAGATTCTCAAGAGAAAAAGAATAAGTTTGGGAGCTAACGAGCTCAGGGGAGTAAGAAATTAACCTGATCCCGAATGTACAGGCCTTTTTATTGCCGAAACGTAGTCAGTCCGAAAAACGCTCCGATTCGGGTTCGGATCGTTACTGATCGTCTTCAAGCTTGGCATTCATGATCCATGTCCCGGAGGCTGGCGAGGATCTCTTTCAGAGGCTGGCAATGACCTCGGGGGTTGTATAATTGAGGCTGTTCGCTGGCTTCCTCTTCCAGCATTATTTGTAACAGCCGAGCAGCTTTCCCGAGCCGGGACGTTTCCTCTCCAGTTGCAGAGCCACTACCTGGGAGACCAAATCTGGTTTCGATATTCTTCAGCATACCCTCACTGACTCGAACCAGGATCTGTACCTGAAGATCGACCCGAGCCTCCAGCTTAAATCCGCCGAGATGCATGCCGGGGAATAACTGGGGAATCGGGTGCTGAACACCCAATAGGAACGGCAAGGAGTCTAGAATACATGAAAAGATAGTTCGATAGATGCGGACTAGGCACACATAGCACGAAAGAAGCATGGTCATTGTCGGGATCTCGCATGATAGCTCGAAGACGTCGGCGTCCGCACAGATCGGCTGGAAGCAATTTAGAACATCGAGGAGGGCCGTGGAGTGATCTAGCATGCGACCGACCATGGCATTCTGGCCGGTGATAGAATCAGTTGGGTTTACAGCCTCGGGGCATTTATCGGCTGTTCTGCAATGCTTCACGGCCTCAAGGTCAGCAAGAATGTTCGCTTGGAGGCCGGCCAACTTTTCCAGAACTTCGTTGCGTGGCTCCGAGGGTGGAGTGACCGGCACCTGTTCATGCACGGTAACTGGAAATAGACCCTGGCCAAATGAAGGGGACCAGATATCGTTAAAGTCATCAATGTTGGCGGGTGACATTAGACGGTGCATTTCTGGACCTGCTCCAATGCTAGGGACATCGGAAGGTGTGTCTAGATAAATAGGCTGCAGCATTGACGCATCTGGCACGGCATCCGCTGGGAAGCCAAGAATTGAATGCTCCCTCGGAGCAAAAAACACCTGTTGCTGAGGATCATTGAGTATCTGCGTGGGACGACCAGACTTGAGCGCAGGGCCCATGACACATTGCGCGTCAGCCTTCTCGCATCGGCGACAGCGCGCTGTATCCCCTTTTTCACAACGCAGCTTGTGACGTCGGCATCTGTCACAGGCTGACCTCCGATTGCCAATGCTTTCAGCGGCGTGATTCAACATTGATGATGGTGTGAGCATAAGAACGTTCGGAGTTTGGTGCATGGGAAGATCGGATTGATAGGAGTCGGAGATGAGTGGAGCCCCGAATCCGACTCCGGCGCTGCCGTGTGGGGGCCAGTGACGCTCAGGCGCCAATACTTGTTCATGTCCCCATCTTGGTTACCTTATTGCACATACAGTGGTTTCAGATCATGAAAGGTAAGAAGAAGAGATGAGCTTGTTTCACTATCCTTATCGTTGACTGGACTGGCGAAATCTGAACTTAGTTGCGGGCCCACAACTGTACCAGTCGATGATTATGTCTCAAAGTCGCAGGTCCAACACTCGGAGATAGCGTCGCCGTACTTATGCATCAATGACTGCATAGCGACGCCGGCGGTTTGAGAACCGCCAATTGTCACATCGAGTGAGACGAGACCCTTCATGAGACGGTCAATTTGATGGTCCTGCAACATGTCGTCCGAATCCCCCGGCGATGAAAGCCGCAGTTTGACCACATGTTCTACAGCCCTTTCTAAAGTCGCAGACATTATCCCGGGAGTGACATGGTAAGCAATGATGGGAACCTCGGCCCCCAAGCCATTTTGCAGATTGAATCTCTCCTCTGTGGGCAGAAGAAGCATGCATCCAATGGTGCTTGCAACAGAAGATGCTGCCTCGTTTCCGTACGATTGAATGCATGAGAACAATGCAGGATGGCTGTACCGGCACAATCCGTGTGCGAAAACTTGCACGGTGTCCGCGAGGACAAGTACACCTAGGTCCCAGGGCATCGCGAGGGAGACTGGATGGGATCGTCAGCGAGTTAATAATAGGGCGAGGAGGCACATGGCATACCTAAAGATATTCGTGAAGGTATTGATAGGTCTGAGAAATTCTCTCTGCAGTGATTGATGAAGGGTCGAAAGGAGTGATTGAATTGTTCGATCGCCGTAATTGCCGAGCTGATGGTCTCGAATGACCCAGGCGGGAGATTGAAAGCACCATCAACCAATCGAGGAAGAGAGTTTTTCACATTGGCGATTTCTCTCCATATACGAAAGGCATCTCCAGCTGCTTTCCGGCAGATATCTGGAAGGTTGTGATCTAGATAAGGAAGGGTATGGTGGAATGGGCCCTCTGGAATTGAAACTCCGCTGGTAGATGCTGATCAGTGTCAGTTTGGAAACGAGCTTTCGTGTTTCGCCGAAATTCCCACTTACGCTCTGAGTTGAAAAAGGGCGCAGGGAATGTGCATTGGAAATCAGTAGTGAGGGCCGCTCCGGTTTCACGGATATAACCGCACCAACGTACAAGACTCAAGCTTGCTTCTGCTAGAGCGCCGTACTGGGAGAAAGGCCCGAGATTGTCGCAGTATTGATTGACAAGCCTATCCAACTCTTGAAGCTTGCGTAGACCAAGACTAAGAAACTCGTGCTCTAGATGAGGCTCATTGAGTGTGACATAAGCCTTTGACGGGACCGCAATACCATCGAATATGAAGAAAGCACACACAACTCGGAATGATCGAACGGAGATCGCCTCTCTTAGTATGGACCGAGCACGAAACCATGCATCCGTGTAAACGCCCAGCAGTGAACTAGATCCTAGAGGCTCTCCATTCAAGGTTTCAGCTGAGCTTTTGCATAAAGGATCTCCCGGATCCAGAGGAGATTCAGAATTAGGCATCCACTGCAGTGCAAAAGCTTGAAGCGCTGCTTTTAAAGCTCTATCGGACCTTTTCCGGGCAGCCGGGCTTAGCGTGTTGCCGTAAAGACCACCAAAATGGTCCAAGAAGCGAATGCATCCAAGCAGTGTGATCTTAAACGTATCAAGAGGTAACGTAGGACGCATAAGTTCATGTGTCCGTCCTTTCGTTTCTGTCTGAGACGAGCTATGACAGGATGAGAGAGGTTCCATTGGCTGGGGGGAGGACGTCGGAAAGCCGATTGAGTTTTCATTTAGAATGGTGGCTATCCTGGCAGGGGAGGATTCTTGTGATTCTTCAGGACTGCTATTTTCAATCTGATAGCGATAGCCTGTTGCGTATAAATTGCTGTCATAGTCCAGAAATCTTGACGCGGATCCAGTCACAATCGTTTCGTAAATCCGTGCGAGACGCTCATCGATGATAGTTGCATTCAACCTCGAGGTCAGCAGATATACTGGACTGCGCAGTGTACTGCCGAGTAATTGCCCTGCTACCAAGGTAAGAGCCGATTGCGCAGGATGTGATCGGCTTGGAACAAGAGCCTCTCTCTCATAGCGCCTCGGCTCTGATGTTGCCGATAAGTCTAAATGAGCCGGTGCCAATGAAGTAGTTGGTGAATATGTATCTGTTGCGAATGATCTCGAGATGTCATCAAAATATTGGCCAACATCAAGGTTGAGCCACGAGCTGAAATCCTCTTGGTCATACGTAGAGCCGTTCTGACATGAATCTCTCGGACAGTTGACGGGCGTTTCTGACGCTTTATCAACAATATTTGGCTGAGGATACCCCGGTAAATGGGAAGGACCTTGTTGTTTGCGGCGTTGCCTCTTCTTAGGCCTAGAATTCAGTTGGGATGTGGCGAAATCGAAGGTGCATGCATGCCCAAGACGTTGGCAATGTGTACATGAAGCACTATCGTCACCCTCATCACGATGTGAGAAGAAGCAACGTCGTTTTGAGCGCCGACAGGGATCGCAACTGGTGTTCTGGCGACGCGGTGGCTTTGCAGGTGTCGACGCCACTTCGACAGTAGCGTGACTTGGCATTTCGTACGTGACGGGATCCTATTTTCATTCAAGAGATATCTGTGACCTGATTTCAAGATCGTATTGTCTGGAATGTCAGAACAAGAAAAGAGAGACCCGGTCGGGTTGATCCGCTCGGGGCTTATCGTCAGGGCGCTCGAGGCTGATGTCTTGGCGCCTGAATGTTCATTGATACCTGAGGCACCAAACGATGTCCAAAAAAGAAAGAGAGAGTTAGCGAAAACAGAGACCGGAGAGGAATACTTTCCAGACAAATTTGATCTGAGTAGCTAGCTCAATTTTATTGATGCGAGCCGTTCCAAATATTGGTAGTGCATTTGTGGAGGCAACGAGAAGTTGAGACGAATGGGACCGCAGTGGTAGTTCCTGCTGTGAGAACTGCGCTCAGAGGCTTGTGTCTGTGGAAGGCAGGCAAAAGTAGATGAGACAGGACTGAATACAATTTCTTCATAATGGTCAGGTTTCGTATACGTTTCCTGCGTTTGAGGATTGATGACCAGCCTGGTCTATAGGGATCGAGGGCAATTTTTCATATCTACCAATCATGATTTTACAAATGAATCAATCAGCGAGACAAATTCTACTGGGGACAAGATTACGTGCTGTAACTATGGCAACAGGAAACTTATGGAAAAGGGCTACCTGTTACAGCTTCTGTCTCTCGCTGAAGAGTCGAGATTGAGTGAGAATTGATAATAGACAAAGCCGGCTATTGAGAAGTGTCCGAGTCAGCGATCCTGAATTTCGGGTGAACTCGAGCGTTTCAACCGCCGAATATCGACCGCATTGGACATGAGGCGATCGCAATCTATATCTTTTCCCCGGCCGCCCTGCGAAGGAACTCCACAATGAGACTGGGGTTGCTCAAGAACGGAGAGTGGCCCTCATCGCATTCCTCGACGTCGAAGGCACCCTCACCTTGCGCAATCATTCTTCTTTGCACACATGCAGGCAACGCGTTGTCATTCTTACACACGATGTACGTGCTGGGAATTTCCTTGAATGCCGAGTATGTGGCAGGCACAGTCAGCGGACCCGCAGGAAATGATCCCAGCATACTGAGTGCTTCCTGGGCATCCTTGGGATCACATCTACTATAGAGGATGTCCTGAACGATTTCTCCCTCGAGCACCATAGCCCCATCCTTGAGCGTCACATTAGCTTCCATCCATCTCTTCCTAAAGGGTGATGATATATATACCTCTGTGAATTTCATTCCTCCGTACTTGGCAGCTAGTTCTTGGCGCTTCCGCTCGATTTCCTCTTCTTCAGGGGTGACTGGCACAAGTTGACCAACATGAGTCTGGCCCTTGGGTAGCGCCATCGCGCACATATAAACCAGCCTTCTCACTGAACCCTTATGCCCCTCTCTCTCGCGGTCTTGCTTGCCCAGACCCTTGACAGCCTCAGACATGGCGACTCCACCAAAGGAGTGGGCAACAGTAATGACATCCGTGCCGGCATTCAAGTATTTCATAATCACCCGGCGAACCGCTTGTGCATCTTGATCCCAGCTGGGATGGGGTGGGCTAGAGTCAACCGAGGGCATTGTTACGCCCACTGCCTCATAATTGAAATTTGCCAACCCATTGATGAGCTTGCGGTAGTGCTGTGGTCTATGCCACGCGCCTGGTACGATCACGAAAGCGGGCTTGGGCATTTTGATGGCTTGGATGAAATCTCGAAATAGAAGACAAGGATATTGCGACGAATTAATTTAGAAAAATCATCATGCAGAGCAAAGAATGGAATAAGTTAAATAATGTACATCGGCTGCCGAAGACATCGGCTCCGTATCTCGTCTCCACTTATCGCGCCATCCGCTCGGATCCACCGCCGCCGTTGGCTGACATTCATTTCGTCGGCTCCGATGATTGTTGTCCCAGCCAACATCGACCGTTGGCCTTCTGTCAATAATAAATCCTAGGATGGCTAATAAGCTACAGGCAGGGAGGAAAGAAGACTCGATCAATATCAGGAACCTTCCAAGAATATATGTATATTGCAATAGATCCAACGTTATTAATATTAATCTCCAAGAAGATCTGGATGCCAGCCCCGTCATTTATCTTCTCGGAAATCCATGCTGGAAGTGATTCAAAACGGAGGAGGGTTCAAGTCCAGCCCCGCTACCGTCAGCTTGAACGCATCGTTCCTGGAATAGCTGCCGGCAACGTCCATATCGAATTTGCCTCGCTCACAATCCTCCAAGTCAATTTCGTGGACCAACAACCCATCTTTACTGGAAACCTCGCCCGAACGGGAGGATTCAATTGCGTCGTCAACACAAGTTTCCCAAACGGGGCCAGCAAGAACATCTCCAAGAGGGCCAACAATGCTAGATCCACCACGGCAAATGTACTGGTCTCCTGTGTGGTCATGTTTATTAGATTTAGAGTTTGCATATCGGACCGTGTGGCTCCGAAACATGGAATATTGGTGATTAACTCGTACCTTCCAGAGCATTTCCTTCCTGGGCAGCATGCTCGGTGATCCAGGACGGCAACTCGCGGTAGCGGACACACTGGTTGGAGGATAGAACAAAAGTACGACCTTCACCAGCGACGGTGCGCATGAGTGGAAGCCAAGTGTCCCGGCTATCAGCTGTCGGGGCGAGATAGATATTCACGTTCTGGGAATACAGGCTCTGTCGCAGCAGAGGCATGAAGTTTTCCCAGCAAATAGCAGCCGCGATGGTCAGCTTCACTCCGTTCAGCACAGTGGTGACTGCTTTCAGAGAAGATGGTGAGCCCTGGCCCCAAATAAGACGCTCCGAGGCAGTCTATTTGACAACATTTCAAGTCAGTAATCTGTGCATGAATCAGTAATACATTTAATCTATTTCTCGAGGACATACTGGCATAACCTTCCGCCGCTTCCCCAGGACACCGGCTGTCGGGTCCACATAGAGGACGGAACAGTACAGAGTGCCACCGGCCTTCTCGATCACACCTGTGGAAATAAAGACGCCCGTCTCGCGGGACACCTTTTCAAGAAATTCTCTTGTTCCATCACCACGACGGTCGGATCCTTTCGCGACGGGGAGTTTGCGTTCTACCCAGTCATCTCCCGCACCCGCGGGCGTATCCCCGAGATCCACCGCATCCTGGAAATACCGCAAGAATTGCTCTCGCCCATGAGGAGCACGAGCACCCACAGCAGTTCCAAAATCACAGGTGCGAGGGTAGCCTCCCAGGTACGCTTCAGGGAAAAGCAGAAGGCTAACTCCTTGGGAAGCAGCGTGGTGAGTGATTTGCTCCAGCGCAGAGAGCGTTGCGGGGAGGGAGGGGCCGGTACGGGCCTGTGCCACCGCGACCTTCAATTTTTGAGGCATTGTGTATGGAAATAGTTAGAAGTTTAAGCCCGGCAAGATGGGGAATCCTCAAGTTAAAGAAGAGAAGCAGGATACAAATACCGAGGAGGAAAAGCGGATCTGTCAACAAACTGAGTCATTGTCGGCGAACGGTCCGATTCCGCGATTCGTCGGGGTCTGATTTTCCGGACGCTCTACCCCAACGCAGTACAGCAAAATAAAAAGAAACTAACTGATAATCGTACTGGCTCAACGAAAAGGGCGTATGGAAACTGCCTTATCAGGTGTTACTGATTGGAGAAAGTCTCCCTTATTTTTCAGGCTTTTGCTGCATGAATTGCCCCTTTGGATTGAGGTTTCCAAACTGTGTTGACCCCAAACTCTGTGACCCCAACTCTGTCGACCCAAACAAGGCAGGGAACATGTCCGTGTCGTCGGATGCAGCATATGGTTTACTCAATGTTAAGGACGACAAAGTATTCACTAAAAAATAGTGGCTTGATTGTTGATCGCCTTAGTAAAAGTAATAATTGCGTTATGGGACAAACCAGTGGCTCTCAGGGGCCGCCATGTGAAGAATGTGCGAGGATGGCTAACCCAGTCACTTCGCACCAAGTAGGGCGCTTGTCAAGGCCTTCGAGTCCCCTTCATCAAAAGGATGGGTTTTCTCGAATTCGATAATGAGTTGTTCATGCTCGCGGCCTCGTGGGGTAAATGCAGCTTTGTAAGAAATAGGGTGACTCAATAAACCAGGGGTAACATCGACCGTTGGCTCAATTTGTTTGCCATCTTTCCCAATGGGTATTCGGATATCAAACAGGGCCAGTGTGTGAGCAACCATCAGGAAGATGGATGTTTCAGCAATCGCCCGCCCCGGACAAACTCTACGACCAAAGCCAAAGCTCACATCTCTCGGATCCAGAGTAGACTGCGAGGCAAGGAATCGCTCAGGTCGGAATTCTCGCGGGCTGGGGTAAATTGTGGAATCATTGTTGAATGACCTACATATGTTAGATATCATACATAAACGTAGTTTTGACGTGCCAAGCATACCAAATATTTGGTAACAGAATTGCGTTTTTGGGAATAAGAAAACCATTAATAATGTCGTCTTCGTCTGTCCGGTGAGGAATCCCCAAGGGCGCAACACTGTGCCATCTGATGGCCTCCTTTACTATCGCATCCACGTAGGGTAACCTTGCCCGGTCCGCTGCTGTTGGTAAAGTGGGCTTGCCATATGTATCGTCTATCTCCTTTTGAGCCGTGCGCTGGACATCAGGAAACAGCATCATTGCTAGGAAAAATCCTTCGAGGATCGCAACTGTCTGAAGTCCGATTAAATAAGAGGAATAGACAACGTGTAACCTGTTCGAGAATGTGGATCATACCGTATCGGATCCACCGCCATATAACGCTACAGCCGCCCATTTGACTATTTCTTCATCATCTCCCTGTTTAAGAAGTGTGGATACGAAGGACTGTCGGTCTTTACCACGGCTCATTTGAAGTTTTGTGAAGGCAACCGGATTCTCCACAAGTTTGGTGAGAGTTTCAAAATGATCTCGAGCAACTCGATGGAATTTCCCACTGGGCACCCACTCCGGTATATATTTCACTATAGCCTGATCAGGAATGTGATCTCTTTTCCCAATGCCCTTCTTTGAAGGATATGAAAACTTACATGCCGGGATCAGATCGACTAGCCAGGCTCCCGGAACAGCGGCCTCTGAAAAAAGCTTTAGAGCATGATCCGCTAGACGCACTAACGGGTCTTCTCCGTGTGGCTCGATGTTATAGCCGTATGTTACCCTGAGAATGAAAGCACCCGCAGCGCTGCCGTTTTCAAGTAATAAGCAACATAATCTCTGGAAGCAGAATGTTTACAAAACTCACGTTCTGTTGTGTTCAATGAACTTGTCAGGTGTATGCAATATACGACATGTAAACCGTCGCGCTTCCAATTCTAGTAGACCATCGAACTTGGACGCCGACTCTCGTGTTCCGATGACTCTCGTGATTACCCGACGATAGGCTCGAAGAAGAGGTGTGTTATCTTGGCTTGATGGTAGCTTGCCCCATCCACATCTACGACCCCAGTAAAATTAGAATTGCTGCCTACTGATATCCATGAAAAGTGGCTTGTTCTGAGAGGTTACGAAACGTAATCAACTTACAATTCATCTGCGAAAAAAAGATGTGGTCGTGAGGAATGTTTTGCAGAATTTTTTTCTAGTATCTGGTATGCTAACTGTCTATCATTAATTATGATAATGGTTTTCCCCAAGACTGTGATAGAGCTAAGAGGGCCTAACTGAGGATTCAGCGATCATACAGTCGCATGTACTCGGAATGGGGAAAGAGAAAAAGATACCGTAGAGGTCTTTGTGTTTTAACCAATGTTGCCATTCTTGTGTCCCTGCAGGAGGCAGGTCGAGCAAATTGCCAATAAGAGGCTTGCCTCTAGGCCCAGGAGGTAGATCCACCACTGCCTTGGTTCCTTTGAAAGCCCACCACAAGATCGCAGCTAGCGTTGAAATTATTGTCAGGGTCGCTAAATGTATTGTTGCTTCCATGGTATTGTCAACTGTCAAGAAGTGCTTTAGGAGTTGAACGAGATTCGCAAAATCTGGAAAAAGGAAATCAATATAAGTTCAAGCACAAGGGAGAGGGGTAAATCTAGACCAATCCCGATCTGGTGGTTTGCGCCGCTCCCTGCGTCACATCTGATTGATTAAAAGGGTCAAGATCGGCCGTTCTAGAGCGCGTAAATGTAGAGTAAGCATGAAAACTAAAGACGGTGAACCGAAAGTCCCTGCTTACAGCATAGGGAAATAAGCACCAATATGATCAGGTGAGAAAGTAGTTCCGGGTTAGGATCAAAGCGCACCGAGGTTTCAACCATCTAGCGCGGAGACTGATCCTGCTCAAATCGTACCACTGGTTCAATATTTCCAAGGTGGCTTTATTTAAATACGGTCCCCAAGATCTTGAAGGTTTATTACCAAAAGGCCACTCTCGGGAAAAAAAAATAAGATGATAAACTCTGTCGCATACCGAAGACCATTGTTCCTATAACGATCTGGCCGTAGCGCCTCTGTGTGTGTGCTATGTCGACGAATAGAGCAAACCCCGGCTGCTCATCCGAAGATTATTTTAACCGATAATGTGAAGTATTATTTAGAACCAAGAGTCCTTGCCCTCGGGTTGAGTTTCTGATAAATTCTATATCTCCTTCACAAATCCAACCTCAACCACCCTGTCAGTCTCGACATTCAAGTGCTGAATTTTTGTCCGGCTGGAATCTCGCATCCACAAAAATACCCAGAGGAAAAGTTGGCGAACGATGTTTGTCTTGGCGGCAATCTTCAACTGTTCTTTGCCAACAATGTAGATAACCTGAGACCTCCAAGCACGATGCAGCGCATCCAATTCTTCGGTGTCACTATCTGGAACCTTGGAAGTACCGTGGGTTTCCAAAAAGCCACGAATCAAATCCAGAACCAAGACCCCAAGATCTGGCGTGATGATTTCATCCGTGTAGCCGTGTCGGACGATGAGCCTGTAGCAGTTCGGAATTGCGCGTTTGCCTGGTCCCTCGCCATATGTGGAGCAACGGGTGATAGAGTATCGTTCATGGGGAGGAACCGTGGGCACGGAAAGGGGCCGCAGATGAAGGAACACAGAAACCTCGGGTGAAGCGCTGAACTTCTGCACAAAGTGAAGGAAGACCGTGGGCGTGCTGGCCGAACTGCCCGATTTGTCGAAGAAAATTCCCAGCCCACTGATTGGGGTAATGGGAGAAGTTGTTGATCCTTTCTGCAAGACGAGCTTGTTATCTCTCAAAGCGGTTGTTTGAGAGAGAGGCATACAGTCGGATTCCTCGGCTGTCCATTGTTCTTCTTTGCCATATCGCCAAAGCATGAACATGCAGGTCAGGATAACGGCCAACATCAGCGTGAACCACGCACCATGTGGAACCTTGCTCAGTGCTGCAGAGAGGAACATTCCGTCCCAGAGCGCAAACACAAGGAAAACGGGAAGGACTAGGTAGATGGGCAGTCTCCACACAATTAGTGCAACAACTGTGACCATACAGGTAGTGAGGAAAGAAACAAGGATCACACATGCTCCATAAGCTTCGCCGAGGGACGTGGTCTGTCGAAGAATTAGTCAAAGTATTATCGCAGGTCCAAAATATCTGGAGGAAATACATTATTGTAAACAGCTGTCACAATTACCGACCCGATCATCATGAGCCAGTTTGCGAGAGGAATGTAAACCTGCCCGTGGACCGTCTTTGAGGTGTGATAGACCTTCACTTGAGGGAAGTATGACAATTTCATAACTTGGGATAACAACTGGAATCCAATCAGCAACTATCCCGAAGGGAAACCTAACATCCACGCACCTGAAACGATCCGGTGATCACAGCCTGGCTTGCCACGATACACGCTAGGATTGCGATCACGAGACTTGGGTACAACATGCCAGGCGGAACAGTGAGATAGAAAGGATTGGCATAGGCACTGGGAATACGGCTGATATAGGCGCCTTGGCCGATATACTATCAAGACATCGTAAGAATCATCCTCTAATTTCCAAGCGGGGTCCTGAGAACTTACCGAGAGCAGAAGACATGGGTACACGAAAAAGAGCCACGACATTTGAATTGCCCTGATCAAACGGTCAATTGTTGCCCATGGGTACTCTGGAAGTGTATACACATACCTCTGGCTAAACGCTCCTAGGTCCGCAAAAAGCGTTTCCACGCCAGTGAAGGCAAGTAGAATTCCTCCCAGTTGCAGCCAACCATCTTTTCCGTTACGCATCAAAAACGAACCCGCAAAGTAGGGCGAAAAGGCTTTGAGTATGGACGAATCATACATAACCAAGTTCTAGAAATATAATATCAGACGTTAGCAACGGCACCCATTGATGTCGGTATCTTTTGCTTCTCGCTTACATAAATTCCAAAGACGAGGTTGAATATCATCCAAATTATAACTATTGGAGCAAAGCTGTTCGCAATCTTGCTGGTTCCAAAGGGCTGGATGAGAAAAACCACGACAAGAATGGCGCATGAGACGCCGACGACGGTCGAGGAAGAGATATTTGGATTCACCACCGTAATTCTAGAAAGCATTTAGTTTGTTGCTGTACGAACGCGTTGTGACCGAAGCAACTTACCCTTGGATTGCACCAAGAATTGACTGCGCTGGAGTCAGAACCCCATCTATACGTGCGTGTCAGTAAACTGCATGTGGGTATATGTCAGGATGCTTGCCTGCAAGAATCAGTGACACGCCAAATGCCCCAACGATTTTGAGAGTCCATTTTATGAATGTGCTTCGCTCCATAATATTGCGCGTTATCAAATTTGGCTTTTGAAGATCGTCCGTGTGGAATCGCTGCATCCGAAGAAGACTACTGTGTTGAGGGTCGTGTCGCACGAGTTTGGCCTAGGCAGAAGATGACCATGTTAGCGACAAATGAGATTAGCGGGGCAAAGAACATACATATCGTGACAAGAGCGAGTATAGTGCAAATGTGCCTCCCTCTCCCTCATCATCTGCACAGAGAACAATGCCGACATATTTGATGGTAACCATAATAGTGAGAGCCCAGATAACGAACGAGACAGCGCCAAGGATATCTTCGTGGCTTGGTTCGCTAGTGAAAGTAGACGAATAGACGTACAAAGGACTTGTGCCGATGTCGCCGTAGATGACGCCGAGTGACTGATAAGCGAGCCTATGAAAATGAGGAACTCGCGTCAGTAATTGCAAAAGGCTTAATCAAATACTCGAAACCACTTACAGTGCCAGCGTCCATCCTTTGAACACCTAGGGTTTTAGTGTTCAGTGAATTGCCTTCTGATGAAAAAAGGGACAGCACCAAATACCTGTTTGCTATGGAAGTCTCTCTCATCCACTTCAGGCTCATCTGAGTTAGATGCTAGCTCAATGTCCATGATCTTGGCGGTTGTAGCTTTGTTCCCTTGCACAGAGGCTTTGCGCTGAGACACTCGAGAAGAGAAAACACCTCCTCCATTGGAGGTTGTATCTTCTGGCGGTTTATCTCCTGTACTGGTCGACATCTTGGGCCTTTCGTCTGGAAGATGAGTAATCGACTTGACAGGTCTGTGACAGCGGATAGTTTGACAGCTAAGTACTCAAGTTCCGCTGTCCACTGCTCTTTAAGCTACAAGACCAATGCCAGAGTAGTCATCCCTTATCTCAATTCAGAGCTTGTAGTAGGGCCCACGTGCCCAACACGTGGTATAAAACCAGTTAGATCGGAGGTGATGGGCGGTGCATGAGATTAAAGAAACACAAATGACACGATCCAGGAAAATGCCGCATACAACAGGATGCTTTTCTAACACGAGGGCTCATCTCCTCATCTCCTTTCCACCTGGACTGCACTATGCGGTATTTGATTTGGTACTTGTGAGCTATTTAACCAGCGCCGAATCTGCGGAGAATCTGGTATTACCGATGGACAGGAAAAAAAATTTAAATTGTGGTCCCGATCATGCTTGCGCAGCATGTCGATACTTAATAACTGTTTATTCTCTCCAACTTCTTTTATACGCAACGACACCTTTGTTAGATCACCTATGATAGTGTTGAAGGATAACTCTAGCAAAGGATATCCTTCAATCTCTGAAAATTTTCCGTTTGGTATGTGGTGTGTGGGAGAGGTCGTACATTGCACGAGGCAATTATCTCCTCCACACAAAGCGTGGGGGATGGAGGCTAAAGCTGCCCCACGATCTAAAATCGCTCAACTTAACATTGTCATTTCTATTACATTTGAAATGATGAAATCCACGATAAGGGTGACGATGGATAATTTGCATTTTTTTTCGTACTTATATTCTCTTACAATTAATTCCATCCCTAGTAGAGCCCTAATTGACAGGAACCAGGGGACATCCTCAGCTCCCTCGGGGGGTGGGGAAGTGCTGACTAAACGTCCCGAACTCTTTAGTTAGTTAACTTAAGTTAGTTTAGTTGGGTCGGGCGCCCGCCGGCAGGTCACAATCGGGTCACCTGATAAAGTTCAAGGATGTTAGAGGAAAAAGAGAATGTTTCTTTTTATTTTCTTCTTTCTCCCTGGAAAAAGATTATTGGCATCGAAGGGACAATACCACTACACTGGTATCAGATAGATTAGCTGCAAGGGTCAACTAGTCCTGAAGAAATCGACCCGTCAGCCACTGACCGTTGGTTCTGATAATCTCCGAATGCCAGGATCACCCTTGTACAACACTCACCCTTCCGTAACGAGCAAAATGCAAGGGTACCATCTCCAAAGCCGGACAACTTGCCCTACAGAGAAAAGTTAAAAAAAAGAAACATAAAAAAGAAATATAAAAAAGAAATATAGGACCAGGAACCAGGGCCCTGGCTCACGTTGCACGATTTCGATCTCGGCGGTTCAGCCCCCAAACAAGGGTCGCGTGGAGGTGCACGTCATGAAGATTGCGGTGTAGAATATTTGCTTCTTCCCCTCAATTTGCTAATACATGTATTGTTGGGCGAGCAAAGTGTGGATAGGTGAGGGGTCAAAATCTGAATGGAACTATGGGACGAATACTTTCTTTGGGAAGTTTGATCTCAATTTACGATTTGGCTCGTGAAGTCCTAGATTATGGAATAGCATGCATAGATATCGTAACGAAACAAAGATGTGAAACGAAATGTCCACCCGCGCCTAGGCTGAAAAAGAGCAAAAATGGATACCCAGAAGACCTCCATCGTGAAAGATTTGGGTGCAAAGATCAGCAAGATTCGTAAGGGAATTAGTAAGCCAGCCGAAACCAGGTCAAGGTAGGACCGCGTCTGGAAAAACGCCGTCTTCAGAAACCAAACGCCATTAACAACTCCTCGGTATTCCACTGCCGACGAAAAACACCAGAGAGAAAAGAGAACTGAACTGAAAGAGATGGGCAAGGTGAAGTTTTTGAAACTTCTGGAATGCGGGAAATGGGCGACGCTGGGCCGTCTCATCAGACAGTGACACGCCCCTCAGGCGCTACGCCGACGGGCGGGACATCCGCGCTGGAAGGCAGCGCACGGCCCGCCGGCGGGGGAGCTTCGCCTTCAAATCCTTGAAGCAGGGAGGCGACCATCTCCCTATAGCTGTTCATCTGCGAGAGTTTGAATCGCTGGATTTTGCCACTCGCTGTCCGGGGGATCTCTTCGACGAAGACAACGCCGCCATCAAGGGCTTTGTAACTTGCAAGATGGGTGCGGGCATAGTTATACACCTCTTCCGCCGTCAAGCGGCTCACTGAGGGGTCACGCGATCGCACCACAAAGGCCCGTGGTACCTCGCTGCTACCATCCTTCAGATTCACGCCTGTAACTGCTGCATCGGTAATGCCAGGATGTTGAAGAAGGACAGCTTCAACTTCCGCCGGGGCCACTTGCCACCTACCGCAATAGAGTTAGTTATACCGGCGCCAGCTAGCACGACAAAAAAAATCGGGCGATGGGAAGATAGGACAAATAGCGTAGACTTACCCTCGCACTTTGATGAGCTCCTTTGTCCGTCCCACAATGAAGTAATGACCTTGCTTCATGTATGCCACATCACCAGTCCGGAACCAACCCCGTGGCTCCTTCGCATCGGCACGACCCTTGTATGCCAGGAGCAAGCCGGGGCCTCGCACGTAAAGTTCACCAGCACGATCGTCACTGCGCACAACATTGCCATCGTGGTCGATCAGGCGCGCCTCGTACCCTCTCAAGCGAGTACCGATGCTGCCAGGATCTCCATGCTGACCATAGCGAGTTTGAAAGACCACACCAACCTCCGTCATGCCCCACAGCTGGCATGCATAAGCCATTGGGTGGAGATGGCTTCGAAATTGCAGCATCGACGTTCCGTCAATGGGGGCTCCCGCCACGCCCACGTAGCGCAGCGATGTCACGTAGTCCGAGACAGGTAGAGAGGAGTGGTTGATCGTGTGAATTATGGCCGGAACCAGGTACGTCTCGGAGATTTGAAACTGGTGGACTGTCGCCAGGAACTGCTTGGTTTCAAAGCGCGGCAGGACAAAAAGCGGATGCCCGTAGCGAACAGGGAAGATATGAGTCCACAATGCGCCAAATAAATGGAACATAGGCAGCGACATCAAGCGACTGACCGGATACGCCACGTCGTACTGGATAGACCGGTGGTGTGACACGATAGCGTGGTGCGACAGAATGGCCGCCTTGGGCAGACCCCCAGTCCCAGAGGTGGAGAACATAGCCGCGGGGGTGTTCTGCGCCGACCTGGGATCTGTGAACATCATCCAGTCGCGTTCGCCATAACAGAGCATATTGGCAAAATTGAGGTGGCGCCCATTGTCCCCGCCAGCATTGGCGAAGAAGTCCGTGCTGGCCGGATATCCCAGTTCGTACCACAAGAACAATTGGGCACAGTGATCGACAGCACGTTCATCCACCAGACATATCTGTTCTGGGCAAATACCACGGGCGGTGGCGACGTCGCGAATTGTTGGCAGTGCTTCGCGAGTTGTGAGGATCAGTTTTGGTTCGGCAAGACCGATAGTGTGGTCTAATTCCTGCTGGTGGCTGCGGGGGTTCGAGCCCATGTACACACCCCCGGCGCCGATGATGCTGAAAAAGAGGGCCGGATACAAAATCTATGCGATATAAAACCAAACCGGGTCAGCACTGCATCTACCCGGAGGATTTGTGGCCAGTCCGGAGCCCCGGGGCGGCCACGTTATGCCCACTTACGCTGTTGCCCAGATGCAGCAGGACGCAATCCCCCCGGCGCACACCATGTGCCTTGAAACCAGCGATCAGAGTCCGAACCAGTCGTCGGAACTGAGACGCCGTAAAAGAGCGCGAGGGATCCTCGGCATCGATAAACAATGGTTGGTTTTGGTTGTAGGGCGTCGGACCGCAGAAGGTGAAGGTCAGAAGGTCTGTGTATAGATCTTGGTGCAGCAGTGGGTCTGCGGAAGTCCCGCTCGGCACGGTCATGTTAGGATTCCAGTACCCCATGGCAAAAGGGATGGGCCTGGTTATGGAGGCCAGAGAGACGATCTTATAAAGAGAAGGAGTAGAAGTAGACTTCGAGGACAGGAGTTGAGATGAAGGGGGACTTCAGCATGGTGGGGGCGGATGAAAGGGATCCCTGCCATTGGGCTTTATACAAGGGCCAGACAATGGAACTGACTGAAATCTACACAATTTGATTTCTTGAAGCAAGCGCAATCCTGCGACTGCCGGTGGAGGGCTGATTTGGAATACCTCGTGATGACCTAAGCGGGGCGTGTGGGTCGGTTCGGTTTCCTTGTCCGGGTCTCTTGGAGTTGGTGCCCGGTGGCTCGGACTCCACCATGGAGTCCTCAGCCGGCCGTTTCTCATTGGCCCACGAGCCTATTCGAGGACGGCCAAACTGTCATGAATCTCACGATGTCCATGATCATCAGAACCCGAATGTGAAATCACAATTGGGGAAAGGGACCGAAACATCACAGGTTGGGGGGGATAGTTGGGACGGGTTGCCCTCTCAAATATCCGGATTCGGTAAGATCGCAACAAGGAAAAAGCTAACTCGCAAGTGTATGTGTCATTGGGCGGATCCGATCGCGAACAGGTTCGTCTGGTCCCACCAGAGTGGTTCGACGCTAACCCGACCAGAGCTGGCACTAGTGGCGCATCACCGGGGCGCCACGGCCCCTTCCTCCATTGATTCGATGATTCGATGGATCATGATTGGCACCAGCTGAGCCACAAGCTCGGATCACCTCGCCCGACGGATTTCACAATTCCTGAGCGCCAAGCATGCTTGCTACCTTGCGGCCATCCCGGTCCCGGGAGAATGGCACTACTATGGGACTACTATACGGAAAATCATGGATAATCATGGAACTCAGGGATCGAGGATCGCAGATCGACAGGCAGCAGATCGCACACCTGCGATGCCCCATAACCTAAACTGCCCTAAAATTGCGGCGAGCCCGCATGAAGCCCTGTGCATGAGCCGGTCGCTGCACCCCTCCCTCGCTGCACCCACTCTCATTGGCCGCTAGTTCAATCGACATCCCTCCCCCACGAGCTGAGGCGGATCCTATTCAGACTGCGCCAGCAGGGATGGTCACCAGCGGTGGGTGCGGCCTGCCTATCGATGATGTAGGCCCGGCTCAATCCCGTTCCGTCGCTCACCAATCGACAGCTGCAAACGCATCGTTGTTCTAGTACCCACTTATGTCATGTAGGTTTGACAGTCCGATCAACCCAAGGAACCAGAGGGCGATCCCCCTCTTTCCATGGGACCCCGAGGGACTCGGTCCGATAGTGTCCCTCTTCCCCCCTTCCTCCTTCGGTCGGTTGCAGGACATTCCAAGGGCTGCTGGGCCGCCCAAGGTGGAGCATCTTTACGATCAAAGGTCCTGAAGTTCTCCATTCCGTGTGACCAACCCCAACCCCCAGCAGGGAATGCCAGAAACTTTCCTCAGATCTGGATCGATTATTGATAAGGATGCGCCACACAGATGCAATGGACTCTCCTTCCAGGCTCGTGTGCTGCATGGGATCCACCCCGGTTCTCGGGATTCATACCCCTCCCAGGAGCCTGGACCTGAACCGATCTGAAAGGGTACCGGCATCCCCGCTGCAAGGATCAACCCTACCGCGCAGGAGAAAAAGAAAAGTAACTTGCATCGCAGGGATGTGAAGTGCATGAGGGCGGAAAACGGCCGCGTCCAGGGACCGAAAGCCTCATTGTATCGGGTCGGGTTGGATAATGGATATTTTCTTCTTGCACGAGGACAAACTACCCCCGCTTCGAAGGATCGGGTTCTAGTAAGTGGGGGATGCATTGTGACTCTGATCGACCGGGTATTGAAGTCTGGCCATGGGCATTATTGGGTCATCGTGCATTCTGGGCCGATCCTCGCTGGCCTCGCCGGCCTCGCTTGGATGCAACAGGCTCAGGTAGGAACACCATCCCGGTGGCAATTTGCAGGACAATGGAGTAGTTTGTCCGTTGAGACCTGGCCTCGGTCGTCGATCTCTTCGAGAGAGAGTCGTGATTGGGTTACATCTCGTTGGGCGAACGATGGGCCCTCGTTGACATGGTTGCCCATTCCGGTCCATCCCGTGCTCCGCGATAGTGTCCACGCCCGACGCTATCTTAGACACGGCAGGTCTCATTATGACCCCATCCGGACGTCAGCCCTTTCGTCCGGTCGTCCTGGGCGCGCTGAAAGATCAGTCGAGGAGGTCCAGCATGCGTGCTCATTGGCAATAGCGCATCCCCACTAGTCGACGGGGATTCTGGGCCGGCGTAATGGTGTCATCCACCGTGAACTTTGGAAGCCAGGAGGAGCTTCCGCAAGGGAAAAACAAGACGAGACATTTGCGAAACCTCGTGATGGGGAAGATCGCCGTGGCCAAGCTCTGTGTTTTCCGCATCTGGCCGGTATTGATAGGGATGGACTGTAGAATGCGACGAGGCGAGAGGGGGAGTGAAGCAAAGAGGATGATCCCCGGCGGGATAAGAAAGACGGCGGGACCACCGAGGACGACGTGCATCATTCATTGGCAAGTTGGTGAAAGCGCCAAAGTGTCCGGCACGGGAAGTATCGCCCATCGTCAACTCATCAGCCCATCAGCGGGGACGTCACGGCTGGACAGCACTCCACTATTCACTATCCACTCTGCAGTGCCCTGGGCACTCACACCCTGAGAGCGGGCCAGATCTCACCCTCCCTCTCTTGTTCCATTCGTTGTCCGTTATTCAAAAACCACATGCTGGCGGCCCGTGGTCTTCCCATGAGGCAGCACCCTGGTCAAGTTGCAAACTCCTCGCAGTTTTCTTTCAGTCATCTTTTGAACCCATTCCTGCATGCTTGCAGCACATTCAACCATGTCGGTTTCGGAGAAAACCCCCATCACGGCCCCGATCACTGCTCCCATGCCTGCCGTGACCAAGATGGTGACCACATCCCGAAGCCCCAGTGAGGTGACTCTCACCGATGGCGACCACAACCCCATCGTCGAGAAGGTCCTCTCCCAGGAGATGGGATCGGTCGACTCAGGCTCTCGTCAAACATTGGACCTCGAGGCGCAGACTGTGCATGCTGAGCCCAGACGTTTTGCCTTCCTGCGATACACCATCTTCACTCTTTATCGACGCCTCTTCACATTGGTCGTCTGCGCAAATGCTGGCGTTTTCATTTGGATCATGCTCTCGGACCAAAAGCTTCTTCCCTTGGTCAATGCCACAGCTGCCAATTTACTTGCATGTGGGTTGGCCCGGCAGCCACTCGTGGTCAACAGCATCTTTCGGATTGTTCTGTCAGTCCCGAGATCTGCGCCGTTTGCTTTGCGCCGCTTCGCCTCCAAGGTCTACCACTATGGAGGCGTACATAGCGGCTGTGGCGTCGCCGCCTTAGTCTGGTACATCGGGTTTGTTGGCCTGATGTCGCGCCAGTATTGGACGTCACCTCCGGCTAGCGCAGCAGAAACCGTTGGCTTTTCAGCAGCCCCGGTAGCCCTAGCTTACATCATCCTCGTGCTGTTGCTGGCCATTATTGTTGTGGCTCACCCGACGTTCCGCATGAAGCGGCATGATTATTTTGAACTCACCCACCGTTTCTCGGGGTGGCTAGTCGTGGCCATGTTCGTTGCCTTATTGTTGGTGTTTGCTCATGAAATTAGCCAGGCGCAGGGCCAGCCGCTGGGTCGGTTCCTTGTCACCCTGCCTGCATTTTGGTGTTTAGTTTTGACGGTGCTGGCCATCGTTCAGCCATGGTTGATGCTGCGCAGGGTCCCCGTGCGGGCCGAGGTCCTGTCCACTCACGCGGTGCGGCTGCACTTTGACCATGCCGTCACCACTTTTGGCAAAGGCATCCAGCTGGCGAAGCACCCTCTGCGCGACTGGCATGGATTCGCAACCTTCCCGGATCCCACCCCCGGGGGTTCGCGCGGAAGGCCGAGCTTCTCCTGCCTGGTGTCCAAGGCGGGCGACTGGACTGCCGACACCATCAAGAACCCGCCCACCCATTTCTGGAAGCGCGGAGTGCTCATCTATGGCTTCGCATATTCCATGCGGGTCTTCAAGCGAGTGATCGTGGTAACCACGGGCTCTGGCATTGGCCCCTGCCTGTCGTTCCTGGGCGATGACAGCCGCCCTGAGTTGCGAGTTCTCTGGCAGACTCGCGCTCCGCTCAAAACATATGGTCAGGAGGTGATGGACCTTGTCCACCGGATGGACGCTAACCCAGTCATCATGGATACCGACCACTCAGGACGAGTGAACATGGTTCCCATTGTGCAGCGACTGATCCCAGAGTTTGGAGCCGAAGCGGTGTGCGTGATCAGTAACCCTGTGCTGACGCGCCAAATCGTGTATGAACTCGAAGCGCGCGGGGTCCCAGCATTCGGTCCGATTTTCGATTCGTGAGCCGTTTGTCTTCTTGCGTTATAGCACATATTTTGGGTGGTGATTCTTTTTTCTTTGGTCTTGGACGTTGTGGCTATATTTGGATTTCTGTCAGCTATATATCCCTCCCCCGTGGGCTTTCCAGGCGTTTTCCGGTACTTGTTTGTTTTTTGTTTTTTATTTTCTGTTTTTTGTTATTTTGATACCATTGTCTGGGTACTGTCCGGCGGCTCTCATTCGAGAATTGTGTCTGCCATGGTCACATTTTCGATTCGTCAAGACTGGGAGGCGTGTGGTGGAAGGATTTGGGGCCTCCGTATCCAGGGTTTTTTTCTCTGGGGAAAGATTTGGAATCTGTGCCCAGGGGGTGCTGGGGCCCCAAGTGCGCTGGGGCTAGGCAACCTATGCAAACAATGGAACAGGCCTACTCCGTAAGTCCCGCAAACTTTATGCGTGATACGTGTGGTGGACGTCTTTGAATTCCAAATCTCCCGGCTCCACTGTATGTGGAATGCGCGCTGATTGGCGATGCGGCGCGGGCCCCGAAGTTAGCGGCGGCTTGCCAAGCCGAGGTGTATATCTTCGAGAAGCTTGAGAGCAGGGGACTGAGCACACGGAGCCCACAGTAATTTGTCAAATTTGATTTCTGCCGTTTTGATTAATTTCCTGCTTCCAAATTTTGCAATCTCATTACGTGGACTGTCCTCGGTCCTTCATTACAGTAAGGTGCAGCCTTGCGGCAAGCTCGCTGCGCCAATGGGATGCAGGCAGGCGCCGGATAAATCAAGAATGTAAGTCGATCACTCGCGAGCTGGCGATTCCGCTGCCAGCTGGTGACTGACTACCAATTCGCTAGGAGATGCGGTGAATGGCAGAGGCAGTACGGGTGTACAACATCTACCGGAGGCCCTAGCTCAACTGCATGTACATGGTCGGTAAATGGACTGACAATTATCTTGCCTGAGGGAGTGGAAGACGAGAGCGGTTAGCAAGAATGGTTAGCTGAGGAGCGGTTTTGTAAAACATGGCAGACACGCGCCGAGGCTTTGGCTGGCGGAAGCTCGATTCCTTTGAAACAAGCAACGAGATCCTGTCAGCTTACAGGAATACCCACACCGTATCTTTAGCTTCTAGGTATTCTCTACGCTTCAGCCCTGACCTTGCACGGGCCGCTCGTGCTCCAGGTGGCTTTCGTGTCATCCTACTCCTGCCCGAAGTGGATGATGCCTGTGGCGGTGGCTGTCATATACCTGTCTAGACTGCTCGATTGTCTCGGTCTATACCCCGTACTGCCCAGCGAAAAGATTCAGAACGCAACCTTATGGATACAGATAGAGCAAAAAAATTAAAAATGCACTACAAGCTCTAAGATCCTCCTGGCTCGTTGGCCAGTTCAATATCGACTAACCGTGCGCTACCGGAGGGTTTTGGAATGCGAAACAAGATGCTTTTGTACACCTTCCGACCAAACAGGAGTATATTAATTCTCTCTCAGGAATGTTCTTTTGGTCGCTTTGATCCGAATGTTAGAAGCCCTTCAGCCTATGATTTCCTATGTTGATGTTCAGCTGAGCCGACTCGAGCTGCATGAGGAGGGTCGTCTGGTTTGCAAGTCTTACCGCTGATTTGTGCCCGTGAGCCCGTGCCCACGATATATTTTCCGAAACAAAAGTTCCAGCCTATCCCGGATTACTATTGGCTGACTCGGCCTTCCACTCCAACTTCGGCCATAATCTCTGGTATTTTGGTTCATAAACAAAATTGCCAGGCCATCCGAAAATGACCCCTTTCATCTCGAGCCTGCGCCACACTGTTCGCCTTCTCTCCGCGGACTCCGCGGACGGCTATACCTAATGGGGTTAGTACCCCATGGAGCGAGGATGACAACTGAGGAGTATATCAAAGGCTCACTTCGCTTCTTCAAATCGTCAAGACCAGATACAAAGCACTAAATACTCAATGCAGATGATATCCAAAATGACCGAAAAACGAAAGGTACAGCTTTCCCCGACTCCCTTCCGACGCTTACAGTAAGGCTAATCTTTCCAAGGCAATCATCATCGGCGCCGGCCCCACGGGCCTTGCAGCCGCCCTGCGTCTGCATCAGCAAACAGACATCGAAGTCACACTTTATGAGCTGCGGTCCGAGCCCACCACTCTGGGCGGAGCTATCGGCATCCTGCCCAACGGTCTACGCCTCCTACACCGCCTGGGTGTTTACGAAAAAGCAGTGGCCCGCGGCTTCAGCAGCTCCAACATGACCCTGCATTCTCTGCAGGGGAACATCGTTGCCCAGCAGGACTATGTCGGGTGGGCACGTGAGAAGACCGGGTTCGGGTACCTGCGCATCAAGCGCACAGACTTGGTGGATGTCTTGCTCGAGGCGGTGCAGCAGATGAATATCCCAATCCATTTCAATACGCGACTGACAACTATTGAGGAGAGCGATCTGAGTGTCAAGGTCGTGTTTGAGGATGGGTCGACCGATACCGCTGATATGTTGATTGGATGCGATGGCATCCACTCGTTCGTGCGACGTACCTATGTCGATCCGGAGAAGACCCTGGAGTACTCGGGCATGTCGGGTCTTGGATCCCTCATTCCCACCAGCGCGCTATCACCCACGACGACAGACCAGGTCACTGGTCTAGACGTGACGCTGACAGAAGATGGAATGCTTGCTGTGAATCCGTGTACGGCCAACAAGGGCGAGCTGTTCTGCTTCTTCTCGAAGGAGGCAGCGCTCCCAGAATCTGGAGGCGGCCGCGACGGCTGGGAAGTGCACCGCAAGGAAGAAGTGGACGGTTTCAAGTCCACGCTGCTGCGCAGTCTGGAGAATGCTCGCGGTGAATGGGGTACCGCCTTGAGAGAAATTGTCAACAATATCTCTGTCGTGAAGTTCTACCCTGTTTACAGACTACCACTCGGTGGGATCTGGTCCAAAGGCCGGTGTGTTTTGGTCGGAGATGCGGCTCATGCGATGTCCCCACATGCTGGACAGGGAGTTTCAATGGGCCTTGAAGATGTCTTTTTGCTTTCTCGCTTACTGGAAGATCATAAGCGATCGCTTGACGAGGTTTTCGACAAATACGATCATATTCGCCGACCTCGTGTCAACGAGATCTTCAAGTTGGCTGCTCAGAATGCCGAAGTGCGGAGAAAGAGCAGCGCATGGGGCTTGTGGTTCAAGGAACTCAAAGTCTCAGTGGGGATGTGTCTGGCTTGGGCTTTGGGGATGGAGAAGACGGGGCTGCGGCAGGCCCATCTGGTTTACGACATTGATGCCGTTGAGCTGGCATAAATAATCTTTTTTTTTTTTCCAATGGGCATGGGTTTCAGGTGTTTTGCATCATTGTATCAGTACATATAATGGGCTCTATGAATCTTTGTATCTACATATGTTATAAGGTGTGCTCTGGAAGTTGCCGATTACGAAGCTATAGCAAGCCATGTAAGGCTTTAAGTTCCGTGTCAGTGAAGAGGCGCTGGGGGTATGAAGACCCTCTCAAAGAATCCTTAGCAGCGAAAGCCAAGTCGATCATTCTTAGTCCAATACTTGTTTCAGTGAACTCCTCGTTTCCATGTTATCAGCAAATGTCTCTGTATACCGAGAAAGAGGATAAGTTGGGAAATTTACCCACACCGTGGCCAATTCTTGAGTTTGATGCATCCAAGACAGACAAACAGATTCCCAAAGAACCCACGACACCCTCTCCACCTTCAAATGGACGACTCACTGCCTGGCTCCAGGTAGCAGGCGCATTCTTCCTATTCTTCACTTGCTGGCGAGCCACACCCCTACATCCCTCTTCGAGCCAAACCTAATAGAACACTCCAGGGCGGTGGTTAACACCGGCGTTTTCCAAAGCTACTACGGAGACACCATACTACCCAACTACTCCGTATCCTCAATATCATGGATCAGCACGGTCCATGGGCTTCTGCTCTTCCTGGCGGGTATCATCGTGGGTCCCATTTTCCACACGGGTTATCTCAAACAGCTCCTTGCGGTGGGCACCTTCTTGGTGGTGTTTGGTCTGATGATAAATTCGTTGGCAACGGAGTACTACCAGGATCTTCTGACACATGGTCTTGCGGTGGGAACTGGTTGTGGATTCCTGTTTCTGCCTAGCATTGCTGTCGTGGCCACCTATTTTGCATCACGGCGGGCGCTGGCAACAGGTATCACTGCTTCGGGTGGTAGTATTGGAGAGTTACTACGAAGGATTCGGGGTACTATCGAGGCTAATAGTGTGCGCAGGATCCGTGATCTATCCCATCATGTTCCACCATCTAATATTATCGCCTTCGTAGGCCTAGACGGGCTCATAGTCTCCATGGCGGTGATGAGAACACGCCTCCCACCACGCAAGCAATGTCAATCTATGTTTGACGTATCTGCTTTCAACGAAGCTCCCTTCCTGATCTTTTCCGCTGATCTGTTCTGCTTCTTTGTCGGCTTATATTTTCTGTTCTTCTACCTCCCTCCCTCTTTCACTACCTCGCTGCACTCGGACAGTAACTTCCCATTCTATATCATTGCCATTTTAAAGGGCACGTCGGTCTTTAGACGTATCACTCCAGGACTTCTTGCCGATAGCATCGGGTCTCCGAACACGATTGGGCGATAAGCTTCGTTGCAGCCATTCTCACGTTTGCGTAGATAGAACGAGGCGGGAATTATTGTCTTCGCAATTTTGTACGGATTTGCCTCGGGGCTATCGTATCCCAGCCTGCGACCTCGCCCAGCTCGCGCCTAACGTGAGCATCTTGCGTACGCGCCGGTGAATGTGCCTTACCTTTGCGGGACTGGGCTCCTTATCGGCAAGCCCATCGTGGGAGCGTTGTTGAATTTGGGGAAAAAAAACTATTTACTGGAAAGGAGAGCTGTTCAGTGTGGTCAGGGTTGCAGTGGGGACAGCTTTGTTCTCGTGGTTGCGAATCTCGAAGTGGAAACAGCATGAAGGGTGAAAGTGAAAGATTCGATGATTGCTGGGCTACGATTGTATGAGCCATTATCACGACGCGACTGTACAACAGTGTGGTGGTGAGGCGGAATTTTGATTACAAGACAGATCAAAACTAAACTAATTCATGGAATATACAATATCAATAAATGGACAGCACTGCCTCCGAGCTCCATACCCTCAAAACAGCAGAACAATATCTTCATCACTGCCAACCCCCTCGAACCCAGTGCTCGGCCCCTGGGCTCGACCGTCGCGCATGGTCAATACTTCTTCGCAGCTGCCCTGCCCTTCCGGTTCTTGACCTGTTGAATCAGTGCTTATCGCGATCGTCCTCGCTTGAACGTCGAAAGAAGCCCCAGTGGTGGCGGGAGGAGGTGTTCCCTATATTGAACCAGAATCTCTTAGCGAATCTCCATCTTTATAGGATCATGTTCCATGTTCCATCAGGAGAGAAAAGACGAACCGGCTTTGTCTTTGTCCTCGGGCTGGGATTCGCGCTGAAACTCGGGCGCGGCATTAGGCCCTAGGGGCTCTTGTGCGTCTTGTGGCGCCTGCGTCTCTGCCGTAGGAGGGTTGGCCGAATCCGGATTGACGGGCTCGTCTTGAGACCCCTTGCGCGGATGGTGCAAGGCGTCGGAGGCCCGACGGAGGAAGTTCGACATAACTGTTGATCAGATCGTGTGTTTTCGAGAAGTTGTTATTTTCCAGATGGTCTGAATTCCTTGGTTGAATCCAGCTTGTTTGTGCTGGTAAGCTTCTATATAAAGTCTACCCCAGTCCGATGATGTCACTAGTCTGTTGGGCCACATGTTAGCTTGGTCATGAGACATGCCTGCCTTATCTTGAAGTCTGGTGCAATGGCGCCCATGGCCAATAATCACTTGGGCTACCCCCAGAAATGTGGTTAAGTTCGGTAGAGACCATGGTCGGGAAGCCGGGTGGAGACCTCCGAGGCGCTCCGGCCGGGAGTGTGGACACCCTACACTTCAGTTTCTATATGGCCTTGCTTTGGTTAGAGTTCTGAGTGTATGGCCATACGTAGTCCAGATCGGCCTTCCTATTTGCTGTACGCAAGCTGGGTGGAAATAAGCTGCGGCGACGGTCCCTGCGCGGGTCTCATCGGAGTGTCAGCGGCGATGTTGACCCACGGTGGGGTCTTATAAGGTGATCAACAAGATAAGGGAAATCCGGGGTTTGCATTGGCAAGAGGCGTACTTTATCGAACACCACGGGTCGAGACTGGAGACGCGCGTTTGGCGCTGCCCGTGAGCGTATCTGAACCTCGGAGTGCATCCAGCCCGACAACTTGCATATGGGACTCGCTTTGGTTACGAGTGTACAAAGCTACGATGTATAGGAAGAGGGACCATTCGAGACAGTGTATTAAGTAAAATAACGAATAGAGAAATATATTCGTAAACAAAGGTGATCCACCACAAGAAGAAGATAAGTGTGTTTTTAGGACAAAGGGGGGATTTGAAGCTCATAGCCCAGGACCTGAAAACCCAGGGAGCAGAGACAAAGAGAAGAAAACTGGGCATCCATAATAGAAGAGAACATGATGGGTATAATGCAAAGGTGGAATGGAAGCCCGTCCGTCCGAGCCAAGGAGATGCAATGAAGCCGCCATTTTTTTTCTTTCGTGCTTTTTTCTTTTTTGGAAGTGCCTTCATGGCTAGGCCAGCGCCTTGCGTGCTGTCCATTAAGAGATTGGGCTAACGCAGTTGAATATCAGAGAAGAGAGAGAAGGCAAAAGAGACGCCGAGGCACCGTATCGCGAGGTATGATTGATCTCTGCGGGTGATTATTATTGTTTAATGGGAAGGCCGAATAGGATAAGAAGGCTGTGTGACAAGTCCGTGACTCTGGGATATCTTTCTTTGGGTCGTGGAGATCATAACGTCATGGCAGAGGAACGAGGAATGAGAAGAGGAGGCCGGAGAAGTGACATTAACGGTTTATTGGCGGGAAGAGTCGGCCGACGGGGCGCGTGAGGCCGGTTCAGAGGAAGGCGGGGTGTGCGTAATGACTAGGTCGTCGACCGTGAAGCGCATGCGGCCGCGGCTGGAGTTGGCGGAGGAGTGGGTTGAGTCACTGTCCAGACGGAGAGACTCCATCCGCTCCAGCTCGTCGTAGTCAGGCAGGGGTAGCGGAGAACCGTGGTAGTCTTCCATGACACTGCGAGTGTCATCCAGCTTGGTGTAACCGGGCGGGCTGGCGGGAACGTCCTCGTAGACAGGAGGCATCTCCTCGTCCCAACTGATACCAAGGCCACTGCGCTCCGTGACGTGGAGGTTGAATTGCATGCGCAGGACGCGGGCGGCGCCGGTGGGGGTGATGAGACGGGTGTTGCGGTTCGGGCAGAACTCCTCCGCTACGATTAGCTCAATGACGAGGTTGTGCTTCACCTCTAGGCCGCCGGGAGCCTCCATGTCGCACACAGGGTTGGTGGTCGGGTTGATGCTGGCGTCGAACTGCAAGCTGATTTCGCCGCCGGCGGTGTCGAAATCTGTCTTCCAACCGCTCTTCTCCTCGTTGTGGCCAATGATGCGGGTCTCCTGGTGCAGGACGCCCTTGTTCTCACCGCCGATCTTGTGGGTGTGCTTCTGGCATGCGGTGGAGATGATCTTCTGGTGCTCCTCAATGCGCCACATCATCTTGCGCAGGCGCCAGCGCGTCTGGGTTTCGTTGCCCTTGTCTACTACGCCGCTCAAGGTCATCTCCACCGGGAACTTGCCAATGGGGTGGACCACTGAGGGCAGGACGATGCGGCCTGTGAGGTTGGTGGGAGGGAAAATGCGGATGGAGGACTTGTCGTTGCCGGGGATCAGCGCACGGCGGACATTCAAGGGCAGCTTCAAGTTGAACTCCTCGCCCGCGGTGCTGTGGGCATGCGCCAGCAGGAAGTACTCGATCTGGCCCAGGGAGCCATTGCAGGAAGCGGGCAGGTGGCCCGGGAACAGGTAGCTGAAGGGGAAGTCGTGCTCACCGGCCTTCAGGTGCAGAGCCTCGGTGAGGAAGTTCCACCGGGTGAGCTCCTCCGTGCGGGTCGCGCAGTTCGGGCAGTGGCCGGACACGGGCTTCTTGGTGGTCGTCTTGGAGACCAGGCGCACATCAAACTGGTTGAGGGTGACTTCGCCGGCCTCGGGGATAGTCACACGCAGTCGGCCGGAGAACAGAGCGCCCGTCGAGTTGTTGGGGTTGCCGTAGCAGACCAGAGGAGGAGACTCGACCAAGACCTCGAGCTTGGCGGATGACTGAACGAGCTCGTCCTTGCTGAGGCGCTCCTTGGACCGGCCAGGGCGTCCCAGGCTCCGGCGCTTCTCCTTGCTGTGGTCCCGGTGGGGGTGGATCAAGTGGTCCATGGAGAAGGACAAGCGGCGCTCGGGGGAGCGAGCCCGGTCCGGGGTGCCATGCGGCTTCTTGGGGCCGTGATGCGCGATCTCATTGACAGAGGTGGTCGACGACGAATTGGAGTGGATGGGAGTCGACGAGAGCGACGAGTGCAGAGAGCCAGAGCCCCGCACGAAGTTGGGGATCAGACGGCCCGGCATGGTAATGGGGTGACCTTGCTGATGTCTCACAGGTGGCGGCGATGTGAGTTGATAGGAAGGTTGAGGGATCTGTTGATCTGGTGAGGCCGTGGGATGTCGATAGCAATGGCTTGTCCGGTTTAGGAAGCAATGCGGTAGTGGAAGAGTTGAGAAGTAAAGCTTGCAATCCAGAACATAATCCACTGGGTAGGTGTATAGGGAGTAGTAGACAGAATCGCCGAGTTCATTGGCAGCAGCGCTGCTTTTGAACCTTTGTACACGATCATGTGCTTGAGCCTAAAAGCCACCGAATCCGTGGAAAAGCCTTGAACCGAAGAAAAATTTCTAGCTGGTTCCCACTTGGTCCCATGCGGTCAGCCAGGTACCGGACAGCCATTCGTTCTAGTCTGGCCATCATCTAGAAATGTGTCTGAAACGGGAAATCACAGGGGGAAAAAGAATTAAAAGAAAAAGAAAAATCAAATTCCAAGAGTCACATCCAAGTGGGTCGTGCTATATATCGTCATAGCGGGTCCTTACCATACACGTACCGCCGCCGTACACGCCGATTACGTCGTCTGCGATATTCTTAGATTCTTCCATGCTTTCCAAGCAGGACCTCGTGCACGCTTGGGACGAGCGAGAGGCACTGCACACTACGAACCCGTGGAAATGATACCCGATTCCCGAGGCAGAGTCATCCTTGGACGGTGCCGCCCTCTCGGCCTTGTCCCCGTCCACGTTCTCTCCTCATTGTGATGCGCACGCCGGCTCCTCGGATCTGGTGCCGGTGGAAATTGAACCAACAAACTCGAATCTTCCGTCTCGAGGAGGATCGCCTGATGCCTAGACGGTCTACCCCACATCCTTGACGTGGATGAGCGGGCATCATTTTGCGATCATCCCAACTTTTCGACTGATCTAGTCTGCATCTGGGCAACCAACAGGGGACCACCTGATGCACGCCCCCAAGCTTATGGAGGAGGCGTGGACGGTGCGGCCAGCGGAGAAGCGGCCGTGCGCCATGAGTCACGGTCGCTTCAGGCCGATGGCAGTCGGACGAGATGCGACCAGCTGGCATGTAGCCGAAGGGGACGGCGGGGTATGCGAACTGGTAGTTATGGTATATACCTGGTAGTTATCGGAATCGTAGTCAGAGGCAGTTGGACAACACATGGTCTACACATGGTCTACACAAAACACACCATGGTACACACATCTGTACAGTAGCGTAGTCCATACTCGTGGCCGGACACATGTATTCCCCGTCCAGCAATCTGTTCGACCCCGGATGCTGAGCGGTGCGACCGACCTGCATCGGCCACCTGCAAGTGACGGCGTCCGAGCCCTGCCAGCACTCTGTTTCCGTAGCTCCAGCTCATCGGCCCATGCTGGCTCTCCCCCAGGAAACACGGAGACCTATCTGACCATCGGAGCCTGGGGCTCATGACCCCGGCCTCGGCCTTGGGGTGTCGTGTCGTCCATAGTCCTCCTCGTCGACAGGAGCTCACCTACTGCTCCTCGTCAGCTTGGCGACTGCCGCTATAGAACTATGCCCGGGGCCCGAGGCGAGGCTACAGAGTCCAGATGCGGAACCATCCACGGAGTCGAGTTGCTCGAGGAGGAAATCGCAGCCGGATATTCTCGAGTCGACTACACTACACACTAGGTCGTAATATTCGTCTCCAAAGGAGAAGCTTTTCAGCTGGCGGTGGGAATCGGCGAACCAGTCAGTAGGCGCGGCCGCGACACCAGCCCGCCATGGAACCATCACGTGGCGCCATCAGAGGGCGAGGGGCTGACGGGAACTGTTTCAGTCACAATACACCGCCAGACAGGGCTGATGACCATACCTGTACAGGTCGGTCCAGCCGCTAGTGGCAGATCCTCAAGATTTTGCGCCGAGATTTTTCTGCTCTTATCCGCTTTGGGCAACATATACGCGTGCCAGAGCCCAAGACCCTGATCCACTGCCCTTTTTTTTTTTTTTCCCCCCCTCCCGGCCGGCTTCGTCGCCAAACCACCACCACTAACACCGCCGATTCACCGTTTCTGGGTTAGTGCCTGGCATCAATTCTTCAAACCCCCCCCCGCACTGCACGCCGACGCCATTTTGCGGGGCGCAGGTCATTCGCACTGTCGCAATTTTTCACCCTAGGTGTTTGCGCGACGTCAACCAGCGGTGTCGGGGGTGTGTGCTGTGCATTAGGGACAGTTGACCATAGCTCGCGGAGCTTGAATCGATCATCATGTCTAGTTTAGCCCGGGCGCTGTCCTGAATTGCTCTGTGCCTCTCACGCCGGCCACGGGCGAATCATCAACTCCCTTGCCCGCACTAATTACCTAACAGTTTGCTCTCCTCGCACCACCGCCCACCACCGCCCTGTCGCGACGGGAGATGGGTCCAAAAAAGCATGGCCGGTACCCACTTTGTATCAGATACCTCTGACCTGCAGCTGCGAGCCTGCATCTCATGGCGTGCGCACGGCACTCTGGCCTATGGTCCATGCTCATGCCCAGACCGGAATGCTGAAGAATCGTGCTTGGGGCTCGTGCGTACCCGGGTAGACGGCTTTGACTATTGACTCAATCCTCTCCGCGGAGAAGGCCCATACTGCTGTGGTGAGAGGCGCCTGGCGACCGGGGTTCTGATCACGCCATGTCCGCGCTGCCAGCGGGAGTCGCACTAGGAGAAGCCCTATAACGGAGGCGGCCCCTACCAGAGGCTTATATGGAAACTCTTCGGCGCCCGCGTGGTTCACCCCTTCTTGAAGTTGTCCCCGACCGCACACGCCCTGGCCTTGGAGTATAACTCCCTCGTAGCTTAAGCAGGATTCGGATGTCGATCCATCGGAACTCCCGAATGGAGCCCCCCTGCTCCTCCTCTTCTCCAGTCCCGCGTAGAGTCGCCAATTGAGGGTATTCGTGGAAAGAAGCCAAATGATCACGATTCCACAAATCCCGTTTCAGTAGGGCTACCGCGGGGACGTGCACATCAGATCCCAGGGGCTCGCCAGCTAGCTGACTACACCCTGCTCCCTCTCGCCAACGGAAGATCGGAGATTCCAGCCAATGAAATGAGGTGGCATCCCGTGAAAGATCGAAGGCGTCGGCGCTCCAGCGAACTTCCTCTTTCGGGTCCATCTTCAACCGCTCCGATCAGGATCGTGGCGACATACGAACACTTCAGTGATGGACTCTTATTATAATCGGGAGTTCCAATGTGATTGGGCTAGTCGCTATTACTTGGCCAGCCCAATCAACCTCAAGGACATGTACTTTCCTGACGGGCCACTACCCTCGCCAGCCTGCAAGTCTCACGCTATGGCTGAGGTATACACCTCCAAAATACACCATCAACCGTCAAATTGCGAATAGGGCCCCTAGTTCCTCTCCCACCGTCACGACATCCAACCCTCTCCCATTGCACCATCACCCCATCACAAAAAGGACACCGACCGTCAAAGTTTTCTAGCTCCCGTTCCCATCAATCTCGCCAGATCGGAAAATTCCCGGGTCCCGCCCGCAAAGCCGCCGCGCAGAAATTTTCTGTTAGACCCTCCTTGTTGCGGCCGCTTCCCGGCCATGCCCCCACCCACTAGAAACTTTATACTCGGGCCGACGCAACGTGATGCTTAAAGGCCCCGCCAGTGGCAGCAGTGGCATGGGTCTACGCGCTGTGTTCCCGCTTGCGGTCTAGGGGTGGCAGAACGAGCGGGCTTTACTGGTACATAAGGGATTCGGGAGTGGCTAGGCGGAGCTCATCGCGTTGCACATACTCTGTAGGTACGGAGTACTCCGTACTAGTGAACTACGGGCTCTCAAGGTAGGCGAGCACGTAACGGGAGTCCGGAAAGGGGGCATGGGGCGAAGCGGCCCGCCTAGTGGTAGATTCTTGTAGGCTCGGGGGATTCCGATGGCGTATTAGGCTGGATTTGCCCGTCGGAAAACTCGTAGGGTCTGGGTCTGGGTCTGAGGGAGGCTTTTTGAGGAACTTGGCCGGGTCGATCCAGTTTTCGGCGTCCCGTGTGGACTGGCTGATGTGGATTGTTTATTTACACGGTCGGGCTGGCTGTCAAGACAGCTGTCTTGACGTCGGTCGGGCTGGTCCGATACTGGACGTTTGGAGATTGAAAATACCATTGAGTCTATATGTGCATGGATGATGAAATGTAGAGTCAGACTTGAGTTGTGTGTGTCTGTCAAGTAAGCCATTGAGTCATTGTTGCACAATTTTGACGTCAAAAATGAGCGCATCAGGACCATGGGGCGAGTATTCAGGTCGAGGTCAAACCGTTTCCATAGTGCATTGTGCATTACCAATCACCCTGGCGACCTTGACAATGCGGTCCGACCAGAATGATTCTGATATGTGAAGAACAACAGGCTACGGAGCATATAGACAGGACCTGAGCTCAAAATTGCGGCTCAAAAAATGATTTCATATTCTGAATTAGGCAGGTACAGCAGACAGCGCCAGGCAAAGCGCGAAGACCACCTAAAACCGCCCACTCCGACAATATCCTCCTTTTCTGGTCGCGATCGCATAGTATCGCCAGCGAGGTATCCAAGACGTGCGCTGGATTTAACGTATTCAAGGTCAGTGCTTCCATCTGCAGGTCAGCCATTAGGCGCACGCAGATCATGAAATCAGCCTGATAACACCCCTCCCCGCACACCAAGATATACCCCTTAGCCTCCTGATAAGCACAGCACCGCCATCCAGCACCAATAGCCGTCTTATATACACGCCGTCCATAGATAAGAAGCAAAAGCAACCCATAAATTTAAGCCCATCGAGCCGCCAGCATGACCCCTAACACGTGACCCCCCTTACTCCGGGGGATCGTCCGGCAACAGAAATCATCATCTGAGCTTCCCCCTATTCCGGCACCGCGAGCTTTCGGCCACCGTGTTCTTTTACGATGGCCGACTGAATTGTCCTCCCCTCCTTCACCTTGGAACCATGGGTCCGATGCTTGTCCAAATCATCTCCATCTAATTGTTCATCGTCTGCGCGTCTCCCGAAGCTCGGCCGCGTCCGCGTCGCCGCATCGCCGCATCGCCGCATCCTGTTGACTGGGATGTCCGCTGCGTTTACCCCACCAGCTGTGTCCACGGGTCGAAACAAGCGCATGTCTTGATCCACAATCCTCCGAGCTCCAGCTCTCTCGCCTTGCACCTTGATCCGCCTTTGAAATCAGGCGGAAATAAAAAATAAAAAAGTCCGGGGAACGACATTCTCCAACGTCATTCAGCACGCATCTATCGCGTGAGCGACCGCGGGCCAAGAACAGGAAGGTACTGCGCCAGTACCTTTAAATTGCATCCAGCGACGCCTTTCCAGACTCGCCATCCTCGGCCACGATGTCGCCGTCATTCAATTGGACCGCGCTGGCGGTTGCCATCGCCGCCGTCTTCGTCTTCTGGACCATCTCCTCGACCTCCTCACCCTTTACCCGCTCCTTTCCACGACTCCGCAACAAGCGCATCTGTCTATTGATCGCGCATCCAGATGACGAGGCGATGTTCTTTTCGCCGACAGTGCTAGCCCTCACCAAGCCCGAGCTTGGGAACCACCTGAAAATCCTCTGCTTCAGCACCGGTCCGTCCCTCCAGCTCCCGGATTTGGCCCGTGGCCCTATCCACCTAACCGTCGCAAAAGCAATTGAAGCTAACCCATCGTTCCATCAACAGGCGACGCCGACGGCCTCGGCGAAACCCGCAAAAAAGAGCTCCAGAAATCCGCCCTCCTCCTCGGCGTCCGCGACGAAGCTGACGTCTTCATCGTCGACGACCCCGCTCGCTTCCCAGACAGCATGACCGCCACCTGGGCCCCGGACCAGATAACTTCTCTCCTCGCCTCAGCCTTCACGCCCGAGCTCGCAGCCACCCTGAACGGCACCGCCAAGAAGAACCCCAAGAAGGCGCCCACTGCCACCATCGACGTCCTCCTCACCTTCGACGAACGCGGCATCAGCAATCACCCGAACCACCGCTCGCTGTACCACGGCGCGGTGCATTTCCTGCGCACGCTGATGACGGATAAGGAAGGCTTTAATTGCCCCGTGACGCTGTATACGCTGACATCGACGAGTATGCTGCGCAAGTATGCGGGTGTGCTGGATGCGCCGTTCTCGATGGTGCAGGGTGTCCTGGGGAATTTGTTTGGGGCGAAGAAGGGCGGGGCTGGGGCGGAGGCTGGACCGGCGCGATTGTTGTTTGTTAGCTCTGTTGGTGAGTGGTTGACGGCGCAGTCTGCTATGGTTATGGGCCATAAGAGTCAGATGGTCTGGTTTCGATGGGGGTGGATTACTATTGGGAGGTATATGACTGTGAATGACTTGAAGCGGGAGACGGTCTAACCTGGCGTAGGTGTGGACTTTCTTTTCTTTTCTTTCACTGCGCTTTGCTGTTGCAAACACTTTGGCTGCACTCACTATGATTGCGAATTGGGACACGATCTGTCTCATGTCTGTAAATAATTCGATAGATATGAGCTGACCATACGGCTCTTGTACACAGTCTTGCTACTGAGCAAGGTATTTTCGTCAAGCTACTAAATGAATATAGTCTGCTCCTTCAACAAGGTTCGCCAACCATGCAGTCTATTTGATGGTCCCGCTGGTGTACAGTATAGAATAATCCCGACTAACCGCCATGCCCAGCTGGCATCAAGGAAGGAAGGAAGGAAGGAGCGCCAGAACTCTCAGCAAACTACCCAAGAAATAATCTAGGTAGAATGCACAATCCCAGCAGAAGCGATCCATATCCCCCCAAGCTAACCTTTAAACCCAAGAATGGTCGTCCAGCAGGAACAAGCTGCGCGGCCTGGGTTTGAGCATATCCAGCGCCGCCAGCCGCCCATAGAACCCCCCGTGCGGGTTCTTCTCCGTCGACAAGTCATGACCCGCGGGATATTCCGTCCAGGTATCGCGCAATTTCTTCACAGCCTGGTGGAATTCGTCCGACAGGGGCAACTGGAACACGAACAGCCGGTCCACTGGGGCGATCGTCTTATCTAGGAACGGGTATCTCACGAGTAGGTCATCCCATTTGCTTTCCTCGGACCAAACTAGACGGGATTCGGGGCAGAACAGCTTTTTCTGATCGGACCGGCGCTTCATGGGGATGGTTCTGGACTCGACTTGAAAGGAGCGGCTGCCGAAGCCCTTGGCGCCCTTCATTTCGATGAAGCCTGTCTCCGCGCCGTAGAAAAGCTGGATCTTGCTGGGGATGAAATCCACCCATTCCTCGAGCATTTTGGGCCGTTCCTGATAGTGCCACTCTTTGTCGGAGATGTCATTCCAGCTCTGGACTCGGACGGCGATGTACAAGGCACGTTTGAAAAGGTAGACTTGTTGCCAGACTTGCAGTCGGATGATTTCGTAGGCTTGAATGGCCTCGGCAAGGATGGGAGACTGGAACAACTCTGGGTCTGGTGTGGTGGCGGATTGCCGTATTTGCTCTCTTGCGGCTTCGAGGGCTGGACGCAGACACCTCAGCACGACGGTGCGTGCCTCTGCCTCCTTTGCCCGAGTTTCGACCAGGAGGTCGTAGGCACCCTGGATATAATCCTTGCAATCCTCCAGTCGGCCGTTATCAATACTGACGTTGATCATGAACCGCCAGTTTTGCATTGTTGGAGTGACATTGTAGGGCTCGGAGGTCATGGTGTCGAACACCGACCGGACGAGGTCCAGGGAGATTCGGCCGATGGTGTTGGCCTGGTCGGTCCGCTCCTTGCTTTTGGCCGTTTCATTCTGCGAGAATCGCTCTCGCGAGAGCACGTATGCTCGCTCGAACAGCTCGTGCCAGACCTTCGCGGGAATCGGGACCTGGTAAGACCATGAGATGAACTGGACTGTTCGTATCGCACCGGCAATATCGTTGTTCGTTCCCAGGGCATGGGCCACGGCGAACAGCAGGTTCTCGGTCGGATACAGAGCGGACCACGGGTCGTAGGCCGTTGCGGGTGGTAGCTTCGAGTTGTCAGGCTCCATTTTGAGCGCATCCACGTTGATGTTCCACACTTCGTTCAGCACATGTTTCATTCCCAAGTTATGGCCTACTCGAGCGGCAGCTAACATCATGTTAATATAGGTGCGCTCATCACCGAGGTGTCCCTCTTGTTGCATCTGGTCGAAGAGACGCAGTACCAACTTTCGGACACTCCTTTGCGCTGTCCCATAGCCCTGCCACCCCCGAGAGGGCGGATCACTGCGCCGTTTCTTGTAATTTCTGGGAATCATGCGAAGCCGATAGGCCTCGTCTCCGGTATAGCAGTGATCCCAAACCTTCGTTTCCATGTAGTGGTTATAGCACACCGTATCTGGAACCACGTCCATCACCTTCATAGTGTCCCACACCTGATCCGCGAAGACGCCATTGCCCATTGCGCGCGCACAGTTGAGCAGGTGAGTAAACTCTGCCAACTGCAGCCCATGGCCACTCGCTGTCCTGTAGCGGGTGATAGTGAATAGGTTCTTCACATACTCATCGAAAATCTCCTCGACGCGCCTCAGGCCGTTGGTGAGAATAGCCCATGCGTGCAAGGGACGGTGGAGGTCGCGGAAGGGCTCCACAAAATGGGCGGGAGAGAGTCGGTGGAGCGCCTCAACAAAGACAGTCTGGGGTAGCGACCCGACCAGCCCCGCCGACCGTGGGTCGGTCATGGCTGCCATCACTTGATCCGGCTGGCCATCTTCGATGACACGAAAGAACTTCTCCGCATATTCGCTCTCTTGCTCTGGCGACTCCCATGTGGGAAAGATGACCTCCGCCGGGCCCTCTTCGTGTGCGCCGGCCACATCAGCATAGAGGTGCTTGTTTCCACTATGGAACCCGCGCACAGTGTCCTCGGAGCAAGTCTCGCGCTTCCATTGACGACAAAGGGAGCCCAATCGCTGGGGAGGAGACAACCTAGCGGTAGAGATTGGTCTTGTGCGGCAGGAGACATTCGGCGCCCGTTGTCGTGGAGAGTTGTAGAGATTCTTGTCGGATGCTCTAGGTCGCGACGGATGTAGCCAGGGAGAGGACAGTCTCTCGCCAGCAAGGACAGACCTCCTCATGAGTGCGAGAAAGGCCCAGGGAGAACGATGTGACCAAGATAGAATCTACGGGGGGAAAGAGAAACACACAAGGGGGGAAAGAATGAGGGGGTGCGCTTCGACCCCAGTCCGCCAGGCCAGTTCCCAGGACGCCGTACCGGGTATTTCTGTAACGCATGATTTGGCTACGTGAGGGGACGGTCAGACCTACGGGGCAGGGAGCGACCATTCCCTGCAGGATACAGCGTGCACTTGGTAATGCAGGTAACCCAGTCACATGAGGGGCTAGACTATCGGTGGACTCGGCCAAGTGGAGTCGCATGGGGGCATTCTGGGGATTACCCCATCCTTCCCGCGCCTTGTTTTGATGGTGTGCGTGTTTGCAATTCCAGCAAAATCCGGGGTAAACACAGCTGACTCAGCAACACTGCTGGTTTCCGCGCTAGCCCCAATCAGGCAGCGGACAGAGCTCGCCGATTCTGATCTCCCGGGGTGGCACGGACGGACTGGCCGACAACTGCATCATTGCCCACCACACACCATGGCTGACACCGAGGATGCCGGCGCATCAGTCTCTGAACCTCTGGACCTAGTCCGCCTATCGCTGGATGAGATCGTCTTCGTAAAGCTGCGCGGTGACCGTGAACTCAAGGGCCGCCTTCACGTGAGCTGCCTGGTCACGCACCATCTTCTGGCATTATGCTGATCCCGATGACTTCCTAGGCATATGACAGCCACTGCAACCTCGTGTTGGGCGACGTGGAGGAGACCATCTATGTGGTGGAGGAAGACGACAACGAACAGGAGACGACCAGGGTAGGGCACCCTCGCGAACATCGTGGGGATACGAGTATCGCTAACCAGGGATGTTGGGCGGATAGACCATTAAGAAGCAAGAAGAGATGCTGTTCGTGCGAGGTGAGTGGTGTTTCAACCATATTTCCCCCAATTACGGTCAGTATACTGATCAATTCCTAGGCGATTCCGTCGTTTTGATCTCTCCCCAGGCCTGATCAGCCCACCAACCGCGAATTGATAGAGGAATCGGCGTCTGGCGAGATGATACCTGTTGGGAGGAAGGAAAGGACGGCACATCCACAGACGATCCAGTTGCATAGATATGAGACCATGAAATTGGTTTATGACCCGCCAGTCGGTCCCAATCTTCCTGTAGATGCCCCTCCGTGCAGAGCCGCAAGGCTGCAAGGCTGCAAGGCTGTAGATGGTGACTCTTCCACCACAACACCACACCGCCCCCACTGTTAGTCACCACGTAGTTCTTTTGGTTTCTAGTCACGATGGAGTCACTATGCGTGGCGCAGCGGGACGGTCTATAGACTAGGACGGCGGGTGATGTGGAGCGGCTGTACTTTTTGGGTCGTCCGCTGGCGATGACTCAAGCAAGTGACTCGACCGACTTTATCGATAAAGCTACCCCCGCGTCGCCCTCTTGGTACGGTCTTTCCTTTTCCATTTTTCTTCCAACCTTTCCCTCTCTATGACCCGATTCAATCCTGCTTAGCCCGTTCTTGCAAAATTAAAGAGCAGCGTCAAAGCGATGATCCTTCGAATACAGGTCTGAACTACGCCAGAGTCAAAGGCGATCCACCCCGAACCACCCGCAACGTCACTACCCCAACAATCGATTCACCGTCACTCGACGACCCGTGCAAACTCCCTTTCCAACCCAACTCCACGAAGATGCCCCAAGTCAAACCAAAACTCAACGCCGAAGACAGGAAACGAGGCGAGATCGTATGTAACCCGCGATTGCACTGCGGGTGACCTCCGCTCACTCACATGATTGCCAGGCCCTCAGCGAATTCGCCGAGTACGCTGAACAGCAGCAAGCGCATCGCTCCGCCGTGCCGGTCGCGCCGAGCGATAGCGGATATGAAACCGGGAGCATATCGCGCGAGGTCGAGGAACATGTTGAGCTCGAAATCCTCGATCAGCTTGGTCTGTCCGACGCCCCGCGCACCATCAAGCTGAAGGAGCTTCTCCTTGGGACCGGAGACTCGACCACCGAAGATAGTCTGCAGGTGCTTGCGGGAACGATACAAACGAGAATTGACGAGGGCCATGGAGAAACCATATTTGACCTGGGACTCGAGGATGGCGGCGATCCAATGGGCTTCGACCTTCCACAGTGGGAAACGGCGCTCCAGCACCTACGGGAAGCCGCCGAGACTATCCCCGCCCACTGCCGAGTACTTCTTACCTACAATGTTGGCGGGCCCCAGGAATCGCCCGTGAAAAACGAGCGAATAAAGGGCGCCTGGGGAAAACTTTTGATCCGTCAGGATGCACCTAATATCGAGGAGGTGGCAGAACTTCGCATTGCGGTCGTGGGCAACGTCGACGCGGGGAAGAGTACCATGCTTGGTGTGCTGGTAAAAGGCAGCCTGGATGATGGTCGCGGGCGTGCGCGAGTCAACCTCTTCCGTCACAAGCACGAAATTGAGAGCGGGCGAACCAGCTCCGTCGGCATGGAGATCATGGGCTTCGACAGCCGTGGTGACATTGTCGGCAACACCGCAGGCCGGAAGCTCTCCTGGGAAGAAATCGGGAAGCGATCTGCCAAAGTCATCTCTTTCTCTGACCTGGCGGGCCACGAGCGCTACCTGCGCACCACCGTCTTTGGTATGCTGAGCAGCAGCCCCAATTACTGCTTGCTCATGGTCGCGGCCAATAATGGCTTGATTGGTATGAGTCGGGAGCACTTGGGTATTGCCCTGGCATTGAACGTCCCGGTCATGGTGATTGTTACCAAGATTGACATCTGTCCGCCTCAGATCCTGCAGGAGACGCTGTCACAATTGACGAAGATTCTGAAGTCGCCTGGTGCGCGCAAGATCCCCATCTTCGTAAAAGACATGGAAGAGACTGTCAACACAGCCACCCAGTTCGTCAGCCAACGGATCTGCCCTATCTTCCAAGTCTCCAACGTCACTGGCGAGAACCTGGAGCTCGTCCGGACGTTCCTGAATATCCTTCCTCACCGTGGCCACTACGACCAGGAGGGTCCGTTCGAATTCCTGGTCAATGACACCTTTTCTGTCCCCCACGTAGGCACGGTGGTGTCTGGAGTAGTCAAGTCCGGCGTGATTCACGCGGGCGACTCAGTTGTTGTTGGACCGGACTCCCTCGGCCAATTCACGACTACTACTATCAAGTCTATTGAGCGCAAGCGGATACAGGTGAACGCTTGCTTTGCGGGCCAGTCTGGCTCTTTCGCCCTGAAACGTGTCCGCCGCAAGGAAGTGCGCAAGGGCATGGTGGTGCTAAAGAAGATGGAGACCCCTCCCAAGGTGTATCGGGAATTCGTTGCTGAAGGTCCGCTATCGTTCTGTCCTCCTCTTGGGCGACACGTTGCTAACATTGCTTCTAGTTCTGATTCTGTCTCATGCGACGACCATCAAGCCCAAGTACCAGGCCATGTTGCACGTCGGAGCGGTCAGCCAGACCTGCGCGGTGATCGACATCGATCGCCCCTTCATCCGGACCGGCGATCGCGCCCTCGTGGCCTTCCGCTTCATCCAGCGGCCCGAGTTCCTGGCTCCCGGCGACCGTGTACTTTTCCGGGAGGGTAAAACCAAAGGCCTGGGCATTGTGAAGAGCATTGGATACGACCCCACACATCCTCTCAATCCCAACGCAACCAAAAGCGAGGGCGAGGGCGAGGGTGAGGAAGAAGGCGGGAAAGAGAAAGAGGGCCGGAAAGAAAAAGAGAGGGAGAAGGGTGACACAGAGACGTGAAGAATGACTACATAGATTGCTTCCTGGTCTGTATTTGTACAGCCTGCTGCACTGTTAGACATGCTGTCGCATCCTCACCGATTCCCCATCACTTTCTATACCCCCACGTGACATGACGTCAGATGATGACATGCGCCGATCGACCCTTGAGGATCCGCCAGGCTTCATCATCCCATCGTCCAATAATCAAGCATCATGGAATAATATTGCTGTATATGCGGCATTGTTCGTGTACCCTAGACTCCACTGACGTCGTCTTGTAGACCTGAGACGCTTAGAACGCTGCGCCCCTTCCCACAACTGTCCGTCCAGTAGACGCCCAGCTAATCTATCCCCAGCCATTGATGACATCTTGACCTACTCGAAACGACCAACGTACCTTATCTATAACCCCCCGCGATTTCCCTCCCTCCTACCCTTCTGAAACTCAGACTTCCTCCCTTGAACCTTCCCTTGAACATTTTACAACCATTCTACACCATTCTAAAACCATTCTACCCTCCACATAATCGCCAATCCCTCCCGACACGCTATACTTCCATCCCTTCATCTCCCATCCCTCCATAAAGATGGATGCAGTCAGCAAAGTCGTGAACGCAGCCTCAACCGCCATATGGGGCGACAGCAGTGCCACCCAGCAACAGTCCACACCGCAGAGCGAAGAGCCTATCTCCGGCGTCCAAGGCAAGGGTGTCGCCAATGACCCCTACGACGCTGGTAACCGCGAAGGTAAGTCCCGCATATACCTGCCCACTTCACAATGCATACTGCAATCCGTATCAGCACCCCTTCTCAATGTTTCCCCCGATGACGACGCCCCATCGTCGAAGGGAACAACCTCCCCGGCCTTCTGATGTACATCCCCCCGCATCCCGAGTATGAGTTCAGGCCGAGTACCTCCGCCGTGGGCTATGGACGCGGACGTGAACATGGAAAGGAGCCAGGGGAAACTGCACACAACACACACATATGTCCATGCACATACCGGCACGCGCCGCACGAGCAGCAGGAGCTAATGAGTCCGGATCCCCTAGAACAACCCGACGCGCCCTCCTCAGAAGAGAACACCGCCCCTCAGGAGCCGAGGCTGGATGGCGCAACGACGGAGACTGCGGCAAAGGACACAACCACCGGACTAAAGACCAAGACCGCCTTGACGGAGGATAACAACAATGTCAGCGCCCCCATTCCCACTCCGGCTCCCGTCGTGGCTGCCGTTTCGAGCTCGACTCCGGCTGAGGCTGGTGGTAGCAGCGCCACCAATGGCGAAACCAAGCCTGAGCAGCGTGCGACTGAAAGCACCGAGGGCCAGAGCAGCCAGGCGCCTCATGTGGGCCGCCAGGACGCGAGCCCGGAGGCGCTGAGGGGTCCTCAGGGCCCGGCACCACATCCTGCGGAGGAGTTTGAGGACGAGGCTAAGAGAGTCAAACCTGCGAAGAAAGACGCGGCGCCTGCTGAGGAGAGTAAGTGATTCTTGCGACACATCCATATCATCAAGTCTTATCCTGGAGATTGTGGAACTAACGTCCGTTGGGCGCTAGCTCATAAACCAAGCTCCACGAATAGTTCGTCCAAGAGCAACGACAAGGCGTCCCAAGGAAGCGAAAAGGGTAATGGCGGTGGGAAGCATAGCCCTCTGCACAAGATGAAGGAGAAGTTGAGCAAGGTTGCGCATCCCCGCCATGGCAGCAACAAAGCGTAAAGAATGTCCAAGATTGTTGGTTGATAGGCGCTACTTGTGGCTTTGATTGATTGTGCTTGATGGATTTTGATTGAACTATATCCCCGACGTCTTTGATTGTGATTTAATGCCATCCCTGCCTCCTCGGTTTTGTGATGTTTCGTTTTATCTTTCGGTGTCTATTCTTATGTATTAGTAGGTAATGGAAACTTTCTTGAATAACTATATTCCTCATCATGCGGGATTCTAGGCGATTTGATGGTACTGCCACAAGTCCAAGTAAACAAACCATCAAAATATTCTCTCTTATGTGTAATAACATCTCAGATGGACCCAAAAAGACATGGTTCTACCTCCAATAAAGGACACCAGAAATAGGGTATCACTCGAGCCCAAGCTTTGCAAGAACACCCAACCAAATAGCTCCCTCATAGATCATCAAGATTGAAAACCCAGGCCCTGGCCAAAACGGCTACTCGAACAACAGCTTCAGCTCCGCAATGCGATCCTTCTTCTTATCATCCTCGCCATCGTCACCACCGACACGCAGGCCAAGCGACCCCGCAATATTCATCTTGCGCTCTTGCACACGAAGCATCCGGCCCTCTATCGAATCCTTGACTACAAAGCGCGTCACGGAGACATCGCGCAGCTGGCCCATGCGGTGGACGCGGTCAATGGCTTGTGCCTCGACGGCGAAACTCCACCAGGGATCCATGACGAAGACATTACTGGCGCATGTGAGATTGAGGCCGACGCCACCGGCACGAAGGGAGATGAGGAGCACTGTCGGTGGGGCTTCGGACTGGGAGCGCTTTGCAGCGGAAGGACGGCCCCGGAACGGAGTTTCGTCCTCGGTGTCGATGATCTCATCTGTATACTCCTCGGTCTTGGTGAATTCAGACAGAACGGCAGCGCGAGCTTTCTGGGGCATTGACCCGTCGAGACGAAGGTGGGAAATACCAACCCTGGACAGCTGAGGACCGATGAGATCGAGGAATGAGGTAAATTGGGAGAAGACAACGGATTTTGTGTTCGGTGGAATGCGGGAGAGGTGGTTGATCAGCGCATGGATCTTAGCTGATGTATGGGCCGAAGGTGAAAGAGGGTTGATTCGGCGGAGGGAGATGCGAGGCGCAGGCTGTGAGCTAGAGAGCGCAGGGTCGCAAGCGGTGAATTCGTCCATGGCTGTGGCGGAGTGGGAAAGTGGATGCTTCACGACTTCAAAAATATCTTTCGCGTCTACATCTGCCCGACAGGAGAAGCAGCGAGCTTGTACGCCTTTGTTCATCTGATGCCGCACAAAATCCTCGAGACACTTCTTGCATGCACTATGCCAGCATGCTGTCACCGCGGGCTCGATAATCGGCTCCTCGCAGCAGATCGGACATTCTCCACTAGAGTCTGTTTGAATCTGCCGCAGGGCGTGGGCTGTGAACTTGACAGACCGGTCTTCAGATTCGGGGTTCTCTGTAGATGCGGTAAATTGGGTGATCAATTCCTGCAGATCCATATCATCCTTGAGATTATTGGTTGCATCAAGAGCTGCCGCAACTGTTTCTTCATCCGCAACAATATCCTTGTTGCGCGTGAGAATTGGATGACAGCAAGTCTGACGGAGGCGAAGGATCTGAGCAAAGATGGTGGAGTATGACTGGAGAAGGGTGCCAGCTTCGACATTGTCGTTGTAAGTTCTCTTGGCCCGGGTGTAGATACAGTCGTAGATCTCACGTTCCTGCTCGGAGAGCTCAACTTCCTCAATGGTGACGGTACGCTTGGGCAGTGGGACCAATGGCTCGCCTTCTGGGGTCTTCATTGTCTTGGTCCGTCGAAGGACAAGGGGCTCCAAGACACTTTGGACTACATTAAGGGCGCGGACAAACTCCTTGTTCTCGAAAGGAACGGTAATAAACGTTTTCCAGAAAGAGAAATTGCTCCACGGCTCCACCTTGAGGAAGCGTACAAGACTGAAGAGATCCTCCAGGCGATTGACAATGGGCGTGCCCGTGAGAACCCAACGATGCGGAGCCTGAAGCTCATAACAGGCTCGGGCCGATTTTGACCGACGGTTTTTGATCATGTGGGCCTCGTCCAGAATGATACGAAAGAACTCAACAGAAAAGAGACCACCTTGTGCAGCAGGCGCAATTAAAGACTGGGCTGCAAGCTGGCGGAATTCCGAGAGCACAACTCCGTAGCTGGTGACAATGACATGAGGTGCGGTGGCATATTTGGCCTCGCAGCAGATGTCCCGAAGGTTGACAGCTTTGTCTGCTCCGTAATACATCAGAACCCTCATTGTGCCTGGTTCTGAGGCTTTCAACGCCTCACTCTCCCATTGAGACAGCAGAGAGGTCGGCGCGACCACGAGTGTTGTATAAGGCGCGGAAACCACCCCGGTCGATGAAGCAGGGACCCTCGCTAGGTCGTTCACAGAATTGATGCCATTCGAAACGTCAGGATGAGGCTCAACCTTGTGGGAGTGAATCAGGCTGAGCATCTCGATGGTCTTTCCAAGTCCCATTTCATCAGCCAGAACACCACCAAGGCAGCGTTGCTCCTGAGCAGGGAAGTCCACACTCAAGTCACCGGAGTAAGGATTGACATAGAAGTGATCTATGCCCTCAACAGAGGGTAAGTCTTGGTCATCGACATCCTTGGTGGGCCAGCTATATTCTTCCCACAATGGATGCATTGATCGCTCTCGAGTGTCTTTCTTGTCCTTCTCTTTCGACAACATCCAATGTAAAGCCTGCTTCTGGTACTTGCGGAGGTCCAATCTAAATGTTGGCGCAGGCTCAGCTTCTGGCATGTTGAAATCGAAGGACTGGGCCTTCCGGTATAGGGTGTCGAGCTGATCGTCTTCCAGTTCTGCGGTATCATCTTCGGAGGAAGAGTCATTGGGGTCTTTGCTGGATTTTCCTTTTTCTTTCTCCTTCTTGACGCCGTCGTATTGTTCGGCCATCTCAGCCGCGCGGAGTAAGCCATCTCGCTTATGTTTTTCCGTGGTGGGATTGATCGATGTCGGCTGGAGATTGATTTCATGAAACAATTTCACAAGAGCTACTTGTCGGAGCCGAAGACTCTTTTCTTCGGTACTCTCCTTCTCCTCAAACAGGCCTGTCGATCGGTTGTCATCCCCAGTCCCAACAAAGGGACCGCGCTGGAACGCTTCCTTGCGCAAGAAGCATCTCAGTTGCAAATAGATGGTATCGTTCACCCGCACCCTGTCCGGGATAAATACACAGACTCCCTCGAACTGACACATCTTTTGATCAATCAGGGTTGAGACCCACTCAGCCGTCTCATGCGGCAGCCGCCCAATCTCCTGCCCAGAAGCATTTGTGAATCGCGTCAGGATATCTCCCTTGTTGTTCACAAAGAGTTTGCCTCCGCGACCACGTTTTGCAACCGGCTGAGACCGCGCACGTTCAATCCTCACTGAATCCCCATGCTTGAGGAGGGCCAGTCCACTTCTTGTTGCCCATCCTCCTACACCAAAAGCTCCTATGTATCGTGTAGCTGGTTGCTTTCGCATGACGGATTCATGCTCGAGTGGGGTGCCATCGATATTGGATATTGAAGCGGTGGAAGAAGATGTTCGGCTCGGTTTCGATGTTAATGGGAGGGTCTGCCGTATGGTCGTCGGCATTCTGCCGATGGTCGCTTTCGCAGGTTTCTTCCATGACCCGTCAAAAAATATGTTGACTGCTCGCTCCACGTTGTTAGACGAGGCGGACTGGATGAGTTGCAGCGAGTCGGCAGGCAAGGTTTCTCCAATAATGCTGGTAAATAGGTCCACATCGAACCCGTTCGGTGACGAAGGCTGTGTGGTCGGATGCACGATCGCTTCGTGGGTGACCGGCTGGATCGTTCCATTTTGGAGAGGGGAGGTGATCACTGAATCGTCTGCTGTGCAGTGCCGACGCGCTTTTGACGATGTCGGCGGATTAAGGGGGCTTCCCAGTGTACCAGGAGTAGCTACACGCTTAGCTGGCGGGGTCTCCGGAACGTTGTACTGTGCATCTTGCTCTGTCTCGCGGTCGCCCAGCCCGGGGCAATGGCGAGGTAGAGACGCGTCCACGATCCCCGCGGAGTCTTGCGGGGAATCAGAGCTATCCACGAAGAAGCGCTGTCGTTTCGTTGGGCGATGCTCCAGGTCCTCGCTCATAATCGTGGCTGATACATCAAGGTCGTGGCGAAGAGAGGGAAGGTTGAGTTGGTGAGACGCGCCGAGAAACGCGAAATGGCTCCGATCGACGTCAGCGTCCCAAAAAAATTCCGAATTTCACCTACTGCGGGTTTAGCTATAAGGAGTTCCTAAGATTTTCTTGGTTTTGCCTTTTATTTTTTTATAGGTATTTCCCTCCATTCATTCGGTTCTTTTGGGTTTCATTGTCCTTATTCTTTGGCCAGGCAAAGGGCCCACGCTCCGGACCAATACTAGTAGGCGGATTACATTTCTCTCGGCTGCGCAACCTCAACTTCACCTTTGCACACTCCCCGAATGTCCTTCCTCAGAGAGATCACCCGGCCATGTCGGGCCACAAAGGCATGCCTCACGTTAAGAGGCACTTGGCCTCAGAACAGGCCATTTAGTCGGACTGCATCCGTCTCCGCGCCCATCACCGCGGAGGAAGTCCGCGGCGCACATAAATACTGTGTTTCCCTCCTCTCGTATGGGACACCCTCTCTTCTCTTCTTCCCGGATTCCCTTGCTCAGAACACCCTCAATCCCCCCTCCCGGAGAACCTATGAGCTGACCATTCGACCGACCATAATAGAAAATATGACCGGCCCTCCTATACCCTGAGCACCTTCATCCCACCCCACGCCCGGTCCTTCTACATCGCCCTGCGCGCATTGAATGTCTCCCTCTCCATGATAGCCGACACTACCTCCTCGCACACAATCGGCCTGATGCGCCTGCAGTTTTGGCGCGATGCGGTCACGAAAACCCTGGCCGGTGCTCCACCCAAGGAACCCGTCGCGATCCTGCTGGCCTCGGCCATCTCTGAGCTCAACGAGCGCACCGAGGGACGCGCAAGGATCACCAAGGGCTGGCTAACCCGCCTGATCAATGCGCGGGAGCAGACGCTCACAAACGACCCGTACCCCAACATCGCAGCACTCGAGTCGTACGCCGAGAATACCTACTCCACCTTAATGTATCTCACTCTGGCCGCGCTCCCGATGACCTCTGTGACAGCGGATCATGTGGCGTCGCATATTGGCAAGGCGGTGGGCATTGCGGCGGTCTTGCGCGGATTGCCGTTGGTTGCATTCCCGCAGCCGGCGCCCCAATCGCCTAGTGGCCGTCCTGGGGGGCTAAGCGGCGGAGCTAAGCAAGGGGCGGTTATGCTGCCCTTGGATATCATGGCGCAGCATGGCGTAAAGGAAGAGGAGGTGCTGCGACGGGGTGCTGAGGCAGAGGGTCTTCGCGACGCGGTGTTTGCCGTTGCTACGCGGGCGAGTGATCATTTGATCACCGTGGACCAGATGTTGAGCAACCTCCGCGCCGGAAAGGATGTTGGACACGATTTCGAGCACGAGGGGGAGGAGGGCCATGAGTACGATCATTCGGTGGTTGGGGGCTCCCGGGGTAGCGAGACGCCCTTGGACGAGGTGAACCGGGCATTTGGTGTGTTTATGCCTGCGATTGCGACGCGTCTGTGGCTGGACAGACTCCAGCAGTACGACTTTGATGTCTTCCGTCCCGAGCTGCTCCGTGGAGATTGGAGACTCCCCTGGAAGTCTTATATGGCATTCCGGCGGAAGCATATCTGATAAGAAACAGGCATGACCAATGTATAATACCTGTACTATATATATATATATAAGACTTGATTATGTGGCGGCAGGGCAAGTGTACAATGTCCAAAGCTGCGAGCATTCCTCTCCTCCCCACAACTTCCGAGGAACTAGCAAGAGGCACCGGATGCCAACGGTGTAGCTACCTCTTCTTCCTTTGCCGTCTTTGCTTTCTCGAGCTAGTAATGAGTCGTCTCTGCGCGAGCATGACAGCATAGCGTTGAATTTTATCACGCCTGAAGAGGAGAATATTAGCGGGGATGATATCTCAGTTTGGGCGAGGAACAGGTCTTACATGAGCAAGAGAGTTGTCACAAAGACGAAGGGCACGGCGATTTTCCAAAAGTATCTGACTATTGGGTCAGCTTCTTCGCAGTTGAGGCCGATCAGCTAACAACTTACGAGTCACTATGCTTGATGCCAGCAAAGTCTTCAAAGTTCATTCCGAAGTAACCCTGAGCTCATTCATCAGCGACTGTGGTGTTAATAATCATCATAAGAAAAAGGACACATACGGTCAAAAACGTCATTGGAAGATACAAACAAGTGACCATTGTCAGTTGCTTCATGCTCTCGTTTTGGTAGGCACCGATGGTATTGAAGATAAGGTCGATCATGTTATCAGCCGCGCGTCGCATTTGATCATACCCCTCCACGATAGTGATACAATGATCCAGGACATCACCCAGATAGGTATGGCACATCGAGCTAATCGTGACACTCGATCCTCCTAGGCTCTTTAGGTTAGGTGTGATGGTGCCAATGGTTGGAGGATGTGGGTGTTCGGGGTCCCCAGGCGTGGAAGTCGGACTGGACAACCCGTTCCGCAAAGCTCCCAAACCCGGGGTCCCAATAGGCTCAGATCGATGATCACGAAGCGCATTGATCACCGCCACCATTGGCTGCATCGAATTGCGCAAAACCGCGATTTCAGAAGTGAGGATATAAAGGCTCTTCGACTGATCAATATCAGGATCAGTCAGGACTTCCAGCTCTAGGTCTCCAATGGCATCCTGATAAGCCATGGTCACAGGTATTGCGAGATCAATAACAGCGTCTAGGATGGCTTGCAACAGCATGCTAGCATCGCACGACTGCCGAAGAATCGTCTCCGGGGAGCTGAGGCGCCGGACGATGGGAGCCTCGATATCATCTGCGCTAGTCTCGAAGAAGGACGTGACGGTGTTATCGGCATGCAGGAAGACTGAAACTTGCTCTAGGGTAACGCAGAGGCCCTTGGATGCCAGCACAGCGTGACGTTCCATAAAGTCGATACGATCCTCATTTGGGCCACCACGATACCGCTGAAGGGACCTAGCCGTGGCTCCCACCGCAGCTGCAACAGTTCCAAATTGGGACATCCGCTTTGAGGATGGTCGTCTTGGCCCAGGCCGGACGCTGGCGCCAAATCTTGTCTTCTCCTCTTGGTGCTTTGACGGGCTCTTGGATCTGAAGATGTCTTTCAACGCCTCCCAAATGAGATATCGCTTGGTCAGCCGTTTCAATGATATGGAGCTGTTGTCACTCGCAACAGAGCGTTTTCGCTCCTTAGCGCCCCATTCGTTACCTGGACCGTCATCATCCTCTGAATCACTCTTTTCTTCTTGAATTTTCACGAGCTTCTGTAGTGTCAAGGCAACAAAAGCGTGATCTGAGTACCAATCGGCTTTAGTGCGGTGGGTGGTATGGACGATATCCTCGATAGCCAGTCGATGCAGCCTCTTGTGGCTGCCCAAGCATTTGATCACGTCCCAACTCAGCCCATTCACATTGATCCACCGACATTGCACCCATGGTTCTCTCTCGCGCGCGAGGAATTGAGGGAGCGTCTCGTTGTCCAGTTCATACTGCCGCATTTCATGCTGCGAAAAGTCCACTACCGTGATTTCGGACTCGCGCTGCACGTCGCCGGGCAAATTCGATTGCCATTCTGAGCTGAATAGAGGGAGAGGTTTTGTTGGGTCGATACCGGGTTCTGTGCCTGGCTGCCAGTTGATCTCGCTCGCAAAGCCGTCCGGGTGGTAGGATTGTGCGGTATTAGAGCGTCGAACTCGGCGCCTGGCAGTGTCGCTGGAGTTAACTCTGGCCGCCGCAGTGCCGATCGTGTCGGTGATGGACCCTTCCCTTCTCCCCGGAATGATTGGGGAGCTGGGCCCTTCCCTTCTCCCCGGAATGATGGGGGAGCTGGGCCCTTCCCTTCTCCCCGGAATGATGGGTGAGCTGGGCCCTTCCCTTCTCCCCGGAATGATGGGGGAGCTAGGCCCTTCCCTTCTCCCCAGAATGATTGGGGAGCTGGGCGACTGGCGACCAGCCTCAAGGTCCTGCACCTGGAGAGTTTCTGATTGTGATGCGCCTCGTGGCGCATAGTCAACGGAGTGGACACTCATGGTGACGGGGGATTAATTGGGTGTGTGGTGACGTAGCATGGGTTGGATGGGCGTCTCCTTATCGGTCTCGACAGATCAGGCCCGCTTTAGAATGTTTCAAGGCCAACGGAGTTGTGATACATCAATAGTAAGCCGGAATAGATCAGCGCGCGCGTTTCGCGCGCGAACAGGGCGAATGTGGCTGTCAACGAAATGGAATCATGGCCTGGTTCGGAGATAGGCCAGTGGAGGTGGCGGCGGGGGAGTGACTAAGGGCGCCGGCATGGGTGGTTGAAGCTTGGTCGTCGGAAATTCAATGCGAAACGCGTGCCTAGGAAGTGATTTGCTTCCAGCACTATTTGCGGTTTTGTGCCTCGTGTCTGATGAAAATAAAAAGGAGAAGTGCTCGGTGGAAACGTAGAGGGCCATGGCATGGGCGGCTGGTCCGGAAATGCAGCTTCACACCGCCGTTCGTCGGGCCCAGCCGTTGAACCAGCCGGCGGTTCTTGACCCGCGGAAGCCGCGCTCTCAGTCATTCTTGCCATATTGGAAACTCCAACCGCTGCCGGTCAAATTACGCGGTTCCGTCAAGAATAACCGAGCTTGTCTTACAGAATGGCAGAACTAACTTGGTGAGTTCACAATATCTTATGGCTGGGTAGGTCCTTTCACCACATGCTGCGCGTTCGAGTCTTGCATTGATGGCGTCGAGAAGCCTGTGGCAAGATTTAACATACATTTTTACCCGCTTTCATCTGGGTTCAGCTTACCCAGTGATTCTGTTCGCTATAAGAGCTCACAAGCCTCTGTGGTCTTTTGACGAGATGATATTGACTTTTTACTCCCGTGGTCCGAGTAAATCAATCCGACTGATTTCGTATGTTAAGAATGCACCGTTATGCAGAACAACCTCATAACCTTAGCAATGCTAATGCTACTTTAAGACGGCTTAGTGTGTATGTCAACAGTTGCAAAGTAGCGTTTGGTCGAGTTCGTCTGATACGAGCTCTCCATCTTGGAACGGTTCATCATTGGTTTCTCTGACTCCTTCCGATGTCTTGTACTAAGGGTGTTTTCAGTCAAGGAGTAGGTTACTTCGCCGTTATGTAGTATGAACAGTGTTATACACAACACCCCTTTTCTCATTAGATGGGTTGCTGTCACTGGGTATTTAGCTGTGGATTACTTTTCTGACAGAAGGATTGCATCCCTTGTGTCGGCGCCATCAAATCCTTCTCGTCGCGCGGAGACGTCCGTGGGACAATATACGAAATGGGCAACAGGGGATCTAATAACCGGCTGATCACGAACATGGGCGGAATATCTGCCTAGAGCGTTCGCACCAGTTTTGCTTACATAGAAAGCTGCTTTGGCTCCGGTGACGGTGGCATCCACCCGGTATTCGTGTTACGGGGAGCTGATTCAATTATTTCTAAAACCCCACGACATATAGTCTATCGATCTGTCGTCTCAGTCTAAAATTGTACCAAGTCCTTTACCTGAACTACCTGCCCAGTCCGCATGGCCTTGTTCGCTGCAATGCCCGTCAGGATTGACATCGCCCCATCTACATGCGATGCAGCGCGATGCAGCCTGTCCGATGCAGGAGTGCCAAACAAATCATTGAGTAGGACAGGATCCCCGCCGCCATGACCGCCTTCGCCCTCCATAATGGCGACCTCATAGGGTGGCGCGAACATCGGATGCACCGTGATCTTCGTGTGAGCCACGGCACCCTCCTGACTCTGGTCTCCGCCTGAGTTGACGTAGGATTGCTCGAGCACGTCCATCTCCAATCGGCCCTTGGTACCGTTGAAACAGACGCGGAACCCTTCCCAGGGACAGTAGGCGACGAGGCTGTAGGTCAGGATCGCACCAGATTGATAGCGGACCAAGACACCCATCGTGTCTTCGATGTTGATTCCGTCCCCGAACACACTTTGGTCTCGGTAATATCCATCTTCGTGTTCGGCATCCAGATACATGGCCTTGAGTTGAGGATGGTCTTCCATATGGAGCGCAAATGGGTCATTGGCTGCGGCAGGACTCCCATGAGCACGGGAATAGAAATTCGTCTCTCCGCGAATCTCGGCATTTTCTTTGCCATAGAACTGTAGATCACCTTGTGCAAAAACAGTCTGAGGATGACTGCCTAGCCAGAAGTTGACTAGATCGAAATGATGGGTCGATTTATGGACGAGAAGTCCCCCGCTGTTGCGTTTGTCGCGGTGCCAGCGGCGGAAGTAATCCGCCCCGTGCTGGGTGTTGAGGAGCCATTCAAAATGCACCGAGGTGATTTTTCCAATCACATCGTCCATCAACATCTCCCGGACTTTGGTATTATGCGGCGCATACCGATAATTGAAGGTAACGCGGAGTTGCCGATTCGTGGTTTTGACCGCGTCAAGGATCATCTGGCATTTGATCTCATCCACGGTCATCGGTTTTTCACTGAGAACGTTGCAACCCAGTTCCATGGCCCGGATAATATAGCGGTGATGCACGCGATCAATCGTCGTGATGATGACTGTGTCGGGCTTGGTTTCCTCAATCATTCGATCGAAGTCCACCGCTCGGAATGTCGGTAATGGTGATAAACCCAACTCTTGAACGCGGCTATTGGCGACATCCATCCGAGTTTGGTTGGTGTCACAAAATGCGACGAGTTCTGCTGTGTCTTTGAAGTCCGTAACGATCGCACTGTAGAAGAAGGCAGCGCGTCCCCCAGTGCCTACTACCGCATATCTGGTTGGGGCCATGTTGGCAGCAAATGGATTTAGAACGCGGTGAAGCACCTACCGGAGCTGAGAATGCTTTGACGAGCAGAAGAATGAAGTTCTCCTTGATCGATAAGTCCACACACTCTCGTGATTGCCCAACGTGGTCCTGCGCTTATTGTTCGGTACGCGGTACCCCTCACAAACCAAGCAAGGATCGACCCCGTGAAAGTCCTTCTCGAATTTTCCATCAATGGGAGGCTGTTGAGGATCTCCTGGCGTCTTAGCACCCCACGCAATCCGACATTTTCTACAGTATGGGGGCCGTTTGCCCCATGTGGCGCACTTCATCGGACCCCGCATCAAGCATACTGTCGGAGCTGCGGGTTAATGATAGCCGACGCTAATTCCTGGCTGGTGACGGGTCATATGAAAGAATGAGTGAGTTCGGAGGCTGGCAAGTGGCTGTCTCCCAAGGATCGTGCCCCTGTCCCCGGAAGAAACACGAGGATGGGCGGAAAGAATGGAATTTGCAATCCAAACTCCAAAATGTGATAACAATTTCAGTGAAAAGATGTAGCTACGTAACATACAATTAAGATACAAATCGGCTACCGAATATTCGATCTAGATTCAAGTGATTCCGTGGTCAAGCCGATTGAGTTTAGAACAAACGTATCGTCGACACTCTTATACCGCGGACAGTAACTATGTGATAAGTACGCGGATGCGAGAAACTTCCCGATGCTCGCAAGATTGGAAATTGCAGACACCCCGTAGCGAGCAGCTTCGTTGGTAGTAACCCACGGAGCCTCTACGCCGTCACAATAGTATTCGGGTGGAGAAGCTTGGATAAAACTCCAATCATGGTCATCTGTGTAACCGTCGGTATGGAAAAACTGATCCCATGCAGCGTGAGCGAGCTTCTCATTGTTTTGTTCGACTGCAGCAAAGGCCGTCAGGGTGGAATGGCTTTGTCTCCATGTCGCATGAGACGGGAACTCGAAGCCGAATTCTTCGCGTTGGACGTCCGGGCCACCATTATAGGCCCGGCAGTATGCAAGCCACACTTCCATGAATCGTCCAACGACATCCGGATGCTCTTCTCGAGCGAAATGGAAAAGCTCGGCGATTATTTCTGGGAAACCAAACAGCATGGACAGATGGGAGATGGCGTATTCAGGCGTCGGGGGAGGACACTCACGCACCTCGCCGGTGGTCGGGTTCAACAAGATTGCATTGTTTCCAATCCCATGCCGGAGTCCAGCAATCCCATCAAGGAATTGAATTAGAAGCGCTTTATACCGCAGCCATCCCTCTGAGCGTCGCTCCCAAGCTGTCAACCAAGCAGTGACAAGGGCGCCGCCGTCCAGCCCAATGTTTGTCATGGCAAATCCTGCAGGAATGCCAGCATGCTCTTGCACTTTGCGGTGTGAGTCCAACGCCAAAAGCGTATTTTGACAGTCTTGGAGTTCCGAGATCAGATCCCCGGTGCGCTCATCTCCCGTCAAGTAAAAGTAGATCCGTCGGTATAGCACGTTGGATATGCGAAGCTGCTTCGAGCTATCGCTGAAGTGTTGGACACCATGCCGAGTGCCGAAGCCTCTGAAGTTTCCAGAATGGTAGACGTCGACTTCGCCAGTATGTCTCGTCATTGCCTCGGCCATTTTGAAGACATCAGCTCTGCCCGTATGGAGAAAGTATAACCACAGCCACAGATCCGTCGACAGCTCAGAGTTGTCCCACGCATACCCGCCAACATCGTATCTCCATGCATGTCGATAGGGATCATAGGTATGCTGGACATCTCCGTGATCCCAAAAGCCGTACCAGCGGTGCTGCTCGACTTGTCTATGATAGAAATCGAAGAGCAGACTGAGCTGAGTCTCAATCTCCGCCTGTTTGGGGGTTGGAGCCAGGCCCAAGGTCTGGGAGTCGGGAGCCCAGCATCCATGGAACGCGCCCGAGGAGTGCATATGTACTCCGGTGGCAACTAAGCGAGGTGGGTCACGAACGAGCGAAGAAAATGCACTGAATTCTTCATTTGATGGAGTGTGAAGGAATGGCTTCATGAAGACCTGATTCGTTCTAGCGATGCCGTTGGCCGAGGCGAATCCAGGCTCGAAGTCTTCATACGTCACGTCGAGAGCCTGCAACTGCTTGTCATACGTATCAAGACCAAGACCGTCATGATATGGCGCCGTTTCCAAGGGCTCTGCTAAAGGGGAGTATAGCCATACGGTAATGGATCCCTCCTCCGAGGTCAATTCATCCAAGTCGATTTGGGTGGGATACCTCTCCCAAAAGTCGGACATACCGACTGCGAGACCCCCGTGCGAAGCTGTTCCCACGTATACAGTTCCATCTGCTCGTCCACCACCAGGGACTTTGACCCAGGAGCAGCCCGGCTTGGTTCGCTTCTTAACCGTGAAGCCATCGGAAGACAGCTGAGCGAGCGAGTAAGAATTCCACGAAGGAATGAATGAAAGCCCCTTGGAGAGATCCGTCCTGGCCCACTCGCTTGCTTTCAGGGTCACTGCTCGTCCTGCGGTTTGATCAATTCGATTTTGAATGGTTGGACCATGTCGTAATCCTGAGAGGCCCTTCACTTCTTCTTTGAGAATCCCGCCACCCGATCCTCCAAGGCGTACGTGGCGATTGTAAAGCTCAGTTTGTCCGAGTGGAATGGAGAACCGTAAACCCAAAGACGTCAGTGTTTTGTCTGGGTCCAGATCGTGAATGAATGAGTGGACGATTCTAATGGAAGAGGCGTGGGAATAAATATAGAACCGCACATCGAAGGGGAGAAGGGCGCTATCACTCCCAGCCTCCACGATCCCCGAAACTTTGATCAAAGCCCTCCTAGGAGTGGAATTTTCCACCTTCACCGCGTCAACGCGGGCTGTATGCTCCTCTCCGTTGATTGATGAAACGACCGTAGCTGCAGAGCACACTATCTGCCCATCGATGTCTAATTGCTGAAGTATTGAGGAGCTACCAGGTGCCGCAAACCATAGATGCAGTCCGCTTGGCGAAGTCACCGAGAGAGAATTCGCCTGTTGCTTTATCTCAATACCCGGAGAGAAGCCATGCGGGTGCGAGAGGCCTGTGACCGTGTACTGATCGGAATAGCCGATGTCAGCACTGACGGAATGAGCGGTCCATTTGAGAGAGCCATCTGCCCAGTAGGCGAGTTCACGCGAGTCAAGAGGCCATTGGGTGCCCTTCGCTTCGATGACAAAGGTCTGACCTGGCTGGTAGAGACCCCGCCGCCACGGTATTCCAAACGAGACGCCATCGGAGAGGATGTGGGGGCCATGACTCGTGAGCCAACGCAGATTGCTCGTCGACATGTTGGCTGCAAGGATAGGAGAGGAGGGGCTTGTGTTCCCTTTGTGACGCTCAGACCTCGCGATTAAGCAATGCGGGACAAGACAGCCAAGCCAGGAGAGTCAGAGGCTTGGGAGACTGGGCATCAACGGCCGCAAAATACCCAGCTGAACGATGGATAGTTATACGCGGTGTATCACGCAAGAGGAACGGATCCAGTGAAGGTATTGGTGGTCGAAAACACACCACGCCTAGGAGGCGCAATACTTCCCCGGCGTGATTGGACCTTGACTGGTGGTATACCGACGCACGGCCTGCGTCTACCAACTGAAAGCGACATGGCGAGTTGGGTCTCGGTATATTCAAGCCCGGATCGGCATGGGTATGTCCTAATTTCGGTTCATCGCTGACCCGCACCAACGGGCCAAAGCACGGAGGCTGCCCCGTTGCGGGTTTTACCCCAGGTTAGTATATCCCCACACACGGTCTGGGGATGCGGAGTAAGGGGGAGGCTGCGGGCGTGCAGCCAAGAACGCAGCCTACATAGAGAGCCACGCAGTCCGGAGGGTGGCTGGCGAAGGTGAGAGTCATCGATCCGTTTTGAAACCCCTTAGCAGATATTCTAGCCTGTCTACCGCGTTCCCTGGTCAATTGGAATCCGTTGAGATGGCTGAACATCAAGAAGATGTCACTAATACGACCACCACGGCGGTGCTTCGCGATAAAGATGAGGAGATGCTCGAACATCGAGACGATACGCTCAAGGGTGCCCAGAGGGCCACGGAGGACGAGCATGGAATGAGCTTGAGGGAGGGTATTCGGAAGTATCCCAAGGCTGTCTTCTGGTCGATCTGGTTCTCATCGGCTCTCATCATGGAGGGATTTGACCATGCTTTCGTCACTGGATTCTTCGCCTTCCCTGCGTTTCAAAAGCGATATGGCACCCTTCAGAGTGATGGAACATATCAAGTCCGCGCAGACCTACAGTCCGCCGTCGGCAATGGTGTCAATGCTGGAGAAATCGTTGGTCTCCTGCTGAACGGCTTCCTTGCCGATTGGATTGGATACCGCTGGGTCATGATCGGCTGTCTCTTTCTCATGATGGCGTTCATCTTTCTCCAATTCTTTGCGACCAGCATCTACATGTATCTCGGGGCTGAAATCCTACTCGGTCTCCCATGGGGTGTTTTCCAAACCCTGACAACGACCTATGCTGCCGAGGTCTGCCCAAACGTCCTGCGACCGTATCTTACCATGCTGGTGTCTCTTTGCTGGAGCATTGGATACCTGGTTGGAACCGGTGTGCTGCGTGCCTTCCTGTCCTCGGAGGGACAATGGGCGTATCGAATTCCATTTGCGCTGCAGTGGGCTCTACCCATCCCCCTTGCTATTGGGATTTTCCTGGCGCCCGAATCACCATGGTGGCTGATTCGCAAAGGCCGTAGCGAAGATGCTCGTAAAGTCCTCCACCGACTACGGGCCAAGGATAGCCCAGAGGATGAGATTGCCGACACGGTTGCCATGATGGTGCAGACGGTCCGAATCGAAAATGAGATGAAGTCTACTAGCAGCTACTGGGACTTGTTCAAGGGGGTCAATCTGCGTCGCACCGAGATCACCGTCCTCACCTATCTTATTCAAGAGCTGTGTGCTCCTCTGGTGGCCTATATCGTGTACTTCCTCGAGCAGGCTGGCCTTGATCCAAAGGCAGCTTTTGACTTTGGTATGGGAGAATACGCTCTCGCCATTGTTGGTGTCTTTGTTGCGTGGTATTTCGTGCCGCGAACGGGTCGGCGCACCTTACTGCTCGTCGGTACTGCTTTCATGACCATCACCACCTTTGTGATCGGCTTCTTGGGGATTCCGAATATCAAGACGCATCCAAACATTGGATATGGGATTGGCAGTATTCTTCTGATCGAATATTTTGTGTTCTTCATCACCATCGGTCCTATCATTTACACCATTGTCACCGAAATCCCGTCCAACTACCTTCGCAACAAAAGTGTGGTACTTGCTCGGGCCGTCTACAATGTTGGCGTTCTTGTCTACGGTCAACTCGTGCCACATATGATGCAGAAAGCATCCTGGAACTGGGGTGCGAAGTCCGGGTTCTTCTACGGAGCCATCATGGGCCTTGGTTTCATCTGGGCATGGTTCCGACTCCCGGAGACCAAAAATCGCACATTTGCAGAGATGGATATCCTGTTCAAGAATAAAGTGAAGGCGCGAGATTTTGAGAAGACGAAAGTGGATCTCGGCAGTGAGACTGTGTCTCAAGCCTAAGGATGCACTTGAACTTCCTCGATTGTAATTTGATAGCCAGTCCAGACAGTCATTAGTATCGTTCCCTTCGGAAGGAAAGCCAATCCCGTCGAAACTCATTACGACAAGTAAATATATTTAGATTAATCCGATGGCATGAGAAAAACGACCGTGGCACACGGTATACCATCCAGAGAACTGTCACCAAGTCTCGGAATACGGCCGCAAATCCAATTCATGCGTAAACGATGTCCGCGGCTGGGTGTGCAAAAACCAGTACGACTCCGCGATCTAGGGCATATGAGCACGGGAAATTCATTCTCACCCAGTTTCAGGCGACTCACCCAGTTGGGGTCAATTTTCGAATCCGGTAGATCCGGACTATAGCTTTTCGTCTTCTCGGTATCGATGATCCCATCAATGATCGCATGTGAGACGTGAACACCCTTAGGACCGAATTCGCGTGCCAGGGATTGGGACATAGCACGGATGCCAAATTTGCTCATGGCGAACCCAGAAAGCCCAGACCCTCCTTTAAGCGCGGCGGTGGCACCTAAAGCAGACAATTAAAAGCGCACCGACAATAGAGGAGATGCGACCTACCCGTAAATATCAGGGTGGGTGGATATTGCGCGTCGGTTCCACTCAACATCAAAGGAAGGGTGGCCTGTGCAAAGTTGAAGGCGCCCTTGACGGTCGGTTCCAGGGCCCCGAGAAACTCCTCGGCGCTTTGCTCCAAGAAGGGTTTCCGTGTAAATTTGCCGGCCACGTTGTAGATCGCCGCCGCAATGCTCAGATCCGGCCCAAATTGCGTCTTGATTCGATCCATGGCCGAAGTCATACCCGAGGTGCTAGTCACATCAGTGGGTATGCCAATTGCAGCACCACCCGTCTGCGTGATGTCCTTCGCCAATGGATCCAGGGACTCTTGCGATCGAGCTAACAGGACTACCGGGTACGCCTGCGCAAACCGACGGGCAACGGCACTCCCGGTGCCGGGTCCAACACCCGCGATGACTGCAATGGATCTCGGCATGCTGAACTCGTGCGATGAGTGACACTGCACTGATTTGCTCTGGTGCGGCAGCGGTCACCGATTAATATGTTGAATAGTAAGATGACATCATCAGTCCAGCCACCAGAATGTTGAGCCTGTGCGTACAGGGTTTCAATCCCCAACCCTACCACGATATCAGCAGAGGATCAGCAGGGAGATAAAGGTGCGGAGGCTCGGAGCCCTGAGCCACGATCTTTGAGTGGAACAAGGAACAAGGTCCGTATGGGGTCCAGCACACGAGATCGGTCTAATGGAATGCCGAGATACACGATCTCGGAGGTCGGTCACACCCACTATTTCGCAAATTCTAATTATATATTTATAATTACTATAGATAATAGTGTTATATTAAATAATAATATATTACTAATCACTCTTATCACTCTTAAAAAAGCTATTTCATCTCTTAAGCTTCCCTGGGATAGTGTTTGGTCGGTAGGACTGTCGCGATGGGGGTAAATTGAAAGTAGAGAATCGATAATTGTAAGGAAAGACATACTGTAGTAAAGAACGATTCCTGCGTTACAGAGCGGTGCCTAGGGCGGTCTAGAATATGTATACTATGTGCATTTTCCCAGTGGCCGCTATTGTCCGCTGTAGGAGTGCCAATGCTTGGATGTAGAACGCTTAACATTTTGTCTTAAATACACACAATGTTGTCACTCAACATATGCCTTTGTCACCTGATTTAGCTCTGATCGAAATTGCTCATCGCTGGTGTTCTTTCCGCGCCCCTCAGGAACCAAGGTGAGAATTCAAGGCCGAGAATACCTTCACAAAGGGGGACGTCCACCAGCCATGAGATCCGCCATCAGTCACTGATACGCCGGTTTCCTACCAAATGGAATGTCATCGCGCTTTGTCAGGCGCCTAAAATCATAGTCCCCGCCTTTCTTAGCCGCTTCAAGAGCCAGATAACCAGGTGCATAGAATTCAATATCCTTTTCAAACTGTTCACGGTCGCAGTATATCGTTTGTGGAGCGAGCGGGCCGTATGGTTCAGCCACAGATACTAGGATATCCACAATAGGTAGATCTATATCTATTCTGTTTGCACCACTCTGTTAGTATATAATAGAAATATATAGTAAGATAAAAAGGGGGCGAAACGCACAGCTGGTTCTGATATCCGTGACCACCTAGTCTCTTACGTATCTCTTGTACATCTGCCCTCCCAAGGAAAAAGAGATCATTCGCGAAATGATACATATTGAAAGGGCGTAGGGGAACTGAGTCCTTGATAGTCCCATCACTATTGAATTCGACGACCGCGAAACGACCGGTTTTCAAACCCTCCTCATTAACTATCATAAAGTATCGTTCATAAGGACGATAGAGTACCGTTCTAGTGCGGGTTATCTGAGTAGTTAGAAAGTTGGCATTCTCAAGACAATACCAGGGAAGAAAATCTTCAATAGAACAGGTACTTGTAGTTTCTAGGTTTAGAATCGCCGCCGTAGGGATAATATCATCGAAAGGGAGACAGTGCCCCGATTCAATATCGTAACAGTAAAATAGAATCGCGAGCTTGACCTATCGCGCCCGGTTTACGGTTATATCAATTGGTGTAATAGAAATAATATGTCTTGTTTCACAAGGCTGTTCAGTATTGGACACGTATTCTAAGGCCTCAGGGGGGTAGTCAAGCTTATTGCCTAAGGCGCGGTCTTGGAACGACTATAATAGTGTCAATTTCGGATCAATAAATAATAGGGTTAGCCTAACATCACGAAAATCTTGCGCCTCGGAAGCCCATTTTTGAACTAGGGCTCGGCGCTGGCGTAGTTCGTACTCCTTATCGTCGTCGCTAATATTAGCCCGGTCGCGTGGAACCCAGCTTTCTTGGACGAAAAGTAGCCAGCCTTTGACTTCTTCCCTGAGCTCGTCTTGAGATAGATCTGTTTTAGGATGATGCTTGATCTCGTGGGAATACCCCCCGGCCAGTGGATTGTTGACATAAGGCTATTTGACTGTTGGGTCTTCGATATCGTGGAAAAGGCAGTTTGGAGAAAATAGGAGTGGTTATATAGGTTTAGTGGCTTATTTACACAACCCGTAAGCGAGTAGGTTGGTGGGGCTGACCGATTAAGTCGGTGGAGTACGCGATGTTATCAAGGACTCAGTCAGCTTAAACAACATACAACCGTATATTATGATCAGATTATGTAGCTCAAGCCGAGAGAGTGAGACTAGCTTCTCGGCTATACTGATTGAAGTCATCTGTTGATCTAAATCTACAAATGCAAATCACTCTTGGTTTCCCAAAACGATCAAGCAGAAAACAAGTACGACTCAAGGATTAGAGTTCCACAATCTCACTTTAACGAAAACTGAGGAGAGAAGAATTGGTTTTAACCTGCCCATTTAAAACGCGAGATCGGTTTGATGGAATGCCGAGATGACACACCATCTCGGACGGCCACGCCCCACTTTTTCGAATACGGATATCAACAACCCGTCGGAGGCCAACGGGCGCCACAAGCTCCGCAACTTTCCCTAAAGAAGACCCCGACCAAGGAGGTATCTGCCATCTGGAATAGACAAGGGTCAGTACAAATTGAGCATCTGTGGCAAGCAGCACGTTCATTCTCGGATGAGACTGCTTTGGGAGGTCTACTTTGCACGGTTTTCTGCTCTCCGATAATCATCCCCTGGCTTTCAATCCCTCCCCTCAATTCCACGATGCAAACACCACGGCTGGAACTGGTTCGTCTGGCTGAGCATCATGCACCAGGCTACCACGCAATTTGGTCGGACCCAATTGCAACGCGATGGAGCCCCCATGGCTGTTGCACCACATTTGAGGACAGCAAGAAGTGGATGTCCGAACTACTCCTCGATGTCAATCCCCGAGGAGAAAATTATGCCGTTTTACTTCGGTCTGATATCAACCTAAGCGACGTCCCAACACCCGGTTCCGAAGGTGTGACGGTGGGCTCGCCCGGTGGCTTTCTTGGATGGGTCGGAACGTGGAAGTCAGAACCAATCCCGGAAGTTGGTTTCATTTTCCATCGATCGGCCTGGGGCCTGGGCTTTGCCACGGAGGCGCTGAATGCCTTCGTTCAGTTATACTGGCAATCCAAACCACAATTCAATTCTGTTGAGGCCTACTGCGACTCAAAGAATGGAGCATCCGTCAATGTTTTACGAAAATGTGGCTTTGAACTGGTTGAATCGATCCCGGGAGATTATGTTCTATCCTGGATGGAGCCATCTCTCCGGAGTAGCCTTCGATTCCGAGCAATCAAGCCTGATACAGAATCCCGCATTCTAACCTGATGCAATTTCTGGGGCAGATACGTGAGACCAAGGTAGAGCGGATCTCCTGAAAAGTTTCTTCAATGTGCGAAGAGAGATGCTTGACTGACGGAAACGGAACCAGCATTGTCCTGTTGCTTACTGACTGAGCGGCCACTTTGTTCTATTGTCCATCTATGTGCCCCGAACCTACAGCAAGGTTTACCATCCTCACTGTCCTGGATCACATCCTCTTTCCATTATCATCCCTGAGAAGATCTTTCCGCCCCTATAGAAAGAGCCAATTCAGGAGCTGCCATGTCCATCACACAAAGTGCGATGAACCAAGACTAATCCGCGGTGGATCTGTCTGCAATCATTTGCTTTGTTCCTGCTCCAGTGGGAGGGAGAATCGTCACATCGTCTCCCACGGGACCCGACCGGCTGCCTGCCACGCAGATCCATCACCGTCGTGGCTTGACGCTGCTTGACCAGGCTATAAACTATCTCTCTTTGGCGCCGGCTGCAACGGGGATGGGAGATTGGATGAGCAAAAACTGCTTCATCCCATGAATGTAATAGCGTCATTTAAGTTTCATAGTTTTGCGAACTCCACCTCATAGGTTCACACCAGTCACTGGGCTGATGTGGTTTAAACGTTTTCTCCATTGTGTCGAGACTTATCAATAACTGAAATCAGCATTCAAAGGCACCAAGATTGATCTCGCCATTGTAAATTCATAGGCCGAGGTATAGGTGAGTGGGGTTTACGCGAATCCAAGCCAGGGTCCAGCCCACAGCGGGGCGGTCGCGGGGAAATGGTTGGCCAGCTTGACGATATACAACTTCCCCCCTTCCCCAGGATCGGGGCATGTTACACGCCTTATTAGAGCCAACTCTCCTACCCCAACTCATAGTATCGACAGTACTCAGAGCTCGATCATATCCAGAACAATCACGAATTTTCACCATGACTCAACCCACCAACAAAAGGGCTCGCTATGAAGAGGACGTGATGGAAGACGGTAGCTTACCCTCCGCTGCTGAAGGTTTCTTTGAAGCCCTGGGTAGGTCAACAGTGCCCTGAATCCCAAATGGGTTGCTAATTTCACTTGGAAGCGGAGGCCGGCGTTACACATTGCTTTGTCAATCTGTAAGTTATCTCTTCATGGAGGGCGGGGAGTGGCCTACCTGACTCGGTCCACAGGGGAAGCGACCATCCTGCCATGCTGGAGGCCATGATCAAAGCGAAGCAAGGTCAGTTCCCAAACACCAGCGACGATGAGGCGTCTCAGTGACCAGTTCTATAGAAATGTCGACGAAATTTCCCAATATCATCACTTGCCCTTCTGAATTGGTCGCGCTGTCTGCCGCCCTTGGTTACGCCCAGGTCTCGGGCCTTCCGGTATGATCATCCGTGAAGCTCGGAAAAGTTCCTTCGCCTAAGTGATAGCTAGCAATGTGTTCTTGTGCATGTCGATTGTGGTACTTTGGCATTGGGCCAATCCATCCATAATGCATCGGTCGGACGAGTGCCGGTTCTGTGCTTTGCGGGTCTCAGCCCCTTCACCCAAAGAGGGGAATTGAAAGGCTCAAGAACAGAGTATGATCACGAATGAAATGTGGTGCAGACAGGCTAATCATCTTATAGGTTCATTCATTGGCTGCAAGATGTACCGGACCAAGCAGCAATTCTCCGTCAATATTGCAGGTACTCTGGGGAAATCAAGACAGGCCGCAACATCAAGGAGATGGTAAACCGAGCCTTGCAGTTCTCCCTGTCTGATCCCAAGGGTCCGACGTATCTGATGGCTGCACGAGAGGTTCTGGAAGAGGTAATTGTTTGCGTCTTGTTTGCGTCTTCCAGTTCGCAAGAAAGCTGGCTCATATCGCAATCCTACAGAAAGTCGAGCGGAAGTTTCTGGAGGAAGAAACCCTTACGCCTATCCTCCCTAGTGCTCTGCCGGAGTCAGGTAAAAACCTCCTCTGCAAATGCAAGGTCTGGGCTAACGTGAACAGAGGTTGAGTTAATTGCCACCACCCTCTTGAGTGCGAAGCGCCCACTGGTGATAACGGGTTACCTAGGCCGAAATCGCAACGCACCTCCTCTGTTGGAAGAGCTGTGTGACAAGCTCCCAATTGGCGTTGTGGAGATGGTTGGGTCCGACCTATGCATTCGAAGTGACCATGAAGCCTATTTGGGCGTGACTGTTACGACCCATCCAGAAGTTCTGGAAGCCGATGTAATTCTGATTTTGGATTGCGACGTGCCCTGGATTCCAATCGCAGGCAAACCCAAGAAAGGCAAGAACTGCCCCCCAATCCCTGAACACTCTCTCATCAATCCTAGGAACCAAAATATTCCATCTTGACGTCGATCCGCTAAAGGAGCAAATGCGCCGTAGGTTATGCTGACCGTCTGCTAAGTGCAAGGCTAACGAGTGGGGACTAGTGTTCTCTATCAACGTTATGCGAAGGATGAAAGTCAACTGCGAACTTGCACTGAAGCAGTTGAATACCTTCATAGACAAGCAGAATATCAGCAAAGCAAACTATGCGGCAGAATTCAGGGCTCGCGCAACCCGCTATGCCAAATGGCGGGAGGAGCTCCGTCATTTGCAGTCGCCGCAGGAGGACGGTGTTATCAGTGTCCCATATCTGACGTCTCGTCTGCGACAACACGTTCCCGAAAACACAACCTTTGTCCTAGAGGCAGTAACCAACGCTGGGCCACTGATTCATCATCTTAATTTGGTGAAGGTATGTTGTCGACCCGAACTCACAATTATGACGTGTCTAACAGCATGTCATAGCCTGGAAGCCTCGTCGCCAGTGGCGCTGGGGGCCTGGGCTGGGGCGGTGGTGCCACTTTGGGAGTGAAATTGGCCAAGCCCAATTCCTTTGTCTGCGGAATGTGAGTGCAGTCTACCGGCAGGAGGTCAGGGATACTAATAAAAGGCCAGAGTGGGTGATGGGACATATCTTTTCTCGCAGATGGAGAGCGTCTATTGGATCGCTAGGCGCTACGATGTCCCTTTCCTTCTAATCGTCTTAAACAATGGGGGGTGGAACGCACCCAAGGTGTCTGCTCTCTTGGTTCATAAAGATGGGCTATCGTCAAAGTCTAACAGCAGAGGTTCGTCAAATTTTCTTCTTCCACGTTTGATTGCGGCGTCTCTCCCAGTGACGGCTGACATTTCTTAATCAGATCTGAATATTTCCTTTGAGCCGTCTCCTGATTATCCAGGGATTGCCACGGCTGCTGGTAATGCATGGGGAGGTACTATTAAGACGCAAAACGAATTGGACCAAGCCATAGCGGAGGGAACCAAAGTGGTCCAAAGCGGCAGATGCGCTGTCATCGAAGTCGCGTTAGTGATAAGAACCTTCTATGTTTGCGGGAAGAACAAGAAAACTAACTTCGACAGTGTTCCATCGATGTGGAAAGAAACCTGAAAATTGAAATATGTAGGTAGGTCTCTAGTTTTAATGTCCTTACAAGGAATAGAAATACGTCTTGTATGGTAAAAAATAGCGTCCAGGTTCCCAAGATCTAGAACTCCGCGCCTAAGGAAGCATTGCAAATATATGTGCCATTTGTACACTATCGTCACATCAGTGAGTTACCTCGACGCCGTCCCAATGCTAGTCCCTAATGCTAAGTCCCCAATGAACCACATAAGAACATAAGCCATCCAGCCGCCCCAGTATTCAAACATGATAGGGTAAAAGATTAAATACAAAAAATAGAAATGCAAGGGGGCGAAAGATAATAGAAGGAAAAGTAGCGAGTGAGAGGGTGAGTAGAGCTAATGCAGGCTATGCGCGGGCTGAAGGTCGAGGTTTCCAAGAGCGGTACATGCCAACTTGAGGTTGATGTTTCCCGTTTCCGGTGGAGGATGATCGAGGAGGAGTTCGGAAATCAGGATACAAGCCAGATTCCATGTCCATGAGGACTGCGCGTTGGGGCTCCGCAGACACCCAGCTAGTGGACTTACTTCTGGTTGTGGAAGCAGAAGAGCGCGATGCAGCGGCCTTGCCACCGCTTGCAGCTTGGGTTTTCTCCTTGATGATCTCGCGCAGCTCCTTATCATCCTTTGTGATTTGGGCTTTGATGAATGCGGGATCATTTGAGGCCTGCAGGGTGGACATGACCGACTCTCGAGGGGTATAGCCATACTTCTCGGGATGGGGAGAGGAGGCGGGAATGATAGAAGGGTCCAAGAATGCCTCCTGGTTCTTTTCCAACAGCTGTGCGATATCCAAGGTCTCGCCGTGGGGGATTTTATGCGGGTGCGAAGGAGTGATGCAGTCCATGTCAACCTCTTTCCGCAACACGTGGTCAATATCGACAGCGGAGAAGTATGCACAGGACTGAGGGAGGTCATCAATGCCGACTTGCTGCGAGAAGATCGCGCGCGTCCAAACGTTGGCGATCTGAAGTGCCAGAGCTGCGCGGTACTTGTCTTCATCCTTCACCAGGTAGCGAATCTCATCATGAACAGTAATGGACAGCCGAGCTTGAATGTTGAACCGCCGAATGAGATAATCCATCGCCACAATGAGAAGGTGAAGATAGTCAACACCCGACGATTGAATGGCCCAATTAATCCGAGAGGTCATGAAACTACCCTTGTTGATAAAGCGGCGCATAAGTGCTTCGGTGATTCCAGCGCCTAGAGCAGGGGTTCTTGGCCTTTCCTGCTCTGCAAACTCTTCCAGCTTGTTGAACACAAATGACTCTGTGCCGCCACGCCAAAAAGGTGTGTCGCTCAAAATACGGCGAGTCGTCCGGGTGCCTTTAGTTTGCTTGTACAGGTTGGCTGCCGTCTCCTGAGTTTGCCTCTCAGTCAGAGAAGGGTTGAATTGGCGAAGCAGAGTCGCAGCAAACTTGACGCCGGCTCCATAGATGCGACCATAGTTGAACACCTTGGCGTCATTGCGCGAGATACCAAGAATTGAAGCACTGCGGGAATGCAAGTCGGTTCCAGCAGCCTTGGAACCTTCCAAGGTCATGAAACCGATTGCGTTACCCCCATGCAGCTGAAACGAGGCATCGCCAACAAGACTGGCAATCCACAGCTCCTGAGAGTCAACATCCGCACCAACAAAAACATGGCCTGGAGGCGCCTTGATCATGGCCTTCAGCTCAGATCCAACGCGATTTGACTTCGCATTGCTGGCAGTGAGCCAGGTATTCTCCACGGCACGACGAGTGATGGTACCCATGGGAATTACCTGGGGCAGGATGAACCCTATCCGATTTTCGGCCTGGGCTTGTGTGGAACCACTCTTCCGTACCTGATCCTCATAAACCACGATCTGGCCTTTGATCCGGTCTCTGGCACTAATCCAATATGAGCAGGAGGCATTCATGTTCAAGGCCTCTTTGGCAAGCTCAAATTGAGAGGACAAGATTCCACGCTCGAAGTACTGCATGTAACCCTTGCCTAACGGATTCGTGCTGCGGGCCTGCGGGCCATCTTTGTGAGGGATCTTGAAGTATGAGTTCTTTCGATCGTCACGTAGCTGCAGATTCTGTTCCTCCGCCATGTCGCACACAACGACCGGTTGGTTTTCGTATTTCTTGACTTGATCACGGGGAACTCGGAAAGTCCAGCCATACTTGTCAGACCAGACAAGAGGGTAACCATCCCAAGACAGCTTGAGCAGGATCGGAGCGATTCTCGTCCGAACGGTAAGATTGATTTCCGCATTGCTCGAAGGGAAAAGATCCTTGTACCACTTAGGCATTCCCGGCTTCTTTTGCCTTGCAGCCGGGCGAGGAGGGTCGCCTTTCTTCTTTCCTTTAACCATTTTGATCTCTTGACCGGACCAGTCCAGCTGCCGTAGCCAGGGATCGTTCGTGTAGATATCAGCTTGATCTTTCACTTTCAGGGCTTCGTTGCATAATTCAAGCATTTTCCGTTGGACACCATCAAGTTGTTTGTGGTATGTTTCCTCAGCTTTGGTGAGGTATTCCTGCCAGGTTTGGTTGACAGGTAGGATGACGGAAGACAAGTGTCGAAGAGCCCCGAAACTGACAGGATGAGGGCAGGTCTCCAGGAAATTAGGGAAAACTTTCCTGTAGACACGGTGGGTAATCGCAACGTCGGCAGCACAGTAGTCGAGAAGTTCGTCCAGCTTCGTGAGAAGTGTTTCTCGGTCAAGCTCACCAAAGAAGTCTCTTTGAGCCTTGTCAATGGTCACGTCACAGTGGAATTTGGCAACTTCTCGCAGAGAGTTCACCGAGCTTCTACCCACCCACAGTTCTTCCTCCTCTTCTCTCAGCATGTTGTTCTCGAGCAACGCAGCCAGTTCCATCGAGTTATGCTCACTCGCAATCTTATCTCTCAGATCTTTGTTTTTCTTGTGGCGCATCCAAGTTGGCCTCTGCTGGGAGCACATGCCGTTTACCGCAACATGGAGAGACATTGTGTCGAGGAAGAAGTTGCGAGTCTGCTGCATATCATACTCTTCTAGAACCCGGGCACGGTCGTAACCAATATTATGGCCAACCACGATACGTGACTGCGAAGGATCTCCCAAAGGCACCAAGTGCGTCTTTTCTTGCGATTCCCCCAACAGCCAAGGAGATAACCATGCATACCATGCTGTCGGACTCACTGCGCAAGCCATGACCGCAAAAGGATTATCCTTATACATAACCTCCGTATCAAAGGTCAGCATTTCCTCATTGGGGGCATCCACAGGCTCCGATGAGCCGTCTCCATTGTATTTGGTCCATCCACTGCGTTTCACCCATTTTCGCGGTTTTGTCGGACAGCTGATGGCGGCAAACGTTTTCGCATTCGACAAGTATGGTTCGGATGCATCCATTCCGAGCTTGTAAAAATGCTCATCAAGCGTCTGACCTTGAAGGGGTGGTAAATCAAATGCGATCGGGTCTGCTCCGGTCTGGGATTTGCCAAGGAGATCGTGTCGCGCTAGGTGGTCTTTAGAGAGAGCGACAAGATCCGGATCAGGGACTCGGCCCTTGTTTGGGAACACCTGAGGATGAACATAGTCGCTGAGTTGCTGGACACCGATTTCATTAAATCTAGGCGAAGCGGGAACTGCGCTTGGTCAGTCTTCAATCCACAGAGTCACCTAGAATTGGGCTTGCGAGTGCACAATAGTCAAGAACGTACCTGACAGAGAGCGTTTGAGCGGAAACTCATCGTTAATAGGTGTTGAATAGAGTCTTGCTCGTCCTTGCACAGGTAATTTCCATGGCTTTGAGCGGACAAGCAGTGCTGGGCGCAATCGCAGGCGCGCCGTCGACCTCACGACACCCCTGGAATAAGGAGCGCAAGGGTGACTCCAAGATAACATCGTACAGTGGCCGATCCTGCGCGATTCATGTCATGGTAGCTTACCCGACTGCAGAGTGGCGGGAGCTGCGATTTCACAATCGGGTGATATGACGGTGACGGGGGAGGATCGCTAGAGCAATTTCCATATCACTGCCTATCGCGATATCGAGCGTCATGCGGGAGGCGGAAGAAATGTGCTGCCGATCAGGCTGACCGCCTGTGCTTCAGGTACGTCCTTATCGCCAATCGATAACAGCGTTCATTTCCTGCCGTTTTGCCATCCGGCTTCTTGAACCTTCCTCCACTTCTCATTCCTTTGTTTTAGGTCTTCTTTTTGATCCTTCGGATGCTTTTGTTCTGTTTATAAAGTCGGTTTTATTGCCTATGGGGCTTTCAAGCCAACTTAGAAGACGTCCCATGTTTATCATAGCAGCTATCGAACCCCGCTAGGTGCCATTACTCGATGGGACGGCCTTCATCGACCATTCATCTTTACTGCCTTGAAATATCTATTTAACATGAGTCGACGGGTTTCAGTCGTTGACCTCACTTCGGTGGCGGTACAACCATTCTCTGAGCGTTCCCGGCAACTGTCATCAACGCGATCGATTTCCTCCGGCCCCTCTTCCAGCTCCCCAGATCCAGAGACAATGGCCCGTGGCACAAAACGAAAACGCGGGAATGACGAACATGGCGCGCAAAATCCAGCGTCGTCAAATGATTCACAAGACCCTGTCGAGTCTATTGACCTGACCGAAGTCGAAGGCTCGCTGGCACTTGCTAAAGCACTAGCAAAGCAACGGGAAGATGCCGTCAAGGCACAATCAACCGCGGAGGAAGGCAAAGGCAGTTCGATGCTAGCTGCGTACCAGTGCCCAGTCTGCATGGACACCCCTGAGGATGCTACGAGCACGTCATGCGGTAGGTCCCAATCTTGCCATACCTTTCTTTTCTAGCCGCCCGATTTTCTAACATGATGTCTTTCGATTCGCAGGCCACCTTTTCTGCCACAAGTGTATTGTCCAATACCTCCAATCAATCGACGATCAGCGATTTGATCAAGGAAAGCCAGCCAAGGGCACATGTCCCGTGTGCCGAAAGAATCTGACCCGCAACGAATCGAGCGGGCCTCGACGAAGCCTCATACCGTTAAAGCTCAAGTTGACCACAAAGAAGAGGAGTCTAGTGCCACCAACGGAAGCATAATAGTCTTAAATACTCTTCTTTGAGCATAGTCGGATGGAGTATAGACTAAGATGGCGTTTTTACAGCATACGGAGTCAATTGTTTTAGCGCTTTACGAATCGGATGACTTCAGCCTGTTCTGAATGACATACATACATCTGGACCAGGTACATCCTGGCATTTGGCATACTTTTGGGTACTATTATTCATTCAAATTTCATTGAGTTTTTTGGATTAGTACTGTACAGTGTCTGCGCTTCTTTCTGTCCCTATTTATCTATCCCGCCGGCCCGGGTCTAGGGTATTTCTCCTACCCAAACCATTCCCCCCGCCCCCACGCACCATTGCATCTCCCTTCTTCCCTAGTACTACCTCGAGCGCTTGGATGAGGGCGTTCGGGTCATATCGCATGCCCACGCAAACTTCCTTCCCATCCTCCATGGCTGTGATTTTACGCCCGTACAAGCGCAGGGTCTCAATGCCCATCTCTGCTAGCCTCTCCCGGTCCACCTGGGGCGTCCCTGGCCCATCCAGGTGCAATATGTGAGTCACATAAGCCGTATATGGCAGCGGGTCACATAGTCGGATGGTATCTGGAGAGGAGGGTGACTGTTCCTGGCGCCGAGGGACTCTGTGTGGATGTCGTCCGCGGCTTTCCTCACAAGCACGCACAATCGCCTCGACAAAATCGGACGCCAGGAAGGGCGCAGATGGAGGACCAGTCTCACGATCCAAAGAGCCATTCAATATGAGGATCTTATGGCGAGCTGGACTGGTCATGATACTTTTGCCAACTCCCCGAAGAATGATTGCCGGGATGATAGATGTGTACAGAGAGCCAATGCTGTAGATAATAGCCTGGGCATCACTCAGCGCCTCCAGAACGCGAGGGTTCGCGGGTGGTCGGATCTCCTGGCCATAGGGATTGATATACCAGATGCGGCTGATTCGGCAGGGCAAGTCTTCATTTTCTGTTTTGTTGAATGAGATGTTCTTGTTCCGTAAGGTGGCAAGAGAACCGGGGAGATGGTCCTCTTCATATGACACGGTATCGGATACATCCGAAGCCGTATCCTCCAAGTCATCTCCGTCGGCAAGAAGCAGGCTAGGTCGTCTAGGCCTATTCCCTCGATTCCGCTGGAGGGCTGTTGCTTCGCTAGGATGGGAGATACTGTTCTGACCAACAATAACGGTTCCATCGGCGAGGGTGGCGGAGATATGATGAGAGAAGTTGGAATTGATCGCCGGGATAACACGGACAACATCGGATTGCACGCCACAGATACTGCCCAGGAGATAAATAGCACTCTCAAAGCTGCCGCTGAAGAGCCGTGCTCCCGTTAGAAACAGATTTCCCACACTGGCAGAGGTGAAGTCGAAGGTAGACGACGGTGGCCGAGCCCGCTTCAGGATTTCCAGATTCAGCATATTGAAGAATGAACGGATCAATTCTTTCTTCGCTGGGGGAATCGATATCCAAAGGCTTGACGTGCCGTCTACGATAGAAAGCCATTCTTGCGACGCGGCCTCTGCTTTGGCAGGCAGGCGGTGATTGAAGAGGGTCTTGATCGCCATGCGCTCCGAGTTAACAGGGGAATCAGGAATCAGTCGGACAAGTCGACCTGGGATTATAGTCAGCCAAGTAACCCCTCACTGGACGACGTTGAGGTGCCTACTTCGAACATCGCCGATTCCAGGACCCCCGAATATCCGGATCAGCTCCGACGATGAGCCACCATTGTCGCTAATTGGGATGATATAGCTGAGCAGGCAGTTTTTGCTGTCTCGCACGGCATCGAATACATCAACCAGGTTGTTCGCAGCACTTCCTCCCGAAATGACGACAATCCCTCGATTGGGTGAGTCGGTCATGGCGAGGATCGCAGGTATCGACAAATCGAGCTGACTCAGGTAGGTGCAGTTTGCCTAGAGAAACACACGAAAATAGACGTGGTTAAATCCCGGACGGCTGAAAGAGTCTCCGTTGATGTTTGATGGACCACCTGTTAGTTATGTTCGGCGCCGACCCTGCGGCGACACCTGAACTCCGGAAACGCCACGAATGCCAAAAAAACTACCGCCGGAGCTTTGACGCCTCCGGAGCAGGCAACTAAGATTGCTGGTTCATAAGAGATAACACCTCGGGGGCGATTACGGAGCGGCGAATGATCCGACGAATATTTCGAGACATCAAAGAGGCGCAGCATACGCATTGGCCCGACCGGCCTGCTGGCGAGGCGGAAAGGACCGCCTACTCCATGACCTCCAAGGGCCGGCACTAGAGTTTACACAACACTTTCTGGTCAAATTATCCACAGAAGCAGCTCGTGTCAAGCTATATACAAGCGATGGCCCTCTCTCTCTCTCTCTCTCTCTCCCCGTGACACATGGGCCAGTTCGATATTGCACTGGCAAATTCTGGGTTTGCGAGCTGGCTTTCATATGCAATTGGGATGCTTTTGTAGACACTTTGGCCAGGGAGTGTCAGTCGAAAGATACAAGCTTGTAAATCCAATCAAACACTTCATATCCGACATCCTCAAGTGAGCAGTAGTATTTATTCGGGCACTCTCGGTACTCATTTGGGTTCTCCAAATCGACATGCAGGGTTTAGATGCAATATATATACGCTAGAAACGAACACAAAATCTCATCAAGCGTAAGACGCCCACCCTGGACATAAGTTAGCGACAGCTGTATCCATACATTGTAGCGAAGACATACCGCAATAAAGTACAGCGAGGTTTTTCTCATCGGTTGCTTGTTGGATCAGCTCGTTGACCGTGGCAGTGACACTTAAGGTTTTGCTCAATTTCTTTGCCACCACGGTCAAAGCTCGATCCGCCTCACTCGGTTCATTCGTCGAAGACTTGTCCTTTGCGCCAGGTAAAAGAGGCGGACCATCGCCGGTCTCCTGATTGTCCTGCATTTTTCTCATTCGCAGTGGGGACACCGTCCAACTGTACAGTGGATCGTATCGGAGCACGTCAAGGATAGTCATGATGCTGTATGACTCCTGTCGAAGTGCCTCTAAGGTGAATTCGCAGCAGCGCCGAAAGACTCCCTCTGTTTTTGTGATGCCGAATCCGTCCACCAAGTCTCGAGTCAGCCGGAAGGGTACCACTTCGGGGACCGGCAGAATGCGTCCCTGTTCAAATGCCACACCCAGATCAATATGCACAACCTCTCCTGTCTTTTCATCCAGTAGGATATTATGTCCATGTCGATCGCCGAGCCCAAGCACATGGCCCAGAATTGAGATGGCGGCAGTGCTCCTAGTATAGGCCAGTCGCTTGCTAAACCAGTCGTCGGGATTGTTAAACTTCTCCATGAAGAAGTATTTCATCACAGGATGGAAGTGCTCCGTCACTTGACGGTAGGTCCTAACTCTTTGCTCGAAGGACCTGGTCTGCACGTCGGCGATATGTTTCCGACAGGCGCTGGGTTTCATGTCCTTGGGGAAGAACCGCTGGTGTGCGGGCATCAGATAGTCGTGCAGAGGAATAGTGTTAGGCACAAACTCGATTATTCCAGCGTTGAGCGTTAGTGGAAGTACTTTGTAAGTTCGAATTCCCAGGTTCCGCTGGCGAGTCGGCTGGTGATCTTTGAGAAGACTGCTGACTTGCTCGAATACCTGTTCCATGATCGCGTCTTGACGCAAGTCGTCATTCCCTCCTTTGTACTGAGGAATTATTAGCAGAGCTGGTGGTAAGAGGGTAGCAGGTAACTTGCCAATTGCTTGTATCGGACACCGTTAGTGGCAACGGCAGTCACAATCTTGGGGGCGCTGACACCCGACGCAAGCGTGAATTCAGAACTGAACCTGGCAATCGATGGAACATCGCTGTAGTCAAGGTCCGCTCGGAGCTCAATTTTCATGGTCGGCGGTGGCAGCTTGTATGTTTCGGCATCCTTGGCCAGGCGATCTCCCGTGGGCAGTTTCTTCAGGGGGATCTTCGCACCTGTCTTGAATTTACTGTCTGGCTTGTCGATTGCGAAACGTACGTAAGTGATGTTCATATTGTGTATCGAGATCCACATAGGGCCGATATCCTTATCATTCTTCAAGCGGTCCACGAGCTTGTTTGCAGCCCGGAAGCGAGAATGTGAGGATTGATCTTTTCCGCCCTTGGACTTGCTGCTGGCGAAGATCTGGTACATGCCATGGAACGGATGCTCTGTGCAGATTCTGAACACTAACCCGGTGAGTAGAGACTGGAAATCATCAGAGACATCGAGGAGGCGAGAGGACAGTTGGTTCATGAGAGGTGCAAATTTGCGACTTGGCACATCCTGGAGATATCGAGATACCGCTGTGTTCGCAGTATTGCTATCTGATTTGTCGAGCCAAAGTGCACAGAAACGCAGAACATCGTTATTGTAGGTTTCACTTTCCCTGAGAGCAAGAAGATAGTTTTCAAGGCATTGTTGTAAGAAGGCTTCTCGACTTCGCAAGAGCCGCTGGTATTCACGATCATCGAGATCAAACCATTGTTTGGCTTTTGCGCGGAAGATCTTGAGAGACTCCTTTTCTCGACCCTCTGCATTTTTCATCATGTCTTCTAGGCCCAATAGTTCTTTCTCCTTGTGATCACGCAGCTGCTGAACTCGTTTGAAGTCTTCCATTCCGTCCGGATTCAGAAGCTGTTGGTCGCAGAAACTCGCGAAGCCGTGGTAGACCCGCCCGGCAGCTTCTATTTCTGAGGCACCCTTCAATTCCTTGACAGCCGGGTACAGGTAGTCCTGGAGAATTGATTCGGGCTTCTCTAAGCGTGCTTCAGCGACGTGATGACCCTGGCGAAGACGCATTAGACATGGAAGAGTAGAAAGTGAATACAGAAAACTCACTAAAGTGACAAGTAGTTCCGCACGACTGAGTGGAATCGCTTGTTTATGTAAGTCGCCTTGTCCCTTCAACTGTTGCAACATTCGGATCGATGCAGTCATCTCGCCCTGGTCCCAAAGAACGTTGGCAAGGTCAAACTTTGCGGCCCCGTCAATAACCATTCCCAACTCGGCGCAAGGCTCAGCAAGCTTTGACAGGGTAATTGCGGATTTTAAAGATGCTTGAGAAACACCATGATTCCTTGTGATATCCAATGACTGCCGGAAAACTTTCGCCTCAAGCAGGCGTGACTCTGCTGGGCTCAGATTGGACTTCGCCATCAGGAATTCGTTCTTTCTAATCGACGAGAACAATGCTTCATGCCAGCTCAAGATCTCTCCTACCTCGTTGTAGCTTCTCCAGTTAGAACGTGTATTCAGGCTTTGGATATCTCCCACTATCAATCTCACCTTTCAGTCTTCAGCCAGCTGCTTCTAGCCATAATTTTCTCCCATTCCGCCTCCATTTCCTGAGATGACGATGCCTGCAGAACGTCACTAATCTCAGTCATGATTCCAAGTGCACGAACTGTGTTCCGTAGCTCAATTGTTGATTGACCAGTCTCGACAAGTGTGGTGAGTGACGTCAACAGACAGTTATCAAGAGAAGCAGCAACTTCGCGCAAGGATGAAGATGTGTTCAAGCTTTGAAAGGCGCGGAACACAGTTGCTGGCGGTGACGAATCCAATGGCGAGACTGGAATATCCCATTGCTGAAGGCTTGTTGCGGCTTGCAACATGCTGTTAAAGGATGCCGGCACATTGTTGACATTACCAGAGGCAGAAAGCATTGTGTTGGAAATTCCTTGAAGATTTGTCGCATTCAAAGCCCTCAAGACTCCAAAGGGGTTCGCATTGTCAGACATGCAGACCTCGCTGTCATACTGCGCACTCTGGAAGAGAAGGTTTTTCAGGCCCGAGCTCTCGTACTCCAGCCTCTCCATCACAGTCATCAAAGATGAGCTTTGTTGGATTCCGTAAAAGAGATCGGGATCATCGATGTTTTTGAATATATCATGCAGAAGCTCCACAGGCGGCTCGTATTTGATCACAGACGAGCGGCGAGACCCTGATATCACTCTGGATGCCTGTATTTCCAGGAGAAGAAGAGATGTCTTCTGTAAACCGCATCGATGAGCTGCTGAAGAAGCCTCCCCATAGTCTATGTCGAGCCATTTTTCGCGGTCAACGATTGTTGCTTCATCGGGCACGGGTTGATTGCGGAGATACAAGATGCAACTGAGCACAAGCCGAGCATGTGGCATTGTGTCACGATTGACTTGACTCAGAACCTTCTTGAAAAGCACGGAAATTTTCTGTCGGATTGGACCTCCTTGGTCTTCGGACAGAAGTACCTCATGTATGATGTAGGGTAAAAGCTGCGCTGCCAACCCAGGAATCAAGCGGAGAACAGTGCGCAATGAACCAATGACGGGATCGTTCGGTGTAGCGTTCGACAAGAGAAGGGATAGATTGCGAGCCCATTCAGTAACAAGCAGTTCAGACAGGTCAGCCTCGTCGGAATTAAAGTTGCAAAGTTCAAGCTCTGCTGTCGGGTGTGATAGTTCGGGACAGGTGTATGGGTTCCAAATGAGGGCCGGCATGAGTGACTGTGGAATGATCTCAGCATACGCTTGGAAATCAGTAGCGTCCGTGATGCGGCTGATAATGACTTGGAGGGTCCTCTCAATGAGCCCGGTCTCCAAGCGGTCTTGGACCTGGAGCTTGCTGCAGAGCATTTGAAGAATACTGGCTTTCGACTGATGAATAATATCCAAGCTGTTAGTCAATTCAAGTGTTTGAAACAGCAAATGCTCTTGTTCTCGCATCAATCTCTCATTGATTTTCCCCGTGGCAGCAAAAGAACGACCGATAAGTCGAGCTGCCCATAATTGGTATTCGGGTCCACTGTTGAAAATGTGAAGTGTTTGCCACAGTGAAAAGATGTGTGAGGTAGACGCCGATTCCATGTCACTACCGCTGTCCTCGTTTCCATCGCTTTCCTTCAATCCAGGATACAGCAATGATAACACCAAATCCGCTGTTGGCGTGCTCAGCAAAGATTGAGTTGAATCACGATCTTGGAGTACAGCAAAGACCAGGTCATTTTCACGTTTGGCGTTGAAGGAGCTTCCCGGAGACGAAATCTGTTGGGCTAAGTGTAGCAACTGCGAAAAGGACCGCTTGGTTTCTAGGCTCCATTCTGAAGATTGACAGACTTCCACGAATCCACAAAGCCATTCGTGGAATTTTTGTGCGGTTGACAGGACAGCTTTGAATTGACTTTGCTGTATAGTGCTTTCTGGGGAAGACGAAAAGAGCTTACGCAGAGTCAATAACGTCGAGAGGCAAATGCCGGCTGTGAATCCGGGTCCATTCATTAGGTAAGGTTTCCCAGCTTCGAGAAGATACCAGAAAATTCCCAGGGCGTCTTCAGAACAGTGAACATCGATGAGAAAGGGGCGAAGGGCATTGAGCAGCATTTCAAAGGGATACCCCTCTACCATTATTGGTCCAGCAAGGCAAACGAGCACCCTGAGCTTTCGAATGATGGAACATGTATGAAGAGAGCCCAGCGCAGGGTGGATAGACTCAAGTAGAGACCGGCAAACAAACGTAGCCAGTGCCGGTGACCATATTGATTCAAGCTCAAAGCCCGCACGTTTGCACAAGAAGTCGAGCTCATCAAGCAAGTAGCGAGCTCGAAAAGACGGTTGCTGGTTCGCAGGCAAAGAAATATGAGAAGCACTTTTGCTGGCAATCCAAGTCTGAATATCGAGTGCATAGCGGAAGCTAGGGCGCTTTGAGTATGCTCGTTCAATTTGATCGTGGCGGTCAAGGGCCTTGAAGAACGTGGCAATAATTTGGGAGAAATGGCCCTCGATCTGGGCCATAAATATTTCAGGGCCGAGCAATTTTCTCAGCCGAATCTCAACACCTTTGGGCTGGCTACCCTGCTCAGGAGGTGTGCTGATGTCTCGTGCAATACTGTATGCCTCCGCTTTGTGAAATGATGTTGCGAGGAGTTCAGCATAGGGCATCTCAAGGTAGCTTGCAAGCTCCTGAGCTTCAGATTCCCTGCCCCGCATCATCATTTGTCCAACGACCTCGTCTTTCACATCGACGATCATCTCTTTCAGGCTGTCATATCCAAATATGCTGTACGGCATTGACATTACACTCTGGGTCTCAGTCCAAGTGTAGAGTATTTGAGATGCGAAAAGATGGAATAACTTTCTCCCATCTTGCAGGCCAAGAGCATTCGACGCGGATTCCATGCACTTTTGAGCATATTCGAGAGATGCCGGGACTTGTGCTGGCGTCTCAAACATATGATAAATGCTCCTTCGCAATAAGGTATACCACTTGGAGGCCAGTCTTGACAGGACAAAAAGACGGAGAGCAATCCCTTCAAGCCAATCCGGATCTCTTGGCAGGCTCTCCAAGACATCATTGAAGATGGCATCATGATCTTGAAGTAGAAATCGCTCAAACAGCGTGGGAATAAATTCAGCAACACGGAATTTGACCTGAACATCGCCCTCTTGCAAGATCGTGAAAAGACTAGTCCGCGGAGACGGGAGAGATTGCTGACTTCCATACGATTGGCATGAATCAAGAAGAGCTTGAACTAGCTCGGACAGCGCAGTATACACCGTCGTCGATGCTCTCTTTTTAGCAAGCAGAACTTCCATAAACCAGCTGTACAAGTCCATGGCCGATTCGTTCAAGGTATCGTTCCGTGCATCTGCCCAGGAAGCAACAAAGCCAGTCATCATCCGAATGCAAATGTTGTGTGAAGCTTCACACCGCTCCATTTCATATGACTGTAAGCACTTTTCTCCCAAGTCCTCGAGAATTCGGAGGAGGGCATCTCGCTGCAGTTTTGAACAAGCCTGATAGATTGCTGACAAATTCTGTTGCGCCGATAAAAGGTCAGATTCATCAAGCCCGGTGAGGTATTCAACGATAGTCGAACAAGAGTCTCCAGATGTGGCACTCTCGGTCTGTACTCTCAGAAGGATAGACAGTCGAACAGTTTCAGATCGTTGGAAAGTGGCGTTGTCAGGAAAGAGAGGAGTCGCCACTCTGTTCGAAGCAAGGATTACCTGATTAGCGGATATCTGATCTCCTTGATGCGTCAGCCGGTCATCCAAGTCCATAAAATCTCTCTGATTAGAGCGATTTTCTTTCGAACTTTGACGAAACTTCTCAAGCAGGTTAGCCAATGGCCTGATTAGAGGAGAGAGACCCGTCCAGGCGCAGGAGGTTTCCACCTCTGACATGGAAGGAAGAATTGGCGATATGATTTCAAGGCACGGTTGAACAGCAGTCGATTCGTGGGTGAACAAGAATTCACATATGCAATTCCACAAGGAGTGGCAGTTTTGCTGGAGATCTTGCATTCGAGAATTCGGCTGCTGGGGAAGGCATGCCCCAAAAATGGAAGAGACAATGCAAAATGAAGTCAGGATTTGCAAGATATCCGTAGTGATGTGAAGTGATCTATCCTCACTGATCGTATTCCATGTTTGAAGGAATGTTTCTGACTTCGATCGCAAAAGTTCGACTATCGCGGAGTCGTCAGCATCTTGACGAGTTGATGCCTTTAAAAGCCAGGAGCTCTCATGGTTCCAAGGGTTGGGATGGAGAATGGTAGTGCCTGTGCAGAACATATACTCCAGCAGCTCCCTGTTTTCATAAAATAAAAACCATGTCCTAGTAATGAGGCCCGAGGGTCCTGCATATTGGAAATCAGGCATTTCAAACGGTCGATTCGTGCATGCCATGAAGAGGTCAAGCAAATCCAGTGGGCGCGCAAACATGGCGACTTGGGCTGTTTGGATTCGATTCGTTACGCTACCTGTAGCAAATTATCAGCTGCTCGAGGCTTTTGCATGCTCATCTAAATTTCCATACCGATAGTCCATACCCCCCTCAGCCAACTGCAAATCTGCTGTGAGGCATTTTGCGCCGGGCCGGGACTAAGCTGTGACCTCTTCCGTGCGATCAATGCCCACATGTTCAGAGACGAGTCGGAGATGGCGGAGGGGCCATTCAAGTTCGCAGACGAAAGCAGTGACCGTATATTCTCAGACACAAATGCATATTCAAGTAAATCGGCTTCCATAATTGCACTCAAGAGTTTGCAGGCAGCTCTAGACGTGACAGAAGAAGAGAATGCGCGAGATGTGAGATCTGCAGCCCACGGCCAGTATGCTTTCAGCAGAGAATGGCTGGCACTGGGGCCATTGGCAATACTATTTCGATCATTCAATTAGGTTCGTCGGCAAGCCGCATAAAATTTTACTCACCTTGTCAGTGCTATCATTGTCCAAGATGAAATTGCGCTGTTATCATCGAGAATGCTCGGGACAAGTCGCTTAACAAAAGACTCCATTTTGTCAACATCGATCTCGCCTTCGAGAAAAGGGATCATCTGTAAAGCGCAGATCCTTCTCGCGCCCACCCCCGATACTGCATCGCGAAATACATCATCTATACCCGATGTGAAGCGCTGTCTTTTGCTTGAAACTTCACGGGACATGGCATGGCCAGATTGGTGGACGGCCACGGTTTCTGACAATTTCAACAGGTTCGCAATAGCCCAGATGACAGTCCAGCTGCATTCGGAGCGAGGATTTCCCAGATGAGGCCCGTAGATAGGTCGGCCTTTTCTTCCTCCTTTCTTGTAAAAGATCGTCTCGTCAACCTGTAGCAAGTCCTTTTCAGATCGCTTGACATATTCTGACTGAAGAGAGCTCGTCAACCCCTCGATTAAGCAACTTAACGCCTCAGATGGTTGTTTATGAGCCGTATCCGCCAGGATAACCATGCACAGCATGAGTGTGGCAAGAAGCTCATCTTTCAAGCTTTGCAGCTTGGTGGTCCACAGACGTCGAATTACTGGGATCAGGTCCATCAGGGACGTTCGAACCAGCTCAGTCTGGTCAAATAACACTCTCGAAACAACTGTACATATGCTACTAAACGCCAGTTGGTGTGCATTTCCAGCCATCAGTGATGGTGACTTGACGAACTGCACAAGCCCTTGCAGAATGCTCTCAGCGGCAGCCTGGACAGGAGCGCTGGGACTTGACGTCAGAAGCTGGATACACGCTACAACTTCTCCAATGGCATTTCTATCGCCCACGTATTTCTCTCTATTGCCAGGAGCGGGGGTCATTCTTGACGGTGTCAAGCCGCTGCCACTTGCATCCAGCGGGTCTTCGGGGGCAGAACGGGATCCACTGCGAATGCTGAGTTGGCTCTCATCACTCTCCTGTAGATTGATCGCATCAAGACAGAAATCAATAAGCTTTTCCCAGTCTGCATCACTAAGATGCTCCGTATGAGGAGGGTAGCGAAGAAGGGACGTTAGACATTTCGTATAGTCCACGCTGAGAGGCTCCCACAGGCCGTCCCCGGGAACTGGTATTGTCTCAGTGATGTGATCAATTATTGCGCGAACCGTTTTTGTTCGGAGGTTGCGGAGAAAGATGTCAACTGCAGTACGGAGCACAGACGCGCATGCTGACAGCCGAGCAGCTGAAGGGCTTTTGGAATTTGACCGCTGGGCACGGTTGTAAATTGATCGCTCTAGCACAATAAATCGGAACAGGGATTCAAAAATCGTGTGGCAGGCTTTGTCGCTAAGGTCCAGTCTAAAGAGGTCCAGTCGTGGGTTAGCTTAGCTATCGTGGAGAAGACGCATCGGTCCGGGCTTACAGCTTGGAGCTCTGTTTATGTTGTTGCAGGATATTTTTGATATCTAAAGACCCATCAGATTTGATTCCCATAACTCAAGTGGCATCTGAGCAACGGACCTGCTAAACCATCAGCGCGCTCCTTCTGCTTGTCCGAGGATAACAGCCCGAGAGCCTTATCCAGAAAGATCTCCCCCATTGCGCCGGGAGAGATAGCCGCCCGTTTGCAGCTTTCGCGAAAGCCGGCATTAATTGTCTGGCCTCTCACAAGCAGAATTCTTCCCCCCAGTCGGCCATTCTGCGGTCAAGGCGTTGGCGGTTAAGCAAGTGTTGACTCTTGTTGCGGTTTTGTGGAGCGGCAGTACTGCCAAGCGGATGACCGCCCGGAATTTTGATCGCGTTCCGCCTTTCTGGAACAAACAGAGCTCGAAGCTGCCATTCCCACCTCCTCCACCCCGCGCCGTCATGGCAGAGCTTCACGAGAACCTGGCAGGCCTGCGAGGCTTGTACCAGGACCTCTCTGCTATTTCGGATAGCTCGTTTCTGAACGTTGAGCGACTCGTCGTCGAATTGGAAACGCATATTCAGGACTTCCAAAAACTCCTAGACAAACCCGCGAAGAACAATGCCAGTCGCCAAACGGTACTCTCAGGTATGTGCTCGCCGATACCACACTCCTTTGCTTTGTTTTTTCATGGATTTAATTTAACATTGATCATCATAATGTAGGAAAGATCACGGTTGCAGATGTCCAGTACTCCATCAATCAGGACTTCCAACAAGGCACACTCCAGCTCGCCGATGCCTTGAACATTGATGAGCTGGAGGCGGCGGTGATGTTCCTAGCCGCCCAAGAAGATTCACAGGTCCTGGACCGACCTCCCTTAATCACAGCGATTATGCGATTCCACGAGCGCCGCCATTTTCTTCTCGAGTGTTTACGCCTGATTTGCCGCGAGTCCCTCGAATCGGAGCGAGAAATGACCCAACCTACTATGCAAGAGACGCTGGCCCTCATTCTTGAGATCACGAACAGCCCTATGCGGAACGCGTCCCTTTTCGCCAGGAAAGCCATGACTTCCATGGAAGACATTGAGAAATGGCTGTCACTTCTCGGGGATCAAGTCCAGAAGGCTTCTATCGTGGGCCAGGAAGAGGATCGTGACATCATGGAGGCCATTGAATACCAACGGCACAGCCTACAGCAGCAGCATGAGTCGCTGGGAGCCATCCTGCTATACCTTTTCAAGGGCTCATTCACGAGTGCGGAGGACTTCCGCATCCTTATTACTCATCTGAAGAAGTTAGAGCGCTTTGATGGGCTGCTCATTCATTACCTGCCCGTCGCAATTTCATCTTTTGTTCAGCATGGGTCTCCCGAGGGTTCTGGGTCGCGGAACGAAGCTCGGGACTTGCACCAGGTGATCGCTACGGCCAGAGATGGTCAAACGTGGAAGCTCCCAAACTTCCATGCTGCTATCATAGCCCTGTGGTTGGCGGTCTATAGTGGATGGTACTTTGACGATGGCCCGTCGGATCCTGTTCCCGGCGTTGATCCCGAGAGAGAAGCGGAGGAGCGCACGAAAACGTTCATGTCATCCCTCGATGACGGGGCATTGGACTTTATGTTGGCAATCTGCGCCAGCGTCAATAGTGAAGAATGGGCCGATCCCGCCCGCAGCGAACTCGTGTCTTTGCTTTTAAAAGAAAGTGTCATCAGTCTACCGGACTCTAGTTCCTGCAGCGGTTACATGAAAGAACTGTTGATGGAGAATTTCGAGGTGTTTGTGGAATCATGTATTGCAAACATGCCCGATGCTGTCCGAAAGCTAAAGTCAGAAGAAGACACGCAACGATTGGATCAAATCACGGCTTTGAGAGACGGCCTGACGTCCAGTGTTCACCGTGGTTTAGTGGAGGCGCGAACCCACCTCGAGTCCCTCTTGATGATTATTTCGTTTGCTTTTGAACATCGAGAGGATGCGGCTCAGGAATTCTGGGGTGATGTTGAAGGTAATCTTTACGGTTTCCTCCAATGGGCCTCTAAGCGTCAAACGGTCCCCCGCGTCAGTGCCTTCTGCGAGATGCTTTGCTCTCTATCAAATGGGGAGGAGAACGCCGCTGCCGCGCATAGGTTCTTGACAGAGGAAGAAAAATTCCTGTCCTCCAAGTTGAAGCGATCTACGAACATGAATTGGACTCAGATGTTCGCCGAACTACACCTCTATGCAAATCGAGTTACGGAAAAGCCTTCAACCAGCAGCCAGACCTCGCATCCTAGTCAGGGACTCACTCGCACTCGGAAGCCAGAGCCTGTGGATATGAGCGAGCCAGAAAGCCCCGTCATGCTCACCTGCTACCTCCGGCTCATGGGACATTTGTGCAAACAGAGTGGTGCCATTAGGGATTGGATGTTGCAAAATGAATCGTTCAAGGTTGCTGATGAACTTTTGACGCTGTGCAGAGGGCCAATTCCCACTCATCTCAGAGCAACAATATTTGCTACACTCTCAGCATTGATGACCGACAGAACGTCTGTGCATGGTAATCATATGTGGGAGTCACTTGACACTTTTCTGACAAGTCCACCGCCGGGGGAGACATCAAACACTGTCAAAGCACCCGCACAATCCAATCACCATCTTTGGTATGAGCAGCAGGCGCTGCAGAAGATTGGCGAGAGTTTTGATCAAACCAATGCCTTTGTTGTTCTAGTCAATTCTCTAGTCATACCCACCTCCGACTTGGGTGATAAGCCGTTATCACTTCCATTCCCTGATTCATTGGGGGCCACATATCGCATGCCCGGGATCGAACCTTACGTCGACTTCGTTCTGGGCCACGCTCTCTCTCGAAAGATCCAAGATCTCAATGACTATCAATCCCGCTTGTTGACCTATAACTGCTTGGAATTCATTGTGACGAGCTTGCGGACTTTCAATGAGGATCTCGTCACTGTTCTCAGTCAGCCATCCCTCGCCTCTGATTCTGCCGCTAAAGCCTCCGACCTCGACAACTATATTCGCCTTCATGCATTCGCCCGTGTGATGGAATGGCTTTTCAATGAAGATGTCCTGAAAGCCCTGTTCGCAACCAGCCACCAGGATATCTCCGAAGTCGCACAAGCGTCCTCCGATTCGGTTTTAGTCCTGACATTGCTTCGTAGCGTTGAGGTGATGAACTTGATTATGGATCTCCAATCAACGTATTTCAATCTCGTTAAGTCAAAGGTCAAACCCAAGGCTGCAGGGCACCGTTCTACTGTTGCAAACTCATCACTTGCTTCATTTGAAGACAGTGTGCTCAACAATTTGACTCTGATCCCCGCCCTTTGTCTGTATTGCGGTACCGGGCATGAGCAACTTACTGTCACGTCTATGGCTTTGCTGGAGAAACTCACAAGCTCCCGCAAACTCAACAAAATGTCCTCGCCTGAAATTATGAAGTGGCAATCCTCGAATAAGATCGTGGAGGTCCTTGCTACTGAGGTGGATGTTGACAGTGTTGCGCGCTCACTAGTCTCCCAGATGGACCCAGACCCAAGAGAATTGGAGTATGGATCTCAGGCTGCTGGCTATGTCATCCGGGAAAGCCTTCTCGCTCTCTTGAACAGCTGTCTCGGTATGATCACAGATCGCCCTACTGTGGCCCACCTCTTGCTCGGCTTCAGTTGCCTGGGCAATATTCTTGATATTCCTTCCAATGGTTTGTTCGCGAATCGAATGTCCTTGCTGCATGCCATCATTGGTTTCCTGCAGACATATCCTGATGAGCTGGAAGGAAGTATTACATCATGGACGGTGCACCTCAAACGCATGGCATTCGAGGTTTTAAAACACCTGTGGTCCTCGAAGCTCGCTAGTTATTTCACTCTTGGTGAGATGCGCGCTCATGGATTCTTGATGAACATGTTTGCCGGACAACCCATCGTTGGCCCTAACACTCCCTGGAATGGCTATCCAATCTTTACGGATGAATTCTGGGTCACCGATGCTACTTCAGCCTTGGCGGAATTCCTACTCTTCCGAAGCCATCTGTTTGCATATGCGGCCACGGAGATCCGCTCGGCAGCAAAGGTTGGATCACCGACGCTTCAAACCAGTATCCTCTCCACCCTTCTTGGAAGCTCGACGCTGGACAATGGTGAAGCCTTCTCTAACGCATCTGTCTTTGATCTCTTTGACTTCGCCGACCTGGATGTCTCCCGCAATTTCAATGTACCTCAACTAGCTTTGCTTGGCAATATCGCCGTTGACGATTGCGCTACACAAGGACAGGACCCATTGATTCTTTACGATCTTGCCAAGATTGAGGAGTTGATACAGATTCGGAAAGCAGAGCTATTTGCTGCTGAACCAGCACGGCCTCAGGGCGAAGAACAATTCCAGGCGGAGGCGGAGAGCTTGAAATTGTTCATTCTTGCGACCAACCAGAGCCGTCAGATTCGTTACAACCGTTACCTCGCCCTCCGGTCCTGGGCGGAGCTCGTTACTACCGTCATCACCTGCTCTGTTCTAGATGATGCGAGCAGGCCGACATTCATCTTGCATGCCATTCAAATGATTCTTCCCAAGCTCGAGATCTCAATCGAAAGCGAATCGCCAGAAGCAATGGAGCTTGCGCGATTGGGTGAGACATTGATCAGCAAGCTTTCGTCTGATTTGTCTGGAATCCCTGTTTCTAGGAGTGGGGATGCCATTGACGAGAAGCTTCACCAGCTCTTCCAGGTGTCTATCCGTGGCATCAGGTTGGCATCCGGAAATGTTTCTTTGAGAGAGGTTCTCTACAGCATCTGCTCCCGCTACATCACCCGCATCACATCCTCGGGTGGGGCCCATGATAGCCTTTGCCGTCATAGCCAACAAGTTGTCAAAACCGCAAGCCCTGGTCTTGTGGAGATCGTCTGCGATGATGCCTATAGTGGACAAGAGGCTTGCCGTGCTTCCGCTCTTCTCTTTTTGAATTGCCTAGCAGCTCTAGATAGCCGAACCGATTGTGTTCTTGCCGAGCTGATATCCCAGTCGAACTACCTTAGTCTCTTCCTTGATGCTGTCAGGTCACTTCCCGTTGAGCTTCGGAACGCCGAGGCAGCTGGTATGTTTCTCGTTATCCAAAAATCACGTCGATTGCTGCTTACAGATAAATGTCCAGATACATCTATTTTGTTGGCGTACTATGAATCTCTGTTAGCGCTACTTCAGCAGCTTTCTCAGACCAAAAGTGGAGCTACCTATGTTCTCAAGTCAGGTCTGTTTGACTCCGTTCGCGAGTCGCAGCTGTTTGCTGCGGATCCCGATATTGGAATTGGTCTGTTTCTCCGTTCGTAGGATTGTTCGTGATATCCGTGCTAACCTCTGTAGATATCGATAATCCGGATGCCCTCCGAAAGTACTATGATCTCCTTCTGTGTGTGATCCGTGTCATTGCCTCCGCTGTATTCTCCAGAGGGGTCCACAATGAGCAGATCAAGGTACAGACTCGGGCCTTCCTCGCCGAGAACCGGCCATGCATGGTCGGTGTCTTCAAGCGGTTTGCCAAAATTGGAGGTGGCACAAGTACCAATCACCACGAGGCGCTTTGTGAACTCGTCAAGTCATTTATGGCTTTGGTGACCGCTACTGATTTCCTTGAGGTTTGTTTGCCCTTCCGGCCTAATTGACAGAGATTGTGTCGCTGAGTGTTTTGCAGTTCGAGGATCAAGAAGTGCAACAAAGCACTCGGCCGCTTCTGTTCTCATGAACTTGCTGTTATCGACGTTGGGCTTGTTTACCTAGGAGATAGGTATTATGGATAGGTCCAGGGGGAATGGCGTGTAATATACTATGAGCGGAGTAGGAGATTGAGCGATTTTCAAGATACATTTCATGAACGCATTTCATTTCACTTCATACTCATGCTACCTACCTACGGTGGAAGGGTCTAGCCACTTGGGTAGGTTGTCGGATTGTTTGAAAATATTTCTCTTTCCACTCAGATTCTGTTTAAAATAGCTAGCCTAAGGTTGGATATTGTACCTAGCAGTCTGAAATGGTAGGTCGAAGCTGGTACCTACCATATATATTTCAGCGGACATTCTTGGTGGCCGAAATTCATGCTCGAAAATTGGATAGCACCTGATGCGTCACACCTTGGGGGCATTAAATCAATAGCAGACCCCTTTCCAATAAACCGACCAGTTCCTTGTGAAGGAAACAAAAGTTCAACGATCCCACACCGGGTTGTACACCACAGCATCTCCCCGGAGCCCCGGAGCTGCCACTATCTTATCGCCGTGCGGAGCTGGAACTCTCGCAGGGAGCAACGCCAACTCCCCTCAACTACCCGAACCCGCACGACTCCGCCCAGACCGCCCTGGCGCATGTTCGATCTATCATCGCGAATTCTCTCTTGCCAAGAGCTCCTCCTCCTCCTCGTCGGACCGAACCGGCTGGATGCAGCAGAACTCAAGTGCCGACCCGGAGCAGAGGAGTGGTAAGCGCAAATCGAGCGGCAAGAGGAAGCTTTCTGATCAAGGAGAGCCGTCGCAGCCGCAGTCGCAGCGGACCATCTCTGAGCTTCTCTCCTCGAACCCCTCGCGCGACGACCTATCACAGAACCTCTCCCCGTCCTCGAAACGCTCTCGCTTCTCCGTCTCCCCCTCTCGCTCCGCCGCGGGACACCCAGTGTCGCCCAACAAGATGTATAACTTCTCCGGCTCCCCGCCCAAGAACGGTGCGGCCTTCGTGCGCAGCATACCAGGGTCGAATGTGAATGTGCCATCGGTGAAAGCCCAAGCTTTCGGTACAAACGTTTGTCAGAATAACTTTAGTCCTCATGCTGGGGCGAAGAAGCTAGTCGTCAAGAACCTTCGCACGGGACCACGAGTGAATCAAGAGCCATACTTTGATAAGATTTGGGCGCAGCTTGATGCTGCACTGTCGGCTATCTTCGATGGTCAGAAGCCGGAGATATCGTTGGAGGAGCTATACAAGGGCGCGGAAAATATCTGTCGACAAGAGCGGGCGGCCGTGCTGGCCAAGAAAGTCCAAGAGAGATGCAAAGACTACGTAGCTGGGAAACTACGAGACAACCTGGTAACAAGGGCCGGAGGTGGGACCGACGTTGATACATTGCGGGCAGTGATCGAGGCATGGTCGGTCTGGCACTCGAGACTGGTACGTTACCGGGAACAGTATAAGCCATTGACCGTAGAGCTAAATGTGACACAGATTACTGTTCGCTGGATCTTCTATTACCTCGACCAGTCGTTCCTTCTGCATTCCAAGGATTTCCCTGTGATCCAGGAAATGGGATTGATCCAGTTCCGCGCGTACGTATTCGGCGATCAGAGCCTGAAGCCGAAGATACTACGAGGTGCCTGCGATCTTATTGCCGCCGACCGTGGCGCCGAGACCAGCACCATTCCCGACGCAAGCCTACTTCGGGACGCAATAGAGCTCTTCCACAGTCTCGATGTCTACAGCAGTGACTTCGAACCGTTGTTTATTTCCGACTCACATAACTACATTAACTCATGGGCGCAACGGGAGTCCGCCGGATATCTCGCTTCATATGTCGACAACAGCCAACATTTGATCGATCGAGAAGTCGAGCGATGTACTTTGTTCTCCTTGAATCGAAGCACCAAGCAGAAGTTGTCCGAACTGTTGGATGAGATACTGGTCGCAGAACATGAGGCAGTTCTTCTCAGTGAGAATGACGTGCTTGGGTTGATGCGATCAGGGAACAAGACCGCTCTGAAGCAGCTCTACAGTCTTCTTAACCGACGAAGCCTAGCGAGCAAACTGAAATCCGCCTTTAGCCACTTCATCATCGAGGAGGGCTCGAGCATTGTGTTTGACGAGACAAATGAAGTGGACATGGTCGTGCACCTCCTTCAATTTAAGAAACAGCTCGATGATACCGTACGCGAATCATTCGACCGAAATGAGGTTCTTGGCCATACCCTTCGTGAGGCTTTCGGGCAATTCATGAATCTTGGCAAGAAGGGAGAATCCACTGCTGGTACCGACAACCCGAAGACCGGTGAAATGATTGCCAAGTATGTTGATCGGTTGTTGAAGGGAGGTTGGAAGATGCCGGCGAGTCAGCAGGACGTAGCGATGGCAGATGAGGATGCCGAGATCAACCGACAGCTGGACCAAGTGCTGGACCTGTTTCGATTCGTTCAAGGAAAGGCAGTTTTCGAAGCATTCTACAAGAATGATCTCGCTCGTCGTCTACTGATGGGCCGAAGTGCAAGCGACGATGCAGAGAAGAGTATGCTGGGTCGTTTGAAGAAAGGTATGTACTCATTCAATCCCGCTACTATTTCTACTTTCGTTTGTCTGACATCCCCCAGAATGCGGTTCAAGCTTCACACATAATCTTGAAACCATGTTCAAGGATATGGAAGTGGCACGCGACGAGATGGCCGCGTACAGTGCTCTGAACCGGGAGCGTGATCGCAAGGATCGCCCGCCCGTCGATCTCAGTGTCAGCGTACTCTCCGCCGCCGCGTGGCCATCCTACGCCGACGTTCCCGTGCAAATCCCACCGAATATCGCGGCCTCAATCAACGATTTCCAAGAATTCTACTGCAACAAACACACAGGTCGCCGGCTCAACTGGAAGCATCAACTTGCACACTGTCAATTGCGTGCTCGATTCCTCAAGGGCTCCAAGGAGCTGGTGGTCAGCTCCTTCCAGGCCATTGTTCTGCTCCTCTTCAACGACATCGGCGAGGGTGAGACCTTGCGCTACTCGGTGATCCAAACCGCGACAGGGCTCTGTAAGTGATTCTGATCACAGCGCATGGAGCCTAGCTAACGTACCTCTCAGCTGATCCTGAATTGAAGCGAACCCTGCAGTCACTCGCGTGTGCTAAGTACCGCGTGCTGATCAAGAACCCCAAAGGGAAGGAGGTGGAAACGACGGACGAGTTCTCGTACAATGCCAGCTTCACCGACGCCAAGATGCGCATCAAGATCAACCAGATCCAGCTGAAGGAAACCAAGGAGGAGAACAAATCGACGCACGAACGAGTCGCGGCAGACCGGCACTACGAGACCCAGGCGGCCATCGTGCGCATCATGAAGAGTCGCAAGACCATCACACATGCCGAGCTCATCGCGGAAGTGATCGAAGCTACTCGTCATCGCGGCACCCTCCAGCCTGCCGAGATCAAGACCAACATCGAAAAGTATGCTACCCTTCTCCCTCTCTTTCATTACACTGTTATTTGTTTTCTGCCTTCGGTGAGCCTTTGGGAACGCATGTTCTAACCATTTCCGCGCAGATTGATCGAGAAGGACTACATGGAGCGAGCCGAGGGCAACCAATACAAATATGTGGCATAGAGAAGGATCCCCCTAGACCAGTGCGCTCAATGTCTCTCAGCGGTGCGTGAGATGCCTGTTTTGGGACCGGGAGGGGCCCGTGTCTTTGCCGGCGCGGTTCGCTGGTTCCTTTTTCTTCTTTCCCCAGTTGGGTTGCCGGACTGGAATCGTGGGAACCCCAGGATTGAAGGATTGTTCATTGCCGTCAGTGTTGTCCATGTATCTGCCGTGATATTGCCTGGTCATCGTATACTGTTTGACTTCCCTAACCCTATGGCTCATTCGTATGCGAGGCTATGAGCTAGTTCTTGTGCCGTGCGGCTACTCCGTAGAAGAATCCGGGTGGAAGTCGGAGTAGCTCCGGGCCCACCAACACCGTCAGGGAGGGTGGGGGAGGTGTACCTTAGGACAATGCTAGCCTCGGGCAGTGTCGATGTTCGCAACGGCACAGGCCCGGACCCCTAGGAGAAAGCAATAGTACGGAGTAACGCGAACCCCATGGTTTTTTTTACCCGAACCTGTTCTCCGCACTTACCCAATCCATTTACTGTTTCTTCACATGGCTCATTTCCTCATTATTAGACACTCCAATGTGGGAAACTGTGCAGTCTATGCCAACGTGTTCGATTCTGGATATACTTGCAAACACGGGGGCGATGGGCAGTCTAGGTTCCGGCCCACCTGGGCTGCTCGTGACTCGCACCAGGGGGGGCACATGATCGGATAGTATAACTAGGACCCTCCGTACACCGTACCGTTGGGGATTTGTTTAATCGGTCTAACCAATAGGACGATCAGACAGCGTATCGGCCACCTCCTTGAATTCCTCCATTTCATCATGACCAATTACCTCAATTGCCGGGGTTCTTGTTGGTGGGCTATTGTTATTCCCCGGGTGCCTCCACACCCCGGCGATCTGACAGCGCGGGACTGGCGCGATCCACGCCCGGCTAGAGCCCGTCTTTTTTTTTGCTGGTCTCATGATGCCCTCCGCCTCCACCCCATGCAACTGGAGCGCTGTGCTGGCGCCCCTTTCAACTTGGACCAATTCGGTAAGTATAGACATTCACGACTGGAATTTCAGACCTGTAGAAGTAGAAAAAAGGTCCTCTCATAAAGTCAGAGGGAAGTATCGGGCGGCCTACTATAATCTCTACTTCATACTGTGTAATATACCGGACTCGGTCATAGCACACGATATTTTTTACTCCCTTCACTTGTCCAGGGTACTTTTTTTCAACCAGACTGAAATAAAGTAGGTGGAAGGTGCGCGGGCCTCCCCGGCTAACCTGCTGGGTTGAGCCCCAGGACCAGGCTCAAGTGCAAGGGGGAAAGTACATCGTGGCGGTTCTCGACTCGGGCGAGAGTGAACCATAGAATGCGATAAGCGGGTCAATTGGATCGATCAGGTCATTGAACGGTTGCAGCGGTCCCTGGCGGTGTGTGTTTCGGACGATAAGCTGTGTCAGCCCCCAGCATCCCCAGTTGTCCCCGGTCGTGGTCGGTTCCGGACGACGGTCCCTGGCGGGTAGACGGGATATCCACAGATGGTAAGCCGAAGCGTCCGCGGTCCAGACCGAAGCATGGAGGATGCGGATGGGCAATGTTGGGTTCATGTGAGCAACCAAAAAAAAAAAAAAGAAAAAGGGAAAATACAAGTGGCAAGTAGGCATGAACAGCTTGGAACTCCACATAAAGAGGCAGAGCAGCCCCCCTCGTCGAGAGTTCGGATGCTCTGACTTGCCTGCTGTATACTTCCCCAATCTGTGTATACTTCGACGCCAACGCCATCGACTCCGCGCCCTTCCCCGTTTTGAACCGGTGTGTCTGCTTTCTCTTCCCCTCAATGCCAATCTCTCCAATAATATGATCCACCCCGCTCGAGGATTGCTCCCTCGATCGTGACACCGACACCAAGCTCGCCGTCCCTGCCTATTGAGAATCAGCTAACTCTATTCCCAGCTCCGCGCTCCGTCAACCCCACTTTTTCCCCGCCCTCCGCGTCACTCCAGTCCAATCCGCGACCCGCTCTCCAAGAAGTAATTCCAGGTTTCCTCGCGGGCTAGACACTTGGACCTGTGAAATACACGACCCTCTGCCGATTGGCGACTTGGCCTCTGGGGCACTGTGCAACGAATTGAAACGGAAACAGGCATATAAAGCCCGCGAATACTCCCGCTTCGACCTCGGATTTCCGTGTTTGTACGTCGTGGTTCGCTTCTTGGTTCCACAGGAAAAAAGAGATCGAAAGCGAGGCAAGACGGTTCATTCCCGAAGTCCACTTGTAATCAACAATGCAGAGTAGGTCTCTTCCACCCCAATGCGAGGGCTTGCCGCCGTGTGCCTCCAGCCTAGCGCATAGTATATACCAGCAGAGCGGGCAATGCCGCGGATCTACAAAGAACTGGAAGAAGCCGAATTTGACATGTCCTCCCAGCTAAGCACTTTTTCTCCGATCCGAACCACCTGGTTCTGACCGCGCTCCGCTCTCTCACCCTCACCAACCCGTCACTCGCATTGGACGCCCAGAACAAGATCGTCTTCCGCCGCCCAGATGCACCCCGCAAGCCGGGCAAGGTCTCCATCGTGACCGGCGGCGGCTCCGGACACGAGCCCGCGTTCGCGGGCTTCGTCGGGAAAGGCCTCTGTGACGCCTCTGTCGCCGGAACCATTTTCGCCTCGCCGTCCGCGGAGCAGATTCGCAGAGCCGCAATTGACCGGGTCCCTACCGACAGTGGCGTTCTGATCCTTCCCAACAACTACACCGGTGATGTGCTGAACTTCGGCATGGCGGCAGAGAAGTGCCGCGCGGCGGGCATTCGTACCGAGTTTTTTGCCATCAACGACGATGTGGGTGTTGGCCGGGAGAAAGGTGGGAAAGTCGGTCGCCGTGGCATTGGCGGCGGTGTACTCATACTGAAGATGACTGGTGCTCTGGCTGAAGCTGGGTAAGTTTGCGCTGGTCCAATCCCATCTAGCCCTGATTCCGTGGAAATGGAACGTCGATGCTGACTGCGACGTTTAGTGGTTCTCTGGAAGAAGTCTACGGTTTAGCACAGTTCGCCAACGAAAACCTGGTCTCCATCGGCTCCTCCCTAGAGCACGTACACGTCCCCGGCCGAGGCGTGCCCGAGGATTTCATCCCGAATGGCGAGGTTGAGATTGGCATGGGTATTCACAATGAGCCCGGATCCCACCGCACCAAGGCGAACCTGGTGGAGATGGTCTCGACCATGCTTTACCAGCTGCTCGACCCGAACGACACCGACCGCGGCTACATCACCCGCACCCCCAAGGATGAGTTCGTCATGTTGATTAACAACCTGGGCGGTGTCAGCCCGATCGAGCTGGCCGGTATCACCGACGAGGTCCACCGCCAGCTGGTGCGCGACTACCAGGTCAAGCCCGTCCGGGTCATCCAAGGCACTTTCCTGACCAGTCTGAACGGCATGGGCTTCAGCATCTCGCTACTGAAGCTGGCTGACAATGGCCTCGGCGCCGGCAGGTCGATGCTCGATCTGATCGATGCGCCCGCTGAGGCAGTGGGCTGGTCCGCCCCCATCCCCGCCTCCACATGGACGGACCGCGTCGACGCGCCAGTGGAGCTCAAGGACTCTAACCTCGCACAGGAAACCTCCAGCAAACTGAAGCGTCAGTGCCCCACTTTCTACATTCCCTCCCAAACTCTCGCCCCCATCTAACCCATGGCACAGTGGACCCCGCTGTCGTAAAGAAAGTGCTGGGCGCCGGCCTGAAGCGCGTCATCGCCGCCGAGTCCGACGTGACACGCTTCGACACGATCGTCGGCGATGGCGACTGCGGCATCGGCCTGAAGCGCGGCGCCGAAGCCATCCAGGACCTCCTCGACAACGCATCGCCCGCGCTGAGCGACGACGTAGTCAACACCGTCCTTCGGATCGTGACGGTAGTCGAGAACGTGATGGATGGCACATCCGGCGCGATCTACGCGATCTTCTTGAACGCGCTGGCGCACGGGCTGCGCGCACAAGACACCGGCACCGACCTCCCAGCGACATCAGAGGTGTGGGCCAAGGCGCTGAAGCACTCCGTCACCGCGCTGAGCAAGTACACTCCCGCAAAGCCGGGCGACCGCACGTTGATCGATGCACTGGTGCCGTTTTGCGAGACGCTCTTCGAGACGCACGATGTGCGCGTGGCCGCGGCGGCGGCGCAGCAGGGCACTGAGTCGACTAAGAGCATGAAGGCTAGTCTGGGGCGCTCGGTGTATGTTGGCAGTGAGGAGGAGTGGATTGGCAAGGTGCCCGACCCGGGTGCGTATGGGCTTAGTGAGTTCTTGACTGGGTTGGCAGAGGCGGTCTAGGTTGGTCTTGGTCGATGCCTTCTCACGTCTTGTTCTTCGTATAAATAGTGTTGGATACCTGACCGTCGCACTCTTGTGTTCTTTCAGCCGGTCTTGTGTTAATAATAATTTCATGATGATAATGACCATGAACACTGGATTGCCTTCTTGGACCCTTCAGACGTGGACGTAGCTATAACCTTGGTTCAAGTACGGTTGCGGGGCATGGATTCACATAAAGGCCGCACGGCATTGTGAGGGACCAGGAGAAGTTCTACATTCAAAGCGAGAACAACCCGCCAAGTAGACATCAATACTCGAAACATCAATGATCTTTCAAATAATCCATTGCTAACCAACCTCTGCTACTCCAAGGTATGACGCCGCTCAACACTCGCCTCGAAAAGCGTGGATTCATCGATCCCTCCCAAAAGTGAACGCCGGAAATAGTGTCATTTTCCATCCATCTAATTTTGACCACTGGCATCAACCAAAGTAACGTTGCAGACCGGTGTTACCTTACAGGAAACAATGCGTTGATCTGGGCAGCCCTAGGGGTGACCAGAAGCAAGGGCGGGAGAGTTGTTGGAAAGTCAATAAAAAAAAGGGAAAAAAGGGTATCGAGATCGATTACATGATGGATCTTTTTTGGTCCACAAAGCAAAAAGCAGACAACGGCTTTTTATTTGTGGGCGATTGGCGGTGCAAGATGCAGGAAGGTCAACCGTCCCGCAGATTCAGATCCAGGGTACCGGGCGTTAGCCTGGGCGGTATGAACGTGCGTGCAAGATAGGACGACGCGATAAGGCGCTCAGCTGAGCAGGACGAGGATGACAGAGTCGCCGCGCAGGAACCTGGAGGGAGGAAGGGAAGTGTTAGCTGCCGGGAACTCAAGAAGACAATGTATCAGGCAGTTGGGACAGCCAAGACAATCGTAGTGAAGCTAGCCAAGTACAGCACTCCAAGTCCAGACTTACATCTTGCTCACGAAGCGGTCCTTGTTCACGCCCTTGCCCTTGCTGCCCTTGGGCTTCTCGGTCCACATCTCCTTCACGTTCTCCAGCACCATGTTGCAGTGTCGGTCAAAGGCCTTGACACGGGCCAGCAGCTTCCGGTTGTTGCGGCAGGAGATCAGGACCTGGGTGTGAGTGCGGGTGGCGGTCTGCAGAAGCGAGAGCGGGCCGGCGGTGAGCTCGTGCTCTTCGACAAGAGCGACCTCATATTCCCTGTGGGACGCGCGATGCACGATTAGTTTTATGGACGCTTTTGCCCGCATGCATAGGAATGTGGACGGGTGGAGGGGAGAGCAGGAGATGTCCGGTCGGAGATAGCGCCAACCCCGCACTCCTGGCAACTAGGCAGAAACCAGGAGAAAGAGGGGGTGGAGGGTTATTCATCCGTCGAGCGACCGGTATATTCCATCAAGGTGGTCGGGGTTGAGGGAGAAGGTGGTAGACGTACGTGAGCTCGCTCTTCGGCTTGTTGAGCAGGTCTCTGTTTCGGATTGGGTCAGCGGAGATAGCGGGGGAGGGATGAGTCATTAAGATACGTACTGAATCTTGGGGTCCGGTACTGTCGACATGGTGTGTGGGATGAGGGAATATAAAAGGACCTGGATGGTCTAGTCGGAGGTGCGAAGATCGCGCGTCAAGTTCGACGAGTCACGTGAGTAACCGTGCCTACCTGTTGGCCTTGTGTTTCAGGCCTATGAAGGTGGCTGCGGGTCGTCACGTCGCGTACACGCTTGTTGATCGACGGATAGCTTCAACCCGCGCATGCAAGGCTTCTTTTCTTCCACCTCTCCCACCCTTCCTCTTTCCTCCTCACTCCTCATTCTTCCCCACCCTGCTTCCTCTCTCTGCAGGTGCAGGTGGTCACTTTCCTCTTTCAATCACATTTTTCTCCTGTTCTACCAACCCTTGGTAAGAAGCGGTCTATATCTTGCATCCTGCTGAGTATTCTCAGCTGTCAATCACCCGGCTGACATTCCAGTCCATGTAGCTTGCTCCACCACCTGCAGCATAATTTACCCATTCTCCCGGCCGACCGGATTTTTCAATAGAGTGGCTAAGATCGGCTCGTTACCACCCAACCACCCCTTCCGAATACGATGTGGAGTGCATGAAGCCGACATTATTGCTTCGTCCTGCCGGATTCAACACCCGCCTTGCGCCCTGCCGGTGAACTGTCAACTCGCGGACCTGCCTCCTTATACCCCCGATACCCACTCACCACCCCCTTCTTAATCTCCCCCGATTTTCGAAATTGTCCCTCCACACGCGGGAGTGCATGGTGTACCAGCAGAGTTTGTTGAGATGGAGTCTCAGGACGGAATCACCGTCCGGCCCATGCGGTTAAAGGTCCTGTACACCTTTGACAACGAAAACAAAACGAATTGTCTCGCTCGGTGGCCTCATGTGCTAGAACTCCAGACTGCTTTCCTGGACGAGCAAACCCAGATCGGCGTGATCGAGTTGAAGACATGCATTCAGGCAATCGTGTCTGCCAGGTTGGACTACCTTACCCCTATTATGGAAAAAAACCCAATTGAATACTCACAACCCGCTTTAGCCCTGAATTGGTGGCACAGCTGGGGAAAGACTATACAGTATACGCCTACGACTACTCAGAATACGAAACTCCCTTGGTTGGTCAGGGAATGCTATCATGGGTCCTCGCATCTGCCTCGCCGACTCCAGACGCTCCTGCTCACCAGTCGAAGACGATGGTGACTGGCCGTGTGTGCAAGAACCCGCTTGGTCTTTTTTCGAAGGGTGCCCAAGAGACATTGGAGGTCAAACTGCGGCTGGTGCCTGTTCCCACGGTGATGCAAAGCGAATACCTCGAGAGCATGCAAAAGTACCGCGAGTTGAGCAATGTCATCCCTCATGACTTCGATGCCCAGACCTGGACGAACTTTGTGCGGCAAAATCCCGCCCTACTGGAAGCATCTCGGATCCAGCAACAATGTCGTGTGTCTTCGCCAATGGATCAATCTGGTATTGAACGAGTCCACCAGCTTTTGAGTGAAAGTACCACACCGCGGGAATACCCAAGCTACCCTACCAACGAATCAGTTCGCTCGTCATCACCTACCCACTCATTTGGTCCTCCCAGTAGGATGTCTACCCCTGGGGGTACCCGCACTCCCACCCAACACCATCAACAATCTCAGCCGAAGCAAAGCTTTGCTCATAGTGATAACATTCGCCCGTCATCGAGTGCTTCTATGCATGACAGCGACTTCCAGCTTCAGCACTTTAATGCTCTCCACCGGAGGGGCTCGATGAACTCGGGTTATGGCAGTGGTGGTGAGGATTCAGCAGAACCCCAGCCGCGGAAGAGGGCCAAACTCTACCAAGCAGGCTGGCCGGGCAAGTCCGATATGAACATTGAGCGACAACCTAGCTCTCTGCGGGTAGCGGCTAGCACTGCAGCTTCTGTTCGCATCCACCGCCCAACTCCAGTAAATCCTGCCATCGCTGCAGAGCAATCACAAGAGGAGCCCGTTCGCCCTCCTACCCCGATCTCGCTGCCTGGAAATCTACAACGCCGAGGACGACCGCCATCTAGTATGTTGCGAGAGAGTTCAACGCACAGTCTTGCCACATACACATCCCCTTACCACCTTAGCGACGACGTGGGCACAGATCAGACCGCCCATTCACCGGAGGAGAGGTACCAGGGCCTCTTCGAGCCTCCTTTCAGCATGCCTTCTTCGCCCCCCGTGTTGGAATCCCGGTTCCCAGCCAGATCCAGCCCTAACTTGCCTCCTATCTCCCTAGACACTGACTCCGGTTTCATGAGTGGCAGTCTTGAAGATCTTATGGATGATGGAGCAGGTACTCCTGTGGAAGATGCTCGGACCACCGATTCTCGTGCAGTGACTGGCGAGAAGCGCTCCCGCTCTGTACGATCTGCAGTGCACGCCACTTCACCTGCGAGCGCCATGGGTCTTATGTCAGAGGGTCTCAACGACTCGATGTTGGTGAGTGATGGCCCGACGGAGCAGCAGTCCAACCAAGCGCCCCCAATTCCTCGTCCGAACACCTCAGCCGGGTCTAGACCATCCTCGCGCACCAGTTGCCGACCAACACCCAAACCGCTGGCACCCGCTCCCATGTCACAAAGTGAACTCGAGCAACTGATGAGGGCGGTCCCCCTAAGTGACCCTGTTGGTCCTGCCCCGGCATCTCTTCAGTACTCTCAGACGTGGGCTGGTCCCATGAGCGATTTTTCCATTATCGACACGCCTGCACCGCAACCTGAATTTACACGCAGAGCTCCTCGCAGCGGAGGTGCGGCGAAAAGGTCGATGCAGGTTCAGGCTCGACTAGACTCGGCAATTGCCAACGGGATGGTTCCACCCTACTGTGAAAACTGCGGGACTATTGACACGCCCACTTGGAGACGGGCGTGGTCAAAGGAAGTCGCTGGCAGTGAGGAAGGTGCAAAGGAAATGATGAAGCCGCACAGTATGCTTTTCTGGGAAGCGCTGGAGCGAGATGACAAAGACGAAGTTGTGAAGTTCAAGATCTACAAGAAGGGTCTTGGGACAACCGCCGAGGACCAGGGATGGACTCAGGTCCTGCTCTGCAACCCTTGCGGTCTCTGGCTTCACAAGTGCAAGTCTATGCGTCCAGAGAACAGGTGGAATAAACAGCCGCCTGCTTATCGAACCGACTCTAAGCAGAAGCGCTCCTCTAGAAACCGCAAACAGAGCGGCGGTCCGCTGTCCAAACCTTCCACGCGCACCCGCAGCAAGGCTGTATCGAGTCGGACAGCAGTGTCTTCTCCGGCTCCCACCGAAGCCTCGTCCGTCCAGAACGAGGAGGGCACTACTCCTAACCCGGAGGGTGACCGCCACGGTCAAGTACAGGACCCGGATGATGAAGTCGAGGAGTACCCTAACAAGCGTCGTCGGGCAAATAGTGCCGAGCCTCCAAGATCCAGTGAGAAGCCTTGCTGGGAACAGCAGGATGCCATCGAAGCCTTGCGGCTTGCCATTCAGTCTAGTCCGGCCAGGAACATTGGAAACCGCAATCTTTCCGGCCAGGATGCGACCAAACTTACTCCCAAGCCTGTGCGCCGAGCTTTGTTCCCGTCTAATCAGAAAGAATCCCCATTGAAGGAGCTATGTCCCTCGTTCGTGAACAGTTGCTCTCCCCGTCGCAGCCCGCGTCTCACTAAGGGAGAAAGGCCGGCCCAAGAGAAGGAAAACAACGCGCCCACCCCCCAGGATGACCTCGACGGCCTCTTTGAGGGATCTTCTATGGACTTCGATCTACCGGTCAGCCCGACTCCTCGGCGCCGGCATACTCGTCCTAATGCCGTGCACGAGAGACGTCGCTCGTTACCCTGCAATTCTCCAACCGCCAACAAACGGAAGGATGTCGGACTCGCGGCGACGGCAGCTCGCCTCACGGCTGAGCGACTGCAGCGCATCCAGGACGGCCCGGAACATTCTCCACGGCCGTCTGCTATACAGAACCGCTCTCCCAATAAACACTTTGCCCCCGCCCTGTCCGATGCGGCTCTGCACTCCGAGGCTTTCGGGTCCCTAGATGGCATGATTCTTGACATCTTCGAGGAGGCCTCTGACCAGGCCAGCTCCTTCCATCTCGACCACGCCAAACTCTCTGGGAACAACTGGGCGGACTGGCTTCCCTCTGACTATGTCTCTCCTTCCGCGTCCGACGAAGACAACAACCCTTCCGATGACCTGATCAATGCAATCCTCTCGGATCCAGCCATCCTGAAAGAAAACCTCCTGGACTCAAAGTTCAATCCCTTCACCTTCGGTGACAACGATGTTCCTGACTCGGGTTTCTTCAGCTCCGATGCTCTCCAAACAGACCCTGCGGTCGCCTCTACGCAAGCCGCTAAGCCTCCTAAGGAGCGTGGCCAGGCACCCTCCCCTACCGCATAAGGATGGACGGCTCTGCCGGATTTGCTCTTAATTTTCTATGTCCTTTCTTTCTGCAATTGAATAAATTTAGCGTCGGTGTTTTGGTTTCGAGGTACACAATGTTGCTGCCTTTTACTGCATGCCAGTCGACTTTCGGGCGGTTTTACGCTATTATGTGATGATTTTCGTTGTGAACTATGTGATGACCAGAAGTTACCGAAGGAGGGCTTCGAAACAACTATCGTTCGTCATATCCATGTAAATAGAGCTTACTGGGGAAATGAGATTGGTTGACTGATTGATGTTACTGTATTCTGTGTCAAGTAGCTCATCAATCGCTGAGGGTAGAGAAGGGACTGACAGCTCAATTCGCTCTCACTCAACTACTTTCACGAATACTTTCACGAACACGGCAAGACTCTCAAGATTTGGGCCCCAAAGTTACTCCCGGACCAAATACCACCAGGCGACATGATTCATATCTTTACACTGTCTACGGCAGGCAATCGCGGCCACTGGGAAAATGCACAATTATGCATATTATAAGACCAGCAGAAAACTTAGATACCTAAATTACTATTACGGCGCCGATATTAAATCATGTACCTCTCTCTCTCGAAGGCTATTTACCCCGCTGTCGCTATAAATGGTGATATTGAAGCTATTTTTATGGTGTATTTTGTCATTTCCGCTGACATAGGTGATGACGTGCCAATTTTAGTTGAATTAAAGCTCTCCATACAATATATAATCTACTTGGATTCTACCCTCAGCTTGTGGGCATTGGCTATGACCCTGAAGATCCTCTACTTTAGCTCTATGGAGAAAGAGACCAGCCATACCGAGCGGTGTATACAGCACTTCGGCTTCGTGCATTACACTACCACGGATCCAGTGAGGAGCCTATCCTAGGCGTTTGTATACAACCATATGGTGCATATTCATGGTTGCTAGTAACCGAGACAGCCGCTCGGGAGATAGCTAAGACAGCTAAGACATAGTCCAAAATAGGGAAGTACGATTCCTGCGTTACATAGTGGTCCCTAGGGCTCTATACCTATAATATACATAATTATGCATTTTCCCAGTATGTAGCCGCTATTTTCTTCCGTACACTGTCCCTTCAATCCTGCTGCATGCGCCTACGCGTGGTAAGACTAGGCACTCTTAGCCTATACCCCGACCTTCTCGAAATCTTTCACCACTGTCTGCAGATTTGTTACGGATATCTTTGGAATATGGCCATCAATAGGATTCCAATACATATGTTTCTCAGAACAACTGCCACATCTTAGTCGGGGGACGACGAATCGCGGCGGGAAATGAATTGACCATTGTGCCTGGCGGTGCTCCATTTGGTGTTTGCAATTTGCACATTGCACAAGCACTGTTGTGACGCATGACAAGACGATGGACCTGGAGAACGAAGGCCCTGTGGTCAGATGATGCGGAGATCACCTGAGGGATGTGTGAAGAAGGGAACAGCTGATCGGACTAACCTAATGGGGCCCGTTTGCATGAGCTCTCTATATAATAGCGGACGCCCCCTCCATAGTGTCTTCCTTCTTCACTTTCGTTCTTTCGTCCAATGCACCTGAATCTTTTCAGCTTGGCTACTTCGTAACAACTGTTTCCATGCAATCCTCCAAGTCTTCTCCAGAACGGTACGATATGGAGACCCCACTGTCTCATCGTTTTTGGGCGAAGCTTCTGCTTTCCACTTTTCTGTACAGCATCGCCAGATTACTATGTCGTGAGGGTTGGTTTTCCAACGTGGCGCATGTGGACGACCAGAAGGTGAGGGAAATCCATCTCTCCTACCTAGCGACTATCGGCAGGAGGACGTTTGTATTTCTGCCGAAGGTCGCTAGGTAGGAGAGATGGGTTTCCCTCACATTCTGGTCGTCCACATCCGCCACGTTGGAGATAACCCTCACCACATAGTGGTCTGTCCATGTTGTACAGAAACGTGGGAAACCATCATCAAGAGCTGGCTTCTTGCACGTACTGCACTTTCGTCGAACGACCTTTCTAGCCCATGAGAGTTGGGACGATGCGGAACCACCCTTGAAGCTGGAAAAGTCATTCGACGAAAGTGCAGTACGTGCAAGAAGCCAGCTCTTGACGATGGCTTCCCACGTTTCTGTACAACATGCACAGACCACATCTACGGTAGCCCCGCCATGCACTGCAGGAGAGACTTGAGGACGCGCTTCCGGCATCGCCACATCACGCCGGGATGGTCGAGCTGCCCCGACGCAGACCATTTTAGTGCCTGCATTACGGGAAGGGTGGCCTTCCCTGCGGAGAGTGGAGATCCGGAGTGATACTGCTCGCTGGGCGAATAGTGTGTTTCCTGGAGTTTGGATAAGCTGGTGAGTAGCGGCGTGGTGATTGAGCTCGCAGGGTGAGAGCAGTATGATGGGCTTCTGAAAACGTGGGATCTCGGGTATCAAGGGTGGTTTATCTGATTAGGGAAGCACTCCCCAAGATATCGATATCGGAAATTATCGCCATGGACGGAATTTTCCATTGATCATGAAATCGTACGTGATATGCAAAGTCCAGCTAGGACACTAAAACAAAATGCGTAACATCAAATAGCCCGATACTAGGGAATCGTCTTCCTCAATAATTTCTGAATGATCAGAACGCGGTGTATCCTTCATTTCTCCTCCTGCGGTGGTCATTTACTCGGCGTCGTAGAAAATAGACTTAAAGCGGTGGGTAGCCTCGACGACCTGTTCGTAGATTTTGTAGTCTGGGTTGTTGGATGCACATTAGCCGAATCCAGAGCTTTGGCGCTATAAAGTTAAAGACTAACCGCAATCCGCAGGGTTACCCCAGTCCGTTGTGCCCAATACCCGAATTCCAAGACCCTGGTAGAAAGAGGTTAGCTATTTATCCTCCTATAGGGGCTATCATTATGCAAGATATTCCATTCATGGTCTGTGGTATCTGGTGCACTAATGATCTGTCCAGTTATCACTCGATACGTACCTGGCCACCGTCCAAATCGGTCACCTTCCCGACAACCTCCACAAGCTTGCCCATCTGCAGATGCGAGTCCGGTTTTAGGAGAAGCGTGACATCACCATTGTTGCCGCATGTAATCGTAGCTTGGTCACCGCGGAGATTGGTCACTGTGCCCAGGATGCGGATAGTGTGTGTTGAGCGTGGGCCCGAGCTGGACGGGTGGAAGGTGTTCAGGTGGGCGGGCAGGATGCGGGGGGTTTGGAGGGACATTGCGGCGAGTGGTGATTGGGTTTCTGGGAACCAAGACACGAAATAAAGGGGGGCGTGCAAAGTTCTTGACGTGTGCAGTTGCTTAATTGAAAGCCGGAGATGCTTCGGAGCCTGACGCGGTGCGCGGGACGCGTGGTCACGTGTGGATATTCAATGGAATGGCTGACAGTGTACTAGAGGGGACGGCCTGAAAACCTCCCTCTGGCTCTACTTGGAGTTGATCATACCTTTCTACCAGACATGAAATGTAAAGTGTATCCTCCTGGGACGAGGAAATAAGCCGGTTTAAACCAATACTGCAACCTACTGCTGTACATACTGTAGTATATATCATCACGTGACACTATCGATTTCGACCCGGAGCTCTGGTTCCTCGCATGGTCAACATTTACAGTGAAGCTTTACGCCCCGCTCAAACTGGACTAATGGGTTGTCGAACCCTAACTTGAGACACTATCACCTCTGGACAGTACTATCCATTATATCGCTGCCCGTCAGCCACGACTATCCATCCATTTCACGATAATGCCACCACCACTCCCCTCCCAACACCGCGGGATGACCGCAAACCCGCTTAAACCCGTGGGTCGCTATCGACCGGGAAAGGCAATTGCGGAGGAGCCTTCATCTTCTGAGGAGGAGGAGGAAGAGGAGGAGGATATTGAGGCGCGAAAAGAACAAGAACGAAGGCGGCGGGCGGAGGAGCAGCGGCGAAGGCAGCGAGCACCTAAAGCGAGCTCATTCCCTGCAGCTGCAGTTAAAAAGGCTCAAGAGGAAGAGGATGAGGACGAAGAGGGATTCATGACGGACGAAGAGGACGAAGGACCTACCCAGCCACCATCCGCAAAGGCTGCGCCGCAGGCTCGGCCTGATACTGCACAGTCTCCATTGCTCCAACCTGCGCCGGTAACGAAGCAAGAAGACAGCGAGGAGGAAGAAGATGAGGAGGAGGGGGAAGAGAGCTCCGAGGAAGAGAGCAGCTCCGAGGACGAAGCGCCGCGGCGAATGTTGATTCGGCCAACATTCATTAAGAAAGATAAACGAGGCAATGCAGGCGGACAAGGCGCAGATGCTCAGGCTCAAGGCCCCATTAGCGGCGCCGACTCAGCCGCCGACAACGAGGCCCGTCGCGCCCAACGACAGGAGAAGGCAGACCAATTAGTACGAGACCAGCTCGAGAAGGACGCGATTGCGCGCTCCACCGCAAACAAAGCCTGGGACGATGACGATGAGCTCGTCGAAGCAGACGAAGAAGCAGCCATCGACGACCGCGACGGCGTCGACCCCGAAGCCGAATACGCAGCCTGGAAGCTGCGCGAACTCAAACGCATCCAGCGCGAGCGCGAAGCAATCGAAGAAGCAGAGAAAGAACGCGAAGAGATCGAGCGGCGGCGCAACCTGACCGCAGAAGAGCGAGACCGCGAGGACCGCGAGTTCATCGCAAACCAGAAAGAAGAGCGCGAGGCGACCCGCGGCCAGACCGGATTCATGCAGCGCTATTTCCACAAGGGTGCTTTCTTCCGCGACGACCAGGAGCGCGAGGGTTTGGACCAGCGCAATGTCATGGGCCGCCGGTTTGCCGACGATGTGGCGGTCGAGACGCTCCCGCAATACATGCAGATTCGCGATATGACCAAGCTGGGCAAGAAGGGGCGCACGCGCTATCGCGATCTCAAGACGGAGGATACCGGGCGGTTTGGCGAGGGTTACGAGAATCGACGGCGACACGATGGCCCGCCTGTTGGGATTACGGACGAGCGATTCATGCCCGATCGCGGCGATGATCGGGGCCAGGGACCATCGGGTCCAACGGGTGCGAATGCCAGTGCTGTTCGGGCGCGGCGGAGGTCGAGATCGCGGTCCCCGAGGCGAAACCAACGCGACGACAGGAGCCGGTCCAGGGAGCGGCGCAAACGCAGCCCGTCACCGTACGATGACCGGGATAAGCGGCGGCGGGTGGAGAGCTCATCATGATGGGATTTCTTTCTTGGCGTTGGCGCGGAGTTTCGGACCCAAAAGTTTACATGGGTGGGTTTGAGGCTATGTGATATACTTGCATTTCGAGCAACTGATACTCCCTGGTTTGGTTTTGGGTTTGTATGAGATATAGCATGTCCCTCTCCCGGAGGGCTCTTTGTATTGTTGATTTGATTGATATTCGCTGGCCATGCCAGCAGAGTATTTGTACATAAAAAAACTCCACAGGGGGTTTCAATGGCAGTCCATTTCCAGATCGGCATTGGTCCTCGTGTATACGTAACGTAAACAATCGCAGCTGGAAACCCAAGTTATGGAACCAAATGCCTGGAGAGGATTACACTGGTGCGTATACACGTCTCACGGTAGGCTGGACTGGGCAGCCGGGGGGACGGGCCTCTGCTCAAATCATGAATAGGTGCGCAGGGTCAACATTGAGGTCCCGAGCTTCGGAAGCCGCCATAAACCGGCATTAATGCGTCTCTCGCACGGCTTTATTTGATCCCAGCCCTCTCCAGCACCTTCTCCCTCTCCATCACACTCTCCCCAAACCCTAGCAAGAACACCGTTCGGCTCGGCCACATTTCGGTCGGCTGGTTATGAGCCGAAACCTTGGCCTCGAATCCACACCCATCACATACGCCTTCAATAATGCCTGCCACAAATGCCGCGCAGTTGAGCTGGTTCATCTCGCGCGGCACGCTGATATACGTATTCACGAGTGGATCGTTGTCCGTGATCATGTATTCGTTCGGCGTGTCGGGGGAAACGGAGTGCTCTAGGGCGTCGGCCGAGCGGCCGAAGAGCAGGCGCCAGAGCGGGCCGTGGATGAGGTGTAGCAGGGTGAGGATGCGGAGGGGCCGGTTCGGCGGGGAGGAAGAAGTCGAGGAGCTAGAGAGGGCGGAGGAGGAGGTGGTTGTTGTACGATAGAAGAGGAGGTCGAGGAGGCGCAGGCCCAGAGGGTATCCTTGTTCGTTCAATCTGGAGGGGGTCGATGTGAGTGCTCCGATTGTGCAGGTATTACGAATCAATTGACCGCGAGATGTATTCGCGATCTTCGCTTCGCTGGGTACTCACCGTTTCTCCAGATCTTGGATCCCTGTTACCCGGCGCTGGGCATATGTGACCATCTCCGCAAAGAGATACGCGAAACTCGCCCGGCTGAGCTCCGCATTGCGGCTGCGGTTCAGGTGTCGGTCGTAGATGGTCTTGCGATTTGACGGGACTCGAAGACCTTGTATTGGTTGCGGCGTTGAGGACTGCTGCGGGATCTGTGTCTTGTCGCTTGATCCGGACTGCGGCGTGCCTGTGCTGTTGCTCACGGACAGCATCGCCGAGTGCCTACTCGGTGCGGCCATGGTGTTTGGTGGGGTTGGCAAGGAATAGGATGATTAGAAGGACCAAACGGGAGAATCCAGACAGAGTGGAAGGTTGTCGACTAGCCCTCTAGATGAAACCCGGGGATCATGGTATCTGGAAACGCGGTGGTTGGACTAGGGGGTGGGCGGCTGAAGCAGAGGGTGTATCGAGAAGCTGTGGATGCGATCTACGGTGGAGCACATCGGCCTCGGGTGCAGTCTGCAATGACCATCCAACGGTGCTGCTAGCTAAGTCAATAGCACCGAAAATCTGGGTTTTTTCTACGTTGTTTTTTACAAATGGAGAAAGATTGATCGTGAAAACCAGTTTGATTCATTCTATTGAGCCCTATACAGGGTAGCTCCGCGGCACGGCAGCCCTCTAGTGACGGACCTCCACCTTGGTAGGTAAAGAATCCCACCAGCCAGGACAAGAGGCGACAGGAGCAAGATATACACCAGATGTCACGGTTCCCAAGTATACCATCAAGGTGAGAGAAAAAGCATTCCTATTCTGAAGAACCGAGCACGTTAGCTGAGTTCAAAGCATGACATGGTAGCCACTGGAAAAAAAAAATCCACAAAGGACCAGCAATTTCAATCAGACATCCAAGGAAGTAATGCGCACAGCACCATCTTAGATTTAGGTTCGGCGATGGCTAGCGTGGAAACTGCGAATGTAGGAACTTTTTCATCATAGAAATGGGCCGCTACCAGTACTGGTGACGGCCCTTGCTGGTCGAGGGAGAAACAGAAAAAAAAAAAATGTTAAGAACTTACCAAAGTTAGTGCAGAGCAGAAAGAAAAGGCGTGCGTTAAAATATCCTGCTCTTCATCCCAGTTCCCAAGGGCAGAGATCACATTAGACTTCTTGCCCGAGGGTTGGTTGAAGGTGAAGGTGGAAGTGGAAGTGGAAGTGAAGAGAGAAGAGAAAAGGAAGAAAAAATTTCGGCCGGTGGGTTTTTATAGGCGGGAGGAGCTGCCCCGGAAACCACGCCGGACCCAACCAGCCAGACCCAGTCACTACGAAGCTTCTAGAGGGCACACCGGCGATATCCACTCAAGCTTGGGCAATGCAAAATTTTCAGTTGACGATAAGAAGACGATAAAGAAAAATTCTGCTAGGTATTTCGCTGAGCAGAGAAATGGGGATAGGCACAATTATACGGAGTGGAAGCGGATGTGTCAAAAACCCTTGAAATTTCCAAAGTCCATCCCAGCAATTTGTACCGTTCCAAATTCTGGGCCGATTGTTTTTAACCCGATCCAAACCATAGCCATAACATCGTGTACTGAATGAGCCCGCCATGTACTCCTAAATAGACCAGCCAGTGGCCATTGCGACCCAGCCAAAATGAAATCAAGACAAATAAAAGCCAAACCCTGATGCCAAACTGCCATGCTCACCATGCTGATTCTTCTCCAAAGGGCCATACCTACTTAAAGCTCTTCTGTTTGGTCCGCGAATTCCAGTTCAAGGTCTTGGAGATGCTGTGCACCCAGTCCTCACCGCGCCGACCATGAGGCAGCACGTTTGCGAACGGGTATCTTGACGCAGACACTGTGACGTAGTCGCCGGGATGTAATTCAACTCTGCAATCGCTCGTCAGCCCAACAGTCCTGGCAATCAAAAGCACATCGATCATGGAAATGGGCTGCTCTCACCTTTCCCGTCCATCGAAACTAGCCCATGAGCTCGTCCGCGCGTCGTATGGCACACCCATTCGCAGCACAATGGTGTCCGGCAAGATAATCGGCCGGAAGGATAGGGTGTGGGCGCAAATGGCTGTTACCAAGATAACGGGGTTCTCAGGGTGTGAAAGCGAGCCGCCAGCAGCGAGGTTGTACGCCGTCGAGCCCGTCGGGGTCGCAATGCAGATTCCGTCAGCGAGCAAGGTGGTGAAATGCTCGTCGTCGCCAAACAGTTCGATTTGAGACATGGCTGGGAAGGTTCGTTAGAAATACAGAATCGTCGGGAAGGACCTGGGTTTTCAATTTGGGTTTGTATGGATAGGACATACTTGGATTTGGACCCCGGTCGAGAACAACATCGTTGAGTATCTCGTAAACTCGGTCCGGGGTATGTGTGAGAGTGTCTTCACCTTCTTCCCCTATTAGCTCTTCCACCAAATCCCGGCTTGTGAGGGACCTCGCATGCGGGTCCTTCTGCCGTGCTTTGCTTCGCATGATGGTGCATTCGAACCGCAGCCGGAGACTGACAACAACGCCGTCCCGGAAAGCGTTTTCGAGGATATGCTGGTAGTCAGCGTAGTCAAAATTCGTCAAGAATCCTAGTGAGCCCAACGCAAATGACAGGACTGGAGGGACGATGCGCTGGAACAACCAGCTGGTGTAGAGGACGGTTCCGTCCCCTCCGAGAGTAATGACAAAGTCAAACAGATGCGGCTGCTCTTGAGCAAGCTTGGGGTCCCAGAATTTCAGCCGGCCCTTGGCCGATGGCTCCTCTTGCACTAGCTGCAGGGCCCCGAAATCCGGATGTGTCTCCATGCGGCGCTCTACATAGACAGTGTAAGGGGCCCCGCGGTCCTTGGACAGCAGCCATCTAGTCACTTTCCTGGTCAAGCTGACTAGCGACTCATCATGCGCTTTGCTGACGATGAAGACGTTTTTGACCGTGAGCTTGAGCTTGAGACTGCCCAGTTTCTTCGACAGCTTCCGCACGTTCCATGCCATATCAGACAGCTGTCGCTTCGTCAGGTGCCGCGATTGGATGATGGTTGGGACGGGCTTTAGGATCTTATTATCACCATCAACCACCGACACCACTTCATCCTCCCCGAGAACCTTGGTGTCCACGTTGGGTTCCTCGTCGCTCAGTGTCCGAATCACATCCTGCGTGTCGTCGACATGGCTCGGAGGGGCCGCCCACTCGCCGGCGATAAGGGAATGCACATAGCAAGCCGTGGTCTTGTCATTTTGATCGTGGTGGGATTTAAATCGAGGTTTCTCCATTGTAACCAGGGAGGATTTGCGGCGGTGGTTGGAGTCTGGATAGAAAACGACCTGCGAAGAAAGCAGAAAGCGCGGGCTGATTAGCATCAATCCAGATCGGATGTGTTATGAGATAGAGTCTCGTACCTCCAACTGGTCCTGCTGCATCTCCGAGTCGCTGATCCCTCCGTTGATCTATGTATCATAGATCAGTGTCGTGGCGACAAACCCGCGCGGGCGGTGCGACCAACTTACTTCGTCCATTGCGGCCGAGGACAACCGCCGGTGATCTTCGTCTGTCACACGCTGGTTCTGGCTCTGATTGTGTGATTCTCAGGCTGTCATGGTGGGTTCTGGGTGAGCTTCCGACCTCGCCGCCATATGGGTGGGTTGCGGAAGGTGTGAGGCAGGGAGAAAGCGGGTATGACATCGGTCCGTTCACCCCCTCACGCGTGTACCCCCGCCACGTCCCTCGCCCCTTTGATGCGCAACCTTTGATGGAGGCCAAGGATATCATGCTTTCCCCGGGGTAATTGCATCCTGGACCGTGATTTATCATTGTTTGTAGATTCGACGGCGTCGTCTTCGCCAAGTGTGGATTATCTGGGCGCGGGTTCGGGTTGAACGAAGATCCCCCCCGGAATACTGGGCTCTAGAATCCTGAATTCATCTGCTATGCTACAACTACAATTACATTGCATTTTTCATCTCTCTCAGGGCAGCCATCACATCCACCGGCTGAGTCTTGCCGGTAACCTTCTGGATCTCGGGGTCCTAGGATGGGATGAGCATCCGGTTTAATTCAAGTCATGGGGTAGGGTGGACTCACATGGACTCGCATGAACACATTGTGGAGCTAAGAATTGACTGGTCAGTCTTACACTGCACACATCAAAGACCATTGAGTACATACCTTCTCGTCGCCGATAGTGAATTTACCCTGGGTTTGCTGATTGGCCTCGGCAAAGGCCTGGAGCTTCTTAATGGGCTCCGTTTGGGACACATGCAGGCAAAACTTGACATTTGCCTTTGTATACTCGTGGCCCGGCTGGATGATGTGAGCGAACGCTTTAGGTATTGTGAAAGAATAGTAAGCAACGTACGTAAACCTTGGTATCATCGGGCAAGGCAGCCAGTGTCTCGTTCAGCGCCCTGTGCATCTCCCCTGCATTACCCTCAAAGAACCGGCCGCATCCTGGACAAGTTAGATCCTGCTCTCCAATTCCGCATGTGGCTTATCAAAGGTCCAAGACGGCATCCATACCAGCAATGAACAGGGTATCACCAGTGAAAACGACGCGCTGGTCTCCATCTTGCATAAAGTAGCAGATACTATCTTGTGTATGGCATGGAGTGTGCAGAGCGCGCACGGTGATACGGTCCCCAATTTTGAATTCCTCACCGTGAGCCGGGGTCTTGGTGACGGACTGGCAGTTGCTACCTCCGATGACTGGAAGCTTGCCGAATTGCGCGAGCTGGAACGAGTCAACTAAAGACCAAATCGACCAAATATTGGAAGTAAGTTAGTGCAGACTTACCATGTCGTCGTTACCCCCGGCATGGTCCCAGTGACTGGGATGATATGTCAGCATGGTTCGGCTCACGTCTCGGGATAGACTGACTGGTGGGTGTTCACAATAGCGGTCAAGTCAATCTTTCCCGCATTGATTTGCGACTTCAACTCAGGGGCCACCCTAGAAGGGTGTAGTTAGTTTAACAATCACAATCTTGACCACCCTTGGACCAGAACATTAGAAGTCAACATACTCCGGGGGTTGGCCGGATCAATAATGACCGACTGCTTCGTTGGCTCATCCGTAACCAGGTAGGCATAGTTATTACCTTTCCCGGTCCCTGTGTAGGTTCCAAGTCAGACCAGCCAGATCCCAATGCGAACTGTTTGCGTGTCCCGCAAAACATATACATGACTCGCAGTAGCGCCGCCCACTTACACATAGGAATAGACTGAATATGCATGGCGCGAAATTGTTGCGATAGGTTTGGACGACAACCAAAGGATCGGATTGTTCTGGCAAAACTCATCACCGAAGATGGTTGGTTGATGTGCGGGGAGAGCTAATCGAGCTCATAGCCCACCGCGCATCCCGCAGACGGACTGGATTACAGATCAACGTCATGCGGAAAAACAGTTTCTCCGGCATGGCTTGCTAATGACTGCGCGCCTTATTGGTTTGACTAGAGTGTATGAGAATAGAGTGGATACCAATGCTGCCAGCAGCACCGTGATATGATGATTAAATTACAAAGGCTGGTCTAGCTAGTCGAGGCAACTCCCAGAGGCCGGCTGTCCCATTTCTCAATAGGGCCCCATCCATGCTCCCGGAGCTTCTCAGCTACACTATCGCTAAGGACTGCCTGAGTCCTCTTCTTCAAGGAGCTACTCTTAGCAGCATTTTGAGTCCGAGACGCCACAGTGGCAGTGTTTCCATGTTTCTGCAACGTCTCCACCAGCTTTTGAGTCCAGTGATTGGAGTTTTCGCTGCAGATGGTGGAAATGTAGCCGCGCGGGAAATACGCCTGTCGCGACTTCCATGCAGGCGAAGTCAGCAGATGCTCGAGCCATAGGAAAAGCCCCTCAGCCTGGGCATTCTCGGGAGAGCTATTCCCTGAGTTCAGGGCCAAGGTGTGCACCAGCTCCTCTGACAGGTGCAGCAAGAACGAAGGATGGCTCGTGGTGACTTGCTGCAGGACCGGATCCCACTTGTCGAATATCGCGTCCATCGACTCTCCAAGCCTGTTTTCGGTATGAGCATTCCATATTACAACGCAACTCCGAAGATAGACAAAGAACTCACTTTCTCTCCGAATCCACCAACATCCCCTCATCCAACAAAACAACGGGCAGCACACCCACCGCAGGGCTCGGACCGTCTTTAGACGCACTGCAAATCTCTACCAACCGAGCCGCAACCGAGTCCTCCTGCTCACGCTTCCTCTTCTTCTGCACCGGCTTCGAGTCCGATCGGCGCACAACCTGTTGCAACGCGCCCCTCAGCGCTGTCGCAACAGGAACGCTATCATCACGAGTGACGCGGGGCACACTCCCGATTTCGTCGACGTCAATACCAGCCCAATAGTTGTCCCAGAGCCACTCCAGGGAGCGCTGCGTAGTTTTGCGCAGGACAACCAGCGATGGGGGCTCGCGGTGCGTTGCTTCGTGGCGCAGTTCGACAAACGAAGCCGGCAGGCCGAGGTCAGCAGCCCGCTGGAACATTGATCTGCGGGGGCCAGTGACTTTTGTGTCTACCAGGCCAGTGACGAAGCTGTGGGCTTGGTTAGCAAACAGCGATATTCGGATATTCGCATGGAGAGGCAAGTAAACCCCATCCAGGGACGGGACTGCCAGAAATGTATACAACACAAACGTGAATGGGGAGCCAACATAACATACCGACAAAAGGCAGCTGAATAGGTCGCCCGGATTGAAAAGATGGAATTACTCTGCGCATCGTCGTGCAGAATCGCATCCGTCAACAACGCCGTGGCCTCAACATGATGCGGCACATTTCCGCGCAGCTTCCACGCTTCCACCTGTTTAATTCTTAGCTGAGGAAGAGAGATAGCTTCCTGAGACTGCTTCACATACCGTGGCACAGGCGTGCGAGCGCATGTCCGGGCCATCGTACGACGGTAGCGGGTAAAACTCGCTCCGCACGTCGATTAATTGGGCTTTAGTCTTCCATGCCGTGAATATAACTTTGGCCATATTGAATATTTCCCTGAATCCTGTATTCTCCTTTCACCGGATCCCGAGTAAGATACAAATAGTCGCAGACGAGCCTCTTTTGGCAGGTGAAATATTTTCGGAGAGGAGTTGATCCATTGGGGTAGTTTTTCCGAGGCGGCTGTAACGCCGCGGCCAATCATCGATGCGGAAGATGAACCTCCCCCCAACACTACGGGAAAATTCGAGTCTACGGAAAGGAGAGTCAAGTAGGAATCGTGAGCTAGTTTCTTTGGGGCGAGATCGCGAGTCCCGATCGCTAGCTATCCTAATATAAGAAATGGTTGAGCAGCTGCTCTTAGTCAAAGCTATCTTAGTTAAGTCCCAGGGTATCCTTCCATCTATCACAACTCCAAAGCCAGAAAAAAGACAAGAGAAAGAACAAAAAAAAGAGAAAAACCAACAAACTCCATGCTATGCCCGCTGTAAGACTCTTCGGTGGGGTGTGGATAGAAATAAAAAGGAAATGTTGGAATGTTGAAGCGATCGGTTGGTTTAAATCCATCCGTAGCCATAGCTCATGCACGCTTGGTTCAGATTGGCGAAAGGCTGCGCAACAGGCATCGCCTGCTGATCGAAATCATCGTGGTCGAAGAAAAATGATTTGTGCAAAAGATTCAAAGCCTGCTTAGATGGTTGTTTGGGGATTTGGAAGGTCGATTGCTGTGCCATGGGGAGCTGCCCGTGTGGGCTGAACTGTGGCTGAGATGGCTCGGGGGCCTCCACATCCACATCCACAACCTCATCGTCCTCGGCGTCCGCGTCGGCGTCATCGCTTTCATCGTCGGATGGCGAGAAGGTTTCCTCTAGTTTCAGGCCTTTGCCCAATGTTCCCAGCTGCACTTGGCCAATAGCATTGTTGGGCTGGCTGTACAGGCCCATGCCGACGAGCTCCTCCTCGGGCTTACAATCTTTCTTCTGAGTCGATGCCGGTTCATCATCAAATTGCTGGATAGGAAGAAAGTCTGGTGTCGATGGACCACTCAGTTCACCTGGCGATGGCACGCTAGCGTAGCTGGGGCAAGTCGTCTCGGCTGGAGGAATGTTGGTGGCCATCGAGGGCACATCCAGGGACCAGGCATCAGACACAGTCTGATGCATGCCCAAGAAGTCAGTCGTGGTGGTAGAAGTATCCCACGCCATCGGCTCGAATTGCGAGCTCGCCATGGGTAGCGATGGCGTCTGCTGTTGAAGAGGCAAGGACTCCTGCATGTCCGAGTACGCAGGGAAGTAGCCAGGAGAGAAAGTCGGGTCTGCAGAGACGGGATAGGACATCATACTGTCACTACCGTAATCAGGCATGCCATTGCTGGATTGATCAGGCATAACGCCCATGGCGAAATTCTCCGAGGCATAGTCAGGCCAACGGGTCGGGTTCGACAGTCCCCGGGACCTGGCTGATGAGGGGTGCCAACTGATTGGACGAGCGTTCCGGACGGCCGAGGCAAAAAGCGCCGCTTCCAGGGAGGACTGATGATAATGGCTGGGCATTCCATGCGTGACGCTCTGAGCGACGGTGGTGCGCCTCCGGCCCGCGGAGGATGGGCTGTTTCCTGCACTTCGGGGCTTCATGACACGAGTGTGTCGGAGCCGAGGGAAAGCCCGAGCCCAGTCGTGCATTTGCAAGTTCGCGGGTTGGTTAGACATAGTCTCGGGGAGCCATTGGGGGCCTGTCGAAGAGGCCTGTGGTGGGTAGCCGTAATCGGCCATGAAAACACCGGTTGAGAATGTGGGTGAGAAGAGTTGATGGATGAGTTGTTGTCGAGTACGGAGTACAAGTCCGAGATACCCTCCAGGTAGGAAAGTATCAGCTCTGTTGGGTAGGTAGTGGAAGTGGTGGTGGTGTAGGGGAAGAGCAAGGAAGGAGGGACGGGAGTGAGATCTGTGGTTCATCTGTTGTTCCTGGGAAGGAACAACAGAAGGAGCGGTGGGTGTATCGTCCTGCTGTATAATTTCAGGAGTCGATGCGCGGGCAGGGCGGCCGACAGGATTAATATACGGGAATCCAGGGAGCCTGGCGATCCAGCTCCACGATCCCACCGCACATGCTAAGATGACACGACGTTGACACTAACGAAATGAGTTTAGCCCAACCAAAAGGCTCTGAATCAGAGCTAGGAGCGGTTCCACCGTTTCGGCTGGAGCCCGGTCGCCAAGCAACGCCAACCAGCAGAGCCCATCCGACTAACCAGGGAGGGCCAAGGGGAATATTCCGGAGTGTACGGAGTACGGAGTACAGGGGAGGGATGATCGGACCTATACGCCGTAGCGTCTGTTGAGGCGAACATGGGGAAAGACCCAGTTGCGGACCCACTTGACGGCGTTTTGGGTTTGGGGGGGCTTGGGGGGCTTGCCCTTGACGCTACGCAGTCCCGACTGTCTGTTTGTGACTGTATAGAGTGGGGCACTCACACGGGCCCAGTCTGGGGCTACGGTTTTTTTTGGGTTTTTTTCTTTTTCTTTTTTTGGCCCTTCCTCTCTGGGAGTGATCGTTTCGGTGCTGGTTGTCTCCCTTTCCCGACCCAAGAGTCAGGAACCTTGGCCTGTACCCGCCCATGGAATGCCTGCCGGGCTACGATCCAACCGGATCGGCGGCCTATTCTTCCCTCCTCAGCGCTGATTCTGATTTTTCTGTCGGGTTCCACGATGATCAGCCCTGCAATAAGAATGCTCAAATTACGTATCCGTCAAGGTTTCTGCTTCTTTTGGGGCTAGGATTGATATGACATGTCCGGAATACATAGGATGTGCGTCCTCCGGCTAGTCGAACCTAACTGTAGATAGTCATGTCTGGCAACGGTGTCTGAAGAATCATCTCAATAGTTCCCCCCTCCATATGCCGACTCTGTTACGCAAGGGTTACAATGTGATGGGCTCGTCGACGATCGACTCGCACATCTTTCCTGTCGCTCCTGTGCATATGGACAGGGGGTGGCCCACGAAATATACCAAATCAAGGTGGAGTTCGGTAAAGAACCTGACTCCGTCATGAGGGTTTTATTATACTTCCACCTAATCATGTACAGGACCCGCATCCTCTCGAGTACGACGGGGTGCCATGATTACCGTTCGCGGGAGGCTCAAGCGGTCTCGATCGAGGGGGGTACACCACGAGAAACATAGTTACCTACAGGATCAGTTGCTCCGCCCTCACCGCGGCGCGGCCAAGAAAGCGAGTAGCCCTCTTGGGCCCTTTGCGTGCATACCCGGTGGTGTTTCTTTTCTCCGCGCCCTCCATCCGGAGTACATGATGCAGGAGATGCATCATCGCCCCCCCGATCTACTTCTGTTTTTCTTCCGATCCCAGCACCCTCTTTTCGGCTGGTGATTGGACCCATTATGCGCCCGCCCTGGAACTATGCTCCGTCCAACCTGCATTCCGTTCTGGCTGAAGGGATCTCTCGAAACGCCCCCGCAACCAGCACAGTCATTCCCAAGTATCACCTGAGCCTGCAGAGGGGCCAGTCAGACCGAGGACTGCTGTACTATCCGAGGAGGCGTACGTGGTGGACCTGTTTCATCGTTGTAGCGCCACCGGTGTTCGTGTTCAATTGACCCTCCTGGGCGGGAAGCTCGGCAACCTAAGCGTTGGACGTCGACCGCATTTAATTTATCGTTTTTTTTTTCTCTTAGCTGCGGAGTCCGAAGTCCTATCGCCTTTTGTTGAGTCCCATATTTCTGGAGCTGAGCGTCGACCGTGACTCAACAGCCCGAACCCAGCCAGTCGGTGTTGAGGAGACGGGAGAGGCTAAGGAAGGGCAATGATTCGAATGTGAACAGTCCCCCGTCTGACTCTTGCCCCGAAGGAGCCAGAGGGTTATCGATAATTTCCAGGTGACGGAGACGGAGATGGGGAGAGCGATGATCAAAGGCCGGAGCCCATTTCCAGAAGGTGGGAATCCCGCTAACGGAGCACTAAGACGGGACCAGTTCAATAGATATCGTGGCCCGCGTGGTCTGTGAGCAGATTAGGTGCCGCAGAGGAGGCAAATTCCATATAATAAATGGAGCGAAAAAGAACGCGACCAACTGGGTCCAGGAAACGGGCGGTAGAGCCACCACTCACAACGTGGCCGAACGGATCTGATCGTGCTTAGCGCCGTGCCAAAAGCCAGCCCTGGGATTCTTTGAGGCCCGGGCCCTCCGGAGGAACAGGGCTTGCTTTCCCTGGTGTTTGCCATTTCCTTTTGGGGGTTGTTTGCTTTTGTTTGCCTGAACTGGATCTTCCTGTCATCGCGAGGATTCCTCTGTTCGACGATAATCCGGTCGCGCAGATATGCCTTGAAGCTACCGACCACCTGAATCCTGCGATGAGGTAGTACACAGAGACGTGCCATCCGAGCTTAGCTCGGGACCGGGATTCAAGCGGGATCAAAACCAAGGTCCAACACCAGCCCACTTGGCCACATCATTACGCAGGCAGCGATCCCAAGACTCTGTACCGGAACGCATTTGCAGGGCCCCACTTCCTGCACCGCAGGGGCCACGAAAAGTGAAAAATTGGAGAAATCATCATCCATCAATTTCCAGAAGCTCAGGGGGTTCCCCTTGGTGGAGCCCCTCCCATCGCTGACCCAATTCCCGTCACGGTGCCGATCTCTGGAGTATGTGAGCACACTGGGGCGCAGCACCATCTCACCATAGTTAAGGAGGGGCCGCGGCATGGGTTCCACGAACGTATCATCGCAGCCGGGATTGATTTGGGGGCGTACGACAAATGCAAGATGATCCCTCGTCATGTCGGGACCTTCTCCCCTTTTCGTGAAGGATGGACAGAGTGTGTGATACGAACCCATCTCATCCTCCAGGAGCGGCCCTCTAGCGGCATCCACCCGTCCTCACTAAAAAGAAAACTGGATAGCCCTGCATACCAGGCACGATCTGAGGTCCCGTTCCATATTTTCCTGGTCCGTCCAATCGAGAACGACCACCGTCATGCTCCCCTAGAACGATGGAGGTGACTGATGACGAGACTCGACCACGCCAGATCGAGGCCCCTCGTTGACTCTCTTTTGACGCGAGCCTCTTTCCTCCCCCTCTTCTCCGCCCCACTCTGCTAACCTCCGACGCGTTGCTAGTCGCCCGTCAGTTCTGTCGTTAGTGGCTTTGGGTTCCTGAGCGAACTCCATTCCCCTCCCGCCATGCTACTCCGGACATAACTGTATATCCATCCACCCCAACTCCCCCAACACGGGACGCTGAAATGGCCGGAGCCGATCCAGCCCCTTCCTGGCCTGGCCATCCAGACGTTTCAGCCGGTGGGATTGCCCTGCGCACTTCCTTCTCGCCCCCACCGACCTTTTTTCTGCACCTAACCAGCTTAGCCCCATGGAATACAGCGGGAGGAGCTGCGGGCTAAAGCAACTTGGCCTGCCTTAGCGGCAAGTCATCAGGCCCTTCCGACGGTGTAGCCGGGATCATGTCGCATCGGCCTCGGAAATGACCAGGCCCACGGCCCAAGCCCCATGATAGCCGTGCACACGATTTCATGTCAGCGGGCTAGTAACTGAGAGGGGCGTGGTACACGTTCCACATAACGTGCCTCGGTCAGCTTTCCCAGTACGTCGCTCTGTCCTGCTCCGCCCGACATCCTGCCAGGCGCTGCTTTAGTCCTTCGAGTCTCGTCACTCATTGAATGGACGGGCCTCTTCGTACGCCCCCTGTGGCCTGGACGATCGGAATGCCACTTGGCGAGGAGGATTGGGTTATCCTCCGAGCGTGGCCCCTTCCACACATCTACAGCCACCCTGACGAACCAGGCCCGGAGTAGGTGTCCAGAACAGTTGGCATCTACGTTGGACCCGTTTCTGTGCTCCCAAGGAGAAACGGATCAGGGGACCGCCCCGCGATGGCTGAGACCTGCCGTTTTCCTGGTCGGCTGCAACGGACGATGCTTCGACATTGAAACCACCTGTCCTTCCCTGTGGTGATAGACTGGACGTACAGCGCTAACTCGATGAAGCCTGGGGCATAGCGTGCCCCCGGGTCTTATCCATGCGAGCTGCAGGTGCACTGCCGATAAGGGACTCAAGATTTCGTCATCGGGGAAGGATGTATGGAGTACAATGTAGTCTGTAGACGGACGTATGGAGTCCATTAGTGATGTACCCGGCAGCCGCAGTAGCCCCCATGATCTATGTACAGGGTACATGAGAGATGAGATTTAGGGCCCTGAATAACCGACCTCATAATCAGGTATGTAATAGAGTTCCAAAACTTTCGGCTTTACCCGTGCTCTGCGTCGGGCACAGTCCGGGTCATGCAGGCCGCCCTTCTTAGTTCAGGAGGCACTCGTCACTGGGTCCTAACGCCTGAGGCGCCACGCCACGCAAGGCCCAGGTCCCAAGTGGGTCAGAGACGATCTGGCAATGGAGCCATCTGGGATCGGGCCCAACCCGTCACCCCTCAGGACGTCCTACATCGACGCGCACCTGCGACGCCTAGTGGCGGAGCAACAACCAGGATCGGGGGGAAGGAGCCAAGGGGGGTTGGGGGAAGAGGGTGTGGAACAATGTGCCAGTCAAAGGACACCACCGTAGGACTGTCCGGGGCTCTATTGCCCTAAGGGGCACTACGTATAGTTAGTACTCCGTATAGTTTGCTTAGTTGGGACAGGAGGC